AGAAATAGTAGTATTTCTTATTTTAATAGCTTTTTAACTTCTTTTTACTCTTATTTATAACTTAGAACTAGAGTTACTCTTTTTCTAAATCCTTGCTTAAAGAGAGTTTATCCTTGGAAGCTAATATATTTAACTTATAATTAATTATATATCTAGCTTTCTTACTTTTAATCCTATAGGAGTATCTCTCTCTTAGTTCTTAGTATTATATAGCTAGTAAGGAATACTTTATAATAAAGTAATCTTATTTACTATAATAAAGGTATTTTTCTTTATCCTATTATCTCTCTATCTCTTTATAATTAACCTACTTTATTTATCTATTTATTTCAGGCCCTAATTAATAGTATTTCGTATAGAATTCAGCTTAATTAACTATAGTAGTTAGGGTCTAATCTATTAAGTCTTAGTACTACTAGATATATATATAGTATAATCTTTCTAGGATATTAATACTAAGAGTATCTATATTAGTACTAATTTTATAAAGCTAAGTAATAAGGTCTGAAAATATAGTAGGAATACTATAATTTATTAATGAATTTATTATACTTTTGTTCAAGGATCTTAATAAGATCTATCTCTTTACTTTATTATACTATTTAAGGATACCTATATCTATAAACTCCTTCTCTAATCTAAGAAGGAATTTTATAAAAAGTATATTATTTAACTAGTATATCTAGTAGAGATATCTTATGGTATATACTTTAATATTTAAGTCCTTATAAATACTCTTAAGATAGTCTAGAATTGTCTGTAGATCCCTATCATTTTATTATAATTTCATAAAGATTCTAGTATTCTTCTAAATAAGCTTCTTAAGCCTAGAAAATATATATATAAACTAATCTTAGGGTAAGCTAATTACTATACTATTAATATATAGTTTATTCTCTATTGTTATATACTACGTTAGCTAGTTGGCTGCTTTTCCTCTAAATAGGATTGGGTCTAATAGTTGTGCTTTTAGATAATGTATAGGTTCTAATCATAGGGATTCTAGGATCGATTTAATCGTAGTTTGTACTAGAGTTAGTTCCCCTATCGTCGTCGTTAACCGTAAGACTAATTACTCTATTATAGTCTCCAGGCAACAGATTCGTTCGTCTTAGGCAATATACTCTTAGTCGTATTGTTATATTAATTCCTCCTATACTATACGTTCTATATCGATTCGCTTATTCTGTTTGCTCTATATAGCTTATGACTATACTATTTATTGTAGTAATGTCTGCGCCTATAATAGTAGGCTTATAGACTTCTGTATCTTTTACTTAGGGGTCGCGTTACTGAATCACTCTTAATTCAGGGACGATTCGTATATAGTTTTAGATTTTTACAATATCCAATTAGAAGCTTTTTATTTATGAGGGGCTAAAACAGAATTTATATTCAATTAAGCTAGGCTATGTACTATATATAAAAAGCTTAAAGAGAGAATTACCAAGTAGGTGTTCTATATGTTAGGTTATTATAGTTACGTGTGCCACGTGACCTTATACCGGGCATTGGCCCGTGACAAAAAGAAAGCTATTAATAGCTTACTATACTTAGATAAATAGCTAGAGTAAAATTATAAATAAATAAATAGCTTAATAGTTATAGGTCTATATAAACTTCTATTAAGATAATTAGTCTAAATATCTCCTATTAATAGACTATATTACTACTATACTCCCTTAGGCTAGTATAGGATAATTATCTTTCTTTATAGAATATAGATTTAATCCTAGGATAACCTTTAATTAGATATTAGATACTTTAGCTATCTTCTCTAAGAATATATAATAGGTAAGACATATTACTAATAATATAAAGAATATATAGGATAATACTTAGGAAATAATAGGAGTTATATAAGTAAGCTAGAAAAGATATATAGATATATAATACTATAAGAATAAATTTAAAGTCGGTCAACTAGTCTTTATTACTATATATATCTAGAAGATAGGAAGATAGAGTAAGAAACTATCTAATTAATAATATAGACTATTTAAAATCGTAAAAAAAGAAGATAATTCATAGTATTTGAAGCTACTAGACTCTATAAAGGTATATCCTATCTTCTTACTAAATAAGCTATATTCTACAATATATATAGAGCCTCTTGTTAGATAGATCCTAGATATAATACTACTAATTATTATTAATAAAGAGAAGACTTATAAGATTAATAAGATTAAAGATTCTTATATATACTATTAATATCTATAATATTAAGTATCTTAGATTAGAAATAAGAATACTAAATAGTATCCTATAGGTAACTTTAAGAATATACTAGAGAAATTAAAAGAATTCTATACTTAATACCCTAATAAACCAGGGTCTTCTATACATCTACCTATATAGCTTAAGATAGTAGAGAAGGATAAATTTATTAATAATAATAAAAGTAATAATATTCTAATAGCTAAAGCCTAGAGGCTAGGCTTTTTTCGGAGGGGGGGGTAATATAACAAACCAATACTAAGTTAATACTAATATGGAGGTTATAAGGTTACAGGATTATATAACAGATCATATAATCCTACATCCGTCTGATTCTCCTATATAATAACGCGTAGAAGCCTAACTCCCCTCTTTCCTTTTTCCTCATCTTTGATACCTTAGTTAAATCGTACAAAAGTTCTTCTGTTTTCTGGTTCTTACACTTATACTATTTAGATGGCTATAGTAGTCTAGGTCTTATAGGCTTGTTTTAGGATAGATCTTCTAGGTTATCGGAGTATCTATTCGGTGAAGAACTAAACATCTATCTTAATATAGAGATATAACCAAAATATCCTAGAGTAGGAGTATATTGTAAGTCTTAATCGATAGGAATGAGGTTGTAAGGTTGAAAATTGTTCTTATTGTAATACGAGCTAGTAGTTATTGTTTGTTTCTAGGCTCTGATAGATCTAACTGATATGATATTAGTACTATCTTATCTACTCAAAGTCTAGTAAATGCTAGTTGCTAATGAAATCTGTTATATAAAGTAAGTAAAATGTGATCTACTAGTACTATATAGTATATAATTTACCTATATAATTACTCTGAAGTTGAGTGAATAGACTGGAATTCGAAGTTTGGCTTGGTAGCTACATTAAGGAGATTCCCTTTTGTTTATCTTGTTTGTGGGTTTGATATTCTAGAACCTCCGAAAGCTATACAAGTATAATACTGAATCTATTATTGTACTATTATCTACGATTGTACTCGAATACTGCTAAGAAAAGGGGTCTGGGTTAGAGTAACTGTAGTAGTTATAGTGTGTTTCGAAAGAGGGTTCGAGAAAGAATCTTTGTGTATAAGAGGTGAAACTGGTTTCGATTAATCTTGTAAAGGAGTGTGTGACTATGTAGATAGCTACAAACAGAGTGGTAGCTTTATGCAGTAGTAGCGGCGGCAGCCTGCGTAAAAGGGATACTCAAGAAATTGAGAGGTATATCAAGACCGATTGAAGATAAATCCGGTCACAAAGAACCAGTCCTGTTACCAATACACTAAGTCTTTAGTAGCAATTTACGGCTGGAAAGAATATCTATAGCGGTGGCATTTATACTGCTGAATTAATGAGTTTCTAATGGTTTCTAGAAAGTGTAGTCTCTTGGGAGTATATCTTAAATATGAAGCTACTGTACACTAGTAAGTCTATCGAAGTGATCTATTAATGACTAGTAATACTAAATTATGACCTGTTGGATTCTTAGTGGATATTGTTGTCTAATTATGATATTTTTAGATAAAACGTTTAAACATCTTATTCTTGGTTATATAAGGACTTAATTTAATTACTTGAATAAGACATGCCTAGACGCGAACTGAAAGACCTATATAGCTTATTATATTAAGATAAAAGTATATTAAATTTAGGAAGCGGTTGATATCATTTATTTTTGAAACAAGCTCTGGTACCAATAAACTTAGAGTAGGTTAGGTGTGTATATCTACGTGCTAATGGTTTCACACCGCTTAGTGTACTCTATTTAAGCAGTGAATAGCGTTGCCGCTGACTTAGTGTACTTTTTCTGATATTTGATACTATAGTATAGTGTAGATGCCAAGAGACGGAGATCCTGAGTGGACTAAGGTGACTTAAAACTTTGTAATTGAAATGAGACGCCAAATGTGCTGTCAGCGATTCGCGCGATCGCTATCTGTTTGCATACAGTACTTATTAACTATGCGAGACTGCTGTGTAGAACAGCACGGCCTTCTTGTCTATATTGCAATTAAAAAACCACCCTACTGAGGGGGTTGTGTGTAGATGCCAAGACCCTGCTTGTTTCAGATAGAGGATCGTGGCCCAATAATGCTGTTCTCTCGCTCAGCTTGTCGCGAGACTGGCGGGCGATTCTCACCCACTCCTCACCCTGGTTCTTACCCTATCTATTGCGCACTTACCTTTTACACCCCCAGTCGCGCGGCGCTAAAGGGGCTCTTACCCATTTCTCACTCGACAATAAACTCAATGAACTCAGAGAATACTTGATCTATATGATTTGGCTGTATGTTATATTTGGTACATACGACCACAGGGTGTGGAGAACAGGGCTTCCCGTCCGCTCAGCCGTACTTAAGCCACACGCCGGTCAGTTAGTAGTATGGTGGGTGACCACATGCGAATCCTGACTGTTGTATGTTTTTAGTTTTGTTTTTTTGTTGAGTAGATAGAAATTACGATTGTGAAATTGAGTACCTTCGCCCTAATGGAATACGTACTGCTAAACATGAGTAAAATTTGGTATGATAGGGCGCCAATGCGAGTCAGGTGATAGAGGGGTACGCTTTTGTTTGCTGTTGTGATGTGGCTTTCTCCACAACACGTCATCATCGCAATTCTCTCTCGATTGGCGTGTAATCAACTTTTCGTTCACAATTGAAGTCAATGGGAGAAAACTTAAGGATATTATGTTCTAAGCTTCCAGCGTGAACTCTGTCTTTGCGATGGGGGACTCCCACGCTCTAAAAGATTCCGCCATCAGGTGTCAAAGGGCCTTTCGGCAATGCCTGTTTGTTCCGTTATTGAATGATCAGAGTTGGGTTGAAAACCGACTGGGAGACTTTAATCTGTGGCTTACAAATCTCCGAGTTCTGAAACCTGGCCATGCATCACTCGACTACCGACTTCGTGACCGGGAAGACCTAAGGAACGTAATTGCGGGTCTCTTACAGAGCCTCCACGGATTCATCGAAGCATGTCGCGTGCCTTACGAGCCTAGTGATAGTGATCACGAAGTACAAGGCAGTGATGGGTCAGCTTCCGCTTGGTCAGACGTTTCCGACTCGGATAAAGGGTCAGAAAAAAGACCAGTCTCCTCTATCTTTTCTGACCCAACAAGCGGGGTCGAATCAACACTCGATAGACTGATTCGTCTGGGTATGGTTATTAGAAAGTCTGGAAACAAATTCCGGCATGAGTTGGCAGATCGCGCTCTAGACGTGTCTTATTATCAAGACTTTAAGAGGCATCTTGAGCTTGTCCTTCTAAACGATGCAAATAGACACCACCTTATACATATAACTGGAAGAGCAGCTGAGCAAAAGATACTCACACGTGCCACTGCGCTCGTCATCAAACGAAGACTTCTTGACCCTGGCCAGCTGACAGAATTTCAACAACGAGCCATACATGCAAATATTATTCGACGAAATAGATTTGATTTCGCCAAGAAGAGGGAACTGAAGGCGAATCCACGGGACTCAGAGCCGATGCTGACCAAACAGCAACCAATTAATGCTGAGCACAAAGCGACAAATCTGGTTCCTCAAACAGTTGTGTCAAGATCACAGTTCAAGAAATACGAAACCAAAAGCCAAGTGACCATTTCACATCCTTCTATGGTGGAAACAGCAACTCGAGTTGGTACTATCACCACACCGGTTGAGCCCACACCCTCGAAAGCTGCAACAAGAATCACGAACATGTCATCAACAGGCCAGAATTTAGATTACCCTCCATGTCCACAGCTTAAAGACTTGAATGATGCATCCTTTCAATGTCCTTTCTGTTGTCGACAGCTGCCCAGGAAGTACCTGGAGAAATCTGGATGGCGGTATGAGTTCCCCAAACAATCACCTGGCTTCAATTGGCTATTCACTGATACTTATCTATCAGATCTCACGTCCATGGAGACATTATGCCATATATCTGTATTTTTCAGGATTGTGCAAATAAAAATGAATTCTATGAGTCGAAGGAGGAATGGATGCAGCATTTACGTGCTACGCATAGCGAGAAATATTGGCAATGCCCCTTTCCGAACATTTGCAAGAATACACCCGAGTCCCGATTCACAACGGAAAGTGATTGGATTCACCACATGGCGACTCATCAAACGGCAGGTAACCAGACCAGGTTCAGCCCTACACAGCTCCAAATTGTTGCTGGAACAAACACCATTCATGACTGTTCAATCGATCGATGTCCGTTGTGTGGATTTTCAAGTCCAGCTAACAAAGGAGCAACGATAAAGCACATTGCGGAACATCTTCACTCCTTTGCTCTTAGATCCCTTTCATGGGAAAGTTATGTTGATGAAGATCAATCTGCGGCCACTCAAGCGGTGGATGACAAGTATACACCGTCCAAGACTTCCGATGACAGCCGTGAAGTTTTTGAAAGCGAAGATCAGACTGCCACGGCATCTGACGATTTGGATACTTATTTGGACCAGTTCGCTGGCGTGATTACGCACTGGAAATCCCTTGTCCTGAACAGCAATATACCGTCGTACTACAAAGACATCTTCAAACAAGTGAGTAGGATGGCAGACAGTCTTCATGCCTCAGCAAAAATGAGAATAGAGCCAATCGACTCTGATGCAATACGAGGAATGGAGACTGGCTTGTTGGATATATGCTGGATCTTTAAACAACTTGAAGAAGCCGCGCACTCCGTTTTTCACGATGAGACGTATGTGCCCCGGATGATAATTTGATAAAAATAGATATCCATCACGAAGTAACCCCACACTGACCGCTAGATTCAGAATGGCCAAGAGGCTCCGTGAATTATACATAGAGCTTGACGGTTCGATCGCGGCTCTGGATGAACACACGACGTTCTCAAGTTGGGGAGTTCAAATTAATTCAAATCATGATACTACTAATCTCTCGACCCCTGGCAAACACGGAGTCACCGAAAACGGGGCCTATATCATGACTGAGACCTCATTAACTGTAGAAAGTTATTCCACGGACATTTGGAAACTTGCCTTTGGTCGACTGGAGCCCAAAGAGCAGCAAAGCCTCATCCCTAAACATATGACCAATCGCACAAGCGACAACCTGCCAGAAAGCTCCACGAATATTTCGCCCAACTTGAATGAGATCAATCAGCTAGCAAAGGAGATATACAACGAAGAAGACAAAAAAGAGCGCATTATTACGCGAGAGTGTGCAAGAAATATTTGCAGTAGTGTCGCAGCATGCAAAGACATCCCTCGTCTATTTTCCCCAGTTTATCGTGATTCAGACCGTTTTGCAGGTCTCGGTTGGCAAGCTTTATATCTGGGATTGGATGTAAGTGATCGCCAAGAACACTCAAGACCAAAAGAGTTAACAGGTCGGGTCACAATAGATCGCAAAACAAGATTCTCGCATGAGAGACTCTTTGCTTGATTGTTTGGAATTCCTCGCACATGTGCTGGAGCGATGTGCAATATTTGAAAAGAAAATTATGGAAAATTATGGATTTTACGCTTCCAAGAAAGATCATATCCTTGACGCTCTTCTAAAAAGCTGCGAACTTATTCTTCAGTACACGGCTGAGCTGCGGTCTTATTTAAGCGGCAGTTCAATAAAACGGACATTTCGAGATATCACTGGCACCGGAAAGAAACGTCGCGCAGAGATTCAATCCACCGTCAACTTGTGTATAGAAGCATTGGAATTACATTTACAACATGAGGTTTTCCAATCTCAACAAATGGCCAATGATATTGAAATACCTCGATCCATCTAGAAGAATGATAGAAAAGACGGTATCAGAAAATACCGGGAGAATGACGTGTTGGAGCCTTGAATCTCGTGAATATATGATTTAGAGAAGTGCGGTTTGAGAACTGCAGATAATGCACTTGATGGATTAAACGGTTTCCACAATCAACAGTGCCTGCTTCAAGTTGGGACTCCCGAGGTCAGACTCAGGTCCTTCAGCACATTTTAGGATTGACGGAATCATAATAGGGCAGGCCCATTTTCTTACTACATGGCGGAATGAGAATAGGGAAGTCCACAATTGTCCGCTCGATTTCTCATTCCCTGCACGAAAGGGACAAACCTTGACCAACATTCCTTTTACAAGAGAAACATGCTGACTGCTTCAATGCAAGCCACTTTTCATGGAATTTTGTCAACTACGGATGGCCATTGGTCCATGTCGTTGAGGCAGTCGAAGCCAATGCATATCTCTCTTCAAAGGGCTTTAAACAGCAGTTGGGTACAGACCCTTCTGCTACGGTCGACGGATTACTTCCTGGATTATGTTGAGGTTGCAGGTCGGAGGCAAAATTACTCTTCATACTGAGTTATAAATCTTTCTAGTAATATCCCAATTGTTGTTCTGTTATTAGAAAGAGTAATCACACACCTTCTGCCATTACGAACGCTTCTCCGTCGCCATCACCAGCATCGTAGAGCAGATCAAATTTGGTATCCACGGCCTCAGATAGGTTGACTGCATATCTAATATCCGTCTGGTCCTCATCATTGTTGAAAGTAGCTCCCTTTGTATATGTTTCATGGTCGATATAGTCGGTAAAAAGTCTTTTCGATAATTTGGTTATTCGTATGGCCCAAATGAAATCATCTGATCCTCTATATGAGGCTGAGATCTTCCGTGTATTCGAAACAGTGTCATCGTTGCTAACATCGATTATACCAGCAACCGAACTTGAAAGAATTTCAGCTTTACTCAAAATGATCGCGACCAGGGGCCTTCCCAGGTACTCACATGGTAGGACCGCCGTGGAAACTGGTTTCTTCGGTTTTGCCGTATTTTCCGCAGGCTCCTCGGGCAATCATGAGCCCAGTTATCATAAACAAGGACCACCTATTCAGCAAACTGGCATTTCGCTTAATATACCTTTGGACATGTTCATCTTCCACACTGTCCTCCAAATAACCCTCTGTTGGTTGGATAATCTGAGCCTCTAAATCAAACTCCGCATAGTTGCTAACCGACCGTTGGAAAGCAGCCCCGGCGGCCCCACCAACAGCAATTCCAGGGACCATACCAACAGGGAGACCAACGTCGCTATCGACTTTATATTCTCGACCTCTGCCACTCTTCCATTGAAAGTCATCTTTTCGAGTCGTGTAAACATGGACATTTGGGGGAAATCGTTCAGGACCATCTTCATTCACCACGGAATCAAGCTTACGAAGGCTTGGGATAATCGAACCAAGGCGTATAGGTCCCATACCATCTTTGGGCGGGGGATAATGTTGTTGCCGCAAAACAAACCAGCAATTTTCCATTTCTGAGGTGTTATAGTCAGAGATAATTCGGCTTCGGGAGGGGTCCATGATTTATCACAGGAGGTTCACTGCGGCTGAGGTGGGGCTCGAGCGCCCATAGTAACGACCAATGGCTTGTTGTTTTTTAGCGCTTTTCATGTACTCCCTAGTCCGTACATTGCAGGAATATGCAAGAGAAGACTGACGTGTCAAGTCCGGTCACATTATCACCGCCATAATACCTTACGGTTCGTTACGCCCACACTTGCGCTTTCCCAGTCTGTTGTCGCACAAAACCTTACTTACCCCAGCACATAGTATACCCATGGATGCACATCTTCTCCATCATCAAAATGGTAAAGAAGCATGAATGATAGTTAACCATCAGGTATGTTTGAACCAGTAAAATACCGCGTGTCGCGTGAATTGGCTGATTGACTGTGGATTACTTTCAAATAGGCACCATGATGGAGGTTCACCTACTAACTCACGTGTGTAAGCTACTTTCGGCAAGGTTTATGGACCTTTCCATCATTCGGACTGGGAACTCGAAGGAAGACAAAGCGTATCGAGATTTTTGCACCGCTTGCGCTGCGGAAATGTTTGACATTGCGAGCTTGGGAAATGGGTCTGATTACTCGAACCCGAAAAATATCAGACATATCCAAAGTCTCCTGCGTAAGCTGGACCGAGTCTGTTCATACTTGGTATGTAAGCATAAAGCTCCAAAGTTTAACCTTTCGAATGGGTTTTGACCTCGACTATTGACAAAATAAAGTTCCAAACCTCCTCGAGGTCTTTCATGCCTTCGGTTGGGCATCAGAATCAGATTGGTCATCAAGCGGGATACCCAAAACCGGACCAATCACAATCATCATATCCATCGCTTCAAGCACTTGCAGCTATACAACATGCATCGAAGATTCCGAAATGGATTACTGATAGCCTTCAATGCTTCGCAGTATCCAGCGAGAGGGGAGTTGCAGCCAGACAAGATCAGTTACTAAATAGTCTCAAAAGGGTCGCAGATGAGCTTCACAACCATCAGGCAAATGATGATGATGATTGGAAGTCCGTTATTGAATTGAATATGAGCAGTGATCAGACCGATAGAAGCCATCAAGTGAAAGCTCTTTATCAAGTTGTCACTAAACATGGAGTCTGCAGCTGTGAACCAAAATCCCAACGTCCCATGCCTACATATCTTGGCTTAAACGAGAAAAAACTATTCGTTCATGTTGAGGAGCACGTTACTCCATTTAAACTCTTTTTCAGGGGACATTCGCCCGATATTCATATCAACGGACCAGTTGCACTATTTCGAGAAACGGTCATACGGATCAAAAAACGCTCGTAAGTTTTACGTGACTTTGCTATTGCCACCATTTACGCGCGAAGTGAATCTACAATCTGACATCCCAGACTAATAGGAAGGCTACATTCTCAGATAAACCAGAAATCCCACCACCAAAAAGAGACTTCCTTGAGATCCAAGACAACCTTTGCAGCATAATTTCAAGAGCCAGCTCGCTGCTTCCTCTTTATTTTTATATTCAAGATGACAAACTACAGCTTGAAGGACCCAAGGGGCAGTCAAAACACTGGATTGGAGACTCCCACATTTCCCTGACCGAGCTCTTGGGCATAAAAGGATTCTTCACATCGAGAAAGAAAAGACTTCATCTATCACACCTCGCAGCAAAGGCTGCGTGGGAATGCTACGATTCTGGATGGATGAAGAACGGGTTAGACCGACATGATGTTCACTTTATGCTAGAAAAAAGCGACTGCGGCAGGCATAAACAATTATCTTCAGATGAACCTTTCCTAACTGCAAGTTTCATCAGCCATGACAAAGATGAAAGTGGATGGACTGACCCAATTGCTGAAAGCTTGAATATTCATAAATGTCCAAAGATTCTAGCAGTCGGGATTTTGCTGCTCGAAATCGAACTGGGTCGTGGTATCGATGAATATAGACATCTTATCCTCGAGGGAGACCAGACTCCTGACATCAATACAGATTATATGACTGCAGTTAATGTGATAGACAGAATGTCGGAAGAATGGGAGGAGCGAGGAACGACTTCTCAGCATAAAGCCATCATCAAGGCGTGTTTTAACCAAGACGTTCTACGAGGTTGTGAAGATGTCGATTCTCAGCGGGCAGCTCTTTTGACGGAGATTGTTGTGCCTCTTGAGTCGCTATTCAGATCCCAATGGGAAGGAGAGGAGTCTCAGATTCTACCGATCATTTACAAAGACATACCAGATTCCTTGCATACTACCGAAGGCCGTGGGCCTGTTGCACAGCTGTTTTCAAACATCGAAGAATCGGTGCCAGAGCCATTAGAAATTGATACTATGGGAACTACTATGACAGTCTCGTAAGTATGACATGCTTTGCGTTGTTCAATCACGGGACTGAACGTTATCTATAGCGATGCAAGTTCACCCTCGGACAAATGGCTTGAAAGGATTGACAAAGAATTTTGTTCTCTTCTGCGCGCAAAGTCAAAAGCAGATCGCAAGTCTTATGCGCCGGTCAAAATTGCAGTCCTCGATACTGGAATTCATCCTCAACATTACAACGTCAGCAATATTACCGATTATAAAGACTTCGTCAATCCTTTGGGTCAAGGTAAATCAGACTTAACTGGTCATGGTTCAATTGGAGTCAGTCTAACCTATAAACTACTCCCTAATGCCCAAGTATACGTTGGTAGAGTCTTTGAAACTTCACAAGCGAACAACAATACGCCAGTCTTTTTAGCTCAGGTAAGTAAACGGGATTCCCAGAAGGTTGATTTTCAAAGCATCTGTTAACTATTTTCAGGCAATTCGACATGCCAAGGATGTTTGGGGCGTGGATATTATTACAATTGCATCTGGCTTTGAAGATTCTTATGCATGTATCCGCGACGAAATCATCTCGGAGTCATCGAATCCACCGCTTATATTCTCTGCTGCGTCAAATGACGGGAATATGGGACCTATCGCATTTCCTGCCTCCATGCGTCAATGCGTGATGTGTATGTTCGCCAGTAACGGACATGCCAAACCGACACAACTATCCATCAACCCATCTGCACGAGAGAGCGGGGGCTCTAACTTCGCCATTCTTGGAGAAGACGTGGAAGTGCGATTTTGTGATTCAGTTCAACCTCGTCGGCACAGTGGTACTTCGATTGCAACATTCATTGGAGCAGCCATTGCGGGTGTCTTGCTTGATTTTTCTAAGCAGCCTTTTGGTCAACAAGTCGTCAACCCGTATCATTTGAAAAGAATCGGGGGCATGTCTGCTGTATTTAAGAAAATGTCTGTCGAAGACAATGGCTACAACTGCATTGCACCATGGTCCTTATTTCGCAGTATCTCTATTCCTACCACGTCATGCGTTAATTCTGAAGACCGACGAATTATACGACGCGATGAACTGTGCAAAAATATTTCGAATTTCCTCATAGATGCTGGGTTGTGACGGCCGTGTCGGCTTATGCTACAATTTAAAGTTCAATTGCTATAAATTTTGTACTTTGTGCATCTTTTCCATTTTTGTCGTTCTTGTTTTTGCTATGCTCGTCCATATCCAGCATGTCAGAGCCTGATAATGAGGCGCAGCAAAGTATTTAAATCGCAGTGATTTTGCATCATCCGCGAACCATGCTTTCATGCAACTAATTTTGCAATCTGCCGTGGAATTAATATAAGAGTGCTAATCTCTCACTTACGCGGGTCAATATTCACTACACATATTCTAACGCCATGGCCCAGTTAGTCGGGGTCGTGTCTAGCGCCATCACGTTCACGGCTCTAGCTATACAAGTCGGCAAGTCTGTTCAAACCCTCAAAGACTACTGGGATTCAATGCGCGACGCGCTTGATGATATTCAATGGATTTTGCGAGAGATTGAGATGTTCAGTTCCATAATGGCTCATATTGAAGCGGACTTAGCCCGGAAAGTCGTCTTGGTAGGAGCGTCAGACAACCACCATGTTTCGCAAAGCCTGAGCATCTCCGAAGAGGCTGTGGAAGGATTAGATCCTCTTTGCAAGAGCTTAATGAAGGCTTTCAGCACATCTAGCCGACTACGCCGGTCTTACTATGCCGCAAACAAAGTGCTACGTCGAAGGGAAATTGAGAAGCAGATCTCAAACTAAATAATGTGATCCGACTGTTTACGTTATTCCAGCAATGCTACATTAGGTGTGTCATAATAGATATCTGCATTAAATGTTGTATATGGGCTTGTGCTAATTAATCAGATCGCTCACGCGTTTCCAGCCAGACTTGATTGCTAGTGCAATGATGCGTCTTGAAGTAGTGTGTTCACACACCGCTGCTTTGAGCTCTGCTTCAGCACATTATGGTAGGTCCGATGTGGTCGTTAGATTCTTTGGAGGCCTATTGATATTCCGAAGAGGGTATCTTAGTTCCGACTGAGCCGTCGGCGAAGGTGCGGAGATTAGGAAAAAATCGGATTTACTGTAGCAATAACGAGTAGATCTACGACTACAGGAACTCCGGTTTATGGAAGGGTGCTTGACGTTGGACAGTGTCACTATGCACGCGACGAGATCGGTGTGTTGGAGTTGCATAGGGGTGTGTCGCGTCTGCAATTTGGAATTAACGAGTTGGACAATATCCGATTCCGATTCTCATTTGGACTTGAAAGGTGGCATTTCTCAGTAAACAGGGCAGTCTTTCATCTACCATATGATATACAGTACAAAAACAAAGCGTGTGTTGACCAGTAAAACACCAGACCTTCATTGTCGAAGTAGATAGCACGTGATGACACGTGATTCATTGTAAAACAGATAAACACGATCAAACAGACCAAACATGTCAAACAGATCCAATATTCTCTCATAAACGGTCGCTGCCCTCCAGCACTGCTCAAGAACAATACTCTTTTTTGTCTCAGCGCAGGAATCTTGTCCTTCTTTCGCTTTCCCTTCAAATGGAGCCGGGGGTCCTAGGTATCAAGTCTGGTTAACGGCCCTTTCTGCAAATAACAAACGAACCTGGGCACTATTATTATTCTTCTCAACCTTAAAACGCTCACACACGCTGCCAAAATGCACTCCATTGCATCTCTTCCCGTGGAATTGATCTCAGAGATATGTAACCATCTTGATCTCCAACAATGGTTCCATCTGAGGTTATCATGCCGCGCATTGTACAACAGCTCACTCGAGAGTTTCGCGGAAACCTATTACAAAAAAATCCGCTTCATTGTGACAAGCGAAAGTCTCCACAGATTGGAAGAACTATCCAAGTCAAATGTTCTCCGGGAGCACGTCCAAGAGTTATGGATGATACCAACTGTGTTCGGTGGTACTGAGGAGCACATGGGCATGGTTTCAATATCATCAAAGAGCTGCCGACAAGTGAAAGGCGACGAACTGAATAACCGACATGCTATCCACAAAGCTATGCTCGTGGATAACTCCAACCTCCTGGAATCGGAAACGCTCAGTGTTAGACTTCGGGCATGCTTGGACTCATTTCAAAACCTTCAATCAATAGGACTTGCGCATTACACAACAGAATTTTTGCTTGACCCACGTCAAGAGACAGTTCCATTCCTGGGAAGGCGACAGATGATGAGTCGAATTGATTTCCGATTCGATGTTTACAGTCTGCGATCCATGAACAACTCTACTAAGGGTAGTCCGAGAAGGCAGAAAAACTCGTTGGCAGTATCGAAGCTCCTCCTTGCGTTATGTGGCTCAAGATGCAGACCCCGAAAGCTATATACCTGCGATTCGCATTTTTGTGGTGATATCGGCCCCAAACTCGCCCTCTCTGAAGAGCATTTTGAGTCCCTACTGTCTGCTTTGAACGGCCTAGAGGATCTTCATTTGTGTATCGATCTCAATCAGCCCCCCTGGTTGAAGCTCATCACGCACCTGGCACCTCGATTGGAAAGACTGACTTTTTCGCAAGATCATACTAATATGCCTGCCTATTCCGTAGAAAGCTACATTGGGAACACGTTCCATGAAATTCACTTCACTCGACTTCGAGAGCTTCATCTTCATGAGCTGGCTATCTACTTCAACCCTCTGAAATCGCTCTTACTGAGTGTAAAAGAAAACCTGGTCATTCTTACACTTGAGCGGGTGACAATACGCAGCGAGGTGTTGAGATCTGCAGATGAAACTAGTTCGCAACAAAGCGAGCCACCGGTGTTTCCAACATCGCCAGGGCTTCATCCAACATCGCCAGTGTTTCATCCAGAATCGTCACCGTACCCCTTTCGACCAACAATGCCATCCTTTCGACCAACAATGCCATCCTTTCGACCAACAATGCCATCCTTTCGACCAACAACGCCATCGGGCACACCCCTGCCAGTAAACGATCCGGAACCACCACAATACCCTCCCCCATCCCCACAACATTCATCGACTTCCGAATCATCCGAGCCAATGATAGAAAATCTAATAGACTACTGGCCATCCACTTATCACCCATATAGCCCACCTAGATACGCTCATATTTCACTCTGTCCAACCCGGGAAACTGAAATTGAATGGAAGCGCCACGAAAAAATGGTGACTTGTATGTCTGGACTTCTGAACATTATAAAGAACGACCTATCTCTGGAAAATCTCTCATTGGAAGATGTCATCTGTGACGGAAATTATTATTATTTCAGAGGATTCAACGAATCGGCTGGAACAAGTGGCCGAGTGGACTTTGACAGTCGCAACGCTGGTATCTTGTTGGGAGAATGGATTTCCAGTTTGAGGCCCGAGGCTTCCTATCCGGGATATCGCGTTCTAGAATTTAAGGAAGATGAAGGTGATTAGTGCTTCCCTACTTAGCCACTGCAGATACTGATGGAATTTAGAAATGGAAGATTGGTTTGACAAGATGATAGGAAGAAACAGTGGCTTATTCAATAGGTTGGACTGTGACTGCAAGGAAAAGAAGCGGCCGTGGGGATGTCCATTTGGATGTCATCGATACTAAACAGTATTCAAATGTTTGAGTAATACATTTCACACATGCATGTCACACCTATTGTGCATTTAAATCTTGTGGTTCTCAATTTTCTTCCAAGGTTAAAACATTGAATTCTATATTTAGAGAACGAAAAACGAAATGTTTATCATAAGGGGAAGCTTCAGTTTCAAAGCAAGTGAATACTACCACATGATTGATATTAACATTGAATACTCTGAGTCCTACATACAGTAGTACTAGTATACTTGTCGCCTAGTCACCTATACACTCCCAATAATTCCTATAGAGTACTTACTACTACTAAGTACTTATCCACAAGCTATAATTTTTGCAAGAACTCATCTGGCAGTGCGAATGAAGCCCAGATCTTTTTATTTCACAAGTTAAAACACACAGTACATTTGACAGAAAGGAGATAGATGTATGCCAAAAGGAACGTGAAGAACGTAAAAGATCAAATGTTGAAGCCAAAGAAGAACCCGAAACCTGATGACCAAATAGTCATAGACAGAATATCATGGATTCTAAGCATTGCCTGTTATTGGCTTGTTAATGGGTCTGCAATGCCCATTGCCGAAGTTACAATAGGTTAGGTACACGCCTAAAAGTTTAAGGTTAGTCAAAGTCAACGAAACTTGAAAATAAGGCCTTGAGGCACCATAGGACCTCTCCAACTCACCATTCAACCAGTAGGTAAATGAGTCTAGAAAATATCAGTATGAATATTAAGCCAAAAGTCTGAAGAGAAGTAGATCATACCGTTGTTTTTCAGAGGCCTGTGCTCGTTGACATCAGTTTCCCCATTATCTTTTATTGCAAGCTTAACGCTGCCGACCCATCCATACTCGGTATCAACTAAGTAGTGAAAAGGAAAAGTTCGTGGATTAGCGGGCCGAACGTAACGTCAAAGGCTGAATCGCACAATACTAACCTCCTGCATATGATCCAAATGCAGCTTTTCCATGGAAAAGCTCATGCGCTAAAAGTCGCTCCCATGTGTGAAAGATGACTGACTCAATAAAACTTCCTTCAGAGAGGAGCTTGGTTTGGCTTGTCTCGTCTTGGTATTGGTGCATTTGATACAGCAGTATATTCCATGCGTCATCGCAGAATGTAATCCAGTCATGTTGAACATTGGCGACGTCCTTTGGGGCGTCTAGCACAAAGGCCGCGGCGTCCCTTTCGGGGCTATCTTGAGTGGCTGGCATTATGCATATATTATCGGTCACTTTATCCGCCCGAGGGCTCAAGTCCATATCTTTGATCATCCAAGCCTCTATATATATCATTAGCGGGGATGAGCTCACTAATAGGTCTGTACTACCTTATATCAGAGTGGACTCCATGAACACACTTACTTGAATCAGTAGGGGACAAGACCCATTCTGATGGGTTACAGACCCAACGCCAGCGCATTGTGTCATCTGTCAGACCATTTGAAAGGATTGTAGCAATTTCTAGATATAATGCTTTAGTTCTTACAACCTTGGAACACTCTGCTCTTCTCTAGTCAATGAGTGTAACCTACCGCTCAATCGGTGCGCCCGAGCGCTTCCTACCTTCACTGCACTGGCATCGTTCCAGTCAAAGGTGCCGTATAAGGTCGTGAACAAATCCATCATCCGCCTGTGATCGTCAGCCATGGGTGGAGCGCCGCCAATCGAGATGCCGTAGTCGATGATTTGGGCGGTGACAGCTGCGGTTTGTTGCCCATGTTGGGCCTAATATCATCATTGCTGTTAGTAACGATAGAATGCCGCATCTCAGTTTACACTGTTGCTCATAGGCAGAGAGCACCGGAGTATGGCCACTCACGACAGCAGTCAGTGCGTTCAAGATGGTTTGCCAATTATCCAAATTCATCTTCTTCTCGCAGCTATCATGCATCAACATTTTAGTGTTTCTCGGCAGCGGGCTGAATTCAGAAGCACTGGCTCGCTCAACGAGAGGACTCAGAGGGTCATCTTCGAATCCGTACACCATGGAGTTGTTACGAAAAGGGTGAGCCTGTGCAGTCAACAGGACTTGCGCAAAAAGAAGGAACTGGCCAATCTGGGCCAACAAGGCCCGTCCAGGGTGCCCAGAACCCATGATTAGGTTAAACGAATGTAGAATGAATGAAATGAAAGTTGGTCAAAATGAGTGGACGGTTTTCGACTGGAAAATACTGGAGGATGGGACCAACTATGTACAAATTTCTCCGGTGCGGGTTAAACCAGGGATTGTGAGAATATTACCAACCTGTCAAGGAAGCTGTTATACCAATACCAATACTGGATGATACGACCCATATTAATGTCAACCTCCAGTGAGAAGTATCTTCACTGGTATTTTAATTGCACAAAATGGAACCCTTTTTCGTCTCCACACCTAGGTCCGAAGTGGGTATACACTCAACTGCAAGCGAAGGGGCCGGGTTATGGAGGGGGAAGATCCTCTGTCACTCAAAATATCATTTATAATTGAAGTGGATAAAAGGGTGCACATGTGGATCCCAGTAGTAGTAATTGAGGTCCATTGCCTATTTGAGAATAGTGACTAATCCCCTAGCTGGTGGAGCCTGTACCTAGGCTATTTCGAACATAATTCGGACCTTCCCCGTCCCTTCTACGTACTACTAGAATCGGAAGATTCGCAGTCACCGGGGCCCGTTGAAGCGATCGGTAGATCCAAAACGGTGCTACTGCATAGTCAGATGTACTAGTAGATACATAGGCTTGGTTGAGCTCGACATGGCTGACTAGGGAAAACGATTGTAACCCAGGTTGGGTCAACATTTTAATGCGCTACGAATTAGTGGGGCCAGGGGGTCCATGGACCCTGTGCACTAGGGCTATCACTAATTTCCATAAAATATCAAGTGCTATATGGTCATAATTATAGCAGGGCAATATGTGCTAGTACAAAGCGAATGGACTGAATGATGTCTATTTTTCGGCGAGATTCGTGAGAAATTCTCAAGTTGCTTACTTGATTTCTCAAACGAACATATAGACGGGAATTATCAAAGGAAACTAGTGCCTTCAACGAACTGAAAGTTTATTTCATTTGGTTCCGGAGTTTTGATAATCGTATGCAGGAGGCCTTCGGAGGGACTGCATTCAACATTGCTCAGCGTGCTTAGCCCTGAAGTGGTCTGATCAATATATCTGGTAGGCTAGGTAATGTTGAGGATGGTTTTAGGAAAATTGTGCGAGGAGTGAGGGTCATTAACTGGAGTTTCTCAATCGACCTAAATTAAGTTCCACAATCAGACTTTGCTTCCCTCGGTCGCATCGAACAGTGGGGCATCCTCAGTTGCAGGGGCTACAAGGACCGCAGGGGCTGCTTTGGCGGGGCGCAGTGGAAGAGCAACTTCCTGATAAAAATAGCTAGGGTGAAAAAAAATCACATACTCGAATTTAGATAATAGGATAGGTAACCGACTTACAATTGCTGTGTGCAGCCCTGCCACTACTATCACCTTCAACATTGAATTCATCATGATGTACATACTGTAGTATAGCTACATGGAGGAGGTCGGCCAGCGGGTATGTTTGGATGTTTGGATGTTTGCTTGTTTTGAAACACTCGATGATTGGTCTGAGAGTGGGCTCCCTACATGTACGTAGCATAGCTCCCTCTCTCTTCTTCCCTTTTCCTCGGCGTTGTTATTCGTTGTTCTTCGCACCTTTCTCCATTCTGGTGGATCGTAGGCACCTCATCACACATACTACCATAGTGGGCCGTTTTCAAAATTTACTTACATACTATGAAGCCGCTTAGAAACTAGAAGAATGATTTGATGTTGCCGAATTTCAGCATAGAAATTATTTGACAAATGACATATTTTGATAGTAGTATTTACAACTCAGTTGAGCAACGCGTCCGAAGTAAAGATCCTACACGAGATCGCAGACACTATATCATCTTGCTCTATGAGCCTCTAGACTGCAACGCAGTAGTATAAATTAATCTCGAGATCAGTGCAGCTGGAACCAACAGCTGGGTTCCACTTAAGAAAGTTAGCTGCGGTGATATCGTATTCCTCCTCAACAGTTTGGCAGCTATCGCCCTTCACGACCTTGTAGTACTTTTTGCAATCAGTTGCAATACCGCTTTGTACTGGTGATGGTGTCGATCCAGTACCGGTAGCGGTGGTAGTGGTAGCCGTTGTAGTGGTAGCAGTTGCAGTAGCAACACAGTAGTAGACGTTAACCTCAAGATCGGAGCAGCTGGAACCAACAGCTGGGTTCCACTTAAGAAAGTTGACTGCGGTAATATCGTATTTCTCCTCAACAGTCTGGCAGCTATCGCCCTTCACGACCTTGTAGTACTTTGTGCAATCGGATGCAATACCGCTTTGTACTGGCGACGGTATCGATCCAGTACCTGTAGCAGTTGTAGTGCTAGCAGTTACAGCAGTAGCTGTAGTGGCTGGTGATGGCGTGAATCCTATTAGAAGTTAAATGGGTTTGACTTCCGTGTGGACGAGAGGGACAATTTACCAGGAACACCAACACAGACGTCCACCTTGAACCACAGGTTGGTACAATTGACACCGGTAGCTGGATTCCAATCATAAAATTGAGCTTTAGTAAGATCGTACTCGGATTGAATCGACTGGCAGGTGTCGTTGCCGGAAACGTAGTGCCACTTGTTGCCTGTTTTGAACATCATTAGATTATATTTGGGGGGTTGAAGGGAAAAGACCTACATTTTGAAATGACTCCTGATTGAGTAGGCAAGGAAGAGACCGAGGAAGAGGCGGGTGTGGAAGTTCCCGTCCCATGTTTCCGCACACAGACATAATCGCCTTCCACCAGACCTTTGCATCCCGTGCTGATAGCACTATTGGTTCTGTTAGTACATTGTAAACTGTGTGCGCTCTTCACAGCAGGATATTAAAGCAGTGGCACTCACGGATTCCAAGCATAGAACTGCTCTAGGGTAAAGCCCATGTACTGGTCCTGGATACTATAGCACGTATCACCATTCACTACTTCGTGATACTTGGTACAAGACTTGGTGATACCAGTTTGGACTGGTGCAGCAGATCCACTAATGGTGAGGGTAGTAGCGGGCGTATCAGATGTTACTGCCGAGGTGGCTACCCCGTCAGGCCCTGAGACGCAATAGCTACTCCCCGTGATCAATGTACATGTCGAACTGTCTTTCAGCGCGGGATTCTGTATTCACTTTCGTTAATATTGCTGCTGATATTGTATAAAAAGAACACAAGAAGGATATACCCAATTTTCAAACTGTGTCTCAGTGATACCGAAGTAATTTTCCACCATCTCACAAGTATCTCCTGACGCAACATCATTGGCGAAATAGTCGCAGCTTGTGGTCAAGTCTCCGTCTGTAGGTCCAGTTGCAGTAGGGCCATTTGTCCATCCATGCCCACTTGCAGCAACACCAGTAGTTGCCGCAGCAGCAACGAGGAGATGTGTGAGGCGAATGTTAGATATCATTGTTTGCCGAGGATTGGATGATGTGAAGATGGTATTCGAGAAGATTTTAGCTACAACCAAGATATAAGGCCTTCGGAAGTTTCTTGCATTATGAGATTCAAACGCCACCTAATCAATGTCTGCACTTCGTAGTATGCGTCTTTTCTTCGATATTGGCCCCATTTTATTCACTTTCCTACGTGCCATACATATCTCGGTTCCAAATTATCGGAAAGCCACATAGATCCGCTTGAGGTTGAATTCGCAACTGCCTCCACCTCCTACTAGTACAGCCTCAAACTGTGGTTTCGCCAACAAAGCTCACTAGTAATCGAATTAACGCCTCGGGTGCGAGCTCTTGGCACCCTAATCCATGTTTTCCAGCAAGCTAATATGTCTATTTTGGGTATTGATCGGCATCATGGCCTCGGTGGCTGCTGGAATCTCGGGCCGTACGGAAATTTGATCAAAGAGCCCTTCGGCAAAGCCGGAAATCCACAATCCTCGGTGTCGATTTTCCCCACATTTGTTTTTTTGGACCAATGGTGAAAGGAAATGCCAAAATTACATTAAGAGTTCAGGCCCCTTTTTCTCGAGCCAATACTAACTTTCAGGAACGGCCCCTACATGTATTCAAGCCAAGCAAAGCTAAGCAGTGGGTTCGCCCCTACCTGGCCCCCCAAGTTATCACTAAGGGCCATTTAGTGGAGCTTGAAGATTTTTGAACGCACTATTTACCAACAATTGATGGGCATAAGCTTCCCTGGCTGCAGGTACGATTTTACGAGCAATTTATCAAATTTCTCCCCGATTCTTTTGCTCCTTTTATAAAATGTCGAAAAAGGAGATTAATTCACACTATGCACAAATTTGAGATACTTGAGATACTGCTTATTGAGAGTCACGTCGAGTTGAGAAAACAGTATCAAACGCCTTTAATCCATAAATGAAGCGCCCACATATATTGACTCTGAGATTTTCCGGATTCAAAATAGCCGTCAGGATTCTACACTGATCTCTTCAAGCTTAGTGGCTCTTCCATATCAGCTCCAAATTGAAGAGTTACATTTAAAGTCATTAGCCGTGTAGTGGCGATAGCTTGGATAAGTAGATGGAGACGAATCTGAGGTCAATGCACCTTCAATTATCTATGGTGGAGCTCTAGAAAGGAACTAAAAAAACTTGGTTGTGGAGCTGTAAATTCAAAAGATCCCTTGATCGGCACGACTCTAAGGCCAAAACATCTATCTGGTGGAGGCTACGAGTTGTTCGATTATCCAACCGCTAGCTGCGATGTGGTTTACTCCGTCAAACTTACCGAATACACAATACATGTCATGTAAATTGTGAAAGATACATAATTGACTCCATATTCGCACCTGGGCAACTTACCTAGTACTATGTACTCAAGTGCCCCACCTGGCCATAGGTTTTAAAGACACGGAAAGCATCGATTATCTTATATGTAGCAGGGAGCCTTTGGAATTATTGTATGTCCTCCAATACACTCGTTTTCACTTTCATTCGTTTTGAACACCCCTTTCCATTCATTTGCAGGCCCCAAGTATGAGGGGTCTGTCTCTGGCCAGAGCTTTGGCTTTATTGCCATTGCTAGTCACATTCACCCAAGCCGAAGACGCCAAAGGCACATCCGGCTCATGTTCCGAAACTTCGAAATGCGTTTCAGGGTGCTGCTCTAAGGCTGGCTACTGTGGCTTTGGTGACGACTTCTGTGGTGATGATGTTTGCATCTCCGATTGCGATGCACAGGCAGAGTGTGGTCGTAAGTCTCAGGCAATCCTTTTCAGTGTCGCTTTTTGTTTATGACCTTCACGCTCTTGCCATTTCAGTAGAATCAGAGGTGATGAATTCTTGCAAAATTCAATCTTGATTTCATTCCCCTCTACTGTTTCTCTAAGTTCCAGAACGCAGCGTTTAACAGGCCATGGATTCTCAATCAACTGACTTTTGACTAGCCTATGCACCGGTCGCTAACACTACTTGTCCTTTGAATGTATGCTGTTCACAATTTGGGTAAGTGCTCGATCGATTTGGTAAAATTTGAGACGTATACTAATGTGAGCAGTTTCTGCGGTACTACTGAAGACTTTTGTGGCGACGGTTGCATCAGTGGCTGCGATGCCGTCGAACAACCGTACGTAGTTTACCAATATTTGCAAGCTTGATAGGACCTTCAGCTTATGTCTCATTAGATCATGCTCTGGAACTTCTAGTAAAAAGGTCTACGCAGGATATTTCGAGGCCTGGAACTACCAACACGCTTGCGACAACCTTGAACCCAAGAATATCGATGTTACACCATGGACGGTAGGTCCGAATCGTAACATGACAACAAAAGTTCGCGCTCACAATTGCTTTAGCATCTTTACTACGCCTTCGCTAGTATCTCTTCTGATGATTCTACCATCGAATTCACCTATGATAATGATGAAACATGGATCCCGCAGATGGTCGCCTTGAAGAAGAAAAAGCCTTCCCTGCAGGTCTGGCTTTCAGTGGGAGGTTGGGACCTAGGTGGTTTAATCTTTTCCGACATGGTTCGCTTCCCAGGAACCCGCAAAGCTTTTGTGGAGTCCGCTAAGAGTACCATGTCTTCTTACGGATTTGACGGAATCGATATCGACTGGGAGTATCCTGCTGCGAGTGACAGAGGTAGGTGATAAATTCTTGCTTCTTTTGAACAATGGAGCCTGCGCTAAAGCTCAAAAAATAGGCGGTCGTGATGAGGATACAGCAAACTTTGTCACCCTTGTTAAAGAGTTAAAAACCGAGTTTGGTGATGATTATGGTATCTCCGCAACTTTACCATCTTCCTACTGTAAGTGCCTGTGTCATTATCCGGAGATTTATGGTTCGCTACTAACATAACCCAAAGACTATCTCAAGGGCTTCAATATCACTGGAATGGCAGATTATGTGGACCACTTTAATTTCATGTCATACGATATTCATGGTACCTGGGATGGTAACAGTGCTTGGACATCATCCGACATCAATCCACACACTAACCTGACGGGTAAGCTTTATCCTTGAAGCACTGTATTATGGCAGGTATGTCTGCTTTTTTCAGCTGGCTAACATCAAATCAAAGAAATCAACGAAGGATTGGACCTATTGTGGCGTAACAATATTGAACCAGCTCAAGTACACCTTGGGCTCGGCTTCTACGGTCGCTCATTCACACTGAACGACACACGTTGCACGGAGCCCGGTTGTCCTTTTGATAAAACAGGCAGCACCAACGGAGGAGGAGAAGCTGGTGAATGTACAGGGTCAAGTGGCATTCTCTCAGACTATGAAATTGCCCAAGTGATGGACATTTATGATCCCAAGGTGACATACAATGAGCAAGCTGCAGTCAACTGGATTACCTGGAATTATAACCAATGGTATGTATGACCCTAACAAATGAAAGGAAGTCAAATACTGACAGTTTTTCAGGGTCTCTTTTGATAATGCTAAAACATTGAAGCAAAAGGCCGATTATGCCAATAGCAGATGTCTTGGAGGTCTCTTTGCCTGGACATTGGATGAGGGAGGTCCCGGGTCCACAGCTAATCCCAACAAGCTTGATCCCTCTGACTCATCAATGTCTGGTGCAGATACCGATGGTGGCAGTGATGGCTCTGGTGATGTCTATATCGCTGCCGATGTTGCTGGAGGTGGTACGAAATCAAACACGGCAACTGGAATTGCCCCTCTGAACATAATTGTTGGGCCTTCCACCCTGCCCTCAACGACGACGATCACCATTGACCCTTTTCCAACATCAATTGAAGTTGCTTGGACGACTACAGTCACCGTAACAGTTGAGGGTACCCCTACAGTTACTACTAGTGTTGCCCGTACGATCGAAACGACCACATTCACAATTGACCCTATTGTTACCGATCAGATCCCATGGTGGAACTGGAACATTACTGGAACCAATGTTACGAAAACATCCACTATTCTCCTCCCAAGTATTGTACTGGGCCCAATTGTATTCCCCGATGACAGAAATCCAGAACATATCACAAGTGGGGATTTTACATCACATACTGTCACGAAGAGCAGGACTATCTACCCTCCGCCTTGGCCATGGTCCTCTACATCTCTTCCTTCAAATGTGCCCACTCCCACTGTGACCTTTACCCAAGGGCCTGTTGGGCCTACCTGTACATCTGGTTGCGGCACAAAGTGCACGAGCTTCTGTGACACTCCATGCTTGAACTGTGATGACTCAAAAAGCAATGAGGGCTGGGTAGATCCAGAGGATCCAAATCCACCTTCTAAAAACTCGAAGTGCACTGGGCCTGGATGTCACAATGGAGAGTGTACAGGCTCTAATTGTCAGAAAAAGGGATGTACAGGCTCCGGTTGTGACGACGGAATCTGTATCGATGATTCATGCAAGGAGACAGGTTGCATTGGCGATGACTGTGGCGCTGACGGGTCTTGCGATGGTGACGATTGCAAGACAGTTGGATGCGAGGGCACAGATTGCAATGGATCGGGTGGCTGCTTCGGAGTTGATTGTATTTCCATTGGATGCATTGGTGCCGATTGTAACAGCAGTACAGGAGAATGCACCGGGCCAAACTGCCACAAGGTTTCCTGCTCTGGAACCAACTGTCAAGATGGTGTGTGTACGGGCGAGGGTTGTGAATCAGAAGACGACGACTGCGAGTCTGATGAGGCTGATGTTTGCACTGAGACTGTTTACTCTACCATCGTCACACCAGCCTCGACATACACAACGAAGACCTCCACCAGCTGTGAGACTATTACTGCTTGCAGTGCCGAGGCCTCGACCACCACCACTACAATCACCGAAGCTGATTTGACCGGCTGGACAGAGTATTGGAATCCTATAATTACTCTCGACACCGCGGCCGCCAGCAGTTTGGCAGCTTCCCTGGACTCTTTATATTCCTCAATCTACCCATCGAGTACAACCACGACTCCAAGTACCACTAGTCCCACTGCTACCTCAGTGAACAGCACCCCGTCAAACTATGCTTCCCCAGGCGCCGATTACTTCTACATAAATGTTTACAGTGATGACTCCTGTAAAGACTATGTGGGTGCTCAATTTGTGCAAACGCCCAGTGATACTTCTTCTGATGGGATTGGGTACAAATGGAATACTTCTATCGATGATGTCGATAGCGGATCTTCTATCTACCCTGCGTATAACATGAAGTGGATGACCCTTGAGATGTACGAGGGGGCAACGAAACCTGATGAGCTTACGAAGGGTGACGCACCAACACTCAAGTCCGAAATCTGTTACCAAGTGGACTATGAGCAAGGTGAGGGATATTGGATACAGTACCCTTCAAGTTCCGCTACTGCCACTACTAGTGCCACTGCCACCACAGTTGACGCCACACCGTCATATTATGGTTCCCCAGGCTCCGCTTCACTTTATTTCGAGGTAGATTACTACACGGATGACTCCTGTCAAGACTACGTCAAAGATAATGCAATTATCTATGGGCCCAAAGTTGCTCCGTCTGGTGGGCAATGGAGCCTATGGGGCTCGGGCAAAGAAGATATTCAAGAGAGTGCATCTTCTATCTACGTTTCGTATAACACGGACTGGATGACCCTTCAGATGTGGGAGGGGGGGACGAAACCTGATTGGATTGGGGAGAATGATGCACCAACACTCAAGTCCGGAACATGTTACAAGATAGACTATGAGCGAGAGCAGGGATGGTGGATACAGAAAAACCCATAGTATGTACTAGTACTTTCTGGTAGCGAGAGAATCAGCGCGCGGCTCATAAGTAATCTATATGGGATTATTGGTCCTTGTCCTCTGCTCGAGTGGCAGTTTCGCATACCCACATTTGAATCCTTGAAACATTGGGCTTCCTTCAAAGTAGGCCTTATAAGCCTGATTGTGCTCAGGCTGTATATACCGTAGTATCCAGATGTCCCCGCATTACATCATGCACCTCTCTACATAGCTTCTTTGTCTCTTCTCTCCCCGTTATCTATACCCGCATTTCTAGATCATTTCGCGCCTCATCCTCTCTCAATATTTCAGAATCTTCCTTTCTAAAATGCACCTATCCGACCGTTATCCTGAAAAGTGCCATAGGGTATTTGACCGGGTGTCTTTTTTTTTTTCTTTTCTTTTCTTTTCTTTTTTTTTTTTGTTTTTACCAAGGTGGATGTCATCGCCTCGTATATCTCTCGAGGTTGAAATTAAGGCTGGCCAATTGTTCATCGTCACGATATCTCTGCTCATTCAAAACGTCTTTTTGCCGATTTGCCTCTAATTCTTCAGAAGTTAGGTCACCCTCTACAGGGTCAGGCCCCCAATTACGAGCCGCGCGCCCGGGAAGTCCATATTGATTTGGAGTAACCTGACGCGCATACCACAAATCAAAGAATTTGTTCGACAATATGCCACCATGTCTCAAAGACTCACCACAGGAATCTGAAAACCCTTCCCAAGGAACAATAGCCGCCAAGCCTTTTGGTTGTCGAGCTGCGACTTGCCATTGAGTGGCGGCGTAATAGCTGACGCCGAGGAGACCTACTTTCCCAGTAGACCAAGACTGCTCAGTGGCCCATTCTATGAGATCGCAGAATCCGTCAATTGCGGCTGCTGACTTTACATGCAGTACGCCGGGGGATTGTCCGATTCCAATTTCATCCGCTCGGGCAACAACATATCCCTGTTCGGTCCAGAAGTGGGGAGTTGGAGTTTCCCATACAAAATGTTCTGTTTGGTGCGCTGGATTCACCCCGGAAAAACTTTTCGGATTAAACCTAGTGTTTGATTTGTTTTAATCAATGTATTCTCTTAGGACAGCTTTCGAAAACGTACTGTTTGTATGGCACATCCTCCCCATACGGACCATACGTCATAAGTGCAGGTAACTTGCCGCCGCCTGAGCTTGACTTGGGTTTTAAAAAATTGCAACGGATCAATCCGCCATTTCCCAAAGATACCGAGACGTTTTGCTCGAACGTATATGGAAAATCTCTGGTATTGGTTCGGCATATTGGCTTTTAAAGTCGACTAGTCTGGATCAAAATTCCAAAAATGGATCGCTGCGAGAGATTATCAGTGTACGAGGCTTTGTTCACTCTCTTCACGGGAAGAATTCTCCGCAATAAATAGTATAAAAGATAAATCTCGGTCTTTGCTGATGCCGAGCGCCGCTTCGGATGCAAAGATAGCTGACTCCGATTGATATAACTACTCCGAATACCCCACCGGTGTGCATTGACCAGGGAAAATGGTCCAACCCATAATCTCTGGCGTTTCGAAAACGACTTTACGAAAATTTTAGTAGCTACGATTGGCCAAGATATTATTTCTCTTGTCAGATGGTACAGATATTTGGTGCCCAGGTGCTTCAAGTCATTGCCATTACAGCGACGAGAAATTAGGGAAGGGTATCATGATCTTGAATTGCATCAACTGCCAACTTGAAATGCATTTACTTGAATTTGAAAGTATGGATCAACTGCGATTTCCCGAGTAATTGGCCAATGTTGAAAAGAAAATTGTTCACCTTGCAGAATTTCTATCTCCAAATTTTGGCGAAACGCGGAGTCATCTAGTATCAATTGCAACTACATTGTAGATATCCAGGTGGAAATATAGAGTTGACTTTGAAATGGACTACTAGTAAAGCTTGGGATTTGTATCTCATACATATGCCGAACCGGTAGCTAACCACTCGTGTCACTGTCGAGGGAGTTCTGTAGAGTATTTATCAGTACCTCTGCAAGTGGTACTTGCGCTGCCAATGTAAGATTATTCAATGCCTGAGTGTAATATGGCACTTCAACACCCGCATAAGTGACCGATTGCCCAACCGCTGTGAGCCTCAAGTACCCATTCATCAAACTCTGGGCTTGTTGTTCCAGAAGTAAACCAAAGTTGGAGATCAGCTTTTGTATGTCCAAAATCCCCTCCATTGGGTTGGTTTGATTCCCAGGCTTAAGCACTAGATTGTCGATTGTACCATTCCCAAGTACTAGATCATCACTTTGCAAGTCAAAAACCACAGTCCCCTAGTTCTGCATATTAGATTGGAAGGTGTGCACCTAAATATTTACACATGTGCGCTTACTATTTCGAGTGTCATTACCGAAGGATTGGGTAATGTGATGTTGGCAATGAGATTGACACCATCTGAGCGTGGTGGGAGCAGCAGGGTAGCATCAGAGATGGACAGCCCTGCGAATCCATTCATTGCTAATTTCAATTATTAGCTCCCTTTATCTTATATTTCAACTCAGGGATGTAGCGGGCAACTCGTACTATTCTGCTCAATATCCTTGTTTAGCACAACAGATGCCTTAAGTGCTCCTATAGAAGCATGAATTGATCCCTTGACGGACAATGGCGCATGAGCTAAGAAGATAGCCTGATGAACGTAGTACATCCAGTGCTCGGGATTAAGCTCTGTCCGCTGATGTATCTCTATTGTCGTACTCTTTCTAATATCCGTATGTGGCAGATAAACTGTTGCCCATGTGCTGTTTCCAGGTAGTGCTCGGTTGAAAAGATCCAGTGAAAACGGATTTATCTGAACCGGAATTGAAGTGGGAATTTTCAAGGTTGTTTTCATGCTCAATTTGATGGAATCAGGGTGCGGCTGCATGACTTGAACCTCGACAAGATTCAATGAAGATTTGTTGACAAGTAGTTGGGCAATTGCCGGAATGCAAATGAGAAAACTGTAGAGGTCATTATTACTGCAATTTTGGATCGAATTTGGCGAAAATAGTATCATACAATATGGGAAGGAATATGCCGAAGGAGATAATACTGCCAAATAGATAGCAACACCAAAAACGCCTCCAATGGCGACGGAAGCCGACAAGTTTTGCCCGTTGATCATGTTTCAGAAAGTTGGTGCCAATCGATTCAGCATAACTAACAGCCGCGGAATCCTTATTTCCAGCAAGATCTTTTGGCCTCAATGAGAACGGGCCACGATTAGCGCCCAGGGCGTACTTCGCAGACTTTCCTTGATAATCTTGCATCGGAGTGATTATATATTAACAATTCGAAGAGGGAATAAAATGGGCCATAAGTATTTTAAGGCAAAAGTTATAGGTAAGTGTCTTCATTGTCTTAGTAATGATATATGACCGCATGCCAAACAAACGGCATCGACTCGGAGGCATCCATTTACCGATATGCCACCGCAGGCAGTTTCATTCCTAATAATTTTGCTAGTAGTGAGGAGTGTAGACTGTCGGAGAGCTAATATAGTATGAATTGACACTGTCGGTTAGCAGTGATGTCACCGGTTTCTCTCGTATGCAGCGATGCCTGTGAACATCGGTTCGATTTTGAACCTTTCAAGGGGTAGTAAGCCTTGGGACTGAAATAAAAGCCCCATATTCGTTGTTCAATCTTAGTAAAGGCTTAGGGGACACTGGAATTTGCAATATTTCTTCCATATTTAAAATCTCCGAAACATGAGGTACTTCGGTACCGACAAAAGACAAAATGCATGAGAACATTCAAGAGGTGTTGGTGGATTCTAAAGTCAAATTTGTCACTAAAGAAAGAGTACCACATCAACTTTCCTTCTTGATAGGTCGGGATTCTAGGAATATGGGCATGACAAGCTCGATTGTTGAGCCGAATGGCTTTAAATGAATTAGGGTTCGAAATTCTGTGTCTACTAGAGCTCAAACTTGAACCTAATTAGGATGGCTCCTGCACGCTATCATGTACCTAGAAAGCAGAGAGAATTCACCGGAAGTACCCAGAATTATCCACATTCACTCTTACCGCTGAGCAGATGCAATAATTTGAAGTATCGAGAATGATTCTATATCTCCGAGGTTGAAAATCCAATCGTGTTGGATTAGGTGCCTTATTTTAGAAAAGTCGCGCCCTTTCAGGACTTCTCCTTCTCCGATGTAATAAATTGCCAATTGCGCGGCAAGCTTTTAGCAAAATGCCAAGCGGCGATAAATTTTCGCCCCACAAGAGTATGTGGCATCCCCCGAGTTAATCGGCTATAGATTCCAAGTTTGGTTGTTATATCCACCGTAGAACTCGGAGATAACTGAATATAGCACGGCTCTATCGAGTCAGCCCATATAACGTGGGGAAATCCCTGGCCCGAAGACACGCATTAAAGCATGCATATGGCTATTCCTGCACAAAAACATGGAGCTCAACGAAGATTTTCCCGCAGAAATCTCTCAAACTTTCATATCTTTTCAGGTTTTCAAGGTTCATGCAACTATATTTCTTTATGCATAATTTTACAACATTTCATTGAAAGCACTACATCGATTCATCAGTACAGAAATTAGTTCATTCTTGTAATTACGAGATTACTTCCACGTCACCACGGATCGGGGTCTCGTCCCAAAACATAAGCCGCGTACACCCTTGATCTCCAAGAACCCCACTCTCGTTGATCATTCCTCAACGGGCTGAATAACCGCATGAAGAGCAGGGAACTACCGCAGCAACATTAAATTAAAGTGAATTTTTGGGGATACTTAACCCTGATCACGCCTTTGGGGATATTTGTTTTTCTGTTCCCAAAATTCAAAATGCGCTCTTTCCTCACCGTGGGCCTGTTTTTAGGAACTGCCGTTGCTTCTGAGCTCAATGTGCGCACCGTCTATCAATTTTCTTCAAACGACACCTGGTTGGAAAATCTCGCTACACGATCCAATGGTATCATCCTTGCCACCGAGATTGGCCCTCCAGCCAATCTTTTGGCTTTCGATCCCCGCGAACGCCATCCCAAAAAGACAGTCATCAGAGATTTCACCTCGGTCTTGGGGCTCTCTGGTATCACTGAAGGCGCCCATGATGTCTTCTATGTAGCTGGAGCCAATACGACATCTGATAATATCAGCGATCCACCAACCAATGCCACTCATGTTTGGGAGGTCGACTTCAACACAAATGGCGAACAGCCGAAGATCAAACTCTTATGCCGCCCTACAGCGCCCACTGGGTTCAACGGGCTGACAGCCTTCAATGAGACAATCCTACTGGCTAGCGCCACCTACCAAGATGCTATCTTTGCCATCGATACTGAAACTGGCCGTACATGGGAGGCTATTGAGCAGGATAGTCTTATGTCTGCCATAAATGGAATCAAAGTCTCGGATGGCTTTGTTTATTGGAGTGCCAATGGTGCTTTGTACCGCGCGGAGCTTTACCCTAATGTCACCGCTAGTACGGGGCAATTGGTGTACCAAGCTAGCCAGATTGATGACTTTGCTATTTCCCCGAATGGGTTTGCTCTCAACTCTACCTACGGTTCCAACTACACATTTGCATATCTTGCCGGCGCTGCTGGCAACACAATTGAGCAGGTCATTTTCACCCGTAATGGGACTGCCATCGGTGGCGAAATCATTGCTGGCTCCGAGGACTCGACGGAAGTCGCTGAGCCGACTGGCGTCTTCTTTGGACGAGGCAAGGGAGAATTGAACACGATCTTTGTGACTACCGCTGGCGCCAGTGCCGTGAACGTTGATGTCAATGGAACTGAGACAGCCGTAGGTGCACAGTTGCTCGCAATTCAACTGCGCTAGTCTTTCGGGTTAATATGTAATGCAGTGGGTAAGTCCCGAGCGTCAAGCCGGCTCTACCGTGACCATGGTGTAGCATCATGGTGTAGCATCATGGTGCAAGGGGGCACATAGCGCGAGGCAGAACATCCATTGATGGATCAGCAATGATCGTACCCAGGTGAAAATCATAATCCAACAGTGTACATTTATCATCTGTTTCCTACTAGATCAAAGACATAAATTAAAACTCTAGTTCCATGAATAGTACTAAGGCTATGTTGATTGATCCGCGTACTGAATTTGTGGGGTCAATCGTTGCCACTGCACCCAAGCCTAGCAATTTCCCGAAGGCCAGCTTTAGTGCAAGGGCTTAGTGTAGGAACTAACCTTTCTGCCTATAGTTGCCCCGTAAATGTTCAGAGGGTTAACAATAGTGTCCTTGGGAGTATCCACGATTTTGGGGGGTCGCGATACCGCATATAAATAGTAATATCTGGAAACCGAGTCCCGCCTTTGGATTGAAGAAAAGGCGAAGGCTTGGTTCCAAGGTTATTTTACTGAAATTACATTACATGCCATTCAACATGTCACCAACCGCCAATAATCCAATTATTCCGGGCTTCTCACCTGATCCGTCCATAGTGGCCGTCGGAGACACGTATTCTGCCGTCACTTCATCCTTCCCCTTCTATCCCGGGATACCCATTTATGCCTTAAATGACTTGCTTAATTGGCTGAACTGCGATATGCCCTCCATTATCAAAATTCCTTTCATCCATACTGATTTTTGGTAAAGGGGACGCAATCAACAGAGCTGAACAAGTTGATCTATCCCAGTCGGCCTCCACGCCCGTTGTGAACCAGGATGATAAAACCATCATGGCGACCGGTAGCCTTTGGGCCCCAAGCATTCGATACTATAAAGATTCGTTCTACATAACTTGCGATAATTGTCGCTGGGTCGACGGAAAAGTTAAGTTCGAGAACTTCATTATTCAAACATCGGACATTTGGTCTGGCTCATGCAGTGACCCAGTCCACTTCGATTTTCATGGCATAGACTCGAACCTATTCTTCGAAGATGGTCGAGCCTATACCAAATGGTCGATGGTTACAGACTACTCTATACAGCCATCCGCTACCATTAATAAGTTTGAACTCAACGTAGATACAGGACAAAACTATCGCAACAGAAGACCATTTAGACCGGCTTTATTCAAATTGACGCCGAGGGCCCCCGACTCTGTAAACGAGGTGACTAGTATTATCTCATTATCTCGAAAGGTGGAACGTTTGAGCACCACATTATCTCGGTGGCAAGGGCTAGGAATATCTGGGGACCTTATGAGTCCGCTGACATGAACCCTATCTTACCGGAAGCCGAATCAACCTCATGGATCCAGCAGAACTGGCATTGCGACTGCTTCCAGGACATTCAAGGTGAATGGTAGTCAATCTTACTGGTCCACCATGTATCGAGGAATACTACCTGTGCACTTGAAACGCCGTACCGGATCGGTCATTGGCAGATCAAAGATGAGGAGGAGGAATAAAATCTGTGTGACATGTTCCAAGGTTTTAGGATTCCACATTGACTGCGGGCCATGATCAAGATCTGCGCGTGTCACGTCTACAGCCCCGCTGGCCCACCTTCACACCCCGCTATACCTATTTAAGTAGGACTCTAATAATGCACATGTGGGGTTTCGACGGTGGGTTCACGCTAACGGGCCCACTCTGGACACCATCTCCTTCCGTATTGGGTGTTACGTATGGCTTGAGGCCATCAACTGTCGATGGTGGATCCGAAAGGTGTGCAGCTCGCTGCAGCTCGCCTGCATCCTGGAACCGAATGAGATACATGAATGAGCGCCAAAGATGCAACATGAACGACCGGTGAATGAACAATGGATTACAATCGTCCCATGCACTTGAATACAATAAATCTGATCATAGCACAATAATAAGAACATTGGTTATGGTGTGGGAAGATGAGAGTAATCTGAGGTGAAGGTTGCTATCGGTCCGATTGTAGTCGGCCGGAATTAACATACATGACAGATGCGCGACAAATGGTGATTTTACATCAAATATCTACAAAATTCCAAGATATCTGAAGAGATTCTCTATTGGGTCCATTCAAATATACAAAATTTGACCCTGTAAATAGAACTTGAAGATCGTACTCTCTTCTCCATGTAAAACAAGGCACATGTAGAGAAGTTAAATCACCTCAAAGGCAATTCGTTCACAATCGCGGCGTATCCGACTCCGTAGCCCTCTTATCCCGTGCAGTCTGAAGTCTGACTGGAGCGGGGAAAATGTCAAACGATATAGCATCGGCAAAGGCATCATCCCATCGTTGGACCAGAATATTGGCCATGATTTTGGGGAACTTGTTCAGCATGAGATCTTCAAGCTCAGGCGTCTCCATAGTATCCATGAGTTGTCGCTGATGAGCCGACGCGACAATTTTCCTCGCCTGTGGTAGACGTATCTCCTGTGTGCGGTCGAATATAGCGTTGATCTCGTCCGCTGACAATTTGCCTGTTTTCGAGTTGTCCGAAAGCGCTGGGATGATGTTATTGGCCAAACATGCCACACTCTCCATTGCTTGGCCTCCTCCTTGAGCAGTGATTGATGACATCTGTATTTGAAAAGAAACCGTTAGCTAGTGTTATTGCAATTGTAGTACTTTATTCGTACCTGGTGTGCTGCGTCGCCAAGAATAATCATTCGGTCTAGATGCCATTTGCTAAATACAAACTCCGGCATGGCGGAGAAGAGCACATCTTTCTTCGATTCGTACAAGTTTGACAGTTTTATGCCTGGCGAAATGGTTTCGTCCCAATGTTCTTTCGCTACTTTGAGAGAATCTTCTCCATTGAATCGAGGGATATCGGCACCGGTAAATGTGCGACCAAGGTGCTTGTACAGGAACCAGAATGTCCTATCTTCAACTCCGGTACCGATAAGTGACGATGATCGCTTGTTCACCCTGAAGTCAAGACATGCTTCAGGCAGGCCTGGTAGCCCGGGTGACATGCCATACATGCAGCCGTAGGTGGCAGACACGACTATCAACTATTAGCAATTTGATACTGGTAAGTGAATTTGCACTAACCATTTTGCTCCGTGTATTCGGGTCCAAGACTACGTTCTGTTGCATGTCGCTGGATTTCTCGCCTAACGCCCGAGTTGATACCATCCGCACCGACGATTATATCGCCGTGATAAACCGATCCGTCTGTCGTCGTAACCTCTACTCCGTCCTCTGTATTCTCAACAGATTGGACTCTCTTGCCAGTCAATATTTTCGATTTGTCGACGATGTGCTCATACATGACTTGCAGAATAGTCGAGCGTTCCATCCACAGGAACGGATACCCGTACCTAGTTTATTTAGCCCGATATTCCTTGATTCCTTCATCCAGGGGTGAACTGTTCAGAAACAGACGCGAAACATACCTCTCCGGCAATATCGTTTCCCAGTTTTTCGACGTTGCTAGTGACTCTCCGTCAGAGGAGCGGGTATCGATAGTACTCAGCGCGGTTGAACGCGCAGCCAAATCGTCATAACATCCCAGTTGGTCCAAGATAGTAAGTGCATTAACGAGTATACAAATACCGCAACCAACTTTAGGAATAATATCAGGGTAAGCTTCAAGAAGCTGGTAGTCAACGCCGGCCTTCTCAAGTGTCAGGGCTAGGACTAGCCCAGCTAGCCCCCCGCCTGATATGATAACTTTGCATGGTCTGAGTTGGGACATGATTGAAAGGTTGCAAGTTTGACCATGCACGACTTGGGACATTGGGTCCTTCTTATACATAACCCCTCCAGCTCTGGGCTAGAAAGGCCTTCTCTTCAGGCGCTCAGCTTGTAGGTCAGTGCGGATTAGCCCCCAAAATGGAGGGGAAATGATATGATGCACCCAATTATGGCAGGCGGGTGGAGAACCAATCATGGAACTAGAGGATTGTTGCGCGGGATGGTGCGACGCCACACGGTGCAAGGCTACATACACGAAAGTGATTCTGATGTGATTCCAGCGAAGATCGGAACCCAATTCAATACTGGTGTATACCATGGTATCAAGACATGCCTACAGGCAAAATAACAGTCAGGAGAAGGTTTAGAGACCCAAAACTGACTGTTTATTGTCACTTTATAATTTGTTGTTAACCAGACGACACAGTATTAAAATCTGTGCACACATGACATTGGTAGACTCAATTTCTACGGCGAATTCAAATATCAAATCAAAAATATTAAGGTATAAGGTAGTTCATTATTCATATCAAATTTTATATTTTTATAACCTTACTCTTCAGCGGGTTTAATGTCGTACTCTACGTCAGTCCTAATGATATACTTGGCTCCCTTCCTCACACCCGTTCCTTCGTGCAGCAAGGCGCCGTTCGCTTCACCGTGTGGGAAGATAGCAACAGCACCCATAACTGGCCGCACAGGATATGCATTCAGTGTCCCCTCACGCGGAGCAGGCATGAAGAAGGTCGTCTCGCCACCTTCAAACTCATCATTGAGATATAATAAGAAGGTATACATCGAGCTCTGCTTTTGATCCTCAGGCGAGGAATCGTAGACATAAGTGTCATCTGGTAAGATGCCAGACGGTGGCCAGGCACCATCGATATGACATCGATACTCAGCGCCTGGGACGTATCGGTATACACGGAACCGGCGATTAACACCCCTTACTTTACGGCCGTTGATGGATTGTGGGACGTATGGGTGGATTCGGGCCCATAGCATATCGTGGAAGGTGGTGTCGATGATCCAGTAAAAGTTGTGGGCGAGGACACTCATGTCTCCATCTTCACGCATCGGGACATCGGGGATGAAATTGACCTTTTCGCCTGCTGCAATGATGGCCTTGCATTCCTCCGGGGTGAGGACGTTCATGGCCATGCCGAGACCTGGAACTGCAGGATGGGGGTGGTATGTTATAGGCGGGCCGACCGGGGCGAGGGGGACAGCATTAGGAGCGGTAGTATAGAGTATAGCTGGGTGGTGGTTTGGAGGTTTTCGGAGGGGTCCGGGAGTGGTTTCGATGATGCGGAGGGCGGAGGGTGATAAAGGGGCGCTTTCTAGAATGGATTTGTCGAGGACCGAGGTGTAGATCTCTAAGGGTGGCGATGACGGGCGAAGATCCCAGATCGACTGGAAACCAATGGGTTGTGTTGAGAAGACAGCCTTGGGGCTAATATCAATTGGCGTACTGACTCGTAGAACAGCATCCAGGACAGCGAGAAGCTCAAGGTCTTCTGAGCTTCGCTTGGTAGAGACATGGTCGACTGCGTCGGGATTTGTCGACAGACCACTCACGACATCCAGATCACGCACCCATCGACACAATGCGCCTATCTTTGGCTCTTCTCCCTTCAATCTCATCTCAGCGAGAAGAATCTTGGCATCGAGGTATTTCTTATCGGCCAGAGCACCGGTGATCCGAGCTGTCAAATTTGCGCCCTCCGCGGAATTGACGCCTGTGAGGCAGGATTGGCGGAAGTCATATACTGCGGTTCGAATGTCCTTGCATGCTTTCGACTTGGTCAAGCTGGGATATTGTGCAAGCGTATTGAGGGTTTCAATTGTGATTTCGAGGTCTTCATCTGCGACAACCGAGCTCAGGTGTTTTGGTTCCAATGTCGGGCCATCGGAAGGCGGCGTGAGTACATGATCGGCTTTGGGAACTTTGGATGGAAGGTTGACTTGCGCATTGCGCTTCCGTTTGGCGGCCTTATTTTTCCCCATTGTGGTATATATTGTTGATTTGGTAGATTGACAGACAGTTCATATCAACGAAGTGGGGAGGGATTTTTCATTGGACTCGATGCCGGAAGATTGATCTTCCGAGTATATCCGCCACTATCTCCGCTGTGCCTCAACATCATGTTGACACTACTATACGCGACTTCTACTGCCATTGTTAGTATGCAATAATACGTGTCAATTGTGTGAAAGAAGCTTTACTCTGTATGTCTTAATTTTACATACCCTTGGTATCAACTTTATTCCCTCAACGGCAACTAGATGCCCACTATGTGATGGTCCGAGGCCATGCGGCAAAGCTTCATCGTAGTTGGCTTAGCGCCCGGATGAATAGTCGCCCGATACTGCGGCTGGGCAGTAAGCATGATTCATGAATATTGGTTTTTCTTGAGAATCTTCTGATTATATTCGTCGATTAGAGCCGTGAATTTCTTGCATGGGGACTGCTATGACTTCTGGTGATGGCAACCTGGGCATACAAGTAGGAAATAGCGGTGGGACAATCAACTTTCTACTGACGAAATGCTACTTCCATCCTGTCAATTGAAGCACCATTTTGGTTTAATATGCGGCGGACGGCAAGGCTACTAGGCCAGGCAAGTCCCGGCAGTAAATGAATCTACATTATGACAAGTTGAAGTGTGCGTAGCGGACATAGGACAAGATGAATTGTTTTTTTTATACTTAAACTACTGAATAGCCATATGCTCGGTAGCGATTTCGATGATTAGAATAATGATAGAATCTGAGTCTTAATGATGATTGCTATGATTATCACAATTGCTATGATTGTCATGATTACTGTGAGAATAATTATTATGATTTCCATGACTATAATATAGTCGTGTAGTAATCTGATACCATCTAAAATTGTAGCAATGATAAATTGATAATACACGCGCCACGCCGGGCCGCAGGAAGAATAACTAAGATGCCATAAGCAAGCCCGTTTTACGAGCGGAATAAGTAACAGATGGAAATCAGAACTAAGTGAATTCAACTAAAATAACGCAGCATGGGGAAGGAGAGAGGAGAGCTGCGAGGTGGCGAGCGAATATCAACCACGTCGCTCCCTCCAGATGTCGGGATCCACACCATTATCCAGATTAGACACAGATAACACACGATCCACAATAGCCCGTCGATACAAAAAATTTTAAAGCATGATGAGATGCTCTACAAAATGCCAAAAAATGACCATAAATGACAAACAACAAGAAATCTAATGGAGATCAGCAACCATTCTTCCCCTTCCAGGCAACCTCCCTCCCAATAGCATGCTCCCGCAGATATTGTCTCGACCTTCGTCGTCAAATTTGACAAATATGTAAAAACAAATGCGCCGGGCGTGAATCGAACACGCGACCTATCGCTTGAGGATGAAGATATCTAGATCTTCAGGCGAGTATCATCCCACTAGACCACCAGCGCGTTCTGTGATTTTGAAGGCTTGGCGAGTGCAGAGCTGACAAAACTTGATTGAGGCCCACATGTGCATTTACGAGAGCACATCAAGAGTCCAATATCAAAACAAACGCCGAGTTATCCCCATTAGTAGCTCCCCCGGATTAGAATTGAATTGTTCTTGGGTCTCTGGCTGGAAACCGTCGTTGAGCTTCCCACCAAAGACCTTCACAATAGTGGCAATGACAACTGTCTGCTCAAAGTAGGCAATATTCCGACCAATGCACGCCCGAGGCCCTGTACTAAAAGACATATGATTATTCAACATTTTCTTCTTTTCTTCCAGATCATCCGTCAGCCATCGATTGGGTATATATTCAGATGCATCTTTCAAAACCACCCCGCCACGAAGAAGCGAGTATGTCGGGACTGAAACTATAACACCCTCTGGTAATCTTCCTGCAATCTCTTTGCCACCTTTTGGGACGATTATCGGCAGGCCAAAAGAGCGTGCGGGGCTAACTCGACGAGGCTCCTCGATACAAGCGCGGAGGTATGGGAATCGGGATACCTTGTCGTATGTGGGTATTGTGTCGGCCGGGACGACATTATATCTTTCAAGGCTCAACTTTTGGAGTATTGCTGGATTGCTGTAAAGTAAGAAGATGGCATTGGTCATGGCTGCTGTTGTGGTTTCGGTTCCGAAATTCATCATCGTGAGACGTAGTATCTAGCTGTTTTGGCATAATCTCCAGGAAACTGGTATCAACGACGATGCTTTGTAGTTCCAAGGTTGTATTGGAGCCATGAAGCAAATAAGCTTTGTGGCGCTGATTTCCCACTTTGGGGGGTTATACAGATGAATCAAAATCAGACTGAATCCAACATACCTTAACTAGAGCCCCGCCTATACCCCAGAAAGTTTAACGGGTGACAGCTTGTACTGGATGGCTTATCGTTTGGTGTACATCCGATCTCGGAATATCAAATACCCGGCTATCAGTCGCGTTGTCGATCATCGTCACGCTCTCTCCACCTTTGTTCGCGACTGGCCAAAGTCATATCTTGGGACAACACCATTCCCATATTATGGTTCGAGATACTTGGCCGTTGGATAGTTTTGTGTATCTATCTCGTTTGAACGTTTTTGGGGAGCGATGACCAACCACCGCTCGAGTAGGTACGCGTCTATCTCCCGAAGTGTATCATCAGAAAGACTAACATGCAGTGTTCTTACAGAGGTTCCGAAGGACCTTGGATATGGGAGTTTCACACTGCTAGAGTCCAAAATGCCCCTCTGCCTTCACTCGAGACACCAAGAGCTACATCACCCGTGAGGGCCAGGACAACGCCTAGATCCTCTTCTCCATCATCTCGTCGCGGTGGGGTTATTCTTCGGTCGACTATTTCATCACCGCGTGTTCCTCAACCTAAAAAACCGCGACCGCGACCGCACCCACAATATCCAAATGCACCCATTGGTACTCCGTTGAATGCGCATCCACAATTGACAAATCCACCTATTACTTCTCCGCCAAATGTACAACTAGCATCTCCACATCCGCCCATTACTACTCCATCAAATGCGCATCCACAATATGCACATCCACCCGTGACCGCTCCATACAATGCGCATCCACAATTTGAACCTCAACTCATCTTTACATCATCAAGTGTTCCTCCATCAATCGCATATTCATCAGCTACTCCTCCATCAGCTGCTTCTCCCTCAGCTACTACCCCAGCTGCTCCCCCACCAGCTCCGCAACCTCCCCAAACACCGCCCGGGCGTGGCCCTCGCAAACAGCTTGACGTGCACACGCGCACACAAATCTGTACATTAAAGAAGATAGCCGGATGGTCATACAGCCAGATCCACGCTCAATTTCCTCATATCCCACAATCGACAATCAAAACAACTGTGAAACGAGAAGCGACCAGACACAATAACCAGACAAGCCATCGCTCTGGAGCGCCGAGAAAGTTACATGAAGAAGATACGAAAAAGTTGCTCGACGCTCTTGACGAAAACCCACGCCTGACTTGGGACGAGCTTATCAAAGTGATTGATGGAAAAGCTGGCCGACATTCTATTCGCCGTCTTCTGGAGATAGAGGGCCGTCGAAAGGGCCAGCCTGATCGCAAATTGAAGCACACTCAAAAGATGTTGGCTAGGCTTACGGAGCCGGATCCTGAACCTGATTCTGATTCTAATCCTGAGCCTGAGCCTGAGCCGTAACTTTGTCCTGACTCATACTTCATGAGGTTAGGTATGGCTTTTTCGGATGTGTTGGCGATAAAAAGAAGTGAATAATCGTACATATGATGAGCGATCTCGGATATCCCCACTTTTATTCTAGCAAATATCTTTTCTTCAATAAGAGAATGCCATTTTTATTTCACATGACGGAATCAGCTTACTCATATTTTTCCATTATAATTCCCTCAAGTGGTGGTTCATCTGCTCATTAATAGTGGGACTACAATGGCCGAAGCCGCTGTCAACCCACATTTACCCCGCACATTCCAACTCAACTGGTTCAGCCTCCAGAGGCTCGAAAGCTTCGAATTGTCTTAACTTTCCAAATTGTATACAATAGTGCCTAACTTGGCACTGGTCATCGTATTTTCAAGTCAATGAGCCAGCGAAAATATCTATATCAACTCGAAAGGGGCGTTTGATCCGCCTCAAAGCAAAGCCCGCAAAAAAACGGCTTCTTTTGTTACCATTGTTCTGTTGCAGCATATCCCTGTTATAGTGAAACAACAAATAAAAGTTCCGAAGTGGTATTTCATCTCAAGAGAGCCGGACTATGATTGAAACGACTCGGAGAGTGCAGTCCTACACACAACCACAAAATCGATCCTCCGACCTCCTTGAGGCCATCAGACAACAAAATGTGTCTCTTGTCGGTGATCTTCTGAAGACGGGAATAGACCCCAATACGCCTCCTCCCAGGGGTCTATCTCCGCTCGCAAGTTCCGTCCGCATAGGAAATGTCCAAATTGTCGACATGCTTCTCCAGCATGGCGCCAAGTTCACCCTCAGTCCCTCTGACTACACATTCGACTACGACGATTTAGGAGAGTTGATCAACCATGTGCGACATTGCAAGCACGCGCTTCTCAATGCCATTCACTACAATCAATCCACTATCATCACGATATTGCTCTCTATTGCGAAAGCCAACGGACACATGCCAGAGTTCGATCCCACTGTCGCAGCAATTCCATTGGCTGTCGCTATTTCCAAGTCACCCATTTCGACTATAGAAAGCTTCATAGCGTTCGCAAAGGGTATAGATCTGGAAAAGTCATTTACGCTCCTCCAAGTTTCTATGGAAAGGAGAAGAGACCCCGCCATCGTCAACCTGGTCCTCTCCAAGTACATCAAGCCCAACGACGTCCTGCCTGTGGAGGCATCCCGATCTGCCCTGTTCCAAGCATCCGCGTACAACTATCTGGATGCAGTATCGTTCTTTCTCGAGCGTGGGGTGGATGTGAACACTACTTTGCAGACTCCAATGTCTTTCACAATGTTGCCAGATTATGGCGGTGGGATACGATACGTCTCCTACCAAGCATTGGATACCCCTTTGTCCATTGCAGCAGATAGAGGCCATGTCGAGGCAGTGAATTTTCTCTTGGAACAAGGGGCATCACTTTCGACAAGGAGGAAGTGGCGTACGAAAGATCACTCTGGGCGAGTCGAGGTTGATGATTCGGTATTGGACATCTCTATGGATGGTCTGCATGTAGATGTGGTACAGGTTTTGCATCGGTGGGGAGCGAGGTGGGACTTAGGATATGGGGAGCAGAAAGAACGAGGAGAGCATCTCTTGATTTCGGCGTGTCGACAAAACAATGCTGATATGGTTGATATCCTGCTTGAGTATGGGATCAGCCCAGAGGTTCGTGGGGAGGATGGGAAAACACCGCTTCTGTGGGCAGTTTCCATGGGGCATACCAATGTTGTGAGGAGTTTGTTGAAAGGGGGAGCGGATCCGGAATCAACAGGGCCACATTTCTATGATACAAAGCGATGTATGGCTCCCTTACTGTGGGCAACAGATTATGGCAAGTCAGATATTGTAGATATATTGTTGGAATTTGGAGCGAAAGGTTTAAGGCAGGCGCGAACTCTTGAGGTGAACTCCTCAAAAGAAACCTCTTCAAAACCTTGAGAGCTTGCTGTACGACGGGGTCGAGGCTTACGCGTTGGAGGGATCTCGTCGGGCCGCGTTCTGCTATACTTTCCAGGGTCAACGATCAATCAATTAAAGAGTCCAAACATATCACCGAGGTATTTGTGTCAGGCACAACGACAGTCACTGGCGCCGGTCAAAACATGATCCAGATCAATCAAGCTCCATTTAAGGGGTATGTCGTGCTCGTTGCGTGGCCAAGAACAGCCTGGTTATCACGACTAGACGCCTTACACGTTAACTTCATATGATAGCTCACAGGCCATTAGAACAAATGCCTCTCTATGGTCCATTATCAAACTAGCACATGCCATTTCCGCGAAGAACGCAAATTTTCCAACAGCTATTCTATCTTTGGGCTTCGGGGCTTCGAGTATTCATTAGCTCATTGAAATTCCTGGGCTTTCTTCCGTCCACCCATGGAGTGAGGCTTGGTGTATTTGGAAGCATCTACAGTCACCACATGGCATATATGCTTCTTGAATGATCTCCCTTAGACGACAATACGTTTCCACCGTTAACCCCATCTTTCCCCGGAATACTCAAAATCTGATATTAATGCATACGCCTGCGTACGAACAATCCAAATTCCTAAGGTCAGAACGCTCCGACCTCGCGCCGGATGTAGTGGAGATTGCGTTTTGGCGAACTAGCCTAGCCAGGATGATCTGGCTCTAAATGCCTAAACAAGCCTAGCACGCTGCGTGGTCCCTGACTATCACGGTCGCCATCGGAACCTTGACGCCCCGTGATATGTCTAAATATCCCTCATGAAGATTCATTGTTTGTCGGGTGTCTTCAAGTTCCAAGTCAATATATCGGACCAGCCTCAAAATACAAACTCATGTCATAGAAATCTACCCCGCATTTTGTGCCCGCACTTTTCTCCTCGTGAAGATGATCCTGACGCATCCACAGCATTGAAGAGTCCACTTTCAGTCCCCCATTAATATCCAGGAAGGGAAGGTGAAAGAGAGCATAAGGCCGAAACGGCGAAATGGACCAATAACAGACCTCCATTCACAACACATTCCTTGGGATATCTCGAGGTATACACATTCTACAATGAAGACTTTCTAAATAAAATTCTTACCAAGCTTTACCTCGCTGTTCTCCGCATTCTCAACCCCGACATGATTCACCAAGAGGTGGATCTGGGCGTTCTCCGACCAAACATTGCATCCAACTCACTGCCTAACTTCCCGAGTCTGGTCGTTTGTTCCTTCCCCTTACTCCCGTGATGATGAATCTAAATTATTATGGAGCGCGTAAAGTATGGCTCTTGTAGTCTGTACTCCGCCGCAGTCACACTGTGGAGCATCATTCAAACGAAAACAACTCGGCACTGGAAAAAGCTTCTAGACTGACGGGTCCACCAAGATAGAGAACATCTGATAATGAGCTGTGTACATGCAATCATTATATCGGACAAAGATATAAAAGGCTGATCTTTCATTTTATTGTATAGCGGGCTTAAGTCCGCTGTAGAAGATAACGAGTGGGTCTCTTATCGTGAGTAGCATGGACTTGCCTCTCTGGGACGCGTGTTCAAATGTTGCCACCACTGATTCGTTGATGTGGCTTCTACGGGCGTTATTCATACCAGAGACCCTTGATTTTGACGCAGAACGTATGCTAGTTAAGCATAGGAAGAATCTTGCAGTTCAAATTGTGTATAGTACATATTCTCCACAAGTCACGGTAACATTGGAATGTTCGCATTAACTCACCAGCACTGCGGATATTTCACGCAATAATAATCAGTCAAGATAAGATGGCCATGTGGAATCACATAAGATATGGCAATATCCATCTTTGAATGCTGTCAACCACGTTTCAAATCAAATTATCTATACAATCCTCCACATGTAGCGCACGGCTGTTATCAAGGTGGAGCCGCAGCTATCCGACTACAGCAAGTCCATCCGAAGAGGCGACACTCCGAGATTCTTTCCCCGCAAAAAAAATCATCCACGATCTCCGTTTTCATTACCAAGAGCATTACCAAAAGCACCCCGACTCATGACCAATATGAGTGCCCACCCACTAATTCAACGACAGATACCCACTCCCCATTGGCCCGTCAAGTCGGCTCCATCTTTATCTGCGCCGCCCCCGTATTCTTCCTGGGGACAAGATACTACTGGCGATCGCACACCAGAAAGGAATTCCAACGCCTAGCAGGATATATAGAACTCAGCCTCTGCGCCCCGTGCTGGAATTTTTTCTTTTTCATTCAGCTTCGAGCAGAAAATGGGCACGACGTCTACTTGTTTTTCAGTTGAATTGATCTTTATAGCTTCCGGTTGAAGTACGATGTCGTTGGATTTGGAAGAAAACTCGCCACCCCTTAAACTACCGTTTGGAAATGAAGATGAACAGGATGTTCAGGATGCCACTGATTTGGCTGCTATGGGTCATGCCCAGGCATTGACCCGCAAATTCGATATATGGAGCATGTTAGCTCTGGCATTTTGTGTTCTTGGTATGTCAATTGCCACCCGCACATTCCGATTGATTCATCTCACTTGCACACGCGCCCGTACTTCTTTCGAGCTTCGTGATTCACAATGTTTCGAATTATTCCTCCGATTGAAATATAACAATGGATTTAGACACTGACCGGATATTATCCATGTATAGGAACTTACTCAACTTTCGCGCAAGACCTCAGCAGCGGTCTCACCAATGGAGGTCCCATCACCATTCTCTGGGGCCTGGTGCTGGTCACAGCCTGTAACCTCTGTGTAGCCTTCTCCCTGGGTGAACTGACTAGCAGCATGCCCACAGCTCTTGGTCAAGCCTACTGGGTATACCGACTTTGGCCCACACCCCTCGGTCGCTTTGTCTCATACATGTGCGCATGGATTAACACCTTTGGTTGGTGGACTTTAACCGCATCCCAAGTCGCGTTCATGACCGAGTTCCTGCTTGGCATGAAGACTATGTGGGTGCCAGATTGGAATGGTGTGAATTTAGGCTGGCTAAACTTCGTCGTCTACATTGGTGTAGTCTTCTTGCTCACCGTCGCCAACGTTGTTAGTTGTCGCAAGGAGAAGATTCTACCTTGGTTCAACAACTTCGTCGGTGTCTGGTTCGGTGGTCTCTTTGTTGTTCTGTCACTCACCATGCTTATCTCTGTTGGCGTTAAGAGTGACCTCTCTTTCCAGCCGGGATCTTTCGTATTTGGAAAATGGATCAATAAGACAGGCTGGAGCGATGGAGTTACCTGGTTCACCGGCCTTGTCCAGGCTGCGTATGGATTGACTGCGTTCGACTCGGTTATTCACATGGTTGAAGAGATTCCTGCACCACGTCGCAATGCCCCTCGTGTTATTTGGATGGCTGTTGTCTTCGGCGCAATCACCGGTTTCATCTTCATGGTGGTGTGTCTGGGATGCATTCAGAACCTTGACGCAGTCACAAACGCCAGTCTCCCGTTCATGGAGCTTATGATCGAGACGGTCGGCCTAAAGGGTGCTGCTGTGCTCGTCGCCCTGTTCATTTTCAATGGATTGGGTCAGGGCGTCAGTGTTCTGACCACGGCCTCGCGTCTGACTTGGGGTTTCGCCCGTGATGGTGGTCTCCCATTCAGCCGATACTTCAGTCACGTTGACCCAGTGTGGCAGGTCCCCGCCCGGGCTCTCTGGGGCCAAGGAGTCATCATCGGCATCGTTGGTATTCTGTACCTGTTCGCCAACACCGTGCTCGAGGCCATTCTGAGTGTCAGCACGATCGCTCTGACTGTATCCTACGCCATGCCTATCCTCGCCTTATTAGTCGTTGGTCGTGACAAGCTGCCACCTGGTGGCTCTTTCAAACTCGGTCGCTTGGGCCCATGGTATAACTGGGTTAGCATCATTTATTGCATCATCACCACTATTTTCTTTCTTTTCCCTGGTTACCCTAATCCAGCGCCGAGTGACATGAACTACGCTATTGCTGTCTTTGGTGTCATGCTTGTCATCTCCATTGCGTTCTGGTTCATTCAGGGTAGCCGTACATACCTTCAGACAGAAGATGCGATCGCCCAGATGGTGTACGCTCAGCATTTGGAGAATGCGGAGGAGGCATCTGTTGGTTCTAGCACTCCAACTGAACATTAATCATTTTCAGTATTTGGTGATAGATTTGTGCAGAAGAGGAATTTTCGAAAGATTGTTGTATATAATTATTTGAGTAGAATGAGAGATTTGTCACTTAGTCATATGTTGCACATAATTATAAATTCTCTTGTTTTCCAAGACTTTCAATCTATCTTCTGGCCTTAATTGTGTGACATCCATGGGTGTTCCGTCATATCTCTGCACTGCATCATTCTCCACTGTTCGTGCGATGTGATCCACACATGTAGATCCAACCCCCTATTGCAGAAGCTCGTAGACGAGAAAAGCTTTTTATGGTAGCTCTGGTGGATCATTTTCAACTTAACAATATAGATTTGGTTATATGACACAAGAAGCGGACATGTAGACGTTGCGAGTCACCTAGCAAGCGACGGCTAAACGCTGAGCCGGTCATGGATCCGAACAATCTAGCAGCTTGTAAGCAACACTCGCAAGATAAATACATGAAACTGGCCTCCGATAGTCATCCTCGTGAATTTTCTCTGGGGAAATCTGCGAGTGCGGAGGCAAAGTGGAGACCACGGATGAATAAACTATCCGCCGCTAAAGCCCCGCCGGGTATAGACCAGGGATACCCTCGCAACGGCTGCCTGCTGTATTTTGGCATTTAGATGACTGTCGAATAGCTTCTTTTCTGAAGGCGACATCAATCACGAAAATACAATATTATATACCCTTCATGGATATAGGATCATACCTACAATCGTGCAAGTCCCTACTAGTACTCTTTTCTACTAGCTGAGATTTGTCTTCATCAGCGGGAAATATATCTCCACACGCGAGCGGTTCAATTTGTCTCATCCACTCCGGGGCTGGCAGGTCCATGAAAATACGTCATTATGGTGTTCGCTGCGTTGAATCGCATCTACGCAGGGCTCATCAGCCCTCTACCGGCTAAGAAACAGGCCGATGCTATTCAATTCGGTCTCCTTGGTGCATCTAATATTGCGTACGGTCTCGTATCCCGTCTCCATCATGATACTAGTAGACCCAGGATGACTTCAATAAATGATACTAACAACACATAACCCGATCGCATTAATTGGCCCTGGTTGCCCTGGGAATCTCTCGACCTGCTAATCAAAGTTTGCTTACCGTGTTTTCAGTTCCTGTTCAATCTAGGCTACCTATTTTAACAAATCATATCCTGTTAAGCCAAAATCCAGTGATATGATGATCGTGCTCACCGGGGCGTATGTGGAGTCAGTGTAGCGAGTTCCGGAGTCCGGAATCATATCATGCTGCCTAGAATTATCTGAGATTGTAGTTTTAGGACTCAGGGAGAAAATCGCACGAGGGAATAACATGTGATAATAAGTAAGAGAAAAGGGGAGCTCGTGTTCCTGATTAGGTGAATTTGAAATCTTATGCATTTACATGCTAAGCTTTGGGGATGAGGCTTGCTCTAGGGGCAGGTTATGGGTTCGAACTTGAATGATAGAATTCCACGAATTTTCAATAATGAATATTACTTGATTGTTAATCTGGCGGGCGATATGCGTGGCATATGGATCGGCTTCGAATATTCGCGATTACTACTAGTATTAGTGGATATGTGCACATGCATTCGAGTTATATACATGGTACATTCAATTTGCAGGCCAGGTTTGAATGCTGATCGCAGGCACAAACATTACTACTTAATTTGAAAACATCACAATAAAACTGTTACGCAGTGGATAGAAAATAAAACTGCATAATAATAGGAACCATCCTCATCCTCTCATGTCGCAGTGGTTGCTCGAAATGAGGAGACATGACGATCATCATGCCAAGGGCAATAGGCTACTTGGCAAGGTTTCCTGAGTCAAAATGGTCTCATTCTGGATTTCCACCAAGCCCAGCGCATACATCCGACCGCCATCAAACCGCATTGTTTGACATGACACTCACTGCCAGCAAACATCCATGACATTAAGTCCAGCCACTCATTAATGATTGGAGTTGATTGATCCAGCCACATCAGATCTAACCCCTCACATTTCTGCATCAAGCGGGTGGACCCTGCCGATCACCAACCTACCGCGTCTCGCGTCCAGCCCCAGGGCCACAAATGTCTCAGCCCAGAAAGGGAGGGAAACCCTCCATACCGATCACATCACTAACTATTTCTTTTCCCCTCATCTTGGCTAATCTTGGCCCGGATGTTACCCGCGGGAAGAGAGTCAAGTAGCTCTGGAAAACCGGCAGGCTGCAGATGACAATATCCGATCATTGGTTCAGGGGAACTCATTGATTGGCACCATGGATCGCTCCCGACGGACATCCGCGTCAAGGGTCCACTTAAAGCTGTGAGACTATGCAAGGCCAAGAACGCCCGCGCGATGTTAAGCAAATGGACCTGCAGAACTCAGACAGGAGTGGCCGTCCATGGATCCAGTAAGTATATTTCGTGCACCACATTCTTCGGTCGATTGTCCCCATTCTCCCCACCAATGCAACCATAATAAATAATCCGCTGCAGCGTGTGCCCCTCTCTCGCGTTGTCCATTCCGAGCCATTCTCTATTTAAACATTCGGCATTCTCCTGTCTAACGACCGTGGCGCTTTGCAGGGAGTCTCGATTCACTCCTTTCATATCATGCACGTGCCTTTTTTGAATACTGGCGCCTTGTCGCTGGCGGCTGTGTCGCTTCTTGCATCTAGTGTTACTGCTGAAGTTTTTGAGCAGCTTGCTGCTGTCCCTCAAGGTATGTTTATTCGCTTCTATAGTCGGGTATTTCAGCTAACCGATCATGTCGTATTTTAGGATGGCATTACTCCCGTACCCCGAAGTCCAGCCAGTCCATTAAGCTACAGGTAGCTTTGGCACAGGGTGATGTCCCTGGATTCGAGCAGGCCTTGATGGACATGTCAACCCCTGACCACCCACAATACGGCGAGCATTTCCGAACACACGATGAGGTGAAACGTATGCTGCAACCAAGTTCAGACTCAGTAAATGCGGTTCGCGAATGGTTAGAAGATGCTGGCATCACAAATATTGAGGAGGACGCCGACTGGATGAAATTCCAGACAGATGTGGAAACTGCCAACAAGCTGCTGGACGCCAATTTCCAGTACTACGTCGGCAACGGAAAACACGATGAGCGACTTCGAACCCTGCAATACTCTGTTCCGGACGCATTGGTCCCACACGTCAACTTGGTGACACCGACCACTCGCTTCGGCCAACTCCATGCTAACCGCGCGACTATTCACTCCAAGAAGAAGGACGCAGACGAGACTTTCCGCAAGGCCACTCACTATGCCAGCAAGGACTGCAACAGCGCTATTACACCCCAGTGTCTGAAGGATCTGTACTCGATTGGTGACTACAAGGCTCAGTCCGACAACGGTAACAAGGTTGGTTTCGCAAGTTACCTGGAACAATATGCCCGGTACTCCGACCTTGAATTGTTCGAGGAGAACATCGCCCCTTATGCCCAAGGACAAAATTTCAGCGTCATTCAATACCACGGAGGTGGCAACGACCAGTCTTCATCCAAGGATAGCAGCGAAGCCAACCTCGATCTCCAATATATCGTGGGAGTCAGCTCCCCCGTCCCCGTCACTGAATTCAACACCGGCGGTCGTGGCCCTCTTGTCCCAGACCTGGACCAGCCAGATCCCAACAACGATAACAACGAGCCTTACCTCGACTTCCTCCAGAACGTAGTCAAGATGAGCGACGAAGATATCCCCCAGGTAATCTCCAACTCATACGGTGAAGACGAGCAAAGTGTGCCAGCAAAATATGCCCGTAGCGTGTGTAACTTGTACGCCCAACTCGGCAGCCGCGGTGTATCCATCATCTTCTCATCCGGTGACTCCGGTGTCGGTGCCGCATGTCAAACAAATGACGGCCAGAACAAAACCCACTTCCCTCCCCAGTTCCCCGCCGCTTGTCCCTGGGTGACATCCGTCGGTGCAACAACCCACACATCCCCTGAAAGAGCCTCCACCTTTTCATCCGGCGGGTTCTCCGATCTCTGGGCCCGTCCCAAGTACCAAGATGCTGCCGTCAGTGCCTACCTCACTAAACTAGGCAACAAGTGGTCTGGACTATTCAACCCCAAGGGCCGCGCTTTCCCCGATGTCGCTGCCCAGGGCCAGAATTTTGCTATCTACGAGAAGGGCCATCTAAGCTCTGTTGATGGTACATCTTGCTCAGCCCCTGCATTCGCTGGAGTCATCGCTCTTCTCAACGATGCCCGTATCCAAGCTGGTCAGAAGCCAATGGGATTCCTCAACCCCTGGTTATATGGTGGCGGCCGTGCTGCTTTGAACGACGTTACCGCTGGTGGCAGCACTGGATGTGATGGCAATGGCCGTTTCAGCGGTCCTTCTAATGGCGGTCCATCTGTTCCTTATGCAAGCTGGAACGCTACTAAGGGCTGGGATCCAGTCACCGGGCTTGGAACACCTAACTTCGCTAAGATGTTGAAGGCTGCTAATGTGAACTAGATGATGGGAATTTGCATAAATGTGGTTGGCTTGGATGCATCTTGGTAGGATGCACATAATTTCTGTTCTATGGATATTTGATATATAGTATCACATTTTACCAATTCAATTATGATCTTTGAAATTACTATTCATACAAATTTAAGTTTTGTGATATAGTAATGAACAGTGTTTTATACAAAGTTCTAAAAGGAGGATAATGACATGCGAAATTTTCATGGAAGCCGACGAGCGAAATTGGCTGAACCTTTTGCAATCATGAAGCCATTATACATCCCACGTGAGGTGTGACATGTTCAATAAGACGTATATGTTGAGGTTTCAGTTGTGGTGATAGTATGGACCGAGGTAGTCGATGCTGAAACAGGACACGAGACCAGCGGGAGGACCGTAGTTGTTCCTGCTAAGCACATTTGTAAAGGCACCGAATTCGGCGTACAAGGGAATGCACTACTTCCACATAACAAAGTACCTCCATCACCATAGCTGGGAGCCGCAGTGTTGGTATAGATACAATCAGTCCATGTCGACTTGCCAACGGTCCATGTAGCATAATCCCACGTTACATATTCCGGGACAGCAGACCATATAGCCGGTGTTGGTGACACGGATCCTATTCTATCGCGGTACGAAGCTGGACAAGGATGCTCCTCTGTAACGCCGGATGAGAAATAATTGAGGTCGTAATAGGTATGTTGTTCAGGGGACAGACCTCCATAATTAACTTTGTAGTCAGCCGCAAGATCGAAACGACCTATTGATGAGGTGATATCTTCTATAGACGTTATGGTCTGTACGATGACAGTGGTAATAGCTGTACCGGTGTGGGTCCTGTGCTACCTCGCAAATAGGTGCAGCAGTTGAGTAGACGGAGGCATAGACACCGGCTGTCAGTGATGATTGCACATCTGCGTAGTTCGCTGAGAGTAGTGACTTTATTCTTGAAGCGACTGCCTCGACAGTTGCTGCTGGGTCGGTTGTTGTGGGGAAGGTATCTGCAATGACAGTCTTGGCTGCACCTGCTGCAGTGATGTATGTTTCACCGGAAGATGTGGAGGAGCTTATTTCGGAATTTGTTGTGGTTGTGTCGTCATCATCATCATCATCATCATCATCATCTGAGCTACCACTTCCTGACGAGCCACCGCCACTGCTAGCCTCTGATGAGGCATAGCCTGGGGGGCAAATTGCACACCCAAAACAGAAAATCTTGCCTATAGTTCCAATATGTCAGCTGCGTCTCAGAACTATAAGACTGATACTTCCGCTTACAATGAGAACCGACGTGCTCGGATGATGAAGTAGCCTTTGGTCCTGAAGAGCCAGACTTCGTACTAGCATGCACAGTAGTAGTCTTGGTGTTAAGCTCAGTATCCTTAGAGCTCATATCAGTGGGATAAGGCTGAGGCGTGACTGTTGAAGTGGTCGGGGAGAGGGTCGTTCCGCTAGTGACTGATGTGGTACCTCCAAAGACACCCGTCCAAGCTGACTTAGAGTATGTCAGATTTCCATATGTGAATGTCTGTGCGGGCATAATGCTTGTTGTGCCGCCTGTCACTTGTGTAGTTCCACCGATCGTCCTAGATAAAGTGTCAGAATGTAAACTAAATTAATAAGGGTTGATGAACATACGGGGTAAACGTGATTGGGAATGGTGCGGCCTGAACCGAGCTAGTCTGGTCAACCGATGTCTGGCCGAGTGTAATCTGTTGATTCCAGACATTGATGTAATTGGTCTCGACTAGTGGAGAAGCATCAGTATTCCCACTCAACAGCTTTCAAGGCGGAAAGATTACTTACCCGGAGAGATTGAGAGGCTTGTGGGAATTGTATAACTCGAATTAAATGTCATTACGGACCCATCACTGAACGTGGTTGTCTGAGTCTCCGTAGCGCGCCAAACAACCTGGGTGGAGACTAGAGAAGCAATTATCCTGAGATCACTGAATTTATGGAATGATAGTCTACTCCTGCATATTGAACAGCCAACTTGAAATTATTACTACATATAAACAATAGTATATACGGGAGGTCTCATATACTAGTATTCTGATCTTGAATCTATATAGTGTATTATATAGTGTATTATATGGGACTTAAAAGTTAACGTGTTCGCCAACGATGGACTAAATAGGAGCGGTTGATAGTAGGTACAGTTCAAATGTTTTGGTTTACGTTTTACGTCGGGTCCTGAACGCCTTTCCTCATGAGAACGTACCTGATGCACTTAAGTCAGTTCATAAAGCTTGCGCGCCCGAGTCACGCGTCTACATAATTGAAGAGACGCTGCACCCGAACCGATCCATGTTTGGTATTGCACAGGGTATCTTTGTTATGACTTTTTTTGGCAAACGACGTCAGCAGGCGGTGTTCCGTGATCTTGCTGCTCAGACTGGATTTCATTTTAACTCAGTTCTTTAGGACAAAGCTTCTGATTTCGGTGCAGTCAAATTGGTCACTGTGAGTCAGGCCTAGCTAGGATTGCATTAGAATCTCCAGTGGTCTTTCTCCAATCTAATTTACCAGAGAAGCAACCGAATGTAAATATTCGATTCTACGTCATAAATACTCTAGGCTTTTATGGTTCACGATTTCTGGATATATTCTTTTCTCTTGTCTTTTCTTGCTTGCTCTTCGCAGTAGTTTTTTAAAGCATTTGCTGAAACTTTGCATCTGGGTTCGTTTATAACGGTGTAGACGAAAAGCCCTTGGTTCCAATCTGGCTTGTGAAATATTAGGATACAGGATATATTCTGATAATAGATATAGTTGGAAACGCCAAAGAGGTATTCACCCTAAGATGAAGTTCATTCCTTCTTATTTCTGTGTAGCATGTGTTTTGTTTACGTAATTATAATCTTTCTCAATAACTTAAAGCCCAATTATAGACAGGGAAGTAGAGAAAGCGGGGGATCATGTTAACATACACTGAAGCGGACAAACCCTGAATACACCGGTCTTCTCTATTCATCTATTTCGATTTGGAGCAACAGCAAATTTTTTTTAATTTTGCATCTTAAATTCAAACATTGTTTGTCAATATTGACTGAAAATTATCAAATTTTCTACCTGCATCAATCATCCTGGGTTGGCAGGATTGGACTACCTTCCATTCCTTCCGGTGCCATCTACCTCTTTTCTCAAATGTCAGATCAAAAACCAACTCAGCTTGCTCGGCCAAAAGAACCTAATGTAAGCGCTGAGATACCAAATTCATTGCTTTATTTCTAACAGATCTTCACCGGAAGTAATATCTATTGGCTATTAGTGTATTCTCAACCACTTGGCTCATAGATAAAAAGATTATAAGAAAGCTCCCCCGAGACGGGGAATTGAAACCCATAAAACGCGAAATAATGATATATGATATTCTTGATCCAAAATACTGTATTGCCGAATGTACTTTTAAGGGTAGTGGTAACGATCACAAATACCTTAAGGTCACCTATTATCCTCATGGTGACCTCGAGAAATATCGCAAGAAGAATCCCCCCCCCCCCCCCCCCCAAGTTACAATCAAAATGGTTGCAACAAATCATCGAGTTCATCATCTTGATTCATTCCTTTGGTATTATACATTCCGACTTGAAGCTCTCACAATTCTTGGTGGACGGCAATCTTGATCTTCGCCTCGCAGATTTCGGTGCTTCTCAATGCCCTGAACGTCAAGGACTCGGTTATGAAGAAGCATCCTACCGTTTACCTCGTGATTATGAAGCTCCAAATATAGAACTCTCGGATATATTTGCTCGGGGATCCACTCTTTTCGAGCTAGTCGCTGGCCATCGGTCGGAGGGAATCTCAAAGAAGATAAGAGGATCAGGGATCAGGGATCTATATTTCAGCACGGGTGCCAAATAATAGTATATAATCAATATATAACAATACTCATACTCCCTTATACTATACCAATAATAGTTAACATTAAGTAAGTATTTAATGAATACCACAATAATACCACAATAATACTACTATACAATCAACAAGTAACTATTGAACTAATATTATATAATATATACAGCCACACTAGCCACATCAGCCACGGAACAACACACATTATACTGATCCTAAGGTTTCTCCAAATGTAGACCCTCGATCTGCATGGATCTGCATGGATCTAGTTGTTGCTCTGTAGAGAAATAAAAAGCTTTTGTATCTTGTTATACAGTATCCCCGTTTCAAGTTTTAGGCAGCCAAATTCAGCACGCTGCACGATGCATGGATGGATAGATGTAAGCAAGATGGAGGTGACTGGGGCGATGATCCGACAAATCCTGCATTTTTGATTCGAGACTGCCTTGAAACCCTGAAGGTAGGTAATGTCTGCTGATGTGAGGTATACCATGTACACATACGACGTCATGATCTGGAGAACACTAACTTGAATACCTACGCAATCAAGCCCAACATGGAAAATTAAATATGTATTCATTAAATAGTGATACAGCGAACAAAAAACCTCAAATTCCCATTTTAAATAGACCACTGATCTAGAATCTTGAATCAAGAAACAAATCATCGCGATCGCATGTCCCTCACTCATAACTTGCCCAGTCAATTACGCAACAACACCCATCATAGCCGAACAAAAAAGCACGGCCAAAACCCCAACTCCCATAGTTGAAACAGGCTGAGCACCAACAGCCGCATTCTTAGAGCTTGTCGAGGTCGAGGTCCCACTAGTCTTGGTACCGGTGGAAGTACCGGTAGATTTAGTCGTAGTAGCAGCCTCAGTAGCAGTAGCGTTGAGCTTATCGTTGCAGAAAACAGCTTGGTAGTTGTTGCTTTCGGTTTGGAGGCAGTGTAGAAGGCTGGAGACGTTTTGGTTCTGGGCTAGACAGTAGATACCACAGTCGCTGTTGTAGGTGGTTGGCTTGTCGCCTTTGCAGCAGGTGTCGAAGACGGAGGTCATGTTGCCTGTGTTTGCGGCGCCGCAGGCTGCATCGGTGATGCCGGGGAGTTCCCAGACACTGCCTGTGCAGGCTGTGGTTGTTGCTGTTGCGGAGGTGGTTGTGGTAGACATGGAAGTAGTGGTAGACATTTTGGATTGGGTGGTGTGTTGGTTGAATTGAACTGGGTTGAGTCTTGGAGATGGATTTTGAGTTGTTGATGAGATTAAGAGATGAAGGAGTTGATGTAGGTGGCGTTGAAGGAGAGAAGAAGGAAAGAGGAAAGAAAAGGAGAGGACAGGATAATATACAGGAGAAGTGAGAGTAGGGAACAGGTAATATGCAGGGACTCAATTAAAGGGAAACGGTGGAGGCCTAAGGCTGGAAGATGTAAGACACTTGGATCTAAGTGGTGTGTCACGTCCGGAACCCAACCACACACGCTGCTTTCCGTGGGGGAAAAGACTCCACCGACTCCACACCACTCTATACATAGAAAAAAAGAAATGCTGAAGAAGGAAAATAAGAAAAAGTAAAATAAAACTCTTCCTCTTGGCTGTTACTACCAAAGCCCCCCAAAAATCTTATTGATCCACCAGATACAATTAAAATTCTCATGTGATGGATCTACTGCACGACGATCCTCATTGCAGCTCTATACAATAGTAACAAGCCACATGCACTAAAACAGACTAAAACAGACCAAGTGGAGCGAAGATCTTCGTATTCAGATGGTTTCACCAAAAGCCGACCGGGTATAACCGATCGATCAGATGCAGAAAGCCACAATAGGTTAATAGTTATAACTAGTATAAATACTAAAGTATAAGGTACAGAAAGGGCGAGGGTTAAAAACAAGGATTAACGGGTATCTCAAATGCCACTGCAGGACTCCTTGCTGAGTCCAATCCACACACACACATACGTAAACTCTACTGAGTACCCCCAGTCACGTAGGTCTCTGTGCGAGTATCGGCGTGGGAGTCATGAGACTCGAAAGGTGCTTCAGTTGCAGTTTCAATAGCCTTTTCGGAATGTAACGCGTCAACTTCCTTTTCTTTCTCGAGAACAGGGTTCTCAACGCCGACAAGGGCGAGAAGACCAATTTCGCTCTCAATGCGAGCCTTACGTTCGGCATCTGCGGCTGCGACACCGGTTGTACCAAAGATTTCGTCCATTTCCTCCAGGGTACGGCCCATAGTCTCGGGGACAAAGAAGTATACATAGAAGATACCGATTGTAGTGACGACACCGAAGAAAATGAAGGTGCCGAGAGTAGAAGCCTCTACGAATGGAGAAGTAGCTGTTCCGACGGCGAAGTTGTTCAACTAATTTGCATATTAGATCAAACCTGGAAGGTTAAGTGAAGATTGTAAATGCGACTTGGATGACGTACCCAGTTACTGCTACCACCAATACTGACACCCTTGGCACGCATGCTGAGTGGGAAAACCTCGGATGTGACAATCCACGCGACAGGACCTAGAGAAATAATTGTAAGTACCACGAAACATGATCTGGGCTAGAATGACGTACCCCAAGAATAGGCAAAGTTGATGACGAAGATCCAAACGAAGACAATGGCAGCCCAGCCAGCGGCACGGTTCGTCTCGAACGAATGTTGGTATGAGCCAATGATACCGGCGACGATGAAGTGACATGATGCCATTCCGATGGCACCAGCGATCAAAATCTTCTTGCGACCAATTTGATCAACCCACAACACGGCGGGGATGGTGAACAGGAACTCGACAATACCGACGACACCGGTGGCAAGAAGAGTTGTAGTATTTCCGGGCAACTTCATATCCGCGAAGATGAAAGGACTAGAGAACATGTTAGTGAAGTTTTTTTTTTTAAAAAAAAAGAATGCATAAAAAAGCTTACGCATAGTAGTTGATAGCATTGATTCCATTCCATTGTTGGAAGACCATGATCATACACTGCAAAAGTTAGCACCCAACCGAAATAAATCACTGGAAGGAAACCAAGGAACATACAGCGGTTGCTGTCCGCTTAAACATAGACTTATTGCTAACAAGCGACCAGTAATCATTCAATCCCATCTTGAAGTTGCTGCTGAAAGACCCATCCTGCAGATGAGGATACTTCTCGGCAGATGTCTCAACCTCAAATATGTGCAAACTCTTAATCTCGAGGAACTCAATTCGGACCAGAAGATCATCTGTGCTGGTACCGCGGAGACGGGCCAGAGTCTGCAAGCACTCTTCTTCGCGACCGGTGTTCATAAGGTGACGGGGTGATTGGGGCATGAACATCATCATACCAATAGCGAGGACGACGGCGGGGAGAATCTGAATGCAAATGGGGACGAGCCATGCAGCCTTTGACTGGCTATCTCCGGTGCCACCGATGTAGTTGGTTCCATAGCCGATCTGTGGAAGTTAGTTTGAGTGAATCGAATAAGAGTGGGATGGAAGAGGAGGCATACCCAGAAGGAAACCATGATACCGAATGTGATAGCCAATTGTTGGACAGCGACAAGGGATCCACGAATCTCAGGAGGTGCCTGCATCTTGTCAGTATTTGATTTATCCTTTCTCCACAATATTTCTCAACTCACGAGTTCAGCATTGTACAGTGGCACAACCATACTCAAACTACCAACACCCATACCGGTCACGAATCGACCGCCAAAGACATAATCCTTGTTCGTTGTGCAAGCTTGGACAATAACACCAATACAGAAGACAATGACAGCAACCAGAACCGTCAAGCGACGACCAAGCTTATCGGCGAGGTATCCGTTGATGAGGGTTCCGACCCAAGCACCAAGTTCCAGAATCGATGTCAACATACCCTGCTGAATACTTGTCGTAGCGGCATATCCGTTTGTCTAACCGTGCGTGTTAGCTTGTTGTTTGTTTCGGCGAAGAATGGAAGGTACATACGGCGTCCTGGAATGACTTCATGGTCAAGACCTGCGCGAACATTCCCTGGTTGTCTTCATTTTGTTAGCGTTTTTTTTCAAATCTCATGACTTAAGCAACAGGACAGAACAGAACGTACATCCATAAACAAGACCGCCAAGCGACGCAAACAATCCAATCAATGAGGTCTTCTTATTGCTCAGCAATCCCAGAATACCAGTTTTACCAGCGAGCTCAGCACGCTTAGCCGAAATGGCCGTCTCACCAACGAGCGGAGCAACCATGACGACGGTATCAAAAAGATAAAGCTTTCAACCTTGTAAAGCTTGAAGAAGACCAACAGCACAGGGAAGGATAGACTTCAAACTATAAGCTTTGCTGAACCACGACAAAAAGAAAAGTCGTCGCGTTGCCTACAACCTTAGACCGCGATCTCGTGGGATCAGCAGTCTATTTATTCATCCGGCCCAAGTTCACGTTCAAGTTCGGACTGGCTAAATTTCCCCGACACTTTAACCCCACGGGGCCGGACCCGGGTTAGTACCAGAACCATGCTTACAACGGGTCCGAGTGTTTCAGGGAATAATGTCTAACCAGCAACCACTGACAGCAGGTTTCCTTTCGGGCAGCTTGATTGCTGTTCGCTGTTCGCTGTTTGCTTTTGCCTAGCCGACGCGTCTTGATCCGGGGACTAGCCGAGTCGGGTATAAATGGTGCATCTATTCGGCAAGGATCAGTGTTAGGGTGGGGATTTGCAGCATCGGTGGCTGTTGTTGGTCAGTTTGGTTGAGAGGGATTTAGCCGGAGAAGCCAAGACATCAGGTGAACTTTGGGGTAAATTTGTTATTCATGAATTCTTTGGTTTGGATGCATCATCATGGTATAGGATATGCGAGGTCATACTTATTCAGTTCCTCCATACAGTGAGTAGAACAAGACATGAGATGAATTCGATGCCTTTACAAATTTGAAACTCCCAACATTTTTTATTCTGACTGACTTTGTCGGCATCAGCCGTAGCCCCGAATCCAATCTTACGACGGAGAAGAGGGGAAGCCGAAACGCGGGTTCAATTGGTTCAACTCGCAATCCCGATCCACTTTGTACCCGGAACCCCCAGACCCGGGGACCCCGCGCACCCCGAATTGTTGACCGTCCAGCTCCAGCAAGCAAAGAACCAACAATACCATAACTACACTACTAGGGCCTATAGTAAGATGAACGCGTGTCTATGGATCCTTGTATAAAGCCACAAAGCTTCAAATTCGGCTTCTAGGTACTGTGTCGGCATCGACCACCTATACCGGAATAGTCTTTCCTCTCCTTTCCCACATTCTCACAATCATGGCATCCAACTCTGTACACTCCACACATTCATAATTCATGATTCGTAATCCCCAATCCTGTAAAATGACAGGGTAACATCGCACAGACCAATACAAACAAACCCCACAACAGCACGGCAAATGAGCTTTGCATTCCATCCTGCTACCTCCCACGCGGGTGAATGGACCTAATTTAGCCTGTTGGGGCCATAGCCATCTTGTCTTGTCATGCAGACACGCCACGCCACCACGCCTTATCCGCCGCCTTCCATGGACATTCAGCCACCGGCTTCGGACGGAGTTCAGGGCCGGATAGCCTGTTCTCGTTCTCGGTAAATTGGAATCTGATGCATGAACTCTAGCTGTGAATTTATCACCTGATAAAGTTGGGACTTTGGCTAAACTGTTCTTTTTTTCTGGGGTATTAGCCGGAGTATTATTTTGCCACATGTCTAGGCTACGGTTTATGGACTGGGCTAGATCAGGGGTATACATGGCATACATGGATGTTCATGCATTTTCGGAGTTTTATCGGGATTCGACCGGCTTTGGTTTACGGGATGAATGGTTGGAGGATTCGTAGTTTGTCAATAACGAAGTACATACCTATCGGCGAATTTATTCAAGGCTCGGCGAATATGCATTATGATCCACTTCATCGATGTACTCTATGTATTCCTGTTCTGAGCACATCTGGGCAGCGATGTCCCGATATTCACCCGATGCTAAAGTTAGTGGTTGGATGTATCCACTTGAGCTGTATCCGTGCCGCGTGGCCTTCGACAGATCTGATCTCTTGGCTTTAACTCCTAAATCGATTTCGGAGGTCCGCGAAGAGGCTCCGATCTAGAAAGAACTAAGCTCGGGTTTAAATTTAGATCTTGAAACAGGTAGTTCATCGGATTTGATTTCTTACTCGGGCTTCTCTTCGTGTGTATGCTATTCAGTCAGACAATGACTAACTCCCGACCTTCAATATTCTCATACAACCAGTCCCTCCATGTCTTGTTGTGAATAATAGCTTTAACACGAGCCTCCAGCCACTCCGTGTTACCCCAAAATCCCCAAGACGCCTGGAACCGACACCAGTCCACCAACGCCGTCTCCCAGTGACGAAGGAATGCCTTCCACTCATAGAAATCAGACTTCTGACCACGAACAAGTTTCTCATGGTAGTGCTTCAAAAGTTTCTTCTCCCCTTTACACATGTCAAGTCGCTCCGGAACTTCATTCGCAACATCATCAACGAGCATCTCTAAAGGAACAGAGCACGTAAACAGCTTCGCCAGATCACACACTCCCAATCCAAGTCCAACATATTGAAAGTCAAAGAAAGCAACCTCATCTTCCTTTTTTGACGTGAAAAGGTTCTCCGACTTAACATCACCGTGTATGTATGACTCCACCGCTCGGCCACACGGTGTCAAAAACAATGCCACTGCCTCCGCGAGAGATGAGCCGTTTCTGGAGTCATGACACAGATAAAATGACCATTCATCTTCCCCATCCTGAGCTAAAGTGGCATACTCTTTCATCCGCGTCGCGAGATAAGTATATCCCCCATTCAGCCAGAGCCCCTCCCCAACACCATCTCCACACTCTCTCCGCTTATGTTCCTGAAGAGGCGGCAAAACATACCCATCCATAGAATCAGGAAGCAATCCCCACGAACAACGATGAAACCCAGCCAACCAATTTAAAGCACCATGGACCTGGACAGAAGACAGGGTACTCCGCTTCCCACCCATAACAGGGAATGTATCTCTCAAATCAACCATAATAGTAGCCGTAATGCCGGCCAGTTGCTCCTCATCCTTCGACCCAGAGACAAGATCTCTAGTTGAAGCAAGGCATTTCGCGACATGAACCTCTTCATCAAGCAAGGGAACAACATCACTGTAGAATCTCTGCTCGATTTCGTAACTGAGCATTTTTCGTAAGTGTCCCTCGTCTGCGCTAGCTTGGGGCGGTGAGATGAGCTTTAAGATGAGGTTGTAGGTAGATCCTGCGGCGCGGGGCTCAACGCCACAGAGTTTGCTTAGATGGTTTGATGATGCTGCTGTGGTTGTGCGTGCGGTTATCGCGCAGATTTGACCGTAGCCTGCCCAAAGGGTTTGGAGGGTTGTGCATGAGATGAGGTCGAGGTCGTGCCATGATAGCATTATTTTGGCTACTTGGGCTGGGTCATTGGGTAGTGTGTGAGACATGATGAGATCAATTGGATGATGAAAATCGATTTCTCGTTATTGATTTTGTGTCATGGGTGGTTTTGAGAGATTTTAGTAGTCTTCTTTCATGATTGATTTGACACTTGGGCAGTGATTATTTATGATGTTTGCCCTTAGGCATCAATATTACCTATTGTCGCTTAGCGTGTTCTGAAGCCACTGTTTTTGATCCCTTGCTTTTTAGGCATCAACAATACTGAATCAAGTTAGATCAAAACCATATCTTTGTTCTCGGGGCTGACGGCGTTAACGGAGTTAATCACTCCACATCTACCATCTTTGAACTCAACTCCAAATACTAGAGATTATACTATTGATGAAGCTAGACTTTGCCCATTTCGTTTTGTGTTTTCAAAGCCATGCCAAATATGCGACGGCAGTTTCACAGTTGCGAGGCTTGTCGAAAGAGCCATCTGGGATGTGACGCACGACAACGCGACCGTGGACGGCCCTGCTTCAACTGCGCCCGTCGGAGGAAAGAATGCATTGTCAAGGTACGCCATTATATCCAAGTCAAGGATATATCATCAAGCGAATATTAATACACGTTTTGTTAGTGGGAAAAGGTCCCACTGAAGGGCACCGATAAGAATACGTCATGTTTACAAGAGCCTCCAACTATACCATTATCCCAAGCTACACAGGTTGCAAATCGACGACAAGAAGGGGAGGTTCTAGACTCAGCCTTATTGAAGACGTTTTCAAGTATTTTTGAATCGAGGTTTTCACATATCCTGCAAAGCTATTCCTGTCCTGTTTTTCCCCTTGCAGCAGTAAGTACGCATCCTTCAGCTCTATGGCCGTGAAGATACTAAGATTGAAATATAGCCAATAGAAGGATCCATCATCACCCTGGCGCTCTCATTAGACAACCATAGCTCAATTGAAAAGAAGAAGATATCTAAACTGTCCTCGTTCGGTAATACGTCCAATAGCAGAGCCTTAACTGCCGCGGTGCGCGCATTCGCGTTCAAGTTTTTTATTGCTGGCGGACACTCCACCAGAGGCCCCAACAGCGCCCAGTCACAAGCCTGTCATACCTTTATCTGGGCCGAGGCTATCCGACTCGCGAAACAAGCCATGAAAAATCGAAGCTATCAATCAATTTTGACCTTGCACATCATCGGACTCGCATCTTTATCAATCAATATCCCCGAAAAACCCCAGGGCTTTGAGGTTGGGTGCTTCGACAGTGCTTCGCGACATATGAAACGTATACAGGAAGTAGAAAGAGTTAATCTAGACATTGATCGACGTCATCGAAGTGAAATCACATACTGGTGTGTGGCATTGACGGAGAACGCGTGTCAATTGAACCAGCTCCAGAGACTAGCTGAAACATCACTGTTCTCAGAGAAAAGCCAGGTTTGGACAGTCGTTCGAGAGCGAACGAGCTTGTTTCATCAATCTTTTCGGTCCTTACATGGCATGAATGAACCTATGTCAAAAGAAGTTGTCTCTGCGATTCTTCAACACGCGACACTGCATAAATGCATGACATGGTGGAATATCAACAATATGAAGAGCTACGCAGAATCTGACGAAATCCTTGATGTTCTCTTTCAAACTGCAGCCAGAGACATGCTCACTTTTCGAGATGTCTTCTCGCCACTTCTCGATCTGGCCGGGCGAGACTTTTTGATCCTAAACCCGAAAGATCAACTCAGTTATGGCAAGTGTCATCTTTCATATTGAAGTAGTCGGGCTGATACTAACCTTCTACTGTATAGTCCTTGTAACAGTCCACTTTCACTGGGCTGTTCTCCTCTTCATAGAAGAGATAGACAAAAGATCACCAGAACCTCCTGTTTGGCATATGATTTCGAAATCGGAAGCCTCCCGATCCATAGTAAACACATTAAGCCAAGCGCAGCTCGTATACGAAACAAGCTCTTACCAGCCATCCGTACTCCTAATGGATCCCATGCCTGAAACCATGGTCTCATGCATTGTCTCAGCGGCAAATTCTCTTCTGGAATTATTTGGGAATGGAACTTTCTCCCTTGGAGCCTGCAGGACGATGCTTTTCGTGCTTGTGGCAAGTCTCAAGGTTCTTTGCCAAGTATCTCCTTATGCAAAGTATGCATTGGAGAAATTGAATATTGAGACTATGCAGAAGTCTATTTTCAAAGGCGAGATTGGATTTTCATCAAATATGCGTAAGGGCAACCATGAATTCTAATCTTGAATTCAGAAGCTAAAATATTAAAGAGGTCGAATATTGACCTAATCGGAGATATCGGAGAATAAATGCAGTCTTAGAGTTTCGGGAGCGATCACGGGATCGGCTCCGTCCATCAACACCATATGTTTGCAAGGTTGAGCCTCAAGACCGCCAAACTCCGATTTAGGCGGAGTTAGGCAAATGAAGACAGTGATAAAGTTTCGAGATACGTATTCAGGATGCCAGACTATTTATACCACTCATCCCTCGTCCCTCAGACAACCAGCAATCATCAATACAAATCTCATTCAGACACAAAGACCAAACCAAGCTTGACAAAATGTCTTCCACAAAGTACAACTACAACAAACTCGCCGATACACATGTGCTTATTCTAGGGGGTACATCCGGACTAGGCTTCGCTGTCGCCAAAGCCTGTCTGGCCCACTCAGCACGGATAACCATCTCGTCTTCCTCATCCCTTCGCATCGGAAGCACAATCAAGAAACTCGTATCAGAATTTCCCGATTGCAAGGAGAGAATCAACTATTACCCCTGCGATCTATCTCGTGAAACATCAGAACAGGAAATCGAATCCCTATTCTCTCAAGTCGGAATTGTCGATCACATAGTTTACACGGCAGCGGACGCACTACCACTCATGCCATTAGGAGACATAACGCGCGAAAAAATCATAGCAGGCGTACAGATGCGCCTCATCGCTCCGATTCTCGTTGCAAAGATCGGTTCTCGATACCTAACCCCCGGGCCAGAGTCTTCTCTTACCTTGACAAGCGGTGGAATCTCGGAACGCCCAACAGAGAACTGGACTATCGTTGCTGGGGTCATGGGCGGTGTTAATAGTGCTGTGAGGAACTTGGCGCTGGAAATGAAACCCGTTCGGGTTAATGCTGTTAGTCCTGGACTTGTTGATACGGAGATGTGGGATGCTACGTTTGAGAAGGAAGAAAAGGATACTGCGTTTCGGGCATTGGGGGAGAAGCATCTGACAGGGAGAATTGCGAGTGCTGATGAGGTTGCAGAGGCATATCTTTATTTGATGAAAGATTCCAATGTTACGGGGAGAGTTATTAGTTCTGATTCTGGATCTGGAATTGTTTGATACAGCGGATATTCGCAGGCATTGATTATCATCTAGCAATACATTCGATGCGTAGATAAAAGAAGAAACAACAAAGATCATCCACTATTAAGAAGAGATTTCAGTCTCAGGAACAATTTTCACATCATCCATATCCTTAACAAGTATCTCTCCCTGCGATTCCCTCCAAAGCAGATCCTTCTCCCTATCCTGAGCACACAACTCCACAACCCTCCTCTCCGCCGCCTCCCTCTCCCTAATCAACATCTCCTTAGCCCTCCTCTCCATCTTCTCAACATCCACATAATAAAAGTCCAGCACAATCCTCAATGAATTCACATGATCCACCGCAAACTCCGGCCCTCCAAACCCATTCTCTCTAGCCCACTCAATAGCAAACTGCAATATCTCCTTTCCAACCCCGTGTCCCCGATACATTTGCATAACGGTCCAAGCGCGAATAACCGCTTTCACCCTGCAGGTATTATGGACAGGAACCGATTCAAACTCCGCACTCGTATTCGTTAATCCGATTCGATGCAGATTAGCCACCACATCCATATCAACGGGTACCACGCGAAGGACAAGCGTGGCTATGATTTTGCCTTTGAATCGGGTGACGAAGATTGTATCGCGAAGCCAGCCGCTTGCGACACAGATTGTTTCTGTGGGATAATTTGGATCTATGCGTGGGATTGGTCCATTTTGCTTTTTGTATTCTTTGTATTTCTCTTCGGCCCATTTGTCAGCTGTGAGAACGTCACCACCCGGAACTCGTACCCAAACATCTTGGAATTTCATCCATTTTAAAAACCTGGTATCAACAATGGGCAGTCCAGAACCGCCATTTCCATTCCTTTCACCCGCAGGACAAGGAACAAAATCCTTCTCAAATGTCATAACCCAATCCTTACCAAACAACCAACTCCATCTTCCCACTCGTTCCGCTTCGGAAATATACCCCGCGGTAAAATACTGAATAAGAAGCAGTATCATCATCAGGGAGATAAACCACATGAGGGATACAAGGATAATGTCCTCAGGATACTGATAGAGGCGAGTGTAGATGAAATGCGCGATGACGCACATTAGAAGCGGGAAGAGCCAGTGGTGGATCATGGCGCTAGATGTCTTTTGGCGTTGTTGGGCGACGCTGTCGGATATTAGGTTTAGGGAGGTTATGAGGTCTTTTTCGGTGGTTGCTTCCATGGTGAGGAGGCCCTCGTTGAGGGGGAAGGGGGTGGAGCTGGTATCTTCAGGCTGTTCGGGGGTTTCTTTTCCTTTTCGGTGCTTTGATTTGGTTTTGGTTTTGTCTTTGGACTTGGATTTGGATTTTGAGTCTGATCTTTTCTGTTTGTGTCCTGAGCGGGAGCGCGAGTGGGAGTGGGTTCGAGAGTGGGAGCGTGAACGCTTCTTGATTTCCATTTCCGTCGTTTCCGATATTATGGACAGAAGTTCTCAGAATGATGATCGGTATTCGCGTCTGGTTGGTTGGTTGCTGGAATTCGACGAAGTTGGTTGTTGTGAGGAGCAATCTTGCACGTGTGTGAAGATGAAAATGGACGTATCCTGGACTCTTCTCCGATGATAATGTGGAAACGCGAGATCTGAGCGTGAAACTTGACCTTCAGACCCTACTGCTTACGTGTGGGAGGTGGAACGCGTGGGGTGTGGAGTGAAGGAAGAAGTTGTGAGTGTGTGGATGGTTGAGGTAGCGGCTTTAAAGTGAGATGTAACGCGACATGTTATGTGGAACGATTGAAAGTGAACAGAGCCTTCACCCTAACTCTTTCATGAAGAATAAAGTTTATTCAAATATTCCAGTTCCAAAGAAATGTATGAAAGATCGGAACAAAGAGACTAAGACATAGGGAGTTTCAAAGAAACTTCCGTCATGTTCAATGTCTCTGGATGCTAACACTGACGCATACTTAGAAACTTTACATTAGACTTTACACTAGACTTTGCATTTAGACTTTGCATTTAAAATTTCAACTTCAAGTTGCGCATACAGAAGAATTCGAAATTGGCTTCCATGCCAAACACGCATAAGTTATATCTCAAACCCTATAGTGAAACGTACCAGACTGATTATAGTTGGCGTAAATACAGATTCTGTAAGCAGCCACTCTTGGCGTAATGTATGGAAGAAACCAAAAATACAGCTGTTCTTTCCTCACAGTAATAGAATAGCTTCTGGAGCTTCTAATTCAAGATTGAGTTGAATTACGATCTCTGAAAGCATAAAGTTGATTGGACAAATGAATATAAGTAGAATTAAATCTGTGTCCTATATTCAACATGATCGTCCAAATATGTCCTTTGACCCCTGTGCAGTATATAAACAAGGCCAAGGGTTACGATAAACAAGGAAATGAGAGTTTCTTGCTGAGAAAGGCTACCAAGAGAAGACATTTATATCATGGGCTCGATCTATTGCTCCGAAAATGTGGAAATTGACGGTTTAGAAGGCTTGGAAGGCGAGGTTTCAAAGGAGTCATGCCACTTTTTCAATATGGATACTGATGATAAAGTAAATGGATGATCAAGGCCTAATGATTTACTACAAGACTTAGCACACTGAGCTATTATTTGCAACGTAGCTTGACCTCTGCTAAGGTCTCTTAGAATGAATGCAAGATTATTCATGCTTGTTAGAGTATCAGGATGCTCTGGCCTAAGTACCTGCTTGTAAGTCTCCATCACCTATACTTTAAGCTCTTCAGCTTCCTTCCATCGTCCCTGATTCTAGTAGGTTGATGCCAGGTTACCTATACTGGTCAGAGTAGAGGGATGCTCTAGCCTAAGCACCTGCTTGTGAGTTTCTATCACCTGTAGCTGAAGTTGTTTGGCTTCCTTCCATCGTCCCTGATTCCAGTAGGTTGATGTTAGGTTTCCTATGCTGGTTAGAGTAAAAGGATACTCTCATCCAAACACCTGCTTGCAAGTCTCCACCACCTATACTTCAAGTTGTTTGGCTTCCTTCTATCGTCTCTGATTCCGATAGGTTGATGCTAGATTGGCTATATTGGTTAGAGTATTAGGATACTCTCGCCTAAGCACCTACTTAAAAGTCTCTATTACCTGTACTTCAAGTTGTTCGGCTTTCTTCTATTGTTCTTGATTCCAGTAGGTTGATGTTAGGTTTCCTATACTAGTCAGAGTATCAGGATACTCTCGCCCAAGCACCTACTTAAAAGTCTCTATCACCTACACTTCAAGTTGTTCGGCTTCCTTCTATCGTCCCTGATTCCGATAGATTGATGCTAGATTTCCTATGTTGGTTAGAGTATCAGGATGCTCTGGCCTAAGCACCTGCTTGTGAGTCTTTATCACCTAAAGCTGGAGTTGTTTGGCTTCCTTCCATCGTCCCTGATTCCGATAGATTGATGCTAGATTTCCTATACTGGTTAGAGTATCAGGATGTTTTGGCCTAAGTATCTGTTTGCGAGTCTCTATTACCTAAAGCTGGAGTTGTTCGGTTTTCTTCTATCGTCCCTGATTCTAGTAGATTGATACTAGATTAGCCATACTGGTTAGAGTATGAGGATGCTCTCGCCTAAACACCTACTTAAAAGTCTCTATCACCTATAGCTGGAGCTGTTCGGCTTCCTTCCATCGTCCCTGATTCTAGTAGGTTGATGCTAGGTTTCCTATACTGGTTAGAGTAAAAGGATGCTCTCGTCTAAGCACTTGCTTGTAAGTCTCTATCACCTGTACTTCAAGCTATTCGACTTCCTTCCATCGTCCCTAATTCTGATAGGTTGATGCTAGATTGCTTATGTTGGTTAGAGTGTCAGGATGCTCTAGTCTAAGTACCTTAGAACATAGTTTAAGCTCTTCGGCCTGGAGCTGTTCGGCTTCCTTCTACCGTCCTTGATGCTGGTAGGTTGATGCTAGGTTACTCATACTACTTAGAGTGTTAGGATGCTCTAGCCTAAGCACCTGCTTGAGAGTCTCCATCACCTGCAGCTGGAGCTCTTTGGCTTTCTTCCACTCTCCCCCAAGACTATATACTAAACCAAGTATATTCAAACTCGTCAGAGTCTTCTTGTCCCTCACCCCAAATAAGTCTTGTCTTGTTTTCATTGCCTTCTTTGCTATCTTTTTACTATTGATTAAGTTTCCTTTCGTCCATGTGAATGAGGCTGCTTTATGAAGCACTGATGACCATACTTCCATTGAGGGTTTTCTAACTGGTTGCTGTATCATAGTGCACTACACATAGGAAAATAGCAGTTGATACTCCCTCTAATTCTCGAAATCCCCTTTAGGGAAATTCCTATTGAGCCTTCGGATGAAAATCTCCTTCTAGTGCTTTGAGCTTCCTTGAGTATTAAGCTATTTCTGTATCCCTAATTGAACTAATCCATACATCGCGAAGTTTGCTGGATCTGAGGTTACGGAAATTAAATAATAATCCTTTAGTAACGATATATTGTTCTTAAAGCTGTCGGCCTTGCTGTATATGCTTTTTTCATCTTCAGTGTCACTTTCATTACTCTGCTTACTTGTTTCTTTTGCATCTTGGCCTTCTCGTAGAAGAGTTTCAGGGATCCCTTGCCTATCAAAAAAGCTCATTAGAGATAAGAGACTTGCTGCCGATGGCCTTCTTCCCTGAATATCCTCAAATGATATCTGCTAAGTTAGAAGGATACAATTTTTGGCCTCTGGGTCCCTGCGAAGCTGGCCACCTTCGTATTTAAGAAGATTGATTTTCTGACGATCACTTTTCTGGAACCTTTCCAAATATTGTGTGACTGTCTCTCGTGGTGCTTTTTGCTTGATAAAAGCCGCCGCCTGCACAATTGCGAGCGGTATAAATTCTAGAGCTGTGACTAGTTGGGTAATTGCGGAGCGGTTAGGTTGTGCGCCGAGCTTCTTTTCAAAAAGCGAGATTGCATGGCCCTCGTCCATCGGTTCGACCGGAATGATATCGTAGTCTTCCACAGTCTTTAAAGCCACCCCTCTACTCCGGCTCGTTATCACAACACAGCCTATCGAGCTTTGACAGAGATAAGACCAGATCGATCGTTCAGAGGGAAGACTATGGTCCTGTTCTAGGGTGGACTGTGTTGAAGGTATCGCATGGAGAAAGTGATCGTCGTCGAGGTTGTCTAGGACAATGATCCATTTTCCAGTCTTTGTATTGTGTAGCCAATTGTGGAGTAGCTTGAAAATATTTGCCTTGGGGTCCTGCCGCCCTGGTATCTTGGCTCGGTCTGCTATCTCCCGGCAACTCTGCTCAAAGCGAGTTGCATTGCTTGCATGAATCCATAAAACCCATGTGTCGGGCGATCGATCTCGAACTCGATGGCAATACTCTATGGCAAGCTGCGACTTTCTTACATGGAAATTAGTAAGAAGGGCGTACTGGAATCGTCCTTTCAACTCACCCTACACCACCGAAGCCGACAAGTGCTACCCGAGCACCTTGCGTAGAGCCCTTTTCTTGGATTTGATCAAGGAGTGATCCACAATCAATAAAATCTGGGTCGCGACGGAACGGTACGGTCGAGAGAGGAGGCGGTGGAGTTTCCGGTCGCTCTGTCAAGAAGTGGCGATCAGTCCTGGATAGGTGCGGGGCCAGTCTTTGTGAAACTTACCTGGGGGCAGATGAATTGTTCCCTGATTAATTCCGACCTGGTTCCCTGAGTTTGTGGGGCCAAAATATACGGAAGTCATAATGTGTTTGTGATAGAGCTTGATGTGTCGTTAGGCAAAGGAAATGTTCTAGCTTTCAGAAGATAGAAGGCCATTCACCCTCAGCCTCACTATCATGTGACCTAGGCGCTTAAATCTAAGAGGTGGTTCGTGCTATTTTTGGCATGTTTATTGCACCTGTTCGATCGCAGGAATTGGAACGTACCCCAACTAACCTAAATGGTAAAACTGTGGGGGTATGTGGGTCTGTGACCGGTCTCTTCGCACCATAGAAGACAGCAGAGTTACGTCTAAGCACAATCCCCGAGCCTGGATCCCTGGCGCGCATGGTTCCTGAATACCCTCCCCCACGAGCCGTGGCTGGAGGGAAACGAGTGGACAAGCAAGGAGCTGGTGATTCACTTTCTGCAGTCGATAAGGGATGCAGATCAAAGCATAAAGACAAAGGATGATGAGGCTACTTCTGGTGCCGCAAATGAAATGAAGACAGAGAATAAGGTGTTTATCAATGTATAGGCTAAAGCTAGAAGACCGCCCATGTGGCTTCCCACTGGAATTGATTTAATGCGCGGATCATCCGTTCAAGGAAACGGGATAGTATACATCAATCAACTTGAAGTTCACCCAGCTGTTAATACCGAATTCCACCATCTTAAAATTTCAATACAGAGAGGCATTGATATTTGAAACTCTGTCGTGACAGAGAAGACATGATGTGATGTTTTCCATGCAGAAAGTGGTGCAGATCTAGATTAACTGGTACTAAGTTTCCGGGGCTGATACTAGGCTTTTATAGCGTACGACGCGGATCCGGGATTCCTATATAGTACATCCGTGAGTATGTGCCCATATATAATATGTGGTCCTAGTAGTAGTGAAGTGGTAGTGCAAACAGGCTGACACTCTGGAAAAAGTCTCGCATTTGTGTGGTATTGTAGTTGGTGGAACCTGCCGATCTGCCACGGGAGTACAGGGGAGCGCACTTAGAACAACAACAGCGTAGATAGAACTAGCAATGCCATTTCGCAGCGAAAACGACAAGTACCGGAAGTTCAGAAACATTAACTGCCCTCGCTTTTTGGCTAAAAGAGTGATAGTGAACTTATTTTTGCATAAATGAAAAAAAGAAAACGAGAAATAGGGAAAGCCAAGAAGTTAACGAACTCAACAAAGCGTAAAATTAGATAATGAGAAGAAAATCAGTAGAGAGTCAAGGTCATTTCGCCGCCATCTTATGAGCAAGGTCAAGTAGAAACCGCTCATCCTAGTAGTTGAAGCCCTGCAGAAGCGATCAAGGTCCCCCAGGCTGCACTGTAGTCATGCCTGGCCGCTTGGAAGAGGATTCCTCAGACTTATGTTCCGGGCCAGTCGTATCAGCCTCGGCAGCTAACTTCTCACCCGCAAGATCCTCAAGTGTTCTTCGCTTCGTCTCAGGGATAAGAAGAGTCGTAAAGCAGCCACAAAGCATGAAGAGAGCGAAAATCTGCATAACATGATTCAACCATCGACTATCGGATACACCCGCAGGAGCGCCCTTGTTGACCAGCGGTCCAAACACGCACTGAGCGATAATTGCTCCTACCTTTCCTGAGGCAGCACTGATGCCATGGCAAGTTGATCGATAGCGGGTTGGGAAGCATTCTCCAGGCACAATGAAGGTGGTCGCATTGGGCCCGAAATTGAAGAAGAATTGTGCGATGACATAGAGACTTAGAAGACCGTTGTGGGAGTTCTTCAGAGGGTGGAAAGCAAATCCGATGATGATGAATAGAATTGTCAACATAATGAAGCCGGCAAGCTGAATTGGTTTGCGACCAATCGTGTCCACGGTGGCAACGGTCACCCAGTAGCCGGGGATGGCACCGGCACAGATAAGAATCAGATTACCAACAGCATTGCGATAGAAGACTTGGTACACATCGTGTCCGCCAGTCCAACCGATGGCGCCTAGGATAATGGAATTGTTCAAACCAAGACCATAGAAAGCTGAACAGGTTAGTTTATTTCCAACTTTTCTGAAGGCACGGATTAACTCACCGACATCAAGGAAGAACCAGGACCCAGCAGTACCGAGAAGAACTGACAAGTTCTCCCGCTGCATGAAGTGTTTTCGGAAATCAACCCAGCTAGACCGGGGAACGAGAAGCTCGGTACTTTTATTGCGTAGCACAGTCACACGACGAACCTCATCGGGGTGTCCCTCGCTTTCACCCTTGATGTACGCCCTAATATCTGATTCTCCCTTTAAAATATCCCTAGATACATCAAAAGTGTACCGAGGGGTTTCTGGAATCGTCAATCGGTAGTACAGAGCCAGGCATCCAGGGACGGCACCCATTCCGATGATCGTGCGCCACATCTTATCGACGGCAAGTTGACAAACACCGGTACAATGGGCAACATCCTTTGCTGTTTCCAGAGACTCTTTGAAGCCTGCGGCGACGATCAAGGCAATGATCGCTGCGGCAAATTGACCAATACCCTGCATAGCGAAAACAGCACCCATCATAGCACCGCGCCACTTGGTTGTTGCAAACCTGACTCGTTAGCTCATATTTGCCTAGCAGGTAGAACAAACACTTACTCCGAAGTAATAATCGACGAAAGGGGATAATCACCACCAATTCCGATGCCCATAATCACGCGCCAGAAGATGAGAAGCCCAGTGATCGAGACAGCACGTGAAGAGGAGGACAGCGCCTGAGCAAGAGTCGCGAGAATAATGATCATAAGCTCAATTCCGTACATCCTCTTCCGGCCAATGCGATCAGCCAACCATCCAAAGAACAGCTGTCCGAGAACAGTACCACCCGAAGTGGCAACTTTGATAGCCGTATCCGAATGAGACGGGATCTTTCCTTTCTCATGCTGCCAGTACACAACGCCCAGCATACTGACGCAGAGATTGATAGCGAAAATATCATAGGAGTCAGTAAAGAATCCGACACCAGCAACGACCACAGCGCGAACATGACGCCAGCCGAACGGGGCATTATCGATTTTTTCCAGGGCTTGACGGCGAAGTTCTTGGGGGTCACTCAGGTATGACCCTTCACTTCCATCGTGGGCGGGGTTTTCCTCGTCGGGGACGGGGGTAAGGAGAGCAAGCCCATTAACCGCGTGAGGTGGAGTTCGAGAAGATGCCATCTTTGTTTTCGTTTATTTTTTCCTCGCAGCTCGACTCTTGCAACGAACGAAGGAAAAAAGAAGATAATGAAGCTCTTCAGCGCGGGATGGGGATGTTCAGAGCCTAATAAGAAGACTGAGTGAGATGAGAAGGAGAAAAGCAACCCTGAGCAACGTGCACCCGTAGAGTATCACTATCACTACGGAGGATAAACCTCGTGGAATGTGATTGTTACACCATATTGAAACTGAGTCGAGGACTTAGTACTTCTTTTAATATGGGTGGACCCACTATGGAGGAAGTATCTCTCCCCCGATGCACTTTCAGGCACCAAGTCACGTCCAGACCCTGGTTCATGGCCTTATGTCTATGTGTCTGAGCCAATCAGAGCGCGTTTTGGACGCACATGGTTTACGCTGGTGGATCGCTCCTTCCTCGTGCGATAGCTGTCAGTTGTCCAAAACACAGAAAGTGCCATCGTGATGATGCGCTCTTCTGAAGGAAGGAACGACCGTATACGCAAGGCACCTGCCTCTTCGTGGTTATTTCCTCTATATCCTAAAGACTTAATACTACTCATATCCCATCATCAATCTCCCATGGCAGATGTTTGGAGCCTCAGGCGAACATAAATCGGTAAACACACTCAGTAAACACACTGATTTGATGAACTGCCAATGATATCTCAGGCATTTCCAATGCGTTCACATGTGCACCCTCAACCCTGAGGCCAAGAGCTCTGGGTCTGTCTTTGCCTCAGACTTTAGTTGAGATCGACCGCATCCGTTTCGGAACATTTGATGCAATCCCCATGTCATCCCGACATCAAGCTCTAGAGCCACCCGTGGCAACCCAGAACTCTATTTAACACCCCACAATCACACTACACTGATGAGGCGGGTAATGTAAGAATACTAGTATATTTGACATTCAAGTTCATGAAAATTCCACATACACAAATGCAAGATCAACCAATCTGCCCACTTACCATGGGCCGAAACAAAAACTCAAATAGCCAGACCAGCTGGCAAACGTTAGTCCATCCTATAAAGCTTCATTGCAAACTTGAAGAAAATGAAAGAAAATAAGGAAAATTAAGAAAATAAAAGAACCCGACTAATATATTGGACTCCCAGAACCGACGATGAAGCCCCTCCCACAATCCCAGCTGAAGCCGCGCAACAATTTGAAGCCGAGATCTCCCATTTCAGCGACTCATTAAGTGACGAAGAGCGACAAGTAGGTGACGATAAACCGACTTTGAAGGCGTACGTGCAGTCCACAAATATCCGTGAAAATCCAAGTGCAGGGCTCAGAGCGTATGAAACTGCTATTCTTGAGAATGTTGGGTTCTGACTGTTAGATCTTGTCATAGGGCGAGGAATGATCGCGACCCTTCAGGCTTAGGGAGAAGGGAGAGGGTTCTCCGGAAGTTGGAGAGGCTGGCGTGATGCTACATATTACATTCGTTTACTCCTATTGCAGGGTATTATTAGTTCAACTTGAAGTTAATATAATCAAACAACCTTGAAAATTGAAGTTTGACCGATGAGTTGACGATTGGAAAACGTGGTATAGTATAATATTACCTATAATATTTCAAATAGAATATAAATGCAAGTGTCAAACTTCCGGTCATCGTGTATATAATGGTTGTATATCACCCGACATTACAAGAACTTAAAGTAGAAAAGAAAAGAAAACCCAACTTTTAATCCTCCACTCTATCCACCCAACACTCACAATCCCTTTTTCATCTTCCACCTCATAATCAAAGTCGCAAAAGGATAAAAGGCCAAAGAAACAGCAATCCAAACGAATAACACTCCAAAATCCAATCCAATTCTCGAATGTGTTCCAAAAAGAATAGTCCTCAACGCCTCAACAACTAAAGATAAGTTAGCAAATCATTCAACCAAAACAGCACAATATCAATTCAAGATAGATAAAAAGAAACTTACTCCGATGCAACGGCCACGCGTACCCCCACCTATAAAAATCCGGTGCCAAATCCAACGCATAGAACCCCGTAGCAACATTCGTTATAACCCAAAAGATAAGAAAAAGCGAACTCCACGGAAACCCAAGCACCATAGCCATGTTCTCACAAGGAAGACCCAAAGCAGTCATACCAACCCAATTAAGCATCCAAAACACCACGAACGAACCCCTTCCATACGCATTCGGATTATTAGCCGATAACGTATCCGGCGCAGGGGAATTCGTAAATGGAATCTGAAACGCAAGGGAAACAAGGGAATAAAAGAATGATAAGAAGAAGTATGCTGTTAGTGCGGATAGAACACGCCAGACGAGCCAGTGGGGCACCTTGAGTGGAGGGTGGGTGTCTGATTTCATGAATTGTGCGTGAATAGGCATTAGGAAGGGAAAGTTGAAGAATGATATGATGATTAGGTAGATTAGACCGATTGTTACGGCTGGTGCGGCGACGGCGGGGGTGAAGGGTCGGAGATCAATGTTTGTGAATCCGATTCCGGGGTTAATGGCTTGGAATGGGGTTGTGGAGAGATTGGTTGTTCTGGTGCTGCTGTTGGAGACTAGTTCCCGGGCCCACAGTGGGCCGAACTGGGAGAGGATGATAGATTGGATGATAGCCAGGTCGGGAAGAATATAGGTGTAGTATGTATTTTCGTCGCGGGCGGAGATGATAACTGTCTGTAGTGCACCAGTTGGATCGTAGGATGTATTTTTTGCTGTGGCGGCATTGCGTAAGAGGGAGGTTGCATTTGGATTAACGATTATAGCGGCGTAGGCGTGTTCGTCGTAGATAGCTTGTCGAACTGCCCAGGGATCATAGTTGAAGTCTGCAGGGGACTTTATTTTGTAGTTCAGATGCAAGGAATCAAATGAATCGTATTGTTTTGTCATGTTCGTGACTAGTGGGCCGACAAGAGTGTCATTGGTTTTGTAGGGATCGACTTGGCCGTCGAAATCGACTACCCAGACATGGAGTGATGGGTACTTGGCTTCGGTTGTGTATTGGGAGCCCCAGAATAGGGACAGAACGGCTAGTACAAAGACACAGAGAATTGATACTGAAGTTTTGTTGCTGTTAGTGCGTGCTGTTTGCCGCGACGGGATTGTCAGGTTCATCAGGAACTGTACCTGTTCGAATCCATTGCACGAATACTTGCTTCCGGACTTGGCTCAATGAGGAATCAAAGAACCCGACCGCTGCTGGTGGAGACGGCGGAGCTAACGGAGCAGCTTTCTCATCGTCGGAAGTTGCTCCAGTTGACATTTTTTCGAAGCCGTTTGAAGATTTCTCGTAGAATATGCGACAATCTCGAAGTTACGAAGTGACATTTTAACTCCATCGTAGCTGAATGTGAGGTCATCCGTTTCCGGCGAAGGGTTCTCGGAGATTACCATTTTTGGTAAGTGGCCTTTTTATCTCCGAGTCGCGTCTACGGTCGGCTAAGAATCGAATGGGTCCAAACACAAGTTCAACACGGAATTAGTATTGATCGGTCAGTTCTGGCAGGCTAGTTAGGGTAATTATTATGCCGCCGGTTCAAAATGTCGGTTGTTTAGTAGTTTTATATCCGATGAACAGGTATTTGTATATCCGACCGAATCGGGGTGATCTAGCGTTTCCAGGTCCAAGTCAACGCGATTCTGAAATTTAGTGGAAATTGGAAACATATGGAGGATAGTTTCAGGTGAATGGCAGAGATGCAAAGAAACAACTATAAAAATAATAACCATACCAAGATTGCAAGCATAAAGAGCTGTACTCCTTTAACATGGTCCCCGTGCGACCATGGATCTAACCGCATTAGGCTCGTCCCGTTTGCCCTGTGAGAGGCCTAAGTATGGAAGATCCACTCATCTCTTTCAATTCAAAAAAAAAGAAAAATCAATATAATATCGGCTAATTCGGTTGTCTTGTCGCCATATCAATTGCAATTGTCATATCAGACCAATGCATTAAAAATCCGCCATATAATATCATAGTCATCTCTATCTAGCACACGTTGCGCAGAAATCATCTCACAATATCGGATACTCCACAGCTACCACACATATGACGAGGCCAATTTCAATTGCTCATCATACTCTGCTTTCAAAAGATCAGGACTAGAAATCCAGTGGCCAATGACATTGCCAGCGAAATCGGGGCGCTCAAAGTTAGTGGTCCTCGCTCCATCATCCACGGGAATACCATAAGAGTATGTCGTTTTCCAGCCATCCTTCAAATCTTTGCCGTCTGATTTCCATCGAATTATCTCCGTCGGCAGATGGCATTTGTTGAACCATGTGATGGTTTGAGAAGTGGCATTCCAGTCTTTGTCATAGCTAGTCTGGACGACATCATATCTACCGGGAATCGGGTTGTGAAATAAACAGCTTGAAGATGTTAAAAGGCTTGTGAAAACCAAAAGCTTACACATACTTGAGTGCATCGTCATCTCCATTCATCAGAGAATCTGTGTTACCAGCCATTTTCAAACCAATCATGAAATCGGTGAATGTGTAATCAATTACAAGACGACTTAACATATATTCAGTATGTTGTTGAACTTGCATGTACTAGTAGTGGTTATTCACTGATGGTAGATATTGCCTCATCCCACTTTGATCCCGAAATTCGGACGTAGAGTACTCATGACGTGACGATGCTCCTGTCGGATAAACGACCCGGGAGATAGCTTTCATGTCCACGAAAGGTTCGTACTTCAACAACGTAGAGTGCCCGGCGCCATCTTTGATAGCTGTGACACCTTCAATATCGAAGGTGACGAATTTGATTTCGTGAAGAAAACGGCTGAGTGTTATTGTAGATGAAATCAACATTATTACCCAAACGATCTCGGATAGATTCCAAGCGCACGCCAGGAGCGTTCAGTCCTGCGTTTCTTTCACCTGAGAAACTGTACTGAATACGAATTCCATCGCGATATTGTTCGAACGTGGGCTTTCCACCGGCATCGAAAAAGACCGATACACCGTTCGGTTGGTTAAGCTGATACCCCTGCAAATCCGTCAGTCCGCTGGGATTATTCTTTGAAGGCCAAATATCCCCAAGTTGGACGTTTGGGTAAATTTTATTGATGTATTTGAGTCCAGAAGAATACCCGGTAGTGTCCACCCAGTCAAAGCCAATAAGATACGTCCTTCCTTTCATGGTAAGGCTTCGGCCGTCGAGGATATAAGGAATATCGAAGCTCCAGTTCTGTAGTAGTTCACAATTCCCGGGTGAACCAAATTCGTAGAATATGCCGACTCTCCACTGGCCATAAGCGTCTTGGACCAGGGACGCTTTATATGTGAGGAATGCGGTATGGGGATGGACAGCGGTGCCTTCTGGCAACGGAACGCGAGCGAGGGCAAATGAGCGGAACTGGCCTCCAATGTTCATATTTGCGGATTTCTAATTGATAAGCCAGATCGTAGGATTCAAAACGAAAAAAAGCAGTGCAGTGGGCGCTGTATCCTTCCAAGATCTTGGGAAACTGCCATCTAAATACAAAAATGGCGGTAAAACATGATTCCAAATCAGCTTTTTACACGGCAGCATCACAGCTAGTCGAGATTGAAAATTGCCCTGAGGTGCCACGTACATATATCAGCTCAATTATAGGTACTATGCTCGATGTACTCCGTCGACCAGAGGGGGTACAGCTGAAAGCTGAGTACCGTAGTTATTCAATGTAAAGATCTGCACAATATCCGAGCTGAGGCGGGGCTATAGTCCAGATCAACCCGATCTTCACCAGATGAGGTTTTTAAAAACTCAATTTTTGATTCGCTCATTTACGAAACGGAGAAGGGGCTATCTGCAGGAGAGACAATAAGCATTATAAGCACTTGAACACAAATGTCACATCTCATCCCTTGCCGTTCGCCGTTATCAAGGGCCCAGATCTGATCTACCACGAAAATCATAAGCTACAGTGGCAAGATAGGGATTTTGACTAGACATTTAATAAGTATCAATATAAATACTCAATTTCAAGGCGCGATTGTCTCAAGTTCCAGCGGGGAAAAGTGAGGAATATCCTGCAGGCGCTTGCCCATCCCCGACGAATCAGAACTAGCCGCCATCCCGTTGTAACATGCATGAGAAGGAGACGCGACATTCAGTTTCAAGGAGTACGTACCCCAGAAAAGCCACTAGTAGTAGTACATGGCACTATTGTCGGAAATATAGTACTTGCAGTTCATCAATGTATCGAATATTTATGCATGCTTCATTATCATCTTTCTATTCTATTAATAAAAACCAAAAAGACGAAGGAAGATCGAACGAGACAAGACATCCCTTATGCCAGGTTCAAATTCCAATTAAATAAACGCCGCCTTCCAGGTTGTAATTCTATCATGATATTCATATCGGGACCAGCCCTCCGAGCACACTGTATTCTTTGAAATCCAGATGTCCTCCGTTTATTCCAAGGTTCCATTTGTGGAAACAAAACCACTTATTTCAATTCCCCAGCTCCTCCACAAGTAACTCGGTAAGATCCATATCGTCGACTTAATGTTGGAATGCGACATATCCCAGTGTGGCTGATCGAGCTAGCAGCATCATTTTCCGGCTCAGTCGCATCGCACATCGTGTTATCGTAGAAATCAACATGGCACCCGTCCGAGACGAGGTTTAATCGGTAGGCTGAAGCAACGGTGCTCAGGTCCGCGCGACAACCAGTGCTGCCAGCGCCAGCGTAGGGGTCACCGGTTCCGTTGCATGCTGATGTAGGGAATAGATCGAAGGACCATTGAATATCTCGTTTTTGGAATGGAGAGGCCGTAGCAGTGGCGAGGAGGACTGCCAGCGCAGGAAGAGAGAAATGCATAGCGAAGAATATATGTGGCTTTATGGTTGAACGAGGCTGATGTCTGGTATTCTAGCACTGAGTTAGTACGCTAATGATTCCAGAACAAAAACATAGATACCAGCGAACAATAGAACATACCGATAGTGCAAGGAAGCCAGCGAACGTGGAGTACTCCAGGTGGAGAAGAATGCGAATCGAAAATCAGGGTCTTCGCACGATAAAAAGAATCTAGGTGGAGAGTTCAAAACGGAGTCCGGAGCGACGATAGGGCTTTTTAAAACCTTGATCCTGCGAGTGCAACCCAAAAAGAGGAGAGAGGAAGGATTTAAGGACAATCAGTTTCAACCCACCGACGATCCCCAACCACGCCAAGACTGTTTGCCGTTCCTGCAGGGTATACGTATACTGAGTCTTGGCAGCGGTCCCTGCACAATGATCATTGGGACAGGCGTGCAGTGCATAGCCTTTGCCGCCATGTGAGCGCTATACCCTGGCTTGTGTGTGTCTCATGCTGCGCCATTCTGCGTTTAGCAACTGGGCAACCAGTCAAGTATTTCACCGGGGGACGCCGAAATGCATTCCAGTGACTTCATTCCATCCTGTTTGGTGGAAATGGACGATCGCTTTAACTGGAAGAGGCAGGAAGTGGGGCTTCTGAGTCGGGATCGCCGCTGTTACGTAGAGAGGTACGCGGCTTAGCGTGATTAGTCAGATTGGCGTTTTTTTTTCTTGCTTGACACACAGTGGAATCGAGGAGATTTGATTGGTGTTTCCATTCTCGTCATATCGTTCAATTAAGATGTGGCTGGGGTGGAGTTCTTTATTTTTGTTCGCCGTCGTGATTCGTGCGACCGTTACCTGCCACTTCTCCATACGGGGGGCTATTTGTTCTCCACTTAGTGTGTCAGTGATATTGTCAGGGGTGCGGGATGGAGAATAACAACCTTGGAATCTTTGCCGCGGAGATTTGAGCCTTCGACCCGTCGATCAGCTTTTTGGGGATCTTTGATCTGAGTTATGTTTTGTTGACGGTCTGTAATCGGAGTTGGCTGGGACAGGAGTCAGGTGACATGTCACGTTTTCAGATTTATACTCGGTAAAGTCTAGAACGGGTAATATACAGGATCCCGAGCGCAACACGCCCAAAATACGGCACCAGTACGATATAATTACGCCGAGGGTTGGACAGGCCTAGAGGGTAGTATATACAAGGGTGATAGAGCTTCAGCAAGATCAAGCCTTCACATTTACGCCATGCAGAAGACCAAAGCCCCATAATATGAATCTTACGCAACCACCGAAATCAAATCATTCCAAAATGTATGAAGATCAACCCTCAGTTCGATCATCAACCACAAATACAGAATCTGGAGATCCTCATCATGCATACAGATCTAAACTCCATCTGCTTAACAACTATAAATACTGAAGCTGCATGTCCTCGCCATGAATGAAGATCGGACCTACATGTTCAAGGATAAGCCGGCCCACTTTCCCTTTTGAGGCTCCGTTGTTTCAGCAAAGGTCCAGCAAGCCCGAGGGTTGTATAGCGAGTTTTGTCCCAAAGGATTATGTGCCAAATCCTGCTGTACCATGGAAAAAAGTCGTAAGGGAGTGTCCATACTCTATTTAATATGATTTCCAAAGTGAATGTATAGCTAGTATTTAGATTATCTGAATGTAGATCTGGAAGCGATACGCTCCTATTCACGATAAGGACCTAGCGTGTTCGAATACTGCACGCAGCTGCTCCGACTAGATTAGCCGCTGCATGAATCTGTTGTGAATATGAGAACACAATGTTCCTATCCACGATAAAGGCCCGGGACAACTCTCCGCCTCTAGCAAGGGTCTCAATGTAATTCTCGTGAATAAGCACATTTAATTTTGCCACCCAACATAAAGAGCCGGCACACAGTTAATCCGAATGGTTGTGAATAGTTGCCTAAACAAGGGATAACAACTGTACAACATACAATCCCAATTGAGCCCTATAAAGTTCCTATAATACCCCCGATTAGCCACAGCGACGGTTATCCTCGGACTATCGCCCCCCCCGCATGAGGAAGATGGCTCCTACGGGATATAAATAGTTACTGCGATCTCAAACCCCACCTTTCTTGAAATTCGAGAAATCAGTCGAGACACGCGTCGACCACTGCACACTCCAATATAGTATCATGGCATCTACCTTCGCGTCAATGAGTCCGATCCACAACCCAACCTCATCCGAGACCCCGTGGGCATCCTGAAAAGAACTTGCAACCGTCTGGATGGAATATCATGCACATGACTCCGACATTCGAACCAACGAATTCCACGCCCACCTCTCTGATATCCCCTGAGACCGTTTCAAGCCAACCCATTTCCAGAAAACGGCAAGGATAGAGAAAAGGGCCTAAGAGATATTGGAGAAATCCAAGCTCTGCCATGGGTTTTGCCTACTGTAAGTACCTTCCCTCCCTTTTGTCCGACTCTTCATCTAACCGTCGTATAGGCATCAAGAAAGACGGGGGCATTCACTCGATTTCGAAGCGTGGTTCAGCGAAATGGATCATGAGCTACGGCTGATGTCCATCGACGACGTGATCCGCTGTGAAATCCCTCGTCCTCCGGCTACAGACGAAGTATTACCTCATATTCATGGTGTCTCCGTTGTCTTGCTACATTGTTTGTGTCTACTGTCAGTACTTGTACCCCATTTCTTTCGATTCTTGATCTAACCGTCTTATAGGACTCAAATAGAGATGCGGTGGTTGCTTCTCTCTCTCTCCTTCAGCTTCGCTATTCTCGTTGAATGTGACTACGTCGTTTGTTTTAATTTTCAATCTTCTTATCGTGGCCCCGACCAAAGATTGTCATCATGTCCGTCGTTCATCATTCATCAATTTGTTCTCTAGTTATAATGCTATTTCGTTCTGTTGGAAATTCAGCTTTTCTCATAATAAATCTCACTGACCGACTGCACCACCATTCTGGCGCCACCCAACCTTCTCGCAACTATGGTGTCTTTCGTCTCCACGCGGATGAAAGGGCTAGCCATTGAACTAGCCCAAGTCTCACTGTAGGCGCCAAAATCTAAAATAATCTTCCTTACACCATGCTGAATGCATTCAAGAATCACCTTCAACCTGATTCACAACAAAGATTCAGTCACGTATATGATGAAGCTTAAGTGCATACCTCGAATCTGGCAGTCTGTTCCCACCTTTTCGTCTCGCACTGGATCTACTACTCTAATAAATTCCGGACCTTCCGAGTCGGGATCTTTAACTCGGGTCATTACGAGGTCTTCACGGAATAATTGATGGGTCTGGACCGCCTGACGAAGACAATCATGATAAGAACTTCCATTTAAAGAGGGGAAAGCCGCTTAAAAGTCATGCATTCAGTCGGTGTCCACATATTCCTCACGGGCAACATCAGAAATTCTGGTCAAGAAGATTTGGTTCGTCATGTTTCCACTTTTATATCTTGAATCAGACTAACACATCTTGTTCTATAACAGACATCACAGACTATGCCAATGACCAAGCGTTGCTCCACGGAGTTTACATTATCTCTTACTGGGCCTCGCACGTGAAATACCCTTTGTAGTCCGATTCGAGTCGTTATCCATCAAATGTCATATGAATACACACCACGGGCTTGGCTGGGGAGGAAGTTGGTTGAGCAGTCCCGAGGCATCCTGTCAATTTTCTTCGCCTCGCTCAAACCAGGAACTTCCAAAAACATGCATTCTCAAGTGGAGTTACTCGACCCTCGATGTTTGATTACAGGCTGTCCACAGTGCTGCGCAGCCTTTTCGATTGGTGGGGGTTGGGGTTCGGTTTCCTAAACAAAGTCTTGTGTGTACTTTCATGCTCTTCGCCCAATAGCCAGGAAACAGTCATGGATTGCAGATGGGCTCGATTGCTGGAGAATTTGGGTAGACACAATAGCGTGTAGGTAGTGAGATATAGAGTGATCTAGTATGAAACAATGATGAATTCGAAAAGTTTAAAACCATTCTGGACCAATAGTAGACAGTCTGGGGCTCTTTCATATTCAGATTTAAATAATATGACGGTTGGATATACTAGACATTTTTCGACTCGGAACCCCAATATACTAACTGAGCCTGTCGTATGGATAATAATATCATGCATAATCCGACTGTAAACTTGTATGATGGTAAAGCAATACTGCCTACAGTTTTAATTGTCACGATATATCCACCATGATCTGATATTTTATACCTACCCAATATGATGAAACAGATCAAAGCTTTTAATGCGTTAAACCCAAATAAAATGTGTGTTCTTAGTGTCTGACTGACGTCGGAAAGCGTCAGTTGGAGATCCACTCTCCAAATTAGCGTGGGGGATAAAGGACACAAGCAAAAAACATCTTGTGGTGCTTCAATGACGGAATAGCTTTGTTCATGTTGATTTCCTAGCGACAATAGCCGCCTTTGTTCTTTATCACCAAATTCCATCCACGAACTACTTAGTGTTGATATTATTGGCCCTGATCTATTCTCGTACAGCGGACATGCATACCCAACCACCGTAAATACTAGTATGCAACGCACCACACTTGAAAGCGGTTGAGGAGGTTGGATATTCAAATCCCCCCCAGCTTGAACCCAACCTCTTTCTTAATCGTAAACTCAAAAGACGCATCCTGATAACGTCAAGGCCTTCGACTGGCCCCTCCGCGGATATCCACATGCCAACCCGGTTTTCAACAAGGCTGACCCACTTAGTAGACCCACTCGCAGATCTTATCTGAGTTTCGATCGGAGAATCCCACGATGACCTCAACGGAATAAGCCACAAATCTTGGCATCATGCAGAATGAATCTGGGAAGTTGATTCAAAAAGCAAAGGTGGGATTGGTATTATGTCTGCGCGTTTGGGATGGACATCCACAATCCTTTCATTCTTTCTCCGTCCCAATGCTGTGTAACCATTCTATGTTAACATCACCACTATTGCTAGCCTTTAATATGCAGGAAAACCATTCATCCAGTCAACTGATTCCAAAAGAGAATTTATATTTAAATTCAATACTCAGTTCGTATATGCTGGTATATGCTGAGCTCTATCCTTTTATATGCGTCAAAGTGAGGTCGTCACGCACGGCCTTTCCGTATATACGGCCCAACAAAGCCAGTCGTCTTCGTGGCGTCAAGAAAATACACAAAATAACGAGTCAGAGATTCATATTCGGGTCATTCAAAGACAACTTCTCATCGTTCGGCGTCAATCAGTAACAAATATTTAATCATATCCAGAAAACAATATTTTCCCCTCCGAGCCTGGTGCACCTGGTATCTCTTCGAAATCACAGCGACAGTGACGAGCTCGATAACGAAGCAGGACAACTAAAGCATCGCCTGCGAGTAGTACTTGAATAATGACAATAGTCCATGACATTCCCAGAAAGGTAATGCTTGATTGGGCTGAGACGGTGGGACGACCACTTTTCGAAAATCAATGTGACGAATTGAGAAGATATCATGGTCGCAATAATTGAAGCAATAGTAAGAAGGATTGCGCTTATCTGCCTGTAGTTAATGCTCTGCGTGACCTACAGTATGAGCTATGAGATACTTACAATGGAACTAATTGGCTTACCACTAATTTCCAGACAGGAGATGATGTAATGATCGATCTTGTTTGTAGGCGCATGAGGTTTTCCAAGCATTGAAACCCGCAAATATGGAAGTCTTCCGACACCATCCGGTTGTCTATATTTCCATGATTGTGACTATGCTTGCTTACTCTCTCTTCCTTTCCCTAGCTTGGTTGTCTCATTCAAGTTCTCTGTACGTATGGAAACTACCAAATTTCGATCCGAATCTGTGCGTGATGGGCGATTTGACGGATTCAAAAGTTCATATTGTTTCCAATCTGCTTTCTAAATAAATTCTTTGGAAGTTTCTAAGGCTATATATACCCTAAATTTACTATTTGGTAGGTGAATTAGTTACTCAAGGTTTTTGAGCTGGCTCTATGCTTTATTAGCCAGCCTATATAAATTGGATTTTCGAATCGAGAGTGGAGTCTACTAGTAGCTGGAGGCGCTTATTAGTCTCCTTGCCTACGATATTTAATTCTAAGGTGTCGGATTTCACGCACTGTCTCAGGGTCTTCTTTCTTCAACATCTTTTTCATCTTCACCGCCAAGGCTTTCACTAGTATAGGCAGATATTTTATCTCTCACTATTTCACATGCCACCTCAGGCTCTTCAAGTCCTTCCGTCAACTTTCTTCCATCAACTTTTTTCCTTTCTTATCTCTCATCGTGCAGATATTTGATATCTTACTTTGCGAGCTCCTCTATGGTCCTTCTATATAGAGATCCTCGCAGTTTGAGAGGTCATATATAACCCAAATTTATTATTTGACAGGTGAATTAGTGACTGGGGGTTATTGAGCTGGTCCAATGCTTTATTACCACCAGTAGCCCATATAAATGGGCTTTAAAAATCGAGATTGGGGTTTAACTTGAAAGGCGCATGGGCCTCCTTCTGATATTCAAGCTTATACAAGGTCTCTTAGGATTTTAGGTACTGCGCCAGGCTCTTCTTTCTTCAACTTGAAGTTCCTTTTTTATCTCTCAATATCCAGATATCTTATCTCTTCCTTAAGGAACCACCCCAAGATTTTCTTCCTTCCTCACCTTCCGGAATCAAGCTACCTCTATTTCTAACGGTTTAAATTATTACCAAGTGAGTAGTCACACTCTCTATTCTATCTTACCGTTGCTGACCTCAATACTCCACAGCAAAAAGTCCTCAAAACACTTTACGATGCGCACTCAAGCAACCTACCTTCCGCATACCTCAAGAGTGCGACGCCTACCCAGCTTAATCACCCAGCTTAATGGCCCAGATTATTTCGAAGCGTGATTTTGGGAGATGGAACACGAGCTACGACTGGTGTTCCTCGACGACGTGGTCCGCAGTGAGATCGCTCGCCCTCTAGAGGTAGGCACCCTATCACATAATAACAACGTTAGCTACAGACGAAGTAGGAATCAATTGATATTATCATTCAATACGTGTCAAACAATGGATGGAACAAAGCACTGGCCAAACCTTTCTCCATGAGGCTTTTGTCCTCTTTGGCGAACCGATAATTTTAGCAGACGACCTAATGTGGGCCATATGAATAGCTGTGGATCCTCGACCAGGAATGAACGTGAGGGAGGATTGAGATTGTTATGGACCTTGCGGGCAGTCACTCGGGCCACTGTCCTTTGCCCCTATTCTTCTTCCTTCTGTCTTAGAGGTCTAAACCTCACACCCATTCTGAGAGTGGCGTCTCTTCCCCACTGCGTAAACGTGCCTTACAAGTCGGAGGCAGCATGCGTACAAGGCAATTGCCATGCCAACTGACGAATTGCTATGCTCATCTGCGGCTAGGCTGGGTTTCTGTGATGACACAAGAAATATTTTGTACGTAAAGCCATAGCTTAGCATGTCTGTATGCCCCTAGGGAGGCCAGGTTGCCTAACGGCTCGTAGCCGAAAATAAACAATTACACACACACACACTCTCTCTCTCTCTCTCTCTCTCTCTCTCTCTCTCTCGCGCGCGCGCGCGCGGTCGGCTGAGGCAGATCTGCCGCAGGCCCCATCGTATCTCTGAATAGTTACACTCCTATAATTTTTCTCTCTTCATAGCAATATCATCGTATTCGCGCACACTCTTTCCGGTAGTTCCGGCCTCATAACAAAGAACGTCTTTCTGTTAGACTGTCTATCCATAAATTCTGCCATATCTCTTCACAAAAAGCGGGGGTTATAACTCGGCCGGCCATATATTCATGGATGTACGCACAAAGTAGTTATTCCCATAATAAATGTACATAGTGCGATAAGGCACGATAAGTATCTCCACATGACCGCGTGCCGAAGAGCCGACCAGCTGAGTCATCATGCCTGTAACGGCGCACGGAGTTCCGCTTCTCCTGCATCAAACGACGCTCACTGGTTCATACAACAGATCCATGGAGAAAGCGGTAGGCAATGCCGGTTCAGGCCGCCGCTAGCAAATGGGAAATTCTCCACGCAGGACCAAAATCCACGGGCCCTGAACCGGAAGAAATCTCGAACCTCCAATCCACCCAATAAAGATATGCAAAATCCGAAGAAAGAGGAAAATGGACGGCGTTAAGCAACGGGTTATCCCCATCGACTCCACTTTAGATGCATTACAGTTACTCGGAGCTCTTATGCTCCCGTGTTGCCGTGTGAAATTTCAGTCATAAGAACATGTATAAATCGTTTTCCCCGCTGTTTCTTGGCTTGTTTTTTTTTGCTTATCTTGTATGCTTCTGTCTTGCATATCTAGAGGAATCTCAACATAAGACTCTGGTTTATTCTGCATTGAAATATTCTTCTCCTTTGTCTTTAGAAGGCTTTTGAACGCTTTTCTTTTTCAATGATCTCTTGATCTCTTAATCACATCCAACATTCCCTGAGCAGAGGGCCGAGATCATGTCGGAGAAAGACCATATGCCAGAAGCGAGTCGATCTCGCTCAAACTCGACTCTCAGCACAGACACAGACTCCATCCCATCGTCAAGAACACAGTCGCGTGCGCGGAGCTTCGCATCAACAATAAAGTCCAGAACCAACGCAGACACACTGTACCAGACTTATTCGGGAACGTACCCAGATGATACAGTTCCTTATCGCACAGGAGACACACCGACGGAGGAACAAAACCCTGCGGGGCGAAACGCCAAAATCACCGAGGTTAGAACAAACGGTCAAGATGTGGACTTGGAACGGGGTCTAGATGCGGGGCAAAATTTAGAAAAGTCAAAAACAGGAAGATCTACACTGGTCAACTCCAAAATGGTGAGTATCTGCCTCTATCATTATACGTGAAGATGCATACGTCTAATCCTTATCACAGGTGACATGGGATGGACCAGATGATCCTGAGAATCCAAAGAACTGGTCGTCCACGAACAAATGGATGGCCGTGGTAATGGTCTCGCTGTTTACATTTGTTTCGCCCGTTTCAAGTAGTATGGTCGCTCCAGCATTGGATAAAGTGGCTGAAGATTTGGATATATCTTCCGAGTTTGTGTTGCAATTGACAATGTCGATCTTTATTCTTGCATATGCAGTCGGTCCACTTTTCTTGGGCCCATTATCTGAAGTTTACGGTCGAACAATCGTGCTCCAGTTATCAAACCTATTCTTCCTGGCATTTAATATCGGGTGCGGTTTCGCACAGAATACAACGCAAATGATCGTTTTCCGTTTCTTCGCTGGACTTGGTGGAAGTGCCCCACTAGCAGTACGTACCCAATCCATCTCTCATACTTTTCAAATCCATCTAATACCCTACAGATTGGTGGCGGTGTGCTATCGGATACATTTCTCCCAGAGCAACGTGGAAAGGGTCTAGCAGTCTACAGTCTTGCCCCTCTCCTCGGTCCAGCCCTCGGCCCCATCGCAGGTGGCTTCATCGCCGAGAACGTCACCTGGCGCTGGGTCTTCTGGTCCGTCTCAATCCTCGACGGAGTCGTACAAATAGCTGGTCTCTACTTCCTTCGTGAAACCTACGCCCCCAGACTTCTGGGCAATCGCGCAAAGCGCCTAACTAAAGAAACCGGAGAAGCGCACCACACAGAGACCGACCTAACGAAGGTGACTCTTAGCGAAAAGCTCAGCAGCTCTATCGTTCGACCATTCCGCCTCCTCACAACACAACCTATCGTCCAAGTCTTAGCAGTCTACATGGCATATATCTACGGCCTAATGTACCTCATGTTATCCACGTTTCCAACCCTCTGGACGAGTGAAGAGTACTACAATGAGTCCAGTGGAATCGGCGGTCTAAACTATATCTCCATCGGTGTCGGATTCTGGGGCGGCTCACAATTCTGTGCACCGATGATCGATCGCATCTACCGCATTTTGAAAGCACGCAACAATGGCGTGGGAAAACCCGAGTTCCGAATCCCACTCATGAGCATCGCTGCTATTCTGCTTCCAACGGGATTGTTTATCTACGGATGGACCGCCGAGTACCGCTGTCATTGGATTGCTCCTAATATCGGCGCTGCAATCTTCGGTATGGGTGTTATCATGGCATTCCAGTGTATCCAGACGTATATGGTGGATACTTATACGCGGTTCGCGGCTAGTGCCCTCGCAGCAGGTGCTTTCTTACGTGCACTTGCTGGTTTTGGGTTCCCGCTTTTTGCACCGTATATTTATGCTTCATTGCACTATGGTTGGGGAAATAGTGTGTTGGGATTCATTGGTATTGCTATCGGTATTCCGGCGCCGATCTTCTTGTGGAAGTTCGGTGAAAAGTTGAGAACGAAGAGTCCATATGCGGCTGGATAAAATTTCTTATTTGTGCTGCGTCTTTGTGTAATCCAGTTTGAGCTCTGGGGTTGGTGACGCAGGTACGCCTGGTCAAGGAGAAGTAATGTTGTACATAATTAATGCAAGATACCAAAAGCAACACAGATAATAATGAGTTCTATTATTCCAGCCCCGATCGGCCCTAGATAAAAAAAATATCGAGTTACATTGATGCCCAATCCTCCACCATTGTACCCGACACGCAAAAGGAAACTAGAAAATTAAATATCATGATGAAGATGACTGGAATGAGCAATAAACAGAGCATTGGACAACAATAAGAAAGCCCGAAAAACGATGGAGAAGACCAGGAGAGGAGAAAACACAACGAACCCACATATCCTATACCTCATACCCCTAGCTCAAATGTCGTAGCAGTGTGCCCTCCGCAAATGCTCTTCCAGGTTATCCTTTCGATTGTACGACTTCCTACATCTCGAATCGGGACACTCGAACGAATTCGGGGAAATATGCTGCGTGTCGACATGTCGCTTTAACTCGAACTTCCGACCAAAAGCACCAGGATATCTACATCCTTTCCACTCGCATCGAAAGCCGGATTGGACGAAATTTCCCTCAGTGAAATGTACGGCACTAGAGCTGCGACGGTAATGGCGTGCTTCTCTTATAACAGGAGCGGGCTCTAGACGTGCTCCTCGTTGCTGCAACGGTGGGCTGTAGTTTACTTGGGTTGGTTGGGGGCGTGTCATCCTGTAGTTGTGTTCGTGTGCCGGATTGTAGTTCTGGTAGGTGAATTCTGGGGAATGGTAGACATAAGCTCCTTCGAGTGGATCTGGGGGGCTAGATTGGAAATCCGATGTGGAGGCTCCGGGGGTTGTGGGGAATGTAGGAGTCATGTATTGATTTTCTGGCTGGATTGGAAAGGCAAAGAGATCCCGCTCTGAGGCTGGGAAGCCTTCAGTCGTTGGGGAGAAGGCCGTAGGAGAAGTCTGGGGGTACATTGGGTCTTGAGATGATACAGGCGCTCTGTGGAGCCAAGCATCGTTGACATTGTATGGAAGATCAGTGGGGAAAGACATGATGCAAGGGACCTAGACGCAAATTGATGTTGAACCAGAGTATATAGTAATGAAGAATAGCCAAAGACAGAGCTTTGAACTTGAGTTAAGCTTAAAAACGGTTGATGGAGGTGGGAAACAAATTGCAATCATCGTGGCTACGAGTGGTCGGATTTATAGGTAAACAGACAACCTTGTTTCCCCTTAGTAGAACTCACAACTCAATTGGGTAAAGAAGTGAAGATCTGCGACTGCTATACTGTAGGGCAAAGGGGTGTCTCGCCCCAGAATTCGAGCACGACCAATCGATTCGTTTAGCAGGTGCCTAGACCTCTTTGCAACAAATAACATCAAATTGAAGCTCCCCTCCTTGCGCACAAAGCACATCGCAACCACGTGTTTAGCTATGCGAATGCATAACAACAGAGCTCCCCGGAGAAGCAGGGATCGACACAAGCTATGTCCCCACTCCAACCCCAGAATAGATTGCAGGGTCAACCATGTGCAGCGCCGACATGATGGTCATGGAGATAAAATCATGATAATTATTCACCGGTTGAAGAATTGGTCAAAAAGAATCAATGGTGATCAAAGTTAGAGAGAGAAATGTATCGCACAGATAAAGTGCGTTCTGCCAGGTTTTGAAGCTTTCCTGCCGGATTGAGACTACCGGATGACTCTGATCGACAAGAATGTGAAACTTGTCCAATAGGATCACTGTATCACTTTTGCGGTACGCATCGGATCGTGGAAATTCAATTCCTAAATATGACACGAAAGTCCGGTTAAGGTCTTCAAGTTGAGCCTCAGTGACGTCGACTTCCCCGGAAAGCCCTTTTTGACATACCGATATTAACTTAAGTCAAGCTGCCACTTTTTTCTTCATAAATTTATACTAAATCAATTTAATTTTCAGGTCAAATCTCTACTTTCAATAGCAACTTTATTTACCGATTTAGTCATAATATGAAAAATCGAATTCAATATCTCACACAGGGTAAAATAGTTGACAACACAACCAAATTAAGCAAGATTAAGAATAGAAAAATGGAAAGGAGAAGGAGAAGGAAAGGCTGCAGGGAGATTAGGTTCCAAAAAGTAAACAAAATCCAGCACAACTGGACATCCTCAAACACCTATACACACACCTCCACTCATAAACTCGGTGTCAAACAGTCAACGCATGAATGCGTTTCAGATGGCCCTTGAGATCATCTTCCCTGTTGTATTGCTTTTTGCATCCCGAAAAGGAACATTGAAAAGAATTTGGAGAAATATGTTGTGTCTCAACATGCCGCTTCAGCTCTGTAACGCGGCCAAAAGTTCTGATATAGGGACATCCTACCCAGCCACATCGAAGGCCACTTTCCGCGGGTATAGCATAGGTCGAGTGCTGCGGTTCGACACTGAAATTGTCAGGTCTATCGCCTTCAATTGCAAGTGAGGGAGTGGGCGGCGTCTGTCTCTGGGCTATAGTGTACGAAAATTGCATTTCCGGCGGAATCTGAAACGCGAAATCGTACTCATTATCAAATGTACGAGGAGCTAGTATATTGTTTTCGAAAGTTGCTGAGGCCGAATTATATCCACAATAAATTGCGACTTCAAGTTATCGTAGTAATAGATAGGCTGTGCAAGTTGAAGAAGTTGGTTTCGTCTTGTGCCCAAGTATAGGTAGCTATTTCTGTGTGTGGATAAAACAAGTTGTGTTCGGAGCAGCGGCCAATTGGCCATACTCCACTGGCAGGAGAGTGGCTAGAGCTTGCTGATGTATTCTGGCCAGGTTCCAGGATCATCGAAAATCCTTGGCCCTGTTGCTCAGGCCAAATATCTGATGAGTCACGCATTTCATTTTCCACAAAAGAAGACATGATCGACGGTTTATGTGAGTTGGCAAAAAAGAAGTACATAGCGAGGGAAAACTGGATTTTCTTCTGCGTTTCCCGTCAGAGTCAGTATTCTGAAAGCACCCGCGGGTGACTTTTTATATTCCTATATTTCATACAAGTCTTCAATGTGCAGACCCTTAGGCCACTTGGCCGCGCATGGGTACGTCGCTCATTGCATTCGCAAAAAGTCCCCGAGGTTGGGATATGGTAGAATATAGCCACGGTTCGAAAATAATACGCACGCAGTTTTTCCTCTCATTAGCCTTGATATGAGTGGGGGCTATGCGTGTGAATAACGGCAAGAGGGCGTGGTTTATGGAGGGCCCGGTTCCATGTGTGCATACCGCAATAACTCCCGTGCGCAATGCATACGCGGATCAAGGAATGTTGTAAGATACAAGGGGGGATAATAATTGGCTGCTTAATAGATTTGACGAAACCCACGGACCTCTGGACCCACCGATCTCTAATCATATCTGCCATAATGTAGGTAGACCCTCCATAGGGCACCAATGATAGAAATTGGGCTAGGGGTGGTTTCGGGTACGTGGTATAAGTCACGGTGGTACAGCTGCTAGCACTTGAGCTCGTTGGGTACTTTTGTATATTATACCTGCAATGCTTCATCTTGCATTTTGCTTGCTTCTCGCTGAATACGGTAAGCAAATTGTCTCTCTACGTCCGTTTAGCATCTGTGTTGACTTTGTTGGCATTAATCATTGAATAACTAGTACTACACAAAGTATATGTGGTATATGCCGAACGGATAGCCTTGGAAGTTCACACATTATCTTTCTTTTAAGGAGATACTAACTGTATTAAGAATATCATTTTCTTTAGTGCTTTAATTTATTCCTAGGCGCCACAAGGCGGCATTGAACAAATTCATCGATTTAATCAATATAATATTACGCCACACTTTATCGAGACATTCTCCGCCCGAGCCCTTGGCATTTCAATAGCCTATGGTGTTGCAACGCTTCAGCTTGCGGAATGTGAGTTACTTTAGGTGGTAAAAATAATAATCCTCATGTTCTAGAAAAAAGTCTAAGTCTGCACAGAGTCAAGGGGAGTCCTATAGGCAGTTCGTAGTATAGCGTGAAGCTTTTTATTTCAATATTACTAGTACCACCTGTGCAGCATATATGAAGAATACACGGTTAAGGTTATGAACTTTTCACCCAAACCATCGGTTTTGATAGGATACACGAGATATATCCCCATACTATGACCCGTACTTTCTCTTAAAACTTTCCGCATCGAGAGCATGAAGAAGAGACTCGGAGAAGCTCTATGCCAGACATGGCTCTTTTATAGTAGAGCCAGGGTCAGCTGACCCATGAAAATTCGAGGTCCTGATAAACCTCACACTATATAAAGTCTACGTTTCTCACTCCTCTCTCTCTTTTAGATAGATATCGGTCGACAGAATACAACATCTCAAAACTTTCTCTCTCCTCTGTCCCTCCCAGATCTCACCACCATCGGTATCTTCCCTGATACGAATCTCCAAAGTCATGCCGCCAGACAATGCACCATACCACGAGTACAAGAAGGATTGGCCTCCAGAGCTCATCAGGCGGCTTAGGGCAACATATGTTGGACGTCCCACGACCCCGCACTACGTCTCAGTATTTATGCATGCAATTTCCGGTCCTGCTACAGATCCCGAGTTTATTATTCTGGGCGTTTTTGCATCGAACTTCCTTGCCAATCGAACAGCCATCGAATTTTTCAAAAATGAATATTCCGAGTTCTTAAATCAAGATTCTGATAACCCTCTGGCTGACTTCCGCCAGATTGAACCCCACGACCCTTCTTGCCTTGAAATGAATGAGATAGGATGGTCTGTCTTTGATCGTGGCGAGCTGTCATTTGTGGTTTTTGATGGTGGCGATGAAAATAAACTGAGAGTGTTTGTCAAACTTGCGGTTATTCATTCGAGTTATCAGCAGGATATCGCTGAGAGTGGGTATGATTTGAGGATTACTACATAATGATCTCGACTTGAAAATTTGAAGCTGATACAAGGGGGCAAGGGTGATCACTTTGCTATTGCTCGTAGAGCTATGAGAACTCTTAACAGTTTGAGCAAGAATATCTGGGAATTTATTGTCTCTTACATCGACTTGTTTGTTTGCACTAAAGGACCGTGGAATCGATGAGCTCTGCCTCTTAGTATTGTTGCCAGGGCTATAGTGCGTTCTCTTTCTAGTTCCAAATCACTATTTGGAGGCAGGGAGTGGTTATTGGTCATTTGAACACATTCTCATGTATCCCAATTCTCAATGAGCATTAAGTAAGTATTTACAAAATAAAACCCAATGTATTTGCCAGATAGAACCATAGCATCGACCTTGGAATCTTCGAAATTACAATTTAATGGAAATGGCTGGGTAGCGGATTGAAGAAAACAAGATAAGAAATTCCCGAACGCAAAGACTCCAAGTTATCCCGACATGATGATTTGGACAAACTCAGACTCTCGAGTCGTGGACTCGCTTTGAATGACTCTTCAGATTATCTTCTCGGTTGTATGACTTGCTACATCCCAAGAATGAACATCTGAATGCATTGGGAGAGATGTGCTGCGTTTCCACGTGTCGTTTCAACTCTGTGCTCCGTCCGAAAGTACCGTTATACCGACATCCTTTCCAATGACATTTGATCACTGGCCCATAGCGTAGAGTATCAGACGTAGCGTATGGCTTGCCGGTCTCGTTTGTGTTGGTAATGTTGGGGTGACGGACTGGGGGTGCCTGAGTCAGGAAACCCATATTGTGAGCTGCCGAGGAGGTAGAGGATAAAGAGTATTGGTTGTCATATCTTCTATGGTATGGAGTTGATGTGTGCACATGATTCTCTGTAGAAGAAAGAGGAGGCTCCGTATCAGGGGTCATGGTGCGATAACGATCAAGATCGTAATTAAAATCGGAATGCATTGATTCCCAAATCACCGGAACATTGAGAAGATCAAGATGTGAAGCAAACATGGACGGATCAACGTCTGCCATGATTGACCCCCAGCCCGTGAAACCATCGTTAGAGGCTGTCATTGTATCTTCGGATTGGCTCAAGGTATGGAAGAAATCTCGATCGTTCTCCTCGGACGGGATGACTCGCGAGCGAGAATCAAAATTCATAGTTCGGTGGACAATCAGATGTAAATGAGATAACCATGGATTTAAACCTAGACAGAGACTTCTAGGGTCTTCAACAGAGGTTATTAGATATAATCATGAGATTCATGGGGTGGGAAGTGCCTCTTTATAGACAGATTACCTAGCTTAATATCGAGAGTGGTGTCCAGAGAACACCATTTTCGACGCGTCTTTACTTGAGTTTCTCGAAGATATGAGCCTACGTCTTACAATTTCACCTTGGGTGATATCCCATACTTAGTACTGAAGTCCACCGCCAGCAATGATTATTGGCCAGTTTGTTATGGGATGAAATTTACCTCATGCAGTTTTGTAGCGTAATCACCCTAATCACCCAATAAGAGGCTAATAATCCAAGCACCGTGCTCTTGCTCACATGGTGGCTTGGCATGCTCTGCTGCCCCGCGTCCCAAAGCGTTGGACGTCCCCCCCCCAAAAGAAGGCCAAGGGGAAAAAGTACTGTTGATCATTCCCCAAAATGAGATACCAACACACCGCGTCCTTGAGCGGATAATCAGTGAACCCTACGTATCATGTCGGGTACGAAATACACATAAGCCACTAAGAATAGTGCGAGGGCATGAAAACGCCGTAACCTCGAGACTACTCGGGACTAGCGTGCCTATCAGCGTCCTACGTGTTCGAATACCCCAGGGTGTTTATATTTAAGATGGGCATGGCACAAGAGGAGGCAGATTTCAAGTCATCGGCGGCTAGCCTAGCTCGCATTAATGACCTCATCGATATTTTTTGTGAATATCGGGGCATCCTTCATGTCCATAGTGGATTCTTACAGCCAAGTAAGTAACCACACAAACAGGAACCTTCGTCAATGCGCCATCTATGAAGTACTGGGTTTCTTTACTTTGATTTACTAGTACTAATTTGCATCTATACTGGTAGCTGTAGGACTGTTTGTCGACCTCAATAGTTATTGAAGTGTGGTCCAAGCTATATCGAACAAGTAACTTAATACCTTCAAATCGCCCAAAAAATGTACACATTATTTTTATCGCTGCATATATCCATGGATGGATGCACATCATAAAAGGAGCTGAGGACACTACCACTGTGCATATACTTACCCCCACTTAAGCCACCGAGGAATAGATTGCCTACGGCGGCTGCGTCGCATTTTCATCTTGCAATTCGACACTGGTTGAAAAAAAGGTACTTTTGTTTCCTGATTCCTTCTTCCGACCTTGCGTTGAAAAAAGTCCTACGGATTTTTAAGCACGCAGCTCCTTGTTTTTGGTTCCGCTGGGGTGGATTTGATATAGATCAGCATACTTCCGAAAGCCATGTGATCGGTCCTTTACGCTAATGCACGAGCAAGGATGGGACATATCTGCCCGGGCAGTTATGTCCCACGGCGATACAACCATAGAACATCAGAATGACAGGCTCCACACAGATGAAATCGCGACGAATGCCGAACCTTATTTAAAGTATTGGGAGGTGGAATTTTCACAATTAAACTCAATTACTATATACGTTTTATAAATTCCAAAGCCTAACCCTATGAGGCGTGATCTATTTTATCAGCTCAGTCTGCTTAAGCAGTAATGCCGCTCTGCTTCTTTCCGTTCTTCTGTATCACAAGTTAGCACTCACTGTCCGACGCTCAAGAAAACGGAATAGCAAAATAAAAACATACCAGAGTACGGAAATACTTAAGACCAACATTGTTACCAGTCTTCGCATCATAAGGAATAGGACTGGTATAGTTATATGTAGGCTCAAGACCATGGTAGGTCTTCTTGACCACATCAGCAATACCGTGTCCAGCGCTGCAGGATCCCGAGGTGGCAGGGACAGACCACAAAGGCTCATACGTAGAGTAATCGCCATCAGAAAGAGGACCAGGATAAGTCTCATTAAGGTAGAGACCATCATAATCAACCTCATAGTTCACGTATCCAGTCTTCTCAGCAACAAGCTTAAGCAGATTGGCACCGCAATCCCAACGTCCAAGGGAAGGAAGGCCCCAGTTAGCAGAAAGGGAAGCAATAATACTGTAATGAGTATAGAAAGTATCATCCTTAGTACCCTTCAAATGCTCGGGAACAGCACCACCAACGAGGAAGCTGTAAACACGGTTGGGAACAGTGTAGTTACCCGACTCATCGAAAGTAACAAGCATCAAAGTATCCTTGGAGAAGTACTCATTGCGCAGGAGAGGAGGCACAAAGCGCTCAATGAAGTCACCGGCAACAGTGATATCGGAATCATGAGCATCGTTAGTCATGTTAGGTGTGATAAACATGTACTGAGGGATACTCTCGTGCTTCAGGTCCTCGTAGAAGGTAGTGAAGTTCTTGATTTGGCGCGGGCGAACAGCGTCGTTGGTGACGGAGTCGAAGAGTATGAGAGGATCGTGCTTGCGAACGTACTCATTTGCGCCGCTCTCGGGGTACCGGTAGCCCTGGTATCCGGCGTAGGGGAGATCTTCTTGATATTGACCCCAGGAGATACGCTTGGTATCGAGGATATCAGCGATAGTGGAGATGTTAGCTGGGAGCTGGTGGAAGTCGTCGTTGTCCATGCCGAAGGTATCGCCGGCAGCAGAGGCAGCGTAGTTTGGCTCCGAGGGGTGAGTCAAGGCGAAGTAGTTGGTCAAAAGGATACCTTCCTTAGCCAGCTTGGCGAAGTTGACATCGTCAGCGGCAGTTTGGTAATCCTGCGATTATTATTAGTTATAATTCTGAATATGTACCCATAAGTTCTCCTAATAATTAATTCCACTTACGGTGTTCTCGATCCAAATCTGCGCAAAGCGGTTGAACGCCAAACCCTTCACATTTGAGACGGGAGAATATGGCAGCACCGATTCCTTAGCACTGGCGATCTCCGCCGCAGTGGGATACTCATCACTTGCGGGGATAGTCTTGGCCGAAGCCAGAGCCAAAGCTCCAACAAAGGCAGAAAGAGTCTGCTTAGTGAACATCTTGGTATTTCAGTAGACAATTGCGATGCGAGACGACCAGAAAAAAAAAGGAAAATAGAAATGATCAGCCGTCACACACGATCTTATACCTTGCGCGATTCGGCGCAGGACCGAAAACCACGCGTTTCCTCTTTCAAGTCGATATTGCCCAGACCGGGCCCCTCTTCGCTTGGAAGACGGGAAAGCACTCCGATGCAGGAAGAAGCGAGGGCGAAGCAGCACGTTGCATCCTCGGGGAGAGTCACTGGCTTCTTCAGGTACCAGTCGCCGCACTTGGCGGGTGAGTGGGGATGAAGTGTGACTATAGCGGGATGGTGGTTGGTGGAGATGTCAGTGGGGCTTCCCGGTTCCTAGCACGTTGCAACTTAATGCAGTGTGACTGGCTGGTGAGGGGGAGATGTCAGATGGTATTGGGTAGGATAAAGTATGCAGTAGATGAATGGTGGAGGGAGTGGAAATTCTAGAAATTGCAATGGTAGTTTTATGTTCAATTAGTGGGAATTAATTGTAGATGCAGGGGATGTACAGATGGTGGTCCCGTGATGAGGAGAGGCGAGCGTGTCATGCTTGTTATGGTTCGCCCTTACTGTTTGAAACATGTATCTTATTTATTATTATTCCTATTTATGGATGCAACAATTTACTACTTACAATAAACTTACCGGACAAATAGTAGTTTTCCTGCAGTCTTGATCCACGTGGGCAGCACTAAGTACAACGGTATCTAGAGCTAAAGCAGCCACTATGGAGAGACCACACCACGAGACTGCAATTTTACTAGATTGCGCCTTATTCGCTTAAATTGAATCCATGTGTGAATAGCCAGCCATTTCTTCAGTTTAATTCCTAATTTGTAACGGTGCCAGGGCAAAATCCCAATTTCTAGTGTAGGTGTCCTTGAAATATATATTTAAAAGCTTCAGCTTTTTTAAGTGGATTTTGGAATATGTCTTGATCACTGAGATTGAATAGAAAGAGCCAATATTTTGAATTCGAGGTGACTGTGATGTTCACGAATATTTAGAGAGTGGTTCAGCAAGTAATATATAGCAATATTCAACTTGGTTTGTAGGTAATTTAGTCCGACTGGCAGTGAAACCACATCCACAACCCCCACATTCCTGCAGGGACGAAAGCAAAGTTATTTCATCCTGCGAGAAACTTAGTCGAATCAGCCAATCATAGGATTTATATTACTTTTTTCAAATCACCTGGGACTTATGTCGGGATTATATGGGATCGGTAGAGCCTGGCCTCTTCGCCTGGCAACCTGTATACTAAGACTACCTAATTTAGACACAGTACACCATACACAGTGTTTTAAGATGAAGAAATAATTATTGATTAACATGCAGAGTATATACTCCATTTACACAAATGAAAATCAGTCAATCCTTGGCTCATTATTCTTGCCTCAATAACTATTACAAATCTATCTGGTTCAAAAGAAATATGGAAGAAACAGAAGTGAAAAAAAGACGGTGAAAGTAGACCGTCATTTCCAATAAGAAAGAAACGGCACTTGCTTCCTGTCGATATCTGGCCCCACTTTTGGTTCACCGTGAACCAAAAGTGGGTCCTTGTTTTGGAACAAGGCTCATCAACGGCATGGAGAAATAATAAACAACTGAAGCGAATACAAGATGGGAATTTGAGGTGGTAAAGAAGCCGCGAGTGGGAGAATAAGTGCGGGATGTACTAGAAACAATGTATGACAAAGACACGGGAGAAGAAGAGAAAGAGGGAAACCGATTTTAGGAAGGTGAAGGTTGATGCGATGCAATGCGATACGATGCGCTTACTCGGGCTTCTTACCAACCATCAGGTACATGGGGGTGAAGAGGTTCTTCTGAGCACCCTCAACCAGACAGTCAGCGGCCAGAGCCAAGCTGTCAGCGGTCTTCTGGGAGCCCCTGGGGAAGAGCTTGATGCTCTCACCAGCACCGACGAAGCGGTGAGCAAGACCACGCCCCCACCAGGTCATACGGGCGATGGTGAAGAAATCCCAGACAGAGCCCATGTGCTTGAAAGATCCCGCCAGCGGGTAGTACCAGGGAGTAGCGTCAGGGCGCTGAGCAAGATCCTCATGGTGAAGAAGCTCGAAGCCAGCATCCTTGACGGCCTTAACACCCTCGGAGATGCGGACCATGTTAGAGATACCGTCACCCTGCTCGATACCGAGACGAATACGGCGGTGCTCGGCATCGTCGTTGTTGTAATCATCGGTCATGAGCCATTCGTAGACACCGAAGGTACCACCGGGCTTGAGCACACGGAAGATCTCAGAGTAGACGCCGACGAGCTCGGGGGCGTGAACGGTAGCCTCAATGGCGTAGACGGCGTCGAAGCTGTTGTCTGGGAACTTCATCTGCATGAAGTCACCCTTGACGAAGGCCATCTTGTCAGAGAGACCCTGCTTGTGGGCGTAGTGGGTTGCGCGGTCGATCTGGTAGTCGTTGTTGTTCAGACCGGTGACGTGGGCACCGGTGAACTTGACAATCTCACGGGCGGGACCACCGACACCACAGCCAACATCCAGAACCTTCATGCCCTCCGTAATACCGGTTTGCATGGCGAGGTAGTGCTCGTGACGGGCGATAGCCTGTCGGAAGGGCTCACCGTAGGCGAAACGGCAGAAGTGGAAGGAAGATCCCCAACCATACTCGTAGAAGTCAGTGGCGAGGTTGTAGTAGCTGGAAATACAGTTAGTATGTTATTGCGACTAATATAGGACCAAAAGGAAGTGTATGGGATCAAAAAACGTACTGTCGGGTCAGGGTAGCATATTCGGTGCGGCGAGCCTATTCACAAATTCCCACGTTAGCAATTGAGTCCTCGTTTTCAAGGACAAGTACAAAGTATTCTCTCACCTCGCGATCAGCGTCGGTCTCATCAGCGTAGTCCTTGTTGTCCCAGTGCTTGAAGTACTCGTCCACAGCAGCCTTCTGGGCAGCGGTGTCCTTACCACGCATGGCAGTCAAACCACCGCGGGCCTTGGCTGACTTTCCGTGCATAGCCTGGTTGAAGGCAGCATCACGCGCCATATCCTCACGTTCCAAAGCAGTAGGAGCCATTTTGACGGAATTGAAAGGGTGTTGGTATTAAAAGGGGGTAAAGAGGAAAATAGTTGGAAGAGGGGCGGCGAAAAAAAGGACAGTAGTCCGGTAAAGGGGTAAAAAGTAGTAACGGGGGAAGTTTGATCAAACCAAACAGTCCGTCAGAGAAACGAAATTGGAGAATGAGGTGAAGAGAAAAAGGGGAGTTTGTTATTAATTTTTTTTCTCACAAGGAAAAGAAAAGGAGGAACAGATCAATTGCAGCAACTTTTTAGCCAAATGCGAAAAATCCACCCAATCATGGAGCCCCTGAACTGGCTGCAGGACTAGACCCGACTGAGTCTGGGGTGGCGGCACAAGAGTGTTCCGTGCTGTGGCTGGTGTGGCGGTGTGTGGCTGGGGTTCGGGACAGCCATGACCCGGGATTGCGGGAGGTGAGCTGATGTATACTATGGGGAGGAGACAGTTGTGGTATAGGGGGATTTGTAGGTGTCTGAGGAGGTTCGGAATAGTGTCAGTGTAGATAGCCAGATTAAACCACTTATTCTATATACTTTATTAAAATATATTCACATTGTACCTCTCTCTGTACTCAATCCTGGTGATTACGAGAAAGCAAACCAGTCAAACATGTCAGCCACAATCACATGATCATGGCCACATCTGTAGTCATGTACCGCCACATGATCACATAATCATCAACTTTTGGTTCTTTCTCTCCAGCTCTGCTTGATAGAGAGCATCAGATACCCCTCCCCCTTCCACTATGCCTCCTCAGATCAAACATGACCTCAACCGCTCCGGCTGGGAGTCCACAGACTTCCCGTCCGTCTGCGAAAACTGTCTCCCCGAAAACCCTTATGTACAGATGATTAAGGAAGATCATGGCGCCGAGTGCAAGATCGTAAGTCTTTGATCTGATACCGCGATGATACTCTCCAGTTACTAAGAAGCAATCTCTAGTGTACTCGACCCTTTACTATATTCCGTTGGAAAGCCGATCGGACTTCCCGACAAAAGTGCACAAATATTTGTCTGACTTGCGCCCGTCTGAAGAACTGCTGCCAATGCTGCATGCTCGATCTTTCCTTCGGCTTACCGATCGCTGTCCGTGATGCAGCTTTGAAAATGGTCGCGCCTGGCCCGGAAAGCGGTATTAACCGTGAATACTACGCGCAAAACCACGAAAAGGAGATTGAAGAGGGAATCGGTGCGGTGGAGGAATACGAGAAGACCGATGATAAGGCCCGCGAGCTGCTGCGCCGCCTGGCAAATAGTGAACCTTACCACAAGAGGGCTCGTCGTATTGAAGGAGCAGCACCAGCTGAAGGAAACCAGCAAGGAGAAGCTTCTAGCTCTGCAGACCAACCCCGCACACACAGCCAGTATGGAAATGCGCCAGGTCCTGTTCGCACAAGTGAGAGTCGACTTGGGAATCGCCTGCCTGGTCGGGGAGGTGGTGCTGGACGCGGAGGCCGTGGTGGCGCTCGTGGTGGACGCCCATTCCCTAGTACTGCGCATCTACCCCCATCCGCCGAAGATATCAACCCGCCCGCAGACCCGAATGTCACATCGCTTTTCGTGACTGGAGTGGAAGATGATCTCCCGGAAAATGTGATTCGCACTTTCTTCGCTAAGTTCGGAACGCTTCGCTCGCTCGTCTGCTCTCATCGCTCCCACTGTGCTTTTATTAACTTTGTCAACCGTGCTGATGCCGAGAAGGCGGCGCTGGAATGCCAAGGTAAAGCTGTTGTTCAAGGTTGTCCATTGCGGATTCGCTGGGGCAAGCCCAAGCCGCTTGATAATATGGATCGCGAGGAGCGTATTCGGAATGCCCGGGAAGGTCGTCAAGCTGCGGGCCCTGCTAAGGGCAACCGGTTTGATAAGAAGGCTATCACCGCGCCGGATGCTGGAGACAAGCAACCTAAGACGAATGATTTCGCTGTGGCTCCACCCCCAGGCTCTGGATCTGTTCAGTATGCTAGCATGTCGGGAGATTAAATGGGACCTAAGACTTAATTGTCTCATTCATTGTGTAATACCAGGCGAGAAAAAGGATGTTGGAGTGCATGTTCTGGGTTCATACAAAGCGGGCGTTGAATATGGCTTGATTTTTGTTTATGCAGCTTCTATATCGATCAAAAATACCCCTGTGACGCCAAAAAGTGATAACACATAGTAATAACAAAAGAGTTGGGTATATTATAATACACGTCCAGTCCCGGATATGTCGGGCTGGTTTTAACTGTAGCTTCACCAATCATGTGCAGGGCATTTGCACGCTGTAGAATCGATGTCGGATGCGTAGTATGCAAATTCAATCTCGAACAATGGAATGTTTAAGATGAGCAAGCCTTGTGGATCTTGACCTTCTCATTACCCACTTTGATAGAGTCGTTGTCGCCGCGCTCGATCTCATCGTGAATTCGTAGTTCTGTACAGAGTATAGTTAGCATTTTGCCTAAACTGAAGCCCGGGTTTAACAGCTATTCAAGCAGCAAACCCATTTAAATAAAGAGAGGAATTACACACCCCACTTTGCGGCCTCATCGCCCTGTTCCCGAGCGCCCTGAACCAAGTTATGGCGCAGGAGGTTCGCAACCTCGATGGCGTGGTTGATTTGCATGCCGGTGTCGATACCAACGCGGCGGTTCTGGTCGAAGTTGCGGCGAGCCTCTTGACGAGCGGCGATCATGACGCGGACATCATCTTGTGATATGTTAGTCAGTGAATTCGAGATCGGGCAATGGACCGATGGATGTCGGGATTTTGATCCATGTTTCCGCAGGTAGTCACATACCTCGGAAGGCAACACGAGTAGAGCGGAGGATCTGGCGATAGGCGCCCAGAGCGGCAGTGGACGGAGCAGGCATTGTGTTGGAGATAGGTTGAATAGAGTAGAGACGTTGAACGCCTTAGAGCCGGAGTGGTTGAGGCGGTTGACAGTGTTGGGAAAATTGGTAGGCTGTGAGGAAATGACAGCCGAAGAAGAATGAGAAGGATATAAATCTTTCAATCTGAGTACTTTAAGCCAACCTAAGAAAAAGAAAAAACCAGACTGTCAATGCTGTGAAGTCGCAAAGCCAATGTCCAAATGAACAAGCCGGAACATGCGAGATGTGATTGGCGGGCGGCCAATCGAGGCAGAAAATATCCCGAGAAAAAAAAATCAAGTGGGACTTTCTCTCTCCCACCTTGTTTGTTCCCTTTCAACCATCAACCCTCACAATGGCTTCCGTGCAAGTTGTCAACGTTTCCCTCCCCTCCCTGCCTTCTGGCTGGAGCGCGGACAAGGACTTCAAGGCTGTCGGTGCCCTTTCTGGTGCTACCCAGCGTAACGTGGAGCCCGTTGGCCCGCACTTCCTCGCTCACGCCCGTCGTGTATGTGATCCCCATGGCCCCGCTAATTTATACATCTTCAACTTTTGTCAATCTTGGATTTTTTTCTAACAACCTTATAGAAGCGTCACCACCGTACTTTCTCTGAGGATGAGCGCCTTCAGGCTCAGCAGAATGTCAAGAAGACTGAGGAGGAAGAGGATGATGATATCTCCGAGGATGAGGATCCTATGATGCTCAACCGTGAGGCTAAGGACTGGAAGGTCAGTACTTTTCTTTAATATCTATGATATTATATCTGGCTTTTTAAAGTTGATTTTCTTTGAATATTACTGATTCCTTTATAGTCCCAGGACCACTACGCCGTTCTCGGCCTTACCCGCTACCGTTGGCGCGCAACCCCCGAGCAGATCAAGCGTGCTCACCGCAAGAAGGTTCTGCGTCACCACCCCGACAAGAAGGCTGCCTCCGGCCAGCGCGACGAGAACGACAGCTTCTTCAAGTGTATCCAGATCGCCACCGAGCTTCTGCTCGACCCCGCTCGCCGTCGTCAATTCGACTCCGTCGACGAGGCCGCCGAGGTTGACGCTCCTTCCAAGAAGGAGGCTTCCGGCAGCAAATTTTACAAGGCTTGGGGCGCCACCTTCGATGCTGAGGGTCGTTTCTCCCTCAAGCAGCCCGTTCCCCAGTTCGGTAACGACGACAGCACCCAGGAGCACGTCGAGAACTTCTACAACTTCTGGTACAACTTCGACAGCTGGCGTACATTCGAGTACCTTGATGAGGATGTTCCCGATGACGGAGAGAGCCGTGACCAGAAGCGTCACACCGAAAAGAAGAACGCCAACGCTCGCCGAAAGCGCAAGAACGAGGATGTTGCCCGTCTCCGTACTCTTGTCGACGAGGTCCTTGCTCAGGATGAGCGTATCAAGAAGTTCCGTCAGCAAGCTCGTGCCGGAAAGGATGCTAAGCGTAAGGCTAAGGAGGACGAGATTGTCCGTTTGAGGGAGGAGAAGGAGCGCAAGAAGGCCGAGGAGGAGGAGGCTAAGAAGAACGCTGAGGAGACTGCTAAGGCTGAGCGTGAGAAGAACAAGAAGACTAAGGAGGCCGCTAAGAACGCTGCTAAGAAGAACAAGCGTGTTCTTAAGGGTTCCGTTAAGGATGTCAACTACTTCGCTGATGGCGAGGCTTCCGCTAAGCAGGTTGACTCCGTTCTCACCGATGTTGATCTCATTATGGGCAAGATTGATGTTGATGAGCTCGCTGCTCTTGCTGAGAAGCTTACCATTGCTGGTAAGGATGGTGGTGCCGTTAAGGCTGCTTACACTGCTGAGGCTAAGCGCCTGGTTGATGCTGGCAAGCTGAAGGACGGTGAGGTCAAGATTTTCGCTTAAAGGTGATTTCTATGGACTCAAAATTTTATTAGACTTGGATGAGGCATTTGCTTTATACTCCTTATGACCATTGTGATTTCCATTACGCAGTTACTCATGCCCTATATAGAAGATGAATGCAACGCATTAGATCAATATATTGAACTCTATTATTACCATTACAATGCGATGCCAAAAAACTTTGATTAAGAAAATAGCGCAGAACGCAGTCAAATTGATTCTCTATATCTCTGGCATTCTAGACTTCTCCCACCGTTTATCTCAACTCAATCTTCAAAAAAATTCAATACAAAACCCAAAACAATCTGCCCTAATCTCCGAATCCCCTCTTCCAACCCTTCTTCACTACCGTAGTAGTGAGCATGTTTTGAACATCGAACCCAGACGATCAGGATGAAGAAGAGTCACGTCCAAAGACATAATCTCAAAAGCCCTCAACCGATGCATGATGGAAGCGACAAACGCATACCTCAACTATCTTCTCCACGTCAAAGCACACGCGCCTCAGACGTAAGGAGCTGAGTCACTTTCGCTGTTATTCTGATCATCCTTCCAATCCTGCAAGACATTCTTGATACTGGCCATCAAGTAAAGAAGGTTGCCTGCTTCGGTAGCAACAAGACCCAATCTAGCGCTGCATAACACCGATATCTTCTGGAAAGCCTCGTAGGAAACAATCAACACGGCAACATAGCTCCTCAAGAGCTCCTCAAGAGCTCCTGCTGCGGTTTCATCGTCCATTCAGGACCGCTCGAATACTCTGGAACTGGTTAGCACAACAGCATAGCTGGGGACATTATTGAGCTGTTCAACTTGGACTTACCCTGCAAAGTGACTGTAATCCATTGTTTTGCTTCAAGTTCTGTTGGACATGGTTTTGATGGCGAAAGATCAGAATGATCGTAAGTACTAAAGATGGATGGAAGGAAGTTGATAGTTCTCATGGAAAGAGGAGCTTTCTGAGATCAATATATAGGAATGTCAGCTCTATCGGACATACTAATTTCGTATTCTAGAATATTCAACGGCTGGGCCGAAACATTACTCTTTACCCCACAGGAACTTGTCTCAGCCACATAGGCGCATATTTGATATGGTTCTTTGATGAAGTAGAAGGTTGGAAGCGTCAAGTCAAAGCACCTAGCTTGATGTCTTACAATATGCCCTATTAGATGACAGGAACTATCATGATGTTATGCTTTAATCTCTTTTTTATCTCACATCAATCATGTTAACTCTGCATCATGGAGATCACGGGTTCAATCGGTCCCATGGATAGAGTTGAGTTACCCCACACGCGGCCACGTTTATCAAGTTTCTTATCGGTCGCTTTTCTTCCCGCTTCTTTCTTTCCTTAACGCATCCATGCCTCCCGAGCGACACCGTACAACGCCAATAGTCCGCGTCCGCACAGGATGCTGGTCTTGCAGGCGCCGCAAGAAGAAGTGTGATGAAGTCCGACCCATCTGCGGAGGTTGTAAACGTAATGATCTGGGTTGCGAGTGGCCCACCGTCATTCCCGGGAGAAGAAATTCCGGAGCCCCCAACGACTTATCGCATGCTGATCTAGAGACGCGGCGCTCGAGCCCCTTCAAGATAATTGAAGAGATCGACTCGGCACCAATTCCTGGGAGTCCGGCATCTTCAAGACGACAGTCGTCTACCTCGTCCCCGTCTAGCGGTGGGCGATCTCCTGGTGGCGATAGCATTGTTGATTCGACCAGTCGAGCTCAGGATCAGAATCAGATCGCAGACCGCCGGAATTCATACATGAGCAGTACTTCGAATATCGACAATCATGATGCTACTCTTATTTCGATAGGCTCTGTGGGGAATGTCGTGCCGCGCACGATGTCGATGTTGCCAGGATATGACCCGGATTCTTATACGCTTATCAGTCATTATCTCAGTACCACAGCCGACTGCATGGCAAATGGCACGACTCCGGTTAACCCTTTCTTGGTTCAAATTGTCCCACTGGCATTTACAAGCGACTTATTATTACAACTTGTTATTGCGCAGAGTGCTGCACATCGGGCATTTCGACGTCGCGATGAGTCTGACGCCATTGCTCAGTCTCACTATACCAAAGCGATTCAATTATTTCGGAGCGGTGTGACAGAATTTATCGATGGAAAAGAGCCCAATCCGTTGATGCTGCTCGTTGGTGCGCTTTTAATGTGTTTTACAGAGGTAATCTCCCCGGCACCTCCATATTGGTTACAGATTTCATCTAACAAGTACAATAGACGACAAAAGGAGACATGACAGGAACAGTCTTCGACCATTTAACAGCCGCCAACTCTTTACTCATTAAGCTTCTAGCACAAAGCGATAGAGCAGTACCCAGAGAACTCAAGGACTTCGTCATTGAATACTATGTCTACACAGCCTCCGTCAGCATGATCTCGATCGACGCTCGACTAAGCGGGCAGCTCTTCCTCAACTTCGACCTCGAGCAAAGAGCTCGCGAACTCTTGACCATGCAATATGTTGGAAATCTATGCGGCTGCTGGTTAGAGCTATTGCTCCTTATCCCGGTGATATTCGACCTCGGCCGCCAGTGGATGATGGAAGAAACACATACCGTGATTCCGACCGCAGATGATATCGCGATGTTCGCTTCCATTCAAGCCCAGATTCTACGATGGACCCCCTTCCCATCCGTCGATCCAGAAGTGTATTTAGCAGGTCTTATATTCCAGCAAGCTATGTTGATATACCTATACACCTCTCTGGGCGGTTACAAATACACACAAGAGGGGATGTATCGAGGCTTGATCCAGACTGCAGTGACGGAGGCAATGTCTTATCTTGATGAGCTACCCGCTAATGCCCGGATCAACTCAGGCATGTGCTGGCCCATTGCAGTCATCGGCTCTTGCTTAGAGACTATTGAGCAGCAGGGTCGCTTGAGAACACGACTAGCAGCCATGGCAAGTCATTTCGGTATTGGAAATATGCATCGCACGCTTCAATTGCTAGAGGCAATTTGGCATTTGCCCACGGCAGATACGGGGCCATGGAATATTTGTCGATCAATGCAACAGAAAGAGATCTGGATCTCGTTTGCTTGAGTCAATCCAGTTGTTCTGAGTATCAAAATTTGAACCAGTCCAATGCCAGCCTCTCTTCATAAACCCCATCATGGTTATTCGAGCATATCAGGATTCGCTACGTTTCAGCGTTGTATATATGGGCTTATCAGGATAGCTGGCCTATCACCACCTCATACGAATCATGAATGCGACAAGGAGAAGACATTGATGGACTCGAGGGAAGTTGCCTCCCCGCCAAAGTGCTGCGACGCCACCAGGACAACTCTGTCCGACTCACCGTCGGTGCCATGCGCACCATCAATAAATGCAGCAACATGGTCCTGTATTGTCGGACATCCTGGTCTAGCCGGACACGCCAATAATCCTGCGTGGAGGACAACACTATTTGAAACACTTGGCCAGGGACATTTTTTCTCCGAACTTTGTGGTTATAGAATCTGTCTGAGCAGGTATAATCTGTATATAAATTCTTCAACTATACACTCAGATGTCATAATAAATACTATCATTCTAAATATCATTACTATCATACCTCAGTCGATTCTCAATGCTTGCCCTGTGAAATCGCCAGTTCCTGACGAAAGCGCGCCCGTATCGGCAGCGCGCTCCGGGACCGCGATGTGGGTCCAGATTAGCAATAAGCTCGATAAGCTGATAAGCACTAAAGGGATGTTGAGTGCGGGGAACATGAACAGGATACTATGCCAGGTACAGGTCTAGATATTAGAAGCTGTTCAACAGTTCGTATGTCCTGTAAGATATACAAGGTAGAAAAGAGACTTTAGTATTCCACGTGATATCTGATTCATATCATTCAGTGAAACATTTGCAGACGGCAACGCAAGTAATTAAGAAAGTCTTGTATTCATGCTGCTTTACTTCGAATTATGCCACCGACTCAACGATAAACTGAATAAATCTGCGCGCAAGTAGTTCACCGTCATGTTCTTTCCCAGCTCTTGAACTTCCACTCTTGTAAAGCTCATCATTGAAGAGACCACTGCCATGTCGTGCATCCAACAGATGAGTCATGATATATTCGTTGAATTCCGGATGAGCCTGAATACTGATAAGTCGCTTAGGCATGTATAAACCCTGAACAGAACACGGATCGCTATATCCAAGATTGACACAGCCTTCCGGTATCTCAAAGACAATATCGCGGTGCATTTGATGCAGGTACTAAGCGGAGTAAGCATGTATTCAATAGAAAAGAAATAGACTCAAGCACGGGGCCTCAAGATACTAGTAGAAGCAGTTGATCATAATAAACTTACCAATTTATCTTTTCCGAAAACTTCCTTCCCTGTCTCAGTAAGAGTAAGCTCATCAACAGAGACTTCCCACCCATCACCACGACCGACACGAGCACCTAGCGCCCGCGCAAGAATTTGGTGTCCGAAACAAACGCCCACAACAGGCTTCTTATGAGCCTGCACCACATCCTTAACGTACTCCGTTAATGTCAGGATCCACCCATCATCAGCGAAGGCATCATGCTCTGAATTCGTTAGTAGGATTCTTAGAATAAGGGATGTGTCTCAACATACTGCTTCCAGATAGCAAGAAGGCATCAACTTCATTTGGATTAGGATATATGGGATTCCCCACAACATGCCATTTGCTAATTTCGACATCGACAGAGCCAGCGGCGTTCTTTAGAAGTTTCTCGAAGATGTCTCCATAGTTGCCGAACTTTTCCTGGACGGGTGCGATTGGAGTGTCGCATTCCAGGACGGCAATTCGAAGTGGTCGTGTCATTTTGGTTATGTGCGAGGAATGGATGATGTGAGCTCTTAGAGGAGTTGGATGGGGTTTGAAGATGATGCCTTGTTTGAATGGTTGTTTTAAGGTGAAGGTTGGTGGTGGGTTGAATTAGTGAGCGCGCTTAGCCCCACTTGCGCGGTCCGCTTTAGTTGGTTGTGCCAGTCAGAATGCTTCCTTGGCTTGGGGATGATAAGGTTGGTTATTGCGTGTACGATTGTACATGATTGCTATACTGTTTGATACATTTGTTGTAGATTTCTTTGTACGGCCACCTCAGTTTTCTTTCAACATAATATTACTAATACAATTTGAGATATCTCAACATATAAAAACCCTAAAAGTCACCTCTGTGGCTCTGTACTACTTTATTATCTATAAGATTTCTCGATCCCCAGGTCTTGTATCTATGAAAATGCTCTCAAAGCTCAGCGGGTCATCTCTGCCGGTGTGTATATAGGCCCGACAGTTGCGCTCTTTCCGCCTGGGCCTTCTATACCAGCAGATGCATAAAGAGTTATATTTCTTCATAGTTTTGCACCTCCGTAGTTTCTCGACAACCCTTTCAAGTAAAACCTCTTTTAGATCTTCCGGGCGTTTCTTCGTTGTGTAATTAGACCTACTATCTCAATAGATCTATTTGATTTTATTGGTAGAAAATAGTGTATGAGGACGCCAAAGGGACTTCTATATTTGAAGATCCATACATACTAGTATTAGGCCAACTTACACTATTCCATGGGGAACGCCCGACACTTGCAAGTCATCCCTATTTTCTACTACAGCTTAAATTTCGAGACCTACATCTTTTATCCTTTGCGTCCAGGCTTCCAAAGATTGATGAGTGCGTTAAAGCAAACAGACTGCACTTCTCATTCAGTGCATGACGTATTTACTAGTAAATAACTATTCCTTAGTAACTAACTATTCCGGGTATAAAGGGACAGTGGGAAGCAAAACATTTCAAAATCCAAACGCTGTAGCCAAAGAATGGCATATTTCATTCTGATCCAGCCTCATTAATTTTCAAATAAAACCTCGACTCTGCAAGAATCTCATGTTACAATGCTGTGACACCAAATAATCAGGAAGCCAAACTTTGAAGCTCTTTACTTGTTACGGGTCAAAAATGATGCAACGAGAGCACACGCACAAGCGGCAAAGGCAAGGAACATAAATGCGCAGTCTGCCTCAGCACGCTTGCAACGAGATCGAATGGTACCAAAGCCATCACCGGAGTAAGAGCCATCTCTGCATACTTTGCCATAGACATCATCGTTGGTGCACCCTCCACTAATAAGCTTGTTGTCCCAAGCGTCAGTCGGGTCACTGCAACTCACGCCCTTAAGCGCGACAGCATAAACCTAAGCTCAAATTAGTCGCTGTTTTGTGAAAGTAGTGAATAGTGAATAGTGTATAGTTGAAACTTACAATTCCAGCGACCATGAGAGCAAGACTGGTGACACCATCCAGCACCCACACAATGATACCACTCAGGCTGGAGACCCATAGGGCAGCGATGCCGATGAGGGAAACAACAATGCCAAGTGCGCCGGTGAAGGCAGCATATCCGGTTTCAGCGGGGACTTTTCCGTAATATTGTTGTCTGGCGAGAGTGATAGAAAGACCGAGAACAACGATGCTGAACAGAAGCTAGAAATCCATCAGTAATGCCCCTTATTATTAGCTAGACAGTACGAACCTGAAAGCTTCGTGCGATGGGAACGAGGATCTGCATTTTGGATATGAACTTCAAGGCGATGAAGCAACTTTGATATTTTGCAGGAAAATATATGACAGTAGTAGCCTGAGAAAAAAAAAAAGATACAGCCTTGCGACGGGGCAAGCCGAAATTTATTCCTAAATCTTTGGCAATCAAACAGTCACAATTTGAACGGGTCACACAGAGCCGCAGTATTAGCAGGGATTTGGGCCCCAACGCTAAGCTAGAGGAATACATACTGGGGCCACCGGGGGCCAAACATGCATGAAGCTAGAGCCCTGAAAGTCAAAGAAGGAAATTTCATATGTTGATCATAATATAAACATCCTTCATTGGATCTTTCTGCGCACAATCCGCGTTTTATTTTCGTGTTGAGGCGGGTAGGCTCACTCCATACTCCCAGGTCAAATTCTGATTGATTTGAGCCGCATCCAGTTGGGATCAGCCTTACCCTCACACCTGTAGTAAAATTCTACATGATGATTCCCAAGGTTGGGGACCATCGAGATCTTCGACCATGAGAAACGAAAATTAATGATCTGTTATTTTCGTCAACCTCCAGAATCTTGTATGAATTATGGATCAAAATCTACAGTCTCTTCCAAGGTGTTCAAATGACTCAGGGACGCCAAGCACAGCCATGGCCCCCTTTGCCCCGCAATTTACACCCGAAATTGCACCCGAAACACCATAGCGCCTCCTAATCGCCAGCTCAGGTGCAGTTAGTGGAGAGAAAAAGGTTGAGGCGGGTTTAAGGTGCTGCACACCCCTACTCTATTAATAGGACACGGTTCAAGATCGTCATTGACGATGGATTAGCGCCAGCTCCTTTGTGCTAATTTTCCTTCGGCGAATAAAATTCAAGATTGTATATAGCCGATTGAATGGATCAGTTTCCTAAATTTAGACTGTCTATCTCGCGGTGTTACGGTGTGGACCTCCCTGCATCCAAATCATATGCATCGAACTGGTTTGGCTTTTCACTTAGCGTTTACCAACGGTACTCTCACCCGTGGACAAATCTAACTTGAAAGGACATGCATTTCGTAACTCTTAATGACAAAATTGTCTACGCTAATTGCAATACACGAGTTCGCTAACAAATTGAGCCCGATATCCTCGCCAATATACCTACAGCTTAGCAGTAGGCTGTAACAGATGCTTCATCTCAGAGTTGGGGTACTCCACGTTCTCAGAGGAGTCAGGTCTTTGACGATCCCATGCCCACTTCTCCACCAGTTCAGGCTCTAGTTCGCCCTCCAGCATCTGAGTGACATACTTGCCAAGCACGGGGAAGAACTTGTATCCGTGGAATGAGCCGCAAGTCGCGACGAACAGACCCTTCGAGGCGGAGTGTGGAGAAATAATAAAGTCGGAGGTTGTGGTAAAAGCATCCCTTTTAACTGTTAGATTGCGGTGTTTTCTCAAAAAATCCAGAAAAATTTGACTTACCAGCAGATGCGGTGTTTTGTCATATCCCAAGTTGCGCTTTCAGGCCCGTACCACAAATTTCTGGCTTCGACAATATCCTGCTTTAATGGGCCAGGAACCTTCCATTGGTTGTAGTCGTGTGTTGGTGGAGGAGAAGAGATGTATCGACCAGGGAGAACTTCGCGGGTGTTTGTGAAGATCTTGGATCCCCACCACTTCATCTCTCCATCCTTGGTAGGAGGGAGACTGCCGATAAAAGGTTTGCCTGAAAATGATTATTGTTAGTGACAATAACGCGAACATTATTGGTGAAAGATAACATACCCTCGTCGGGTGTATAACCCTGAAAGCCAACAGGCATATCCTTGTACTTCTCATACTGATCCTCCTTAAGCTGCGCCATTCCAGTTGTGATACCAGCAGCTAGAATACGCTCGCCAGCCCGCAAACCAAGATTACCACTCTTAGCCGCACTCCACTCCAACAAAGTAGGCGTGAACGCACCAGCAGCAATAATAGTCTGCTTCGCTGATATAATAGCACCAGCCTTTGTCTTCGCACCAATACATGATCCCTGACGATTGAATTCCAAAGAAGCAACCTCCGCAGTAACATACTTCACACCCAATTCAAGACAGCGCTTCGTCACAGCTCGAAGTGAATCACCAGCAGCAGCCCAGCCACTAGCCCGGTTAATCAACACCTCCTTCACGCCTGTATAGTCCGCATTATCAAAAATGCCACCGTAAAGCTTCCGTGCCTCGGAAACAGGCAAAGCAATGATATCATCATTCCTTCCAAGCTCCTTGTGATTGGTAATGACATTCTGAGCATAATCGCTCCGACACGTCCAATAAACACCCGTCTGATGAAAATGCGGTTGCCAAAGCGGATCAGTCTTGAAGATATCCTGTGCCTCAAGAGCTATCTTGCAATACACCTTATCGTCATAGTCAGCACGGACAACTTTATTCCAGTCCCATGATGCAGCTACTCGAGACTCCGCATCATACGCATCCCTGTCAACGAGTGTGATTGAGGCATTGGGATATTTCTGAATAAGATGGTACGCTGTTGAGACGCCAAAGACTCCAGCACCAATAATGAGGTATGAGGGGTTGCTTGAATCCATTTCTGTGTTCGGGGAAGAGTTTTCTTCCGTCGTGGGTACTGCGCAGCCGTATTCCAGCTCTTTTAGACTGTAGGCGAATGGGAGGGGGCCAGGCATCTATACGCGGGGGAAATTCGAGGAATTGAAATGATTATCATTTAGTAGTTGTTTGTCTGGCATTGAGCTGCTTTGTCTATCTAAATAATTTTTGAAGAGCCGGCTCCGGCCTCGCTGAGCCGGGCGGGGAACCCGTGGAGCCGATCACGAGGGGATGGTGATTCGCTCTGGAGGAAGCGAGACGGAAGCCGGGCCGGATGTTGACCTATTAGATTGATGGGATTAGATGCAGTTCTGATTTAAACATGATAGCTGCTTGGATGATCAGATTTTTGCTTGGTTATGTGGTGTGATCTGCTACTTGATTGTGGCTGTGTTGTATGTTAAAAAGAGTGATTGAGAACTCGTAGAGAATTAAGAAAGGGCCAATTGTTAGATCAGATCATGAAAAAATTATACTAATCAATTGAAAAACAACCTCGCAGATCTTATTTCAGCATATGAAACATATAGATGCGCTTATCAAGGCTTTGACTTGTTACTTTTCCGCGGTGCGGGGAAGCTATAGCCTGAGGGGAGATCGCACGGTCCGTACCCGGTCCGCCTCCATCTAGATCATTTCGTGTGATACGAATGACTCTACTGAGGACCTTAATATCTCCACGCAATAATTAGTGTTTAACCTCATTGAAAAACATTGTTTTTTAGAAATGCGACCATGTAATGTGTTTCTGAAGACCAAGTATCAAGCCTGGTACTGTCGGCTGCATTTAAACTTTGTGCTTTCCTCGAAGCTCAAAATTGGTTGCTCTCTTGGGTCCATGAGCGTGTCAGGTGAGATGTCGGCCCTACCCAGAGAATGCTCCATTACAGACTGATCAATGATTGCCGCAACTCGATACTTCGGATAAAGATTCCAGCACCCTTCAATTTCGAAAATTCTCTCCAGGCGGTCGAGATTCTTTTCGTCAAATCCCTCTCTCTCAAAAATTAGGTGATGGATAGATATTATCGCGCTACCTACGTAGAATGAACTTTTGGCAGCTACAAGTTGATTGACTTGCATGCTTAGTTGTTTGTCTATGTGCGCGTAGGAGGGGCTACTTATGACCGATTCCGGTTTAGCGCTATGTAAGTGGAGCTCTCTTTGTCTCCGCTCCGGTCCTTATTCATCCTCTAGGCCACTCATATTATGTGACGGAACATCATGTTTCCATCATAGTGCCGGTACACTAAAGTGTTAGACTCATTCTTTTCTCCTTCGAAACCCTCTATCTCATCCCAAGCGCCCCCAGACCTAGGTATTAAGCACAATGTCAGCAGAGCTAAAGCAGGTAAGTCGATCCGTGAGTTCCAGTGTTACCGATACTAACAATCCAGTTAGAGAATGGTCAAAAGGCTAGCATCCTATACTGTGATTGACGCTCAAACGGACGATACTATCAATTTCTCAAAAATTTCTTCAGTATCCTTTCTATCGATGGACAAAGGAACCTGGTTCATGATATTGTGGGAATAAGAAATGATGCGGCACTTCGCTTACTAGTTGACAGTATTTGGAGTGGATTGGTCGCTCCTATGCGAACCCAGGCTGGCCGTACACCTCAAATCACCCCGTCTCCACACCAGAATCTCGAAAATTCAGTCGATAATATTCCGAGTGAGGGTTTCCAGCCATTGGACCGATCCCGTCAATCCCAACTTCAGCACAACTGTTTAGAAAGAGATGGTTTTCGAGGTGCCTTCGTACGATGGTGGAGCACCGATCATCCACGTCCACAAGGGGCAAACCATACTATACTTCATGCGTGCCATATTATCCCCCATTCGACCATAACTTTCCCGCCTGCACAATCTGAGATAGAGCATACCATATTTTAGAGAAACCTTGTACGATTCTTTCCCTCTATCTCAATAAACGACCGGGACCAAATTGACTCTGAAAAAAACATTATTATGCTCGAATCATTTGCTCATGAAGATTTCAATCGTTTCCTCTTCTTTTTCAAAGCCACTTCAATTCCTAACCAATACCTGATCGTCCCTCTTCCAAAATCCACTTCAGTAATACGAATTGTATTACCTCAAAGTGAACGACGACGGAAAAGAAATTTAGCAGTGCAAAATGGAAACGCTGATTTACCCGACCCGAGATTCCTCGCTGTTCATGCTGCAGTCGCGAAGTTTCTCTCCATGACAGCCCGCACTGAGTTGGTCCACAAAGTTATAGAGGATTATAAGGAGTGCAACAGACTCGCTTCAGATGGCACAACAGGCGTGTCCGCCCTGCTTGCAGTAAGCGGGTTATCGTTGCTAGTTGAAAGCATTGAGAATATAGGGAATCCACTACGATCCAGCGATCAGAAATCCACAAATACAAACATGCAACCCTCCTCCCAATCAAAAACGCTTAAAGGAACGCAAGTACAGGGGAAAGATTCTTATACCGAGAATAAACAATAGAATAGATGATCGGGAATGCGTCGTGACAGTTGCACTTAGCTAGCTTTTTAGTTATATACTTATCAACACAGATACTCTTATTTCTTCAGCTTCCCGAGTAAGTATCTTCTTGGCAGTATAGTCTATACGCAGAAAGGACGAATGCCCCCTACTCTTACTAGTAATGTACCTATATGCTATATTTCGGGTGTCATTCAGTTGTGCCCCAGGCACTACTAGTATGGTTTGTTTCTTGGAAATTCTAAGGTCAAATATGAATACTTAAACTATATATCGGGTTGAGGTTGATTTATTTATTTTTAAGGCTACTCTATGTGATGAGGTGCCTACAATCTACCAGAATAGAGAAAGGTGCGAAGAACAACGAATAACAACGTTGAGGAAAAGGGAAGAAGAGAGAGAGCTATACTACATTTATGTAGGAGGATGCCCACTCTCCAGACCAATCATCTGATTAGTCTGTATCCGAGAGTAGGTCAAACCGCACAAACATTCAAACATACAAACACACCCGCCCCGAGTTTCCTCCATGTAGTTATACTACACTCTATTGACTTAACCTGGGGATATGATTATATATATATATATTGCTTCCAAAGGCTAATAACTAGGGACTCCTATGGGTAGCTTAGATACTAAGATAAGTACTGCTAAAATCTAGCTAATAATTATTATCCATGCCTATCCACCATACTAATTAATACTCGACTAGTCCCAACCCAATACTATACTAATTTCCCCGTGCGGGGCTAAGAGGCTCAGATAACCTTCCAGTCTCGTGGTGACTCATAGAAACGAGAGAGCTTAAATATTTGCAATTGAGCCACATCAATTGAATTTTGAATTAACTCTACATTCCATTCAATGCTCAATTCTAGATCATTGTTGAAACGATTCAAAATGACATCCCCAGCATCAACCTGGCCACAATTTCGAATCCTCCCCGCCACGGAAAAGGATTGTCCTGGTTTGGCAACAGTTGAAGTCCTCTCATTCAATGATGTAAAAAACGAACCACTAGAAAACGCTATTGTGAGAATAATGCTGGGTCCACCAACAGAGCAATGTATCGAATTCAGAACGAAGAGCTTTATAGATCGATTTCAGACCCACCCAGCGACACGATTTTGGAAAGCAGTTGTCGATGATGTAAATGAGCAAAACTGTGAAAAGATCGTCGCTTGTGGATTGTGGAAGTTCTTTCTTAAACCCGAGAAAATTCCAGACTGGAAGGATATTACTGAGTGGCCGCTTGATGTGTCGCCGAATGCTTGTAATGAGTTTACTGGGGCGATTACCGAGATGAGGAGGAAGCATATGGATGAGACGTGTTATGGATGTAAGAGATTATTTGAAATTGGGTCTACAATGTCTTGACTAATTATTATTAAAGTTCTGGAGATCCTTGGCACATTGCCTGAGTATCGTGGGTATGGTATTGCCTCGGCTCTGATGAAGGTCGGTCTTGATCAGGCCAAGAAGGAAGGATTGAATCAATTTTGGATATATGCATCTATTGATGCTGAAGGTTTGTATAGAAAATATGGGTTCAAAGAGATTGATGCTGTTAGACGGGATATTACGAAATATGGAGGTGTTGGAAATTCGAATATCATTGGTATGTGGATGGCTTTCGATTCATAATGTCGATGTCGCATCCTGGCTATAAATTCGTGACAACTATGTTTGCCCAAAAGAAAACTGAGCAAGGACATATAAATCATTATATCATGATTGCAATTTGAATTAATATTCCAGTGCCGCGATGTCTGGGTAACTATGCACAGAATAAAACAGTAGACTAATCTAGCATCATTCTTCCAACTACCTAGTAGTCGTCCGTACTCACATCTTCCACAGTGGCGTTCTTCTCTCCATTCTCCTTCTCTCCATTCTCCTTCTCTCCATTCTCTTTCTCTCCATTCTCCTTCTCTCCATTCTCCTTCTCTCCATTCTCCTTCTCTCCATCCTTCTTCTCTCCATTTTCCTTCTCCCAATTCTCTCCCTTCGATTTGACCGTGGACTCTGTCTCCGTCATCGCCCCATCATCATCCTCATCTGCCCCTTTCTTCTCCGTCTTCCCCGTACTAGACCGTTCAAGCTTAGGAGCACGTTTCTCTAAAACAGATTTTCCCTTATCATCAGCCTTCCCAACAACCGACTGCTCCGCCTCACTCTTCAACTCCGCCCCAGACTCCTCCGCAGCCTGAGAAGACTTTTCATCACGTTCCCTCCTCGCCCGAACATGAGCCCTCCGAATAAGTCGATTATGGTAATCCTCCTGCTCAGCCTCAGGATCTTCATGAAGAATCCGACGTGCCGCATCCCGTCCAACAATAGGGAGCTTCTCAACACCCTGCACTCCATTTGGTACTAACTTCGGATCGAGAAGTCCGACTTGAAGCAAAACGCTCGCTTGGTCCCAGTATACATGCTCTGAGTATAATCGGCCGCCACGCAAGCTGACAATGCTGACTAGGATAATCTCAACGTTTTTATTTGTTGGCGGGACGCCGGGAAGCATCCATGGAATCTCCTGTGTGTGTTCGAAGGAAATGTACAGTTCATCGACTATGCGGTCTGCTCCGGCTGTTCGAGAGACAAGCCGAATACGCATGGAAGGAGGTAGTTTGCCTAAGAAGAATTTCGAGTAAAAGCGTTTGAGAGCCTGGGCGCCTATTCCACCGCTCATCGTACCAGTGTAGGTAACTGCGGGGGTTTTGTTTTCGACATATGAATCCAGTGTTTTTGCGAGGTTGGATGCGAAGAATTTGTCTAATTCGTTAGCTTCAAGGTTTTTTCACGAGCGGAGTCAAATGAACTTACTCTCTTGGTGATCTTCCCAGCACTTTTCAAGATCCACTTGTCTGGAGAAACCCGTACGCACAACCTTGATCGACCGCGTCCATGCGATATCAGCCGCCGTGTTATCATACTCTTCCATGTCGTGCTCAGCAAACCCAGGCTGTGCGTAGTCATAAGTGTAGGTGGTATATGCGAGCTTCAGTCGTTCGCCAGTTCCGATGCCAGGGTTGATCGGGCGTGTCCTGCGACGCGTCTTCCCTTGTAAGCCCACTAGGGTCTGGGCGACCGTTACATCGATACTCTTTCCAGCGAGGTGAACGAGGACATCTAGACCGAGTGGGAACTTGACTCGTGTATCGGGGATGATTGTGGGATAATATGCGACGAGACAGCATAGTCGGCTGCAGTTTTGGCCGTTTGAATAGTAATTCAGACAATAGCTAGCAGCTTCACCAAATGCTGTGAACAGAATCTGTATGTTAGCTCACTAATTCTTCGCATAACACTTTAATCTGGAAAGCACATACCCAAAACCCCATAGTTCTCACCAACACCAAGACCTCCCTTAATACTTCGCAGTCGATCTTCATAGTCCTTCCCACCACCGTTCAACGGTAAATAAACCACATCGAATCCCTCATCTTGCCAATCCGTAATCGTCTCTTCATCGAACTCTCCAGTTTCAGACGTAATGCATAACCGAGCATTATTGTCACCATTATTATATAGAAGACCGTTGCTCAGCCCAGGCGCATTAATCGAAATCGCAGCCATTTCTGTAAGGTCACTTGTAGCTTAAAATAATTTAAACATAAAGCTCTCCGGTTCGAGTTCCTTATCGAGCAGGAGAAATTATCAGACAAAAAGACAAAGTATTGTAATGTGCTAAGTAAATGTGTTGCTAGTGACAGATAACGGGCGCTACGTCATTGGCGCAACTCACGTTTCCCCACGACGTCATTGTAGTCGCAATGCCATGGAACCCGCCAAGTTGAATAGATTAACTGGCCAAACAGATGAAGGGATATTGTGGATTAGGGGCAAAATCAACAATGCGCAGGTAGTGGTCAAGGTCTCGTATGATCTTGTTCTTGCCTTGCATATATAGATCCTGATGGTCTTTGGGTGCTGTTTCCAAATTAGTGCGCATTTGACGCCGCTTTTGCCTCCTACATGAAGGTGGCTTCTAGTTTACTCCATGTCTAAAAGCGGCATGCAAGTATACCCTAAGAAGGAGGGGTCCTCTTGTGTTAATCGATTATCGTGAAACATTAAATGATAGCTCGACCGACCACTTTCGAACAAGATCTCAAACGAACAGCCTTGAAGCAAACAAGCAAGCAAAGCACCAATGAAAAGAAAAGCAGAAGATTCTCTCCGGTCACCCTGCTGGAGGGATGTTCCATTCATGACTACATCTTCTTACTTCTTGGGCCATTTTGTTACTAATGTACAAAAGACTATCTTGGGACTTCATTAGTTTCAATATGGATCATGAGTCTCGAATTCGATTGTGAAGAATTCCAGTGATAAACCAAAACGACCAGCGAAGGTAACTTCTACCCCCGGTGTGGTTTGCGGAATGAAGAGGGGATTGTGATTGGAGTGAGGGGGAGCAACATTCAGCCTCACTATCAGGTGATCGCGGCCTCATATATGCATGGTATTAAGCGACAGAAGGCCCCCTCGCCCTTGCGACTGACAGATACCTCAGACCAGTCATATTTTTCTCAAATTGACAAATTCCGCCCTCTGCTGGAATCTTCACTTATTAACTCTGACTGAATTGTTTTCGACTCGCCATGTTCAGGACATTGTGGGATGGATCTGTAATGCCTTTTGAGTCCTTGACCGCCCGAGAATTTCTCGATGAAGTATACGATGTGGAACTTTTAGGTACAAGTAACAATTACGTGTTTGGAAGGATTAAACATCATAATGTGGTTCTCTCTATTCTCCCCATGGTTAAATACAGAGATTCCACAACGGCCAGAGTTGCTGAGATGATGCACATTTTCCCCAATATCCGCATTGCGCTGATGGTCGGCATCGGAGGGGCATGCCAAGCGAGAAGCACGACATTCGCCTTGGAGACATTGTCATTGGCCTATCATTGGAACCGGAGGTGGTGTCTACCAATACGACTATGAAAGTGCTATTCAGGAAGGCAGAGACTTTCAGGCTACAACTTTGCTGGAGCCACCGCAGGTTTTCATCCAAAATGCAGTAACTAGCCTTCGAAATGCTCATCAGTTGGAAGGGTATGAGCTGGAAAATGCCATCGACAGAGCTTTTGAGCAGAAACCTTCGCTACTTATGATATGCCGCCGCCCAGCCCATACGTCGGATCGCCTGTACCGGAGCAATATTGTTCATCGAAACCCCACAGAGCTGTGTGATCTAGGATGTGGTGATGACTATTCTAAGCTTAAGACACGCACACCGCGCTCAAAATACAACAGCCAAGTAATTCATCATGGGTTTATTGAATCGGGTGATAGGCCCATGAAAGATGCTGTCCAACGAGATAAACTTGCAACAACAAAAGATATTCAATGTTTTGAAACGGGAGTCTCTGCTTTAATGAATAATTTCCCCTGCCTTGTGATTCGTGCAATTTGCGATTATGCTGATTCTCACGCAAATAACTTGTGGAAGGGCTATGCGGCTATGGTTGCTGCTGTCTATGCCAAAGACCTGTTATATAGCATCGACCCGGAGATTCTCGCTCAGCAGAAAACAGTTGCAAATATTGTAAATAGAGGGACCGACGTTTACGATCGCGACCAACCTCTAAACATTGATCAAATCGGCTATGCAAATTCCGGTATTTTGTTATCATCTACAGATCCTCAACGGATCCCTAAGCAGGGCGAGCAGAACATTCTCATATCAACGACAAGCACAGTCTCTGGTGACAGAAAAGCAAGAACCAAACTGCCGGACCAGTCTGTCTCTCTAGAAGAAATCGATTCAAAACCCATATTACGTGAGAATGGGCCTTGGGTTAAAGGTCTGTATTCCATTGGATATAGTGACCAGGACGCTTTTGATCTCATATGCGAAAAAGAAAGAGACTCTCCGTAGATATTGTTCGATTGTATTGATCTTCTGACACCTGATATCAATATCGGCCAACACGTACCTCGATGCTCTCATCACCACTGCTCAACAAATGGGCACAATCCGATAGGTACACAAAATCCACCAGCTTTTCCAATACCTTTAAGAACGATGAATGGTGAAGGTTTGATTGAAAGAATTGAAGAGATTTGTGGGTTAGCCGGCATTCGCTCCTCAACTAGAGAAGTCAGTAGCTGGGCTGGGTCCTCTGATTTTTGTTACAGCAATACCGTAGCAAGCTATTATCTTTTCAAGTCTCACATATTTCCGGTGTTACATCGGATCCACTCTGCTGTTGGTCTACTACAGCAGAATAGTTTGTGTTACAAGTCCTTCACAATACTCAAGACTTGTTCGCCTATTAAATCGACTGAAAAACAATACATTAAGGTTGTCCCCATTGTCTTTCAATTAATTAAAACGTTAAGCAATACAGAAATGCTATCGCGATCCAGGATTGTCGATGCTTCTCAGAAAATTCTAGGGTTGTTATGGCCACATCCAGCCGAAATAACCGTCTACCGAAATTTCGAAGAATTGGCATTTCCCTTATATACATTAGCAGTTCAGTTTCTGTCGCTTAGACTCCTATTGTACATCCAGGCACATGTCGGACCTCTTCGATCGTTTTTAGCCAGATAAATCTACTAGGGCTTCCACGGATAAGTCCATTTCCAGGCCTAGTAGCAAGACTAATAAGACTTAAATACTTTAAGAATATAACTCGAGGAGCAGCATTGTCATTTAAGACACTTCCAACCGTATAGCATAAGATAAGTCCCTATCAAGCAAACCAAAAATACAATTTCGATTTTAATCTCTACGGTCATAGTTCAGATATACTAGACACTTAGGGACCAGGAAACTTAGTCTTCCGTCCAAGGGCGGAATCTCCCATAGCAATCAAAATCAGAAATAGCTTCATTTTTCATCCCTCAACAACAACGAAGTTTCATTTTACTCATAAACTAGAGGAAACTATTTTCACCATTAATCTTTCCAAGCCGCTTTTAATTAGCACAATAATTATAACAAATACCCAATATAAATTTTCAGAAGCAGACTACTGGATAACATCAACAGATGCTTTAGAATATCTTAAAACAAGTCGATCTTCTTAGAAAAAGGTACAACGACAGATAGCTCTTCAAGGTAGTTAATACATTACAAAGCAACTCACAGAGACGTAGAACAAACAAAGGAATATCCCAATCAAGATATCGCTCTGTTAAGTCCCAAAGCTAACCTTATTCATTATCTAAACAAATATTAGGATCTTCAAGTTAATTACTACACTAGCGTTACACAAAGAGTTCCACTTCACAAACTTATCGCAGACTTACTCCCACAATTTCATAAGATTGCCACTATTAGATATAATCTAGAAAACAAACTAGAAGACAAGAAATTAAACCTACAAGATTTTCAAATATAGCTTAAAGGACTAGCCCTTCAGCACCAAGATCAAATTTTAGAAACAATTTAGAAGATTCTTCATTCTCTCCGCTATACAAGGCTAGATACTACAGAGAAGTACTTCTACATTAGATAGCCCTAGGATGGTAACACATCATACTACCTCCAGATTCCACTTAAAGGACAAAATTCTTAAGCAAGGATACTTACAGAGTCACACGACTGTACAACATTCACAAACATCACCATAGAATATTTCGAGACAACAGGCATCAAGTACAGCTGTTTTGATCCTCAACAGGTTTATCGAGATCACATTCTTTTACTTAAAACAGCTGTTGTATATCCAAAAAGAAACACACAAGCATAGAAATTAAACCACGGAGAAGTATATTTTTTCTCTAAGCTCGACAGCATATTTTGGGTGAAGGTTGAGAGAGAGCAAGCAGCTCAAACATCAGGTCTTATTGAATTGGCCGCCTCAACATCTTTGCCGTACAATATTAAGCAGGGCTCTACATAAGTGAAAGAAGGAAGCAACAGGCTCATCTCAGGGAGCGCTCTACATCTCAAATGCAAGGGGAAATAGCTTCGGTCTTCTCAGTGCGGAAAGATCAATGATTATACAAACTAGCGCAGGTCAACTCGGTCTGAGCCTCTTTTACTTTGATTATAACCTCGGAAGCATAAATTTAGGACTCGTTAGAATATTCGTTTGGGTGTTTTACTATGGTTGTTTATGCACATTATCTTACATCTTTGAATTGGCAAGGCTGAGCGGTAAAAATCAACTTGAATCAGTATAAATCGGCCAAATCAATTTCGGAATGGAAAATTTAGATCTGGTAGGAGGCTATCAACCCTTATTTAATTTCACATGACAGATACCTCTAGGCCCTATATCTTGTTTGTTTAAATTAGGACTGACACGATGATCGCCCGTCATACTTACGACAATTCCCGACGCTAATATAAAAGCGCGAATCAACAACCTTGCAAAGCGCCTGAGCCCTTGAAGCTAATGAACGACCTCGTCATACCTGGTTCCTAACTGAACAACAATTTTCACATATAATCTTCACGCTGGATTAACTCTTTTGCGATGTCGTTATCACCAGCGCATCTCTTTCGCGCCGATCACTACAGTCCCCACTTCATGGATCCACTGCAGTGGTGCCATATTTCCGACCGTGAGACTCTTGTGTAGCCAACAAGAAAGACCAACAGGACAATATTGTGCCCCTGATCGCATTTCATATCGAGTTTGTGGACTGTGGAGTGGAAACGTATTCGCCATAACTTCTCGCGCCACAAGCACACAACAAAGCTCGTGGATTTCTCTAACCCTGCTCTCAGATTGACCAAAATCCCAAGTTATCCATTTTAAACCATATACGAAATTCATCTTAGCTGAAAATAAAGTATCACACTGAAAAAAAAAGCTCAACCTGAGGCAGCTTCGTGGCTTGAAGTTAAAGCTAGAACGGGGCAGAAGCTTCCACCAGAACCGTTTTCCCCTCACCGAATCCCGCTTAATCTCCACAACGCACGATTTCCCTGTTCAACACAGCGATGTCACTGGTTCAGCACGTGTCTGCTCTCGAGGGCATAGATCGTGAACCAGAACCAGATGTCGGCGAAGATGTCTTATCGATTCGTCGAAAGATCAGCTACGATGTGTTGCAGCCACCTAGCTTGCCTTTTCCTGATGCCGAGGCAGTGCCAGGAATACCAGCTTATAAAAGCTCTACCTTTAGGAGAATAGGTATTCCATCTCTGCGACAGGGAGAGAAAATACATGCTGACCGTATTTAGCTCAGGTTGTCTTTACAATTTTCGCGTGTTGGGTCGCGTCAGGGATTGTTTTCGGATTTGCCGCGCTAAAACCTGTCCTTATCGAAGATGGTGTTTATCACGATGAAAGTGGATGTACCGAGGATGAACTGCGTGATGGTGTGGAATTATGCAAACAGCAAGATCTAAGGTATTACCCGTTCTGATTGTGATATTGTATATTGTTCGAACTCTCTAACATCACCAGGTTGAATTTTTTCTTCACTATCGCATCAATCACGGCAAATGTCTCCGCACTACCCGTTGGCACAATTTTAGACCGTTATGGGTCCCGCGTGTGCGGCATCATTGGGTCCTTCTTGCTAGCCGTAGGTAGTCTACTCATGGTCTATTCATTCGCGCACCCCGTGTTTGATGGTCTGGTCGCAGGCAATTTTTTTCTAGCTCTAAGCGGGACGTTTATCTTTGTGCCATCATTTCAAATCGCCAATGCTTTCCCTCGGTATGCAGGATCAATCGTCGCACTAGTAACAGGTGCATTCGATGCTTCAGCTGCTGTCTTTTTATTCTACCGAGCGCTTTATGAGAAGTCTGGAAGAAACTTCACGCCTGATCAGTTCTTCTTGGGATATTTGACTGTTCCCGCGGTTATATTCATTGGCCTGGTAACGTTTATGCCAAGCGTTGATTATGTTCCGACATCTACTCTTGAAGTCAAAATAGAACGTGCAGAAGATCCAATGCAGGATGTGCATGACTCTGATGAGGAAATTGAGAGCGACCGAGAGCTTCAGCGGGTTCGTCGCCGCCGCGCTGAACGGCGTAAGCAGAAGGCCCGGAAGATTTACAAGGTGCTCGGTAGTAAGGATGAGATACAGTCTCGTGCGGAGAAAGAAGAGGATCGTCAGATTGTTAGTCAGGTCTGGGGTGTGCTACATGGTTTACCGGCACATAAGCAGATGGCTACCCCGTGGTTCATTCTGATAACTCTGATGACGGTTTTACAAATGGTTCGAATGAACTACTTCATTGCGACTATCAACTCGCAGTATGAATATATGCTCGGCTCGTCCGATGCAGCAAAACAAATCAATGACTTCTTCGACGTTGCGCTTCCCGTTGGCGGTGTTCTCTTCACCCCATTTATTGGATATCTGCTCGATCGGCTGAGCGTCCCTGCAATGCTGGGATTAATCGTGGCATTCACGACAATAATCGGAGTGTTGAATTCCATCCCTACGCTATGGGCAGGGTATCTAACAGTCGTGCTTTTCGTTCTTCTGCGTCCATTATACTATTCTGCGATGTCGTAAGTGCCCCACCCATTCTGCCCACTCCTTATTGTCAACATTCTCATCTCTCTATCTAGTGATTACGCTACTAAAGTGTTTGGCTTTGCAACCTTCGGTCGCGTCTACGGCACCATCATCTGTCTTTCTGGTTTATTCAATTTCTCACAGTATGAACTCGATGCACTGACGCACCATACCTTTCATGAAAATCCGATTCCGATCAATGCCTCTTTGGCTGTGGCGGGATTCATTGTTGGATTAGCTCTTGTGGGCTTTGTCACTATATCAGGTCGCCGATTGAAGGCGCAAGCGGATAGGGAGGACGATGAACGAGAGCCATTGTTGGAGGAGGATGAGGAGGAGGGTTATGATAGTGATGGATATGCGTCGCCTTATGGTCGTTAACTGGACAGTTGAGGATATGATCTATTCCTGGATTTTGTTGATATAGCACGCGTGTTGAACCTTCAATCCGCCAGTTCTGTTTCTACTTGATGGGCACGCGCGTAAATCTTCAAGTTGGGAAGAGGGTATCATGAATACTAAAGATATCTACTATTTAAAATTGGAATCCATCAATATTCTTTGAAAATATTCCAATCATTTCTACATGCACTAATCTCGCTGTTGCTTAAGTACTAGTAAACATATAATCTTTACCGCAAGCTTCAAGCTGGTAAAAATGAATGTTCAAATATTTCCAAAATTTCACTGGAGCGTGTTTAACGAGTACCAGGGAGTATAATATCCACCTCTGGAGCTTCAAGGTTGTATTCGAATATAGGTTCGTTTGTATGCTGTTGATAGGATCCTGCGTGCAGCCAATAAGCCTCGGCTGATAGCGTGGTCGGCAACATTTGAAGACCGATTTCGGCCCCGACCGTATGGGCACCCAGGCCTTCTTCAGCGGTCGAAAAATGGAATTATTGCTCTGCATAGATATTTGAACTCTCCCAGTGTTCGGAATCAGTATATCGATCTGAGTTATACATATTTCGTATATATCTGAGTGAATCATGGCCTCGTAGGCACAGGATCATGTTGTCCGATGACGGGAGGGGCTTATCGGGGATTATCTTATCGGAGGTTGATCGGGACGTGGAAGTGGTAGTGGGAGTGAGAGGAGGTATTGAAGATGTGCATATTTCGATTATCGCGGGCCATTGGGTGTTGTAAATGGGAGTGAAGCTCTGGAGGTTAGTCCTGAGGATTATATTGGGGAAACTGAGCTCGGTTCAGACTGTAATTGAAGCACTGCTATGTTAGTTCCTGCTGGACCAGGATAATTCTTTAAGCTCGATGGTTCCTGTTGCATCTGCTTCGCAAGGGATGTGTAACGTTCCACAGCTTCGCGGCTGTCGTTTCACGGCGGTCAATTGCCCTGTCAGGTTCGATAAATAGACTGAATGAGACCGAGGAGAGGCATGGAGAGCCATGGGGAAGTTAATCGAAAATCCCAATCTTCTCCGTGTGCTGTGTCTCCGCTGCGAAAGCTCCGGTCTCGTCTCCGTGCTTCTTTGACTCCGCCATTGTGGAGTCTTTATCGGGTTCAGCAAGCTGATCCAGATCAACTTTCCCGACGGGAAACGGTGAGAAACGGTGAAGTGTGGATTCGCAGGGGAGAGAGTGACTCCACCGGAGAGAGCGGTATGTCCCGTGATTGGGGCGATAAGGCGCTTATCAGGCGGTCGGGAGGTTTTCCGTGTTGCTGTTGCCCGAAACCCCTCGGTCAAACCTCACGTTGAAATCAATTCGGAATTCCAGATAAATAAATTATACCTGGAATTTCACACTTCTCTTCTTCATCTACCCCTCCTCTTTTAACACTCTCACCTTTGTTACCTACGACGTGTGAAAAAAAGAGGTGTTGAAGTCCCGCCCACTTCTCCTTCCCCTACGTCATACCACGGTAGCTATCTCAGCAATGGCGGCGTCTTTCTTTGCTCTGCGAAGCAGCCGTCAGCTGGTGCTGCGGTCGCGTGTGCGCGCTGGTCCTTCCTCAGTGGCACTGCGTTCTGCTTCAATTTCGCCCTTGAACATTACCCGACGTGGTCTGAACACTCAACAGTCCCAACAATCTACTGCTCGTCGTGGTGTCTATACTAGCTCCGTTACCGCCCATGGTGACCCCCACCCAGAGGATATTTTCCAGCCTCTCGATACATTCCCCCGACGTCATATTGGTCCTTCTCCCGATGCTGCTGCCGATATGCTGGCTGTGCTGGACCCCCCAGCTGCCAATTTGGACGAATTCGTTAAGCAGGTCCTTCCTGAGGATATCCTGTCTAAGAAGAACTTGACAGTCACCGAGCCCAACCGCGATATCAACCTTTACCGCTCCAGTGTGCAGGGTGGTCTAGGTGAAACCGATATGCTGAAGCTGCTGGACACCTATCGCAAGGAGATTGATGTCTCTGGAAAGACTTACATCGGAACTGGTTACTACCCAACTATCGTGCCCCCCGTTATCCTCCGAAATGTCCTCGAGAACCCCGCTTGGTACACTAGTTACACTCCCTACCAACCCGAGATCAGCCAGGGTCGCTTGGAGTCTCTGCTTAACTTCCAGACTCTCACCGCAGATCTGACCGGTCTTCCCTTCGCCAATGCCTCCGTTCTGGACGAGGCCACGGCCGCCGCCGAGGCCATGACCATGTCTTTCGCCACCATGCCTACCTCGAAGCAGAAGAAGGCTGACAAGTCCTTCGTTGTATCTCACCTGTGCCACCCCCAGACCATTGCCGTTATGCAGTCGCGTGCTGAGGGATTCGGAATCAACTTGGTTGTGGGTGACATTCTGGCGGATAACTTCAAGCTGGTTAAGGACCAGAAGGATCACTTGATTGGTGTTCTGGCTCAGTACCCCGACACCGAGGGTGGTGTTTACGACTTCCAGTCTCTCGGTGACTCTATTCACGGACAGGGCGGTACTTTCAGCGTTGCTACCGATCTGCTCGCTTTGACTGTTCTCAAGGCTCCTGGTGAGTTCGGTGCCGATATCGCCTTCGGTAGCGCCCAGCGATTGGGTGTACCCATGGGCTTCGGTGGTCCCCACGCCGCTTTCTTCGCCTGCGCCGACAAGTACAAGCGTAAGGTTCCCGGTCGTGTCGTTGGTGTGTCTAAGGATCGTCTCGGCAACCGTGCCCTGCGTCTTGCCCTGCAGACCCGTGAGCAGCACATCCGTCGTGAGAAGGCTACTAGCAACATCTGTACCGCACAGGCTCTGCTTGCCAACATGACTGCTATGTACGCGATCTACCACGGTCCCGTTGGCCTCAAGTCCATTGCTCAACGTATCATGTCCATGACTGCTCTTCTGCGCCAGAAACTCGTTGGCCTCGGTTACAACGTTCCTGTCCGCTCCAACATCGAGGGCGAGGCTGTCTTTGACACTCTTGCCATCGAGCTGGGAGACGCCTCTGAGGCTGATGCCATTGTTGCTGCCGCTCGCGATGCTTCCATCTTTCTGCGTCGTCTTGGTGGAAACAAGGTCGGTCTTTCTCTCGACGAGACTACTGGCCGCGAGGAGATCAAGGATATCCTGAAGGTTTTCGCTACCCACAAGTCTGCTGGCCCTGTTGAGGTCGATGGAACCCTTTCTGTGGCCTCCGTCCCCTCCACTCTTGAGCGTACCTCCGCTTTCATGACTCACCCTGTTTTCAACACCCACCACTCTGAGACCGAGATGCTGCGTTACATCCGTCACCTTGAGTCCAAGGATCTGTCTCTGGCTCACTCCATGATTCCCCTGGGATCTTGCACCATGAAGCTCAACGCTACCACCGAGATGATCCCCGTTTCCTGGCCCGAGTTCTCCAACATCCACCCCTTCATGCCTGCTGACAAGGCTAAGGGATACATTCAGATGATTGATGATCTTGAGCAGCAGCTCGCTGATATCACTGGAATGGCCGAGGTCACTGTCCAGCCCAACTCTGGTGCTCAGGGTGAGTTCGCTGGTCTCCGTGTTATCAAGAAGTTCCAGGAGGCCACTGGCAGCAGCCAGCGCAACGTTTGCTTGATTCCCGTTTCCGCTCACGGTACCAACCCTGCCAGTGCCGCTATGGCTGGTATGCGTGTTGTCACCATCAAGTGTGACACCAAGACCGGTAACCTGGATCTGGCTGATCTCAAGGCTAAGTGTGAGAAGCACAAGGACGAGCTTGCCGCTTTCATGATTACCTACCCCAGCACCTTCGGTGTGTTCGAGCCCGGTGCCAAGGAGGCTTGTCGCCTTGTTCACGAGTTCGGTGGTCAGGTCTACATGGACGGTGCCAACATGAACGCCCAGATTGGTCTCTGCTCTCCTGGTGAGATCGGTGCCGATGTCTGCCATCTTAACCTGCACAAGACCTTCTGTATTCCTCACGGAGGTGGTGGTCCCGGTGTTGGCCCCATTGGTGTCGCCGAACACCTGCGTCCCTACCTTCCCTCCCACCCCACCAGCGAGTACCTGCAGGCCAAGCGTGGTGACAACTCTTCTCCCCCCATCAGTGCCGCTCCCTGGGGTAGCGCTAGCATCCTCCCCATCACCTTCAACTACATCAACATGATGGGCGACCGTGGCCTGACCCACGCTACCAAGATCACCCTCCTGAACGCCAACTACATCATGTCCCGCCTTAAGCCTCACTACCCCATCCTGTACACCAATGATCACGGCCGTTGTGCGCACGAGTTCATCCTTGATGTCCGCGGCTTCAAGGAGACCTGCGGTGTCGAGGCCATCGATATTGCCAAGCGTCTTCAGGACTACGGCTTCCACGCCCCCACCATGTCCTGGCCCGTCGCCAACACCCTAATGATCGAGCCTACCGAGTCCGAGAACAAGGCCGAGTTGGACCGCTTCATCAACGCCTTGATCTCCATCCGTGGTGAGATCGCCGAGGTTGAAGCCGGCAAGCAGCCCCGTGAGGGCAACGTTCTCAAGAACTCTCCCCACACCCAGCGCGACCTCCTGTCCGCTGAGTGGGACCGCCCTTACACCCGTGAGCAAGCCGCTTACCCTGTGTCCTGGTTGCTGGAGAAGAAGTTCTGGCCCTCTGTGACTCGTGTTGATGATGGTATGTTTCACTCCCTTCTATAACTCTCATCTCTTTGATCTCATGCTAATATTTCTACAGCTTTCGGTGACCAGAATCTGTTCTGTACTTGCGGCCCTGTCGAAGACAGCGAATAGATTATATGATACCCCTGCGTTTTCTTAATTCGCATTTCCACGCGTGAGATTCAACTGACTCCGCGTTCGCTTCTGTATACATTCAACATTTCTTTTCAACATTGTACTCATGATGACGAATTTTTTTCTTCCTTTTTCTCTTTTTGTTTTTGCGGGTTTAAGAGGTTAGCAATAGAGCAGACCATTCAACAAAATAATTGATATACATTGAACCCTTGAAACCCTTGAATTACCACTCCGAGACTCTAAATCACTTCATTGAAATCTCATTCAATTCCATTCTCATCTTCATATTCTTCCATCCCATCACCACATATATACACCCTGTCTATATGACAAGTCACTCTCCTTATCAATACCCCTCCATCCATTATCGGTAATAACATTACAGTACAATACTCCTATCACGCCCCACACCAGTCCACAAATCACGCGGCCGAGTTCCCCCCTCTCTCCCGCTCTGTACGCAAATACCCAAAATTACCCTATCGGAGACAGCCGACCCCCGAGTACAAATTTACCACGACATCCACATCAACCCAGCTTGTTGATCCCTCAGCTCTACTCAACACACCCGCAATGCAACAGTGAACAGCCATCTTATCAAATCCAGCAAGAACAACCTAGATCCCCAATTTGAAAGGACCGAACTACCTATTGCGGACTGGCTTGTTTCGTTTCCTGGAGCAGAGAAAGGGATATATAACTGCTCGAATCTCCGGAATGTTTTGATTCCAGCTGCAAAAAGTCAACCTTGGAAGTCTGATTCTAAAGCATATGCATTTGTGGATCCATCTCATTTGATCGGCGCTGCATAAGCTTGTCTGGTCTGTACTACACTACTACTAGTATAGAATATTCAAGTTAGACTCTCTTGGCGGGGTTTATTCTGTTACTATAGACTGGATATATTTGAAATTTCAACCTGAGATTCCAAGGTTCAAGGGTCATCATGTCGACACACGAAATTACTTTGTATCGGGGAACTTTTATTCATCTTCCTCGTTTGGAGGGTGGATTGACTACTTCTAAGCCGAAGCTTATTCGGAATCGTGGTGCGTTGTGGGTATCTACCCTTGATGGTCGAATCAAGGGGTTTGACTGGGATGCTCATGATGAGAGTTCATTTCGTGAATTGATGAAGATTCACGGGTGGATTGACATTGAAGCGTCTCAGACGAATGGGAATGCAGACTATGTGAAGGTGAAGATTGTGACAAGCAACGAAGAAAGAAACGAATTCTTCTTCCCAGGTTTCATCGGTGAGTCTATCTATCCACATGAACTTCAGATAACCCAATCTAACCTATCCAGATACCCATATTCATGCACCTCAGTACCCAAATGCAGGCCTCTTTGGCTCAACAACACTGTTGGACTGGTTAGAAACCTACACATTCCCAGTTGAATCGGGTTTCGGAAAAACAAACACAACTCCATCAAACAAACCAGAAGATGCACCACCCTCCGCACTTAGAGTGTACGACCAAGTCATCGCGCGCACATTATCACACGGCACAACCTGCGCATCATACTTCGCTACCGTTCATGTTCCAGCTACAAATGCCCTAGCAGCACTGGCGCATAAACGGGGTCAACGCGCATTCATCGGTCGCGTCTGTATGGATAACCCCTCTTTCTGTCCGGAGTACTACCGCGACGCATCAGCTGAGGATTCACTTGAATCTACAAAGTCCACCATCGAGTATATTCATACTCTTGATCCGAAGGGGAGCCTTATAAAGCCGATCGTTACGCCTAGATTCGCACCGACGTGTTCTAGACCTTCGCTGAAGGCGTTAGGTTCGCTTGCTGCGTCTTATAGCCCACCACTGCATATTCAGACGCATATATCGGAGAATACGAATGAGGTTGCCCTTGTTAAAGAATTGTTTCCCGAGTGTTCTAGTTATGCGGGTGTATACGATGAATATAACCTGTTGACGGAACGGACCATTCTTGCACATGCTGTTCATCTCACGCCAGAGGAACGACAACTCATTCAGAAGCAAAAGGCCAAGGTATCGCATTGTCCTGCTTCAAACTCTGCGCTTGGATCTGGAATCGCTCTTGTGAGAACTATGCTTCAAGAAGGAATCACAGTTGGTCTCGGTACAGATGTCAGCGGTGGGTATAGCTCTAGTATCCTCGAAGCAGTGAGACAGGCATGTCTTTCCTCGCGGTTGGTGGGGCATACTACGAAGTTTGCGAACGACAAACCTCTGGGTGAAGTGTCAGAAAAACTTTCTGTAGAGGAGAGTCTTTATCTTGCTACGAGAGGTGGGGCGGATGTTGTTTGTATGGGTGATGATCTTGGGGGATTTGATAATGGGATGATTTTTGATGCGCAGTTGATTCAGTTGGGTGGTGTTTGTGAGGATGTGGTGTCTTTGGATGGTAATGGTAATGGTGAATGTGGGGATGGATTGAAGGTTCGGGCTGGACCGGCTGGTAATGTTGATATCTTTGGGACGGAGACGTGGGAGGAAAAGATTCAGAAGTGGGTTTGGAGTGGTGATGATCGGAATGTCAAGGCTGTTTGGGTTGCTGGGAGGATGGTGCATGAGCGGGTTTGATGGATGAATTTAACTTATTTCGGGTCTTTTCGGTATTAAGTTAGTCTTGCGTATGTTGCTTTGAGCTCTTTTTGTAAATATGACATCAGGAAGGACCTTGGCATACATACGGTGTTGGATGATCCCATTAAGCCAAAAAGCCTGCCCAGGTGCTTGCTTCCTTGGTGGATCTTCTGCATTTTATTGCTACACACGGAATATATTCCAAAGCTCCAAATTTCAATGATCATGTTATGAATTTACATAATAAAATAAGCTATCGAGCCCTATGTAGCATGATATAACAAAGGATAGGGATACCAAAAAAAACTAAAAAAAACATTTGAACGCTCTAGCAAAGTATGAAACATTGACAAGAAACTATCTAGTTTAGGAATGTGATTCCTTCAATGGCATTTAAATGCTTGTCCGAACTCGTAATAAGATCATTAATCATTGTGCAAACTTCATGCGCCATAGATGTGGCCCGATCGAGACTCATCTTCTGCGCTGAGCAGTGGATATCCATTCTCACCCCAGATAGGGTCTCGGTAGAGCAAATCCACACCTCCGGTCCAGGACAGAGCCCACCCACTAGTGAGAGAGACGACGGCTTATTCGCAAGTGTCAACGTTAAGCCGTGATTAGCCGTCTGATGCTGGACAAGGTACCCGAATTCTGTCGAATCTGAAGGAGACCAATCTGTGCATTGCGAGACTATAGTACGCAAATCAAGAGACTCGGACCCCAGGCTCCGGGCATGCTGGACTTGGGCGTGGAGGAGATAGTCTCGCGCAGTCATGGAGGCACGAGGCTGAACACGGAACGGTATATAATTGATACAAGCGCCCACAACTCGATCGATATCGGGGAATGACAAACTGCGTCCATCGACGGTCTGGCCGACGACGATATCAGGTCGCTGGTGGTGTCTAGCAAGGACTAGAGAGGCGGCAGCTTTCACAAGGGTAGGAAGGGTGATAGAAGGTGGGAGTGCAGCCGGTAAAGCAAGATCGCAGGTTCCTGTGACTAACTCATTGACCGATGTGTGATCGAGGGGCGAGGAGGTCAGTGATGAACCCGCCAGGTACTCTTGCCAAAAGGCTCTCTGCTGCTCTTGATCTGAATGTTGCGCCCGTTGCTCAAGGTACGTGTCGAAAGAGGTATTGGCGATCTTCTTTCCATCATTATATGCTGATTCGAGATCGTGAACCAGAATTCCAACAGAGTTGGCATCATATTGGGCGTGAGCCAGGCGGATGATGAGTCGCTGATCTGTATTCGTGGGATTGGATACCAGAGTGAAGCGAGTCGCCACTCCTGCTGAAGGAACCGAAACAGATTGCTCCGCATGGCAAAGAGATTCACAAAATGAGTCTAACACCTTATCGGTCGTAACTACCTCCAAAGGAAGATTCGTATCTTGCGCTAGGGTTAATTGGAAGACCTCGTCGCGATATTGAGTGAAGACAATCCGCAGTACACTGTGAGCACGGACAAGTGCGGAACACGTATCTCGCACTCTTTCTTCGTTCAGATCACCTTGGAATGGAAACTGGAAATGGAACCATGGGTATCTTGAAATAAGTGTTGATTGTGCTTGCGTAGCTGGCTGCGCGCTAATGACGTTTCCAGCCAACGGTATCATTCCTTGGTGTTTCAGAGAGGTGAGATGTCGCTGGAAGTCCACCGATGTGAGGATTGATGGCTTATCTGGAGCAGAGATAGCAGATTTATCTTCACCGGGCACCGCGTGTTGCAAGGAAAGTGCAAGAGATGACAAAGAGCTGTTCGGGCTCAGGACGTCTGCCACGGTGAAGTCGAACCCAGCACGTCGAGCCGTAGCGACCATTCGCATGGCAACGATCGAATCCCCACCGACAATGAGGAAGTTGTCTTCCGCCCCAATAGATTCCTTGGACAGGCCTAGGAGATCAGCCCAAGTGGTTTGCAGCAGTTGCTCAGCATCACTAGAGACTGGGGCTTTTACTCGTGGAGCTGCGCGATAATTCTGGAGCTCAGCAGCAGAGAGAGACTGGACAGCTGACCGTAGGCTGCGACGATCAAGTTTTCCTGTCACGGTATGTGGCATCGCCTGTATTGGGATGAACATGGACGGGATCATATATGATGGAAGGATACGTCGAAGGCGTGTCTCTGCCTCGGCGGTACTTTGGCGGAATTGCTGAGAGACTGAGTTTAAAAAGGCATTGGCATCGCGCTCTTTGGGATCGTTGGAGTGGATGCTGATATAAGCGACCAGGGTTGCTGTTTTCTTGTCGCCAATATCCAGAGAGATTATCTCGGCAGCCACTCCGTTTGCCGAAGGGAACTCACGGAGCATGTTGGTTTCAACTTCTCCCATATCGATCAATTGGCCGTGGAGCTTCATGCGCGTCCCCTGGCGGGCTATGTATCTAATTGTGCCATCATCTTGGTACTGCACGAGATCTCCCGTCCGGTAGAGTCCTGAAGATGAACCCAGTGACATGTTCTGTCTCCATGCCGGGGCTTCAATGAATGATGCGGCCGTGATATCCGGAAGGTTGAAGTATCCTGCGGCCAGAAAAGGTCCCTCCAACAGTAGTTCTCCGATGGCTCCGACCGCAGCCAAACGCGACGTATCATTGGGCATTGTCACCCAGCCGACACCACCGACGATTGACCCAATCAACCCTTGCTTCCAGCCCGTGGGGGGAATGTTTCCAGCACCGGAAACTGCAGCTTCCGCGGGCCCATATGCATTGATCATCCTGCGACCAGTGGCCCAAATATCTACATTTTCACGGGTGACAGCTTCACCTCCCAGGACCAAGGTTGACAGACATGGAACTTCTGAAGGTTGCAAAGTTTGCACGGTTGATGGGGTGATGAGCGTCCAATTGACTTGAAGTCGGCAGATGGCGGCGGCAAGCGCGTTTTTACGTTCGAATTCTGACGGAACGCAGAGAGTTCCACCCGCCGCCAACGAAAAGAAGATCTCGAAAATACTGACATCGAAGGCGTATGAGGAGAAATGGAGCACCCGAGAATCAGCTGTGAGGTTTATCGGGGCGGTGGCATACTTGATACTCGAGGCTAAGGCGCTGTGCGGCATGACGATGCCCTTGGGCCGACCGGTGCTGCCGGAGGTGAAAAGGATAAAAGCCGGAGCAGTAGGAGGGCCCGGTGAGTCAGGTATGTGTGGCGTATGCTGCAGACTATCTGTGAGCTCAGGATCTAGACGAAGCTCGCTTGGGGTGAGACCGCTTGTTAATTCAGCTGTCGTCTGACTGTTGATGACGACCTGAACGGAAGTTTCTTTGAGGATATCTTGAATTCTCTGGCGCGGATGATTCAAGTCTAAGAGGATGCAAGTAGCTCCGGCACGCAAGACAGACAGAATGGCGACAACGCTCCATTTACTTCGCTCTAGACAGACTCCTACTGAGGAACCTGGGTGTATATTCAGCAGTTTGAGTCGGTAAGCCAGCGAGGATGACAAGTTGGCTAGTTCTGAGTAAGTCAATGAACCATCCCAGGAACACACAGCCGTAGCCGTTGGCTTTTCAAGGCAACGAGTTAGAACAATCTCGTGCAAGGACCGGTTTTCAGCCGCAGGTATTTGGGGATTCCACTGTTGAAGTTGTCTCAGGTCATCAGGGGATGCCATGTCAATTGCTTCTATCTGCTGCGCAGGTTGCAGCATGATTTGACGGAGGATATGTGTAAATTGAGACAGCATTCGACGCATTGAATCCGGCGAGAGGACATTGGGATCGAACGCAGTATCAATAGCCATACCGCTACGGTCTGCGCTGGGTAGAACCGACAGCATCATTGCGAACTCACAGAAGTTGGTATAATCCAGGCCGGTAGTGACAGATCCTTGTACGGTTTCAAGAAGACTTGTCTGTTCTGCTTCCTCCGGAGACTGGATTATTAGCTGACTTTGGAATTGGCAAGCTCTTTTACCGTCCTCGCAACTTTTCGCGATCCGCGGCAACCCGACCTGTTCGTATGGAATCATGGAAGCCAATGTTTTTTGTACTTGATCTAGCGCGGTCACTACCAAATTTGCTGACTGCAATTGAACGCGCAATGGAAGGGTCGTAATTGTCGGCCCGACCATGGCCTCAATACCTGGGACTGAAGCATTGCGTCCACTGAGAGTCACGCCGTACACCACATCGGGTGAATCAGTATAATGAGCGATAAGCAGTGCCCACGCAAGGTAGATGTAAGTAGGGAGGGTATGAGATGTTTGCTTCTCCAATGAAAGCCCCTCGATCTTATGTTGGAGTGACTTCGTGGCTGAAGGTCGGTAATTGCTGGCCGGAAGCTCAGGAAAGACGGTGGCATCTAATTTAGACAGCTGAGTGGCCCAGAATTTGTCCACGCCCTGGATTCCCCGGGTGTACTGAATGAAGGGATAAAAATGCTGCTTCTCCAGCGAGTGGCCATGATATGCGGCTTCCACCTGTTGGTGAACGAGGCGTAGCGTCCAGTCATCTGACACAGAGTGGTGACTCGTCAATACTAACTCGCGATTCTTCTCGTTGTAAGAATATTGAACCAATGGTTGCCCGACGAGTTCGGTAAATCTGGGGGTTTGCAGAGTGGGGCCGGCCTCCTCATGCCACGCGAAGGCGTCAACAACGACTTGGAAAAAGCCATGAGAGGTTTGAATAATCCTCGTGCGCAGAATAGGATTGTAATCAGACGTGTTTTTCCATGCGTTTTTTAATTTGGATGCGTCCACGTCGAGTGGAATTCGAAAGACGATATTTCCAGTGTACATGCCAGGGTGCTGTAGCGAGGATGCGAACATGCTCTCTTGTAGGGGTGTACATGGATAAATATCTTCAACCTGGGATCTTTGCACGCTGCATTGTTCCTGGGCTAACCTAAGAACATCAGACTGGACAGAGGTGTTCACCAGACTGAACGACTCATATACCGTCTCGGGCGAAGATGTAATCGTCGTGGATTTCTCCGCCTGCTCGGCGATAGTGACCTCAGAGAGTAATTCCTGCATCTGAATGACAATTCCCACTTTTCTTGCAGCCCCGATCAGACGAATAGCTTGGACGGAATCTCCACCAAGGCGCAAAAATGTATCGTCCATGCCAATGGCTGGAAGTTGGATTTGGAGAATCTCAGCATACACTTGCTGTAGTTTCTGTTCGCTGTCAGTGCTAGGAGCCCGTTTCTCTTTCTCTTCGGCGGAGCACGCAAATTCAGAAAGATCTCTTTGTGACATTGCTGCTGCGGTCTCTCTTAATAAACGACGGTCGATCTTTCCAGATGGTGCCTTGGGGAGACGAGCCAATGGAATCCACACATCGGGCACCATATACCGGGGAAGACGATTGTGCAGCTGCCCTTGGATGCCTTTAAAATTCTCCAGGTCAGAGGCATCTGGTGCGATAAAGAGTGAATCGGTCGTCTGCGGAGGCAATGGCCCATCTAGGACGATAAATGCGATCAGCCTTTGGTAGTCGTCAGAGGTGTGTACTTTCTCAACGACAACATCGGTGCTGGAGGCCACAAAGTCGTTGACATGATGCTCGACATCAGCCACCTCAACGCGCTGTCCTCGAATCTTGAACTGTCCGTCGTTGCGACCGATGATATTAATATCTCCTGTCTGATCCTGAGAGGCTAAATCACCCGTTCGGTAAACTCGATGCTGATGCTGCCCCTTTCGCAGCTGTTGAAGCCATGTTGGAGGTTCAATAAAGGCTTTGCGAGTAGCAGTACTGTTATTCAAATATCCTCGTCCCACGATCGGACCTTCAAGAAGAAGTTCGCCAACCTCGCCCCATCCCATCGGTGTGTCCATATCATCAGGGTCGACGATCCACGCAACCGCCCCAGTAGGCTTACCAATATTCTGCACCGGATGTCTGGGTCTCACGCGATGATTCATTGTGGCGTTAACAGAGCACTCAGTGGGGCCATATGCATTCATCAAGCGCATCCCGAGCCCATCATAAATTGTTCTGTCAGACTTGCGCATTGGCTCGCCACCGGTTAACAATGTAGGGCGCTCTTCAATATTCTCCCAGGGCACTATTCGAGCAAAGGAGGGAGGAAGGCCAACATGGGTTAGACGGAAGGTCTTCAAGGCCTCTTCGAATAAAACCACATCGTTCCGTTGAGCCTCACTCGGTACACATAGACAAGCTCCAGCCATTAGTGTGCTTAGCGTCTCCAAAATGCTAACGTCGAAGGCATAGGCCGCGAACTGTAAAAGGCGAGAAGTGTTATTAAGCTGGAATAATGGCGTATGGGATATAGCACTTGAGGCGTAAGCCTGGTGTTCAATAACAACTCCTTTCGGCTTTCCTGTGGAGCCCGACGTGAAAGCGACATAGAGCGCATTACTTGGCTGGGCCAACGGCATTCCCCGGAGGGTACGGGTGAATCGACATGCTTGATCCAAATTTTCTAGAACCAGAACATCTCCCAGCTCCAGGCAGCGTGCTGATTGCTCTTGCGACGAGATTATAAATGGGCTTTCAAGGTCATCGCATATCTGTTGCAGACGCGGTAAAGGATGCGCTGGGTCTAGTAGACTGAATGCGCCGCCACTTTTTATTACGGAGAGGATTGCAACTGTTGTCCATAGAGACTTCTCCATACAAATGGGAACGAAGCGCTCCGGTCCTATGCCCAAAAGCATCAGTGCGCGTGCTAGTCGGTCGGTAAGCTCTTCCAGCTCTCGGTATGTTAGGCAACCATCCCATGCGTCAACGGCAAGCGAGTCTGGGGATTTGCGACATTGCTGTTGGATTACATTTTGCACGCATACCTCCCAGGATGGTGGAACTTCTGGGGTGGATGCCGTGGGCGAAGTGGGCAACAAATATCCTATTACATCCAGTAGCTGAGATTGTGGGTGACTGATAAATTTATTAAAAAGGTGTGAGAAGCTGACAATGGCGCTTTGCGCTTGGAGAGCTCCATCTGCGCCTGGGTGGGTAATGCACATTCGAAATGACAAACGGCTTTCTTCCAGGACACAATGCAGAATCGTTGTAGGGAGAAGTTTATCCGTCTTTCCACCTGATTTAAGCTGTTGTATCCATTTCGGGGATTTTTCACTTTCGCCCGCTTCTTCGAGTATAATGATGTGACGGATGGTGCCTTCGGTCATGGTGTTCCGATGTTGACTATGGCGCTGGGCCTCTTCGTGAAGATCATGCTGCAAAGTGTGTAGATTCTGAGATATTGTGGATTCGAGGTCGAAGTCGGGTTCCATAGATATGAGGCAGCTCGTGAGGTCGTCCGATTCGTGAAGGGCGGTAATTTGGGCGTTCGCATTGATGCCAATGATTCCGCATCCAGTGTAGTTTCGGAGGTCTCCATGAGACGCGGCACCGCAGAGCATGAGTAGAGCAGGGGAAACATCCTGTCGCGTCAAACTAATGGCACCAAGATCAATGGTATCCTCAATCCAATCGCGCAGTTTATTCGAGGATGGAATAAGGCAAGGTTCTTTTGCGCGAACGGGCGCCGGCGCTGCATCTGTTACTTGAATTTCAGGCATTGTCAGTCTTGCAACGTCCGGTCTTGCGAAAGATTTGATTGCAGCAAAGATGTATGTTTCTGAGCATTATTTAGAACTTTGGACTTTCATCGCCAGTTCTGGTAGTAAAAGCATTCGGCTAAGTTTCCGCAATAACATCTATGTATATGCCCAGATGGAGGCCCGCCCCCACACGCCATCGCACAGAGACAGTGTGGAGCTCCATTGTATCCGCGCATTCTTGGCCGATCAATACATCAAAAAAGCCTGGATGCAATAAGTGAACTCACAGTAGTTGTTCGGATGAGCTTCGCGCTGGGATGAAGCAGGTGGCTACGAAGAGTTTTCAGAGTTGGATGGAATTACTAGTAGTAATACTAGTAATAATCTAATGCAACTTCAAGTTGAACTACAGGGGTCTCAAGGCAGATTTTAAACTATTAATATTTGTAGATACCACATTATTAAACACTATGTATGCACAATGATGCATTTCGTCCGCACAATATAAAGTGGGGGCGATCATCCGGCCCCCGGGGCCAGCGGCCCCCAGGCCCTGCCAGTGCTACTGATCAGGGGATGCCGTGGGGTACGGGGTATGGGGTTTTAATCAAGACATCCAGTGGACAGCCTCCGATGCTACTGTACAAAATTCGAAGCTGTACTCGTTGGAATCCCATGGTCTTCAACATTTTACCCTCAGCTATGCGCAGCATTCATAGAGAAAGGCGATATCATGATATACGATTACATGATAATTCAGTTAATTCGATATTTTTTTGTGCTGCAAATTGACATCACAGCCAATGAAAGCTCTATGGATTTGCCTGCAAGTTGCCGAAGAACATACCAGATTCAGAAAACTGGAATTCTCAGGATTAAGAATTCACAATCAAAATTAATGAAATGACTCTCCTTGTGACCTCATCCTGCTTTGATACAATATCAGCCCCACAGATTCTCTTTGGGTTTAGCGTTGTAACCTATACCGTAATGGAACAAGGCGGTCAAAAGGATGGGACTGTTTGGGCCGGAAACACATAACACAACAGTGAAGTCCCCTAGCAGAAAAGTCCCCAATACGGTATGGCACGGACCCCGCTAAACCCAAAGTGTACAAGAGTCTTACCTTTTCGGTATTAGAAGGATTGAGGCCTGTGGAGGATCCATTAATAAGACTAACGAGAAAGGCAAGGATTGGTTGAATACAAGTTACTAAGTGCGAGGAGCGATGTGTGCCCAGGATCCGAACGCGCAATTAAATGGGATTCCAAGGAAAGTTGCGAAGTGAGACCTCGGAGGGTTTAAGGTGGGGTGGATTGGTGCCCTGACTGGTTGCTGGACTTTGAATCCGGAAAGTCTAGCGACTAGATCTACGCGAGCCTTGCACGAATTTTCAATGATACTAGTTGCGCAATTGGCCCGGAGTTTCCTTGAATCCCGAAACACCGGACTTATTAATGGCAGTGCCGAAGCAAACGGGCAAAAGTACACCGTCAACTAGCCGAGCCAGTCTATTTCGATGTGTCAAATTATCCAGATCATTAGTACGGGTCAATCAATGCTTACCCTGACCTTGGTCAGGTTACAGCATAGTAATGCTTCAAATACTGGGCATCCACGGAGAAAAATGGATGATTAGCCAAGTTTAAACTCAGTGCCGGTGCTGCTTTCTTGTATGCTGATATTCGGAATTTCTGACGTAGTACGAGTAGTACACAAGGCTCGCCAGCGTGGGGCTTTGTGCCACGTTAGGAGTAAAAGGAATATATTCACGAGTAATTGAGAATGGGGTGTTGTGGGCGATATACTGGCTCGCATGCATTATCATGACACAGAAAGCGCCTAAGTAAATTCAAATCGCATGAATTTGAGTTTCCGAAAGAAACCATCATGATCCTGACAGATTTTGAGGATTTTGAGATCTGGAGCCGCCACATTCCAGATCGTTGACAGCATTCCACCAGATGATCGATCGATCCGTTCCTAGCCACAGCATACCAATGGTGAAGCAAGGGGTGGCGACACCGAACAAGACACTAATTAATCACATTTACAATCTAGATCGCATGGCAGTATAAAGCGATCGAACAAATTTTGCTTATTTGGGTTATAGTTCAGGCGACGGTTGACCGGCGGCTAAAGAACAATACTAAGCTCCACCATTGATTGTCTCCCCAACCAGGTGAATCCCTGTCACCTCCACGTTTTTGTCTGACATTCTCCGTCGGCGATCTGCAGATACATGGTAAATCAGACTTTGAGTCTGGTTTCAGGAGATCACCCGCGTGGTGCCTGTTTTTAGTACCTGATCTAACTGACTCAATTCGGAAATGGCCGTTTGACATCATCGTAAATGTTTGTTTTGGGTGTGATATACACGAGATTTTCCGCGATCAACAAAAGACTGTCTTTCTATCTCTCTCGATTAACAAATGTCCTATTAACTGGGGTAATGGCTGCAATTCTCCATTAGCGGTGACCATAGTAGGTAGAGTAAGAGATGGTGACAGATAGGTAAGAGACTGGTGTTTTGAAAGTCTCACCATAGAAAAACATCAAGTGGCCAGAGCCTCTAGTAAATCATACTATGCTGACCCTCCGGACTCCAGAAGATGCCAAGGCATACTTAATTGTTGAAAGCTAAACCGGAGTCCGAAGACGTTGGATCAGTCTCGGGTGTGCCTGGTGGAGGGCCCCGCCAACCCAATCACACACTCACCTGCAGATAGCTGTAAAGACCTCTCAGATGCAACCATTGTTCTTCAGCCGTTAGTATTGTTCCCGGACTTGCTGAATTGAATTTCTTCCATATTTCACCATTCTTTTTGATCACTTATATACCACCGGCGATCGCCGATCTTCATGATCTTCATCTCTCAGATAGTTTGATATCCGATTTACTCAGATCTGAAGATGCATTTGGCCATGTTCGCTCGGTGGGCTTTAGCCCTGACTATGGCTCCGGCTCTGGCGACTGCCATGGGCATTTTATCTTCGCCATTCAAACGGGAGTTGAAGCTTATGGCTGAAATGGGTCTCGACCCAGATGTCTTGTTGAGCCAGAAAGGATCCGTACATGCAATCGCTGACAACTTGACTGATGAGGTTATTGCTGAATATGCTTCGGTGTGGTCCCACGACGAAATAACAAACTAAACATCTGCTGACAGTATACTAGATTCCCATTGACCATACCGATTCGTCCGTCGGTACCTACAAGAATCGCTTTTGGGTGCAGGATAAATACTACGTCGAGGGTGGACCGGTCTTTGTTTACGATGTGGGCGAATCCAATGCAGAGAGCTCAGCTAAGCTTCAATTGGGGAATGAAACCTCGTTTTTCGCTTCGATGCTACAGGAGCATAGCGCAATGGGAGTTGTTTGGGAGCATCGGTGAGACGAAATCTTCATGGTTGTTTTGATTTCACATATTAATGGGCTTATAGATACTACGGCGATTCGCTTCCTTTCCCAATCACCAACAACACGCCTCCGGAACACTGGATCTATCTCACGAACGCGCAGGCTCTAGCTGATATACCTTACTTCGCGCAAAACTTCACCCGCCCTACCTACAAAAATGTTGAGTTAGTGCCATCGGCCACTCCATGGGTCATGGTTGGAGGATCATATTCTGGAATGCGCGCGGCATTCACGCGACACAATTATCCCGAGACAATCTTCGCGTCCTATGCATCATCCGCACCAGTGCAGGCTCGAGTCGACATGAGCGTATATTTTGATCAGGTCTATGATGGCATGGTTGCCAATGGGCATCTGAACTGCACTAAGGATATCAAGGCTGCAATGGAATATATTGACGCAGAATTGTCGAAGAACAGTTCATCTTCAGCTGCCATCAAGAAGCAATTCTTCGGCACTGGTGCGGAGAAAAACAGCAGAGGAGACTTCACTGCAGCGATCGCAGGCATTTTCGGGTACTTTCAAGCATATGGTCTTGGTGGTGGAGACGGCAGTCTTGGATCATTCTGCGAACACCTTGAGACTGACAACGAGACTCTGACAATTGCTGGTGCAAACGGATTTGCGCCCTACAAAGGCAAAGAATACGTCGTGAAGCGATTTGCATCCTGGCCAATTTTCATCGACCTTATCAACTTCAATTACGAAACCAACTGCGACCACCGCGACAAGAACCAAACATCCTCATGTGTGCTCAATCCCAAGTCTCCGGATGCAGACACAATCAGCTGGACATGGCAGTTCTGCACAGAGTGGGGATATTATCAGAGCAACAATATTGGTCCACACTCGCTCTTATCTCGCTATCAATCACTGGAGTACATGCAATACACCTGCAACCGACAGTTTCCCGAGGCTGTGAAAAGTGGCCTCTTACCCAAACGCCCCCTGGTCGAAGCCACGAACAACCAAACCGGAGGCTGGACAATCCGCCCTTCAAATGTGTACTGGAGCGGAGGTCAGTTTGATCCGTGGCGAACACTGTCTCCCCTTGCCACGGAAAGCATTGCCCCGCAAAGTGTTTCTTTCACGACGGAGATCCCCAAGTGCAACGTGGAGACGGCTGAGGACACAGTCTTCGGTTATATCATGCCCAATGCCGAGCACTGCTTTGATTTCCATATGAATTTCGCACCTGGCAAGATCTCACGTGGATATTTTCACAAGGCATTGAACGAGTGGTTACCCTGTTTCAATGGGACTGCCACTAATGCAGGCCGCGGTCAATAGTGTGGAGTGGAATGGGATTACCGGAGAGCACCCGGGGAAAAAGCGCCACTTCAGGAGAATCTGGGTGGTTTCCGTGTCCTCTGGGTGCTTGTAAAGGGGAAAGATCTGCGCTTCGATCGAGAATCCTGGGTGCATCCCGAGATTGAGCACGAGCATTATGATGTGTCATTTAGCGATTCTATCCATTTTCATACGAGCTTGCGATCGACCCACAACTATGGAATTCTCACGTGTAATTGAGCCGAGGATGTTTCTCTTCTTCGTCTCGTTTTCTCCCATATTTTTGAGATTCTTCATAGTCAAATAGGATCGGCGGGATTAACATTGCATCATTATTCTTTCATGAGATCGATCTATTCTATTCTTCTTCTATTCACTACAAATATACTTCTAAACTAGATCTTCCCACCTTCTTCCAACCATCTTACATACTTACACCTTGTATTCCTTCGAAAATCCTTCGGCTTCCCGCCGCAATGTTGCTCAGCCCTACCGTGCTCCTGGTTGGTGCAGCATGTGTAGCCTTCCTGGTCGTGCGGTACCTAACACAGTTACACCATCACCGTAAATTATCCAAATCCCTGCACTGCGAACCATGTGCTCGTGGACCAAGAGGATTCCTGGGAATCCCTGCATTCCTTACACTTGCAAAGGCTGTTCATGAAAAGCGCTGGATCGACTATTTGTGCGATCAATATGGAATCTATGGAAATACATTCAATCAGTTTATGTTCGGTCGGGAACTCATGGCCACCATTGAGCCTGAGAATGTAAAGGCAATCCTTGCGACTCAGTTCAAGGATTTCTCATTGGGAACACGACACGAACAATTTTATCCATTACTCGGCGATGGAATTTTCACATTAGATGGTGCGGGGTGGTCGCATGCTAGAGGTCTATTGCGACCGCAATTTACTAGGGACCAGGTACGTCATCTCTACATTTCAACGATCGGAAATCTCCAACTTATGCTAAAAAATGTTTAGGTCGCCGATTTGGCTCTGCTAGATGATCATATTAACCATTTGCTCGATCTCATCCCCCGGGATAGAAGTGCTTTCGACATTCAGCGACTTTTCTTCCTCCTAACCCTCGACTCAGCGACGCATTTCCTCTTCGGCGAGTCAGTAGGATGCATGCTCCCCGAATCTGAGACTACAGGTGTTCTGGCCAAGTCTGCTGTCAAGAATGCCCAGGGTTTCGCCGACGCCTTCACTGTTGCCCAGGACTGGCTGGCCGCTCGCTCCAGAGCTCAAGGCCTATATTGGACAGTCAATCCTAAGGAGTTCCAGGAAGCGAACCGTCGCGTGCATGAGGTTGTCGATCATTATGTCAATGTTGCGCTGGAGAAGAAGAGAAATCCCGATGAGAAGAATGCAAGCGATCGTTACATTTTCCTCGATGCTTTGGCGGCTGACACCGATGATCCGAAGATGCTTCGTGATAACATGTTGAACATTCTTCTCGCCGGTCGGGATACTACTGCCAGCTTGTTAAGTTCAGTTTTCTTCTATCTTGCACGTAATAAGCAGGCGTGGAATCGCCTGCGTCGCGAAATTGTTGAGACATTCGGTGACAGCAAGCATCCACACACTGAGATCACACAAACCAAGCTGAAGGATATTCCCTACCTGCGATACGTGCTCAACGAGAGTGAGTATATCAAACAATTCATATATGTCTTTACGCAACTAACACAAGTTTAGCTCTGCGTCTTCAACCACCTGTCCCTGTGAACTTCCGCGTCGCAACAAAGGACACCTCTCTCCCTGTTGGAGGTGGACCCGACAAGCGATCGCCCGTTTACATCAAGAAGGGTACACTGTGTGCTTACAACGTCTACTCAATGCACCGCCGGACCGATTTCTGGGGTAAAGATTCTCGCTCATTCCGTCCGGAGCGATGGGAAGAGAATCCCAAGCACGGCTGGGAATATCTGCCTTTCAATGGTGGTCCTCGGATCTGTCTCGGACGTAAGTCTTTATCCCTCTTCAGCTTAAAAACAAGTCTCGATCTAACAGAAATCCAGAACAATATGCTCTCACTGAGGCCAGTTATACTGTTGTTCGACTCATGCAGAATTTCGATACACTCGACAACGCTGATCCGCACCCTCGACAGGAACCCATCAAGCTGTCTAATTTGACTATGATGCATGATGTTGGTGTGCCGGTGAAACTATATTCTTCTGACACGATCTAGATGTCTTACGATTAATGTCTTTCATGTCAATGTAAATGGTAGCGAGGGTGGGACTTTTGATTGTCATTTTGTACATATTTTTATTTTCAAGGACAGGGTAACTTCCTAAAGACTATTTCGGGTTACGTATAGTAATGATTCTATACCTGTAGTCATCCATTCCTAGTAATCTGATTTCGGGCATACATATATTCACTTGCTTGCATCTTGACTGAAAATCAAGTACTATAAACATTAATTTAAATAGTAACGTGCATAGAGACGGCTTACTAGTTCAAGCAGTATGTTAGGGGAATGTTTCTATGATCCAAGCACAGAATAAGCGCCAGTCCTCTTGAAAAACTCTTTTCCGCTCAGTCTTCTCTTCCTCATCCATACAACTGTGGTCCAAGCTCCATTCTGCGAGACGTTTCCATCCGGAAAGTGATATTTTGTTGGATCCCATGGTGATTTGGTACAGTTCGTGGGAGTGAGACGATCTGCAGAAGTAATCAGCCAGTGGCATAATACGCGTCAGTAATGAGTGGGGTTTGAATACCCCCAAAATCCGGGGTCATCAGTATTTATTGTGCAGGCGACGGATTGCGCCAATAACGAGTACACCGGGTGACCTTGCATTTGTTCGCACAAACCAAGCAGTTCATTGCTTGTAGGGCATATTTCGATTGCGATATCACGCTGTTTGCAGATCTCGATAAGAAGCGGATGCTTATGAAGACTATATCCGTGACCTATTCGTTTCGACTGAAGTAATATTGCATCATACAAGTTAGAGTCAGTGTCGCCGCCATCGTCGAGAGTTTCGCCTGCATGAAGAATGAAGGGTAGATGAAGATCAAGATCCCTGCATTGCTTTTGCATATCGAGAAGGTCGGGTACCCAAAACGAGAGGGGCTTTCCAGCATCTTCTTGACCGCAAAGATCGAATCCTATTCATTTAGCATGCTAATCCGGCTTTCAAATCGTAACTGGGGATAATTCCATACCGCAAATGAGGTTGGGAAATTCTTTCTTGAGGTCGATAGCATCTTGAATGCACCATTGCATTTCCCATGGCGAGCATCCTCGCAAACTGGCATAGATGATCTTGAAGCCGTAGAAAGCAATGGACCTTTGCTCAATTTTCTTCTTCTCTTGACTCAGAACCTCTTCAACAATGGCGATCATCTCTCTATGGGTGAGCGAGCGTTCGCCATCATCGCTTGCGACCGTACTCCCATAATGCATTGCAAAGCGAATTTCCGCATAAGATATACCATCTTCAACGAGATTCCAGATAACACGGCGAATGTAATCTCTCCATGCGCTTTCATATCGAAGCAGGCCTCGGTTTATTCGCATCGAGTTATTCATGCAACCCCAGACACTGCAGTTTATTTCCTGTCAGCCTTGCTCAAATTGAAAGTGAAGTTATGGCATGCACCTATTGACTGTTCTTTGTGGAGAATGCGCGTCAGATCTCTGTAGCTCGATCTTCGAAAGAAGCCATTCATCAGCTCCTTGATCGCCTGTTGGAAAGCTCCGTCGAAAGTCGCTATACAGCATCCAATCATTCGATGAATAAGATCGGTCAAAAATGTTGATATGAGACATAGCCATGGCTTTCTTTTTGCTTAACAATTGCATTTCCGGCAGAGCTTTTGAAAAAGAACCGGCCTCCACAAGGGGTTCTGTACACTTGATATGCATGTTGCTCATTTTTTGTGCCATTGGCAACATCACCTCAGGGGGCAGCATAGCATCAAAGTGACAGTGTAACAGCGCTCCTTTGGGTGAGCGCTTGGCAGTTCGCAAAAGATCGCTATCCTCAATTGCAGAAAGCATCTCATAAAACCTTTGGCCTCGCTCAAGTCCAGTCGTTGATTTTAGCCTCTCATGCTCAGCGATACGAATCCGATCAAGGACCTCGCTTGCTTGAATCTCAAGGTTTGACTGATCACGTTTGAAAGCAAAATCAAAGGAAATTTCCCGTTCCTGCTGTTGCAGTGCTGCTCGGGCCTCCTCATAATCGGTGAGTGAGTGGTCTATGCCTCGATCCATAGAAATATTATTTAATGCCATTCTTGATCGAAGATCGAAATATTTGCGAAAGCAGACCCACCTTTAAAATAAGACGAATTAGTGTTGGTAGCTTTATATGAACCGGATGTGACTCATAAGGCAGGGCATTTCCCCTTTTTGGAATGCAAAGATATTTTTATGTGTAATCCAATGAGGAAAACGCCGCACTGGCGGTGGGCACTCAATGTTTGCACTAGGCAGCCAAAATGTCAAGCTGCTAGAATCGTACAACTCTACGTGAATCCTGTCTATAGCTCGAGCCAATTGCGATTGATCCCGTTTTCGCACACCAATGCGAAGTAGGCTCTTTGGAAGGCCGAGGCCGCCAATGCCCCACAGACAGGAGCCAACCAGAATAATTCAACTGCGAACGCGCTCGGGCTCCCGCTCTCGCTGCTGTTCCATTTTCGGCCCAGACCCTGAGGCCTGTCATCATAATCATTGATGGGACGCTGACTGTCCTTCTATGATACAATTCAAACTTCAATATATAAAAGGCACCCGCCAGTCAGTTCACTCAAAACTAACAATTTCGCTGTTCACTCCGCAGTTATCACAAAGCCGCTTTTACATCACACTAAAATGTCCTTAACCGACTTCAAAGTTCTGTCCTTCGACTGCTACGGCACCCTTATAGACTGGGAGTCTGGCATACTCGCTGCCTTTCAACCACTCCTTAGCCGTCTTCCCGCAAACCATCTCTACATCTCAAATCCGCAGGCGCTCATTTTCTTCTTCAATTCCATCCAGGCCCCCTTGGAAAAGGAGAACCCAAATATGCTGTACAACGATGTTCTTGCTACCTGTTATGACAAGGTAGCACAGAACGAAGGAATCAAAACGACCGAGAAAGAGAGAAATGCATTTGGCAAGACTGCTGGCAGCTGGCCGGCCTTTTCTGATACCGTCGACGGGCTTCTCCAGCTAAAGAAACATTACAAATTGATTATTTTATCCAATGTGGATCATGAAAATATCGCCAAAACTCTCTCCGGCCCTCTACGAGAAGTGAAGTTTGATGCAATCTACACGGCACAGGACATTGGGTCATACAAGCCTGCCCACGCCAACTTTTTCTATCTCTTAGACAACTTGAAACGTGGCTTTGGATTCGAGAAGGATCAATTACTACATACCGCGAAAAGCTTGCCGGCGGATCATGTACCAGCAAAGCAGCTGGGACTGACAAGTGCATGGATTTCTCGGGGATGCGACGGAGTGAGCGGGATGGGAGGGAATTTGAAGGACTTTGATGGAAAAGTCGCGTATAAATGGAGATTTCCATCAATCGGGGCAATGGCGGATGCTGTGGACAAGGCGTTTCTTTCACAAGACCAACATCGCAGTTGTTATGAGTAGCGGCTAAAGGTTAGGAGTCAAACTTTTTGCGCATATCCCCATCGATATGTAGAAGTGCATAATGTCATTTAATCTCATACAAAGTCTGTCCCTAAAGGCCTTACGACTGGTTTCTCTGGCTACCCCCCATCCATGGATCCCAACAAAGATTCTACATTCATTTTCTCGAAGATACACTCCCAGTCGCCAACCACTTCACCGAAAAAAGACAGCCACGGTTGCTCATCCAATCCATCCAAGGACTTCTCGATTCCAGCCGCCGAAGTATAGTCCACGGGGCGTTGCGCCCTCACCGTCTCGCTGAACCGATTGCGAGCGCACCACACCGAGTCAATAGCCAAATTTCCCGCCATGCGTGACTTGATTTTTACCGAAACATTACTTTCCCGCTTCCAAGGGTTTTGGCTCAGATATTCGATAACGGAACACACTCGAGACACATGGTCATCCTCGGTTTGTGATCGACTGCGGAGTAGCTGCCAGACCTGGCCGACAGTATTTTTCGCTGCTGCCTCGTCCACAAATTCATAGGAAGCCCCACCGAGCTTGAGAAGAAAGTAGACGGCATCTATAACATTCCTCAACTGGTGCTCAGACCAATAAGGCAGCTCCGTCGACAGATCCAGTGCAGATTGCAACAAGTTCATCGCCGTAAGATAGGCATGGGAATATATTTCTGTCCGTCTTTCGGCAGAGTTGGTCAATTCAAGACCCGTAGTTGAGAGCGCAAAAGAATACAACTGTAGCTTGGTGGCCAGAAAGAAAATATACTCGTTGTTCCGCCAACACGAAGCAAACCGAGCTTCCTGCGCCCGCAGCTCCGTGTCAAACATCTGGATGATTGGTGCAGGGTTGGGTAGAAGCCCATCGGCGGTCATTTCGCAGTTACCGAGAACATTACAGAGCCTCGACCCTTGGTATGCAATATGCAGTTGGTGGTGCATTACATCTGGCAGCCATGCTGGCTTGTTCGCCAACGCTTCTAGGATACTGTGATCAGTCCCCGCCATGGTAGGGAGACCGAATCGTGTGCTCATTCTTCGCCATGTAAGCCACGTCATTCTTGAAATAGGGTACGGAATTGGCTTCACCTTTGGTTTACAATGAAACATGCCAGCCACGTCTTTCGTCGGTCGTTCATTGTTCCCTCATTGCATGTAGTATTGTATGAAAAGTCTGATATATTGGAAGGCCGATGCAAACCCTGCCGAAGAGAATAGTTCGTAGCAAGCCCGCAGTATGTCCAGGAATAGTCATCAATGGAGGCATCGAACGGGAGAGGCCAGTAGCTGAGAAGCAGCAAAGCTTGAATTAGAGAGAGGGACTGGCGTGAAGGTGGGCAGACTGTGGATGCCAAACTCTGAACTGCGCTAGTTAGAGCTGGGTGAAGATGTTTGTGCTCGGCAAATTCCCTGGCAGCAATCGTCATGATAGTCCAAAAGAGGAGCGGACATGAGTCGTATCTATCCAAAATTGCGGCTCCTTCGGCAACCAATGGAAATTGTTGATGATAGTGTGAGTAGTATCTTGACTAGTAAGCAGCAAGCCCTCTGAGGATGAGATAGGGCAAATCATACTTTTTCAACAAGCTAGAGATGGAAGAAGGGTCAAGCTTGATCTCTCCTATCGTCTTATAGCCGATTTCTCTATGAAGCCCCGGCTCCGCAATAATTGGCTTCAAGGAAGGCTGGTGTGAGTCGCTTATCTCGGCGCGCAATGACGTCCCGGTAGACAGGGGAGCGATATCCTGGAGCACTTCCTGGACAGGTGGTGAACCGAGTCGCTGCTTGATATCTTTCAACTCCCGTTCTAGAGCATTCACTCGCCTGGGATCAGGTTAGTTGCGTCCGACTGGGGAAATGAAAGATGTGGACGATGCGGACTCTTTTTTTAGATACCCGCTTGAACGACGGATCGATGGAGCAACGTAGCTTCTGCTTTGCACACCGCGAACATGAGGCAGGAAAAACTTTGGGGGCATCACATCCAAACTGGAAAGAATAAAGCTAGGCGTCAGCTTTGCCTCTCTTAAATACCCAATGGATAACAACCTTCATTTGTCGACAATGCACGCATGCTCCTGGTTTCTTCTGTCGCGGGGGCATTGTGATGAATGTTCTCGAGGTAGATTTTATGATTTAGCCAGAATATGCAAACATCAAGATACACTCAGAGAGTCAGACACCACAAGTCCTCATTCCCGGTGTCTCCCTTTCCCGGCCCCCAACTTGAATTACATAATGTTGTTACGCTTGTCCTGTCGGCCATAAACCCCAACCCTTTATACTAAAGGAGAGCAGTAGATTAATTATGTCCTATCATTCTTTGCCTGGAATCCTAATCCATTCCCAGTGCGATATACGCCCGAGCGCAAACTTGAAGCATACTTTATCCAGTCCCTTCGTCGGGTCAGGGGGATTTCTGTGATGTTGGAGTAAACCCTGAATACATCCATTAAGGTCGGAGTTAGCGTTGGAGTTCTTCACAGTTCACACTAACAATTATGTTCTCCATGCACCTTCTTCAGTACCCTTGCTAGACGCCTGAGTACCGCTCGCGGATAAGGTCGGAGACCGAGAGTGGAGCCCGGATTTAACTCTATGCGAGATTTCACTCGCTGACTGAATACGAAAAGATGTATCATTCATCACTGCAACCCACCCGGCTCAATTCGTTGCAAGAGTCCGACTGAGCCGTTTGAGATCATTGTCTAGCAGTTGGCCATCAGCCTTGGAAATATGACCAGATTAGCGATGACTCGTATGAAAAATCAGATTCGGAATTTCGGAATTAACCTCTTCTTCTCGATAATAGTAGCTAAGAGTTTGAACATAAATACCATCATATAACCCCTCCATTGATCAAACATCAACTCAGCATCCAGCAAAGACAGCAGGACTCGCACAGGTTCCGGCATATTCACTTTTTATCAACCTTCAAACAACTCAATCAAAATGGCATTCCCATACCAGCACGTTCTATTCATCGGTGCCACTGCAGGCATTGGTCGAGCAATGGCCGATCGCTTCGCTGAAACGGGCGTCAAAGTTACTGCTATTGGACGTCGTCAAGAACGACTTGATGAGTTTGTGGCCAAACATGGCGCTGACAAGGCCAGCGGTGTCGCATTTGATATTTCTCAAGTTGACAAGATTCCTTCTTTTGTCGAGAAGTAAATATTCCGCCGTTGCTCTATATATGGATATTATAGCTAATTTCGAGCAGTGTTCTACAAGTACACCCCGATATCGACAGTGTCTTCCTCAATGCAGGCACTCAAAGTGTCATCAACTTGGCTGACCCCAAGGGCTTCAACTATGAGAACTTTAAGCAGGAGTTTGATTTGAACTTCTATAGCCTTGTCGCTCTTACCCATGCTTTCATCCCTCACTTCCTAAAGAAAGAGAACCCTACAAGTTTCATATTGTTCGTTCCCTCCTCATATCTCAGCTGCCTTTCCATTTCACTAATACAATCATATAGCACTGGATCAAACCTCTCTATTATTCCCGGCGCTACACTATCTGCATACTGCTCGTCCAAGGCAGCCTTGAATGTATTCACACTTTGCCTGCGCGAGAACCTCCAAAACACAAAGACCAAGGTTATCGAAGTTTCTCCTCCTCCGGTGCAAAGTAAATTCCTTTATTCAATCTCAAAAATGTACAGTTACTAACAGATATACTAGCTGAGCTTCACGATTATCTTGGAGAAGAGAAAGGTCGCGCCTTCGGTATGCCGCTTGACCAATTCACTGATGCAGCTCATAAGGATCTTCTGGCGGGTCAAGATCAGATCATTATTGGTGCCATTGGACCAGCTGATATCTTCAAAGAGATTGTCGATAAGCGTCGACAGGGCTTTGAGAATCTTGCTGCTCACATGAGATCCATCGCTGCTGGTAAACATTAGTATCATAGCCGAGTGTATTTAAGTTGCTAGATCATCGTCCGAGCTGAATATAGTATTCATATTTCCTCTACAAACACCCTATATACATCAAACTCAAGCGTCAACATGAGTTTCAGCAAGATCCGCCATTCAAAATGTATCAAAGAATAGTTTCTTTGACTTGTTTCACAAAATCCACCACCGTATCCTTAAAACTGCGATAAGTGACACCTAGTTCACGGGCCGCCGTCTGCCCATCAACACCATAAGAAGCACTAGGGTTCTGTCCAGCGACATAATTAGATGACACAGAATCTTTAGCCCAATCAAATTTTTCTTTCATAATATCAGCAGCATATTCGTAAGAGAACGGCTCAGGAGAAGCAGCCAGAAAGCGCTTTCCACCCGCCTCTGGCTTCAAAAGGGCCTGAACATGGACCTCCGCAAGATCTCTAGCATCGATCCATGCTGGCACCCGCACACCAGGAAGAGGATCAACGCCATCAGCCACACTCCACAAGACAGAGTTGGACTCGTTCATCGACTTGATATCGGGAACAGGGTGAACGACCGGACCGAAGACCATGGGTGGGCAAAGGGTGACAAGGTCAAATTGTGGCTTTTCGTCCTTGATAAAGTCCCAGGCTGCGAGCTCGGCGTACTTCTTCGATCCACGGTATGCCTCCACCGATGTTGACTTGGGGTCAGCGGCCGCTTCGTATGTCAAGGGGTTCCAGTCGGAGGCAGTGTATGTGAAGCCAGGAGGAGGGGTACTGTTGACATCGACAACGGAAGCGAAGGAGGACGTTAAGACCATGCGCTGGACTTTGCTTCCAGGTTTAGCTGAGGCGGAGAGAATGGACTTGACGCCGTTGATAGCGGGGATGATGAGTTCTTGCTCGTTATTTGTTGTATCATAGAAAAATGGCTATTGCGGATTAGTTTCTGGTCGTAATTCGGAATTGGGTCTCATGAACATACACTTGCGACATGAATCACGGCGTCGATTCCGTCCATCACTGAGTCAAAGACTCCAATCTTGGTGAAGTCTTCGATGACGACGAATTCCAGCTTGGATTTATATTGCGGTCGGGCAGCTTTCATTTGTTCGCCTTTCTTTGCTGATCTGGTTGAGCCGCGGACTGAGTAGCCCCGCGCTAGGAGATTATCGACAACATGCGCGCCGATAAACCCGGTTGATCCGGTGACGAGGACACGGCTGTTTTTGTTAGCGGTTATCGTATACAATGGAGCGGGAAGGCTCGTACGAAATTCCTTGGGCAGACATCTTTGATGGATAGCAATGTCTCAAAACGAGTCCTTGATGGAAAATTGGCGAAATAAAAGCTGGAATACCCCGCGTGGGGTTGAGGGGAAGATATACGTGGTCGGTCGAAGTCCGATAACTGTTATAAGTGGGATGAATCCCCACATACGATGTGGATAGAGAAGCTAGTGTGGGGGTAGATAAACAAAGATGTAAATTGGCGAAAGCCTATCTGTAAAATCTATGTATGCTCAAAACTAAGATCGAATTCTTGAAACAATTAAACCTGACCATAGAGATACCAATTGAACCATTTAATCCTCCTCCTCTGCAGGGTCATAGACAGGTCCCGCAGGCGTTTTCTCCAATCTCTCTCCATCCTCCGTAACAATTTCCTTGCTAGGAACAACCACCCCAAAGATTCTCGCAAGGTCCTGACCCCGATTAACCCACTCGTGGTTTGTTCCTTGGCAAACAATAATATCATGCGGTTTCAAGATCTTCTCCGCGCCACCATCGGTAGCGAACCCAACAGTTCCACTCAGGATAACGAAGTAGTCCAAGCTCAAGGTTCGATGCATCCATCCTCGCTCGGCGGGATAAAGGTCAAGGACTCGACAAGATGGGCCCTTGGTGTCAGCGAGCGGGACGAGGGTCTTGTGTGGGTCGACGAATGGTCGCATGTTATCAACCGGGAATCCGCGCGACCGGTGGATTTGAATCACGCCGAATCCTGCGTCGCTGGCTGGAGTCTTGAATTCTGGGGCTGTGATTGGGTCGTAAGGTGTCAGAGTCTCATCGGAAGAGAAGAAGGCTTTGCCCTTGGAGTCGTGGGAAGCGATCACCCGGCGGATGGGAGTGTCCATTTTGATAGATGACATTGTGATAAAGTTGAAGTTGGAAGACAATTGGAAGAAAATGAAGATATTCGAAGGTAATTGGAAATGCCAGTGCTTGATGAATTGAATAGATAACAAAGGTCTTGGGTGTGGTATCTTATATAGTATTCACAAACCAGATCGCTTTCTACTAGTAGGACGATCTTCGCAGTTTATAATCAGCAAAATTTATAATCTCGCGGGCTTAAAAGTCCAAATCTGGTTTTTTTCCGAGTTTAAATAAACTAAATACACAAGGCTACTTCTCAAATAGAGAGAGATGTGTGTATTTTGCATCCTTGTGGGTCTTGACTGTCAGCAGCTTAGAAATTTAAGCTGGCGGCTTGTCGGCCGCCGCCCCGACAGTGACAAATGGAGCTGAAAAATCTAGAAATAGCCCTAAGAAGAAAGAATGAGCCTCAAATGGTCATATTGTATAATTAGAATTGGGGTTGAACAACATATGTACTAGTGAGTGATCACAGAAGGTTTACATTTAACTGACTCTCAACGAACTTCAATTTACAAATCTGTAAAGTTATTATGTACAGTAATATAACACATGCAGCCTCTCGCTGAGACTTTCCCCGCACTTTAACTCCGAGAGCACAACATCTCTAGATGTCTCTTCACGTCACCTCTCGTCATCATCCCAAATCGAATCCATAATCAAAATGCCGACCGCAACAGCACAAATCGATGGACTGGTTTTAGCTCAGGCTGAATCATGGGAGACGGTGGAAGGAAATGTATATGTACGCGTGACTGAGCTGGGTTCATAAATTGGAAATCCAAGCTGACATTGATGGCAAGTTCCCACCATCGGCCATCAAGGACCAGAAAGCCTTTCTCAAGACTGACACGAAAACTTTCTGTCCCTGGAAAGGCGAAGCTGAGTATTACTCTATCCAGCATGGAGGTAGGTAGACAAACAGGAACATACTGCCAGACAAGAGAGACTAAATTTCCACTCAGATCAAACAATCCAGGACGCGGCATGGTATTATGCTGAACCTTATGAGAAGGCGATGAACATTCAGGGCCATATTGCCTTTTGTAATAAAGCCCCCAGGGTAACATTTCCGAGTTCACTAACTGATAGTTTACAGACAAATCAAAGGTCTCAGTGACTGTTGAATAAGCAAGACCGACTGCGAAGTGCTATCCACGGCTTATTTTGATTCTTTCAATCAATCAATATCTTAAACATTCACTCATTTCCCTCATCATCATAGTCCTGATCATAAACCTCCTCCCCAAGTTCCCTCCCTTTATAACTCAATTTCTGCATCGGCAAAAACACAAATAACATCCGACACCACTCCTTATCACTGCGATTTATAAAGGAATGCGCCGTCCCACGCTGTATACAAACATCCCCCGGATTCAAACGCCGACTCGATCCCGAATCAAGCAATAAATCCACCTCCCCATTCAATATAATCCCGTAATCCAAACTAATAGTCCGATGCATCGGCGTCTTCTTCCCGGGCTTCAAATCAATCATTCGAAATACCGTACCTGTTCCCGTTGTCAGTCCCGGTGGTTGATGTAGGAATTCATCGTATTGCGCGATGTCGGCTTCATCTTCTAATGAGGCGGGAAGAGTATCCGTCGCGTAGAGGAGGGCAATTTCGCCGTCTGAGCCTGCTGGCCTTGACGGCATATAGTCTGGGACTTGGGCATGAGATAGAAACACTGCTTCGCCTTCTGTGCTGTGGGTGGTGATGTATCGGTGAATTTCTGGGAGGTCGCTGTCCTTGTGCTCGTGCTGCATTTTCAGGCAATAGGGGTAGCATTGAGGTTTGAGGGGATTGAACGTATAGAACTTTTGTTGAGATGCATCAATTCGAATCTTTTATTATAAGGACTCGGAGAAAGCAGGGGTGCATCATCATGGCATCATTGAATAGCTAAGATTTAGTACCGACCGTCTTTGGCTCGGTTTATTGCCACATTACCATAATTTAGGGACTCCCTGAAGGGAACATGTCATGTTTTAGGTGGTAAATCGTCAAATTACCGGTCGCATTTTAGACAAATTGCTCCTCGTTACATTAAATTAGATATCTAGGCTATTTACCCCCCATGATGCGTGCAAATTTATCACCAAGGTGATTCTCCAGCATGCGTTTATGCCCTGCGGAAATTTGAAGCTTCTCATCCATCTCTTTCACAAGCTTGTCAATACACTCGTCTAGAGTAGGCCTTTTGTCGAAGTTCAACGCGTCCTTCTTAGTCTTCACTATATCCTTCCAAAGATCGTCCAGTTCATCCTGCCACCCCAACAAATCTGCAAGCTGGCGCACACCATCATCGCAAGAGCCAAGAATACAAAGATCATCATCCCTATTCCCGAAATCCCCACTCTGTTCCATATTGATCAGGACCCGAGGAATGCCTTCTTTGGTTAAGCGCGGTAATTGCGAACAGGGCGCAACTTTTAAACTCGTGCCCATCACAAGCATTAGATCGGCCTCCGAAACAAGACTCTGCTTCTCATCAAATTCAGCAGGAAGCGACTGTCCGAAGAATACCACATCCGGCTTGATTGCTCCATCACACTCCGATCGCAAACAATAGGGCACCTGCCCAGTCTGAATAGATTGTTTCATAAGGTCGTCAGGGTACTCGGCTTTGCATTTCCAGCAATGTTGACTTTTCCAGTTGCCGTGAGCCCAGAGAGCCTTATCAGCAGGGACGCCGGCATCTTCTTCAAGGCCGTCGATGTTCTGCGTGAACAGGAAATGAAGCAAGTTCTTTTTGGCTAGTAGAGCGAGGAAAGCGTGGGAGATAGTTGGTTTGAGATTTCCAGGGTGACGAGCTCTTGCGATCGCGTAGAATGGTTCGGGTGTATGGGAGAAGTAGCTGATATGGAATATTGCTTCAGGGTATGGCAGTTTGAGTGGTGCGAGTTTATCATAGAGGCCCGTGTTGGGGGTTCTGAAGTCTGGAACACCTGCGGAGGTACTGATCCCAGCGCCGGTTAAAACGACGATGCGGGTGATATGACCATTTTTGATGCGATCGGCGATGGTTTGAATGTTGTTTTTGGAGTCCATGTTAAGCGAATTGCACAACTTGACCAGTCGGTGTTTTGTGAATAGCAGTGTGCGAGTAGGTAAAAATACCCTGTTGTGGAAGGACGTGAGACTTTATGGGTGCGAGCGAAAAGTGAAACATGCACAAGTACGCCTGTTTGTTTACATCCATTGCTATCGAGCCGCATCGCCGATCGTCATGATTTGCTGACAGGGTGGAGCGGGGATTCGTGGCAACCTCGTATCCTGCAAATGGGGGCTATTCTGACCTGCATGGGACCAAGTTGATTGATGAATACCATGCCTGGGCTTTCAGGCTCAATATGGCATCGTGCTATGCGTCAATTCGCTCAACAATTCCATCCACCCGATGCTATCAAGCTCGACATTACCAGTATCATCAAGCATTTCGCTGAACATATCCTCCAGTGGAACTTCGCCAGAGTCGGTGTTCTGCAAGTTTAAAGCATCCTGGCCAGATGATACGTGATATTCCGCTGGCTGCATAAACTGAGCATTGCTATTCAGCTCTACGTTGGAGCTTGCCGGAGTTAATTGTTGGAGATCAACATGAAAAGTCGGTTCTGGTTGGGACCCAGAAAGATGAGACATTGGTCTTTTCTGTTGTATCCAGTGTTTCCGCAATGTACCCATCATGGCATTTATTCCCTCTCTGGCGATTGAGGAAACCTGCTGCGCGCGACTGAGCATGCGGCAAGCTCCAAGAACCTCTTCCTTCTGCTTCTCTGCAAGGATGTCATCCCAGTTGAAACAAATATTAATGAGCAATGTAACAGCCGACATGAACACATGATGCATGACTGCCCAGAATGAACTATTAATTTGTAGAATAGGCTCTTCCTCGTCCATAATACGCTTCAGCTCCAAAACCTTTCGTGCGGATTGTAGTGAGACAACATGCGAGTAAGAGTATCGAGGGTCTTTTGCGCCTCGGATAAAATGCCAGCGATGGAGTCGGCAAAGACGCGCCTGGTATCCTTGTTGTATGAATGCACTTTGCCAGGCAATTTGCGGTCGGTCGCGGTAGAGATCGGCATATTTTCGACGAGAAGATTGATCGAAGCGAAAGAAGTCTGGTAGCTCTGCGTGCTTCTCATTGAGCATACGGTCTAATTCGAGGACTCTGTCGTAAGAAACCTCGTAACCTTGTAGGTATTCCGGCGCGGTCCGGTCGACAATCTCCCGGCATATCTCGGCTAGTTGGAGGCGAGCGAGTGTATAGGACATACTTGTTGGCGTGGAAAGAGGCTTTTCGTTTCCGGTTTCGATTTCATCATCTTCGACATTCAAAGGTAGTCGTATATTCATTTGTTGTGGACGAATGGAGTAGGTGAATTCTTGCGGTCCGCTTAAAAATGCAAGAAGCCTGGAAAGGGTTATTAGAGTCAGATTATCTGGTGGGGAAAAGTGTCTTACCAGTCGTAGCTTGCCAGATCCCACCAAAGGCGTCTTTTGAGTTCCAGCTCTGTTTCATCACAACCATTTATTCTCCGCTCCTCTTCGCATCTTGGGCAGTCTATAATATGAAGTTTGAGACTCTTTCCTTGGCTTATCATGGTTCCCGGAACGAAGTAAGCGCAGACGGACGCGTCTAGAGTAAGACCGGGTATGTGATGCCCAACTATGAGCGTAGCTTGCAAGCCAGCGACGGTTGGACAGGTCATGTAGTTCCCTTGCATCAGAGCTGCTCCTGCAAGGAAAGCTGCTTCTCTACTAGCTGCTTCCGCAACCTCCGTTGTTGTGGTCGATAGGAGCCGGAAGAACAAAGTAGCAGACGTAATACCGAATAATAGTGCCAGAATTCCTAAGTCGCAAAATTCGCCATCCATAATATTCGCATAAACCTTGTAAATATCCTGCCTGGTTCGTGATGGTATGACGAGATGATATTGGTAATCGAGATGGGTACAATAGTAATCGAATACATCTAGCATTTCGGACCTTGAAGGTAAATATGATATCAAGGGTATATTGGTAGGGTTCTGGGATGAAGCAGAGCATCCGTGTATGAGTGTTGACAGGCTTCCCGGTGTAGATCCCCGACGAGAGATAGGCGTACTAACATGCGACTGGGATAATTGACTTCTTACGGCAGCCGAAACAGTACTTGGAACTCGATGAGACATCATAATATTTTCTAGGCGCACAGCTGTCGCGAGCGGATCATCACCGATTCTGTGATAACCCTCGGGCGTCTGGTATGTCATGATACGCTGTTGGCGGCGGGGAGATGCACTATCAGCCGCCGACGGGGAACGCTGGGTAGTCTGGATGGCATTCTCTGTCGCTGTACCGCCTCCGAAGGGACCATAATCACCGTAGCTGCAGGTTATTTTGCGAGCTGAACAGCTACTGCATGGATGGGTACGGTCGCATTTGAGCTTCTTCTTTCGACACGACTCGCAGGACACTGGGATTTGTCTCGGAGCCCTCTTCGAAGGGGTATCCGATATTAATGACGATTTCCGCTTCATAGCTGACGAAACAGACGACATTTTTTCTTGCTTGATATTGTTGTGGTGTAGAGAGAGCAGACGAAAACAATATGAAGGTTGAAAGGGGCCGGAGACTCCGCTACATCGTATAGGGCGCTCCGCGGAGGGTCCGGGCCGAAGCCGGGCTTGGCGTGACGCTTCAACATCCATGGACATCAACACACCGGAAGCTCCGATATTCATCATTCTGCTTCCGGTTTTGAGTGGGATCCTTTCTTATAAGTTCCCGCATATTCCGGAGATATGAAATTCAAATTAAGTCACTTTGCTACGCTCAATGGGTATCTGAGTACCATCCCTCCAACATCATGGCTGCGACTACACCCAACGAGAACAAGTATGTTGAGTTTCTTGGACCTTGGAGAGTATATGTGCTCGGCCCTTCAAGTTTCTAACAATTAGTTATGCAGCGCCCGGTCGTGGCTCGTGGTTTTCGGAGCATTCGCTGCCTTATTCTGCTCCGTCGGGTTCCTGAATTCTTTCGGTATCTTCGAAGATTACTATGCGACCTCCCGGTTGGCCGATAAATCCCAATCAACCATTGGGTGGATCGGCGCCATCTGTATCTTCTTTCTTTTCTCGATCTCAACAGTTGCGGGCGCCCTACTTGACTTTTTCGGACCGGAGGTAAGTTTGTGCCAAATAGTAATCTCGCATTTAACAATAAAAAACTGACCTCTGAAAATGCAGGTGTTGATTTGCTCTGGGTCAGTTGTTTATGTCTTTGGCATAATGATGATATCCCTGTGCAAGGAATACTACCAATTCCTTCTTGCACAAGGATTTCTTCTTGGAACTGCCATGTCACTCCTTACCTGGCCGCCAGTCGCTCTGGTGGGAAAATACATCAAACAGAGGCGGGCTGCCGCTATGGGAATTGTAATTGCTGGCTCATCTCTAGGAGGTGTCATCTGGCCTATCGCCATTGACCACCTTTTGAAAAAGCCAAGTATCGGATTTCCCTGGACAATGCGTATTGTCGGATTCATTATGATCCCACTTCTTCTTTTCTCATGCACTGTCTGCAGATCACCTCCCGCTCCCGCCCCTACTCAAGATGCTTCGTCTGAAAACAATGTGACTGGCAGCGAAAGCATTCAGGACAGTGTTGATGAAAAGCCCGTGAATCGAAAGGCGGAAATTATAGCATTTTACAAGCAGCCTGCGCTGCAGCTCTTGTGTCTTGCCATGTTCTTCACATACTTTGGAATGTTTTCGCCTTTCTTCTACACAACATCCTATGCAGTTGAAAAGGGATACTCAAGTTCCTTTGCCTTTTACACTGTCTCTATCGTAAATGGAGCTTCGTTTCTGGGTCGTATCATTCCGGGGTTTGTCGCTGATAGATTTGGCAAATTCAATTGCGCTATCATTGCAAGCTTGTCAGCTGGGATCATTGCATTGTGTTGGACGAAGGCTGATTCAGTTGCCGGGTTGGGCATATGGTGCGCCGCATATGGCTTTGCATCGGGTGTGAGTATACATTAGCTCCATTTAATCATGATAACAAGCTAATCGTTTGACTAGGGCATTTTGTCTCTACAACAAGCTTGTGCAGCTCAAGTATCTACTTCGTCTTCCACTCTCGGGTTGGCTATTGGGAGCGTTGCTGGCTCGACCGCTCTTTCGTAAGTTAACCTTCGGCATTTTTATCCTGTGACCCACTAACATAAAGATTTCAGCGCCATGGCAAATGTCCCTATTTCAGGAGCTTTGGCAGACAAGTATGGCTATCTATCACTATCTCTGTTCTCTGGGATTTCATTGCTCCTCGGCGGCGTGTTGCTTATCATGGCTCGCCTGGTACAAAGTCGAGACCTCTTTGCGACAGTTTAGATAAAATATGTGACGCGGGGAAAGCTCTTAATTTAGTATCATCAGATATGGGCACGGATTCCCAAAGATAGACAACTCGTGTTGTTTCAATATTGTATTTAATTCCTTCGAGTTCGAGTTGTATATAGACGTGATGTGTGGGCGCGAAAATTTAAAGTTGAACCTACAGTAAAAGAAAAGGAGGTCTTCACTGTGTAGGGACTGTAGATCATACGCCACGCTTATCCTATTGGAATTGATCCTATTCCAACCAAGGTCACGATTGACTCTTTTAGTGGGGTCATTCTATGGAGTTTTTTCTAGGGGTCTCCTTTAGTGGGGGTCTCTTGTCAGTGTTTCAAGGTGGCGAGCAATGCCCCTTCTGATGTACGGAGTACGGGGAGAGGAAGTATTCCCTACTATACATGTCCATGCCAGCATTTCTTCGAGATAAAACAGCGCTATATTTCAACTTTCAGCTATCTGTTAGTGATAATGACAGGGTTTTCACCCGTAGACAGGTTTGTCCCGGTGGTATTCCACGGTCGCATGGAGAATGGCTTTGGTCGGCATCCACAGGCAAGATTAGATCACAGAACGCCATTGCGCGCCGATCACTTTGGTAAAGAAAAAAAAAACTTCAAATCTCGTTGTTTTGTCCTGTTGTTAGGGTCAGAAGATAGGGAATTTGAGGGAAAGGTTCATCTCCGTCCTAAGCGAATACGACCCGGTCGGACTAAACAATTCGGGACATGTCAACGGTGCATGCGTGGAGTTGAGGCATTAATCCCGCCAATTTTCATCCCCTGTTTGAAATGAACCCTGATCAGCGGAATCCTCATCCTAACAGCGGAGTAACAGAAAAAAGTTTGCCTATTGGTCGTCACCAGACACGCCCAGCTCCCGAGCGTCTCCATCATGCGTATCTGGGGGGGGGTTATTCAAGGTTGAGTGAATAGAATTGCCCAGTAAGGACCTATACGAAGCTTCGAAGCCACTCCGCCCTAATGCGCCCTATCATGCTGTCATGGCACATGGATTGAATTCGATTGATAGGGGGTCGCCCGAGTGCCAATCGCTGTCAAGGCCGCCATGGCCCCAATAGACATGCAAGCCTGGGCAATTATTAGCAACAAAAACCCTGTTGAAACGTCCCAAATACGTAAACCTGATTGGCCTTCGAATCAATTCCCGCAGCCCCCTAAACCTTGGCGCTGATGCTAAGCCGACAATCAAAGCGGAGAATCACGATATTTAATTTTCTTGGATCCCGATCGTATTGGGGCTTTTTACCCCTTTTCAACTTGTTCTTCCCTTCGTTCTGCTACGGAACTGAGAAACCTATTCACCAGATATACCTCAAATATGGTCAGAGATGGCCATCTGGAAGCAGATGAGCAAATTGACACAACCAGACCTTTCCACGACAGTTCAGTATGTGGAGACGAGTCCCATCTGATTGACGATTGTGGTTCGAGCATCCATTCTGGAAATAGGTCCCGTGCCCAACAATGGGGAATCAATCGTACGTACATCTTTTTTTGGTCTTAACGCACAACGTCCGGGCTTCATGCCATCGACTCTAACATGATATTTTTAAACAATAAAGAAAATGGCTCTATTGCAAATGCATCAGACAATATTTCCCGCCATGTCAAGGAGTTTTTCCATTCCAGTCGACCCCGAAGTTCGACGACAACTTCCATGCCCAGAGCAGTTCAGTGTGATGCTTGCGACAAACCCCGTGCAGCCTTTAAGAGAAAGTGTAAAGATCTGATCACTTCGAAGAACCTCATCTCGATACCTTTCGCTCTTGTAGCAATTTTTGTTTCCTTAACCGACATTTCCCCGCTGGTGATCTTTATCTGGAATCTCATCGCCATCGTACCCCTCTCGATCACCTTGACCCTTGCGACCGAACAATTATCCCAGGAATTAGGAGAAACTGCCGGCGCGCTCTTAAACATAACAGTCGGTAATCTTGCCGAGTTGATTATCTTGTGGGTTTTATCGATTGCTTGCGTGGAGTTGCAGCGCCCTTGTGGAATTACTAACGCTAACTTGATTATAGTGTGTAAGGCCTGTATCAAATCGACAGTAAAAAGCTTATTTATACTAACATTCCTTAATATAGCACGGCTCTTATGAAAGACAACATCAGAGTTGTACAGGCATCTCTTCTTGGGTCTATCCTTGTAAACCTGCTTCTGGTTTTGGGCTCTGCCATCATCGCTGGTGGATTGAAATCAGCCGATCTCACATATAACAGCGACCTAACTCATGCATTTATCGGATTGCTGAATCTGACAGTATCATGTCTTATGATCCCCGTTAGTATTCGCCCTCCACTTATACTCGCTTCCATTCTAACTCCTTCAAGACGGCATTTTACGGCAGCGTGCAAAGTGTCAAATCCGCAGATAATATGTCCCTCAACTTCAGCAGAGGAGTTTCCGTCATTCTCCTCTGCATTTACTTCCTATACCTGTTCTTCCAGTTCCGATCACACGCCCACCTTTTCCGCTCTTCAAACGTCCCCCTACAAGTCAACAAACTGGCATCCCACCGACCGAGCCGAAGATCCTCATACGACCAGATGTTCATAGATATCGAATCCCAATCTGATACGGAATCCGAGTCGGGGTCTTTGATCGGCAAGCCTACCGAGCGACCGGAGATGCAACAAATTCAATCCCCGGGTCCTTCATCTCCAATGAACGACATGCGACCTGATTCAGCGGTCCCACTGGGAGATATTGATACCACTCCCCGAACGCATACACGCCATCGCTCTTGGCACTCAGCCCGCGCTGAAACGACAGACGAAGCTGACACACACCATTGTAAATACATGTCGCTCGCAAACCGTATCACTGCCATCGTTCTGCTGGTTGCTTCAACCGCCCTCATCGCAATTTGCGCCGAATTCTTCGCCTCCAGTTTCGAAATATTGAACGAGAAGGGCATCCTCGGAGAATCATTCGTTGGACTGATCGTTATCCCGGTCGCTGGAAACGTCGCCGAGAATGTCACTGCCGTTATTGTGGCGAGCAAGAATCAGCTCGATCTTGCGATCAGTGTTGCTCTTGGCTCTGCTATTCAGATCGGTCTTTTGGTAGCTCCTGTGATTGTCCTTGCTGCATGGGCTTTGGATAAACCGATGACATTGCATTTTGATCGCTTCGGCATGGTCACACTGGTTGGTTCTGCGCTCCTCGTCAGTTTTCTTGTCCTCAAGGGGAAAACAAACTACTTGGAGGGAGCTATCCTGTGTGCCTGCTTTGCTGCTATATCGTATGTTCTCACAACCCCCATTGGCATTCACCTTCTATTACTAACTGTCTGAAAAGGGTCGGCGCCTTCTTACTTCCAATCAACTAACCATTATCTGCATTTTCCTTATGATATACATATCAGCATAGTCAGGCTGGAAAGGACCTCGGCTCAGGTCTTCTGACGATATTCACTCTTTGCATTGTACATATTGATACTTCCCGGACTTCATCATCCTTTTACACAATCTTTGGGAATATGTGAACCCCATTTCTTAATATATATACATAACAACAAATACATACACAATTTAGTGAAATGACTCCCACGGCTTCAATTAATTCTCCGTCAGGCCGGCAACATTTTTCGTCGGCCCGGTAAGTGGATACTTCCAGTTGCCGAGATTCTTCATCATTCAGGGGTATTCAGCCACAAAGAATTATTCTGGAAATGTAACCTCCCCCACTTTGAATTTCATATGATGTCTGGAAGCTCCGTTATCTGATACTGATCTTGAAGTTTAATTATGTAGGTTTCACCATTATAAGCGGGCGACTCACCCCTTCGAACCCGTCCACACCAGGCTACGGCTACGGAACAGATATCGGCAAATTCAATGTCGATCCTCATTGTGGATAGCACTTTCGTCCCACACGCAGCACCTTGGAACGGGTTTCCTCTGCTTGAAAGACTTGCACAAAATGACGATCCGGGATTCCCGAGGGCACCCATAGCATGTTCTCTAGATATGAGTTCTTGGAAGCGTTGAATATTATGGAGAATATTCAGATTTTCGATCTGCACTCCCCATCGGATCCATTATTCCACTGCCTTAGAGTACGTGGCTCGGAAAAGCCGCAAGAGTTCCTTTCAAGATGTATTTAGGCTACTAGATCGCCCTTCTTAGCATAAGACATGAAGCAAATCTATTTGTCCGCCATGCTATCATCCGCCTTTTTCCTGCTCCTCTCCCTGGGCACCGGCCTTGTCCAGTCAAGCCCCACTCTAGACGACCTATACCTTGAGAATGCGCCTTCCTCACCACGCCCCTACGTCATTCCTCATTATGCGAACTCCCACGCCGTCACAATTGGCAGCCAGTTGTACCGCTTCACCGTAACCGGGCCTTCATCCGATTATGCATTCACTCTCATGAGCACCAATGCGCCCTCCAGCGGCTCCTTGGGTGTGCTCCCTCATATCCATCGCGAGCATTACGAGAACTTTTTCACCTTTAAGGGTCGCTTCCAGCTCTGGGCTGAGAAGGACAATAAAGAACAACAAGCTCGCCTGCTCACACAAGGCGATTATGGTTCTGTCGTCCGAAACACGACTCACACATTCCAAATTCTCGACCCCGACACCGAAATGGTTGGTGTGATTGTTCCCGGAGGCTTCGAGTATGCTGTACCTATCCTTACCTTTAAATGAAGCCAGACTAACAAAAGCAGGGACCTCTTTTACTTCCTCGGCACGAACTACACATCCGGCACGGATACCCCATACGTCCCCAAGGCGATAAACTCCTCTACCAGCGTCCCAGACTCAAGCACCATGGCCAAGCTACGCACTTACGATGTATACGCCCAAACCGACTTCGAGCCTCGCCGCGATATAGTCAATGGTACTGCCCCTAGCACAGAACCATGGCACACCGAATCAAACGACCTCGGTGAAGTTGGAGAGCCATACTTCATCGCCAACGGATACGGTCCGAAATATCTGAGCTCCAAGTATGGATACCAGGTTATCCAGCCTCTTGTTACTCCCAAGCAGGCGCAAGATACAAACTACACCATGTCTACTATCTCGCTTAGTCGGCAGACAAGAAACAGCCCACCTTCATACACTTTGAAGGGAGCTGCTGCTTTCGAGGTCTTGGAAGGTGTTCTGTCAATCCAGATTGGAGATTACCCTGTTGCTACCTTGTTTACGGGCGATGTCGCTTTCATTCCTGCTGAGACCGCCTTTACTTATTATAGCGCAGTCGCTTTCACTAAGGCATTGTATGTCAGCAGTGGTACTGACGGTGTTGATCAGCAGCTTATTGCGGGTGGCAAGAGCTGGGATTTTGTTACTTTCCCTAAGTATTAGATGGAGAGTATGCAGTCCATGTATATATCAAGTTTATATGCGAGACACATGAGACCTTTTGTCTTTTCCGTATACTATTTTTCCTAGCTCTCCAAGCGAGCTAGGCGGGGCAGGCGGGGTCAATATGCACGACCAATAGACAAACCCCAACACCGTCCGGCGTAAGCTGGGTAGAAAGCAAATGCGACGCTGCAAGGGAAATTACTTTGTCATGTGAGATAAGCATTGAATTGCGCAGCAAAACAATAAAAAACGCAACTTAACCTTTGAAATAGACGGACCCTTGCTCCACAACTTGTACCCTTGACCCCCCCCCCCCCCCCCCCTGTCTCTCAATTCGATTTCACGATGGCCAGCTCCAGCCCGTTGAAGGTAGAACCGATCACGATCGACGATATCCCAGCCCTCATAGAGATCTGGTTTGCCGCCTTTACCAATCCGCTCATGCAGGAGATATTCCCCGATACGCCAGGCCTGCGTGAATGGCTCACAAAAATTTTCCTGCACGATCTAAGTAACCGGCCCTTCCAACATACATTGAAGGTTATGGATCTCGATTCCAAAGATCTTCAGGGCCGACCGCGGATGATGGCGTGGGGCAAGTGGGATTTATCAATGCCTGAGGAACGAGGCTTGCGATTTTCTCTGCCTTGGGCTGACGACATGCCTGCGGAAAAATGCAATGGCTTTTTCAATACTTTGGAAGAGAATAGAAAGCAGGTTATGGGGGATGAGAAACATTTCTGTATGATGATATCTTTTTTTATGATTTTTATATGCGCTAATCTTGTGTTTTTCAGACTTGGATACGTTGTGCACTCATCCTGATTACTGGCGACGAGGTGCTGGCTCAATGCTTGTACAATGGGGATGCGATCTAGCAGATGAACAGGGCGTTTCAGCTTATGTGGATGCTAGTAAAAAGGGCGCACCTCTATATCAAAAGTTCGGATTTGTTGATAATGGCGATCCTAACGAGGAAGTTGCTTCCATGGCTCGCCGCAAGTCTTGAAGGGCACATGGTTCTAGGATGTGCTATAAGCGGGTGTTGGGCATCATATACTAGAAATATTTCTTCAGAGAATCGAACTTTTTGTACGCACGCTTATACTACAGCTGTAGACTAGAGCTGTTCACATTGTGTCTGTCTTAATCATGGCCTGGTCTGTGCAGATTCACTATCAGCAGCATGCAGGGCTTTAATTTCAGTCTTTTTTTCAGTGTTTTTTTCATCTCCCTGAACTGGTTATACCAAGAGCAAAATGTAAGAAACAGAAATAGCCCGGCTCCACTTCAGCGAATGGTACGCGAGGCATATTAGGTTCAAATGAAGAACTTCACAGTGCAAGCGAGCTTATCCCGGTTAAAAGTTTTCTAGGCTGCAGAATGGCCAAGTAAGGCCAAGATGTGCAATGCAGGGGTATCATGCAGATCCCAGACCGAACTTGCCTCCGCCACGGCTGGCCAGCACCCTTTTGATTATTGGAAAGTCCGGCGTTTTATTCCATACTCAGCGTCCATACACTGTACACTAGATATGCTACTTACCCCTGTTACAGGGGTTCCTGCCCCGTTCAAGTTGATTGATCCCTGTGATCCAACAGTGGAGACACGATGCAACTGTGGATCCACCAAAATGAAATACTGTAGCTAGCATGCAGGAAACCGTGAGATTCTCAAATTGATTAGCTCCGAAAAAAGCCAAGATGCCAAGCCGAAGATGGTCTGAGGTTTACAAAGCCTGAACACTGACTGGAGTGGATGAAGTCATATCCCCACCTCCCCGCGATCCAGACCAGCGTCATTACCAAGCACAATAGGCTCGACCAAATTGCTTCTTAATCCATATTAACTAGCTACTTCTTGAATCACTAACAGGCTGAATCAGCCAAGAAATCTACGTACGCAATATATCACTTTATTTCTTGCTTATCGCGCTATTTTCGGATTTCCCCCGATGAACGCCCAAGATGTTTAGTAGCTTGGTCACTCCTTGTAGTGGAGATACATCCATTTCATAGTGCTAACACTGCCAAGTCTGCACTTTGCTCTCATTATTTCGATCATCTGACTGGTCCCCGCTGCTTAGCACGGTCTTGGAACGGACCAATTGCAATTTTAGGTCGGGCGATGACCTAACGGTTCCCAGCCCAGCAGCGCATTTGTACCACCTGCAGACACGGATTGATCAAGGGCAATGCAGTATCCAGCCCCACGAATATCCAGTTTGATTTCAAGTAACAAAATTCTAGCCCCGTTTGCTGAAATCATCTCACCGGTATTGTCTAGATGTCTGTTCTATTATTCAGCCCGTGTCTGCTTCACGCCGCGCCCATGTGGTGCATTAGTGCTTGGATCGGCATGAGATTTCCTAATATTTGGACTTTCATTGGCTCCTCCTTGACGAACGTAAATAGAGGAACCTGCATAATTACTCCTCATGATTATAAAAGGACGCCTCGGCACCTAGTTTCTACAACTTTCCCAGATCTTTGAATCTGTGTTCGATCGCAAATACCCACCGCGATTGGGATATTAGAAACAAGGTCACAGCCATGCATACTGCCGTGCTATTAACTAGCCTCGTTGGCATTGCCAATGCTGCTTGCCCTTATATGACAGGTGACCTGCCTGCTGACTCTCTCCACCGTCGTGAGAATGGAGATGCCTCGGCCGACACTGAAGATTTCCTTTCCCAATTTTACCTTAATGATGAAAATGCTTTCATGACTTCGGACGTCGGAGGTCCCATTGAAGACCAGAATAGTCTCAGTGCAGGAGAACGTGGACCAACACTACTCGAAGATTTTATTTTCCGACAAAAGATTCAGCGCTTCGATCATGAACGGGTAATGTCCTTGGGAAAGACCCCATGAAGCAATGCACAGACTAATGCGAATAATTTATAGGTGCCAGAACGTGCTGTCCACGCTCGCGGAGTTGGAGCCCACGGAACATTCACATCATACGGCGATTGGTCAAACATAACAGCCGCATCATTCCTCTCAACGAAAGACAAGGAAACTCCCATGTTTGTCCGTTTCTCAACCGTCGCCGGAAGCCGAGGAAGTGCCGATACAGCTCGCGATGTGCACGGGTTTGCAACAAGATTCTACACCGACGAAGGAAATTTCGGTACGTAATCCATTCTAGCGCGTCGCTTGTACTTTCTTTAACGGTATATTCTAGATATTGTCGGAAACAACATCCCCGTCTTCTTTATCCAGGATGCAATCCTGTTCCCTGACCTGATTCATGCTGTCAAACCCAGTGGTGACAATGAGATTCCTCAGGCTGCGACAGCGCATGATTCGGCATGGGACTTCTTCAGTCAACAAGCCAGCTCTTTGCACACTTTGATGTGGGCGATGGCTGGACATGGTATCCCAAGATCCTTCCGTCATGTTGATGGATTTGGCGTGCACACTTATCGATTTGTTACTGATAAGGGGGCCTCCAAGCTGGTGAAGTTCCATTGGAAGACTCTCCAGGGTAAGGCGAGCTTCGTTTGGGAGGAGGCTCAGCAGACTGCTGGAAAGAATGCGGACTTTATGCGTCAGGATCTATGGGATGCCATTGAGGCCGGTCGCTATCCTGAGTGGGAGGTAAGATTTCCAAACATCACGAATAATGCAGTCGCAATGTGCTAACTGTATACAAGCTGGGTGTTCAAATTATGGACGAAGAAGACCAACTTCGGTTCGGCTTTGATCTTCTCGACCCGACCAAGATCGTTCCAGAGGAATACGTCCCCGTCACTAAGCTGGGCAAGATGACACTAAACCGCAACCCAAGAAACTACTTCGCGGAGACAGAGCAGGTCATGGTATGTCACTCACGTCCCTAGTCTGCAGTCTCCAAGATACATTATTTCTGATATCCCCATTTCCAGTTCCAACCAGGCCACATCGTCAGAGGCGTGGACTTCACCGAAGATCCCCTCCTCCAAGGCCGTTTATTCTCCTACCTCGACACCCAGCTAAACCGACACGGCGGTCCAAACTTCGAACAACTCCCCATCAACCGACCCAGAGTCCCAATCCACAACAACAACCGCGACGGCGCAGGACAAATGTACATTCCTTTAAACAAGGACGCATACACACCCAACACACCAAACAACGGCTCCCCGAAACAAGCGAACCAAACAGTCGGCAACGGCTTCTTCACAACACCCGGTCGTACCACGAGCGGTAAACTGCTTCGCACCGTTAGCTCATCATTCACCGATGTCTGGTCCCAGCCGCGTCTATTCTGGAACTCTCTCGTCGCAGCAGAGAAACAATTCGTCGTTGACGCGATGCGCTTCGAAAACGCCAACGTCGTCAGCTCAGTCGTTCGCAACAACGTCATTATCCAGCTCAATCGAATCAGTCATGATCTCGCTACTCGCGTAGCAGAGGCTATTGGCGTTGATGCCCCGGACGCCGATCCAACATACTACCACCACAATACCTCGGCGCATATCGGGGCATTCGGACGGAAGCTCCAGAAGGTAGAGGGATTGAAGGTTGGATTCCTTGCATCTGTCAAGAATGCATCAACTCTTGCACAGGGCTCTGCACTACAGGCACAACTTACATCGGTCGGTGTTGATGTTTTTGTTGTCGGTGAGAGGATGGCTACAGGCGTGAACCAGACATATTCCGCGTCTGACGCGACGAATTTCGATGCTGTGATTGTTGCTGATGGAGCAGAGGCACTATTCGGATCACGATCTTTGACTGCATTGCAGAATAAGGCTGGGGCCACTTCGTTGTATCCGGCTGGTCGGCCTTTGGATATCCTTGTTGATGCGTTTAGATTCGGAAAGCCTGTTGGTGCTGTTGGGAAGGGAGGCTCTAGTGCGCTTCAGGCTGCGCAGATTTCATCTGATCGGGAGGGTGTTTATGTGGAGAATGTAGTTGGCGACGCGCTTGCGAAGGATATTCACGATGGATTGCGAACATTTAAGTTCTTGGATCGATTTGCGCTGGACGCGTAAGCAATGTACGAATTTAGGAGCTGTAACTTTGTATAGCGATGCGAATGCTGTTAATTGATTTCTCTTATTCGAATTCCATGGATGACCTGCACAAGCTGTGAATAAAGAAAATAAGAAGACAATTGATTGCGGTGAAATTTAATTAAGCGCCCTATGTACTAATAATAAGATGTTGCGGCATGCTCAAATTTTTGATGGAGCTCGACCTCTAATTCTGAGGGAGGAACTGTCGACGACGACGCATAAGCCCCTCATCGGTCAGACTTGCTGCACGCACCCCCAGCTTTCTCTGCTTATTTTGGGCGCCCGACGTCTGATTGTTGCTCTGGCCGAGAATAGCCCATTCGGCCACGGTCGCACCAGTTCCGTTCTTGTGACGGACGTCAACCTCATCAAGACCCTGGTTGCCGATAATGAATAGAGAGGCAAACTTGGCGGCACGGATAGGCGAGGGGAGAGTCACATTTGTGGTGTTGCCAGTGGGGATCTCAATGACATTGAGATCGGTGGTCTCTTCACTGTAAGGATCTGAGAGTGTGATGTTTGTCAACGCTGTCGCGACAGTATAAGATGTATTGTCGCTAGATGGATAATATGCGACCGCAGCATCTTGAAGACTTTCGTTGTGGAATATCACGGTCGCGTTGACAGGAGGCGCCTGGCCCCACTCGAACGCGAAACCGGTCACTATGGAACCAGCCTCGTTACCGAGAGACACGGTGATAGAGCTCCAGTTTGCTGCCAAGGCCGGTTGCCACTTTGTGGACGAAGCACCATCAATGGCTGAGATCGGGAACTGGCCTGGCTCGTACGAATCCAGGGAGTCCACAGGCCGGCACTGCACAAGGTTTCCTGCAATGCTGTTCGTTGATCCAATCTGGCGGTTGGGTACCACCACGGAGCCCTTGACAGGCAGTCGGTATGTTGTTGAGTTTGATTCAGAGCCAACGCTGATACTGATAGGCTTCTTCGCAAAGCGACGGTCCGCAGTACCGAGTGGAGAAGTACTGCAAGCACGACTAATTGTAGTGTGGGTATAGTTGGACCAGGCAGAAATGGGCCACCCGCGCCAATAAAATGTGCGATATTTCAGGTAAGGGATCTGGGGCGGCAAGTTGGGATCGATGTGCAGAATGTCATCAGGCTCAAGGCGCAGTCCCAAGTAGCCATACAAGACAACCTGGTTGGAGCCACCGTGTCCAGTGAGGAACGGGAATGCTGGGTGGGTACCACCGTTGGTTGTAGAGTTATCAATGAGCTGTTCGGACATCTGGAAGAATGGGGCCCTGGCATATGGCTTGAAAGCATACTGGGCGTAGGTGTAGGCTGAACATCCGGACGGAGACATATCATTCGCCACGATAGAGAAGATGGCCCAGGTCATGGCAGGGCCATCAGCCGATTGCTTCGCGGCATACTGTTTACATGTTAGACCTTCAAGTTCGATTCGTGTTAGGGAAGATTTGCTTACATAGTCCAAATCATCCAGTGAGTCTTGTGTGCTGTAATTAGATGTGTATCCGAGAGGGAATGTATCTAAGACCACATCCGCCTGCTTGACGACCGCGCTGCCATTCATGGTGGTAAACTCGAGGGTTACTCCATTTTCACGGAGGACCAAGACATTGGAAGCCATGTTATCCCATGTTGAGTTCTCCTCAAATCCAAATTGTTGACGGAAACTATTCGCATTTTCGAGAGTTGAGGCAATGAGTGGCATGGTGAAACCACCCGCATCGACTTGGTTTGCATACTCATCCTAGACTTCTTATTAGAGATTAAAATAAAATATTGGATTAATTTGCGGGCTTACCGGATCAGTCATGTTCGTAACAGTCCAGTAAGAACCATTCGGCTTCAACAGATCTGCGTATAAAGTGGCCACAGAGTCATAAATTGGGAAGAGGCTGTTTTTGAAGAACTGAGTGTCACCAGTAGTGACCCACTGATTGATCAATGTTAAGCCAATATCCCCATTTAAGTGGTATTCATAATCCCAGCAAGGGCCAGTGGCAGTACAGTTTCCGTAGCGCCCACTGGTCCACGGGTAAATAGCCGCGGATGGAGAAAATTGAGTCTGATTCTGAGAGCCGACGAAGGATGTGTTGATATTCTGCTGGGCTTGGCCGTAGAGTTTCAATCGGTAGTTTGTAATGCGTTGCGCAGCCTCAGGATGCGATGCAGCGAGACCAGGGTGCATCCAGAGATCAGCATCCCAAAATACCTGACCAGCATAAGAATCAGAGGTCAATCCACCAACGGAAATACTGTCAGTATTTAAAGTAGATGACGATGAAGCATTGATCGCATTATTTCCGACGGTATTCTGTAGTAGATAGTAGGTGTTCGCGACGGCAATCACTGCAGAGTCGATGATAATAGTATCGGCTGGCAGGGTACCATTTGGAAATGCATATCGATCGACGGAGTCCTCGGGCATCACACTCGCCCATTCAGTGACATGTGAGCGAAGTGACTTGGCATATCCATTGCTGAGAGCGTTCGAACAGGCACTCTTGGCGACCTGCTGTGGCTGATCAAATGCGTCCGAGGAGGCTCCGCCAACAAACTTCCTGACATAAGCCACCTTTCCGGCTTTGAGGTTGACGGTCACAGATTGGGCAATCGACGCGTTGTTGGAACTAACATACGGCCTGTCTGTCGCAATGTTCTTTGAAGATAGATCGACGCCTGGGCTTCCAGTGATGTTCGCATAAATGTAGGCGGTAACATTGGAAACGCCTACAGGGCTAACAGCAGAGTAAATCGCTCCGCTGTCTTCTCCAGACCCCACGAAATCGGTTCGGACGGCAGATTGACCATCAAGAACATTTACCACTGTGGCATTGGTGTCGATTGTTGAGACAATCTGCATATCAACGACAGCCTCATTAATGTTAAGTTTGTTGGCAAAAACACGGTATGTGATGTTGTATGATCCATCGGCGTTCTGAGGGCTCCATGTATATGACCAGGTAAGCACGCCTGATTTGAAATCGTAGATTGAATTGAAATTGGAGATGGTAGAATTATCCACTGTCGCATCTAGGTAATTGTCGTCGCCAAGGTCCAGAATTAAGCCACTCCAGTGCGGAACACCACTGATGACACTATCCCAGCCATACTGAGACAGCCATTCGTAGTTAGTCTGGTTTGTATTTGGCTGGGCATCAAAGAACCCGCTGATGGTCGCGAAGGATTGGCGTTTGGAATACAGAGGCCAGCCACTGATGCCGTCGCCGCCATCGTCTGCTGAGTCTGCTTCAAAAAATGGGCCAACGCTAGCAACATTGATACCCAAATAGCCGTTTGCGACAGAACCTCTTGTTTGAAACTGGCCTTGCTCCAGATTTGTAGTTGACAGGAGCCAGTTATCCTCGTCCCAGGTGACACTGTCGAAATCGGTTTGATAGACATTGCTGCTAAAGTTACCCGCTGAGTTGGGGCCTGTATATCTGCGAATTGACTTCGCGATGCGTTGTTTGGGAGAAGACGAGGATGAACAAGTTGTTCCGGCTACTAAAGGAAGTAAATCCAAGAGCAGGGGGGCCACTGCCCAGACAGAGTGTTTGAACTGCATGTTGCAGTTGATCACTCTGTGTGGTACAGATATGAAATAAAGCGAATGCTATTCAATGCGACAGGATATTTAAATACCTCAGAAACTGAATAGCAGGTTAGTAGGTAACATTCAGCACTGAGTGTTGTCGGTCAAAGAGGTTGTCAGTAGAGTTAACCAGGGAAGGTGCACGGTGGGTAAGAGAGATTTAAATGACAAAATTTGTTGCCCTGTGCCAAATGAAGGGAGGTAAGCTGCCGATCAGGAACTATATGGCACGATATGTACGTCGCTCGGGCCCTTCCCATGAGCTCAGTGGAATGTGGGGAACAAAGCTTACTTGGCGTAGCAATCGGGATTAAAATGCCGCTCGGCCAAGAGTGATACGAGCTGGGGCGATACTCGGTGGAGTCCAAGTCGATGCGCCTCTTGGAAAACAAGGTATGCGATGTCGTAGGAGGCTACTGCCAACTTCCAATACTTTTTTTACCCTTCGCCGGAAGGTCCGGGACCTGGGTGTTGCCGACAAGCCATGGCACTATGATTGACCATTGACCATCGTCCGCGTGAAGCCGATAGCTCTTACGGGCTGGCGCCGAAAGTATTGGGTGGGTTCGTCCAAATGGAGGCTTCGGGACGGCACAATCGTCATCGAGTGGAAGAGAGTTCTGGGTCCAAACTTTATGCGGGGTTAATTGGTGTTGGCGTGGAGTGGCTGGGGTCCCGCAAATGCCCCGACAAAAACCCGTTTTCTCGGTGGGACCTTCCATGACAGGCAGGTGGGTTCTGATAAGTTTGATGAAAAAAAGTCTGCCTGCAGAGCAATTAGGTAAATGGCAAAGTACAGAGTGGAGTAGAGATATAAGGGGGAATGGTGTTAATTATGAAAGTATCGGATCGCGATGGGCGGTGTTGGTGGCTTTTTCTGCCTCAGGCCGCCATCTCATACTCAATATCGGGCGTAAGCCAGACACTGTTAGGTAATGTCCGATATAAGAATAAAACAGTCCACAAGGAAGTATTGACGGCGAGAAAATGGCATTGACAATAATGAAAAAGTACCATTTTCAGTGGAATGAAAGCATCAACAATTAGTCGTTCCTATCTGGTAGTAACTACTAAGCTGTGCTACTGCTACTGCTACTGAAAGTAAGACATCACATTATATCTTGAAATCAAAATTTATCTACACGGCACTGGCATGAACGCACGCTTACATACAAGCTAGTACATAGAGGCCATGGCGGTTATTACAGATGATTTTAGATTTTCATATAACTAAGTTTCGTATGGCGCTAATAGGCTGTTGGTTTCAATTATTTGTCGTTCAATGTCGCAGAAACGCCTTACCAGAAGCTGCATCTGTTCTTGCTGTATCCTCTTGCCATAGCTTATTCCTGTGGCTGTCGGCATAGTCACATACGCCTTTGATGACGACACAAGGCATCGTATCTCAAACCCTGGAGTCTTCCATTTCAAAGGCAATCACTTTCGTCTCCTTGGCAATGTTGTCCCGATCTAACCCTGACTTCAAAACAGTGTCTCCGGACGTAATCAACTCTAAATACTTCACAGTCCTTGGAGGCTTCATGGTGCTTATGAATATATCCTCGATCAAACAGCTTATCGTTTTCCTCGCCCGGGTAAGTTACTTGGCGATACCCATATTTTGAGGCATCAAGGTCATCAAGATAGCCCGCTATCCTGGTCTCCATATTTGATCGATGTGCAGTGGTTTCCAGTCTAGAAAACAGAGATGAGATCTCTCGATCAGGTCTCCCTAGTTGATCATAGACTGTTGACTTTCGTAGAAGTTTATCAGGGCAGCGCCTCCCAAAGTCGTATTGCACAATTCCTTTGCAGAACCTGTTGGAAGAGCTTGAAGCAGTAGGCCTGAAAGGACATGAAAAGGTAGAGTAATCATCAACAAAGGCTATCACTGCTTCTCCACTGGACCACACTGAATTCACCCTCAAACGATTCAATTGACACGTCTATGAAATTTGACACTGTTTCCCATGGAGTGAAACGGCTTCTTGAGCTCGAGAATGTAGAAGTCGAAAGTTCAAGCCCACGCAGTAATTTTTGGCTAAACATTGACTTTGAATAACTTTGAAAAAGGAAGATAATTCCCACTCTGTTTATCAATCCGAGACGGGTGAGTGATCTGACCTTCCGCTCATAATAGTGACACGCTTAATCCTATCTGTCTCGCAGATAGAGCACAATGGGCGCCTAGGCTAATAGTAATTCGCTACGTAGAGATCCGCAATCAGTTTGAAGAACTCGAATCGATGGCACCGCAGCAGCCTCAACTCTTAGGGGGACTTTAGCGTGATGATCCGACTCAACCATTTTCTTCGAGCTTCGATACAGTCGCCTCAGCAAGAAATCGGTGTATTAATGTAAAGCCATATTCAAACTTTCGTATCCGCCTACCAGCTCCTGAGAGCGAATGTGACTACATCAGCGCTTCCCCTATTACATTGAAAGACTCAGCTACAAGCTTGGAGCGAAAGTACATTGTCACTCAGGTAAGTAGTATACTTTTGTCTAGAATTGTCTATAAAAGCCACGCGGAGGCTTATTCATTTCTTCTCTCAAAAGGGCCCAATAATTGGGGAAATATGCCACTTTTGAAAACTGGTATTTCACGTGAGCAAGGAAGAAGCCGTAATTTTCCTGCTGACTCCACTCGTCGAAGATGGTCGGCGGAAGTGCTGCCAATACTTTCCACTGGATCTCAATAACCCTGGATTGAGTTTCACTGCAAATAGTGAGACCGTGGCAGTGGAGGATGAGAATCTTGAAATCTTTGAAACAGTGAGACTACTCAAAACATCCTTCGATGCTAAGTCTCGGTCTGAGGTTCGTGAATTGAAACTTACTTTCGGCCATCACTCAAAGACTGTGTGGCACTTGCGCTTTGCCGGCTGGGCAAACCATATTCAACCTGAAGGAGCCGATCGCCTAGCATTGTTAGATTTAATCGAACTCGTTCGCTCTAAACATCAACCTGACAGTCCACCTATCGTGCACTGCAGTGCGGGTGTTGGATGAACGGGCGTATTCATCGCCCTGGACCATCTTCTCTATGAGCTGGATTCGGGACAACTGCAGTATAATACAAATTCCGAGGGTGGTCCGGTGTACGAATGCGTGAGCAGCGAATGAGGTGGTATACAATGAGACGCAGATGGGGATCATATATGACGTTCTACGCGAACAGGTTGAAATCAAGATCGAGCGAATCTCCGGCCTGCTCGAGGGAGGATCCTAAGAGATCGATGTAAACCCTCGGTCTGCAAAAATACCTAACCTGGATTTTGGTGACCATTCTGATTCATAGCGAAGTTCCAAGTTTTACCTTTCAATATATCACAGCAATTTAATGTATGATACTACTGTATATCTTTATACATAGTCCGATCGGGGATCCGTAAAAACATCTTCAATGTTGCTTCTAATAAGATAATATTGAAGCATATATGTTTAAATAAACAACTTGAGTTATGAAGTTATTACTACTACTCTGCACAATATAGATTCGCCTTCTGAGACTAATGATGGTCTGAGGTATCCAACATACTTCTTTTGGCGAGACCCGAGCGAGATCCGAGGCGATACCCGACGGGCTGTCAACTACCAAAATGCGGGGCATATAAAACCCGCGACCATATATGCAAGGTGGGCGAAGCTGACGTGCAAAAAAAGGAATTCAAATCATCTTATTCATGAACGAGGGGGAGATCGCCAAATAAAATACTCCACGAAATGACACGGCCCAACTTTCTCATTATCGTCGCCGATGATCTCGGCTTTAGCGACTGCAGCTGCTTTGGCTCTGAAATTCAAACACCGAACATTGACTCTCTTTCCAATGCAGCGGGTGGAATGCGGTTCAACTCGTTCCATGTTGCGGCGGCATGTTCACCTACTCGGTCAATGATCATGACCGGCACAGATCACCACTTAACTGGATTGGGACAATTATCTGAACATATACGCAATTCGCCTGCTCATCAAGGTGCACCAGGTCACGAAGGATATCTCAATGAAAGAGTTGTAGCGATTCCGGAGTTACTCAAAGAAGGCGGATATCACACTATGATGTCTGGGAAGTGGCATCTAGGACTGAAGAAAGAGTATGGACCCCATATGCGAGGCTTTGAGCGATCATTCGCGTTACTTCCTGGGTGTGCGAATCATTATGGTATGTGAATCTAGAAGAATATTTAACACTATAATTTAACAAGTCGAGTCAGGATATGAGCCTCAATACGGAAATATTCTCGAAGAACCACCCAGGTTCTTTGAAACAGCCATAACAGCACTACACATGGAGAATGGGGAGTACCTCAGCGAACTACCAGAAAACTTCTACTCATCCGACTACTACGCATCAAAACTCATTGAATATTTCAGTGATCGCTCCGAAGAAGAAAGGTCCAAGCCTTTCTTTGCTTACCTACCTTTCTCTGCACCTCACTGGCCACTCCAAGCACCAAAGGCCTCAATGGATAAATACCGTGGAATCTACGAGGATGGCCCTGAAGCTCTTCGTCTCCGCCGCCTACAAAAATTGAAAGATCTCGGAATGGTCGCACCAGAAGTTGTTCCACACGATATCGTCACCGTATCCGGGGAACCGGAAGAATGGGACAAAATGCCAGCTGATGAGCGAGCCAAATCTGCCCGATCGATGGAAGCATTCGCCGGAATGGTAGATCGGATGGACGAGAACATCGGCCGAGTTATCCAGCATCTGAAAGAGACAGGAGAATACGATAACACGATCATTTATTTCATGTCGGATAATGGAGCTGAGGGAGCTAGTTACGAGGCTACTCCTCTTATTGGCGATAACATTGTCGAGCATGTCCAGAAATACTATGATAACTCGTTGGAGAATATTGGTCGGAAAAACTCTTTCGTCTGGTATGGAAGCCGGTGGGCACAGGCTGCTACTGCGCCGTCGAGGCTGTACAAAATGTTTTCTACTGAAGGTGGATGTCGGGTTCCGCTTGTTGTTAAGCCGGTTAGGAATCGGAATGGTGGTGGTCAGGTTGTTGATTCTTTCTGCACGGTGATGGATATGGTTCCTACTATTTTGGACTATGCGGGATTACAGCATCCAGGAAGTGTGTGGAAAGGAAAGCAGATTGAGCCTGTTCGTGGTGTCAGTTGGAAGCCATTTCTCGATTCTATGGCTGCCCCTGGATCGAAAAGTGCCGCTGGAATGCTGGCTATTCATAGCGAAGACAGTGTTACTGGATGGGAGATTGCGGGGAGCGGTGGACTTCGCAAAGGCCAATTCAAAATTACTTATGTTCCTTTGCCGCGGGGACCACAGCGCTGGGAGTTGTTTGATATTGTTGAGGATCCTGGTGAGACCACTGACTTGAGTGAAAAGCGACCTGATGTATTCAACGAGATGCTTCGGCTTTGGGGCGTGTATTGTAAAGAGGTTGGTGTGGTCGGTCTCGCTGGTGAACTGAAGGACGAACATGTTATTGAAGGTGTCCGCGACGAGTTCGAAGATACAGGTTCTTGGATCAGATTCATTGGCAAGAAGGACATTCCTGCTGAAATTGCACACAAGGTTCCTAGTTAGAGATCCGGTATACATTTCTTGCACTCATTTTAGAATCATTCTTTTAATAGATAGTTTGCAGTTCAGTACAATATATTAAGAATACCCAAAATTCCACGGATCCCAAGTCAAATATTCCGAAAAGTAATTCGCCATTTGCAAATAAGAATCAATGTCAGGAACCTCCTCATCTCCGCCTGTGATAAGATCATCAATCTCTAAATTTCCTTCATTCACATTCGTCGTTGGATCATCAGCCGGCTCAAAGGTAGGTGTATCAGTATTTCTTGTATGGTTATTTTCAATAGCCGCCGATTGCCTCAGTTCACGAATTGCTGCTGCTTTATTAGGCCAGGGTATTTCTTTCCATGACATTCGATAAAGAGCAAACGGGTGAAGATGGTGAGCCTGTGGTGTTGTTTCTTCACTATTCGAGCTTTGAGGACTGTTCAAATAATAAGCATAAGCTACTTACGGCTGATGATTTGCATAACTTGCCTTTTATTATTTCTAATGAGCCACTGATCTGCAAGCTCTGAGAATCCAAATTCATGAAGCAGCTTTGATAGTGAAGAGATCTACGAATGATTAATATATTATATGACCATGCGATCCTCAACACTCACCAACATATCCCTTTTCTTATCCCAGGGAAACATGAAATCTAAAGCTTCGAGATTGGTGGCAATATTTTGCTTGACAACATCTTGGTCTAGTCGCATGCAGGTACGAGCATAGACAATTTGAATCTTAGAAGACTCGTATGCGCATATAGCACAAGAAGAGTCAACTAGTGGTTTTTTCCTCCGCTGCAAAGTCATCCGAAGAATATTCGTAATTGCCTTGGCATGATCGACGCATTGGGACTGCATATGCTGTTCGATTCCTGGTCGATGTGTCTCGATGACAGTCGATAGCGGAAATTGATAACCTGGCAAGGCAACGCGATACAAGTCGCAAAAGCATTGATGATAGAGAAGGTGCAATGCGTAAAAAGCTGGAAGTTGGTTACTTTCTTCATGAATGTATGCATTCATTTCATTGAGTTGCAAATGCCGGGGAAGAGAATCGCCGCACTTCTCAAGGTTGGCAATCAGGACATCTAATTTGGGTAATACTTCAAGTGCCGAGTCCCGGATTAGGCTATGATTTGTCAGATTTCATCTTTGGAGTGTTGTAAGAGAGGCTTACCGTAGAACTTGTTTCCTCAGGTACATTATGTGCACATAATATGCTTCAAGACACACGTTTGGAGTCTTGGCAAGCTCATCTGCAAAACTTTCCCCTTCGCAAAGCATACCAGTTTCACACGTCAACTGAAGAGTAAACTCTCTACCAGAGCACGGTAGTCTTGTTCTCGGTGCTGAAGGCCAGTTGGAAATCAAATCCACCCCAGAACTGATCGCCACGTCCAAGATGTAGCAGGACCAGACTAGTCGACGTCTGGCCTCTTTCTCTGCGACTAGGAGACCACCGGGTATTCCCTCGAGACTTTCAATTGTTGCTTCGGAATCAAGCCGAAGTAATTGAGCAAGACGAGAGCAGATGCCAGAGATCATGAATGCTGTGCTTTCCTGGCCAAATCGCATGTGCCATTCGCATAGAAGTACAAGAGCCTTTTGATATTAGCCCTTTTCATGATACAGTAAGTACTGATAAGTTTACCATCAAGTTTGAGATACTCGGAAATGAAATATTGAGAAAAGCTAGTTCCTGGGCACGGCCTGCCCAATCCCCAGTTCTAGGCGAGTTGTCGATGAATCTTGAAATAGACAACATTAAACATGCACTTTGTTAGGAGAGACAATTCATACCTTGATCCAAAAGCGCATATTATATGCACGAGTGCTTTTCCGAAATCCTCTTTAATTTTTCCTCGGTCTAACGACTGCATGAACGATGGCTTGTGCACAAAGCCCAGACACCGCAGCGGATGAATATGCACGAAATAAGTATCAACGAGATGCCTCAATTCCTGCAGATCATCAGGAAGCGGTACTGCCGAAGACACTTCGTTGATTAGATCGACACTCCCTATCCTCTCGGTGAAGATTGAAGTATCCGGTCCTTCGCCTGAGGCACTGATAACCCGCGCAGGCGGTGATAGTGACACAGCTCTAGAATTCGAAGCATTCTCATCACTATGCCGTCGATCCCGATCATCGGAATAAATACAAGGAAGCGATCTCGATTCACATCTCTGACAACGTGGTTTCCCGCGATCGCATCGTAACTTTGCCGCCTGGCATTCATGGCAAGCACCCACAACCCGTCTTCGACGACCAGCATGGCGAAAAGCACTGTTGACTCGTGCACGGAGCTCTGCTGATGATAGTTTTTCCTCCGATAAACCGGGACAATCTAGTCCCATGCGAGTACAGCCATCACAAGGGCCCGTTGGATCGCTACATTTGACCTGGCTGATGTCAGTGAAAGTCCCGGCAGGCATCTTGGGAGTCGGGAACCAATACTTTGCGCGCTTTACATATTAAGCAGCCTGGAAATTGTAATTAGTTTTGGAGGTTTCTAAGTGTATGAAGAATTACCTGATCTTCCTCTTCTTTTGGTCGGCATTTTTATAGTCACAATGAAGATGGATTAGAATGGAGAAATGAACCGGGAAGATGTCGGGAGGCGGAAGCGAGTTCCGAGGGAAACACAGATACCACCATATCGCGATAGATAAAAGATGAAACGAAGTTAATGATGAATAAAGTATTTATTCGATGTCTTTAATTATGGCTATGGCTATGTAGAGATAGCCTAGTATTCTGTATAGGCATTATGTATTCAGGGTTCTTATGGGTTTGCCATTGTTGCCGACATCCGATATGGCCAAAACAGCCCGCGGATTCAATATCCGAGTCTCACGACATTCGTATGGCACCAAGTTCTTACCTTATTTCGATAGCTGCTGTAGCGGTGCTGGGTTCGATGTCTCCTCGCAGAAAATAAAACGTACGTATGACTCGATTCGTAGTTTCCAAAGGGGCCCAGGGCCTGGTTGGGTCGTCTCTGGCAGACAGCGATCAGGAACAATCGGGTTCAGAATTGAACAAGACAAAATGCCAACTATGCCAGACTAATAACGAGTATACCCAGAGACATAGGCGGTAGTGTGCCGTTTTGTGGTATTCACTCTCGAGCAAAGCAAGAGACATCACAGGTCACCGGGCCAGTAGGTCATGACCTCTCGTTCTCGGCGTTCGAGATCGCCGATCAAGAGATACCAAGCGGTCTAACATTTCAATGTTCAACCCTCTTCGTCGGCGCCTGCGTCTTCGCCACTACCTCCTTCTTCATCCTCATTTCCATCATATCCACGTACCACCGCAGGTGAACGAATAGACTGTCGAGCATCGCTAGCCCTGTTTCGATTCATGGCTCTCACGGCTCTCTCGCCAACATATTTGTCCCCAGGCCAGTCTTTCTTGCATACTGGACACTTTTCAGCCCGGTGAATACGAAAGAAGTTGTGCATGCAATGATCATGGAGTCGGCCTGGGCACTCGCGGTCGCCACATCGTTGTCCCTAATAAAACAGGTTACTTATTGACTGCAATCGACACTGGAGGTAAAATACGAAAGCGGCATACCACAGTAATTATATCCTTGCAGGCAGCGCAGAACTTGATACGATCCGCTCTTCGTCCGTCCGACTCATCATCATTGTATTCCGCAACCAACCATCCACGTAATTCCATTAGTCCCCGAGGACTCAAACTGAAGTAGCTTTTTTCACTCTTTTCAAACCACCCTTCTTCAACGAGCTGATTCATCATGGTTTCAGCTTGCGTTAGACTCAAATTGTTCGCTGCCCCGTCTTGTGCTGGCTGAGTCTCGCCAATCGTTGATCGTCGTCGATTGGCTTCAGTCGCTGTGCGGAGATTGACAGCTTCCATGGGTGTAATGACCATTCCTTCACAAATACGGGTGTTATTTTTCTCGAACATGCAATCAAGGACGCGCTTCAAAAAGGCAATCTCGTCTGCGGAGTAGGATGTCGCGAGTTGCGTTAGAGAGTCACTGGTAGTATTTACAAGAGCGTACACCCTTGTTGGCGAGTTATCTGTATTCTCTTCATCGTTTTGTTTTGATGTTTGGCGTAAAGAACTTCTGATCTCAAGGTCGAATTGAGAAATAGCGGTGTTGGCGGCGCCGACGTACGATGTGAAGTGTTCTTCGGTGATATCTCCCACGTCAACCTCTCGGTTTTCTGTTCGTATTGAGCCATAATTAGCAGGGGTACTTTTAGTTTGAGGGAACTTGTATAAGACCTCAACTCACCGCGTGCGGAGATAATTGCAGCTAGTATGGGCTGAGCTTCCTCGAAGGTCATAGACGAGCGACCCATGAAAGCCTGCAAAAAGGCTCGGTTGCTGTCATCATATTCATTGTCCATGTTGGCAGTAATTTACACTCTCTTATTTCGGTGTAAAAGAAGGTGATTAAAGAGCGACTAGCATTAGTGGTTGAATATCAAAGATCGAATAATTGAAGAACGCGAATTGACGCGACGCGGGGAACGCCAAGACTTGCAGCTTGCCGGGATAAAGAGCTGTACATAGTCCGGTTCTTTGACATGATTTTGGTGATATTTCATTTTATTTCCTGCAAGGAATAAGTAGAAAAGCAAGATTCGACGTTAGAGCTTATTCTGCGGGAAATTTGATGTTATAATGAATGCTTCAAAGTTGCTTCTATTAGTATGGAGCATTATTGATTGACCAGGACCATATCCATAGTACTATACATTCAATCTTCCTAGTAGCTATCCCGGTGGAATTCTCCAAAATGCAATTCGTTCCATAAGTATCCCATCCGAATACACAAATGCTTATTCATACTAGCCTTGATTTTCAAAGGGGCACCCGCATATACCTTCTACTATGTAGTCCCCGACTTGCGTCCACTAAATCGATAGACAGTCACTGCTTCACGCTATAAGTTTAAGTATTTCCCATCGTCTAGAAGATAAAGGAACAATCATGTGATAAATCAATTCATTTGCAGTTTTGATATCATGACATAAAATACAAAGTGCCAATCAGCAAAAGAGAATGCCGAAACCCCAATCCCCAGACGCTCCGCGCAAAGGAGGTGAATCGCACCACCGACTGACATCACCTAACGCCAAAGATGAAAGAAACACACAAGAAACTAGTCTGTCAGAGAAAAGGAAACGAAAAAGATGAATTACACCCTAAAACCTCCGTCGAGTAGGTTCGGGGGTAGGACTGCGAGTAGCGCTTCGAGGGTCACGACCACGCTCCTTCAACCATTTCTTTGTGCTAAGTCTCATATCGCGATCGAGCTCCGCGGAGGGATCCTTGCGATGGATGAAGTTGCAGAATCCTCCTCGGACACATCCCTCCCCACTATTCAGACGACAACATGCTTCTCGGAAATCTGTCACGGGCGATAATTCGCAGTATATAGGTCTTGCGGCGTACCATCGTGAATTGAGGGTGTCGCATGCTGCTTGGGCATCTTCTTCGTATTTAAACCGAGCGTAAACGTTGCCGATGAGGTCTAAAGAAAAGAAAAGACGTGGTTAGTAACTTCCTTGCGTACGTTTGTCTATCCTAGCCTACCCTGCCAGTATAGGTTAGACATAGGTAGGTTCAGGTCACTCACGATCATTGTTGTTGTCGCAAACGACCAACTCCTCAAGTTCACCGTACTTGCACATCTCACACCACACATCCTCGTAGAAGGCATCGAAGTGATTCTGCAGCTGGCTGGGGTTCATCTTATTCTTGGGGTCGTAGGCTGGGTTCTGGTACATGTTCGGCATCAAGACGGTCTGCGAATAGGAGGGCTTGACATGTTTACGGGAGCAGCGATCTCCGTGCCGACATGCGCCGATCTTGTAGTAGAAAGAGCAATTGACCTTGTCCTGCTCTGTACCGAAAATGGAAGCGAGATAGTTGGCCATGGTAAGGGGGTGTGTAGGCGCAGCGGCACCGAGTTAGGGATGGGCTGGAGGATGCGAAAGGGATTATCTGCACAGTCGGAGGTGCAGGGGCGAAAGATGGGAGGATTCACGGGGTTGCGGAGCGGTCACCAAATGTTGCTTTGATATCGAATGCCTGAAGTTTCTGGAGAGCTCCACGACTTTTATGACTAAGCGGGGACAGCTTTGTGGAACAACAATATTCCGACTTATATATGGGATGCAGATGAACTTCACAGAAAATGTACTCGAGTCATTTTATTAAAGGGAAAGCCGAGGAGATAAATTCTGTTTGTCTTCTTCGTATCTGATATTTCACTGGGAATGAATATGGGATTGTTTACGCCCCGGAAAGAAGAATACCTGCCAGCCTTATCAGATCGACGGAAGCTACTTCACAGCAAGTTGACTCACATCCGCCGACACAAGTTCTCCCTGAATCAAGTCAGCCATAACCTTCCCAGTACCCAAACTGAGAGATATCCCCCACGGCCCATGCCCGCTCGCAATATAAACACCACCCCCGCCCGAGGCCCTCACACCGTCGCCTAAAGAAGAGTCTCTAATTCGCCCAATAGTAGGAATCTCATTATCACCAACAGGACGAAAACAGAGACCCTCACGTAAAATTTCCAAATCATCTGTGTTTCTTATATGATCTGACGATCCAAACGAATCACCGGGTAGCTGACCCATAAGGCGAACGGCAACATCTTTTAATTTCTGCATCTCTGTCGGATCCCAAAGTTGCCGTACATCTGCCACGCAAGATGGAAGACTCAGATCGGGATTAAGACCAGCGATGTAGATCTCGCCTCCTTCCCGGGTGAATATCTCCGGACTAAAGCCGCATGATGCTGGATGCTCAGTGAAAAGTGCATGGCTGCGTCCATTGTTGATCACTCGCTCATGATCAAGTGTATATCGTGGAGAACGGACGACCAAAGAATACCCTGCTAACGGCGAAATGTTGAAAGAAAGTTCGTTTGAAGGGAAGAGCTCATGTAGAACTTGTGGAGTCCATGCACCCGCACTCAGCACTAAATTTGTGCATGGTAGAATGAACTCGTTTTTAGATCTCAAATCAAGTACCTTCACTCCGATAATAGTCCCACTCTCATCCTTGATTATCTCAGTTGCTTTTGCAGGGTGGTGGAGCTTCACTCCATGTAGGAGCGCCTCATCCATTAAAAACCGACTTAATCGCAAAGGATCTCTGAAGAAAATCAGTGGGGGTTTTCAAATAGTCCCATTGGAGCACTCACACCTGTGCGACCGTTTCTCCTTCACTGATACGCTCAATAACACGACCATCCTGCTTCGTTAACCAAGCCGGCCATTCAGCTGACAAGGCATCTATAGCAGCTGCCGTCTCCGCACGACTGGTCCCATCATGGATCCAGTCGTCTGAACCAGCACCACCGCGTCTCTGATTAGGTACCGAGTCTAAATTAAATGCAGTTCCCTTCATGAATCCCCATTTCTTAGCCCCGTCTTTTTCAGAAGAAAGCCGATGGTGTAAATCAAAGGATAGTGCGCCGAGGGAAGCAAGTGATGGCGCGAACCAATCACGCGCAAGGAATCCACCTGCATATCCTGAAGCTGAGCTGAATAACTGGGATGATTGTTCGATGATGTGTATTTCTGTTTCCGGTTGGCTTTTTGATAGATGGTATGCGATTGAGGTGCCGATGATACCTCCTCCTAGGATTACTGTTGACATCCTTGACTTTGAATACTTTTCTCTGGGATGCTGCAGATAATTGGTGGTGTTGCGGTCGCTTTCTCGGTTTTTTAGTCGAGCTTATCCTAAAATTTGGTTTCTGATCTGTATTCCTGCCCTTCTTTCTTGTAGTATCGAGAGCTTGAATGATCATAATGATGTTGATAACAGTTCACGGTGGGGCTAACGGTGCGGGGAAGGCCATCAACCATTCTAGCGCCGCTATTATATCAATTGATAACATCTTGACCTCGCCGTGAACATGAGACTATCTCCTACTATAATACGAACTTCCAAAGTTTTAGTCTAGTATATAGCCTTTCGGGAAAATAAGATGTGGAGAAAAGCTTTCATTGACCTGGCAGAGGCAGTTAAAGCTTAAGACCTAAGTGAATCATACTGCGTTGGGTCTCTATATGGTCAGCCAAACAGTTGGATACACTTAGTACGTGTAGAATAATCAATTTGCGATTCTTGTAAATTTTGAAGGCACAAAATCTGGTTTCCAGCTGTCAAGGGCATTGCCATGACATGAGCACGCCGCCGTATGATAATATTTACTATTTCGACGCTATCACGATTTGACTAAGTTTTTTAGTTTTTTTCCACTCATAATTCCAGGCCGTATTTTAAGAAATAAAGTACTATCATTTTTATCAACAAGTATTTCGGTCCAGATTAAATGCAGGGTACGTTAATTTGAAGGGGGCAATGGCATGGATAGATGCAGCCCAGAGCGCAACTCCCTGTCGCAGGAATCACTAAACACTTCCAAGTCTCTCATTTGTACGAACTGTCTGCCACTTGAATAATCATTCAATTACCATTAACAAATAACAGAATCAAATCGATCATTCAAAAAGACTTTGCCTCTAAAACTCAAAGTACTTCTAGTATAGTATAGAACTATACCCGTACCTGAAAACGCCCTCCCCAGGGCAACGAATAACATATTTTAGCACAGCCGACAATCAAATTAACTTTAAGCTAGACAGTTTAATTTCAAGATGAAATGATGCATATATCTTCAGAATTGCGCGATCACTACTTTAGAGTGCGTAATGATCACCGAAAACTCGGCAAGTGGCCACGGAGAGTACTCGGATTCTCCGTAGTACAAGGCGGGGGACTCCGACAAGAAACAGTAGCGAGATACAGTATTCAATAGGAAACAGGGACAATGCAAACAATTAATCCATAATTAAGGTACGGGTATAGTATGAGTGGCTGTCAGTTTGATGGTGGAATTAACAATTCTAATGACGACATCCTTAGCGTCCTCGGCTAATTTTATGGCGAAGATTAGCCAAAGCTTCATACTGGGAATGTGTGGAAGGATTGCCGATCTTGCTTGTTTAATATTATTCTTCTCCACGTTTCTTTGCAGTATCCACTTCTAGTCTATTGTTGCGTATTTACTACGGAAGAATTGCCGTGCATGTTTGTTTCTTCATTGTGCTCCGTAGTCCGTACTCTGCACGCGGGACAAACAATGGCCCACCGGCACCAACAGGAAATCCATCTAGAACATCAACACAGAGCTCTGATGTCGTGATCAATTGAAAAAATAAAACATATAAATTGACAGTCTCCCTCTTCGTCACAGGTAAAAAGAGCCAATAATAAAATTTACAGCATTTCCCGCTGATAATCATAATCATGCGAGCTTGGGCTTCAACATTAGCCATTGGGCTTATAGCTCCAACTTCAGTTCTGTCCCACACAATCGCTACAAGAAAGACAGAATCAACTCTCTGCGCAGCAGACAGTCGCCAGATTGTTTCGAATAGCAGTGATATCTGGCCATGGCAGACATACAAATCCTCCAACCTCACACCGCCGCATCTCACGATAAACAAAACGAGCGAGGATCTAGCTTCCGGATTACTCTTTATCGGTCAAGAAGACGATAGCACCACCGGCGTGAAAGAAATTTCACCATTCATCTTAACAGATGATAATGAGCTTGTATGGGGTGGACCAGTTGGAGACTCTTCCAACTTCCGCCAACAATACTGGGGAGAGAAGTCTGTTATCTCTTTCTGGGTTGGTACAGGCAAGGCCGCTTATGGAGCTGATGCGGGTCGAGGATGGGGCGAGGTACAGATTTACGATGATGAGTATAATTTGTTGAAGTCGGTTTGTTTGCAACTCAATTTGACTCTGCCTACTGGTACGACTACGGATTGCGATGCGGATGTCCATGAGTCGTTCATCACGGAGGATAATACTATTCTCTTGACTGCGTATAATACTTCTCAGGCGGATTTGACTTCTCTAGGTGGAGATAAGGATGGATGGGTTTATGATTCTATTGCTGTTGAGCTTGATCTGGAGACCAATGAGCCTGTGTTTATCTGGAGTCCGCTCGCTCACTTGAATGTCAACCTTACTCATGAGCCGTTTACTGGTTCGAACCTGACAGACCCATTTGATTGGTTTCATATCAACTCCATTCAGAAGTGGGGAGATCACTATCTGATCAATTCGCGTCATCTTTGGCGTACATTCCTGGTTAATCGCCAGGGTGAGATCGTCTGGTACATCGATGGTGCAGATGGAGGCGACTTTGGTACACTACCCACCAACGGAACCTTTGTAAGTCTAACACATACACTCTAGAACCCATTCATAACATTCTCTAACTTCAATTCAACCAGTCCTGGCAACACATGGCCCGTCTTCGCAACGTCTCCTCAAACCCCAACGAAGTTCTCCTTAGCTACTTCAACAACGACCTCGACTCAGCAACTGCCACCAACCCCTCCAAGGGCCTTACCCTCCGCTTGACACTCCCTCCCAACCCGGAAAATCCTCCAAAGCTAGAAACCGACTTCTACGACCACAAATACCCCATCTCCTCCGCCGCCGAAGGATCCTTTACACCCCTCGACAATGGAAACACACTCATGGGATACGGCGACGAGCCCTACATCAAAGAATACGGCCCATCAGGCGATCTGCGCTGGTCGGTCCAATTCGCAGGCTACAATCTCGGTCAAAGCTACCGTGTCTATAAACAGGAATGGCACGCGACTCCATACTATAAGCCGAGTCTTGTGGTTGGTACTGTCACTGCTAAAGATGATTTGAGTGAGTGTGCGGGCTCATCATCACTTCGAGGATATGTTAGCTGGAATGGAGCTACGGATGTTGAAAAGTATGAGGTTTATGCTGGGAATAGTCAGAAGAACCTGAAGTCTCTGGGTGAGATTGAGAAGAAGGGATTTGAGACACAGTTTACGTTGCCGGGTGGTACGAAGGTGGTGCAGGTTGCTGCTATACAATCTGGTCGTGCTGTAAGGAAGTCCGAGATTGTGCATGTTTGATTGGGACATTGACTCAGCTGAGGGATGCTACATATTTGATATCATACCCCATTGTGAAGTATTGATTGTAAATACACTGACGATAAGACTAAAAGATGAAATATATTTGATTAAAATAAAACTTCCAGGGTTCTTCTGTATTAATACAATTTCGGTAAAAGTGCTGAGATCAAATTCATAATCTCCTTGCATTCCATTCGTGAATCATCGCTAGAGACTGGCTGCTCAATTTATCCAAGTGCCTGATCCCGACGTCGGAGTAATTCATAAAGAAGTTAAGATAAATGAGTAACCCAAAACCCCCACGATATTAACAATCGGCCGAGATGTAACTGCTGCCTGCATCATGTCCTGCCGCATATCCGATCCTGAATCACTAAGTATGATCAAAGTGGGAAATCCATATCAAGCAAGATTGAAGGATCCGACTTGGTCCGGTTACACTCGGTGCTTGGCGGTATTGCACCTTTAGCTTCGGGGGCTTCGATCCCAACTCCGCATATCAAGATTATTAAGCCCCGCGCCGGAAGGAAAGTCAGAGATATAAGAATTCAACCTTGGTGATTGATGTCAACAATCGCACAGATCATCATGGCCAAAACAATTATCGTAACTGGAGCTTCCCGAGGTAAACCCATCAACGAGTCTAGGTCTATCCCGCACAGCACTAACACAACTTCAAGGCCTCGGTCTCGCAATTGCCAAATATCTACTCTCAGCCCCTCAATCCCACAATGTAGTTGTCATGGCACGCAACGTTGAGCTTCTCAAAAAGCTCAAAGACGAATACCCAAAGCAAGTCGAGGTGGTAAGCGGGGATCTGGCAGATTTCTCCCTCGCACAAAAAGCCGTCGATGCGGCAATCAAGTCATTCGGTCAACTGGACGGTATGGTTCTTAACCATGGTATTTTGGGCCAAACGGGCAAGATTGCCGTTACAGATGTTGCGGAGTGGCAGAAGGCATTTAATGTTAATTTCTTCAGCTTGGTTGCATTTGTACGTACCACCTCTCCTCTCTCTACCTCTATCTCGAAATCATTCTGGAGAGCGTGGCTAATGGGTAAATACTACAGGCTACGGCGGCTCTTCCTGCTCTCCGCGAGTCCAAGGGAAGAATCATCCTTACTTCTTCCGGAGCAGCTGTGAAGAAGTATCGTGGTTGGGGTATTTATGCCGCGAGCAAGGCTGCCCTGAACAACTTTACACAGACGCTTGGGGCTGAAGAGCCGGATGTTGTATCTATCTCTATTCAGCCTGGAATGGTTGATACGGATATGCAGAAGGATCTGCGCGAGGAGCGCGGCACAACTCTCGATGCTGATATGCACTCGAAGTTTACTGGGGCTTTTTCCGCTGGTGCGCTTCTCAAGCCTGAGCAGCCGGGTCATGTTTTCGCTAAGGCGGTTCTTGATGCGCCGGTCGAGTTGTCGGGATTGTCTATTGCGTATGTTTTCTCTCCTCATACACTACTGCAATGGACATTGCTAACGGATTACAGATGGAACGACAAGGAGCTTGCAGCTTTCCAGGACTAGATTTGGATTCGGATGTAGATTTTTCATTGATTGATTTGGTATTGTTATGAATAGATTACTAGTTTCTGTATACAGCAATCAGTATGATGCCATAGAATTCATGAGTGATTATTGTTCAGTTTGATTGATTGTAATCAGCCGAAAGATGAAAAGCATTACATTTTATAAGCATTAGGCGCAGTGCACCTTCATACTTAGCATGGAATGTATGAGGTTCATCATACAAGAGGTGTATTTTATTGGAAGAGAAGAAGACTCGCGTACCGTTGAGAATAGAAGAGAGTAGAAAAGATTTTTCCGGACGGAAGTATAGTAATACAATCTGGATCTTTTGAGAAGTTAGCCAATTGATCATCTCAAGAGTTTGCAGCAAATTCGATAAGAGCAAGACACAATATCAGTTCGTCCGTTTGGCTAGGACAGGTAAATCACCACGGTTTTGTAAGATAGGGGCGACAACGAAAGTTCATCATAGTAATTGTGAAGCAAGACAGAAAAAAGCAATCAGAGCAAACTTACCATTAGTGTAGCGCCCCGAATGAAATCTGCATTAAGTTTTCACTCGGGGAAGTCGAGAAACGGAAACAATTCCAATCCCAGTCTCAATGAAGAGAGAAGAGAAGGATGAAGTTCATGAAGAAGGAAGAAACTGTAGAAGAAAAAATCTCAAGAAGTACCCGTGGCGGGCGGTGTATATATGTGGCCCACAGTATTCTTTTTTTTCTGCCGGCAGGAAAAGCCCGAGTCGCGCAACAGCCAAATGTTAAATAAGAAGCGATTGCTCCACGCCCCACGCTGATCTCCAGCAATTCTTTCCTTGTGTCTTGTCTACCCTTGAATTGATTGTTTCAGGCTTGATTACTTTCGGTATACGATTTATTTCACATCATGTCCGACCGAGAATTTAATTGTATGTTCTGTTATCTTCTCTTCTCCCCTTGTCTAATCCAACCCTGCAACCATCAACCATAGGAAGCTACAGTACGCTAACATAGGCCGTTTGACTCCAGCTAACGACGACCTGTCGCTGCCTAAGGGTATGTTCATTATTCTCTTTGTTTATCGCCCTTCACCTTCACATGAGGTTCTCTTTTTGTCCCATGTCTCTGTCTCTGTCATCTCAAGTCCATCTCTTTGACGAGATGTCCGCGTCGCGGCGCCGCCCCATCGATCTACCCGCGTCTTGATCCGAGTTCCAGTTCCCGCACTAACAGTCTACGATAATAGCAACGGTTCAGAAGATTATTACTGAGATCCTACCTCCTTCCTCCGGTCAGACATTTTCTAAAGATGCGCGTGATCTACTCATGGAATGCTGCGTCGAATTTATCACCTTGATATCCTCCGAAGCGAACGATATCAGCGAGAAGGAAGCCAAGAAGACCATTGCATGTGAACATGTGGAGAAGGCATTGCGCGAACTTGGATTCAGTGATTATATCTCAGATGTACTTGCTGTTGCGGAGGAGCATAAGGAACAACTAAAGGTACGCGCTACACTGATATTGACGTCACACTCATTTAAGCTGGGAGTATGAAACTAACACTCTATCTAGTCACGGGAAAAGAAACAAAGCAAGATGGAGCAGAGTGGATTGTCAGAGGAAGAGCTTCTACGCCAACAGCAGGAACTCTTTCGGTCTGCGACGGAGAAATACAATCAGGCGGAGTAATGGGACGGCAATGGACTCATGCTGGCCATAGAGAATTCAGCGCTGGGCGTTAATTTATTTATCTTATGGGAGGTGGGGTGGAGTTACATCTCTTATTTTTATCTTTATTCTTATGTTTTTATCTACTTTCATCCTAATCAGGATGTTCACTGGCTTTGCAATGCGAGATGGACACGATTTGATCTACCAGGACTTTCTTGGGATCGGACTCAATTTGCTAGTGCTTATATTCAATATGATGCTGCATGAGCTATTGGCTTCTAAGAGATACCCCTTTCGTAATCGAGAACTTGAATAGGAATCTTGTGAAAATATTTGTATGACTGAGATGGCTCAATGTAGTAAACACCGAAATTTCATGTACCTAGTAGTAGTAGTAGTACTGGGGGTAGTAGCACATACTAAGCTCTACTATGACCTCGAGATGACTCGGACTTGGAACAGCTTATATGCTACAATCATAAATAAATCTATGCTATGCGCTTATGATTTAATTATCTAATATTTCAATTATGAGGTTTTTCAGTCAAAAATTGGAAGTTTCAAAGTTGTACTAGTATATTTTTAGTAAAAGTATGGTCCTGAATTGGTCTGTGATATATATATAATTGATTATATTTAGTGACAGGTAAGAGGTGAAAAATTAAAGTAAATTTGATACACCGCTTTCAAATAAGACCATCTAATTCAATTCCAAGCTCTATTACACAAAACAAAAGAGTACAAGGGTCCAAACAATCAATCCAACACTATACATTTAAGGAAGTTGTTGTTCTTGATCTCTGTTCCCTGTGTGACTCTGGCCCGTGCAGCAGCTTGTGCAGCTCCACTCGACTAGGATTGGCACAATCCTTGACCGCTCACGTGAACCGGCCAAGACTCACCACGCTAGTCCAAAATGGTTCGTCGCGCTCCTCACAGGCGCAAAGCAAAGGCAAAGGAAAGGACTCGACCTCCACTGCTTCCAAACCGTCAGCTCACAAACATGCCACCCTTCAAGGATGAGCATATTCTGGTAAGCACCCGCATAACTCTACAGAAAAAATAAGGCCTAAAACTCACTAACCTCTCAATTTCTAGCTCATTGCGCCAGGTTCGCAAATGACCCTGGCGCAGCTGGGTCTCCCAGAATCGTTTACCCCCGCGCGATTCCGTTTCCCAACGCGTATGTTCCCCGCTGAGAAGAAGGGGGAATTCGAACCATACAAAGTCCGTCAGCGCCAGCGGGAGTTCAAGGTCAACAATGTCACCAATGGATCTACAGAGGCTCCGAAGGAAGCACCGAAAGAGACTCCGAAAGAGGACGTGGAGATGAAGGACGGCGCTGAGACCGCTGCTCCTCAGAATGGCGACGCCAATGGGAACTCTGCCGAGAAGACCGACAAGCCTGAGGGAGAAACCGCGACAGAGGGTGAAGAGAAGACTGTTCAAGAGTTCTATTATGAAGAGGATGTGACATCGGAAGAGGGAGCTGTGTACCCAATTGAGAATGGCCGCATTGTCGACTGGCCATGTTTCTTCGCCTTATTGACACATATCTACAACTCTCTCAGTCCTCCATTCCATACTCCTATCCTCTTGGTTGCTCAGCCTGTCTGGTCAGCTCGCGACCGGGAGACCATTACTCAGTTCATTTTTGAGAAGTTCAAGGTCCCCGGCTTCAGCATGATGGATGCTGCTCTGGCCGCAGCCTACGGGTTTGGTGTGCAGACTGCCACCGTCGTTGATGTGGGCAAGGGTAAGGTGGATGTCACTGCGATCACAGATTACGCAGTCAACGAACACGGCAGAGGTATTGCGCTGGAAGGATGTGGCGGTGATGCCATGACCGATCGATTGGTTGAGTTGCTCGGCTCTAAGGGATTCTCCCGAGAGATGTGCGAGCAGCTCAAGCGAAGCAATATTGCTGAGATTCTGCCTCCCGGAACTACAGTACCCGGCACAGCAGCCACCGCACGTCAAGGTGTTGACCCCGCAGCTGGAGCTGAAGGAGACAAGGCTGCTCCTGGTGGCCCTGGTGCTGGGGCGCAGACTGGCGGAGATACCAACGGAGAAGAAGAGGAAGGTGTTTTGGATGTTGCGGCCATTGTCAGTGGAGACACGAATGAGTACCTGGCCAACATGGAGAAAGAGAAGGGTAATAAGAAGGGTGGAGTTGATCCCAAACAGCCTCGTCTTCCCAACAGCAAGAAGGAGAAGGCATCATTTCAGTTTGAGGAGTTCGTAAGAATGGAGGGCGAAAATACTACTGGCGGCCCTCAGCGATACACTCGTCATTCTCGCGAAATTGAAGTTGGTGTAGAGCGTTTCTTTCTGGCTACACCTCGACAGAAGGTTGGCGACCGTTTAACAAATGGTATTCTGGAAGATATCGCCACCCAGATTCATCACACCATTCTGGCTGTTCCAGATGCTACAAAGCGTAGTGAATTGTGGGACTCACTTATCATTGTGGGTTGCGGTAGTCGAGTTCGAGGTAAGCATCTTCTCCTTTTTTTTCAAATCCAACAAAGAAGATATTCTAACATTGTCATACAGGCTTCATCCAGTCTCTGCTTGGCGTCATCACACAAAAGTTCATCCTTTCTCCATCTGCCACCATCTTCACTTCTGAAATCCCTTCCGCTTTCACTACTCCTCTCCCTACCGGTGGAACGAATACACCCGCCCCCATGAGCCAGCCACCTGGACCTATGTATCACCCCGCCGCCCATGGTGTGAACCCTCTCTTAGTGGCCGCCACTCACAACAACCCCGGTATGCCAATTGCACCGGGTACTCCTGGCATGGACCCTAGTTTCCCCACCCACCACCGTTCCACCGGCCACTCTCAAACCCCAACATCCGTCAAGACCTTAAGGCTACCGGAATATTTCCCAGATTTCAAAGATCAAGGTAATACCAATGCCCCAGGCACGACTACAGGCCACACCGCTGCTACAAGCGGTCATGGATCCGAAGAAGGAGCCTTCCTAGGAGCCCAAATGGGCGCTAAGGTCTTCTTCGTCCTGGACCAGGGTATTACCAAGGGCTACATGAGTCGTGTCGAATACAACGAGAGCGGACCTTCAGCAATCCACGAGTACAGTCTGTAACTGTACTTGTCGGGATAACTGAATGGTGTTTGTGCTTCTTACATGAAGCTGTAGCTTTGATGGTTTACACGACTCAGCGCGCGGGATATCATTTTTCTCTGCTTATTTCTCGATATTTTTTGAAATGTTTTTTCTGGCGATGGGGGTCCTGGTTCGTGCTATTGGGATTTTCTTTCTTGTGTACTTTACGCTCCTGGAATAATGCCCCTCTAGAAAAAAGCTTTCTGGTTGTTGGTGCAGTGGATTTGGGAGTTGGTTAATCTTTTCTCCTAGTACACAGAATCCATCTAAAATTCACATAGAAATGTTCCAATGGTGTTTAGTAGAAAGTGCTTTGTATTATACATCCATTTATGCAGCATGAGTTCCAGATCCTTATATCCTCATAGTTAACGTTAAGTGTCATAAGTTACTGGTCACTAACTTATTTGGCCTGATTGATGCCTGAAATATGGGGAATGATATTATCACACGTGACATTCTCTTATCGCCGCCCCATCTCTCGATCTTCATCTTCCCAAGGTTTGTCTTTGCTTCTCCAAGTACTCGACTCCCCAGTCTACGAACATATTTCTCTGATACTGGTCGCTATCCGCGGTGATAGAACAAGCGATCAAAACCATATTCTACAAGTAACTCTACCACACCTACACGTTCTCATCGAAACGCCACAATGCCGAAGGCCGAAGCAGGATCCGTCAAAGCGATCGGGAATCGCATGAAGATGAAGGGACTCGGCAGATTAAGATGGTATTGGTAAGTAAAGCCACGGTTACAACGTTGATAATTATCAAAGCTAACATCTACAGTCAAATCTGCGAAAAGCAAACGCGCGAAGCAAACAGTTTCAAGCAACATCTACTCAGGTAAGTCAAGTCAAGTTAAGAACCAGTCGCATGCCTCGCCTCATACCTCTTGCATGAATTGAGTTCTAACATCCATGACAATACAGCGAAGCCCACGTCCGCCGAATGGCAATAGTCGGAGAAGACCCAAAGAAATACATAAAGCAATACACCGACGAATTCGTGAAAACATTCGTCGACGGTCTCCGAACCCGCCACGGAGAAAAAGCAATCAACATAAATCACTTTTATCAGGAAATCGTCGCAGACAAAGAACACATCCACATGAACGCAACGGAGTTCTCATCCCTCAACCAATTTGCGCAATATCTAGGCAAAAATGGAATTTGTCGCGTCGAAGAAACAGAGAAGGGAATCTTTGTTTCGTGGGTTGATAATTCGCCTGAGACTATGCGAAAGAGGGAAGCTGTTCAGAAGAAGGAAAGGGAGGAGAAAAATGATGAACAAAGAGAACAGAAGATGATTTTGGAGCAGGTTGAGCGTGCGAGGAAAGCTGCGTTGGAGAGGGAGGGTAAGCAAGATGAGGACGCTGATGCGAAGTTACTTCAGCGGGAGGAGGGTGAGAAGATGAAATTGAATCTTGGGTTAGGGCCGAAGAAGGATTCGAAGAAGGATGGAGAATCTGCATCTGCGGATGCAAAGGATGTTGAGGCTTCAGGAGCAGACGTATCTGCATCTACGTCTACTTCTGCGCCTGCACCTGCTAAGATTTCAATGTCATTCGGTGGTGCGCAGAAACCTAAGAATGTTTTTTCGGCTGCGAAGAAGAATCCGTTGGCTGGGAAGAAGGGACCTATGCTGGTACAACCTAAGAAGATGACTGAGCAAGAAAGAATTATGAAGGCAGAGATGGAAGCTCAAGAACGAAAGAGATCTCATCCTGGCTCTGGGGCGAATCCGAAGCGACCCCGTTTCTCATGAGATGTTTTATGGATTCATGAACATGAACATATGGTCAAGCTTGATTATCATCTGGCTGAATGGAGTTGAAAATGTATTTTAGATTGGATTGAATTATACCCCATACTTCGTTTTTTGACAATGATTTTCATAATGCTGTAGCAATGTGCATGAAAAGATGTAGAATGTATCCATACAGACTTACACTGCAGAATCTCGCATTGAAGGTTTCTTGGCTTATGATCTGTCTCACCTTAACCCCGCATTCCATACGGTGATCACGTCCAACACCACCTTCAAGCTGAGATCAACTAGGTGCAATCCCACACAGTTGAAAAATGGAATCACCTCCATCTCCAGACATCAAAGAGATCTCCAAACTGGTCACTCTACCAAATGACCAACGCCTCTTCACTACAATCTCACAACCAAACACCACTACAGCCGAAACCCCAACAACCATCATAATCCCCGGAGTAGGATGCAGCATCACAGAATGGGTCGTCGTGCACCGTCTGCTCAAATCCAAAACCCCAATGTTATTATACGAAAGACCTGGTATCGGCACCTCAGATGAATCCCTCGAGCCAAGAACAGCAAAAACCATGGCTCGTGAACTAGACACTCTCCTCTCTACACTATCAATACCCCCACCATATATACTAGTCTGTCATTCATACGGCGGAATAATAGCACGAGAATACGTGGAGCTTCGCCATCTTTCAGGAGGCATCAATGATATAATCGGAATAGTCTTCGTCGACGCAAACCAAGAAGAAAGTATTCAGCTCTGGCCAGATTCGAATCTCGACATTCTCCAAAAGAACCAAGATTTCGCCTCTGTAATCGGCTTAACAGAAAACAATGCCCTATCTACTGAGGAATGGGAAGAGTTTCTGAATTCCCGCAAAGGAGAAAAATACGCACGCACAGCAGGAAGGGAAATGGAGAACTATATTTCTAGTGTTAGGGCTTTGGGGGAGTTGAAGCAGTTTGAACGTCTTCCGCGCCTATTGAAGAATTGCCCTATTAGTGTTATTCGGGCGTATCCAGAGATTGATCTGTGGAAGTCTTTTAGGGCCGGTGTTGAGGCGGGAAATGGGACTATGGAGCAGAGGAGGGCATTTGAGGAGAAGTTGGGTAGTTATCGGATTGTGCATGAGAGGATTCAGAGGGGTATTCTTAGGTTATCTGGGAAGAGTAAATTTGTTGATTTAAAGGGGTGTGGACATTTGGTTCCTATGATTAGGCCGGATGTTATTGTTGAGGAGGTGGAGTGGGTGCTTCGAAATTTGTGATTTTTACTTAAAGGTCTAGTTTTAGTTCGATTTATAATAGATTTTTTCCAAAAGTTTCAAGTTTCATTCACTGAATCATGATCCTAGCTATAACTCTCTATATCAATTTGTTCCTTCCATGCCGCTACACAGAGCGATCATTCAGCTGGTGCTGTTACTATTTTACTGATTACCAGCCTGATTACCAGCCTGATTACCAGCCTGACTTCTCGACTGACTGGCCGCAGGATATTCTCTAAACAGAACATCAAATTGCTCAGTCAATGGGGCATAAGCGGTATCAATTATATCAACACAAAATGGAACCATTGCTCTGATCCGATTCTTATAGCCCTGAAATATTTATTAGCACAGTCCTTGAAAGAAGTAGGCACTTTTAATTGAAGATGAATTACCTCTAGTTCAGTCTTATATTGTTGAATATACCCTCGCATCTTGGACTCATTTTCTCCATGTCCATTTACTTGGTAGAATTGGAGACCATCCGCCACATGAAGGTAACGTAGCTGCCCCTTCGCGAACTGTAATGGAAGGGTAAGTAGATAAGTTATTTAAGAAAGAGAGAATATAGTATAGAAGAGCTCAACATACCGTATCAAAAGCAACACAGATCTGTGTTTGCTCGCTCTGAGTAGCACTCACAGTACATTGAATATCATTATTGAGACGGGCGAGTAAAGTTCGGAAGTTCTTATAGACTTTCTGAATTGCAGGTGAGATTGATCTTAGCTTAATTTGAGATAAAGGAAGTATGAAATAGACAAGAAAATAGGTACTTACCCCCGAAGGATCGATATTGGAATCCGACCCATCGACATAGGACTGCATCTCATCGGCGAATTTCTCCTCTGCAGTTAGAGAAACTATGACCTGGTCTGTAGTACATGTGGTAGTGGCAGTAGTACCAGCACTATCACATATAACTGGAGTGGCTACGGCCAAAAGGTTTAGAGCTGTGAGGAGAAACTTCATGATTGCTTGAAGAAGTACGGATTTGGGGAGATAACGAGTTGTAAAGTTGATACTGAAGATTGGAAAATATAACTTTGATTAATTGCAATTTAAGGCTTATATATAGTGTTTAGCAAACATTTCCAAGGTTCATGGGTGTTTTCCAAGATATTCTCTGGTATGGAAATGTCTGTTGAGATCGCATCCAGCAAGGAAGCATTTTTAGGATCATCAGCGCATGTCGATAGACTTTCCATGATAATCTGGAGAAAGCCTTCCAAGGTGGAGCACCAAAAAAAAATACTCTATTCGTCCAGAGTCTGGATTCATCTATCGCTGTCCCTGTAAGAGTGGCGGGGTCAAAGAAATTTAAATTTGACCACAAAGCAGCGATTCCGGCCCTGATCATAACTCGCTTGACCGATGTGAATGTTGGGTTTATCCTGGCTAAAATTTAGAAAAAAGCGGCAGGTTGCATTTCCATCAATCAATATTACGATTAATCAACCTATTTAAGTTGATGTAGGTCACTATTATTCTTCGTAATTGATACAAACCATCTACCCCACTTTGTAGGAAGAGTGCAATATTTTATGCTGTGTTCAATTGTATGACTAAAGAATACCACAAGATGATGCTTCAAATCCTCGATCCAGGCCTTTTTCACCGCACAAGAACCCATGTGATCAATATTAATCCAATCAATGCCTGTCCAGCCGGAACTTCTGCTAAAATTTGAGATTCCGAAGTGTGATTAAGAGCATAAAATGATGTATGCAGGATCCGGTGGCTCCCAATGGATATTATAATGAGTAGGGCGGTCCAGTTGCTGTGAATTCAATGTCTGGCAATATCCACGCCATATTTAGTTTCTCGTTCGTGATGAAATAATTTACCAAGCGTTTGAAATTAACGAGCGCTCGTTGAGCAAAGACCCTCGGAAATGAAGGAACAGAAAGTTGGCAGCTCATGTGGGATGTGTGGCAAAACTCTCTGGACATAGCTTTCTGTTCTTATTTATTCTTTGAATAAAAAATTCGACGTACAATATCACAAAAATGATATTCAATCTGATGACACAACAGTTAAAGTATGGGAGACTGCCTTTCGGAGCCTGAAACACACTCTCGAGGGCCATAGCATGATGATATATGACATTGATTTCTCACTCGATGGTAATACTATCGCTTCATTGGTAACGATAAAACTGTACAACTCTGGAAAACCGAGACGGCACCCGCAAGCAAAACATTGTCTTCTTCCATGATGCCCCCGAAGACACTTTATACGACATCTTCACGAGTAATAAGTTCTCGCCAGATGGCATTAGCCTCGCTCTAGGAGCAGAGAATTGGGATACGACACAAATTTGGGATATCGAGAGTGGTAAACACATACTTGATATGCATGAACCCAGGGATGGATCGAATTCTCTTTGCCAGTACTCATTTACTGAAGACGGTAAAACCTTGGCCGCTCGCATGTATTCTGGCAATGTTCAGATCTGGGATGTGTCGAGTGGAAAATTCAAAAGAATTGTCGAGATCCCGGGTAGTGTGAGACACACGAGCCTCACCAGATGGCAAGAATCTAGCTTGCGTGCTTTGGCACAAAGATGTTGAGATTTGGGATGTTTTATCTAGGAATTTGAAACAAACTCTCGATATCAAGTTCGAGGGTAAGGAATTCTGTATTACGGACGATGGAAATCACCTGAGAACATGTCAAGGTTTTTACCCATTCGCTGATGGTATCTTGAGTGATGCCCCTGATCGAAAATTGACGAAGTCATCCATGTATTTTGATGAGTCGTGGTTGGTGCGAAATGGAAAAAAAATTGCTTTGGATGCCACCAAATTTCGACGTGTTTGTTTCCGCATCGCACGAAAATACCGCACTGGGAGAGCTGAACGGCGAGGTGGTCTTTGTGGGCTTCACTGACTTGTAGATATTATACTCAAAGGTCAAACAAGACCTTGACTCCATTAACAGATGGTGTTAAAAGAAAAAGAAAATTGCAATGCATGATGCCTACTATTCCCAGAGACTCTTTTTCTGTCAATTCATAAAGATAAATCTATGTGCTGTCTAAGTTTATATGTTGGTATCGGCGCACGAGGTGATAGTTCATGTCTTTGAAGCCACGAGAAAATAACAAAGAGATGTGAAAATACAGGATATCAAGTAATTATGTACAAGCTGAGGCCTTGTGTGATACCGGCTTCTATGAGATCATCTACCGGGCCAGATGGGGGGTTGGACTGGCCTCCTTTCCAGCGCTCGTCACCGGGGATGTGATATTGAGGATAACAGTTTCGTTGATAAACGGGGGTAGAGGAGTGTCCGGGTTGATAATGGTGCTGTTCCAGTATTTCTGAACACCCTCACAAAGCCCCCTCTTATGTTGCCACGCGAAGAATGCATGTTCCAGAGAACATGTAACATTCATCAATTCCTCCCAGTAGGGCTTCTCAATATCATAGCCAAATCTGCTGGTGACATGATCGGGTCCAGCCCATACGCGTCCCCATTCCCCATCTTCAATTTCAAGAAGGTCCAAAATGTCTGATCCAGCATTGAATTTTGGATTCGAAGCATGTACAAAGAACACACTCGGCGCTCTTGCAAGACCGCGATCTAACACCCGCCAAATTCCCTGACGTGTCAACTTGTAGTCTTCCCTTGGGTCGGCTTGTACCATAGCACCGAACATGTAATCGCCGGATTTAGCAAGGTATTTTGCATCTGCGATAGGTTCACTGACGGCGTAGAAATCCGCACCCAGAGCGGAGGCTGCCTGGACGAATGTCTCCTTGTCGCCTCCACTGCCATATGCTCCTTGACCAAGTAGTGCCCAGTAGTAATCCGGTCCCCAGTAGTTGTAGTAGACGCATAGAGCGAGGGTTTCGGCATGTTTTTGTTTGGACATCAGTACGATTCCGGACTCGGTGGATGCTCTTTCGAGCATTGAAGGCTCGGGTTGGCCACTGATGTTAAAGTAGAGGGGGCTGGCACTGTTCTGCCAGAAGTCAGGCCAGGTGACAAGGCCTGTTGATGTGAAGGGTTCGGCGTCTAAAAGGACTTCAGGGTCGTAAAGAGGGATGCAATCGGAATCCATCCAGATGAAGGTGTCGAATGAAGATAATATCATTGCGAATGGCTTGATTTGATACCCTTCGATCTTAACAGAGTCATCATCCTTCAGAAAATGGGCGTCTTCTAACATTTCCTGAAGGACAATACACTTCGCGTTGAGCGTTGGTAGGACGACCTCGCATATATACGGTTCGAATTCGTCCCAGTCGATGAGGAAAACTTCAACGGGCAATGTGCAGCCAGTTCGGCGGATCATGCGTAGTGATGAAATAAAAGTGGGCATGTAGTCTCCACCCGCAGACGAGACAATACCCCTGGTACCTGAGTGGTAAGGTAAGTCAGAGATTTCTTTGATCCCCGCGACGAAGTCCTCATGCGACTTTGTCAGAGGTTCTCGCATCTCGTCGGCATTCGAAATGTAATCGGGCCTTGGCCTTGGCTCCACGGGCTCATATCCAGTACCTCCGGCATCTTTTTGCAAATGCGGCCCTGAACAATCAGGTTTAACACTGTCGAGCCTCTGAAAAAGATCTCGTAGATAGGTGCTCTGCTGTTTGGCCAACGATGGTAAAATGGAAGATACGAGTTCAGGTGTTCCAGTCGCTAATCCGTCAATTCCGGATATCGTGTGAGTTGGCGCCAAGGCTGATGTTGACGTGGAAGCTCCCGGGCTGCTGCTAACAGAGCTGGATCGAAAGTGAACTGGCCATCGTTGTGAGAATAGATATGCGTTGACAAGCAAGATCACGGCCAGGGCGAACACTCCAGTTCGCCGCACCACGCGAGAACTCACGAATTGCTCCATGACCGAGTCATTGAAAGGAGTATTATGTTGGGCCCAGCTAACTTTTAAGATATTATTCCCCCCTCAGACCCTGGCCCCTCCGGGGCAGCCTTAGTGGGTCTAGGCACAATCATTCTCTTCCAATGAAGAGTCCATGCCGAGACTTTGCCTACGTATGCTATGGCGAGACCATAGACTCTAGTCTTCACTTCACCTGTCTATTAACTTTGATTGAAATTAAAATTGACAGTCCTTTATAGAGAAACAAGTGTCGATTGATCTCCCCCTCCACCATCCGATCAGCCGCATTAACGTTCCCGATGTTCGATACAGTTTTCAAAGAGCCTCAGCCTCAGCCAGAGCTTTTCCGAGCCCCACCGAACACGGGCTACCACGGGCTGAGTTTTAGACCCCAAATTCAGCCGTGACGCGTCGCGCTGGCGAAAAATCGTCAGCCACTGAAACCACCAAAATGGCTTGATTGCACCTTATTCCACGAACTATACAAAGCCAAATCTGAGGACGCACCATCACTGCGACCTTTACCTTTTCACCAGCCGGTTTTCAATGGCCAGAAAACAAATGAATGACTTTCAAATAGATATATGCAGCATGATTCCTCAATGACTCAAGTTATCTCCACCTGGTTTATTTTCTTGAAATAGTTTCGATTGGAGTTCACGGTCGCAAATGGGCACATACCATTACACTCAACGACCATCATCATCAGCGGCTAGATCTGACACTTTTATGGGATGTCAGGTCGCTCTGATCGATCTGAAACACCCACACATGGCGTCCGGGGAATAACTGGGCGGCAATCAATATAATAGGGGGCTCTTATTGGCTGTGTCCGCCCACGACCGCATGTCTAAGCCCCCCGGGAACCTACGAACTTAGGATAGAGGTGTGTTTGAGCCTCATAACGAATTATTATTTGTAGCGACTGGTATATGAGGCCTACAAATACAATTTTCGAGTTTGCTCTTCCGTCAATTAATATTGCAGAATCATTGCAAGGCCTCAAACAATGCGGCGACCCTTATATACTCACCAACCAAGAATCTATTCAAATCTCGGAATGAATAGATAGGGGATAATTAACGGCCACCTATGGTCCGAAGATCATGATGTTGAGTCAACATTGAAGGCGTGAACCCATGATGATCTTCCGCCTTTATGTCTCCTCCATATTGAACAAGGAGTCGTATCACCTCATGTATTTCCTTCACTGTGGGGCGAGGCCGTAACAACTTATCATTGCAGAGGAAAGCGACAGTTGTTACAGCCAAATGTAGAGGTGTGAATCCACGCCTGTCTCTGTGATGAACATCTGCCCCATGCTCCAATAGAATCCGTGTCATTTTCGGACATCCTCTAGTGGCAGCAAAAAACAATGGACTTCTCTTCTGGGAGTTTTCCAAGTTGACATTAGCACCGAGATGGAGCAAGGTCTCAACCATGACTGCGCTCCGATTTCTGTAATTCTGTGAGCTTATTGCCATGAAAAGAGGTGTTTCTTTATTTTTGTTTTCCCTGTTGACGTCGCAACCATGATCGTATAACCATTTAATAAGCTCGATAGACATAGAGTCAGCTTGATAGTGTAAAGCCGACCAACCTTCATGGTCTTGGATTTTGATATCAGCACCATGCTGTAAGAGAGTCTCCACGCGACTGTATGTACAGGTCGAATCAGATTCTAGCCTCACAAGAAGGAAAGGCGTACGGCCTTTATCATCCTTAGCATCGACATCGGCCCCATGCTGAATAACAAACGCAATGGCTTCGCTGGCATAGCTTTCCGGCGTACTTGCGGCATAATGCAGGGCTGTACAGCCACTATCCGCACCACCAGGACTTCGCAAATTGATATCGGCTCCATGTGTCAGTAACGCGGAAATTCTGTCTATGCCTAGATAAAAAGCGGCGATATGAAGAGGCGACATGTTCTCTCTATCGAAACAATCCACCTGAGCACCTGCGCCAAGAATGACGTCGAAAATGTCTTTCCGCACATAGTACTTCTCAGATGCAATATGTAGAGGCGCACCACTCTCGGGCTCACGGGCATTTATATCAGCACCCTTGCTGAGAAGAAAGCTAATGTACCGATCCGCTTTCCGGTAGATCGCGTCGATCAAGGGGGTTCTACCTCGTACCCCAGCAAGACCCACATCGGCTTTGTACTCGAGTAGTAGTTCCTGGATGGCAAAATTTTCTTTGAATGGACTGGCCCATTGTAATGGTAGATCACGGAACTCGTCGCGATGATTTGGATTTGCTCCGTGGTCCAAGAGTATCTTCGCAGTGCCTATGTGATTATTCCCCACGGCGCACATCAATGCTGTATAGAAAGGTGCGTTAAGGGTACGAGTATCTACTTCCACCCCGACCGACAACATTGTCCGAACGCCGACTTCATACCCATGATCTGCATAAGAAATAAAATGATCGTTCATAAACTTGAGGCTTCTCTTGCAAAGGTCCGAGAAGAGGAGATCATGGAGTGCGCGACTCGTACGGAAGAACCGATTTAGGTCGGGAGTGCATAGCCAGCCCGCGATTTCAAAAAGAATCTCTCGTGGCAGATCAAGGAGCGTCGAAGTTGTGAGTATCGACATGTCCAAGGTGTAAGTTGGTGGTGCGCAAAATGTGTCATGGTTCAGTTAGTAGTCTAGCCCTCAACCCCGCTATTTTTGGGGCGAATGCCAAGTTGGACAGGGGCGATCTCTATGGCTTCAGCAAATGTACCGGTCGCACACTCAGTAATTTTGTCTAGTAATCAACTATTAATAAACGAGCGAAATATCCATTCATCGTAAAACAATATGTAGGGGAAGGAATTGCGACTTAGTGCGTTCGTTGACGGAGGAGGTCGATGTGGAGCAAATAAGGCAGTGATCTGCATTGTCTTTCTTAACACCTTGAATATGACTACGTACGAGTCACGACAAATAAGCTCTGGGGATGGCCCGCATCTTTCATGATGTTTTTTATTGAGGCTATCCATTCCTCCTAGCAGTAAGTTGAATCAGACAAGAACACGTCAGTGCAAGTCTTGAAACCTTAACGTCTATTTTCGGAATCTTTTGTCAGGCGTCCTGCTATCTTGGCTAAATCTTGACACCTATAATAGAATTCTCATCACCCGACTTTGCTAAATATCAAAGATTACGTTGCCATGCATTGTGCTCAGACGGAGATATCATATGAGATGTGTTGATGATCGGGGAAATTTGCGGCCCCAAGCGCGCCGCTGATAAACACCATGCATTAACTAGAATACGCACAGACTTCTATACCTGGGCGCTAGAATAGTTAGCTTGGACGATGATGAAATCTTGTTTATTAACTCTGTTCCCCCAGTGAGCGGGGCCAAATCTTCAAGTGGAAAGTGGATACGCAACACCCTTAGTTCCACCCAAATACCTCGTCGAGGTTTTGAAGTAAGCAATCAAATCGAGTTTCGAGTTGATCGCCAGATGCGTGTCAGTAATAAACTATGATAACTAAATTGACCTGTGATGAGACAAGCTCACAGACGAAAAGTGGTCGGTCAAAGTGCTTTCGGCTTTGAACACAAAATAATGGTGTTGTTCAAGATGACGGACTCGGTTCAGCCCGGGGGCTAAATCGTGCCTTAGCCAGCCCCCAATCTTGTGGCTATTTAAAAGCAAGACGAATTCTTGATATTGATACTAGGCTGACACCCCAAGGGCACAGGAACTGAGAGAGCGCAAACAAGGCAACAAGCCGATAATAGCAATATGCCTATCCCAAAGTCCGCGGTCATTGTGCGCAGCACTGAAATTCTTCCTAAATTGAAGTTTTGCATTTCTAACGTGCCTTAGGTTGGTGGATCGGTCTCTGGTCTACTCCAGGGACTTCAGCTCAAACGCCAAGGGGTCGATGTGGTTTTGCTAGAACAGGATCCTTCAAGCGACCGTCACAGTCATGAGTCAGGTCTAGCCATAGGACCGGCCGTTCTCGAGATGCTAGAAAAATATGATGCGAAAGCAAGGCCAGCTACAATTCCAGCCCCAAATCTCAGCATTGCATGGCGACATAGGCCTCGGGTTCTTAATTACAACTGGAACCAAAGAATGACGAATTGGGCCTGTCTGTATTTGATTCTCCGTGCCAACTTTGACGGGAAGGTGTCCAAGACAATGCCAGAACCACCGGTGCCGAAGGACACGGATGGTACCGTGGAATATCGGGCGGGTAAGCGAGTCACAGGGGTTAAGTTCGTCGAAGAAAAAGATATTATGGCGGTGAATTACGTCGATGTCACGAGCGGAGAGCAAGACTCTGTAAGCGCGGACGTTGTTATTGGTGCGGATGGCGTACATTCCACGATTCGGAAGGTCATGCAGGTGCCGACACGAAAAGAATACTCTGGTTATATTGCATGGCGTGGAACTGTCCCAGAACGACTCCTATCACAGAAAACAGTAGAGGAATTTATGAATCGCCTCAGTATTTGTGTCATGAAAGGTACATACATGGTCAGGTATGGGAACTTCATCAAGACCTTTTTTCTCTACTTATGACATAGCCTAACTGTGAGCAGCTATCACATTCCATCGGAGACGGGTAACATTGAGCCTGGGAATCGCCTAGTAAACTGGGTCTGGTACTATATAGTCCCAGAAGGCTCCGAAGAAATGAACACAATTTTCACAGATGTCAATGGCAAGCTCCACCCCAATACAGTCCCACATGGAAAGATCAAGCCGGATATTTGGTTGCAGCATATGACGCGGCATATATCCCAGATGACGCCGCATCTAGCAGAAGTCGTGATGAAGACCGAACGACCCTTTGTCACGAAGGTTTGGGAAGCGGAAGCGGCGGCTTCCACATTTTATGATGGTCGACTAGTTCTTGTTGGTGATGCTTTCACGGGCTTCCGATCACATATGGGAATGGCATCGGAACAGGCCGCACGACATTGTACTCAGATGAATCGATTCTGGCATGGCGAGATCACTCATAAGCAGAGGGAGCGCGAAGCAAGAGCTTACTCTAAACGATTTCTGTTGCTGAATCGAGCTATTGGGTTCACTGGATTGGGGATGATATGGCAACTGTGTAAATTGAGCCTGGATTATATCGTGTTAACATTGAAAGACCGGCTTGGATTTCTTTAGATATAATAGTATTTGGGGTCCATACTGGGACAAAGGCTCGAGGGTTTGCTTTTTCCAACTTGATAGACCATTCGAACATTCCAATTTTTTTCTGGATTTCGAGACCCAACTGATCTCCAATATAACCATAATAAAACTCCATAACCCCGTGGCAAAGCCGCTAAGGCTGTACAGTCCTGTTATCTTAAGCCCAGAAAGCCCCCTTTGCGTTGCAATTGCCTCTAACATAACGCGGCGCCGGCGATAATCAGGTGCAGTTTTAGGAGAAACTACCCCCTCTAAATTTACACTCCGGATTATGAACTCTCGCCCATAGTGCCAGTGGTTATGCAAAGCAGGTTGACCGAGTTTGTTACAACCCTTTCAAACCTGTCATTTGGTATGATGGGGTTCCGTGGAGCTTTTGTTCAGGACGTGTCGTTGAAGCTGCTGTGTTATTGGTTGCATTTCCCTGTTGGTTTCTGCTCAACGGGAAATTCTAAAAGAAGCACATTCGGCTAAGCTCCAGGCTGCGCCCTATTCGGCTCGACGCAGAGTTTCTCAAGGGGGTATGCAATACAAGTTTTGAACTTGGCAGGCAGGGCGCCTTCAACAGCACGTACTAGCCGGATGCCCCAGTCTAGACACTACGGGTGGAGCTGCATTGCCCCAGAATGTCAGCATAGTGAGCAAGGATAACCAAAGCTAAAGGGTTTCTGAGTCGCAGCAAGCAGAGATGCTCCGGATCAATAAGATTGGGCCATATGAGAGGCTTGAGATTTGTCTTCAAATTGTGCTTCTGTGCATATCGTAGGATTTTCGGTGCATTGGAGTTGATGCCTTGGACACTGGATCCGTCGTCAGGAACATCAATCCACGTTTGTAATTCCCGGACTACTTGATCGGAGTCGAAAGCAGGAACATCGGGATCATGGTCATCGATAAGATCGAAATTTTTAGCCCACGTTTCCAAATTGTTATACTCAGTCCAGGGATTTGTTTGTTCATGAACAAGCTTGTTACCTTGGATGAGGACCAATATATGTACCATTACATCTAGAATAGTTTCCCCTTCTTTCTGATTCTGACCAAGCAAGGACATCGAGAGGGCGTATAGGGACATTAAAAAGGGGAATGCGTCAACTGCTTGTATATTTGTGGCGCTGATATTATTTGTTTCCGCTTAAAGGCGTGCGTTCGAATGGCTGCATCCACTTAAAATGAAGTGGTGGTGAATTTCTGAGAACAATGGTGACTTCGTTAACCCCAAATGAAGCGCCGAAAGCATTAGTATTATATGAAGGAGGAATTCATGATGTAAAACGACTTTAATAGCGTTGACCTGCCACAGCTCTTGAAATCGAGGGCTGACCCCTAATGTTTTAGCCACATTTAGGATCCAATGGTGCAAAAGTTCCACCTTCCAAATCTCCAAGGACTGGGTTGGTATATTTGCTTCGACATTCGCTGTCGCAACTCGTGATGGCTGTATCGAATGAAAAGGTAGGGGAAAAGACTTTTCAACAGAATTATGATAGGGTCCATCTCGTGGCACACGAGGTGCCAGCCGCGCCCCACTAGAAGGTTCCGGTGGCTTTCGAATGTAGGGTACGCCATATCTCTTACAATAGCCGCAGCTCGGCCTAGCCTCGTCGCATTTGACGTGTCGCTCCTTGCATCGCGTACAGCCTAGCTTGGATTTGAGATGCGCGCGTCTAGGATTCATGGCTCCAAGTTCTAAATATAGAGAACCCAAAGAAATGCGGAGCGCACCTTGCGAGTTACGAAGCCCACGTACCGGTATTCGGGATTGAGTCTCTCACGAAGGAATCAAGGTGGGCCAACGCGCAACAAATCCCTATTAAACAGACGGGTTCGGTTGTTTCCGACATCCCGATCTCTCGGGTAGGTAGATTTCCGCGCCGTCAGGGCATCATGGCAGCCAATTAGAACAGCTTCCGGGACACGACATAGGACGTCGGCAACCAATGTGGAGACAGTATTTTATGTATAATTATCTCCATTCTTAGGTGCACCAGCGATGAAAGAAATCATTTTGTTATTTCGTCTTTGATTCGTGGACACGTGTTAGACGTGTGTGTCTAGATTTTCCCCTGGTGGATACCCGGGCTATTTTTTCAGCAGATGAATAACCACTACTTTCTGCAAAGGTTCTAAAATAGAATATGGAGATTTCCGATTTCGCCGTTCAATTGAGTCCCATGGCAATTGTGATGAATTGTAGTACTGCTTGGAAAAAGTGAAAATGTTGGAAAATTCAACAAAACTACCATATAAATTTTGGAGTCGAGCCAAATTTCATTTTCATCTGTGCGTTTCCGAAAAGAGCAAGAGTTCAACTCATTCGCCAGACAATCATTGAGACAGCAGGTTTTCGTAGATAATGGTATTTCTCCCAGAGGCTTCGATGCAATCCATTGATGATCGCTAAAAAGAATTACTGGAAATGTATTGAACGGGGGAATACGTGGAAGTCCGACTGACTAGTTCAAGTTCGCACTAGTGTGTTATCATTATGTTTCTCTTGTCTACTTGAACTTGGAGTAAAACATTTGATCCCACATTAAAATATTAAGAAGTTGCACTGATTTGCTATAAAAGCATTTCACATCCCATTTCTTTTGAACTTAATTTCATTTCGATTTCCTTTCTATTTTTCTTTGCAATTGTCTTCTCTGTTCCCGATAATTGTTATAATTGAGAAATATCGCATGAGCTCATCTTAATGTCCTTACATCTAGCACCCCTCTCTTTCATGCTCCGCGCTGTTCATATTCTTGAAAGAGTCAATTTGTCATTCATCTGAAGCCTGTGATCCATTCCCGGGGATTCCAATAGTCCTGGTCATTCTCCACTTCACCAGCCGATACCCTCAACCCTCGAAGACTCGTATGTGATGGCATCTTCATCCGAGAACCTATACACGTACTACGTGCCATCCAAAGCAGCAGCTATTGTCGTCGCAATTATATTCATTATTTTGACAGCGCTACATCTATGGAGAATCTTTGCAACGCGAAAATGGTTTGGATTTGCCCTGGTGACTGGTGGCTTTTGTATGTGGAATATTCCCGATAAGAACCAAGATATAGCTAACGTGGTCATCTCCAGTTGAAATTATCGGTCTTCTGGCTAGATTCTACTCCTCAAGTCATCTCTCCGAGAAGGGGCCCTACATTGTTCAGATCCTTCTCATCCTCCTCGCGCCAATTCTATTCGCAGCTGGAATTTACATGTTCCTCGGTCGTTTGATTCGTGGATCGGGCCATCCAAAGCTATCGTTCATTCGAATCAATTGGCTCACAAAGATCTTTGTCATTGGCGATATCCTCTGCTTTTTCATTCAAGCAGCTGGAGCCGGCAAATTAGTGAATGCAGACACTTCAGACTCAGTCGATACCGCACAGAATATCATATTGGTCGGCCTCGCTCTTCAGGTCGTATTCTTCTGCGTTTTTGCTATCTGTGCCGTCGTGTTCCATATTAGAGCTCACCGGAACCACATTTTCAAGTTAATTGATCCAAGCCTCCGGCTAGAACTTATGCTCTACCTTTTATACCTTTGCAGTCTGCTGGTCACCGTCCGAAACATCTATCGATTCATTGAATATAAGAGCGGGACCACAGGATATCTACAGGAGCATGAATGGCCGCAGTATGGCCTCGACGTGGGCTTGATGGGAGTGATTATGGTTGTTACGGTGCTATGGTACTCTGCGAATACTACAAGCGTAGTGTCTAACAACCAATACCCATTGGTGGGAGTCAGTGAGTTCCAGTAGGATCTGACAACGGTTTCGCGTTTCAACATGTCTCAACCTTGATATTAGTATCTCCGTCAAAGTTATACTTAATAGTATTCCGAAACTACTGTCTAATATTGTCGAGATAATAGGTTTTCACTTACTCAGTAGTAATAGAAGTCGATATTTTTATATTTCTTGTTATAGAAGAGGAGAGGAAAGTATTAAGTTAAGAAATAAAACTGCAGTAAGCTTTAAGCAAGTCGATAGTATAGTAATAAGTTTCAACTTTCTCTATAATTTGGAGTTCCCGATCTAGATGTAGATTATGACACTCTTCTTGGTGAGGTTTATTAATATTAGTAACCAAATATCCTAGCTTAATAATGGACTGCAGCAAAAACATCTCTAGAAGAAGGATACTAATAAGTATTTTAGTTTTGTCTAGAGAAGTCCACACGGGGAATAGTAGAACACGACAGACTAGGGTAGTATAGTAACAAGATAAATACCCTATAGTATAGGATCGGAAGCTCTGAAACCAGACAATCCTGTGACTAGACTAGATAGAATCTTACGAGTCCTTGATCTCCTTCGCTTCAACCGTCAAGGCCAGGATTTATAGGTGAAGCGCTTCTTCTACACATATGCTGATCGGTGGGCACGACTCTCTCTTACAATGGATTCTCGGATTCTACAAATTGTATGATATTTATTGCAAAATGGATTTTCGGTTGATCCTAACTTGGGAGCGAATGTGATTGCAGTCAAGCAAAAAGGTCACAAATCAACATAATAGAGAGATCAGGACACAATACTCATTGGGGTCGGACAGATCAGCACTTTCCGAGGGCAGCTAGAAAGATCTGGTCAGCATATATCATTCTCAAGAATTCTTTCAACATACCGGCAGAGCACGCGCTGCTGGTGTAGTAACCATTTACATAGCAGACGCCACCACCCTCAAGCGGTACCTGATCCCAGGTGCTAAACAATAATCAGTAACGCCTAAAATATTTCTAGTAAGTTGGGATCAACCTACCAGTTGTTTTCGTAGCAGCTGCCAGATTTGTAACACTTGAATGTATATGTGCTGCCAGTGGCGACATAGCCAGCAATCGAGTATGAAGTGCCAGGCCCGCTGCGGCAATTCACCTGGGCGGAACTGCTGTTGATAATTTTACACGAGACGCTGGAGCGCTTGCTCAGCTCTTCAAGGCTGGCAGAGCGGCGCACAGCCTCAGTCTCAGCTTGAACCTCCTTCACTGGAATGGCCTGAGCAAATTCAAGAGCATTCTCAGCAGCAGGGGCAGCGAGGGCAACGAGAGGCAGAAGAGCTGCGACAAGGGTGGCTTGGAACTTCATGATGAAAGGATTGGGTTGGATAATAAACTATTGATGAATTGAAAGAATAGTAGAATGGTGTTATTGTAGAGGAAAACATAGCCGTATTTATAGTTCAAAAACTCTTGAAAGATCACTGAACGGCCATAGTCCTTGGGTAACATCTCGGAAAGGAAACCGCCGACAAGGATCACGAGCCCTTCAGCCCTCGTTACCAAAAGATATGGATGTTCTGGTGAATATTAGCCGGTTAGAAGTAAGGCGATGATACCCATCCACTTGTATCACGGGGTAATAGCTTAACGAGGAAAAGCGCCTCGTATAGAAGCGGAGTGCAGGACCCTGCAGGTTAATATTCATGTATGTGGAGGCTGTTTTTAGCTAGTGAACCCGTCTTGGCATCAGCCTCTTATGGCACGGGGCGATTTCTTGCTAAAAGGAATGCTGGGCTGCTTGTAATCCAGGGACCTCGTTACATGCCTATTGTTTGTGGTGCCTGGTAGTATCCAAGAATTAGGTCCAAGCCACAGTGTCCTACTTACTGACTCTAGGAATTCTTGAATCAACAGCAGTCCGATTGTACTCCCAGGATATTTAGAATCCAATACTCTATTTCAACTACGCAGAAAACCAATTCATCAGTATTTTGATTCTCTTTCAACAATTTGAAATACTATCATTCGAAGAAACATTAGGGGAACGTCAAGAAACTGCTTGGTATAGCTGAACCCCAGCCTGGATTAAGAGACTAAAAAATCTGTGCCAAGACACTACTAATGCGCATCGTACTTATACGAAGTCGGGACAGAGCCACAGAGTTACATCGGGGAAGACAAACAGATGTTCGGCAAAGTTGAGAGACTCATTGTTGACCAGTAGGATTGAACAAATCACCGCTCATGTGAAATCGGACCATGACCATTGGCGACATATCTTGGCGGTTTGTCCGTAGTTCAAGATAAATACGAGATGCCTATATCTTATAACTAAGCACTAACCATAATTCAAATCAGCCACAGTGAATTTGTTTCTTTAAACCGAAGAGTTAGATTAAATCAATGAGAAATATCAGCTTTCTCCGCGGATTTCAAGAAATCTACAAGAATACTACCCGAATTATTTTGGTTCCGGCATTGTGTCATTAGCTAATACGTACGACACAGGTTCATTAGTCCAATAGAGAAGATAGCATATACGAACTAGTAGTGAATATGGACACTATTAGAATATAGTTCGTATTTTGCTTGGTGAACTTATATAGAGACAGGTTATACACGACCTATTGGGCGTTTTCGGCATTATATATTATTTTTAAACAGCAATAGTACCTCTCTATTCAGCATTATTCCCTAAAGAGCAAATTCTAGCTTGTTGGCTTACCTAGATCTCAGCAGAAGACTTGATCACTTATTCTAGAGGCGGGTCTTCGTCTTATTCAGAATACAAGTTGCAGATAACTAAAGACTTTGTACTATAGGCCATCAACCCCCTGAAGCCCAAAGAACCCTATCTGACAATATATTTACATTACTACTCACATCAACTAGGCTTCATTACTACTTAACTAACATAATTTCCTTAAAACTTATAGATAGCAGTCAAATAAGCGTTTGGGGCCTAGAAGGGTACTATAATTGACCACTTAACTACTTATATTTATATATAGTCACTCACCAAGCACTACTATTAATTACTCAAGTAACCGGCTTATAGCTTCAAGTTACTTATATATACACAGGTAAGTATCGGATCTAATTCTGGTACTACTAGCAGTGCAGCATCTACCACTAGCATCAAGGCCAGTATAGCCAGCAAGAAGCCTATAAAAAAAAGTAATTCTAGATAAGAAGCAAAGACTTGACATTTAATTGATTTCTCCCTTACCATCCAATTCAAAGTAGAAAGAAAGACACCTCTTGACCGACTAGGACCGCTCTTTTCACTCTTTACCTTGTCTAGATACTACTCTACATGCTCTACATATCTACTCATACTACATATACATAGTATATATAGACTTTCATAGAAACCTTACCGATCTTACCTACTCCTTTCCCGAACACCGCATTGCAATGCGTGAGTCCTCTGGCAATAGTTGTAGCTATCTGGACGCCTTTCTAGTCTGGATCCGTTATTCGGGAGGAGCTTGCGAAAAGGGGTATCTTATTTGCCTACTCCCAACGATCTACCACAGCAGATTGTCGTCTCTTCTACTCCTTTCACTTCGGTCGTCTGTGCATCTTCCAAATGGACCTGTACTACCATCCAATCGCACAGGAACTTCCCAAGCCCCACGCCAATTGTTGCAAGACATGGAGTCTCTGGGGATCTGGAATCGAAGTCGAGTTGAACGGCAAGAACGAATCATAACAAACCAAAGAAAAAATTAAAAACATACAACAGTCAGGATTCGCATGTGGTCACCCACCATACTACTAACTGACCGGCGTGTGGCTTAAGTACGGCTGAGCGGACGGGAAGCCCTGTTCTCCACACCCTGTGGTCGTATGTACCAGACAGATTATACAGCTAAGTCATATAGAAGAAGTATTTTCCGAGTTCATTGGGTTTATTGTCGAGTGAGAAATGGGTGATAGCCGCTTCAGCGTCGCGCGATTCGGGGTGAAAAGGGTGAGTGCGCAATAGATAGGGTGAGAACCGGGTGAGAACCAGGTGAGAATCCTGCGGGACAGGTGTGTTTGTATAGTTTGAACTACTCTCGGATATAGATCACTGAGATGATTGGTCTGGAGAGTAAGTATCCACGTATATATACATAGCAGAGCCTCTCTCTCTCCTTCTATTCTTCAACATTGTTATTTGTTGTTCTTCGTACCTTTCTCTATTCTGGTAGATTGTAGATACCTTATTATATAATAACAATATTCTCTTCTTTTTAACTTGTCCTGTCTAGACCTGTGCAATGACATGCCCAAAGGTGCTTATGAATGGGCGGGTTTGCTAATGGGCATGTCCGTGGGTCTGCACAGGTCTAATATCTATTATATTTATAGCCTAAGTTAGGGACTTAGACCTACGCTAGACTAGAGCTCTTAGCCTAGAGCCTAGCACTAGGTTAGAGTCCTAGGCCTAGAACCTAACCCAGCCCGGGTTTAGTTAGGCTTTATGAAAGACTATCTGGGGTTGGTGACTACAATTAGTAGGGTGTGATCTAATATTAACCATTTAAGAATATAACTTCTAGCACTTCAAGAAATACTCTTAAATGAGATAGTAATACGCTAACCCTCCTGATATGCAGGTAAATCTATCGCTTTATATGGGAGGGGTGGTATAGCAACATTGTCTGCAACAAATACGAAAACCCTATCTGAGCATGTCTTATTGATAACAGATAACCGATTAGCTTGGCGGCGGAAGCGCTAGTACCGCCTACGATAAGTCGGCCATTGCCTTTCTCAAAGGAACTAAAGTCGATACTATATAATTAAGCTTTGATTAGACTGGTTTTACCAATTAGGAATATTAGTTGAGTGCAATTTGATTAAGCGAATGTAATTATTTAGTCGACATCATCGCCGCGTGAACTAGTTAAAGTAGGACGGAAACGTCTCCCTAGCGTCGAAGAAAAGCTCCTCCCTTGTACTTATTCTACACTTCAACAGGAAACACACATAATGCGGTATGCAAACATAGAGTTTATCCACAAGCTGGTCGCGAGGGAGTAAGAAAAGTATCAAAAATGAGCTTAGCAAAAGCCAAACGCAAATCCCGCCGATCTAAATCGGGATTTGCTGATAAGGAATAATTCACCGCATTCAAGATAATACTCACCTCGAGCAAAATAATCCACCAGCCTTTAGCCGCTCCGTCTTAGGGTGAATTTAATTAGGAGGGATATGCAACTGAAGCGCAAAAAAAAGTTCCTTGCTAGCAAAAAAACCTCCAAGAACCCCAGGATTGATGTTCCTCCCCAGTATAGATAATTCCACTTGAATATAGAGCAAATTATAATTGGAGAGCTGGGCGAACCAAGCGTATCATTTGTATTACGCAACAAACTAAAAAAAATTGGATAGATACTGAACCCCAGTTATGAATGCTGCCTTTGATTACGCACTTTTTTTTAGGTGATTTTCACGTTATCTCGGGAAAGGAGGCTGATTCGGCCGACAAGGTTGAGTTCAAGCCTTAGATTGATGAATTCGATAAATGGCATATCTAGCAATAACAGTTAGAAGATAGACCGGTATTTATTCTATCCATTGAATTGCTAAAATGTGTTTATAAAATGTTTCTTATCGAGTCATGCAATTTAACCCGAGGGTGACGTTTCTTGGTTCCATCGTCCGGGACAATCGAACAGCATCGAACATCGCCTCTAAAACGCTTTTAGTGTAATTATCATGATAAGGGAAGTTTAGTATCCTATAATTGACCAATTAGGACCCATCAGTTCCTATCCTGGCCACACAAATTGCACACCTTCGTTTATGAGTGGAGGCCAAGTCTACAAATCTTCCTGAAAGTGAGGTGTAATTCGTGTATAAATAGGGCATCTTACCCCCATGCAAAACAGATGTGACGGAATAACTTGAGTCTCCCCTCAGATAGTATACACTGCGCATATCCGGTATTTTCTGAATAAGAGATCATGTTTACATCTCTATTATCTCTTCTTTTGTTCGGCGCATATGTTGTTGCTGCGCCGCATTCAGTTACTGAATCCAGAGAAGTCAATGGCAGTGGATTTTATTCTCACATAGATTCTGAGAGGTTTGTTGTCGCTGCTATCAAAGCAGAACCGTAGTGAGTCACGAATATATGCTCCCTGAATATATTCAAATACTAGTTCTATTCACAGTGAAAATTCGGAGGAAGGGCCTTTTCAAAGTAACTGGGATATTGCCTATTCTACGGAGAAGGCCGTGAGAATTATCAAAAAGGCAGCCAACGATGGCTTTAACCTCTTAACCTTCCCATAAGTTTGGTTCCCGGGGTAAGAATCCTTTTCAATTCATGCGCCTATTCCCTTTTTCTATCTTAGGATTCTACGGGTTAGGGCCCGGCTTAGTATAAGTCGGATAATTTCTCTGTCTGTCTTCTCGATTCCCCTTTTCCTGTATTTCCCTTGCAGCTTTGTATACGAATTGATTCTTTGATGATCGACTTCGGATCGTGATATTTGGATCGCGACCAATATCAACCTGTCAACCTCCATTATTGTCGATATCATCAGAATTGACCATCGAGCATGTGAACTTTCTTTGTGATGAAGACGTTGATCACTCTTACCCTCTACGTGTAAGTGGTTTTATATTTATTCCCCATGAATATCTTTAAATATCTCACGACCCTTCACTATGGAACTGGGCACCGGATCCACTCCTCGTGATGATCCTTCCTTGAAGGACGGCCCAATCCAAACGCCCCTGCAGGCGATCATGCAGCCGACTATGAGACTGAGATTGCATCAATATTTACTTGGAGATCAGCTACTCCGTGAAGGCCATAGCGACCGTGACACTACGGTCGAACCTATGAACCTTAATACCCAGAATCTGCCTCCTGACGACGACCAAACGATCGGCAGAAATGATGCAGATCGTACTCAGCGAGACCAACATTCACCCGCTCCGCTAAATATGGAAGCGAGAAAATTGGAAGACCACAGAGAATTCCTGGACTATGCTTCCGACGTCAACCATCCACGCGAAGATGTCCGTATCAAAATTGAATTGACCGAAATAAGAAACTACCGCGTTTGAAAGCAATTCATCGAGGCTGTCCTTGAAGAAAGAGCCCTCGACGACTTCATCCTTGCCCTTTTCCCAGAGCCTCCAGCCAGAGAGAAGCAATATCGAAGAATATGGAAATGGCTGAAACTTCTTAAGGCGAGAATTTTGATGGAAAATATATTCAAATCAATCCAATCCGATATTAGCCATTTGTCAGAGTTCCCAGGCTCAATTTGGGCTTATCTTGATCAACGATATAAGAACCCTCTATTTTCAAATGCCACGTTATCTGCCGAACAGAATAAGGGAACGTGGTATTCCAAGTGCAATTCTCTCTCAGATTATATCAGAAAAAACCGAGAGATATTGGCTTGACATGTGGCTTGGATAACCCCAGGATTCCCCCTACGAATACCTCCGATCTCTAAACCTAGTAGCAGGGCTAGATACCTCAGAATGGGAGGGGTGGTAGAAGCCTTTCAATGCCGCAGTTGCACATAGCAAGGACGGTGGATTATAACGATTATGGCGTATATCTCACGACTTAGCGAGATATTCCTCAGCCCATATCGAGCCAAAATAGCACTGTTCCGGGCGCAATCCTAGCGGTGCTGCCGCTAGCACAGCAAGGCCCCGGATTCCCACCCAGCCTCAGCCAAAGCTATCAAAGCATTCCAATCACACGTCGGCACCCTACTATACTATATGAATGTATGTCGACCAATCTTAGTATTTGCTACTAGTATCCTCGCAAGGTTCCTCATCAATCTAAGCGACATCTAATTTGCCGAACTTTACCGTACGATTTGTTATATCGGAGACTATGGAGAATTCTTCTTTGAATATCGCTGTGATACAGCGGTGACGGTATTATCTTCTGAAGCCTCAATAGACTCTTAAATTCCTCCTAAATCTTGAGCTAAAGATTGAGAGTGCTTCTAAAATTTAAGGTTAACGAAATCTTATATGCCCACCTTGATGATTTTTACGTTGGCGGTCCTGATACATGTAGAAGCTGTATATCTTGTTTCCGCCAAACATTGCGACTCGGAATTCCGACATGTCGAGGGGGTTCCGAGCCCTGGAGTCTTCTCAAGTTATCAAGGTACCAAGACAAGATCGCTAGATAACTCAATTAAGACGGACATGAACTTGAAGCTAGCATTTCAGAAAAACATTGATATGACAATTATGTGTTGGTCTCCGCAACAAATCACCTTGCCGCGGAGAATCCGCCGAAGTGGAGACATTGATCTACGGGCGACGATAGCGGTACATTACATTGGCCGCCGAGGGCCTCGTCGCCCGTAGTTGATCAGACCCCGATATGGAAAAAGTTCCGACCAGTCCAATCAACGCTTGGATGTCCTCGCCAAGGTCGCTTCTACCCCAGTTTGACATGGTTTATACGACCCCGCCATAAAATTTGAAGAGTCATCCTCGTGTGCCAGCCACGAAGTTTTTACAAGTCGGCGACCATATAATTTACATCGATACTAGAGATCGCGTTATCTCAATCAGCGCCAGGACCTCGCGACAAAACCGCTGGCGCCTTGTTTCGTGGTATTTGAGTTGCGAGGATTCTCTTCGGATTCGTTTGTTAAATATGGAGTTGCCCACTATGCCCGGCACGGTTGAAGAGCAAAGAAATGTATCGGGATCAAGAAGCTCGATCATGGAGCCTCTCAGCCATGAGAATGAAGATTTCGACGACGCAAATGACGCCTCGGTTGCTTATAGCTACCCAGAGGGAGGATCTAGAGCATGGATCGTTGTCGGCGGTGCATGTATGACTCTAGCATGTACATTCGGAATGATGAGTACAGTGGGAGTGTTGCAAACCTACTGGGAGAAAAATCAATTAAAAGGATATTCATCTACGACAGTCGGGTGGATTCCATCATTGTTTGTCTTTTTCAACCTGATGCTTGGTGTTCAAGTTGGCCCATTATTCGATCGCTACGGCCCTCGATTGATGATGCTGATTGGCTCTATCTCATATACTCTGTCCATGTTTTTATTGGGTAGTTGCACCGAGTATTACCAATTTATGCTGTGTTTCAGTATCCTGGGTGGAATGAGCAGTGCGTTTATCTCAACGCCGACAATGGCGTCTCTTTCGCACTGGTTTCATCGGCGGAGGGGTACCGCGACTGGTATCGCTATGGCCGGATCTAGTGTTGGCGGAACGGCATTTCCCATTATTCTCAAATTTTCATTAGAGAAACTTGGCTGGGGATGGTCGCTCAGGTTGATGGGATTTATCTTTTTGTCTCTACTTACTATTGGCAACCTTTGCATAAAAGGGAGATTGCCAACTGCTTCACAGAAAACCACTTTTGATTTCAAGTGCTTTAACGATGCGAGATTTCTTTGGATTACTATTGGCGCTTTCTGTGAGTCTTGAGTCGTATCAGTTGCGCAAAGGCTCAGCATAACCTGACCTTTTGCAGTTACCGAAATTGTTCTGTTCGCATCGCTAGGCTTGATTCCGTCATATGCCCTTGCTCAAGGATTTGGATCGCAAACCGGCTTCTACTGTCTTGCGATTTTCAACGTGTAAGTAGCAATATGCACAAGTTCACAAGCTATAGCTCTATCTTCTAACAAACCGGCGCTTGAATAGCGGGTCCGGGTTCGGTCGTTGGCTATCTGGCCTGGGGTCAGATCATTACGGTCGATTCAATACCCTTTCAGTCGTGATGACCGTTACCACTATATTCATCTTCATACTATGGTATCCATTCGGTCGCTACATTGGAGTATTTTATCCATTTGTAGCTACTCTCGGATTCGGTACTGGGACAATTCTCAGTCTCACCCCCGTTTGTGTTGGGCAGATATGCAAGACGGATGACTTTGGGCAATGGTACGGAACATGCTACTTTATTGCAAGTTTTGGGTGAGTAAAAGTTTCATTTGAAGGAGATAGGGCTTCTTTAACACCAAGTACTAGGACTCTTGTTGGCATTCCCGTTGGTGCACAGTTACTTGAAGTAGCGGGTCCATCACGATTGGTGGCCTGCCTTGGCGGGTTCCTCGGCCTCGCCGTCCTTTCATTTGCCATGGCACGATGGTCATCTTTGGACTATCATTGGAAATGGGTTATCAAAGTATGAGTATGAGACTTGAAGGGAAGCAGAATTGGCCTTCCTTCCCTTCAAAATTTGTCCGTGGAGTGAAGAAAATTGCAATAAGAAAACATATTCAAATATCAAAGAGGCTTTTTACATAAATCACCGAGTATTTTCAACCTAACATCTGCGATACCGTAACTGATTGAGATAGAATACCCCGTTAGCAATGCCATCTCAAAGTTTCAGAGGATGATGCTCACTGGTATTTGCGGTCAATATAGCCTTTCCGTGCAATGACCTGCCTTGCATCTTTCGTAAAAACGCTTCTCATGCGGCCGATTACTACTTCCTGCGAATTCAGCAGCTTCCAATTCAACTCCATGCCATTTTTTGATCCCGTACGCGACTCTTTCCGCATACGACCCATCCAGAATAAGACTGCTGAGCCAGTCACAGCGCTTACATCTCTGATGAAAGAGTCTTGCGTTGTAGGGGCTTTCAACTTCACACATGCCAGTATGCATAGAAATTTTCTTGCTGGGCTATCCGTGGGATTTGCAAGACTTATGGGGGCAAATGAACCTGCCTATGACGCTTGTGCTATATTCGTGGGTTAGTTCGTGGTCTTCAGTTGGGTTGAATTGAATACCAATGCTCTAAATCTCCAGCAGGTTTATCACATCGTCGTGTGATAAGGGATACATTGAGCATGTCTTCCTGGACTTCCGAGCTTTGGAAGGCATTGTAGCGGGGATAATAGAAGCGGCTGATTAGTTTGTGTTTCTATCTGGCCCTAAGCGCTCTGGATATATGATATAAGTATATTGGTGAAGAAAAACGTCTCTTTGAAATAGAAAGGCGAGGGCTTGGTATATCGAGTCATGATAAAGAGCAAGACGAGAATGGAGGTTGGAAATGAAGACCAGGCATATATACCACATAATTAGGCTGACGTAATTATAATACGGTGACTAGCAAATGGGAATGAAGAAAAGGCCAGCAGCAATAAGTTTCCTGTTGAAATGTTTGAGAGGTTGATTCTGTATACTTCTTTGATGAAGTAGGATCGGGGTTGTGCCGATCGCATTAGCTGACCTATACTACGCCGTGCACGTGGGAAACAAGGCTAAATCTCTTTCCAGATGGTCGTCATGAATCAAGTCTGTAACTAGTTTTACAAATGAAATAAGAAAACAGTTCAGACGCGATCTGTATTCACTGACACTTGGTGAGAATCCTGGAGTGGCCAGCTATTATTGAACTGCTTTCCGTATCACGGTCGGACTTTTCCTTTCTTGAAGCGATGCCAGCCCAATGAGATAAAAAAATATCAAAGCAAACGCTAGTTCTTTGAAAATATCCAGCAATTTTTCAACCTAAGCTTTCCCTATCGGGATATTCTGTTGTGACAACTTGTGAGTACACGCCGTACCTGAGGACTAAAAAGTGGACCCACGATGGTGTCACCAGGAAAATCCGGCTTGATCCACACTGTCGGGTCCAAATCGAATGTTGCACCACAGAAATCCAGACTGAGGGGTGATTCAACAATTTTGGTGGGGTGGTGTCTTAGAATGGCCGCTATTAAAACGTGTGATAACGCCGGCGAATGTGTATCTGATCGAATTTCGCCGCACGGAAGTTGAAGTCTCCCCAGCCCCCGACAAACAAAGTCACTCCCCTCAGCCTGAGGCCAACAAAACATCGCCAGAAAAACAACTCGGGGATTAATCCGTCACGCGACGAAAATGGCAGAGAACCGTACCACAGTCTCGGTTCCTAACTCGGAGCAGTTCTATCTGGATAGTGAACAAGGAAAGAAATACCTGATTCAAATATCCTGGCCTCTGCATTGGCTCGATAGCAATGATGAGCAAGGGTCCGCGCCAATCATGTAAGGTCTCCGGGTTCTGAAAACCGAGCCAGTTGGAATACTAACCCAATACAGATACACAGTGGATGGAAATGCTTTGTTTCTTACAGCAACCGAATCCGCATGGCGCCTGGGCGTGACGTCCGAGAATACCTTCACAGGCATCATTGTTGCCATCGGGTATCCAGTGGACCGAAAGTTATTTGATTCAGAACGACGTAACCCCGACCTGACACCTGCCACAGGCGACCCAAATTCCGGTTTCGGAGAGGCGGACATCTTTCTAGACTTCATTGAAAATTCTGTTCGGCCCGCAGTCAAGGCTCGCTTCCCAAAGGTTTCAGTCTCACGCGAGGCACTTTTCGGGCATTCATATGGCGGACTGTTTACTCTTCACGCGCTATTTAAGCGCCCTTACTTGTTTAATTTTTTCTTTGCAAGCAGCCCATCGATCTGGTGGAGTGACAAATACATACTCAGTGAGGCCGAGGGCTTTGTTAAGGCGGATCAATCTTCGAATGGAGAATCGCCAGCTGTGGCTGTTGCTTGGGGAGAATTTGAACAAGATCCACCACAACGACCAAACGAAACGCCCGAACAGTATGAGAAAAGGAAGGCATTCTGGAAAGACATCTATATGGTGGATAATGCTAAATATCTTTGCGACATGCTGAGAGAATCTGAGCGGCTGCACGACCTAGATCAGACCCAATTTGATGGAGAAGATCACACAACGGTCATGGCGGCTTCAGTCACTCGAGCGTTGAATTTGTTCTTCCAAAATTGGCCTCTGCCAAGATAGACATCCCATTGACCATCAGCAATGGCGCTTGGGATATTCTATGCTAGACCTTTTACATTGCCCATGGCATTGGCCCCTCTCTTCTCAAGCCCGATTCCAGCAAAGGTCGCATCGAGTGCCATGTACGCGTTATATGTGAAACATACAGTATATGCAAATTGGACACCGTATCGGCCTTCGTAAACGTTATCCGGGTCTGCTTCCTGGGTATTTATCACTGCCTTTCGAAGGAGCTGCTTCTTTTACACAAAAGATTTCAACTCGGGGTGCTGTTACCACAATACAATGCATGTTTTAACAAGCATGGGGGAAGATGATTGAATTTCTACCGATGCTGGGCACTTTCTTGAAGTCGAAAGATTTACACTGGCAAGTTTAAAGTGAGTAAGTGCTTCTCGTGGCAACAACACAATGGGTTGCTGTTTGATAAGATATGACATCTCTTTGTGATAAAGCCTCACCAGATGTAGCCTGTGTTTCCCCTTCCTGCCTCTACTCTCTCTTTTACTCTCGTAGATAGATGAAGAACCTTTATGTTTAAAACCTGTTACGTCTGTAAGGCTCCATGGTATTAATTCCTGGAGCAAACCTGGAATTTACTAAGCTTTAGTTGGTACGTCAACAACATGAATATTTTATCGTTATTGCTTCTTTTGGTTCAGATTACTAGTACAGATCATTTATTTCCTCAGCAATATATATGATCATGATATGATATAAATTGTGGCATTCTTATGTGCTTATATTCCGATATCGTTATATCAGATATAGAATGAAATGATACTAATTGGAGTCACTCGAAGGGAAATATCCGGGACTGAGGTGAAGAAATTGAAAGTGAGAGAACTTGAAGTATTCACTACATTATGAACTCCCGAGGCAGCCACTTAGTAGTATCACTGTGGCAAGAATGCGTGCGAAAGAAACCGCGTTCCAACCATCATGATCGCGTCACAACCGTATATCCTAGCCATGTTTAATCGACTAGGCAACAAGGCTAATCAATTGATACCACTTCTCCTGCCTATTTATTTGAGCTAAAAGCAACACGTATATCAACCTTTCTTCTTTGATAATATTTCTGGTTGATATTACTGAGCATTGAACATACTGCCAATGCGTGTTTTCAAAGCTAATATTGCTATTCCTAACTCAGCACAAACAATATCACTCATCGCTCCCATAACGAGAGCTGCATGCAAGGGGGACGCGAAAGCCACCACTGGCCCCGCGGCATCTCCTACCCACCTGCCTATTCGACCATTCCCTACCGGTTAACCTGAAAGGAAGACTATCTTTCCCCAACTGCCATAAACCCCCGGAAGCTCCTCCTCCCTGACCAACTGGAGGGCATACGAGAACTCTTCCCCGCGTCGGTAGGAGTACGACTCCTGGTCACAGGCTATCTTGTTGTCCTAATTTCCCCGCTATCAGACATCAGAAAGATCTACGAGATTAACTGAGTGACGGAAATTGGGGGTCTGCGGGTTATCTACGATGTCCTGCAAGCAGAAGTCCCAGCGAGCCCTGTATCCTCCGATCTGGAACTTGCACACTCACCAGGCAATATCTTAGGTGCTGCATGTATTGGCCTAAAGCTTCGGCTGAGCAATGGACAAGAGGTGGTAAGTGCCGTAACACATGGGTTTGTAACCCATGTATCGTCAAATAAAATCATCCAGAGATTCCAACAGTTCTTTGCGAGAGCCAAGAAAGCTATCAAGAAGCAACTTGAATACTATACAGTCAAACACTTCAGCGACAAATTCGATTGACCTTTATGAATCACAAACCAACTATGACGGAGTATAGTGGTCTCACTTCGCCAACCTATTGATGCCTGAATTTGCCTGATCTGAGACCGCTTTTGCTACCTTTCTGGTCACCCAGGCAGACAGACCATGCAGGATGTTATGGGACCCCCGAATGAGGAGGAATGCGGCGATCTGTGCTACGCATGTCTCGTCAGGGCAGATGCTTCTCTTATCAGCCATGAAACCGATGAGAAGACCGGCCACATTAAGATGATGAAAGCTCTCGATGAGCGTAGTCTCATTCAAGCGCCACTCTCGCCATACGAATTGACCAGCAGTTAGCTGATGAGAAGCCTCACGTGAGAGTCATCCTCAATGAAATCATTTTTCTTGTACAATTGAGAGCCTGCCTCCAAGACAAATGTCCCGTGTAGTTGGTAAAGCGCTACTTCAAGTTGAGCCCGTTCTCAGAGTGGTTGTTGCGCGGTAACCAATTGCAAAACTAATATGCTTGGTACCACAACTAGAAGTCAGTCTCTGCAATGCGTAATCACAATTTTTTTATCTCATTTAAGCTGAATTGACGCTCCAAAACTGTCCTGATTTACATAGTAATACTCAACACTATATGGTTCGTCGATGAGTTGTCGCTAGTACATACGACCACAGGGTGTGGAGAACAGGGCTTCCCGTCCGCTCAGCCGTACTTAAGCCACACGCCGGTCAGTTAGTAGTATGGTGGGTGACCACATGCGAATCCTGACTGTTGTATGTTTTTGTGTTTTGGTTGTTATTTTTTGGGAAAATGCCCATTGCCGCCCTACAACTTCAGCCCTTCACCTGGACGCCCGGAAGCCCCTGAACGGATGACGTCTGTGGGTCGGGTTTTCGTGGGCGGGTTTTGGCGAGGCCTAGTCGTTCCCGCTTACCCCTACTGCCGAGTAAATCACTGAAGTGTCATGACAGAGTAAGACGCAAGACTTCGACCAATTTGTGAACTATTGACTACAATGGAAAAAGGCGGGAGACTTGACTGAATCTGATGCCTGTTTGTCTATTTTCCAGGAATAGTGGTCTCATGCATGCAACCAAGCGGGATCTCATCCTCTAGAGCAAATACACTAGAGAAGTTGTATGCAGGAGATTTTCCTGCATTGAAGACGATCTCGCAAGGGCTATGATCAAGGTCCTTCTCGACGAATGTCTGGGCGAATAATCGCAAATGAGGAGCTCCTGAAGATGTGAATGAAGTGCCGACTGACATGTCTGGTTTGAGCCTTTTGATTAATACTGCCTGGAAGATATCTTTGGGCGTTTCTCTAAGCTACAAAGAAGAAGCGAGCCACGGAGGCAACCAAAATGGGAGCCAACACTGCCGGACGATTTGGGCTAAAACACCAATATAGTTAGTTGACGACATATTTAAGTAACAGAGGTTGTAAAGATTGGCAAGTGTGCTGTCAGTGAAGTTGCGTGAGTTTTTGCCAACTTACAATGCAAATAGTTTAATCAGCAATACACTAATATCTGTTAAGTGTACCATTCATTTGAGAAGAGACCTAGAAATAACAATCATGTCTAAACACAACGATCGAATACTGAGGATGGGTTTACTATATGAAGTCCCCATTCCAGGCTTCTCGAAGCTCCTTTTGAGCCTTTCCAGTTGACAAAGAATGAATATCTTCTGTTCTGATTAATATTTCCAATAAAGCATCTTGTTCAATTCTATCAGTTACTCGGTCCCCATCTGATTCAAATATCAGCAAATAGCGAGATCATCGTTGAAAGAGTTGGTCCGCGTACACATTGAGACACCCATGCAAGCTGTAATTAGACTCGGTGCTGTTTTATTTGACCTTGCAATGCCACACAAGCGGAAAGCATTGTTTCTAATCTTGAACTGAGTGAAAGTTAGCAAGGGTCGAATCCAGTGCTTGGGCATTCTTTTTGTACATCTCTTCGTGCAAGCTTCTCGTTTCTGGTTTGGGCCCATCTGAGGGATATCTGGGTCGAACGCTGCATGTAAAAGTCTTGCCAGATGCCAGTGTTGAATTGCAGTCACTATTAACACTAGCCTGGCATTCGTTTCAAATCGTGAGATCAACCATGCGGATATACCATGACAGTCGCCAAGAAACCATATGTGAGGAAATACCCCTTTCCCCGACGAATCCGCTGGTTCGTCATAAACTGGATCAAAACTTGTGGGCTTTGATTCAAACCATCGGTTGCTATATTCAAAAAGTCTTGCATGTCTCTCTAAATCATGCGTTTCATTGCCGTAACAAAAGTTCATGGCCTCAGCGCAATGGGAAATAACGCGATTGGCCCATGTAGAATCGTCGGCTGGAGTGAAACATCCGTATGTCGAAGAAGCACAGCATCCAAGATCAAATCGAAACGGACGTTGTTTTATAAACGCACTGTGGAACTCCTGTCGAAATCCAACCCATAAAGTAGCATTCTGAAGGCCCCTTGTCGCCACTGCAATGTTTGTTTATGCTTTAAGAAATACCTGTGTGCCTCGCAGGTATGTTTCATCGTCAACACTCACCAAAGGCGCTGCAATATGAGCGATTTGCTTCTTACGCATCAATATGGGTAGTGACACAGAGAGCTGAAGCCACATACCGTCTATCTCTTCGTAAAATCGAAGAATCACAGCAGCAGCTAGCAAGTTCTCATCTTGAACTTCTGCTTCATCCCTAGATAAGGACATTAGATGGGAAATGCAAAGATTTTGATATTCTAGTGCAACCTCAGAGTCCAAGGAAGGAAAACCAGGTATACTAAGGGGAGAATCAGCTGTGTTAAATACTTGGCGTTGACTGATATGTCTAGCTGATGCCGAAAATATTGCATATAGAAGTGCCGGGCAATCTGCGGCCCGGTGAGGCACTACCAATGCAAAATTGCGAGAGTCATCACACAAATCAAACTGTTTTATGAAGTTGTTAGCCGAGGTTTTGAGCACTCAGTGATTTTGTTGCAATATGGTGTCGACTGCTAGTGAACTTACTTAATGTGCGAGCCCCTCGACAAAATAGCGCATCAAATAGGCCTCTTGCAGATTCTTTCGGGGCCAGAATGATGGTATGTATAGTTTGGAGCTATCTGTACTTGAAGAAAGGCTCTTATGGCTTGGAGAGTGCTCTGACTCTATGAATGAGCCGCATCTCTGGGGTGAGCTGAATTCGGCATGGGAAGAAAGGGGCCAATGGTTCGTCAAGGGGCTCGGGTCTCGCTTAGTAGTTAACTGGAACAAGTTTGGCGCCTGTGCTTTTGATACTTCTAATATTGCAGGCGGTAAAATATGCCCATAATAATGTGCAATGCCCAAAGGCTCGTCAATAAATCGAAGGTCTGGGGGTATGGCGCCGGCCGTTTCATCAATGTCTTGTTCTCATAACTTAGGTGTCAAAAAGCCAAGACTCACTAGTTCCAGATATGCTCATCCAGGGCTGAACATCGGCGAAATCCAACCCTTGCCCGCCATTCCGTATCGCCGGTCCTGGAAAGCTGCAATCCTTGCCCAGACGGCGACACCGCGAGCAAGCGGGGTTTGCCCCATTGCCTTTTGATATAATGAGAATTTGATCTCCAGTAACTCCGGATTCCATAAATTCTACCGACATTTCATATGTCGCTCTTAGTTTTCGTCAATACCCGACAGCTATTTCGGAGACAATGTCAGACTTACTTCGGCAAGGGTGGCTACTCAAGAACCAACCAATCGTCAGCGAGCTCTTTAAACAATATGCAAGTTATTTTGATATATCAGAATATAAATTAAAATAAAATGGACTCGATACCTCACCATGGTGATACAGTCAGGGTCGGCATCCTGTTAGCACGCGCGTCTTTCCCGACAGACCGGGTGCACTTAGTTATGCGGGAAGTGTTTCGATCAATCAAAGGAGTCAAAAAAGGCCATTATAGACCTAGCTAGTACACCAGGGATCCAGTCTTGATAAAGTGAGGGTTGTTTTGCCTCCACGAGCCCCGCAATCGCAAAGAGGCGGGGATTTCTGCCCTCCCTGGTGAAAGGGGCAAAACACCTCGCTTTCCCCGGTTTTACCCCGCAACTCTAACCTAAGATCCGACGTACCAGGCCGAACTCAATTTAGTTTGGCAGAAAAATGGCATTCAATTGCTGTGGGTTGGATTTCATTCCTGTAGGCAGATCGACATCCATGGAAGCCCGATTTGCGGCGCTTCTTAAAGACTAGAGCATTTAAATACGTCTTTCCACCCCCAAACTGGCTTTGATCAAACCAGATTTTAGCCCCAACCATTTGTGGCAAAACCAATTCGGGAATTTCATCTTCTCAGACTGAAGTCTATACAATGACACCTAGCTCGAAAACAGCCTCCAAAGAGGATATGGAAGCCAAGTTAGAGACGAAGCATGTCGTAGACACCAAAGACAGCTTACCGAGCCAATCGCTAGACACGATTGAGGATACCCAACCAGGCTATTTTACCTGGCTTGTCTCGATTACCATCGGCGTGAGCGGCTTTTTGTTCGGTTGGTGCTATCCAATAATACTTCCTTTATATGCCATCAATTAACCTAGTATTCTCCACTGTAGGATATGATACAGGAATCATATCTGCAGTTCTAGTTGTTATCGGTGATGATCTAGGCCATGAACTTATTTCCAGCCAGAAAGAGTTAATCACATGCATAACTTCTGATGGTGCTTTCCTTGGTGCCTTAGCAGCAGGCTGTTCTGCAGATATATATGGAAGAAAACCAGCAATATTTATTGGCTGTATTGTTTTTGTCATTGGTGCAGTCTTACAAGCATGTGCCTACAGTCTCATACAGATGACGATTGGACGCTTCGTCATAGGCCTTGGAGTGGGGTCGGCAGCTATGATCATTCCAGTGTGTTATACAAACCCATCCGCTTTACAAGCCGAATGATTAAGCTAAATTATAATAGCTTTATATTGCCGAAGTGTCTCCAGCAAAGTACCGAGGGCGCATGATTGGGATAGACAACATGTCTATTACTGGAGGGCAGCTGATTGCGTACGGCGTCGGTGCTTCCTCGCTAATACCTCCCATGGATGGCGATACATGGTAGGATTAGGAGCTGTCCCAGCCCTTGTCCTAGGAGTTTGTCTCCAGTTTTGCCCCGAGTCACCACGGCAGCTGATCTACCAAGGGAAAAGCGAAGAAGCCACTAAAGTAGTCGCAAAGGTCTTTCCTAGAGGATCGGATCTGCAATTTCAGCAGAAAGTGCAACGCATGACCATTGATGTTGACGAAGCTCTTGTGCTTTCTGGAGAGGGAGAATTCTGGCGACAGATGAAACAAATGTACACGGTACCTGCCAATTTACGTGCTCTGGTAGCGGCCTGTGGGCTGATGGGTATGCAACAATTTACGGGATACAACACATTGATGTATTATTCATCGACTCTTTTCGGCATTGTTGGATTCACAAACCCTATTGCCGTAGGAAAAATCATTGCAGGAACGGGGCTTGGTTGCACCTTTATATATTTCCTACTGATTGATCGATTTGGACGACGATTCATCCTTCTTGCTACCATGTGGGGCATGGTAAGTTAACGATCTAACCTAATCCTTTACCCTTCTCCAGCTGACAACGGGAAGGCTGCGTTTCTGGTTATCGCTGCGATAGGATTCCATTCTATTCCGACTCTACCAGATCTTACCTTAGAAACAACAAATATCGGCTGGCCCGCATATCTAGTTCTGGCATCGATGATCATTTTTGTTGTTTTCTACTCGCTTGGCATTGGGAACTTGGCATGGGTTTCTAGCGAGTTCTTTCCGATCGAAATTCGCACTCTTGGTACACTGATGGTATGCAACCTACATCAAGTCTTACCTAATATGTTGATGTTCACGCATTTTGCAGATGACCTGCACCTGTTGGGGCACTAATATCATCGTCGCCTCGACGTTTCTAACACAGATGGATAATACAACTCCATCAGGTGCATTCGGGTTTTATGCTGCCTTGTGCTTCATCGGTTGGACGTAAGTACCACGCCCCGTCCTAGAAATTGGCCATACATTGATGAATACGGTCTCAGCGGGGTTTATTTCGTCTATCCCGAAGTTAAAGGAATGAATCTGGAAGATATTCGAGAAGTCTTCAATCATGGATTTGGTGTGGAATATGCTCGGAGTGTCCAAAAGGAGCTTGAACGTAAGGCAAAAGCTCAAGCCCGAGGAGAAACTAGAGGAGCAGATCCATGAATTATCTTCAACGAGACTCCTTATGCCGATGCACCTCAGAAAACAACCAATACAAGTAAAATGACAGCGAGGTTTACTAAAGATACCAATGGCAGGAGCATAGATTTGTACTAGTTTTGTCATGTGGATATTCCTGAATATCTTAAAGACTCAGCATTCTTTGGTAAGATATTCAGTCACCTTCTCAAGTTCCATCTATCGAAGGAGATCAAGGCCCTCGACCAAATCATCAACTTAGGATAGTCAGATAATTCAAGGTAGTTCACAAATATTGGCACTATCTAGATTAATTACATATAATCAGCCAGCAAGAACATTGACTTACAGTCAGTATGAGGTCTCTAGGCCAGAGGCCAGTAGATATATATACTATAGATCATCCCCGATACTTCGAGTACCATTTGACTTCAAACCACGTTTTTATGCCACGAATGGTAATAGGCTGGTCATTGGATCCTACAATAGCCGAATTTTGTGCTTCGAAATTGATCGTGCACGCTTACAACTGGCCTTCGATAAATATGAACGGATTGGTCCGAACTGAGAGCCAGATGCTGGATTTCTTACAGGTTGACTTCACGGCAATCGTACGAGAATTGAAAAAAGATAGTAGACGTCTCAAAGTAACAGTATTTCTACCCAAAAGCATCCTTAGGGCTTCCGAAGACGCGCGAGAGAACAATTCCATCCTAGACATACACAGGCAGTAGAGTAGAGGCTAGTATCTACAAAAGTGGGAAACATTAGGAACTTAACAAGGAGCCAACACAGACATACTTTTTTCCATTCCTTACCGCCAAGTTCGGGGGTAAATATACGTGTATCATGAATCGCTTGGAACATGTGGATATCCCGAGCTCGTTTGTTCCACGGTGCTATTTCGAGACTGCTTGTTGATCTATTTTTTAAAGAACCAATGTATATAGTCACCATTTGCCTGGTTAAAAATGAGACCATCAACTATCTTCTACGGTATAAGCATCAGGAGGAGTAGGGCTTTACAAGACCTGCGACGTGGTTCGAAGGCTTTCTTTGCTCAAAAGAGGAACATAAGGCACTTCTCAGCCAAAGACAGGATATGGTCATTTTAATCGAGAGCTGAAGCAACTGTTGCTTGAACTATTCTTCACAGATCGAAAAAAATAATGCCATTTAGGTGGGGTTATGAGACTGGGATTACTCTAAACTAAAGGCATCTCGAGCTTGATGAGCAAAGAACTATTTTAATTATTGACTTCAGCACTTCCAGGTAGAGTTCTTTGTCGCCCATTAAAACAATCCATCCCAGCCCTTGCAGAAATTCTTTAACCGAAGTGGCTAGAGATCCACTGTAGACTCTGACAATAATCTTTCCCAGGGAAGATAGTTTACCAAACTGCGTATTGATTTCGGAGACCACTAGTCTGTTTTAAATTCATAAGATAGATCTTTTGAGGCATTGAATTTAAAATCACCTCCTCCATACTCCATTCCAATACCTTTGATACCGAGAGCATGCCACATCAAGGTCGAAAGAGAGCAAAGCCCATGAAACCATGGTCATTATTTCCAACGCTTCATATAAACGTGTTGCAGATGCTGGCTGATAAAGACATCTCTGTGGCTTTCCGCTCTATTGATGATACGGAAGGCTGCCCGCATAGCTACGACACACATGTTATGGGTCGGTTTTTATGTCACAGTCAAGAGTGCAATTTAAGCGGTTGGTCAAGCAAAAAAATCGTGGTCACTTTACGGCTCTACCTTGATGGGAAATACAATGCTAGGATATATCATCAGAGATGCAAAGGCTGTAACGATTAAGCAGGCCTATTCTTGATGATTCTTATACGGAACGAGTTGTATATCGGATCAAGAAGTGGCATGGAGTTGAAGTCGATCGACCAATTTACTCGAAAAGGACGGGGCCCCCGTATAATAGCAGATTATGCGAGGGTTGCAAACATCGACATTGCAAGTCCTTGGTCTCGTGAGGGTATCGAACAGATCAAAAGCGTCTATCCCAAATCCTAAAACTGCTTCGTCCTGACAGCTTCTGTTTCAGTCGGAGGTTTCAGCGACCCTAACCTTTGGGTGACAACGTCATCGATATTTTTGAGTTCAAATCATAAATGGTTTTACAACTGACATGAATTTTTCTAGGTGCCTATTTTTCACAGTGCAATTGGGCAGTGATAGGTAAAGCGGGGAACTGCTCCAATCCCTCCAGTGACGAGGTGTAGATCCTTCGTTAAATTAAGCCAGTGAAGCCAGTGACTACCAAGCTGGAAGTCCGTCACTTCAGGACCATTGGAATGTTGCCTGACATCCAATGCTCTCGTCATACCTGGGGGACTCAAGTGCTCAAGTGCTCAAGTGCTCAAGTGCTACTAGTATTTCTTTTTCTGATATCGTCCACATTTAGGTTTCGAATCGAAAAATGTGTGTCAAAATTTCTATATAGGAAAAGCCAGCATTTGAAAGCAGCAATGTGTCTCCAGATCTTCAGTTAGCCAGGTAGCGTCCATTCGGGTGGTACTAGTACTATGCAGTATTGATTTCAGATACTACTAGTACCAGTAAAAATACTTATAGAAATGCAGGAGTTATCTTGTTTTTATTGGCGCCATCTTTCGTCGCCAAAAGTCGAAGCTGAGTCTGGAGGGACCCAAGCTCAGGTTTATAGAGCTTCTGGCTTTGGCGGTGTACTTCCAACTCGTGAGGATTAAGAAACAACTTGAACTTGAAACATATTCAGTTATTTATATTTTTAACCACGCAACATTCGCTTTAGTTACCTTCGTGGAAGTCGCATTTGCTCAAGCTGCACAATTTCATACTGTTCGAGTGAGACGCCTGGAATAGTGATTTGAGGGGCATCAGGACGAGGAACGGGGGTAATCCCCCGTTGAAGGACTCGATCAGTAATGACTTGAGAATCGGACATCGTTGCGATGATGTCCAAATCTGAATGATCTGCACCGCTATCTAGGAGAATCAAACTTCTGCTATTTTGCTTGGGCTGGCTGCCATCAACAAACCTGCTACGACATCTGGTTCCTTCAAATTATATTCGAGCAACAGTTGAAGGAGACTATAACTCTCATCTCTTTGAAGGGCGACTTGAACAGCATTCAGGGCGGCACACGAGTCTGCAATTCCATTTTGTCTCGGGGCTAGTCCTTTTAACACGGGATCGGCACCTCTCTTCAACAAAAGTCTAGCCATGCTCAATGGACAAGGGGCGAGCTTAATTGCAGCGACAAGGACGGTGTCATATCCCCGCGGATGCTGAAGGTAAATGTCGACTCCATCTTCATTGAGGAGAGACTCGACGCGATCCTCCTCGCCTATCGTCGCGGCACTTCTCAGCATCAAGTAAAGATGTTCTTTGGGGACCGGGTTTTGAGATGGATGTGGATACTCAAGGTCGAGACGGTCGTATAATATTTGGAGTATGTAGTCTTCGATCCCATGATGGCCTTCATTTGCTGCATGATCAATGGGCCGGAAAAAATGCATATCGCTGATTCAAGAGAAGCCTCTTCCTTCACGAGCTTCTCAACCAAAGAGAGATAGCCTCTGCGTGCTGCAAGCATCAGCGGACTCCGACCCATATGATCTCTATAATCAATATCGACCCCAAGATCAAGTAATCTAGTAACAACCTCAGAGTGCCCATTTGCTGCTGCATCCGATATTGGATGAGCCTTTGGCCTTTCTATTTGCGATGGCAGGTGCACGTGTGCCCGCCGAGGTGAGCTTTCAGCCATATCCGAGTTATAATTCGATTTCCATTGCACACTGATGCTAGTAGCCAGTACGTGATTGAGTGTGGCCGTATTCCTGGATTCAGCTGCCCAAAACAATGAGGAGGCATTTTCATGGTGCGTATTGCGATAATAGAGGTGGTGGTTTAACAAGTGGTAGAGGTGAGAATCGCATTGGAGAAGCGCATTACAGTCTTTCGTCTGAAGTCCATTGGCTATGGCCAATATTATTTCGAAAGGCAGACGAGATAAGGACATAGTGAACGAATATCAAATTGAGACGCATGGGGCGGGATGAATGCGACGGGAAGCACTTGAGGATGACAGTGGCTTACTGGCAGTTGGGTTTTTAGCGGCTCACTGTCCTGGTCCGCCCCAGCTCACTTCGAGCTCCACACCCCCACTCAGTCCACGGTGGCGCACTTACATGTCTGCATATCCAATAACCCTGGGAGTCGGCGTCGCAATAAGGTGCGAGAGAGGTGTTGATTTGGGGCGCATGGTGGGACATGTGATTTTATTACTGTGTTTTAATATACCGATATGGAATGGCGTAAGAATAGCGGTGGGATTCTTCAGATGGGCTGAGTAGAGTGGCCAGCTACCCACGCCCAAACCATCGGCAGCCGTGGGCGCTAGGTGGCTATCGACAGACTAGTACTTATTACTATTTTTTTTTTTTTTTTTTTTTACTTTGCGTTGATAATTTTGTATCTCGTTGCCGGTGGTTATTGAAGGCTTTTGATTCGGTGGTACTCACAGCCAAGGAAGGTGTGCGAAATTGGAACCCAGCTGTCACGTTGTAAGTAGCCGCCTAATATGTCAACTACTCACATCAGGGTTCAAAGCTGGTATCCTTGAATCTGATTCATAATTGATTGTTTACCAACAGGTGTGATTGTCGTTATTCTAAAGTAGCCTCGAGCATTGTAATCAATCTATACCTATGTGGCGCTGAGTAGCTTTTGTATCTGCACAAAAATAACGCAGTTGACATGAGAACCGGATTACATTCACTAAGTTGTGTGGTAGGATTTCATTGTGTATCTTGCCAATTCACTTCAGTTTCTCACAGCAACAGCAGGAACAATATCGAATCGTTCTTGTCTTTTATCCAGCAGCTTTGCACTCAATTTCGAATTGGATTTCTGCAATCTATCAAATAAGGGATATTCGCTGATGTTTCTTTCTGCTTTCCCCCACTGAAAGCTTTTGCTGTCAAAAGTCCATGAGAAAATCGGCCACTGAACATCTGTCTCCAACTCCCACCCCTCCTGAGGCTTGACATCCTTCAGGTCCTGCCAAGTACCATCTGATTGAGCACCAAGAAGAACGAATATCTTATAAATTCTATACTCATCAAGTAACTCAGCCAGTACACCGTCTGACTCATCTATAATCACATCGTGTGGCACGGCAAGGCACGTGATGGGCGCGATATTACAACCGACGCTTCTACCCAAAAGGTCTTCATCGAATAGTCGATAGCTCTCTTCACAAAGAAATTCAATCCATGTTATCTTTGGAACATAAAGTACACTTGACTGGGGGTCGAATGGCCGGATAAGGAATATGGACTGGTGTTCGTCATCAAAGCGAGTTTCCAGTCCCTGCCTAGCAATCCACTCCAGAGCAAATCTGCGTGCCTCGTGGCTCACAGAATAAAGTGGGACATCCAAATGAAGAGGGTCTAGGCGATCATGAAAGAAGCTCATTTCCAAATGAAGCTCTTCGTTGTCAGGGTAGTAGCCATTGTCACCTTCGGTTAGGCGATGTGGTTGCCAACATCCCTTTTTATAAAAGTACAGTGGCTTTTCGAGACTCGGCGGCATAGCTTCACGCCAGATTTGAAGTCGGAGCTCTGTAGGGAGACTCTGGAAGCGTGAGAACATAATCGTGGCCATGCGTCATTATGTGTTAGCAATGTTTCCGATCGCCTAGGGGCCTAGTTGAGGGGCTAATCCTGCCAAGACCTTTCTAACGCAATTCGGCAGTGTATGCCTGGTCGATGCCTGATTGATGTCTATTTATAGACTCGAAGATAATATTGATTAGTTGAATTGTATATCAATCAGGGAACTTCGGGACAGCTCATGTCATTTAGCCTTACCTAGTATAGTAGAACATTATTATTCTTCCTCTAGTAAATGGTCTCGTTCGTGTTGATTGGGACGTTTCAACGGCGTCGAGTGAGCCCATGGCGATTGAAAATCGTATCGAGGCCCTTATGAACTTTCTTGTACCAACTTCTGATGTCGCTCAGGGTCCACTCATAAAGGTCAAGCCTTGTCTAATGTCCTGTGCAAGACGCTCAACTCGAGTACCGTCTGAACCTTGTGGCAATAAGTTTGAGAGCTGCAACTTTTCATTAAATTCACCAGTCTGGGATGGGAGATGAAGCAAAGTAGTGACACGCAACAATTGCTCACGGATCCACTCTATTTGCCCTGACCTAAGGAAGGTCGCCAACAGCTGCCCACAATCATCCAAGAAGAATGTCAGCAGGCGGATGAGTGGAGTCAAGACGTGCCAGGGTCCTTGCGCGTGAAGGTGGCGTCTGTATTCATCTCTCGAAGATTGTGGTCCCGTTATTTTCTCATCGAATGGACCCTCGCCCTTGTGAATGAAGAAGTCACAACTGGGAAACAGAATCTCCGGATCGTCAAAGTCGGTAATATTCAGTGGCCTTATTCGATTACCAAGGTAGAAGGGAACACTGTAGCACACTGAGTCCATTAGGCTTTGGAAAGTATTGATATACCCGACAAAATAATCATTCACTGGGAGTGTTTCATTGCTTCCGGGACAATCGGTGCCACGCGTCGAGATTGTATTGAGCGAGCCGATGGCAATCTTAACTATCAAGAGGCGTTGAACGCGCCAGAAATTCCACAGTGTGGCCACAGAACAAGAAGAGTAGATCTCACAAGTAGAGAGATAAGCGGGAATTGACTGATCGATGTCTTTCCCGCTTGTGACTTTCAGCGCATGCCAATGCTCTGGCACATTTCGTGCCCAGGTGAGCAGCCTGTCCTCAATGCATTTTGCCTCCGTCGTGATTTCTCTCAGATCTGAGAATGATGGCATGATATTATCATTTCGTGATAGCTGCACGTATCTCGCTTGTAATTCGGCAACAGATGCACCGATGTTGTCGAGTACAGAGCTTAGATTCTGCGGTGCATCTGCTCGATTTTTGAATTCAAGCCATGGGCGCACACTTTCCTGTAGAGGGCGCTCTTCGCGCATGGCTGAGCAAATCTCAGTGTGAAGGATAAATCTGCGAACATAGGCGTTCGTGACGCGATTTGTAGAATCGGAATGTATAAATGGGAGCAACGACACTGCACCGTCATAATGCACCCGTGTGCCTGGGCGGAGACCGTATACAGAAGAAATATTTTCGTATATCTGCAGGGACAGGATTGCCAGGCTAGTCGCCGGATTCCCACATTCATCGCGGTGCTGGATTGTGCTACGAAGACGATTGACAGCCCGGGTATAATTTTCCCGGGGTAGCCGGGAATCGTCACAACGCCACAAAGACAGAACCTTTGAGGCAAGAGCTGAAACTGCTAGACTAAGTGCTGAGTTTTGGGATTGTGAAGAGTAGACTGGAATCAAGACTTCGTAGAAGCCTCGCGCTGAGGATAATTGGCGGCCCATGCTCGCATAATGCTGAAGAAAGAATGGAACGGAAGTGTCCGGCACTGCCACAGATCGCGGCATAGTTGCGACGGTCCTATGGAACCGGTAATTCTGGTCTCTAAACTTCAAATTGGCATATTTTGTCTTGTATTCGCAGCCAAATCCGAGTCGCTGGCACGATCGGCATTTTGGTTTGGTTTCGTCACATTTCACACGTCTTTGCTTGCATGTAGCGCAGCCACCCGAGCGCCCACGGTTGACCATTGTGGGATTTTGTTCTTTCGAAAAGAGTAGGTCTTTTGCGACAAGGACTTCGGTTGGAAGGAAATTAATTAAAAATTTAGAAGGTTTGGACCCTTTGACAATAAGTAGATGTCGGTGTAAGTGGAGCTAGGCGGCCACCAGTCGCAAAAAATGCACCCGATCGGGACTAGTGCGGCTGTGCTTCCATGGAAGGAAGGTCAGCCGTCGATCATCAAGCCATGATCGACATCACAGCCCAGCAGACCTGTGCATGTGGAGTAAGCCTCACCCATCAATCTTCCAGTAAAAATACTGGATCGCAAACCTTATACTCAGTTTGATACTTGGCTTGCAGAATCTATAGACAGTTATGTCCTGGATATTCTGGTGCCTTGTTCGATCAAAAAGCAGCCGAAGGTATATAAGAGGAACATCTTGAAGTCACTACGATCAAAAATGTCAGGATCTGCCAAGTCACAATCGAACATCATTTGATCCATCGACGAAAATAGTTATTCTTTTCATTTTTGTTCTTCCCCATGAAGCTGTCTACATATGCCGGCCCTCTCGTGGCCGCATTGCTCTACTCTTGTTCAGGACTTGCAGCCAACAGCTCCGACAGTGAGCCCACTCTACAATTGAGTACAGACTCCGCATTCAACTTCCAGTTTCTTATTGCGCTCGGCAACTCTCTCACTGGAGGATCAGATATCGACCCTGTTCTGGGCGTAGCCAAAAACATCAAAGCCGGTGATATGGCATCCTACAGCAAAGAATACCACAAGCTAGCCAGAGACACAAAAGCCCAGGCAGACAATCCCGAAAATGCTTACGATCCTATCAATGTCAGAGACACCTGGTTCTCAGCCTCCCATTACTTCCGTCGCACAGACTTCTACCTTCATGGCAACTGGAGCAACCCACTCATCAACAGCCTATGGGCAGAGCAGACTGCAGCTTTCAACAAGGCCATAGCTGCATTGCCAGTCCCCGGTAAGCGCGTTCTCATCCCTGCTAGGGAGGGAAATTTCACAGTTGAAGCTATCTGGTTCGGTGCACCGAATAGCGAAAACCGCAAGTTGCCAACTTTGGTGGTTGGAAACGGATACGATGCAGCACAAGAAGACTCCTACCACTACTTTGTCGCCAAGGCATTGGAGCGTGGATGGAATTGTATCACCTATGAAGGTCCTGGCCAACCCACAGTGCGTCGAAAGCAAAATATTGGTTTCATTCCAGATTGGGAGAAGGTAGTCACTCCAGTAGTGGATTATCTTCATTCTGCAAAGGCGGATGTCGTGGACAAAGATCAGGTTGTACTTGTCGGAAACTCGATGGGTGGCTATCTAGCAGCCCGGGCAGCGGCTTTTGAGAAGCGGCTGGCTGCAGTAGTTCTTGTTCCCGGAGTATGGGATCTATATGCTTCTTTCACGCAGCAATTGCCATCCAAGCTCCTGGATATATATGATGCTGGTAACTACACACAATTCGACAAAGAGCTCTTTTCGTTGCGAAAATCAGGCAGACTCTCCACGAATGCCGCCTGGGGTCTGGACCAAGGTCTCTGGTCATTCTACACACACTCGCCATCTGATTTTCTCACCCAGAGTAAACAGTACCGACTGAAGGATGTTGTTGACAAAATTGATATGCCAGTCTTTGTCGGTGATGGTGAATATGATGATTTGACCCCAGGACAGGCCGTGCCGCTCAAGAAGGCCCTAGGCGAGAAGGCTACCCTGCATCAGTTTAACGGGACGGCTGGTTATCATTGCCAGACTGGCGCTCTCCAGGATCTGACGAGAAGCATGTTTGCATGGATTCACAAAACCTTGGAAAACCCTTGAATTTTGCGATATCAATCTGAAGTCTATCGATGGGATGATGTTTTTATCACTAGTGATAGCTATATCAAGTTTCCGCAAAAGGACCTGGCTAATATTGGCTGTATTTGGAATGTGGATATCGCTTCGCCCGATAGAAATGGTGTCCCAGTCAGCCATGGCAGCAATGTCACAAGGATACCCGTGAGCAACTCATCTGTACCAGACTTCAATGTATTGCCCCAATACTCTCTATCGAGAATTGTATGCATAATTCAAGGTTATCTAGACTCAGGATGTTTTAAGGTTGGCCGATTGTCTGTGAAGGGCAAATGGTGAAGACATCAAGAAATGTATACTAGTGAAATTTGATAACCAGCATTAGTAAATAATTGTCTTATTCTGCAGTGGTAAGGGAGAAAAGGGGCTAATTGAGGAAGAGAATAGTGTTTTCGACTTAAAAGAGCCCTGAAGGTTTCCAGCACTTGTCTTGATCGATAAACATATCAGATCGTCATTAAATCCATGATACTGCTGTGCCTATCGGTAGTAGTGCTAGAGAATTACTGGAAGAGTTTGGAAATTGGCGCTTTTTCGGCCCCCATTTGGTCAGCAAATTCCCAGATAGTCATGTCGCTCCTATTTTTGGCCCCAATCAAAACAAGATGTTCTATTAATGCTTCTCCTCAAACGTGGCTCTGAATGACCCAAGCCAAGGCTCTCAAAGTTTACATGCGTATCTTTGTCATCTACAAGATGTAATATGAAGCTAGGATGATCCCCAAAAAGAATCTTTCAAGCACCTAATGATTGGCTAGGGGCTTACCATGAAATTTTCCATACGAGGCCTATATCCAAGTTTAGAAGAGTATGAGATGGAATGAATCCAAATCTTGTGATAGCTTAGCCTTGCCCCATCTAGCCCAAGCCTTTGTTTAGGAACATTGAAAGATGAGGCTTGAACCCAAGCTTTCGCATACAGCCCTTCTGCCATTTTACTTCTTCATTCGTCTTCAGTTGTGAGTATATATGGTGATATTCCCTTTTAGTTCCCTTCAGCGTTTTGATATTCTTTTCAACTATCAGGTTGTACACAGCACTCTTTCATGATGTTGTCTCATTCTTTTTGGATTTTCTTTCTTTGATGAGAATGTTCGATTGAACATGAGAGACAGGTATGGAATAATTTAAATAAGACCAGAAAAACCCCTTCCCCTTGGTTAGGGAAGTTTGAGAACAGAACAATCTGGAAATCACTCCGTCTAGATATACCAAAATGACCGGGACTCGGAGTTCACTGTAAGTTAAGATTGAAACGTCCTGCTATCACGAAGATTAGGGGTGATCTTCGAAACTTAGAAGCAATTAAGTGGGGAAAAGTAGATAAACGTCCCATATAGGTACACGCAAAAGATCTTGAATTTTCCACGTAAAGTAATCTAAAGATGGCATGGTGGTGGTAATGGCCTAAACTCAATTATGTGGCGATGCATGCGGAGTGGACCCTGCGCTAAACCTAATGGGGTAACCAGGTCGACATCTATTCCGGACCGCACACAAGCTCAAAGTTAAGATCCACATCTCACGAACAGCTCCTGTCATTTGCTCAAATTTGGCCACGTCTTCCAGGGTCCCGCTCAGCTTACTTTAGGCTCTCACTTTCCGGCCATCATCATCATGTTTCGCAGTGAGTACCAGGTTGGGAATATATCTCGTTACTCTAAATTATTTTCTTAGCATCAAGGACTCGGAGTGATTGAATGGATTTCACATATAAAATGGCCTGCCCTCGCCGGCTCCTTCGGTCATTCCACTCATACTACTATTCATATTCATCTTCAGGCTCGCATTTCACATTTGTGTTTTCATTTGGAAATCCTCCCTGTCGCAGCTCTTCTCACTCTCAATATTGGTGTTGAAACTTTATCCACCATGCGTTTTACAACACTCGCTTTGCTTGGCACTCAGCTCGTGCTGCCAACGGTTCGTCGCAACATATTTCTTCTTTCGATTCAGATCACAACTAACATTATATCGCGTCACTCAGCTCGCCCAAGTAGCCGCATCAAACGGCAGTATGTTCCAGCTCAGTACCGATCCAGAGTTCGCGTTCGTTTTAGAGACCGTCTTGTCGATGAGCAACATTCAAGGTGCCCAAACCGGCGAGGTACTACGGGCTGCGAGCCAAATCACTGCAGGAGACTCCGAGAGCTGGTACAAAGAATTCAAAGTCCTTGGAGATGCCATCCACGCTCGAGCAGCCAGAGTCAACGCCACTCGCTTCCCGGTCTCAGCGCGCGAGGCATACTTCCGTTCCTCTACTTACTACCGCAACGCCCCATTCTTTTTCCATGCCAATCGCACCGACCCCAGAATCAACAAAATGGGTGCAATCTCAGTCGCCGACTTCGACAAGGCCGCTGCTCTGCTAACCATTCCCGGTGAAAAAGCCAACCTCTCAGCCACCAGTCCCAATGTACCAAACGGGAATTTCACAGTCCCTGTGCGATTCTTCAAAGGGCAAGAGTGTGCCGGGAAGGTTCCCACTGTGATCATTGGTACAGGGTACGATGCCTCCCAGGAAGATTCCTACCATGAAATGGGGATTGAGGTCCTCGAGCGTGGTTGGAATGTCATTACTTATGAAGGACCTGGCCAACCCACAGTTCTTCGCGAACAAAACCTCGGTTTTATTCCTGACTGGTGGAACGTCGTCACCCCAATCGTGGACTATCTCGCCACCCGTCCAGATGTCGATATGGATCAAATTGCCCTCGTTGGAATTTCTTTCGGTGGTGGCCTTGCCCCGCTTGCTGCTTCCCGCGAGCACCGTTTGTCCGCCGTGCTGTCCGTTGACGCCATGAACGATCTGTATTCCCTATACGCAACTCAACTTCCAACTGAGCTCATCGCGCTCTATAAAAATGGAGATTATGCGGAATTCGACAAATACATGCTTGGACTTGAGACAAATGCCTCCCTATCAACTCACACGCGTTGGACCATCTCCCAGGGCCTTTTCACTTTCAACACTGACAGCCCCTCCAACTGGTTCGGAAGGCTGCCTGCATTCACTGCCAATGCTACAGTGTTGCAAAATATCACCTGTCCTGTATTCATTGGGGAGGGGGAGAATGACACCTCTGCACCAGGCCAGGCCCAGGAGATGGTCGAGGCTCTTGGCAACCAAAGCACCTACTGCTTGTTCCGTACTGATGTCGGTGCTGGCGAGCATTGCCAGATTGGTGCCGAGTCTCAGTTGGCTCAAGTTACACTCGACTGGCTTGCTGATCTTTGGGATGGAATTGAATTGCCTGCTAACCTTACCGATCGGATCTATTAAGCAACCTGAGTATAGTAACTTTTGACGCACAACCCTGTTTATTACTACCCACTATATGCACTTAGCTCAAGATATTTACTCAGATCTGCCTTTGGACTTACAATGCGTCAGCTAGATATTAGATTTAATTCAATCAATCTCTAATCTGTGTTACCGCTAAATCATTTCCCGGTCGCTGGCTTGCAATTCAATACGAAGAGAGAATATTTACGGTTGTTCGATTACACATCCATTTCATTCGTACGATCAAAAATAGTATGGTACTCTATCGCAAATTCTTATCTTTCTCGAAGTTATTCTTCGCTTCTGTCGCAAAATCGTCCTCGATGAGAACCCTGAGGGCAGTAACAGCCATTCCCTTGCTGACCGACATGGTAATACTGTGCGCTTCTTCTGCCTTCGCAGCATCACGGAATGCGTCGGTGTGCATCGCAGTTCCGGGAGGGGTGGGAATAAAATAATGTCCGTGGAATGAAGGAACCTCGTAACTAACATTACCTAATTATTTATCAGAAAAGAGCTTGAAAGTTTATATTAAATAGCGAGACATACCCATTTCTGTGCTGAAAGAGGCGAGGTCCTTTTTTAGCAGGTCGCAGTGATATTCCATTCCCTTGGAACTCATATACCGGGCGAACTCTGTACACAGGGTCTCATTCGGTCGAATTTCTGCATATGGGACCATTCTGCTAAAAATTGAGTCATCATTCTGATGAAGCAATATGCAAGGGATAAATGGAATCTTACTCCGAGGCTATTTCGACCCCACAGCCTGTAGCCAGTGCTGCACCTTGCATACAATTTTCAACCCGGGTCCGCAAAATGTCCATCTCCTTTAATGTTTCGGATCGCACGCTGAAACGTATCCGTGCCTTGTCAGGGATTATGTTTTGTGCCGTGCCTCCCTCGGGAAGTATAATATTGATTCTCTCGGTTGGCTTAATGTGCTGTCTAAGCAGACCGACTGCCTGATATGCTAGTGACGCCGCATCAAGAGCGTTTACACCAGCCCAAGGCATCTGTGCAGCATGCGCTGACTTGCCAGTGAAGTCCGCTGTAAATCCAGCAGCAGCCAAGGTGGTACCAAATGCGACACCTGCTGAGTCTGCAGATATATGAGGAAAATGAGGTGTTGGGTGGCTCATTAATGATGCGATAGTACTTTTCAGGGCGCCTGCATCGATAAGCTTTACTTTGCCTGCGCCTCCCTCTTCGGCGGGGGTCCCGAGAAGGCGGACCTTTCCGGAAACCTTCGCTTGCTTCATTGCGGCGACGACACCAAGAAATGAAGCCACCGAGCAGACTGCGATCAGGTTATGGCCACATCCGTGCCCAATTACTGACAGAGCGTCATATTCTGCGCAAAAGTCGACTACCCTCTCCCCCTCGCCATATTCAGCAAGGAATGATGTGTCTAGACCGTAGACTTCAGGAGTCACCTCTAGACCAACATTTCTGAGATAGTTGCATATGGCATCATGTGCTTTGTATTCTTTATAACACAGTTCTGGGTTGTCATGAATCTAGAGCGTTGTCATTTTCCGACTCCGGAGATTAAAGCAGGATGTTTGCTTGCCTTCAGACTTAGGCCGCGGAGCCCCTCGCTAGCTTGATCAATAGCCCAAGAAATAATTTCTTCCATGGCATTCATATTTGAAAGCATTTTACGGGCTCATTTGGCTCATAAATGAACTAAGTTTCGATGGAGCCTTCGATGTCAACTTGGGTGGAGCCTATTTTGAAATGTGAACTCCCCGGGCGAATATACCTATTGATACTTTCTTTTCCGCTCAACGAAAAGTAAATCGGAGGTGCTAGCGAATAAAAGACTGATTTTGGCGAAGGCTGGCCACTGGAATGATAATATGAAAAGGAGAAAAACTGGGAGGGGGGATAAGAGGGATCAGGTTCAATGTTGACAAGGATCCGCAGGAGAGTATATGATTGGTTCGGGATTCAAAAAGTGACCAAGGCATCAAGGCGCCAATTGCATATTATCGTTATCTTGCGTTTCCATTGACAGGCCGAGAGTTTGAAGCATTATCATCGAAAAAGAGTTAGTACATTTCAAATTCTCTTACAAGGCGATGTCGCTAATATTGATGTGAAAGAGCCAAGATAAAAACCTCATATTCCGTCAGCCTCGGATCAATTTGAACTACATCAGCAGAACTGGAGGTCTTGCTAGTACTTGGTAGTATTAGATATATCGGGCTCAAACTGCGATTCCTGTTTTTTGCAAACATTGAAGACTGTCTATTTGCAAAAGCTCATGATGTTACATTTTTTGTTCGATTTCCCTTCCGAAAAAAAGTTGAATAGCCACGACGGCCCATTACGAAAAAGCGATCTGTAAATTCTAGTGGTCTTGATTCTAAATTTCCATTCAACATATATACATCTAAATCAAAATCAAAATGGCTTATAAGATGTATATAGATACTTGTGGGAGTATGCAAGTGAGAAAGCTCGATAGATCTTTCAATATGAGTACAAAGTCGGATGGATTCCTCGTAGCCCCATCTGCGCGTCACCAGAAAACCATGGGAAGTTAACCACGAGCCAGTGATACATTCCGCTCGACTTTGAAACAAAGCTCATTTCCATCATCATCAGTTGTACTTGTACTTGTCGGCATGTTCCTATAGCAGTATAAGCTTTGTAAGTTGGCGACGGAGAAAGCAGACTTACCCAGTACTTGTTGAAACCAACACCATCGCAGACCTCATCATACGTCAGAATCGTAGGGGGTGCACCGTTAGTAAAACTTCTCTTGAGACCATCCAATGCCTCCCGAATACTTCTCAGGTGTGCCGCCACAAGTGTCCATGGATACGCAACTGCACTGTATCCCAGCTCGGCCAATTCCTTCGCAGATATGTTTTCCGTCTTACCCCCTTCAATGATATTGGCAAACACGGGAATATCAATCTCGTCTGCACATCTTTTCATAGATGCGCGATCCGGCAGGGCCTCGATAAAAATTGCGTCAACTCCAATTCGCTTGAATTCTTGAGCTCGCGCCATGGCTTCATCCCATCCATACATCAATGCATCGGTTCGCGCCAAGACAAAAATATCTCTTCCTTCATTTCGGGCATCACATGCAGCCTGGATACGAGCATAGGCCTCTGGACGAGAGACCACATCTTTGCCCTTGGTATGTCCGCAGCCTGGAATTGGTTAATAATGATCGCGGGAAAGAATTATGTGGCGCAACATACGTTTTGGCCATTGTTGGTCTTCAATCATCACACCTGCTGCACCCGCTGCGGCAAAGCTTTCCACAGTTCGCTTCACGTTCATCGGACTTCCATATCCGGTATCCCCATCGGCCATGACCGGGACCGAGACCTGTCGGACACTTTCCTGAATCTTATCACACATTTCGGCCATCGCGATGTACCCCGTATCTGGGATGCCATGAGAGCTAGCGACCGCGTATCCCGCGAGGAAAACCATCGGAAATCCAGCTTCCTCGATAAGACGAGATGAGAGTCCATCGTAGGAACAGGCGTGAGCGAGGATCTTCGTGGGGTCATTGCGTGCCTCCAGCATCATGGTGCGAAGTCGCGAGGCTTGTAGAGACGGAATTTTACCCCGCGCATTTTGGAACTGGATCTCAACGTTGGAAGCTGTACCGTTCTGCGGGCCCGAGGGCGCGGCCGATTCGAAATGGAATGGGTATGGGACGTTGCTTGTCGACATGTTTGGTGGAGAGTGTTGGTGAATGTTGTGTATCAATGAAACCAGATTGCGAGAATTCGTTCGCTTTTAAATCTCAACAATCTCTGCGATATCGGCGACAGATCACTTCCCCCGATGCATAATGTAGATGCGTCCCCACGGTGAGCGGGACGGTGAGCGGGGAATTTACAGCGGATAATCGACAACATCCGCAGCGGGTATTGTAGCGGATGTTCCCACGCCACTGTATACCAATGCCGAAAGTCAATTGTAATATGGCTCGATCAATTGGACTTTTTCCACTCACATACTTACCCTGCATGCCATTTAGTGTTTGATGAGTTGGGGAAATCACCGTTACCCCATGGGGCCCCGCGTTCGCCAACCCTTGGCCGCCCTTAGCCGGGGAATAGACTCTCGAATGAACTGAAATATGATAGGAACGTCCCCCCCCCCAGATTTGAACTCTTTCATTTTTCCCTTTCATGATACATCAAACAGCCCGTTTCTTGAATTTGAATCTTCTTGTTGATCCAAAATGCTGGACCAAAAAAACTTCGAACAGCCCACTTACCAACATGATGAGGAGAAAGACCCAAATCCATTGAATGTCAACATTTCGGATGAACGGCAAACTTTCATTCGAAAAAGGGTCAGTATGCATCATGAAAACTGTCTTCATCACTAATATCGGTATAGTTTGACTTTCGCCTTCTGCCAGTCGTCTGTATTCTATACGTCCTGTCCTATCTCGATAGAAGTATGTCTTAACTTGTCCATATTCAAAGCATTGATAACAACTCACCTCTCTCTCCTTTCCTTTCAGGCAACATTGGAAATGCCAAGACCGCTGGTCTCGATACGGATCTTCACCTAGATAGCTCCCAATGGTCATGGGTTTTATACTCATTCTACATCTCCTACATTGTTTTTGAATGGTCAACAATTTTATGGAAACTACTCCCAGCTCATATTTATATTGCATGTTTATGCGTCTGGTCAGTAAATTTCAAACCGAGTTCCTGATGATTGATTCTGACTGCGAAATATAGTTGGGGTGCGGCAGCGATGTGTACCGGTGCAGTACAAACATTCCCCCAGCTCATTGCGTGCAGGTGCGTTTTAGCACTATTTGAGGCTGTCTTTAGTTGTGGAGCTCCTTATTTTTTGTCTCTCTTCTACCAAAGAAGAGAACTGGGATACAGAATATCTTTTCTTCTTGGGATGTCACCAGTGGCTAACTGTTTCGCATCGGCTTTATCTTATGGAATAAGTCAGATTGAAGGATCGCTGAGGCCGTGGCGGTATATCTTCATAATCGGTAAGAAAGTGGAATCACCAGTATCTCATATTGTTACTGACAACAAAAATAAAAAGAGGGAATTCCAACTATTCTCTTCGCACCAGTGGTTTTCTATTGTCTCCCAGACTCCCCAGGCACAGCCCGATTTCTTACTGAATCCGAACAAACTGAAGCAGTTGAGCGCCTACACACCCTTGATCGAACTGCGAAGAACAAACTAGACTGGAGCCAGGTAACAAGTGGGTTAACCGATTACAAAAACTACGTCCACATGACTATTCATTTTTGCTGCAATTATTCATTCTCGGGCCTTTCGAACTTCCTTCCGACAATCCTCGAATCAATGGGGTATACATCAGTCAACGCTCAAGGTCTAGCTGCACCACCATACTTTGTTTCCTTTTTATGTTGTATCGCCGCAGCTATAATATCCGATCGATGGGGCAATCGCGGTTTTGTCGTCACATTTTCAGCTATGGTCGGCACCGCAGGCTATCTGATTTTAGCATGTGTGAAAGACGAGTCCAAAACAGCGACACGCTACGCTGGAGTTTGGCTTGCTACAATGGGTATATTCCCTGCGCTTTCTATCAATATTACTTGGTTGTTGAATAATCAAGGCGGGGAAAGTAAAAAAGGGGTCGGGATGGCTCTTCTCGCAATCTTTGGGCAATGTTCCAGCTTGATTAGCAGCTCTGTTTTTCCGGATTCCGATGCTCCTCTTTATACCACGGGATGTGCGATTGGCTGTGCATTCACAGGATTCATTATTATTTTGGCCCTCGGCTTGCATGTATCGTTGACTTTGGAAAACAAAAGACGAGATAGGCTGCATGGAAAGGTAAATCAGGATGAAAGAGTCGATGTGACAGCAGATGGAGATCTCAATCCAAAGTTCAGATATTTGACTTAGATAAATAGGCAGGGTATAAATAACAGTCTGGCTGTGGGATACTGAAATCCAGGAGGTTGAATGCATTTGACATGAACTCGTCTCATATCATATTTCTAATCAAGCACCTGTGAGCTGTCTTTCTTCGGTTTAATCGTGAATCCATCCTAGTATAGCCACAATTCATACGGGGTAGCCAACCTCGGACGTAGCGTAAACCAGCGAGATTAAAATGCCGTGTACTTAAAAAAAATCACAAGCAACATTTCCTATAGTATGTGGAGAGTTATCTTTCCCTTTTCCGAAAGTTCAAGCTTTGGATGATTCCGACCGAATAATGGACGTCAGAATAGTGGAGAAAGTAGTGCCAAAGCGGGGAAATGGGCTCGATGATGGCGGCTGTTTGGAAAACCCGCTTTTCCTCGTGAGAAATATCCGCGATCCCAACTTTCCTCTTTACCGAGCACCATGGACAAGAGAAGGTCATCAAGAAGCCGGGATATTCGCGAGCACGAGTTTCAAAGAACATACAAAGCGTGCATACCATGTTCCCGGCGGAAAGTCAAGTGTGAAGCTAGTGACAATGGCAAATGTGTCAGATGCGCGCAAAAACAACTTGACTGCACGTTCACTGCCAAAAAGCCGTGGTCGCGGAGATCGACGCGTGCAGAGACGACTCCTAGACATCGCAAAACGCCAGATCTGTCTGATGATAGACGGTTGGCATTCCATTTGAATTCTTTACGAAAGACATGCTAATGGAATAAATAGGTCCCAGTTAGCGTCTGACAACCAACCCGCGACCAAAGAAAACAGTCTTCCATCTTCAATATTACGAACGGTTGTCTCGAATAACAATGATGCAATGAATATTTTGTATGAAGCGGCTGTTCAGGAAGAAGATCGAAATGGACCAGAGGTGCAGTCAGCGGATGCCTCGAGGTGCATTCCGCGAAGTCTAAACGACACCGACTCGCTTCGGCTGTGGAATGCGTGTCGCTTTGTCAAGATGGGCTGGTTCTCTGCGTATGAGGCCATATATTTCGTTGACCTGTGAGTGGAATTTATCCGGTAGAACAAAAGGCTGCAATGATTTCGCTAATGGATGGGACAGCTTTTTTACAAACATGAACCCACTTTCCCCTATCTTGACGGACTTTTTCGCATCGCATAAGAATCAATTTTATTTGGTCACCCAAGAGCCAATGTTATGCTGCACGATCCTGATGATCTCTTCTCGTCATCATACTCTGCCGGGAGTTGCTGGTGACTCGCGCACATTCTTTATCCACCATCGGTTATGGCAGCACTGTCAACACCTGTTAATGCGATTAGTGTTAGGCCAGGAGAAATTGTCCAAAGGGAAAACTCGTATTGTTGGAACCGTTGAAGCACTACTCTTGATGTCGGAATGGTACCCCCGTCAACTACAATTTCCGCCCGACACGGACGGCTGGGACTCTGATTTTCTTATGACAAATCTGGATGGGAGAGATCCCCCGATTCCTGAGAAGGATATACCCGTCTCCGATAGATGGAGAGAAGATGTTGTTGAGCCCACAAAACGTTTTGAACGCATGTCGTGGATGGTTCTGAGCTCTGCGTTGGCACTTTCCCATGAACTGGGTGCCTTTGAAACTCATCACCTAGCCAGACCAGATGACTTGGTGGGAGAGGATGCAGAAAAGTATATGAATCATCTTGAGCTACGCCGTCGGCGCCTACCAAGTTTACTTTTCATATTCATTAATGCATTATCATGTCGCATCGGATGTACATCGCCCATGGCTTCCGACACAGGTATACCACCATTAAGCCTTGCATCTCTTCGACCGGTCGAGAACGGTCGGCAGTGGCTGTTCTTTATCAACTCGTGGATGGAACTTACGAAGCTTACGATGTCAATAACTGACAAATTATTCTTCCTAATGAGCACATCGTTGGCCAACAGTTCAACTCAAACATTTCTTGACATATTAGAGGAGAAGCAACTGTTGCTTGCTGATTGGCACGAGAGAAATTCTTCGTTAATTGGTAAGCTTCCGAATTCAAGAAATTCATTCTCTTGGTATGCAGTTTTCTTAATATTTACTAGCTCCTGAAGTCCCGTTCAGCGATATCCTATTCGCTGAATATCAACATCTCCGAATTCTCGTCAACTCGGTTGGAATGCAGCTGGTCGTCCAACGCGTTTTATCTCAAAGTGGTCTACAAAGTGAGACCACTATAGATCGCTTTTTTATTGAACGCGCCCGACAACTCAACATGACAACGCAAGAATATGGATTTATTGAAGAGGTCTTTGATGGTTGTCGTCAGTCTCTCGAAAGGGTAGTCAGTCTGGGCAACAAAAACATACTATACTTCTCTCCGATGAGAATACTATTTCGCACAATCAGCTCCTCTATATTCATGATAAAAGCACTGGCTCTCGGTGCCCGAAATAGCAAGCTGCGTGAAGCACTGCAGATTCTTGACCAGGTCATCATTGCACTTGAGGATAAGAACCACGACGATGTTCATTTGAAATTTCAGTACGCAACTCTTTTGAAAGCCCAGGTCAAACGTCTCCGTGACAGCCTTGTTTCATCCCAAGGAGTGAGTAGTACCAATGAGAACTATCCTCTTAATGCAAACCTCGAGCGGCAGACTTTTGAGGAACAGCATCCCACGGATCAATCATTTGGAGGAGAAAATCAAGAGTCTTTCGGGTTTCAAATGAGTCAGATGGATCAGTTGAACATCAATGAATGGCTATTTTTACCATTCGATGCATCGATGGCACCATTTGGGCCTAGTGAATGGGATGCTGGGGCCAGATTAGATGGCGTTGACTTGGACCTAGATTTTCTTTGGCAAATTCCCTCGTGATGGTGGATTTAGTTTAGTCAATTGGGACTTTTTGTTCATGACACCGCCATCCCGTGCTTGGTCCTCAATTTCAGCTTGTTTTGACCTAGCCTTTCACCTACCCCTTTATTGACATATCTGCTCTTACGTTTTGAAATCATTTGATGAATGCAATAAGTACCATGTACCATTATTTCAAATATATTTAATATACATTCAAAACAATTTAACCCAATTTAGCAATATGAGCCTCTGGCCGCAACCAGGTTTGGCCTCTATAAGAAACGCCGTCCTGGAAATTTGGAAAATAACATAAACGTAAAAATTCCGAAGGGGTATCTCTAAGCTCCATAGAAGCGCTCTGGGCTGGCATATGGGGCATATTCAGTGTTCTCTCTGAGTTGTTGAGTCTCCGGGTCATTCATCTCGACTGTATCCTGGTACTTGGGACGAACGAAGATAGAATCCGAAGGCAAGAGCCATCCTGGGTGGCAGAAGTTGAAGACTGCGCCAGCTAAGACCATCATGACACCGTCAAGGATCACGAAGTAGATCTCATGAGTAATGAGGTACCCAGACCACCCCTGCACCAGCTCGACAGTACGGTAAATACTTCGGATATAGATGACGAGAACAGAAGTAACCATGGCAGCCAGAAGAGGGGTCAGCGGGCCCTTCATTACCGATTTGAGCATACCAAGGCGAGATGCACGTCGCAAGAAGTCCACGGCGAAGAAGACGAAGATGCTGATCGAGACCAACTGAAAGATGATGCCGGCGACCATAGTATTTGTTCCTGGGGCTGTATTTCCTCCATCCGATTCTGAAGACGCCATGCCACCACCTGCGGCTTGAACAACGAGGGAGATAAAGTCGCAGCTGCAGAAAATCCAAAGGTATTGCTTCGGGCTGAGGATTGACGATTTAGGACCGAATAGCTGAATGAATCGACCGAGGAGAACGTAGATTCCGGCAGTGAAAAACGTCGGGGCTAGAGAAAAGAACATTTTAGTATGGACTGGGGCCTTGAGTAGACTGTACTATAGACTTACCGATGATCAATGTTGAGATTTGAATCATGAAAGCAGTGGAGTTGTAAGGGCATTGAGAGGCCCATAGTCGACCGCTCCAGCCAAGAACCTCGACTTTTGTTCAAGTTAGCATATATAGAAAGATGCGAAGCGATAATATTCACATACCCAGGCATCCAATAGTAAAAAGTGAGCACCACCAAGTTCTCTTCCAACAAAACTGAGCGATGTGAACGAGTCCCGATAGACCGAACAGAGCAACAAATGCAATTCCGGCAGCCTCTGATGGGATATATCCATAAGATGTTTCCAGACCCGGAACATAGGCATGGCACTGGACCTTTTCAACGTCGTCTTGGGTAAGCATTTTTGCCAAGTAGCAATTTTTAATGCGCGAAGACAAGTATAGCAGGTATTTCGGCGTAAGAAAAAAAAAGATGGAAGATCGGACTGTTGACTCGTTGAATTGATGAATTATGATATCAAGAACAATATAACCCCGTGGGGATACGATTTATTTATGTGCATGTGCAAAACATACATCTATTATCGCCGGCCCGACCCAACGTGGTGAGAAGTGGAGCTATACCCTATTCCCAAAAGAGAATCCATGTCATCTGGGGCCGAAGTCAACTTTGATCGAAAACCGGCCAATGAGAAGTATGCCGGATACAGTAAGGCTGTGTACCCCTAAATAGATTTTAGGCCAACAATACAAGTTTCTTTTTTTAACAGCCGCGCCGGTCGGAGATAGCTTCATGTCTAAGCCTCAAATTTTGAATATACAACCTCACGCTCAAACAATCCGACTGTTTAGCTCGCCAAAACCTCTAGCTTGACTTAATTGCAATATACTATTGTTTACCATGCATTCTAGACCTACAGATAGGGCGAATGGAGTACCTTCTGAGAGACTTGGACTCATGAACCACATACTCCGTGGGCTTGCGGATTGTTCCCGCCGTCGAGCTGCAGGATCAATCTGACAATCTTCCATAAAGTTGCGGAAGATTAGCCAAGCACCGCCTGCACGGAACGGAGTAGGAGGTGGAAATACTACTTAGGCTACAAGGCACAAAATTAGTCTGACCGACAAGGCTGCGTCCCTACAAAATCAGTCTCAGCCTCATGCCAGGCCTTGCAAGTGTTGACGGGTCGCAGAAGAGGAAGCTCTGATTGGATCGCGAACTTACGAGGCGCCCAGACCTCTTTAATATGGGGCCGAAGACACGACAACGTTACCAAAATCGAAGCTGTGCAAGCCTAATAATCTCTATTTCAGGTTTTCATGGGAAAATGCAAGGAAACTGAACAATAATCTAAGGATCAGTGCGTCTACCAGGCTCCTGAGTTTCATCACAACGAAAACGCAATCTAGACTAAAGATTGTCCGTGTCCTTTGAATATCGAGATTGATTGTTGTGGGACTAGAACACGCCAAGACATTCGGGCCGCGTACGCGTAGTCCATGCGTTGTTGCTAGCAAGCATCAAACACTGGCACTTCGCGTGCACGCACAACGATCATGGAGACTGATTTCTATGTTTAATGTGTAACCTTGAAAGTAGCATTCGTAATCATGACAAAGCTTGTGTCTGGGAGCCTTCCAAGGCCAGATAAGGCATTTCATGGATGGCGATTCTGAACTAATGACCTTAAAAGGGTTGCGAGTCAGGCGGAAATACCAGCCAGTCCAAGTTCGAATGTTGCTAAATATTTCAAGTTCATCGCAGCCGCCGTTCACTAGAGAACAAGAGCGTCCCTCGATGGTATGTTTTATCACAACCGTGGTCATTTGGGAATATATCCAAATATGTCTTCAAGTTCAACCTGAAGTTCAAGAAGAAACTTCCTACTAGATAGATGCGCTACCAATCGATTATTATATACCAATCAATTATTATGAACAAAAAAGAAAAGAAAAAAGAAGGGAGGAACTCTCGCCATCTACTATCGGCTGCAAACCATCTATCGGGCGCAAAACCTGACTTGCGAAATGAGTGATGAGTATAGCCAGAAAGGTCAAAGTATCAAAGATTCTGCTAATTCGTTCACATCAACACCATCATCAAGAACATCATGATCTATCATAGATAGTTCACTACGAATCGGGAACCACTCGGGGTAGTATCCACCTCCCATATGAGAGGTAACCAAGAGCTTGAAGACCAAGCCACTATTACTGGCTTCGATATTCCCGACCAAACTGTTGAGGAACGGCATGATCAAGTCCATTCCTGGTAAGTTGAAGGAATTGTCAAAGAAGTCCATACCATCAATCATACAAATTATGACTCCAGAATCGAGAGGCTTCAGAATATCCTCAAACAGGCGGCACAGAGCGACTAAGTCGTCCATCGTAATTAGTTCTAGGAAGTCATCACCCAGATACGTGAGGTCAAGCGAGTCTGACTCTGCAAGCGAAAGTGCTGTCTGTGCAATAAGTGATCTCATAATTCCACTTGCTCCAGTGGCGCCATCTTTTGGTTCCAAGTGCAAGCGGCAGAAAAATGTGATTGTATGGATGAATGGGACGGATGAGACACTTCTCATGAGCAGGGCACACATGTAACTCAAAGGCGATACGGTATCCTCTTGGAGTGGATCGGAGTTGGACCCGGGGATAACTAGAACTCGGGATTCAATGCCTTGAAGCCAGTGTTGAAATCGATGATCTCGAAGCACAGAGGAAATACGCCCCTGCACGCCACCGGGTAGAGTGCGACCGAAAAAGAAAACAAAGTTTCTTTCCGCACCTATTGTGCTTATGACTTCCTCTCGTGTATCAGAGCTATTACTTCGAATGTTGACTAAATCAAGTGCAGCGAGGATTTGATCTAGCGATATTGTTGGCTGGATTCTTTGCGGGGTGCAACTTCTATCCATACGTTCCATGAGTTCGGCCACGGCTTTCGTCACTATGAGATTTGAATCATTAGAATTTGATGATACACTATATGGCCATTGCTTGTTGCTAGAGGAAGTTTCTCGCCTACATGGTGTTAATTGTTCGCGGAGTAGATTCTCCAGGCTCTGTGCAGACACATTTGAGTGTAAAAGCTTTGTCATGTCACCATGCATTTGGTCGAGCTCTTTGCCGACATGAACGACATTTAATCCGATGTCGTGGACTTCGATACTCAGACACGTGCGCACTGCAGCTTCGAATTGGCTTGCCTTTTCACTCACAGCCGTAGTTACCGCGTCCTCCAATTCCTGGCCATAATCATCGCCCTCAAAAAGGGCCTTAGCTCCTTGCATCAGTCCGCCACGAACTGAAGCAAAGGTGAAAATATGTTAGAGCTGCGTTTAGAGCAGGAGAGAGCTTGGGGGACCTACCACCCTGTGACTTTGCAATCCATGTCATAATTTTCTCCACCGCATCTAAAATAGTCACGTACAACGCATGTGCTCTGTCCATCAAAGTATCATTCCACGCATAGACATAGAAATATGGCGCAGTATCCTGAATTGGGTACGATAACGCATCCAGAGAGTTCAATATTACCGACCGAACTGCACTCATACGATTTGCAGCCTGCAGAGAAACTCATGAGAAAACAGAGCAAAATGCGCTAATATGCGAATCCAACGGAAGAACTTACGTTATAAGCTAGCTTCAAGCCTCCACAGAGCAATCCTATATAATCTCCACTAGGAAGAAGAACGGTCAAAAATTCGAGGCGCGAGGCTACATTGCCGATCGCTCGGATAGTCTTGCGGAATGGGTTCATCGATTTCCTATTCTCAAATCGATGATCCATGGCTTTTTGTGCCTCTGCACGAACATCCTCCCAAGTTGTCGCATCTTCAAAAGCATTCCGAAACTCTGGATTTTGTAGTTTTGGAAGAAGAGTTCTTATCGCTATACGAAACCGGTCTTTGCGCTGCGCAATTCTAAGAAAAAAAATATCGTTAAAATGATGATACCACAGAATGCGACAGAAGTTGAATAAACTCAGAAAACCTACTGGTCGGGCGGGTTTGGAGGAGTTCGTTTACTTTCGATCGCCTTTTGGAACGCCCAGGCCTGGTTGACAGGCGGCGCGTTGTGCTCGATCCACGTTGTTAGTACATTGTCCATATCGTGGCATGTATTGTGGCCAAATGATATCTTCGACTAAATTTTAAATCCAGTACCCAAGGGCCATCACTTGCAAAGAGCAGTGTAGCTCTTGATCGCAAGACCAATGGGGCCCCCAAAGGCGGCTCGTGCATAGACAAATGATCTTTCTAGCCACCCCGTAGCTATACGGGGCTAGACCGTAGTGCTTACGAGGAGGATGGACCCGTATGCAAGCCAAGACACGCCAACGAATCAAGCTGCATGTTTCCGTTTCGCATGCAATTTAATACCGTAAGTTGATGAAGGCACGGGGGGAAAAAGCAAGAATCAGACAACATGTGGCCCCACTCGTTTCTTCTCCAAAAGAAAAAATCGCAAACCTTGAATATTACTCGTGGACACACGAGCGCACTAACTGAATGTAAATAAGACGAGCTGGCCATACAAGTTGAGGCGACAGGTTTCGTTAACGCTTCACCCGAATAGAACTGGTGGCTATCAGGATCGCTAGTTGCAGAAGGGCCGACGGCACAAGACGTGGTGTTCAGAGATTGGCGGAGACCCAATTCTTAGAGTTTGGTGGACATTAGAGTAAGCAGAACTAGGCGAGTGTGCTGCGATTATCATATTTAAGAGGGAGGCGTCAAGCCGCCTGTCAAAAGTGAGTGACAATGAATCAAACCCACAAATTCAAGATAATTGCTTAGCTTGGCCTTGGTGGGAAGCTAGTGACAATCTTGAAGAGAAGGCAGATTGACTGACGCCCCACCGAAGTAAGCGGATTAAGAACTGATTTCTGACCAAGCGAGTATACTGTCGCTCTTCGCGATCAATTGAACCTCAAATATCGATATGGCCGATCCATACGGAAGGACTAGGAGTCCTGAATCTTGGGATGGAGAAGCGGAAGTGGGGGACGATACAATGATTCCTAGGTCCGTTGTTGAACAATGGCTGGGTCGGGCTTTTTCTGCCATCAATAGACTTGATTCATTCCGAGATGAAACTACTAGTGAACTTCGTCACTTACTCAGAGAATTCCCCGGAGTGGGCGCCCTACCGCTGGAAGTCCCTCCACCGAGGAGAGGAAGAATTCACCGGAGAATCAGCGATGCATCATCATCGAGGGCAAATTCTAGAGCGGTTTCGAGAGAGAATTCAATAGCAGAGTCAATTTCATATGAGAGTGAAGTTGTGACAAAAGAATTGACACCGTCGATCCGATATACATCATGGATCGATATGGTCCATGGGCAATTTACATCGCCCCACACAAGAGAAGGCACGTTCATTTACGGCAAAAGGAGAACTGGAAAATATTACACGATCGAGATTCCCATGAACGAGCCATCTGTCGCCGACATAAGTTTCACTAGGAAACCAGATCGGAGAAAGAAAGACCAGAAGAAATCCGCAACTGAAAAGGAACCTTGGTCTGCGAGCGATTCCGGTCCTCACCTCGACGGGCTACCAGAGCGGATAAGAATCAGCTCTCAGAGACTGGTGTCTTTCTTGAATCACGAATTTGTCGATGGTAATCTTGCGTTTTCTGTGGGCTCCGCAGGTTTTTCGATGCTCCGACCGTTCAAGTTTCTCATTCATCATGACAAGCGGTTTCGAGCACGAGTCAAGGAGCTAGAGGGGGTTCTCAATCGACTCAAAGAGAATGCACCGGATGATTATGACGAGAGCGTTTCGATCCACACAGACTTCATAAAGCGAAACTGGCAGGGGCTTCAGTATAGCTTGACTGAACTAACCGGAATCCTGGCAGATTGCCATTGTTTGCTTGCATTCATGGATAAGCAGCTATACCCAGAGCAAGCCCGGTTAGCTGCTGGCCCAGATACTGTGCGCTTTTGCGACCTCTTTTTCCTGTTCCCACGAGGATCCCTTGTGTATGTCAAAGACTCCGGTATTCCACAAAAGATTTGGCGGGTCATGCAAGCATCAGGCGGTCGTCGAAGTATGGCCGAACCCGAAGAAGGGCTGCACTATCGGTTTCCGTTCACACATTTCCAGCTTGAGTGCTATTATCTGGACCATAACGGCAAGACTTTTGTTAAAATTCAAAAAAGATTTCAAATCATGGACTTCGACGGAGCCCTTCCCGTCAAATCACTGTCCGTTTTGCCATTTATAGTTGCGGAAAGAGACCTTGAGCTGGTTAACCGAGAGGCCCTCATTCAACGGGGTAAACAGTTCGTTGAGTGCACTGGGAAGGTGTCTCATTTAGACTACAGCGGAAGAAGTCAAAACATGACTCCGAAAGGGCAGAAGCTCACAGAACTGGCCGAAGGGGCTAAAAGTTCGCTGTGCTTCTCCGAAAGGATTGAGGGTGAGGTCATGGTGGACTTTTCCCGCGCGTTGCAAGAAGTTCCAGGGTGGAAGATAGAGTCCAGTGAGTTTCATTTCAGTACGACAACTCGACACGAGACTGGGAATGAAATAGGAATCGATGACGATAAAAGGTGGGAAAATGCGTTGACAGACGAGTTCTTTGAAATGGAAGAGAATAGGTGGCGCGCGTGGGATAGAGGGAATGAAGTTCCATCAGAGGAGGAGGATCTTCTACTGCTGCCCGATCGTATTTTTGCATTTGTCCTGCCGAGTAGACGATGGGGTGCGTATTTCCTTTCAATCCCATTATTCAGGCCGAGGTGGTGAGATGGTCTCTAACTGGTATTAGCGTGCTTGCAAATTGGCAAAGGCCCCGATGGAAAAGATCAGTTACGCCCTCGAACTCCGGAGGACAATCCTTGGGAGAAATTGCAACTTCCACCTGGTCACAAAGAGCTGGTGCAGTCTCTTATTCAGTCCCATTTCTCCCAGACTCACTCTTCGACGGTACATTTTGATTTGTTGAGGAATAAAGGTATGTGCCATCAACCGGACGTTTTGTCAATTTTAACCGTCCGCTGATCAAAAATAGGAAATGGAGTCATTATCCTATTGCATGGTGTTCCAGGCGTGGGCAAAACGTCAACAGCAGGTATGATATCAATGAACGCTCTCGCATATGTCATGCAGGAGTTAACAGCTGGATAGAATGCGCCGCCATCAGTACTAGCCGGCCATTGCTTCCAATCACCTGCGGTAAGGGACCTTGCCCCAGACCTGCGACAATAATACCACCACTGACAAATGGAACTGTAGGCGACCTAGGATTGAGCCCAGGAGAAGTTGAAGAAAAATTGAAAGAGGTATTTCGACTTGCCCAGGATTGGGGCTGTGTTATGCTGTTGGACGAAGCCGATGTCTTTCTCGCCCAACGATCAGTTACTGACACAACTAGAAATGCCCTGGTTTCCGGTAAGTGCGATCATGGTATAGCAAATTTGGTCCTCGACTAACATCCGATCAGTCTTTCTGCGTACATTGGAGTACTATGAAGGTATTCTCTTCCTTACCACGAACCGTGTTGGCGTTTTTGATGAAGCTTTCCGATCCCGAATCCATATGTCGTTGTATTATCCCTCGTTGGAGCGCATGCAGACCATGCGTATCTGGGAAAGGCATGTTCAAGAAGCTGCTAAGGCTGGCATCGAAGTCGATAACGAGTCACTTGTGGACTTCGCCGACATGATTTACGAGACCCAAAAGAATTCTGCGTCCGGTGCAGTGTGGAATGGGCGGCAGATCCGTAATGCATTCCAGAGTGCCCTCGCCTTAGCGGCTTTTCACTCTCACGGTGGTCCAGTCAAACTTGAACGTCGATTTTTCGAAAATGTGTTCAGAGTATCAGATCAATTCAGCAGCTACATCTGGACAACGAAGAATTACCAATCTGACGCGGACCGCAATCGACTGGGCATGGTCCGACGAGACGATTTCAATTATCAATCAATGAGCACTGGAGAATTCGCTTTACAGCAACAACGGCAGCAGCAAAGACAACCAGGTATCTTGCAATCAACATATAGCCAGCGAATTCCACATTCACCGTCGAACATCGGTTTGCAAAGACCCCAGCCACGGGCAGAGCCGATAGCAGGTCTTGCGTCTTATCCAGCCCACGCGCAGCGTCTTGACAACATCCAAGCCGCTGGTATGCGACAGCCAAATATCCGACCGCCAGAGCAGGAGTACCAACATGTCGCGTCAACAGTCCCGCGCCACATGACTCCAGATCCTCTCTATACTAACCAGCCGATTGTACGATCTGAGCAGCCCCTACAATACTCCAATACCGGTGCAATGTATGGCACCGCCGATCCGGAACTTCGCGTACCGTCCACACGTCAGACAATGTTTACGCCTCCGCCACCGACGAATCCACAGGGAGGCCACTACTAACTACTATAAGCAAACGAAACCACATGCAAAGATTTTCAAGCTGTGTTTGATGACTGGACACAAAGCATATTCCGTGTATGTATACGACCCGCATGACAGATTGTATTTAGGTGTATTGCCCATTGATCATTTGAAAATAAACCACCCCGAAAGTCATGGGAAAGGCTTCTCACCAGCCAGTACGCGCCCGCAAAACCATCATTAGACATCCAATACCCCTGCACAGTGACCCAATAAGTAGCAGAATACTATATCAAGATCATGATCAGATGCGATCCTTTATTTTGTGGATTTTGAACTTACCCGCTGTCAAACCCTGTTCGGCCAAATGTGTAGCCAGTTTGGTATCCAGCAACCTTCATGTCGTATAAATACTCAAGACGTTTCACATGCTCATTCACAACAGCCTCTGTGAACCAAAGCTGCACGATAATTCATCAGCTGTGAAAATCGATCACGTCTACAAGCAAAACAACTTACACCTGGACTCATGTCCCAAAGCCATTCCAAATGCCAGTTTTTTACCGTCGCCAACCGAGGCTGCGAGCCACCAAGGACGGCGATGACAATGGCCATAAGAAGGCAAACGAGTGGGCTATTTGCAGGACTAGAGATCGCGATCGCGACGGATCCAAGGCCGTATATGCCTATTAATTTGCATTAATTGTGCTCGTTCCTGGATTGGGGGATCTTTCAAACCCACAATAGAAGTAAAGGAAGTTCAATGTAAGAAGCATGTTAAATGACGCGAATGGGGTAGCTAGAACCAGGTATACAGTAGTAAAATGTATCGCGGCGAGGAAAAGGCGAGGAAGCACGGCAATTGCTTTTCCGATGAAGTATGCACTTTCCGAGTGCCCGGAGTGAGATTCGCGTTTAAAGACGAGTTCTATATTCTATTATTAGAATGAATTGAGAACACAAGTAGGGTAAGGCAAAATACCTTCTTCTGCAAATGTCGCCACGCTTGGATAAGCTGCCGAGAATGCTGTGATGGGTGTTAGTGGATATGAAGGACAAGAACAGGGTCGGAACTTACAAATCGCAAGACAAGTCAAAACTCCAATTTCAGTCACGGTGCCATAATTCACAGCGCTTGAAAGTGTACTGAACGGGGATAAATAAATTCCTTGAAATACCTGGCCATGGAACTCGTGAGCAACCAGTCCAATGAGAGTTCCAGTTAAAGCTGCACCGGTGATCTCGACTACAAAAACAGCAAGCTGTCTGGTTTGCTGGAGCAAGTCACGCAGAATACAGAGCCATATCTGTCTGTACCAGGGTGCAAACCTCTTGTTATAGTCTGCTTCAATCCTGCGAAACGATAAATCTGTATGCTCTCGATCGCTCTCTCCCGACGACGAATGTGCCATTGTTTCGTTCGGCGATTTTGGCTGCTTCCATTCTTCTAGCTTGGTCCGACCAGCCTCAAATTTACCAGAAGCGATATCAATTATGAGGTCGGCAGGGTTAAGTGTGGGGTTGAAATGAAATCCTTGGTCTTCGAAATATTGCTTCGCATTCATTGCTTTGCCGCTGTATATGCATTGTCCCTGTTCCAAAACGAGGAGACTGTCTAACGCTTCGAATATTTCGACACGAGGTTGGTGAACAACACAAATGACTGTGAGGCCTTCTTTGGAGAAACGCTTTAGCAGAGCCATTATGGATAGGGCAGCTTGGGCGTCAAGTCCAGATGTCGGTTCGTCGAGGATTAGAACTTGAGGTGCCGCGACAAGTTCCAAGCCGATACTAACTCTTTTCCTTTCTCCGCCAGAAATAATAGGTTTTTGTGGTGATCCAACAACACTTGATTTAACTTTTGTTAAGCCCAGACCATCAATGACGAGGTTCACACGTTCTTGAATCGCTTGATCGTCTAAATTACCTCCAAGTCGGACCCGTGCTGAGTGTAGGATATTCTCAAATACAGTCAGATGTGGATGAACAATGTCATCTTGCGGGACAAATCCTATCAGCGCAGGGAAGTGATATCCTCTGTCAACCTGTGTTAGTGATATCGATATTTGGAAGATATGGATTGAGTGAAACAGACTTTGCCAAATCTCGTGGAACTTTGTTGAGCATCAAAGATCCCGAATCAGCCCGAACTTTACCAACAAGTATGTTGGTAAGAGTAGCTGAATTGTTTTAAAGGTTCAGTTAGTGAAATTTTATCTGGGAGATTTTAACTTACTCTTCCCAGATCCAGATTGCCCCATAATACCCGTCAGGCTCTTGGAGTGCGCTTTGCCAGTGACACCAGATAAAATGAAGTCCCTTGTTTTTGGCTTGCGCAAAGAAATATTCTCGAATTCCAGGTCCATTCCGACATTGTTAGAGTCCAGCGCAAATAATACCTCGAGCCAATCTCCAGTATCTGGGCTATCCTGATCTTCCGATCGCATTTCTATATTCAAACCCAGCTGTTCTTTTCCTTCGTTTCTCTTCACCAGACTGCTTCGACTCTTCATGTAGAAGAAGACGAACAAGAATATTAATGAGAAATCCAGAATGCCACACACAAGAAATCCGAGGAAGGGAAGCTCATATTCACTTCCTTGGTTACATTTCGACAGCGCTTTGCATTTTATCGGCTCAATAGTTCCCCGTGGACAATAGTTTCCCTTTGGACAGATGACTTGCTCTTTCCCACCGGCTGGGCAATAGTATCTTGGCTCGCATGGTATTGGCTCATACACACCTTGTGGCTGAGCACATGTATTTTCGGTGAATTGAAGTCTGGTGATGAGACATTCCGCCGTTGGTGGGCAATAGACTGGAGGATGCTGCGCAGTGTTGTTTGGACCTATTCTCGAAATCAAGATTAGTATGAACACCATTTTATCCGATATTCTACCTAAGCTGGGTAAAACCTACAATAGAACCCAGCATTACAGACGTTCGATGTCGAAAGCGGAACCGCGATTTTCCCAGAGAGGCACTGGCTTGAATTTGCACTCATCGTGAATGTCCAGCGATGGAAGCAAAACTAAAGGCCCAGTGTCATAATTCCACCTGAGAGCCTTCTGGGTATTTATGCCGCCATGCCGTAGGGGCGCTATTTCTCGTCGTTGTTCGATAGCTGTATTTGTTTTTATCATCAGAAAATGAGACCGATGATTGACATTTCTTGTGTTTCTCGAGCAATACACCTGTCGCCATTTCTATCCCACAGAGGATCACAAGTAATCACTATTGAACTCAATCAAAATGAAGGCCTGAGAGTTTGATGTGCCAAGGGGCGCCATATTACCATGTACACCGTCAGTGTCGAATGTGCGTCGCTACTTGCATATTTGCTTTTTCTCTGCCCGTGCCCTCGTGCGTGTCACCCGCAATTCCTCGTCTCTCAAATTTGAGGCGGGCAAACAAAGGCATGCCAAGTAGTCATTTCCATATTGATCGAGTGGTCGCGATCCATGGCAACAACGAGCCGTAGTCTTGTATATTGATTATCAAGTACTGATATCACAACCAAAATATATCAAAGGTTCGCTCAAGTCGGCGCTATATGCATTGAGCATTGAATGTGGGATTTTCAGGGGGTAGAGGGTGCGGAGGCACAAGAAAAAGAAATGATGGAAAATAAAAGCCTTTATGCAGTCAAAGCCGGGTGGAGTGAGTCGATGATCAGGCGCCAGCGCCACTTCAGGAGTTTAATACCCTTCTACTTTGAACGGCTCAGTGTGTGTATCACTTAACTGCAAAGAAGACCGATCTGATCAAAGTTGAAGTTGGTCGTCGCATACCATGAGCCATCCTCTCCTAGTTAGTTAGTTAACCAGCAGATGTGAATTTCGGCCTCATTTCTGAGGCATACAAACTCAAGCAAAACCGGAAACTTTAATTTGAAGCCTTAGGAATAAGGCACCTAGGCCGACATGTTCATTCAACCAACAAAAATGCATCCTATGCTCTACCTTCACCTCTAGCTAGATCATTTGTTAGCAAGATTGAGACTTGTGATATTTTCAAACAATGCGATTCGAATAATTTTTGGTACCTACATTCAAGTTGACCAGCCTATAATGCCTAGTTCAAAAACCACATGTTCAACCAGTGATGTCAGAGTCGGTCCAGTTTTTCACTCCAATCTGTCCTAATTCGACGCTTTATGCTATAACCATGGAGTACTCAATCAATTTTCCAGGTCAGTTTTGATCGAGGTACACTACGGAAATAATTTTAGCTGATCCAGAGCCGCCGCTGGGTTGTCTCGCGCACTTGAACAGAGAAAGATCATGAATATATATTGCAACGGGAAGGCGATATTCCCAGTAAAAACTTCTTAATTTCACGTTTAATTCTGGAATGGCAGGCTTAGTGAACTCGTTTTATGCACCCATCCATGCATGATCTTATTCAACTATTGCCAACAGAGGGTTTGCAACTTGAAGGTTAAACCGTTTGCATTAATGATGCAAGACGTTGACTAGTACCAGTAGCATGGCGGCTACAATGGCGGCTACCATGGCGGGCACCAAGCGGATGTGGCGATTAGGCCCACTGGCAGTGGTGCCCAGGTAGAGTTGCGCTTTTAGATCTAATCGCTGGCCTTTAAATTTGAAAAATGAAAAGCTATAGTTGAGAAAATATCAATGGAGGAAATAATTCTGACCTATTGCTTTGGTGTGAGACGGAGGAAAGGGCTGCACGCACCTCAAATGCGCAGTGCATCCAATAATGCGATCATAACCAAACGAACCGGGGTCATACACATTGGTAGCTTCTCCACGCTCAATACCTTGTTTTAAATTCCAAATATTGAGTGTTTCCAGCAGTGCATTTCCCCACGACTTCAGCCTTATTCGTCAAAATCATTGGGGTGCTTGATTAGTGGGGCAATACACATCCAATGACGCGGCGATCTACAAAATAGTAGAAGGAATGTGTGGAAGAGATGGAAACTCTCTTTAGCCCGAGCCGATAGTATCGGCTTAACTCCACAGCAAGATCTGTAGATCTCCGACCTCACCAACTCCAAAGATGTGATTTGTCCCACCATCCTCCACAATCATACAAGAAAGACGGGGTGTGCTCCGCATTCTTCAATTTTCCCCACGTCGATCATGGCCTACCCCAAATCCAGGTCTCGGGATTGTTCTCTCTTCTCAATGCCGACCCCCTCGAATTACTTGTGAAGACGAAATCAGGTAACTATAAGTATCGAGCCCATCCAGCAATGCGAGTCTCCTTATCCCGATCACCATTCACACAAACACCCAGCCATACCCAATCCAACATGACATCCCAACCTGAGCCCGATCTTAACAGATTAGAAGCTGGAGACACCAACATCACCTCTTCCAGCCAAGAATCCGACCGAAAGCCTCAGCATCCCGCATACCTCGACTATGGTCCCCTCGCACACGTGAACACAGCAGAGACGCGACTCGCACCATTTGGTGGCGAGCTTCAACCCGGCCTCTACCGCTCAGTTGCAGAGCGCAAGATCGCGAATCCCGCGCCATTGGGCTTATGCGGGTTCGCACTGACCACATTTGTGCTCGGATGCATTAATATGCAAGTCCGTGGAATTACAGAGCCGAACATGGTTGTCGGCCCGGCATTCGCATATGGTGGATTCGTTCAGATCCTCTCTGGAATGTGGTATGTATCGCGATCAAATAAAGCTGAGAATTGGTGCTGACTTTTTGTTTGCTATAGGGAAATGGCGGTCGGAAACACGTTCGGTGCAACGGCATTAACATCCTATGGAGGCTTTTGGATCTCGCTCGCGATCTCTTTCACACCAGGTGGATTTGGGATCCAGAAATCTCTCGTTGCAGCTGATAATGGAAGCTTGGGAATGTTCTACGATTCTCTCGGTATCTTTATCATGGTACGGACCACTCCGCATACAATATCCACTCGATGAGATCATATACTAACATTCGATTCTCATAGGGATGGTTCATATTTACTTTCCTGATGATGCTCTGTACGATGAAGTCCACTGTTGTATTTTTCAGCCTATTCTTTTCGGTCGACATCGCTTTCCTCCTTCTCGGTACCGGATACTTGTGTCGCAATGCTCAGCAGGAACCAAACGCCAACCTTCTCAAGGCGGGTGGATTGTTTGCGCTCGTCGCGGCATTTCTAGCGTGGTGGGTGGCTCTTGCTGGTGTGGCTGATAACAGCAATAGCTTCATCCTTCCACCTGTCTGGCACTTCCCCTGGTCACCCAAAGGTAGGGAATCGAGGAAGAACTTGAAGGAGTGATTGCGGATATTTGATGAGATATGGTTCTTTCGGGGCTACTTTGGTGCTCCTAAGCCGTGGCAAGTTGTATCTACAAGAACACGCAAGCTATAGCCACGGTCGGATATTGCATTGGGAAGGAATTCGAGACCACCCAGGTGGCAATGTCTATTTATATTTATTCAAGAGAAATAATGATTGTAATTTATGGCCATTCCTGTTATATTCGTACATTTTTAAGTGTATCCGAGTGCTACAGGACAAGTAACTTTCAGGTAGCGCTGTGATAATTGCTCACGCCAGTCATCACCTTTCTGACTAGTGACGATGATATCAAGCTCCCTAATTAGCTCATTGCTAACATCGTCCCATGCATTAATACCACTGCCGCTATGCAGATTCGCAAGAGGCGTAATATCAAAGCGATGGCCTGCCCATTTCCCATGAGAAAGGTTTCTTCCATGACCAGTTATCACAGGCTGACTAGACCACGAGATCCGAGACAGCAAGACCTCCGAAAATCCAATAACATCAATATGTGGTCCATGAATGAAAGAATCCTTCAATGCGATCGCCTCGCCACGCACATATTCCTTCGTAGTGAGGTTCCGGAGAATCCATGGCTGATCGCGGGGATAAAAATCCAACATCTCAGGTCGTAGGCCTGTCAGAATCTCCGTACGGTCGGCTTCAGTCATCGGGTGCTGTGCTTCATATTGCCGGAACCTATCTTGAAGTTTCTGCGATAGCGATGTTTCCCCGACCTTCCTCCATGTATGGTTGATCGACTTCGTGTTGAGATTGTGGACGCGGTTCAACTCTGCCAATTCCTCCTTTTCGCGTGGGTTTAAGAGGCCCGGGGGATAATCGCGTGGATCAACTCGGTTGCCGACACACATTATGCGCTCGCCAGCCCATGGCGCCGATGACATGACGATGTGATCTTCTATTTGGGTTAGTCCGATGGCCCAGAAGTATCGACTTGCAAGACTCAGGCAGAGGATGTCCTGTATATCATCAAGAAGGGTGAAGATAGCACGGTGGAGCTTCGACGGGAGGGAGTGGAATGATTTGGTCCGCTCATCGCGGGCGTTAGCTATAATCACGTCGCTGTCATGTTTTTCAATCCGGGCGACTTTTGTCAGGTGGGTCGAGGATAGGCAGCTTTTTCTGGTTCGTCTTGTGCAAAACTCTTCTTTTTCGTCTTCGATGTTTTCTCCGGGAAGGACTTCCAGGATTTCGCTTTCACTGCTATTGTCAGCGGTTTCAGTGTTAAATAGCGAGTCCACTTGACGAACCTGTGAGTATGCAATGGCACTGCTAAGAGAGGTACAAGATTGTATGCACTTCCGGATAACAAGGCCTCCACAAGTTCACCCAGACATCCAGTTACCTCCTTTCGCTCCGGCGCAATAACGCGCCAAAATTGATCCATCTGTTAGATTTGATAGAAGATGTAGCAATTTCCTTTGTCCTTGGTTGAATTTGTCCTAGATAAGTTGAGCAAATACGTGAGTGGCTAATTCACGTCACAACGACGTATTTAGAGCCACAGCATAGATTTAAGTATAAAACTGTCACCATTGTTTATTGTATACATACTGCAGTACAAATTAACGATAAACCAACTTAGGCATTTGCAACGCCGCGTTGTCTGAAGAATCTGGATTTCATGCAGCAAAACCTAACATCGGGGACTTTTCAGTTCGGGCTAAGATCGACATTGTTTTTGTCCATCGCGTCAGCCGTGGAGCAGACGCGTAAAATCTTGTACAGTCTGACCCTTCAAAAATAATCCGCATGTGCAACCCAAACCTTCGCAGTCAGATCGTAGGCTAACGAGATAATACTGGTACCTTTGGCCAACTTCGTATTCATTTGAGAAATTACCCATAATTTTTTGGCAAGCAGATTGATTCATTCAGGGAATCGCCCGACGGCCCGTCCCGACGTGGCTTCCAGCTTTTTAATCAGTATACAGCACTTAGTTCAAATGGCCATTTAGTAATATCTTAATGGCTACGAGAGACTGAATTCTGGACGCTGTTTTTCTCAAGTCCCCTTACTATCTATGTACCATGAACTTCCCCGGTTTAATTTCCACGTGAACAATTTTGATCACACTTTTCAGCCTCAAAACCCACGAAACCCTCGTGGCGCAATTCGTACTCCGACCAAGTCCACCAACGCACGGATCCTCGGGTTTGCAGAGCACTGTATCGCGGGAGAAAATTTCGTAGATTCGCTCTCCGGGGAGGTCATGTCCGTCGGCGTTCGGTAAAGGGTAATTGCTCTGCACATGTGGTGCCTAGGCCTCATTTGTAATCTCAGGGGTATGAAGCAAGTAAGATCCTATCGACGGAACTTGGCGGCTGGAGATCAACAAAGAACGGCCCCGACGCAAAAGTTTGTTAGCTAGAAGTGGACACTTTTGATCCCATATAGGAGCGAGCTCCATGAAGGCGTCGTGATCTCCGACCGGGAGTGATCGATTGGGACTGGACCACATGGCGCAGTCTGAGATGGATCGAAAAATTGGGAAGAAATAAACAAACCATTGCAGAAACTATCGGAAAATATTCTTATTTTTGAAAAGTAACACTAATAATCCTTCGTATCGCAGGATCAGGGGAACCCTGTCTTTTCAGGGGCATCTTGGGCACTCAAAGCGAACCAGGTGATTGGGAGCTTCGAACGTCATGGTGGGGAAGCCCGATCGCCCGATGGAGATTAGCATGGAAAAAAAGTCCCAAGATAAGCAGCGCTTTCTGTCGCGTCTGGTTAAGACCTCAACATATGACGGTTCTCTTATATCGTCATTGAATACACTGGAATACCGCCGTCGCGGCTTTGGGTGAGATCGTGGCCCCACGCGGCGCGGTCAAAGAGTTATCACAATGGTGAATTACCCGCAACCATCAATTGTCTCTGGTTACTGACTGTCGCAGTTCTCGCGCAAAGGAAAGCGCGGAAAACATGAGGCCTACAGTAAGGGTTCTTCAACTCCCGGCGCATCGACGAAGGATCATTTGACTCCGAGCAAAGCGACGTTGTTTTCGCGATCAAAAGCCTTGTTTAGGGGATCAGTTGCGCCACGCGTTCAAGAGGAGGATGCCAAGGGGCCTTTAGGGCTGGATCTACTCCATTCCCCCGCGGTACCAGAAGTCGACTTCATTTTTGTCCATGGCCTAGGTGGCGGATCTCGGAAAACATGGAGCAAGTCGTCGCTCGATTCGCATTTCTGGCCAAAAGAGTGGCTTGCGAAAGACCCCGCATTCAAACACGTGCGCATACACAGCTATGGATACGAATACGAAAATATGAAGGGTAGGCAAGATGCCTTGAACGTGGACGGCATTGGAAAATCACTGCTAGCCGCGATCAGCACTTCAGCAAACATCGCAAGCTCTGGGACACATATCGTTGTTATTGGCCACAGTATGGGTGGCTTAGCGATGAAAAAAGCACTTACTCTGGCAAGTCAAGATCCATTGTACAGGGAGATATCCGAAAGGTTTTCTGCTTTGTTTTTTCTCGGTACACCTCATCGAGGAGCGAAATCATCAAAAATGTTGAAAAACCTTCTTAAAGTTTCTTACGATCGAGGTTATGTTGATGACCTGGAACCAAACTCCCATGCTATACAAGTGATCAACGATGGCTTTCGTCACTTGTCAGCTGAGATCGAGCTCTGGTCATTCTACGAAACGCAGAATATGAGATTCTTTAGCTCGCTTATTGTTGACTCTGAGTCTGCGACAATCGGATCCCACGGAGAGAAACAGATACCCATGACTGCAGATCACCGATCGATCTGTAGGTTCGAAACACCGGAAGACCCGAACTACATTCTCCTTCGAAACGCACTGGCCTCGGCTGTGAGCACGCAATCGGAGGCAAAGTTGAAGGACGATCGGAAAAAGAATCAACACCTCAGGAAGTTCATTGGTGTCTCCAGTGTCATCTATCATGACCTGGCAAGCATCGGTGAAGTACGTATAGATGGGACATGCACCTGGATTTCGACAAAACTAGGTTACATCGACTGGAGGGATGGACCAAGCAGCGGCGCGAAAGTTCTATGGATCAACGGCCAGCCAGGTGCTGGGAAATCCGTGCTCGCCGCGTACATAATTGAACGACTTAAAGCGGACGGCCAGGACTGCAGCTTCTTTTTCTTCAAACGTGGCGATGACTTGAAGGCCAATCTCAGTTGTTGTCTGCGATCCCTAGCATTCCAGATGGCTAGCTCTAATCCCGATGCTGGACGTCAGGTTTTGGAAATACAGCGAGACTATGACTGTATGGATGCCTTCGACGATGATACCATCTGGCAGAGACTTCTTTCTTCGGGGATCTTTCAAGTCTTAAAAAGTCGGCATTACTGGGTTATTGATGGCTTGGATGAGTGTCCTGACTCTTTGAACTTCTTGAAAGGAATGCTTTCAAAAATGGATCACACCGTCCCGATTAGAATTCTGATAACCGGCAGGGACGCCGTGGATTTGCAACAAGGTTTCTCCCAAATTCCACCCAGATTACTCCAGCAATTCTCCATCTCAACAGCCGACACCAAGTCAGACATGAACCTGCTGATTCAAGAGAGAATGGGCGTCATAGAAGTTATGAGTCGCGCGAATCGATGGGAAGTGGCGCAGAAGATTTTGGATAAATCAGAAGGATCTTTCATGTGGACCATTCTAGTCCTCGATGAGCTTTTTCGCTGCACCAGCAGAAAGCAATGCGACAAAGTTATTGAAGACATGCCCAGGGGAATGGACCCGCTCTACAATCGAACTTTAGTCAATTTGGCACAAGCACGCCATGGAAAAGAATTGGCTAAAATCATCTTTATGTGGGCCGCTTGTGCTGTTCGACCATTGACGATCGCTGAACTTGATAATGCGCTGACGTTGGACTTCAATGATTCTTTTCAAAACTTGGAGAATGCGATATTCCTGCTTTGCGGCCAGCTTGTGGTCGTTGATACGACCAATCGATTGAAGATGGTGCATGAGTCCGCCAGAGGATTTCTGCTTGACAGCCGGTCCGCGTCCGAGTTCCGCATTGACGAGGTTCACTCGCATACTCAGATGGCCAACGTGTGTCTTCAATACCTCACCGGACTGGAAATTAAACCCCCAAGAAGCAATCGAAGTCGACTCCCAGCAGATTTAGCAGCAAACAGACAAGACTTCGCCACCTATGCATACACAGCCTTTTCATATCACCTCTCAAGGGCTGACCCGAAATCCTCGGAAACACTCAAGCTCCTCATGAAGTTTTTGAAGTCCAACGTTTTCACCTGGATTGAAACCATTGCTGCATCCGAAAATCTTTACCACCTTGTCACCGCATCCAGACGTCTTCAAACATACGCAAGCTCATGCGCATCCGTGTCATTGAAAGATCCCAGAATTGAAGAATTGCGACAGTGGGCTACAGACTTTGCTCGCATCCCCGCCATGTTCGCCAACTCTCTCAGTGCATCACCTTCTAGTATCCACACAGTGATACCTCCATTCTGCCCCACTCGCAGCATGGTGTACAACAACGGAAACTCACGTCCCAGGATTGAAGTTCTTGGTGCCTCCAACCCACACTGGAACTCCAGGGTTATGTCGATCAACTTTCCCCAGGGACCTCCGAGGATAATTCGGTATGGTGAGCACTTTTTGGCGGTCGGCTTTATGTCAGGGTCATTCATCCTGTACCACATCAGGTCATACGAAGAGTATAAGATTCTTGATCACGGCGAAATGGTCCAGTTCATCGCGTTTAAGCCCAACTCCGACCTGTTGGCAACCTGCGGTGTCAAGGTCACCAAAATCTGGGACGTGAAATGTGGAGAGGTAGTTCACATATTTGACAGCCCTTCACGCCCGCTTGGAATTGTCTGGGACTCTGACAAACTTCTGATATCGAGTAGTGACAACTACGTTGCTACTTGGACCTTGGACCAAGGTACGCTATCCGAGTCAGAGCCGATCAAATGGAACACCTCAGATACAGAAGACGATACCCAGAAGCCCTCCCCTGGCACCCCGGCTGCCATGGATATCTCTACTTCTCACGCTATGCTTGCTGTCGCTTATAGCCGTCAACCAATCATGCTTTGGGACTTGGAAAAGACTGAGTACAAGGGCACCTGCGGCAAGAAACAAAGCAACGGAGAGGTTGGCAACTTCCCAATCGTCACTCTTGTGTTCAACCCGAATCCCGACTTGAGACTTCTCGCGGCATTATACATGGACGGGGGTGTTGTCGTCCTTGACCCCAAGACAAATCGCCAAGTAACATGCTCACGGGCCAATTGCCAAAACATAGCATCTAGTCCCGATGGACGCCGACTTGCAGCGAGTGCAGCGAATGGCATCATACAAGTCTATGAATTTGCCTCTTTGAAGCTCATTTATCAAGTCAACGGATTCGACTCTTACATAAAGGATCTTGCCTTTTCGACGGACAGTATGCATCTCGCGGACGTAAGGGCCAATCAATGTACTGTCTGGGCACCGCTAGCCCTGGGAGCAGAGTCAAGGAGCGACAGTAAGACAGATTCAAGCTTTACACCAGTGTTTGAAGAAGTGTCAATTGGTTCAAATGCCAGAATCAATGCCATCGCCGTTCATCACACATCTGATGTCATATTTGCCGGAAAGGCAGATGGGTTGATCGAGTTGTACGATCGGAAAACAGCGGAGAGCTTGGGATCGATTACAACTCATAAGGCAGCTATTCATTTGTTAAGCTGGATTCAACGAAAGGATTGCCTGCTTAGTGTTGATGCCTCTAGCAAGATAATCCTCCACAGAATCCGAAAGTCAGACAAAGGATGGCTGGGTGGTCAGGAGGTAATCTTCAATCATCGACTTGACATCTTCAGCGCGATTGTTGATGTCCTGGTCGATGAGACCAACGGAAAGCTCATGGTATCCACTTGCGAGTCTGATCATCTATTTGACATTGAGAGCCAGGAATGCGAAAAGGAGGAGAGATACGAGCTAACCGACAAAACTCGCAAATGGCTCCTTGACCCAACATCTTCTTCTCGGTTGATCCGCGCAGAAAGCAAAAAACTCTGCATGTATACCTGGAGTGACTTTTCTGAGTGTTCATCTCTGTCATTGCCTGTTGGAAATGACATGGTAGACTTGAAAGGTGCGAACATTTATCAATTTGGCGGAAGACAGGCTATCATCCTTGAGTTGTTGTCTATCAGTGGTAGCAAAATCACGATAATCGACGAGGATTGCCTTCCTGTGCAAGACACTCGACCAAAATCAGAAAGCGGCGCCAAGGAACAACTGTCTGCTGGTACGGACGTCAAGATTACTAGGTCTTTCACAAGCATCCCATCGCCTCCCCAAGTTATTGAACTGGAGCTAGATGCCACGCATATCCTTGGCATATACGAGTCGAAACTAGTATTTTTAACTCGATCTTCATGGGTATGCTCAGTGGAACTTCCGCGGACTGGTCTAAGCCTCTCGGAATATTCAAATTCCCAGATGCTAGAGATCCATGAGCACTTCTTCATTCCACGCGACTGGTTTATAGGACAAAGCAAAATTCCTTGTGTCATTTCGAAGGACGATGTTATATTGACTCGTGGTGGTGATCTTGCTGTTATTCGCGGTGGACTTCAACATACCGAACGAGTTGTACAGAAAAGCAGATAGTCGATAGTCAGGACGGGCGCTGGAGGGTGTTTTCTGCTGCGTTTTCAACTGCAAATTCTCCTGTACATTATTTACCACTTTCATTAGGACATTTCCTATTAGGTCAGCTGAGAGCCACATCTCTGACTTGGCCTTCTTTCTTCTCCCCATGCAGTAGCATGTCTTTGGTTCTAGCAACCTGTATATATTTGCTCTTATTTTAATACAGAGATGTCAGTTAGTAAATCATGCTATAATTATCGATTTGCGTGCGTATAAATAAGTAGTATGACTAGTAGTACGTGGATAAAAGTAAAAAGTGAAGTGACAACTACTATATGGTTAGGAGGTTCCAGATATTGAATGCTTCGCAAATTCCCTTTTCTTTCCTCCCTCCTTATGCATCTGCTGGTACTATCCAAAAGCGTCGCATACTACCCGTCGTTCTTTTATCAAATCGCGTGGTATCTCAAATTTCGCTCTCGTTCAAGTATCTATTTATCATCCGCGTGAACACTCCAACTCTCGATATGACATAATCTAATATGAGCACTGCACATTATCTACTACTAGTGATTAAATCCGTATTTTGCGTTTCATCCCGTAGAGACAACTCAACTATATCCCATCAAAGCAGTCCTCACATTTCTAGGGTGGACAAATAGACCCAAGTCATACTTATGCCAAGTAGCCGACACATCAGGAAGAAGTGGATAAAATACAATGAATGAATTGAACAGATTCCTGTCAAGATGCTACTCAATTCAGTGTCCCAAATTGAGCATCAGCACGAGCACCACACTTCCCGCGGGGAAGTCGAACCTACGAGGGAAGCAAGGTTGGATTTCTGTGAAGAGGCGCTGGCTTGATTGGAGGAGCATGGTGGATAAAAGAAACACGATTCTTCCCCGTTGCTTTAGGCCCTTGGCATATGTTATTAAGAGTCAATTTACTGTGGCTTTCCGCGGCAGAGTTCTCCGCTATCATTTGACTTATACATTGCATGCAAGCTTTTAGAACCACGATGCCAATTGCGATTTGAGTTTTACCCCGCATTTTCTTCCAACGTGGCTTGAGCCCATTATTAGTGGGCGAAGGATGATGAGGGGGAAATGGAATGACATAGATTGTACGCGAAGGAATGCCTTGGCACAAATAATGGGGTCTTTGCTTTTTCGTTGGTAATAGAAACTTGACAGCCGAAAATATTATTGCGGGGAAGGGATAATTCATTGCACTAAGGGGTTAGCTCTGCACAATTGCTGGTCCAATGATGAACCTCGGGAATGATAATGTGTGTGATAATCTCATATTGACTTTTGGAAGCGACTGTTTGCCACACATCACCTTCTAAGGTTGGCACTAGCATCGGCAAGACACCGGTCAAATGGCTAGTTAGCGTGGGAAATGTTAGGAATGCTGGCTGGCAGTGGTTGAACCTCCCCAAGCCTCGCGACAACTGCCTATAATCAGATCGCCTAGTCACTAGTGACTTTCCGGACTCACACCGACGTAACATCCGTGACTAAATGAAAATAACGTTATTTTGCTTATCGCTTGGAATCAAGCCACCGAAAAGGGGAGCGAGATAACACATTCCGTGCCAAGCACATTCCCTCAAATCTACCCCACGCCGTCTTCGCACCGGATTTCCAATTGGCTCCCCGCAGCTGGATCTGGGGCTCAAGGTTTCGTGTTCTGCCTTATCTCCGATCTGCATTCTAATCCGCCATGAGTTATCGTTGCACGAATATGGCAGTTTCGCTCCACTGGGGCACCAATTCTACTTAAAAGGTTGATGTCCTCGCCTCCAGACCCGGCCGATTCTTTTGCTGTCTCAGTATCTATCATCCCGTCAATTATCCAGCCATTGTACGATAAACATGGCACAAGACGATACGAGGGGTGACTCCACTGGAGTGGACATCGAAATGTCTGTGAAAGGCGTTGACCCGAAGCTGGTCCAGCATTCCGGTGACGCCGATGAGGCTATGAAGGCCTTTGACGAATTGCAGGGTGAAGTGATTGAGATTGACGAGGCAACTAACCGACGTCTGTTGCGGACAATTGACTGGCACATCATGCCACTGATGTGTTTGGTCTACGGCATGAATTTCCTCGATAGTGAGTCCCGAACAATCTGCGAGAATCTTTACCCGGGCGTGGCTAATTTCAACTAGAAACAACATTATCCTACGCTAGTATCATGGGTCTGAAAGATGACTTGGATCTAGTGGGAGATCAATACCAATGGCTTGGCAGTTTATTTTATTTTGGTGAGTGCGCATTCTGCCGACCGCAATTCTTATGCTAATTCCAAACCAGGATACATTGCTTGGGAATACCCGACCACGAGGTTGCTTCAGCGTTTGCCTTTGAGTAAATATTCGGGCACATGTATTGTGCTTTGGGGTATGATTCTGAGCTGCTTCGCCGCAGCCAAGAGTTACTCCGGTGCCATCGCAATCCGAATCTTCTTGGGTGTTTTTGAGGCTGCGGTAACACCAGGCTTTGCTCTATTAACTTCTCAGGTAAAATATCCTCTCAATTCCCGAATTCTGGCAATTACTGACACATGAATTCTACAGTGGTACACACGCAACGAACAAGGAAAGCGTGTCAACATTTGGTACAGCTTCAACGGCTGGGGCCAGATCTTCGGTGGTCTGGTCGCATACGGAATCGCAGTAGGAACAGAAAAGCATGGATCCGACATCGCGCCCTGGAAGATTGTATTCCTTTTCACCGGACTGCTCACCGTTGTCCTTGGCATTCTATTCCTCTGGATTGTCCCAGATAACCAGCTCAATGCACGCTGGCTCAAGAAGGAAGACCGTATGCTTGCTGTTGTCCGTGTGCGTGGAAATCAGCAGGGTATTGGTAACAAGAACTTCAAGTGGTATCAGGTCAAGGAAGCCTTGATGGATCCGATGAGCTGGGCATTCTTTTTTTTCGCGCTCATTGTTGATATTCCTAATGGAGGCATCACCAATTTCTTCAGCCAGCTGGTATGTTTCATATCTCGCACTATTTGAATTCAAGCTGACTTTTTTTTTTTCTGTTTTCTAGATTACAAGTTTCGGCTATACTCAAGAACAGAGTTTGTTATACGGCACACCTGCTGGTGCTGTCGAGGTCGTCGCTCTACTATTGAACGGATACATGGGCGACCGAACAGGTCAACGAATTTTGTGTAGTTTAGGAGGTCTCTTCACGGCTACACTCGGCGTGATCCTCATCGTCGCACTGCCGCTCGAGAACAACGTCGGTCGATTGATTGGTTATTACATGACGCAGGCTTTCCCAACATGTTTCGCCGCCTTACTCTCGCTGATTTCATCCAATGTGGCCGGATACACGAAGAAGACAACCGTCGCTGCCATGTACTTGATCGGATACTGTGCTGGCAACATCATCGGTAATTGCAATCCAACCTCTCGTAAATTTCTCGTTTCTTCGCTAATACTAATATTCTCAGGTCCTCAAACATTCCGCCCCCAGGACGCTCCCCGTTACGTCTCCGCTGAGATCACCATTATTGTTTGCTGGGGTATTTGTTTGTTCATCATGCTATTCATTTGGTGGTGGTATAACAAGGAGAACCGCCGCAAGGAGGGAATCCGCTCTGAGCCTAACTATACACGTTTGGAAAACCAGGAGTAAGTTTTTCTTCCCCCTTGCTTGCTGTCACCTTTCTAATGAATATCTAGATGGCTTGACCTTACGGATCGGGAGAATCACGACTTCATTTATACCCTTTAGATTTTACAGTTTACGAGAATTTCATGTCACTTCTATTTACAATACCTTCTGCGTATCATCACCTAGTACTAATAAATATGCTGGACGCACTGACAACGCACTCCGTGGCAAGCAACGATCGCAGCACAATTAATGCTACCAATTCGGTATGGACAAACCCATATCTACAGTCACCAATCGCATTCAAAATTTGTTATAAAATGTAAGAAATCTATGGCATACACCGGAGGACAATACGGGTTGATCTCAAAGTCTATTGCGATCCTGCGATGCGAGACAAGGCCGGCCTTGGCGCCGATTGCGTCCGAGACCTTTCCGCATAATCCCGACCCGACCGGCTCCATAATGTCGAACTCTGATAAGGGTCCTTGGAAATATTAGAATGGAATTTAGGTTATTTTGACGTGATAATCTATCTCAAAGTGCCTCAACCGGTAGATGGCACGATCACCTTCGGTTTAGAAAGATTCATGAGAATCCGTAGCCAATTAATCGGCCAGGCCGATATCGGCACCGATAAGTTCAAGTGAAAATGAAGGATGGCAGTGTAAGATATTTCCAACCCATTTTGTCCAAAATGGTAAAGATGAAAGTAAAAATCAAAGAAATAGACACCTCGAATGCCAGTTTGGCAACAATTTTGGTTCGAAGATCTGATCCCAGACTCTATGGAAACTGCCTAGGTGCAATGTGTTGTTGATGAAACCTGCGAGTCATCCTAAAGCACAACACCCGGGACTTGTTTTTTATCCACATTCACATTCCTCCAGATAGCAATGCAAGGCCAGCCCAATGCGACCGCTGCCGTGGCCACAATGCAGATATATTTCTGCGAGTCTCCCCAAGCAGCGTCAATAGCATTTCGAATCTCAGATCCCATAGGATATTCCATCTGCGCGACATAACCACCAATATAGATAGTATTCCAATCAGCCTTAGATGCAGCAGGTAAGCCGGCGATTAAATTTTTCGGAAAGACATTTGTATAAATAGCAGAAGAAGCAGTGCTTCCTGCTGCTCCACCGAGACTAGCAAATAGTCCCAAAATGGAAAGCATCATTGGGACACCGTCATGATCTGCAGCACTCATAACCGCCATCTCCTGCCCAATTACTAACGTGCCACCAGCAACAGCAATAAAAATCTGACACATGACGATGTAACCGATTCCTCCATCCTGACTGCGGAAGTGGATCATAAGACCGGATCCGAGCAGCATAAGTGGTAGGCCGAAGAAGAGGCATGCGTTTTTAAAGTGCTTAGTTTGTCGAATGTATATTCCAAATAATGGACCCCAGAAGCAAGAACCAATGTTGTATATTTGGCCCATGTAGCCAGCGTTGGAGATACTGAGGTTATATACCACCATGACGAAGTTCATGAAGTAGAGATCCCATGCCGCGTAGCCAAGGCTTGATATGGCGGATAGTAGACAGGCACCGATAACTGTTCGCTGCTTGAGGAGTTCGTATCGGATGAACTGCTTTCTGGCGAAGAACTTCTCCCAGGCAGCGAAGACGAAAAGCAGACAAAAACCGATAACTAGCATGGCGATGAAGGTTGCTGAAGAATATCCGGCCCGTCCGTAGGTGGCCATGCTAAAGGGTAGGAGAAGTAAAATGAATGCTGCCATGAGAAGTGCACCACCAACAACTGTATGTAAAAATCAGCAATTAGCATGTTATAATGAGTAAGGAGTAGGTAAGTGGTCTCATACCGTCAAACTCGTGTATGTATTGAGTAATCGATTGGATCCACGTGCGACTGGCGTTTTCTTTCTGATATAAACCCAGCTTGCCAGCTTTGCGCTCATAAAATTTGAAAGCAGCAGCAAGAGGGAGTAAAACAAAAGGGAAAATAATGGCAAATGCATAATATGCCCATCGCCAAGTGGTCATGTTCAGAAAAGACTGCGCTGCCCTCGGACCAGTAAACGCAGTACAAATAAAAGGTGTGCTAGAGAAAGCAAACGCGAATGCTCGATTCCGAAGTCCAGATGTATCCGCAATGAATACATTCAGTATAAGGTATATCGCATCATAGCCAACCCAGTACAATACGTAGCCCGCGGCATAGCCATTCGGCCCCCCACAAGATGCAAGTACAATGATGCCTAGTAAGAAGATACCAGTAAAGATTATCAAGGCTTCTGCACGGCCCCATATGTTGAGAATCTTGGCGATCGGGAGCTTTAGAACTCCGCCGACAACTGTAGCTAGGATAGAGGCGGTTGCAACTTCGGGCGCGGTTTGGAACTTCGAGTACGCATTGAGAATCACGCTTCCACTGATAGCAGAATGGAATGCTAGCATAAAGTAACAGAGCCAAATCCTAAGGTGAAATCTGAAATTAGAGTTCAGTTTTTTGATGACCTTTTGATTCTTGCTATGGACAATCGAAGAAGGCTTGGGACAAGGAGATATGTGAGTACCATGCATAAATAGCCAAAACAGTCTTCTTGTTCCACGCAAGTACAACGGCCTCGACCTTTTTGACACCGGTGGCATCCGTACTACCAGGCTGGTCTTCTGTTGCTGGCATCTCTTTCTCGCTCGGCGGTAACGAATCCATATTATTAGGGACCGTCTGGGGCAATGGACCATCGTGATGGGAAATTGGAAGTCCATTCCACTCAGCAGAACACGCTCGTGGGAAGCCCATGATGGGAAGAGGGGTCTTTGAGTTAAAAGACAAAGTTCAAGTGTAGAGAACGTCGCAATCGGAAAGGAAAACGAGGATCCACTGCTTTCTGCCGGGCTTTATATTTGCGAAAAAGTATCAACGGAGACTTGGAGCACATACCATACCTAACCGGATGGACGATAGTTAATAAAGCCACTAGGCATCGTGATAGTTTTATTTCTGTCTCGTGGAGGATAAATTTCTGCGTGGCCACTATGTTTAGCGCTTTCTCTATAGCAGAAGCTGATTGGATAAAGGTGGAACTTGAGACTAGTTGAAAAGTCTAGAAAGTCAAATAAAGTTACGACAGGAGAATCCTGCGATAGTAATGGTGTGATTCGGTGTCTTGGAGTCCCGTTCTCAGGGTCTTTTCTCTTGGCATGTGGATTTCGTCAACTAGACGAGAATTTTCCAAAGAGATGAGAGACAAATATTCACCAATGTTTTGAAGCGAGATGACTGTTCAGCTCATACTGAATCATATTGATAAGTATGTTCATCACTCAAGGACAGGAATGTCACGAAAGTGCAAAAGCCGACCCGCCAGACTAGGCTCGGAGATTTCCGATTATCGCAGGATATGGTCATGGCTGGCCTTCTGAGGGTCCACTCAAACTTTGATGGAAATCGCGGCAATCTAATCAATCTGTTCGCACAGAGTCTGATTGCTTCGGGAGCTAGCCCCCATTGGTGGATACAAAAACCATCCACTGTGACTGGACCCTGTAGAACCGCCCGGGGCATGGCACCGTCCACTAGCAGCACTAGCGAGTCTGGAGGCCGGGTCGTGCTTCGAGTCGATAGAGTAGGAATTTATTTTTGCCATGAAATCATTCTCATAATATTACATTTACCCTCTTTGTTTAGGTAGTTGGATACATTTTACTACTATCTATAAACAACACAATTTACAGTAACCTTAGAAACAGGATTGTGAAGTTGAATGCCAGCGTGAATAGCAGCCTTTCTGCCAAGCTCAAATGTCTCAAGCTGAGCCAAAAAAAATCGAAAGAGTCCCACTTCTAATCTAGATTTCCGCGATATACCGCCATGTACATATTTCTATTATTTTTGGTTCTTTTTTTTCGATTCGTAACCTGGGGCTTAAGCTAGAGAAAAGTTCGGCGGTGGTTGATCTTGCAAAATTGATTTTCTCAACTACATCTTTCATGAGTCTAACTCGAATGACGAGGTGAAATATTTGGTGCAACTTTCCCCTAAAGGACGTGTCCTTCCATTAGAGATTTGAGGAAGACTGCCCATCCGCCGGGCGTGACCTTCTTATTTCGCTTCAAGAATGATGCGACCAAGGGGTCGTCTGGTATTTTGAAACCTTGAAACCTGTTAGCTTATTCCGAGTAGACCGAATTGAAACGTACCTTTCTTTCTCTCTTTACCAATTTTGTGGTCTGCCTTTGGTGCCATGCTTGTTCTTGATCGGCAGCGATCACTCAGTATCTACATCCCGTTCATCTTGTCAGATTCTAGCCAAGTATGTTCTATGAAGTCGATTATACTCACAGTGTATTTATATTCGTTTGGATGGAATTGTAGATATAGATAGAAATTTCTAGTAGGCCCTGAGCCCGAGGTGGTGGTTGCCTACTTCTCTCACTTTGTTTGACAACAGCTCAAACACGCCCCTTGGAAATCTTTCCTCTTCACACACGCGTCCCCTCACCATCCACCATCCACCGTCTACCATCCACTGCTGCTATAACCGCAAGGTATGTTTACATGTGCTATTTCTAGGATCGAGTCGCAGCTAACAAGTCATTATGAGTTCCAGGCTCAATAATACGATAGGCACGCGGACGCTGCGAGCTATTCCCTTCATCCAACCAGTTCAAATCGGCTATATCGCCCCCGAAGCGGCACAATGGGCAAGATTATATACTGTTAGAGTGGGAATGCGCCCGCGATAATGGCCGTTGAAGGGTCAAATTTTACGAGTTCTGTATAACTATAATGTGGGCAGTGTGCGCAAGATCGAGCCAATCAATGGCCGAATTGTGGGACAAATGGCACCACAGAATTGTACACGCTGCTAGCGGAAGCATAAGAGGTTTACTGAATATATCATTGTCGAGCTCACGGGCAATCTTGTCTATATCACTGAAACTAGAACAGAAAAGATAAGAACTGCTCCTTAGAGAAGAAGCCTGGTAGGCTAGCTTTGACTACTAAATGGGAATGGGATTCGGGTCTCCATTCGGGCGGTGCATAACGATGAAGGGAGTCCACACCCAATTATTATCCAGTTCTATGGCTGGTGTTACGCACTCAAGAGGGAGGTGCAAGGCTTAGTATCGTTGAACGAAAAAAATGAAGCTGGAAGAGGAGGATAAATTTGATCTGCCAGTTGGTGAAGGATTATCACCGCGGTGCAAACTCATGATCCTCGGGCTCTACTCTATGTACTAAGAACTTGAATCGCACAGAGCAGAAGAGTGAGGGCATTAAGCTGGGTCAAAGGACTGGAATGTAAGGCCATACGCAGCCAGGCGTTCTTGTCGAGCTCCACATAAGACTTCCTTCTCCCCCGCAGTAAGATTATCAAATCTCCGCCTGGCCTCCTCTCGGAGATGGACTCTCTGTCGTTGAAGGTCGGTAATCTGGGATTCAAGGTGATCGCGACGGCCTCTGGTCCCGGCGTGAATAGGGAGGTGTAGAAGTTCATTTTCAAGTCCACGTAGAATGCTAGCAAGCGGAGGAAGCCTTGTATCAATGAATTTGATGATGCTCAAGAAGTCATTTGAAAAGAGCTACATTAATTTAAAACCTATTAGCGTAGATTCTAGTTCAACAATAGTAAAAGCATCACTTACCAGGAACCGATGAGTAGAATGGTTATTGACCAAACGAAATCCAGGAATTCTGACGTCGCATTGTTGAAGCTTTGAGCCCCAGAGTCTATTCATACGAGACTTGTCTCTGTCGGTGAGCAGATTAAATCTCATCACAAAAATATCTCTCTGGTGCAAGAAAGCAAGTTGCTGCGAAGGAAGACTTCTTTCATGGTCTACCAGTTTCATGCGCTCTGCCGTGGTGAGAGATCTCTCCTGTTTCTGAGCATTCAGGTACACACGTTCAATATTGCGTGTGTCGATAGCTTGTGCAAATGGCCAGAGTTTCTCATTGAGAATCGCCTCTACCTCTGAAATGGTAGATGAGGGGGGCATTTTTAGTCCAAAGAAAAATTGCGAGGCGTCAATCCTGGGTGGAAATAAATGAATGGTACTAATTGATGGTGGGAGAGAGAGGATTACGAACTTTAATTCAACTCCTAATGTTTTGATGGGAATCTTTGAATGTCTTTATATTATATTTAATGGTAGTAGAGGGCAGCTTGAATGATCCGGCCTCCCGTGATAAATCCCCCTGGGGACTTTCAGGCTACACCCACGGTAGGAAGCGAAAGAGGCACAATATGCAGTACTGATCAATAAGCCATGGACTCTTAATGATTCCAACTTGGAAGCCTAAAATGCATGGGGATCAGGCGCGAATCAAGCACTTGAGGTTCCTACTAGGCTGCCCATCTTAAGGAGACCAGATATGACTCTGTCTCGGTGTGTGTTTTCATAAAAAGTAACAGACAATATGAACTTGTCACACTCCTTCTGAAATTTCAATAGGGACTGTGGGTTTCCAGAAGTCTGTCTAGGCACCCTTGCAATTATGTAAAAAGACGTTGTTCAAACATGTTGCCGTCCACGGGGGTAGTAGACATGCATCGGATTACTAGATGAAAGATCTTATACATAGTATTGCATCTGCTTCAAAGTTAATGATCCTACATGTAAGACTCAAGAGTACGTCCTGCAGCTTAGATACGAGTGCTTCAGATGACGAGAAGTCAAATTCCATCTGCTCAAGATGCTTCTGGTCAAACGGCACCTCGAAAGGAAGGCTTCCTTACAGAAGGCCCCTGCAATCTCTCCATCCGAATTTTCCGTGACCGTGCCTTACAGGGCTTGAAAGTGACTCTGGGACAAATATCTCAGCTGGGTGAAAGATGGTGCCTTCAATTCAAGTTCTATCTCGTAATTGAGCACACCGGTGAGTTCAACGATGGGAGCGATGGATCCCCGGTGTATATCCCTTTGAGGCAGGGATTCCTACATCATACGCTGCTGGAATTGGCTGGAACAGATTTTGAAGTAGGAACCAACGTTGCTCCAGGGGTTAGTAACTGTTTCATAAAATGATCAAATGGGGGTTGTCCTTCCAAGGTTGTGGAAATTATTTTTGAGGTAGAGATCAGCCGTCGGGAAACGGTGCCTTCACTACTTTCAAGTCATCGAACGTGACTCTCTAGGCAAACGCTCTAACTAATCCCCTCCACCATCTTCTTCATCCATCTCTTTTAAATATCTCCATCAAAGATACCCCCCACGCGTCCTCTATCGTCTGTCTTCTTCGGAAAATTACATTGTCCAGGGAAGGCCCTATATCGTATATCTCAGATGAGTCCACAACTGACAACCCAGGAATGAGTACCAATCGTCTTCCTAATGACAGGGCGGGGAAACCTGCATCTGAGCCAGCATTTTGGATTCCGCCAATCCAAGTCGGCCCCGTTGCCCCCGAAGCAGGAGAATGGTCACGACTGATCATGTTATTTGGATGGGCTTGCGCCAGAGCGAAGAACGGCCAGCTTAAGGGAGAAATTCTTCCAGCTATCCAGTCTTCCCGTCCTCTTCGTGAACCATGCTTGCATGTGAGCGATGAAATCAATGGCGAAATATTCTACAGGCAGATTGGGGGCTCCCTATCCCATGTTGAGGCCGTTGCTGGACAGATTACTGGGCATGAGGCACCAAGTCCCTGCACGCATTGCCAAAGAGGACTTTGCAAGTTCAATCAGTGCATCATCATGTATGCTGATGGATCTCTGACATACGCTTGTTGCTACTGGAGGAGGAAATACAAGGAGTGTAGCTTTTATAGAGCTACTGGTGAAATCCCTACATCGGAAGCACGACGGACTGTTCACTTTGAATTCTAACGACGAACAACTGATCAGCCGCTTTTCTGTCGTTTGACACTCCGAGCAGAATGGGTATCGAAGGTACAAAATGAGCTCCGAGTTCTACGTACTCAGTCCAACAGTTTGAAGAAGAGACACGCAACTATCTCAGCCTCCGCCGCAGCGGGGAAAAGCTCCTTGACCAACGCAAGCTCCTCCATCCAACAATCACAGACAATCTCCCAGGGTGAGAGAGTAACAATCTCTGCACTCTTGAGCACTGGTATTACCTCTACCAACACCATCGTATCCAGCATTGAAGATGAGAAGGTTCTGTTGCTGGCTATCGAAACTCGGATCACTACACTGCTTGAAGACATTGAACGGGTCCTTGAACTTTCAGAGGGCACGGGGAGGGTGTATTCATAATGTAGAATTTTCCAAGGCGATCAAAGGGTTTGAGCGCCATTACAGCACTGCCTGAAACAGTCGACTCTGGACTAGGCAGGGCGTATGGGAGGTCTGCAATGAAACCGAAGGGGGCTTTTTGCATGGTCTGCAGGTCTTCACTTCGGCTTAATGAACTAATCTTCAATCTCCATTGTCAACTCCACGAGTAAATGTATCTCAAAGGGAAAAGAAACTTGGGATGAAATATAGAGAGGATAACTCCCAAGACAGGTAGTAACAGGCCATCCATGAGTGCGTATCTCTGCATCCTGAAGGCAGCATAGTCGGAACCGCACAACGATGAATACGATGATGAACTGTAGTCGCACAGTCCTGGAGCAAGTGACTCGAATACTTCACGCTGATAACTTTGAATGAGACGTGTTAATCTGCTGAAAGAGACATCTATTTTATTTTCAAGCATGCAGATTAGTTTTGGTGAGGCCTGGAAACAGTGAAGGGACGATGGAGTGGGGCTTATTATCAAGAATACTGACTTCGTGTCTGCGCAGCTGAGGAAAGGTGAGCGATTATTTGGTGAATAAATGCGCATTTTGCTGTATAGTCATAGAGCCTTTGGATCGAGAAGCAAATCTTTCCGGGGGTTTCTTCGAGGAGAAGAAATGCTGGGTTGAATGTTGCGACATCGCTTATAAGGCCGACAAACATAGGCGGCCTATTTGGGACTAGTCTCTCCAACCTTCCAATAGACGTATTTATGACCCACTCATTCTTCACATCCACATAGTCCTCCACTCCCTCACTAATCCTGTTTCACTTCTTTTACATTCCCCTGCCTGCTATTTCGGCCCTTTCATCATATCGAAGCAACTGCCAACAGAAGCCATGGCACCCATTAACCGGTGGTTCAAGTGGCCCCCAGTGGCGAGGAAGTATGTTAAAGACGCCACTGTCAAGACCAGCCAGCCTGTTACCTATGAATAGAAGACCGTCAAGGTCATCAATGAACATGATCGACAGATTGCCAGCGAAGACCTAAACCGTGCATACGACGCCTTCTCATTTGCCACGACAATATTGAGGGCTACCCGACGCGATCAGCCTTCCGTCGTCGCGGACATACGGGTTTACATCCAGGTTCCATACGAGGGCACAGAACATGACAGTCCTCAAAGCCGTGCCCAGCAAGCAGAGACCTTCAGTCCCAATGAGCTCAAGGCCTACACAATAATGTCAGGTGACCATGAGACCTGCCATTTCACCCCAAAATTAATCGGGTATGCAGAAGAGAGCCAAGGCCCCAACGGCTTAGTCCCAGGTGGCTTCCTCATCACGATCGCTTGGCAGCGTGTGTCCGGTATCCGTCTTGGGTCAGGAATTATAGGCCCGTATTCAACTTCAACGTTGGGAGCTCAGTCCAGCACAACGAGAGGCAGTCCGGGACCGTTCTGGTACCAGCTCAGGTGAATACATCCGTCACTCTTCAGTTCAAAAAGCAGGAAAGACATCTGAGATCAATTGGACTATCTTCAAAAAGAAAATTGGTCGAGCTTGGTGTCATACCGTTGCAAAAAGGCACCCGTCACCTTGTCTTCAACAAGACCACCGAGGAACTGTACGAAGCTCCAGATTCCTTATATGAGAGTGATGAGAAAGAGCACTTATAGCTGACTATTTCTTAGGTACTGGGTGGGATGGTACAATGCAAGCCTCAAACGGGGAGTGAAGGTTAATAACGCGTGGCTTGCTATCTACAAACTTGCAAAGCCCTCAAAAGGCGACTCCAGCTGGATGACAGATAACTGGCCCAGAGATATCTCCAAGTGGACCTTTTAACTTTGCAAGATATGTCTGGGAATCAGTGAGAAGTCACGAATAGCTATGGCGGGACCTTCTCTTTTAATGATCGACATATTTGAGTAAGAATCGAGTTGTTCACGGCGAACATATGGCATGGCGAGACGTGGTAGCGGTGGTACCGTTTCGCCTGCATGAAGAGAAGACTTGAATATGGCTACATAAGTACTAGTAGCAAGGTATGAGCCGAAGAAACCTTATACTAGTATGACATGACCCACATTGAATCTTTCCTCTAAACTGAACTCAGTGTTACTAGTAGCTAGTATCCTATATAGTGCTCAAAGTCTTTGGCTCTAGTACGGTGGAGGTAGGAGTCACTGGTTCCATTCACCAGTTACATGGATGGGGATGATGATAGTGAGGATTCGGAGGTGAAGCACAACTTAAAATTCTACCTCGAGTGGAAAGTCGATGCATCAACCAGCAGATATACTATGGAAATCGTTACCAAAGAATTCTAATCTTCTCGATAAGTTGGTTTACATTACTACGAAGACAATACCTGTTAGTATACCAACGGGAAAGTTGCGAGCTAGATTGTGGCCTCAGAACATGAAAGGTACGTAACATGTCAACACTACAAAAAAACCTTGGAAACTACTCATCATGTTGCTTCTTGTTTATTGGCTGAATTTGAAAATTGGATGTCATAGGAAATCGAACAGTAATACTTTTGCTAATACCAACCAGGCAAGAGGGACGCCTATTGAATCGGAGCTGTGGCCGCTGTGGGCTGCTACAACCTGCAATAAACCTCTCACACCATATGTCCATTGGGAATCTTTGTCTCCACTTCTATTTAATGTCACTCCTCGCTTAGAATTCGATGTGCATCATCTAAATTTCAATAACAACAACAAGAATTTCGACTTCTAATGCCCGTACCTGAAAAGATCGCATTTTCCAAGTGTTGCCCGAGTTAAACATTGAAAAAGACGGCACTTCAAGTCCCGCATGGCACCCGATAGAGTTTATAGATGGCTTGGTGGCTTGGAGGCACTTCGAAAGCGAGGTGGCTTATACTATTTGTGCTCAGCACTTTACCACCAAAGACTTTATTGGCCAGTCACAGATCTGTGCGTTGGATATTCAAGTTTTAGGCAGTGAAAACACAAGTTAGGGAGGAGATGGGTCTCCATGTGTGATTTACTAAATTTTTTTCTCAATCCTTATTTATGAAATAGCCATGTAGAAACGGGCAGATCTCGCAGCTATCAAAACCGCCACCGTATGGTATAATCCACATGCAGGATACTAATACGAGATGGTGGCTTACAATCGAGAAGACAGCGAGAAATGTATAAGTCTCCACCCCAGTTGAGCCTCTGTATCCACTCAGGATAGTTCCCGTCCCAAATATGTGCCAAGCATATCATTAGTCACCCGTAAACTCGAACGTCCCCAGACAGACGGTGAAAATCGAAATTAAATCAAGTGACAAAATGAGGGCGGGCACATGCCAGAACACGCTCGTCCTAGAGCCAGCTTGCGTCGAAGACGTCCCTGCCATAACATCACTATGGTTCGATGCCTTCACGCAGCCTGCGATCGGGGAACTGTTTCCAGACACACCCGCCATGCGCGCGTGGAATGAAAGCTGGCACCGGGGAGATATGGAGACGAAGCCATACCAAAAGTATCTCCGAGTGGTCGATACTGCATCGAGGGATGAGCGAGGCCGACCGCGACTTGCCGCTTTTGGGAAATGGGATCTAGCGATGCCTGAGGAACGAGGCCGTCGGTTCTCATGGTGGTGTGAGGATTCGCCATATCAGGACTGCGAGGATCTCATCGATGGATTGGAGCAGGAGCGGAAACGCGTCATGGGCAACCAGAAACATTACTGTATGATGGTCCCTTGAGGCAGAAAATCGAGTGACTTCCTTACTGATTCTTTACTGATGATGAAATGGTGAAATTGATAGATTTGGACACGGTCGGCACTCATCCAGATTACCAACGTCGTGGAGCTGCATCGCTGATTGTGAAATGGGGATGTGATTTGGCTGATAGAGATGGTGTTGGGGCTTATGTGGACGCCAGCAAGGAAGGTGCTCCGTTGTATCAGAAGTTTGGCTTTGTGGATTATGGCCCACCTGGGTCCGGGATTGCTTCCATGGCGCGGTTTAGAGACCTTAGGAGTAAACATACGTTTTTTGACGATTAATCAACGAGGAATATCAGTTAAATGACTTGTGAAACAGCATTTTGGCATCCATTGACCCATTTATCCCTGATGTTAATGTATGTCAGATCTGTATTTTTGAGGGTAGGGATACTATTCCTAGAATAATATATTCACATGTGAAACTGACTATGACGGGAAAAATGATGAGAAACATTGTTTATTGTCTTCTACTCTCTTCGATCACTTTGTTTGTCTCGGGCACTCAGCACTTGAAAACGCATGAGATTATCCCTCTACGTCGGCAGATTGGCATACAATTGAATCAAAACTATTAGTACAAATAGTGGTGTAGTAGGCAGCAAAGGTCAATAAAGGCCAGGTGGGTTATTTCTGGCTGGGCACTATGGCCTCCCTGGCTGAAGTGTGACTGAAAGTCCACACAGTTCAGTATTTACTTGATTGATTTCGCGCTTCCGTTGAAATTTTATTTAAGAAGCGTCACGGGAAGTGTACCAAGGAAGTGTTCATGTGTCTGTTGATTTATTCTCCACGGCAAGTTGAAAATTGGAAGAAATACAAGATCTATGCCCACATTCCTTTAAACTTCTCATCGAAATCTGACCTCAACTGCTTGAAAGCTGTCAATATGACAAGGAGTGATCTTCTCTCCTCGGAAGCCGCTTGGGAGGCAGACGTGGTCGACTTAGAGTCCCGCCCTTTCGTTTTATGCTGCTTTGATTCACAAAGGGCCGGATGCTCCGCTAAAATGTCTTCTTCTACCTCCTCATCCATTTCATCTTCCCAGCTTTCGACTACTTTGCCCTTGTCAACCTGAGACATCTTCTTCGAGACACTGGAAGCTGCAGTGGGGCCATGAGAAGGTTGAGAATCTCTTGCTAAAATGGCGTTCTCCTCCTCTGGTTCCTCCTTGTCAAAGACTTGATCTTCCTCTTCAATGTGGTGTAGATCACCCCCGCCTATAACATCCAGCATATCAGCACCTACCGCTCCACCGGGATTGACAAAATTCTCGAGGCTCGTGACCAAAGTGGCTAGCACCATTGAGAAATCGTTGAGGAGATACCAAACATCACCGGGCCTAATTCCATTCGCGATCTCTAGCTGATGGACATTTCCATGTCTGAAGAAGTCGTACAGGTAGGCATTCAATGGCAGCTCTTCGGACGAAGGAGGAACAAATGGAACTACCGATTCCTCTATCCAGACACCACTGCGAACTGTCTCACAAAGATCTGAAACAGTATTCCATTTATCTTCATAGCCGGAGAGAGCATGAAATGGGGAGGTAATCCTAGTTCGCAGATGGTCGTTCTGAGGAAGTCCAGTTTCCGTGCCCGACTGATCCCCTCCACATCGCAAGTTGCTGAATGGTAGAACACAGTCTTCTTCGAACTTATGCTGGTTGATGTACGTAGCAACGTACTGAGTGTAGATACCTAGTACCTGTTTGTCATGGGCTTGGAGGACCTTCGCTGCCCGCTTCGGTAACGGCGGGAGGAGAACGACGGAGGAGGCTCTTTTATCAGCTGCATGGTATGCCTCAAGTGTTGACTTGCGCAGGGGTCGACGGCCGAATATATGAGACATGATGAGCATAAGGATGCGAGTGGTATTATTTGGGTGCTGAGCCAGATTTCCACAAAGGTGCTGTAGATATTTCGAGCGCAGAAGCGCATGTAACGCAAAGCTGGAGCTCTCAGTATAGTAGAGATGCGATACGCACCCTGCTAAGTTTAAAGGAGCTCCAAATCTGTCAATAAGACGATTGCGTCGAAGATACTCAATGGAGAATCGCAGAAAGTGCAACACGGTTTCTTTCATTTCAGCCCCACCAAGACACATTCGAGGATTTGCCAAAACAGAGTCAATAGACCGCACAGCCGACGGTGCTTGGTCTGAACCGTGGAGCAGAATCAAAAGTCGCAGCACAAGACTTGTAGTAAGGGGGAAATGCCCGTGTAAATCAGGCAACTTCGAGCTGATAAGCCGATGAACCTTTGCTGTGGGGACTTGTTGAAAAACGACATTTCCTAATAAATCAAATCCACGTCTTCCTGCTCGTCCGGCGGCTTGACGGAAATTGAGAGCAGTCAAGTACAGCGAATCACCGGAGAAAACAACGGTCTTGCATGGCATGTTAATACCCAAAGCCAGAGTCCCAGTTGCAATAACAACCCGCAAGAATCCCTTTCGAAACAGGATCTCGCAAACTTGACGATACTTTCGATTCATACCTGCATGGTGAACGCCAATTCCTCGGCCTAAAGCATTTATCGCCCATTGTTGAATTGGCCACCGCTTAAGCTCCTCGGCATACTCCATGAAGTCGTTATGAGAGAGTTTCTTGTAATCTGCCAGACTGAACTTTTCGAGTGGTCTTTCTGGGTTAAAAGATGCGAATTCGCTACGGTCGCTCGATGATGAATCTTTCATCCGCTCCGCGCGAGACATGCTTTCGTCATCGCCACCCTTCCTGTTGCTTGTTTTTGCCTTGGAAATTCGCTTTTCAGCTGCTTCTTGGGCCTTTTGCCAGTCTTTCCATTTTCCAATTTTTGCTCGCCACGCTTCACTTTCTTCCTTCCACTCTGCCTCCGATTCTTCCAGCTGTTTCAATATATGTTCGCAAAGGTCTTGACACATCATTCTGTCGTAATTGAAGAACAAAGCTGGGAGGGCTTGTGAAGCGTGAAGAGAGCATATCAGAGGAAGGGTAGTATCGAGTAGACTGAATCTATTTATCTTTGGATCGTCATACATGCTGCCGTTAGGCCGAGGCCGTGAACTCCGCTGGCCCAGGTGTTCTATGAGTGTCTCAAACGGGGACTCTCTATTTTTCATCCAGTCTTTCAAAATGATTTTGAGTTCCTGCTGCCAGGAAATGGTCCGTTGTTTAGAGATAATCTCACCCGCAAAGAATCTCGATGGGTCTAGTTTTGGATCAATAGAGAAAGCATCCGTCTTGACAAGTTGCATTCCCTTCCACAAACTCAAGCAATCACGCGGTTCAAGACTAAAATCATCAGGCATACCCCTCGGCCGATCTATTAGGCTCAAAACCGGATGAATGAATGTGACATGATCAGCATCGTCAAGACCAAGACCAGCGAGGCCAACGGGAGAATTCAATCCTCTAAATGAAAAAGCCTTGGGCGGATGATAAACATACTTCCGCAGATCGGAATAACGATGCTCATGTTGTATCATTTTCATATCAAACTCGCTCCTCTTTTGGGCATGCTGCAGCCAATTGTGAAATTCCTGGGGATTGCCGACCGTGGCCGAGAGCGCTATGATAGGGCAAGGTGCCAAAAGAAGCAGCTGTTCCCAAACAACACCATCGTCAGACTGGCCTATACAGTGAACCTCGTCGAATATAATACGCTTCAGCAAAGGAGTCCATGACTTTGAGTTGTGTGGAGCCAAGAGCATGATTTGAAGGACATGCGGAACTGTGACTAGGATCTGACAACCGGTCGGATCGTTGATGCGATGGTCTCTGGTGTGTATAGCCCACACTGACTTGCCAGCAGCTTCCGATCCATGAAACGTCTTTCTAAATCGAGCTTGGACTTCAGCCGCGATCTGATTGACAAGTGCCTTTGTTGGCGCGACATAAACTAGTATTCCATCGTTACCTTCCTTCAGAACTTGTCTCATGGCGTAAAATCTGCGTTTGGTTAGATTAATCCATATATTCAGAATCGGCCACGTTACTCACGAGATGAATGTCTTTCCTGCGCTAGTTGGAGCCACGACGAAAACACTTTTCCTGGCATCTATCTGATCCAGAACGTCCCTTTGCCAGCCATCTGGGTCAAAATCAGGTGTCCGTGAGTCTGCCATCGAATCTATCGATCTGTCCATGAAAGGCCCACCATATATCAGCTGGAACTCTATTTCAGATATTCCAAGTTTTTTACGCAATTTGGGCAACTCCCACGGACTAAAGGACAAAGCCTGCTCGTCGGAGTTTGGAAGCTTTAGAATTGGGAGTCCGAACCAAACACAAATGCGTTCAACATATTGAGCCACATGAGAACTGACACCCTTTTTGATCTTTAAAAGTCGCGTCATGTTTTCCCAAACACGCGTCATAATAGTCATATCGATGGCTTGCTCAGATCCTGATTTCGCAGCCATAACGCGTAGCAATATATCAATAATGTATGCAACAATCTGCGGCTCAAGAATACGACGGCTATCTGAGGACAAGCCGGTTAGGTATGTGTTGACATTTTTGAAGCGAGTCTTAGCGTCGATTATTCCATCGAAATTCTTGACCTGATTTTTCCATTTTTCGATCTCTCTTTTCTGGCGCTCGGTAGCTTTCAGCTGAATTTTTGATGCGGCGTCCTGTCTCACATTAAGGCTCTGCTTGGTTGCTTTCGCATTTCCTTTTCCGGTAGAATTTGGCTTCGTTTGGCCGTTGGGGCTTTTGTTGGAATTGGTAGATTGCTGAGCAGAAGAGCTGGATGGTTCAACGACAATTATTTCGGCATGGGACATACCCGCTGACCCTGTAAGACTATCTGCATAGTTTCTCATTTCGGTCATGTACCGGTCATTTCGTCTTAGAGCACGACGCTTCTCCCAATCCAATAAAGGCGTTGCTTTTTTCTGGTCTAGGGGCTTTGAATTGTGCCAATGGGTCATCTCGTCGAATATACCTGAGCCATAGAATTCCTCATCGGCCACGTGGGTTTCGTCAACCTCAATATGGACGGGTTTCAAATGAACATCGAAAACTTTGTTCTTAAATGGCAGTAGACTCTTGACTCCTGGAGTATGTACGCTGTTCGTCTTGGACGCTTCTTTCTTGGTCGAACTTTTCCCAGGTGAAGCTTGCCAGCCAGATTTCCCACACTGTAGCTTGTTGTGGCAAATATCCTCCACGGCACAGGCCAACATGTTATATGTGGGCAGGATATCTGAAGACACCGCGCGCTCTATCCCGTTCTTTTTAATTAGTGCCTGAAGCTCGAAGAACATTCGGCCATCTACCAGGTCAAAGAGATCACAAATCAAATGGTGTCTGTCCATTGTAATCTGCCACTCTCTAGACCCAAGAATTTGGTTGGCAGTTGCGAGGAACTGGTCGAAGAATAGGGAGTTTTTGTCCTGTCTAGATTCAAAAACCCGATGGCTGAGCTGTGTGTATTGGAGAACGGTGATGTGAAGAAGCATTGCTTGTATCCAAACGTTCAATTCGGGACTTTGTACGGTCGCAAAGGAGAACATCGTCGCCAAAGTAGAAATCACGACACACTGCCGCTGCGTGAGATTAGGGTTTTGATGTATTACCCGCTTCAAAATCCCACTAGCTAGAGTCGAGTTGGCTTTCGCAGTCTCTGATTGACTGATATCACTTGACGTATCGCTGTCGCCGCTATCACTTGAGTATTCAATGGTTTCCGACAGGGCCCTCTGTTGAAACTGCCTCGACATCAATGCTGTTCTCTTCTGTTTGAAAGCCCCTTCGATTATCATGGTCATAACCTGTATCGAGTCAATATCATCCTTGAAGGACCCTCGGGGATTATCGACGCACCTTCGTGTCCCGGAACTCAACGTTGTTGATCAGAGATACATTGTACCCACGGACAAAGAACCAGTAAATCATCTGTCTGAAGTAAATCGATGATATGACATTGTCTGCCACGTTTTCACTTTCATCGCTGTTTGCCATTTCCCAATCCTCGTCGGAGTCTGACGCAACTGTGCTCTCGTCGTCGGAAGAACTATCATCGCCACTCTTAATTTCGTGGACGCGTGTGGGAAGCGCCCCATCATGACACATGACCAAATAAGCTCCAGAATCTGCCAGATATTTTTCGAACAAATTTGAAGCAAAATCGTCAAACTTTCGCACTTTCAAAAGGCTCTCTGGCTGGCAAGAGACAGATGAGAGATGATGGATCATGGCTTCGCGAGCGACAAGGTATCGGTTATGGTACTGGGAATGTGCGAAATGGGGGATGCATAGTTTCGAATTGTCTTTGAAAAAGATTATCTCAAATGTGCATTTCCGTTGTCGAAGCTTTTGTAAAAACTGTTCGATCATATAGGTGGCGTGCAAAACCTGGAAACCGGGCGCGAAATCAAGCTTCGGGTTGGAAAAGCAGTGTAACAGCAAAGAGTCCCCTTCGATGATGAAGGTCTCATCACCAGCAAAGTCACCGACCAGGTCAACTATTCGAGAGAACACACGCTTGTACCTGGGGGGTAGGAATCAGTAGCCGTGGGATAAATTCAATGCAGAAAGGCCTTACCAGTCTTGTAGCAGTGGCGAGCTCATGGCTGGACCGCCATTCTGAAGTTCGATCATCACGAGAGTATCCGTTGTAATAGTGCAGGTGCTTCAGTATTTCAAAGATACTGGTTAAGATCGTGGGGATTTAGTTGCATTTTGGAAGTTGAACAGCGTAAGTCTGCGTTGGATGACGAAGGAAAGAAATCAGGATTGGGCAAATGTCATAAACTTGAAAGAGGGGTATATGGGACCCCAAAAGACACTGATTAATGCCAACGCAAACAGACTAGGGTATGCATATGCGAACGATATTACAGCATCATGCTGATAGGCCATCGCTCTTGCCCATATTGAAATTCAGGCAGAAAGTACCAAGTGTATTATAAACCACAAGTACGGTATTGATACATGATTCAATACCGCGATCAACTAGGAGGCGGACGTGCCAGTGGTTCTGCGGCCTGCCTAATAGATAGATAGATATATATGTACATGTCGTTTGAAACTTCCCAGGCGGCACTGGTCGGCTTATTTTAGGCTTCACATTTGAAAAAGTCGAATTAGGGGTCAGATGAGGAGGATAAAAAGCATTTACAGGGAGCGGGGCCCGATTTTTCCCATTTGGTACGGAGGCACTGTATCTATCACTCCGTTGGTGTCCACTGGACAACTGGGAGGTTTCTATGAACAGTAGACTGAGGGCGTCCGACATTGGAGCTATGAGAAATGTTGCAAGCATTGGCTTCCGTATAGAAATCAATCATATATCAGGCGAGGGTTATTGATTTGTAGCCATCTTAGTCTCGAACCAGATTTCACGCAGCATCTGAGAATTGATCATGTCACTGTATTACAGTTACTCGTAACCTTTCATAAACCCGCAAAATACCGAATTGTGTCTGTCTGTTCCCTCCCGCTGCGCTCTGTTCCGTGGAATCATGATGCAGTCAATACACGCGACGCAATTTTCCCTGTGTCAGAAGCTTATTTTGAGAATGCAAGTTCATGTATCCGAAAGGTAATGGCGTATCTGCCAGCCAATATGCCGTCGCAGCAAACTTCTTACATCTCCCTTGTCAGCGACTTAGACAACAGTCAATTTCGTGGATGTTAACTTCGATCCTCACCTTGGGGGTTACTCAGACGGCCGACCTCGAAATGACAAAGAAAATGATTTCTTTTATCACGTGAATTTATTCATTAGATAAGTCATTCAGTCCAAGAGCTGAAAGGACAAGGATATGTGGCCCCCACTGAGGCCACGATATTATCTAACGAGCTCCATTTACGGCTGTTTTATCTTATCATTTACTTAACTACCCCGCCTTAAAGCTGAAGCACTTGAGTCATTTCCATAGATTCATTTTCTCGGTCAAACAATGTCTACCTCAATCGTCTTCATCGGAGGGGGCTGGCACTATCCAGAATCATATGCTAAATTCCGGACTGCTCTTGAATCACAACTAGGGTTGACGATCCACGTCCCTCAACTGCCAACCATGAATGTTACAAGGCCTCCGACCGCGGATCTTTATACTGATTCTGATGCCATTCGTGAGATTGTGACTAAACTAGCCGACGCTGGTCGCTCCCTTGTTGTTATTATGCACTCATATGGGGGCCAAGTTGGAACCAATGCCCTCGTGGGTCTCGGAGCTGAGTCTCGCAAACAGCAGGGTCTACCAGGTGGTGTTATTCAATTGATCTATGTCGGTGCCCAGGCACTTCAGGAAGGCGAATCGGGGGTGTCTATAGCTAAGGGGAAAGGGCGTGGACAATTCTTAGCTATGATCGTAGACTTTGCCGATGACGGTACCTGTGTTCACCGAAACCCTGAGGATGTGCTTATTGGCCCTGGACTTTCAGAAGAAGAGCTGGAAACATGTGTGGCATCTCTAGGGCGTTGGAATGGGAGTGTTTTGTCGCAGCCATTAAAGCAGTGTTCGTGGCGGGAAATTCCGGTGGCCTATATCTATACCTTGAGCGACATTACCTTGCCATTACACTACCAGAAATCCATGGTGGAGATCATGAACGCTGCAGGATGCGATGTCAAGACGTTTGAGATTGAGTCCGGCCACTGTCCCACAATGACCAAACCGGAGGAACTGGCAATCATCATAAAACAGATTGTCAACGGCGCGTCTGCCTAGACCGAGGACATTCGGATAATGGGGCATACTCGGTCCACAGTACTGAAGGATCCGGTGACTAGACCCTTAGAGAGAACGCGTCTCAAAATCTTTCCATTTGTTGATGTATAGATGTTGATAGTGTTGATTCCATTATCCTAAAACAATTTCTCTGGTCGCATTTGGTGACATAGCCAAGCGGGATAGTGAATCTGCTCATACCAATTCTCCCGATCCATGTAGTAGTCTTGTGGCTCGCCAAGTCTCATAGAGACTCTACATAATGGCAACATCTCGAGCAGGATTTGGTTTGTTGTGTAGCGAAATCTCGCCATCCTTCCATGCCAAAAGAACGGACTCTCTTAGGCAAACAGAAAGTCCAGGTCTTCTAATTGACTATTGGCAGTTTCTATTTTTCATGAATAAGATCAGCCTTGCCCTCGCGGCTTTGTAGGGTTTTGTCTTCGACAACATACCAATATAGAATAAATATATGGGCACAAGCATGACCAAGTTCAAAAGAGCGAAGATGATAAACACCCAGTATGAAACAGCATCAATCAGATATAGAACAATTTCATTGATGATGCCTCCAGCGAGTGAAAATGCGACCGTAGCCACAGCTGTGCCTTTAGCCCGGCTGACGAGAGGGAATATTTCCGTTGGATAAACCCAGCTATCGATATGTTAGCTCTACTACTAATTATAGTTTCAACCCGCGAGAGATCCTGGGCTAATTCAGATTGCATACCATGTAGTCAGCCAAGTACTACCGTAAATGAACGTATAGATATAAAGCACTGCGGTGACACCTGCGCCACAGCGCGATGATAATCCTGGATTTGCGTCCGCATTCGCAATAACCTCACGCGACAAAACCCCACCTACTACCAGCACGAGAAACATGGAGGATGATCCTATCAAAATTAATCGGTGGCGGCCCAACCAAAGCCAAACTGGCTGTATAACCAAAGAAATTCCCACCAGCTAGCAAAGAAGGCTTGTCGCCTGTATAGCCAGCCAGTGAGAACATCTCAGGAGCGTACGTGGAGATGAAGTCAATGCCAGTAAACTTCTGCACGATCTGGACACCGGCGCCTAAAAGAATACGGCGTCTGGTATGTAACTTGTCCCGGGTTACCATTGTCTTCCATAATGAAGGTGGTGGCTGCTCGGCTTAAATTCGAATTGCTGCGACGATTTCCGCAAGTTCCCGTTCAATTTCCATATCAGTGGTATTGGTCCGTGCTCTTTGAAGGATGACCCTAGCTTCATCAAGCCGCTCAATGCGAATCAGATGACGGAGCGATTCGGGGTAAAACGGCGTTGCAAAGAATATGAATAGAAGAAAGATCACTTGTAATGCCAGAGGGAATCGCCATGCGAAGGCAAGGCTTTGTGTTTTGAGGCACGCATACTCAGTCCAATAAACACTATAATCTCATTAATCAGCATCTCTGGTCGACTAGTGTCCGTAAAACAAGATTCCAGAACTATACTTACATAGTACCTCCGGTAAGAGCCAATGTAAACTGCACCGCGACAAATGCTCCTCTCGGGTTGGAGTCGGCCAGTTCTGACGTCCAAATTGGAACTATAGTATTCAAATGCCCACATCCAATTCCGCCAATGATTCGCGCAAAGGCCATCCACGTAAAATTTCGCGCAGAGGCTTGAAGTGCACAGCCAATAATTGCCCAGACACAGCCAAGCTGTATACATTTGGTTGACTAGTGGAGCTGTGAGACACATCCCGGTTGAACAGATTCTAATATGGAAGCCAGCTCGTCCGATATGCCCTTCTGCAGAGTTTTTCCCTCCTCATTGGTAACCCACGCAGGAACCCAGAATTCCTTGACCTTGCAGCCAGAAAGCAGTCTGCTGTGGCCTTCATCGCCCCCCAACAGCCCATGGAGGTATGTGCGACTGCCTTCCTCTGCTCTTCGTGCCATCATGGCCCGTATTCCCTCATGCATGACCTTTGTAATTCTTCCCGCGTCTCGACCCAGGCCGGTGTTGCAAAGTCCTGGAGCGACCATTGTGATAATGACATCCGTCTTCTCGACAGAACAGACAGATGCAAACTCACGCACAGCAAACTCTTCAACCAGCTTTGTCAGGGCGTATCTTATGTTCCATTAGCTATAAAGTGGACAATCAAGTCGAAAACATATCTTACCTCGAGTTTATGTTTGCTCGCTTCTTCTCGTTCAGGCCGTCGATAATCGGAGCTTTGCGACTTTTGTCCATCTCCCGTTTGGTCGTGTATCCAAGCACACTCACTATGAAGACTAGATTTGGTTTCATATTGAAGCTTTTTGCGCGTTCCTTCAGGTTGGGCATCATGAGAATGCCGAGGAACAAGGTGCTGACGACATTGACGAACATGCTTGTTTCCATATTTTCTGTCTCCGACCAAGCGTCGAGCATGACACCCGCGTTGCAAATGAAACCATCTATTCTATCCAATGATCGCGATATCTCTTGCGCAAAACTTTGCACCGACTCATAACTTGACATGTCGAGGTGGCGTAACTGCACAAATACTCTATTAATATTCCTCCCGTTTGAGGATTATAGGTGCGCTGGGAACTTACTTCAACCACCCCTTTCCGAGCAGAGGTTATTTCAATATCCTTTTTTGCCGTCTCTCCGGCCTTGAGATTGCGCACTGCCAGCACGACGCGCTCTGCTGATGCAGCCACGAGGCGTCTTGCGGTCTCAAGACCTAGGCCAGAGTTTCCCCCCGTAATGACATATGTTTTACCAAGGCATGTTTCCTCATCAACAAGTATTGGCAGTTTCCGGTACTGCTCAGCAGCTAGTCGTAGCATAACCATTTTGTGCAATGTGGATAGATGCAGTTGCCAGGTAGCTCAGGAAGTTCATAGATAGCGAGAGCAGAGTGGGCGAGGGCAAACCCGCCCATTTATATAGCTTGACTGGAGTAAGCATGATTTCGACTGACTCGCTTGAGCCAAATCACGAGTTCCGATATCCCAGAACCAACTCACCCCTTTCAACTCCACACAATCAACCAGTCGCGATTCTACTTGGGCATCATGAGATGATCCAAATAGGCTTAGCGTGTTTGATATTGGCATCCTATTTGGGACTAGCGTGTGGTGCGAGCCATGCTAACCGGGATCGTCACACGTTCACACCAATCAGGGGCTCGTACTCAACTCGCCTCGTCAACCTTTGAACTTAGTCAAGATCCAGGTTAGCTTTGATTGCATCGTCTTTGTATCATATTGCCCATTTGTTTGAAAAAGATGTTATTGATTATCTTAGGCTAGTCAACTAAGTTACAGTCCAACTTTAGAAAACCGTTATGGATTTCCCTAAGCCGAGGAAGCAGCATTCCACAATCTCCACAATTTCCAATAAGCCAATCACAGAACAAGTCAACTCAATTTTCTCCAAGCGCAAAAGGAAAGTTATATGGAAAGTAGAGCTCATAGAACGACGTAAATCTGCACCCTCCTGACTCAATGAAGCCCCATCAAAAACAGATTACCAAAGGAACTCAACACGCTAGTTGCATCCGGAAGACTGCTTCCATTCATAGATGTTGTTTGACAGAGTAAGAGCCTCAGCCACCTCATCTGGACTGATAATTTGTGCGATTAACAGCCGGATTGAACTGCGAGTTCTGTGAAGGCCCCTAATAGCCACACGAAATTCTTCATTGGGGTATCCATGATATATATTCCTTTGCGAATTACCCAAAGAATAATAATGCGAACGCCTTCCATGTCAAATTCTGCTCGGACCGAGATCTCCTGTCACGTGGACGTAATGCATTCAAGTTGAACCCACGAAATAAGCTTCAAGTTAATGTGCAGCAGGAGCTCCGGGGAAAGAATAGTGACGAAATTACCAAGTTCAAGGTATATGGCATCTTTCAAGTTTACATCGATGTTGATAGCAATATATATGTCGTGAGTTCTGTTCGAGCGGAGGAATTCTTTTCGTATAGGCAAGAGCCTTCAAAGCCACTGCCATGGAAGGGTCATGAAGCCGAAGGGCCAAAGAATTTCATGAAGAAAGATCTTGTATCTGCGATTATTTCCGCACAGAAAAGCTCCGCACCGACGTGCCAGTGGCTGCACATCCTTCTCATGCACCAGAAACTCAGGATCGTCCCGTAGCAGTCTAGTCACTAGGTAACTGGTAGTCGAATGCGAGTTGTTCGAAGGTGTCAATTCTTTGTTCATTCATTGGTTGCGAGTAAGGAGGAGCTGGGAAATGTATAATTAATAATGTCCACTCTTCCTGATGCCAGCCTCAAAACTGGTTGTGGATTCTCTAATAAACATTCAAGTTGAGGGTATTCTGGTTACCCAACTTGATACTAGTAGGTATGCCATACCCTTTGTGTAGCCTTTTCTAGGTCTTTGAATCTGTATGAAACCTCAACAATATACAATGTCACTTGCGTGTGCGCAAATCAGAAAGGGTTATTATAGGTTTCCTCAAATGTAACAGTTGTTTCGATGGAGGGGAAGTGGTACCACGGGGCTTCTTTTTAGTAAGAGTCACCGCATAAGATGACCCATGGGCACGCTTTTGAGGGGCAACATAAGACTCAACATTGTCGTCGACGCCACCGGCTTTCGAAACCTTCAGATTGTGCTTTCGCTCAATCATGTGAGCAGACTTAATGGTTTTTCCGAGGTTGTTAAGCTTGTAAAGACTTTAGTTGATGATGAAGGAGGCGGATGTCGCCAATTAGTCTCGTGGAGGAGACCATAAACTAGATAAGGTCACACACACAAGCAGTAAATCATCTTCCCAACCACCGGCCTCCACAAAGCTGCAGTTCTCGAGAATTTCGGAGAGACTAGGTGGTTTGTTCTCAGCAGGGCGCATGCCGCGCAGCGAAGGAGTCTCTGGCTGAGGTGCACTGAACGTGTCCAGGGCCAACGAGGAAATATATTTATATTTATATAAGTGAATATGTGTTCCTATGGAACTTTTGCGTACACATCGCTTCAATATCTAGTAGGCTGTGAGGGGCGGTGGTCGGGCAGTATATAGAGAAGGCAAATCACAGAGTTGCAGATAATCAATTTGGGAAAGCAAATAATAGTACGCGTTCGATTGTCATCGCTTGTTCATTGACGTAGTTTCCTTCCAAAGAATGCTGGTTGAAAGCCAACTCACACCATGTACAAGGCAGAACACCGGAAACCACACCCGGGTTTTACATTAAAGGACAGGGCAATTTTTCGTTGAATCCTGCGGCTCCCAACCAGGCTTTGCCATCTGGAACCCCTCGAAATCAAAGCCAGGCGCGACAGTACATCCTACTAGTGTCCAATCTCCTAAAGATTGCGCATGTTGCCATTCTCTGCGTTGAATAACAATTTGGGGCCTCTGTCCATTCCAGATGTCGGGCCCAAGAATAAGATCGCGGACTGCACTACCATCATTCCACGCGAGTGAAAGTTGCAGCGGTGCACCAGCATAGAAATGCCAAACTTCGATAGCATCCAAGACACGATGCCAATATGATCGACCCGAGTTTCCCTCCAGCAGGTAATATATGCAGGTGCTGTCCGTGCGACCATCCGCGGACACCTCGGGATCTCTGAATGTCTCGATATAGTAGCCCTTCTCTGGATGTGGAGTAAGATGAAGGGCATCGATAACCTCCTTCGCTGTACGTGACATTTTTATCTTTGCGCTGGAGTTTTGTGGGAATGTCAGAGAGCAAAAAGTGCATAGAATTAGCCGCTCGGGGCATGCGATTGTTGGAATGGGTCGTGCTGTCTTATGACATTTTTCGAGCATCAATAAGCGTGGATGCAATTCTTGCTTCGAAATTAATTCCTAGCTCGGCGGGTGAGATGCCTATCTCGGCAAGTGATGCGATCTGACACATTCACAATGACCCGACAGGTGCACGGGCCCACCAGGTATGCCTTTTGATTGAGCCCGGTAAGCTATGGGGGATTGTGGCACAGAATTAAAGTTGGCCTGGAGGCCTTAAAATTATAAAGCAAACACTTAGCGGGCGAAGTCAACTGGTGATTGGTGTGTTGTTTGTAATCTGTCATCATGATGCCTTCAACATTACTGTAAGATGACGGAAGCAAAATGAGACAATTCAAACTCTGCCACTGGCAATCACCAAAATGCATTTGCTCTGTTCGTTACTGAGACAAATCAATCAAAGCTCACACAGATTAGGTATCTTTATATCGAGCATTTCCCTTCGAAAACCTGTATTAACTGTGCTGTCTTACCTGCCGGGATTAGTGTTCATGACTCACATAAGCGGTTCCCTGTCCATGATCATCTCTCTGCATTGGTATCACTCGCCAATATGAACAACTATGAGAAGATGATACCATGTGCTGTATATTGTATTTCTTACTACAGAGCCGATCGATTACACAATTTAGATTATTGCCACACGGATGTATAGGAAGCTTAATTTCAAACCTTCGATATTACCTAAGTGGGACCATGAATATACCCATGCATAGACATTTGAACTCTTTTTGGGTTCTGGTATGGGAACTATGTCCTGTAGTACTATTCCATCCACGTATTGAGTACTGCTAGCGGTTTGATGATCTGGTGCGTATCGAGAGATAGATTTATGGGCTTGCATCGTACTTTTATCGTGTTGAAACTGAGGCTATTCCTGTTTAGGTTGTTTTGTGAAGAGTGGTTTGTTAGGTAGTGATAGTAGTGCTTGATCAATGATGATGTGGTCAATCTGTTTTTTGTTTGCTTTTAGTAGTAGGAGAGTAGCTAGGCATACCATTTCTTTTATTAATTGATTGCATTTGAATTGATTAATTCTAGTCTAAAAGAAGATAATGAAATATTAAAATCCTTATTATACCAAATCTATACAATGTACATAATTGAATACAGCAGCCATACAGCCAAGCAAAGCCTATATCTTCATATGTTATGCAAATCTATGATCTTATTATTTACCCCACTTATGGGCATGTTATGGGCGGTATGGGCATGCCCCATGGGTCTGCACAGGTTTAGCTCTGCCGACCCCGACCGGTCTAGTCAATAGTTCTTAGCCTCTCACCGTAAAGGAGAAGAAACCCAAGATGCTTCCTCCTAGTTTCCAGCTTTGCCTGTAACAGTTGGCAGCATTGCTCTAAGTTCCAAGAAGTTATCCGTCGGGTGTCCCTGTGTGTTTCCCCAGAAAATAACTTCAACCCCGACCACTCCAGACTCTCTGCACATGTGGTGCCCGGTCGTCCTGGAACACCGCCCGCAGTTTAAAGCCAATCTCGGACAAATTGCGACTTTCGCAGCACATGAAGAAAGACACCAGGGCAGTTCTTAGGTAGACGACAGTGCATAGGCGCATTATCAATATGCGGGTGTACACTGGATCCCAAAAAGAGGTGGTCCTGACCTCACTCTACGCGTTGTTCACAACTCCCCTACCAGCGCGTCCACTTCTAGCTCAAATGTTGTTCGTTACAGATTTGACAGCGGTCCTCACCTCGGTCTCCAAGAATGCGTCACCATCCTCCTCATCAAGCCCTTGATATACAGGGTTAGGAAAGGTTCACGTTGCTTTTGCTCGACGGAAGAGCAAGAACGTTGATATTTGATTGCTACGATGATATCATTTGCTTTTAGCTGGGTTTTCTTCATGAAAATCTAACTGAAAATACGTGGCCAACTAGTCATTTCGAGCGCAAAGACTGAACTGAACCGGTGGAAAGTCTGGTCTTTTTTATTTATTTTACTTACAGAAGAGAAATGAACTAACAGTACGACCACTTTCTGACTTTTCTTATGTCTATTAGTATAGATAAAATCCTCAGGGGCTACTGGTATCTTTAAAAAACGGGGATCATACTACTGGGTCTGGTTTCTTCATCTAGCGTGTACTCGGCCACTAGCAGAACTCCGCGGATCAAACGTATCTTGAGTAAATATCCCATAGATATGTTTCTGCCAGAGAAGCTGGACTCTTACTGGGAAAAAGATTAGCTTATGAAAAGCGAAATTACTTTGTTGACACAAACTTGCATCGTTCTAACGCCTAGAATATGTCTGTCTTTTCTGACGAAATGTCTCTTTACTACCTCAAAACACAGCCTTGGAGATCAGAAACATGCTTTTGTTTACGTTTTTTATGCCATGATAATTTTCTGCATTCTGTTGACATTTGATTAGGAACCTCTTTCTCTGAAATAAATCCTACTCAGACCATTCTCGAGGAAAAGATACCAAGTCGGTGCTTTTACTTAATGCGCGACGGCTTCTCGGCCTCGGGCTTACGATGGCGTGTCAGCATATCTCTGAGTGGCCATTCTTTTCATATGGCGCACGCTTGGCAATCCGGCCTCGCCGATAGCAACATCAATATCCCACTGATTCTGAGACTCTACATGACTTGCTGACGCTTTCGGAACCTTGTTTCCTTTCGAAATAAGTATAAGGCCTGCCGTCTTCAAGTTGAATTAATATTTTCTCCCAGAGGTGTATATCGCCCCGTCACACAGCTAACTATAATTAGTTTTCGTTTGATTCTAGCTTTTCGAACTATTCTTTGTCGAAATATTGCATCGCATCGTCTGGTTCCATCACTATATCGAAAAGAAATTTTAATCGTAAAAGGAGCAACAATGCCAATTGCAGTCGTACTTGGCTCTACAGGATCACAGGGCAAAGGTGTAATCGATGCGCTCCTCAAGGACCCGAAATGGACACTTCGTGGGATCTGCCGTAACAGAAACTCTGCAACAGCCCTTGAGTTGTCCGAAAAGGGCGTTGAAATGGTAGATGGTGACGTTGGCGATGAAGAATTTCTACTCAAAGCATTTACTGTGAGTTGTGAGGCTGTACCCAGCATTTAACTTTGAACTAATTATTGGGAACACTGCCAGGGTGCTGATGCCATTTTTGCTATCACAGCGTATTGGTAAATGGCTCCATGATAAATTAAATTAAAAGTCTGCTCCGCCACTGACTCTTTTAGGCATCTTCTCGGCCCCCGTGATATTGACCAAGCTGGCGAGGAGGAGTTCCGACAATTACAGAGTATCGCCATAGCGGCCTCCAAAACGGAAACGCTGAATCATTTTGTTCTCAGCACTATTCCATCGGCCGAACTTATGTCGAATGGGGAGCACCCCGTGCCGCATTTCGATTATAAGAATAAAGCGGTTCAGTGGATGAAAGTGCATACCAACAAGTTGTATGAGATAACCACGTATGTTTATGTTGCTTTGTATCCGAACAATTTCGTCAATGAAGCCTTCATGCGATTTGTTAAAGTTGTAAGTTGAATATTTCTACAATTTCAACCACCGAAGGAGTTTCCGGAGAAATACTTACCACGGCGTTTCTCGTTGATTGAAATAGCGACCGGGCGGATATTTTCTATTGTTGCCAGCAAGTCCAACGGCAGTCATGCCCTTTAGTGGAGAGATTACGCACAATATCGGTGTTGTTGTAGATGCGATTCTAGCCGCACCTGAAAAAACAATCGGTCGCACTGTACCTCTTCACACTGATCATGCTACATTCACCGAGGTAGTAGCTCTTTTCGAGAAAGTCACTGGCCAGACTGCCGTCTATTCTGAGGTCTCCGACGAAAGTTTTGAACATCTCTATGGGCCACTTTTTGGCCGAGAGCTCGTTCTCGGCCTGCGCTTCCATGAGAAGTATCCGTCCGAGGACTTGAATGATCTTCCGCCGCTGGGAACTGGCACATTAATGACTCTAGAAGAGTTAGGTGTTGGGGATCGGGTTATTGGATTGGAAGGTGCCATGAAAGGCTTTGGGGATAAGCTGCTTTGATGGAGTTTTTCAGTTAGCATGACTTCTGGAATTGTTTACGCATAATTTTACTGTTTGCCAACAATTAAATGTATCTGCAATTCTTCAATTATACTATTTAGTTCTACTTTAACTAGACGGACATATCAAAACCTTCAAGTTGAAACCGATCTGCAACTTCAAGTTCTTTAGTTAAGAAGCTTCCTTTATAACCGTTGATATCAGCTTAGGCTCAAGCAAAAATAAACACATCCTGTTGGAACTGCGATGTAACTGGGCTTCTAGTGCTTGAAGAAATGGCCATGATTGGCTCGGACAGTGCTATCCGGCCCACAAAAGAGTGTTGTTTGTTTAGTGCTTCGAATCTGATCCCGGGATGATAATGGCCGGCCCGCTCTAACAATGCTTGCTCTCTCGCGATACAGAATAAAGTGGTCCGGGTACTGATTTGATGAAAGATAGCCCTTTTCTTGTCATCAGGCTGTGTCCACAAATATTCTGCTATTTAAACATGTAAGTTTTCCCAATCATGAAATTTTATCTCCTCATCATATTGGCCGTTCCCGTTCCCAACCAAAATGCAATCCTATCTCCAGTATAGACGTCTGCGACATGCGGTTGACAGACAACTTGGAACCAACAGTTTCAAGGTGCAGCAGCATGCCAAAACTCCCATTGGCATTGGATCTGATACTCCAGTCTCGTTTTTATCCAGCGAGGAGACAGAAGGGAATCTTGAAGGAGATCCAGAGAAGGGAGTTGATGATATCGCATCATTGCGAGGTATTCATGTTAGGTTATCCCCTAGTACTAGTGGAAGTTCGCCAAGAAAGTTATTTGTGGTTGACTGGGAGGGTGGAGATGACGCCCTTTGTCCACGCAACTTCAGTCTTCTGAATCGCATGACGGCAACGTTATTGGTCTCGGTATTATCATTTTCTGTTGGAGCCGCTTCATCCATCACCTCTGCCGTGTTATCGCAGAGTAGCGCGGATCTCAACGTTAGTGAGGTTGCCGGGTCCCTGGTGACTGGTAAGTCTAATACTATTCCGAACGACCTGCCGGTCAAGACTTTTGATTAATGATTTTCAAGGAATGTACCTCTTCGGCTTTGCAACAGGATCTCTCTTCTCAGGGCCACTGTCCGAGATCTTCGGTCGCAATATGGTCTATCTCGGCTCGCTAGTTGTCTTCATGCTCTTCGTGATGGCTTCAGCTCTCGCTCCGAATTACGCCGCAGAGCTCATTTTTCGATTCTTATCCGGTGTCTTTGGTTCTCCACCTTTGACCTGTGCAGGAGGTACAATCGCTGATCTGTGGAACCCACTTGAGAAGACTTTCGCTTTCCCCTTCTATGCCATATTTTCATTTTCGGGACCCATTCTTGCACCGGTGATCTCTTCATACATGGGTCAAAGCAGTCTTGGATGGCGTTGGGCCAATTGGATTATTTTGATCATGTCAGGTGTCGTCATGGTTATAGTAATCTTGTTACAGCCAGAGACCTACAGTCCACTGCTTTTGAAGTGGAAAGCGAAGCATTTTCGTAATATCACCGGTGACAGCCGCTTTGTATCTGAAATGGATATTAGCCATGCTGAAGTTGGAGGATTTACTCGTATCTATGATGCATTGAAGCGAGAATTTCTTCTTACTTTCCAGGAACCAATTGTGCTCTTGATCTCTTTGTATATGACTGTTATCTACATTATCATCTTCACATTCTTTGATGGTTATGACTATATATTTGGTGAGGTTCACGAATTGTCTCAAGGTCTGACCAATATTATTTGGGTGGCGATGTTCGTCGGAATGATGGTGGCCGCATGTCTCGTGCCGCTGATATATCGGTGGACGAAGGTTGAGCTCAACCAACTTAAAGCAGAGGCGACGCAAAAAGGCTCTCACACCCGACCGGAGAATCGTTTGTGGTTTGCTATGCTAGGCGCACCGGCTATTCCAATCGGCCTGTTTTGGATGGGATGGACCGACTTTGTAAGTTTTCAGATCCATCCTTACTAACCCTCCCATGAAAGGTTCGCTAACTCAATTTCTACCCTCTGCTAGGCTCATATATCCATCTGGTCTCCGATTGTTGCATCTACCTTTGTAGGATATGGCACCATCCTAGTATTCATCAGCTCTTACATGTACGTGATCGATGTGTACGATATTTATGCCGCATCCGCCTTATCCTTCATGACCGTGTCTCGCTACTACGTAGCGGGAGGAATGACGGTTGCTGGGATTCCATTTTACCGTAACATGGGTGTTCATTATACCCTTACGATTCTCGCATGCATAAGCTCAGTCATGACGCTTTTGCCGTATATTTTCTATCGCTACGGGCCAAAAATCCGAAGCCGCAGCAAATATGCGACACACAATAGGGACGGAGAAAATGGGGCCAATTGAAATTCAATATGTTGAGGGCAAGCGCAAGTACTACATGCCAGTACACCGAGGTGCATATGTTATCATTATTCCTATCAGGAAATTCAATTCTTATGTTGGAGTGCATAGATGGATAGATCGACGTAAGTACAAAAGTTCATTCATAGGTTACTTTCAGACATTTATCAAAAGTCTGCGTGACTGAAATATTATTATATTGGTTGAATAGATATTTCGAGAGTGTCGTCATATTCATAGATTACTGGGTATGTTTTCCAGTCCATATAATGGATCCAGGGGAAATAGAGGAGACATCGGATCGAGCATACTAGTAGTACTGCTGTCCCAAATCGCATCCTCGTTATTAATTAGTGGCGAATGGCGCATCTGCTGCATGATGTTGTCTTGTGGTATATTGAAGCTTTGGAAGATGCAGTCCATGTCGTACTCAAATATCCCTTCGGGAATAAGATGTTCATCACTCGTTGTGGATATTTGGAAGGGATCTGTAATAGACTCCGCGGTATTCGCAGATGTGTCGGTATTTCTATTGTCAGCGCCTAAAGTGCTTTCAGAGCGCTGTGTAGTCGCATCGGTCGAGGAGGATGCGATGCAATCGTCATCTATATGAATCCCGACACGTCTGATGAGACTTTCGATCACCTCCAGGGCTTTCTTTGGCCCTAATGAAGCTTGCTTTTGCGCTCGAAGAGTCAAAATACATCTCCGAAGGGAGGCATGCGCTGAGGACCCTGGTGCACTTTGCGCAGCTACTCTGGCATGAATTGTAGCACTCACATAAGTTGCATAAGACAATATGTAAGGCGCAGATCTCATGGAAAATGATCTGCCATATAAAACATGTATATGATCTATTGAAGCGGCTGCAGAAACACAGGTGGCGAATGCTACCGGTGCAATCGAAAGGGAGACACTGCGCAAATGTCCATCAGACACAAATGGTCTGTGAAGAAGAATTTCCAATGTATGGTACAGCGCCCTGGCAGAGGTAAGTCCAGTGTTCCGCGAAGCTTTGAATGCACTTACCTCAGTGAAAGGATATGGGGCGACGCGCTCTCCGAAGACATTCGCGATAATGGAGTCGAAAGTATCGACGGAAGAGCAACTAGCCAGCCCTGGAGCCCATTGTATAAGGATGATGCGGCATCTAGGAGGGTTGATGGGTCTTTGGTTGTACTGCGCTCTGTATAAAGAGTTTCCAGGATACCAGACATGATGATAGATAGTGAGCAGTAACCCTTCAAGATTGATATTCCATGTGACGGAATATTGCTGGTTTCGCTGCTACTCGCATAGGACGACGGATCTAATGCCTCAAACTCCTCGTGTTCATCAAGAAATTGTAGAAATATACTTGCGTCGGCGTCCCGCAAACGAATGCACCTCCCTTGGTACAACGACAAAAATTTATCGATTGCTGAAATGACGGCTGTAAGTATTTGAGAGCTTAGTAAAAGATACGATAGAAAACCACTTACTGTAAGCTCCCCAGAATAGCCTTTGTCTGGCTTCAATGTCTTCAAGGGCAAGTTTACCGAACCTTGAGTCAACCGCATGACTAGAATGAATACCCAAGTCTGTGATCATATTGAAAGCCATGCCGGAATATAGCCATGACAAGCTCTTCTCATCGCACCAATTAAATAAGGCATAGGATAGTAAGAGAAGAGCTTGAACTGTAGGTATTTCGCTAGTGGTAATATGGTCGCCAATGAATTCCATAATTCTTCGCCGAAATCTTCTACCAGCAGTCAGCGCGTTATTCCGATCGTCAAAAACCTCTGCGTGTGAACAATGCTTTGATGCGGTGAAGTATATGGCATTGAGAAGTAACTTGGAGAAGTACGGCCCATTACATGCCATATCCCTCATAAAGAGGGGTCGATAGACTACTGCGCCGACGTCGAGCTGACGGTCCCAGAACAACGACAAGAGACGCATTGCCAATCGAGGTTCTACTCCATCGAAGTCGTATCGTCCGGAGCCGAAGTGAATTTTCTCTAACTGACCTAGATATTCAATTCAGTTAGGCGATATTCACGGATACTAGGGCATGAAAGCGTACTCGACCTAGCTGAGTTTGCAAACAAGGCATTCCGGGCGGTTTCTGATCCCTCGGCATGCTGATGAGGCTTTCTAGCCATCATGCCCAGATTTGATGCGATTTCGTCAGCGACCGCACTTGTCGGCCCATGTGATTGCGCGACTGTATCAAGCTGACCAGAGGACTGAGGATTTGAAAACGGATCATTCGCGTCCCGGATGACCATCCTCTCCCTTCTTCCTAAGCCGGCGCTTGAGTCTGGCGTATACACGACCATTCCTTGCTGCGACTGGGATATAGGGACCGTTCGCTGTTGTGTTCCACGTGCTTCGTCGACTCGCTGCGGTTTCGCTCCTTGTTCAAGTTGAGCCAGCGTATCTTTGAGGCGTTTGTTCTCTTCCTCAACCCGCGACATGCGCGCCTTTGAAGGCCTGTTCGACGCGTTAGGTATTCACGTCGCACCCTTGAATACTTCTGTTACTCACCGGGGAGGTTTGAGGATCTCCACATAGTTGCAATCTCTCCCACGAGCCTGGCATTGTTGACAAGTTGGGCGGTCGTTACTGCATTTGAGCTATCAGACGACGTTAACCGGCTTTCAATATTATCTTGCACCTGGGGGTTCACGTCAAATCGACGAACCTTCTTTTGTCGACAATACTCGCACGCAATGACAGCTCGCGCCCTTTCTCCTCTATCACCAACTCGTCGCCTGCTATTGAGCCTGGCTTGTGGCATTTTCAAAATGGAACTCGCGGGTTTAATATTTGAGTCGGATTACAAGAGAGTTGAAATGGGAGGCCGTAATCCGGGAGGTTACGAGCCGGAAAGTGGGTCGGGAAGTAACTCTCCGGGCGCCGGAAACACCCAACAAGATGTCAAGAATATTGAAAACGACGTACGCATTTCAAGAAGCATTTAATCATATTCAAGAAGTAGGCAAGAGAAAAGAAAATTTAATCATCAAAACAAGAAAAAACGCATCAATACATGTTTAAAGCCATTCTGGGCATCTTGTTGTGGCGACTTGATTGGGAATGGTTCATTGCCGCCTTTTGATTCTTTTAAAGCGACGTCGTTCAATACCGCTTTGAGCCAAATAAAGATGACCTTGGAAGCATCTGTGTTCTATGGATATGTAGATCGAGTAGAATCTTGATTTTTAACAAAGTCAACACAAGAACGAAATGAACAATGTCGGTTAAATCCATAAATATTGTCTCCATGTTCAGAAAGTAATCGACATCCTCGAAGATACCAGCTTTCTCAACTGGTGTCGGTCCCACTAGTCCTTGTGGTATGCTTCCAGGGGCGTGTTCTTCATCTTCCTCCCAAAAATACCATGATTTGATGAACGCATAGACTTCCCTGTCTTGATCCAAGCGAATCCTGAGAGCTGCGACCGCGCCTGCCGCAGCGTAGTTATCAGTAGATCAGAGAAGTCTCTGTTTGGTAATTTTCACAGCTTCTGTAACAGACTTCCTGGTGTAGATTCGCTCCATACATTGTAGCAGCCAGTTCTTCAGGGAAACATAACTTGGCAATTGGTCCTGGAAGCGGAAATCGGCCAAAAGACGCGGGAGGTTAGGGAGCGCGGGGTCGCAGGGATGAGGGCCCAACAGGCGATTAAGGCCATCTAAGGTAATTTGGCCGGATTCCATAATCTCACAAAGCTCCTTGTGTTATTTTCGATGCTTCTTCTGGTGTTCTATACCACAGTAGGACACCACATTGCAGCCGGTGCAGTTTTTCAGATCCTCCTTCGTACCGCAGACCTCACATCCCCACGGTAAAACTGTCTTCGGTTGGACAGGTTCTTGCTGCGAAACACCCCGCCGGAACATTTTAATTCAAGATCAATTTTCTAGCTGTCGATTAGCTGATCATTTGTAATCCTCAATAGTGCTGGTTGAAGTAGAATTGTGGGTTGGCAATGATAATAGCCTTGAAAGACTTCAAATTTTGAGAAAGGTAAAAGTGGGGTACAACAGAAATACCTACCGAAGAGGGGGAATTGCCTGTATCAGAATAGTGGATAGAAAAAACACCCACAAAAACACCATAGCATCTTTCCTGGTCAAGGCGGGAATTTATTGTATTGTAGCAACAGATTCCAAAAGAGTGTAAGAAGTGTGTTATTCGAAGCTATTACTAGCAAGCAGCTAACTATATAATATTATGATAACTAAAAGGAGATAATATCTCCGCGATCGTACGGGCCATTCCTGATTGAACGGCGGCTTTTCCCACTACACTGTTGAAGTTGTGTTTGTTTATCAGCTTAATTGAGCCAACCTGCGCTCCAGTAAGGCGCTTTATAAGGACTATATCTCGTTTCTAGTTGATACAAAATTATGCCTCACTATATAGATAGAAAAGATAAATAAAAAAAGAAGTGAATGAAAAAGATAGGCAAGGAAAACAAAGGAGAATGTTCAAGTATAATGTGGGTGATCAGGTGTTTGTTCTCCACCCTATATTTTAGGCATACATTGAAAAAGAATTTTGGCCGCTGGGTCAGAAATCAAGTCGATGGCTGACTGTTGCTTTCTTGATGCATTATTTTTGGGTGGGTTATGCTCTAGTTGATCTTCAATGTACAAATTTGTAAAAAAAGCCTTCATTCCATGCCAGCCCAAAAACTTACAAACGTGAGATCACAATGAGCCGTTTCGAAAGGTAATCTATTAACATGGTAACATGGTATCATTTTCCCCACCAATCTCGAACCTGTAGATGCGCCTCGTCCTCTATCTTATTATTTGAAGTGTGGAAGTGCTGAAATGCTAAACTCCTAAACCGACCCCCCAATATCCGCGTAAAAATCAAACGAATCTATTCTCCCAATATCATCAAACTCCGACCCACTGTGATTAATATAAAAGTCAAAATGATTCACATTCTCCGTAATATGTGGCATGTTGTCTGCACTGTAGCCCATCCGGACGCAGAGCCTGCCGTAAAGGGAGCCAAAATGCTCCCAAGCCTTTCGTGCCCTCGAACTGCGAAAAGACATCACTTCGAAATATCGGATAGACTTCTGAACGAGCCGAATGAGATAAGCTTGCTCGTTCTGAGTATGGACACAACCAAGAGACAACTCCATGAATACAATCTTCGTTGCCTCCGTGGTATAATGCAATGCACACCACCAAGGCAGTATTTGATGCGAATTTGCCATATCCAATTCTCCGGGTACCATTGCGAGGAGCGTCTTTGCGCTGTCAAGGGCGACATGTGACATGTTGTAGCTGGTGTGATTATACTCGATCATATTTCGACAGAAGAGCCAAGGACGGGCGATTGCAATCCGGGCTCCATGGAAATGAAACGCAAGCCTTGCCTTGTAGTTTCCATTGAGTGAGGGAGCTCCATTGTTTAAGTCAAGATGCAATGGCAAAGTATCCCTCCAGGCATTGAGACGGCATAGCAAGTCATTTGTTATCCTTTCTTTCTCTGGTGACGTCCGCAGCTTATAAAGAATGCTGCTAATATCTTGTATAATGACAGCTAACTTGCAGGAGAAGACAAAGAAGGCATCAGCTGTAGTCTCGAGGCTGTTCTCGTCAGAGGGAGAGAAGTCGGTATAATCTTCCCCTGCAAATATCCTTTCAAATTCCAGTTGTGATTCGTGAGTAAATGTCGATTGTTGTGTTTTGGTCCTCTGCTCATCCTCCTGCAATCGTACTGGGTAAGGTATTGAATGTTGGTTGTAGGAGATTGATGTCGGTCGGCAGGAAATAAGCCCAATCACTTGTTCAAAAGTATAGACACACCACCATAGGCGGAATCTTGCCTCCCTTGAGAAAGGATTGTGGTTTTTTGTTGTCTTCAAATTAGTGCTCAGAGCGACCGCCGCTCGCGCTGCTAATGCCGCGACTCGCCACGCCTTATCGAATTCTTCCGTTGCAAGTAAATAAAAAGCACACAGTGCTTCGATTTGAATTTGTTGGAGATCCGGGTGACCTAACAAGTCCGCTTCGGTCATGCTTAACAATTTCGCTCGTGTAAAATACATCGAGTGATCGTAGTTGCGATCGTTCCATTGCGGATGTAGACAATGTATATGCAAAGCCGCGATGGCGAACATCATGTTGAGTATAGCTAGCCATTTATCACCGGGCTGTTGGCTGCATTCCCAGAGGTTCATGTACTGGGTGCGAAAGAGTTGTTTGTTGATTATGGGGAATTCGGAATGTATGTTGTTGAGGTAGTCGTGAAATAACGTATCTGCCGCACTTCGGGCGGGCAAGCCGTATTTTTGAACGGGCGAGGCACTTAAGTCGTTGTCAATGATGTTCATGAAATCGATTTCGAACGCTCTCGCAAACACTTCCTTGCTTTTTGGCTGGGCCTCGACGCCGGAGAATTTTAGGATGTCTGTCTGTCCCAGTCCCTTGGTTTCAAACATGGTATATTGTTGGGGCGGGGAGATTGGCATTTGATCTGTGTTCATCAAATATTCTTCAATGCCACCCAAGTTGGTGGAGTTATTGTTGCCTGTGGGTTTGTATAACAATTCATCTGGCTCTATCGAGTCGTCCTGCAATAGCTGGTACTATATTCGTTGTTAGCTGAGGTCATGGCTACTAGGATTGTCATTTGAACATGAAATCTCACCTTCTGCATTGTAGCATTGATCCATTGCCTAGTCGGTGGGTCCGCAGTACACACCAACTCTCGAACGAAATCTTGGTAGTCTTTGACTACAGCCAAATGACTGTCCACTTCCCTATATTTCAGTTAATGTCAAAAGTCGCTCGAAAAATCTCAGATGGCAGTTACTGACCTTTTCATCTCCTCTCTCCAACTCATTGGATACCGACATCTCAAATCCAGTTCGCGGCATTGTCGACAGGCAGGCTGTTCGCCGCTGCATTTGACTTTCCGACTCCGACATGAAGAGCATGCCCGTGATACCCTTCCGGGGGTGAATGTTTGAAAATATTTATTTGTGTCGCGTGGAATAGCGACTTTGGCCTGCAACCCGTTGACCCTTGCAGTTGTGGTTCTGGCCTTGGGGTTTTTTGGAGGGACAAAATCAAGAATTGGCGATTCAGGAGTAGGTAGAGAGTTCGCTCCGTCCGCATCAGACGGTGTGCACATTGACAGCCCGACCGGCCCCCCATTCGGTGGGTCTGATTGGTCTGATTTATCATGATGATCCACTCTCATATGCTCAACCACTACGTCCCCTACAACATCCACCCGATTCACTGGGGAATCCTTCTCAGACATTATCAGTCTTGACTGATGCTAGCAATGACAAAGTCATCAAGTGAAAAGATGAGACGCTTTGGAGTGCAATACCCCTAACGGGGGTACATTGTTTGATATGACGATATGATAGAATGTGGTACAAGTTTGCACCCATACAAGATGTGCGATAGACAGCTTGGTATATGTGAAACCCTTCCAATTCCTTTCAACCGAAGTGCGTTGTAGGTTGTGAAGATTTAAATATTGAAGTTAGAACCTTGGAAATGTCATGAAGTAATTGTCGTCGGTGATTCCGAACCATTCATGACTGTTGGCGTACATTCTGTGTTGTTCGAGAAATTTTATGTACATTGGCTTGCACCACACATTTTTTATTGACCAATCAGCTGACATCACGGTAAGAGGCTTTCCATTGTGGGCGCCAGTTGAGGTCATATCTGACATGGGAATATGGCTGTGTTGTGATCCCACTGACGTCATGTAAGCCACATCCAATACATTCCCACCGGCTAGAAGATTCCAAGCGCCTCAGATACCCGCAATGACGAATAGACCCAGTCCGTTTCCTTTCTCCTGCTTTAGAAGCCTTCGATGCTTCGATATCCGTGCGGCAGCCAAGAGAGATGAAGAAAAGAAAACAAAAATAGAACAGCAGTGTAGATCTCTCACAGGAAAAATTTTAATCGATTGACCTGTGGTGGAAGACGAAGACAAGAATAAGCGCGTTTTATTCAATCTTGTCAATCGTCGAGGCAAATTATCTTAGTCTGACTCGCAAATCGTTCTATGAATGCTCCGAGAGCGCCATGATAGCCATGGCTTGGCCTTATGTCGTAGACGTCAGAGGTATCTCTTTGTTCAACTGGAGGTCGTAGTCCATTCGAGTACCGCAGGAAAATCCGGCAGCTGCCGAAGCCTCGATATTAGACAATGGGTGGATCCGGATCGGATCGGTGGGCCCATTTTCAATAAGCAACTCAATGATTGAAAAAAAAAATCGTTCGATCCAATCGGGTATCTAAAAGAACCGCTTCCCAAACTTAGGGAGGTGTGAGATCCGCGGATATTATTATATCACATTATTAGATTCTTCAATACACTGCCAACGATGGGAAACGCTTTGGATCTATTCTGGGGCTCATCGTTCGCTGTTTCAATTTGACTGCCTACAAAGCGAGTGACTGGAATGAACCGTCGTGTATTCGGCATATTTACACACCATAGCAACGCAACTAACTCGAACGAAAATTTGAACCAGTCTAGGTCCACTGCGGGTCAATAAGTATCTTGCAATATGAATCTCGCGCCTCAAGAAGCTGCTTGAACCCTTTGTCTACAGCATCTTGAAGTTTGAGCTTGTTACTAATCATCCCGTGTGGCTTAAGTTGTCCTGGAAGTTGTGTTAGAATCTTGCAATCATGGTCTGTCGATCTATTCATACCGTAATGCAACGCATTGATGACTTGTTGGAAAGAATTCTCATCATACAAAGTTGCTCCCATGTAGTTTATCTCTCGGTACATCAGGTCATTAACGTCAATTGCAGGGCGTGATTCCCATACTGCAATGTTGACGATCGTACCTTGTACTCGTGTCGCCTCGATGACTCCATTAAGAGCAACCTCCACCCCTGCCGTATCAAAGACTACCTCGACCCCATTTTGATCTGTGAGCCCACGAACTGCAGTGGGGATATCCACTTCTCTAGGATCGAGAACATGTGTTGCTCCGTACTGTTTTGCCAGTTCTTTGCGATTGGGTAGAAGCTCAACGACGATTATGTTTTTCGCACCTTGAAGATTCAATACTTGAACCGTGCCAATTCCGATAGGCCCAGCGCCCAGGACTAGTATGTTGTCATTGGCTTTGAATGGCGATCGATCAACGGCATGCCAGGCCACTGCAAGGGGTTCGATGAGTGACGCATCCTCCAAAGCGATGGAATCTGGAAGGGGGTAGTAGTGGTCGGCAGGTGCGACAATATGTTCTGCCATACCACCGCCATAGCCTAGAAAGAAAATAGTCAGCCTATGTAAAACCCAGAAGAAAAAAACCACCAATCGTGTGCATACCGCTCAGACCAATAAACCCAATATTTTTACAACAATGCTCTGATCCTTGGGTACAGGCAGCACACTCTTTGTCAAATATTGTTGGTCGGACCACCGCTCTCTGACCAGGTCGGAGATGTGTAACACCCTCACCCACTTCCTCAATAATGCCGCTGAATTCATGGCCCATAGTTACCGGAGATGACTCTCCCGTTATGGGGTGGTCCAATTTAGGAACAAGAACTGGGCCCGAGGTGTATTCATGGAGATCACTACCACAAATTCCTACAAAGGCTGGTTTCATCTACCTCATGTTTTCTCGTCAGTGAAATTTGAACACCAGGCTTGAGGCCATAATACCTTGATCTCGCCTTTCTCGCATTTTGGCTCCTCTACTTTATCCACGCGGATATCGCCTTTGCCGTGGAATCTGACAGCCAACATAATTTAGATGCAGTGTCACTAGTATTGGTTTTATTTTCAAAGAGGTAAAATTATTTTTGAAGACTAGCTACCTGGAATGATGAATTGTCGTCCACGCGCCTTTTATAGTGACTTAGGATCCCGCAAATATCACTTTCCCGCCAATCACATCCCTGCATTTTATGACATCAACCATCTGCGCCGTACTTGAAATTCATACTTACTACGTGCAACTTTTTGGAATGGCGAAGCCCATGACGTCTCAGTTGGTTCATAAAATCTTAATTTACTGTATTCTCTCACGACGTGTAGACATCAGGATAATTGTCGCCTCATATCCTGCTTGGGCGCCTCAGAGGTGATGTTGATTCCTTCGAGGTTCTTTAGTCCGGGGTGATTCATGGAATGAACCATTGAGGACAAATTTTTATATTAAATTGCCTTCGGAGTTCAAACTCTTTGCAATATCTTGGAATTGCGCCGGGTGATAAAAGTTGTAGGAAAAGAATGGTCGTTCGTTATCTGAGGATTTGACATCATGAGCGGAATGACATAATTCCGGTGGTGTTTACTATGCCAAGCTCCGAATGCTGGAGAGACTATAGATCGGGACATCACATCTATACCTTCAAAATCAAATTACATACTTTCCGGACTGCTTTCGAGCTTCATTTCCAAAGTTAGTCATTCACAGAAAACCTTTCAACTTGTTTTCCCAATGTCGGGCAATATTTACAGTATCTACCAGCCACGAAATTGGAAAGTATATGTTTTCGAAAATAGTCTTTGTATCCCGTTTATTCACAATCTCAAACTTCGAAAATAGTCATCGCTCACATGTGTCGCTTGAAAAGCAAGAATATAGAGCCAGATAGAAGAAAATACTGGTGAATATACTGACTGGAAGATTATTCCACGCGATAGTATCATTGAAGCAGTGTTCTACTATTCCATGTTGCGCCCCGTTGTTTACCCCGCACCGTGGCCCCCATGTGATAAAACGTGATGAGGCTGAGTTCATCCTGAGGCTGAGTACTCCTCCCCCCACTGAATTGAATTACAAGCAATCATGGATCCGGTGTCCGCCTTTGGCCTGTTCGCAAGTGCGATACAGGTGCTGCAAGCGGTCGCATCAACGGCCAGCGGCCTGCGCGAACTGGCAGAAAAGCTACAAGGTGCCAGCTTCAGCATTCACTGCCTGATCCAGGAGTTGTGTTGCATAAAAGCAGCTCTCACCAGTCTGAAGGAATGGCTTCGGATCCATCGAAGTGGCGATCACGGACAGCAGTTTGCAGTACTTGATGCCGACTTAGCAGTGGCCATTGATGGCTGCCATGGGGTTATGCAGGCCTTGCACGAGGAGGTTTTTGATTTGGTGCAAAATGTCGAGGAGACTGGTACGTTTGGGTTTACCACCAAGATGAAAGTGGTTTGGAAAGACGCAACTATACGGTCGCATAAAGAGAGATTGCAGGATCATGTTCGGGCACTCCAGATTCTGGTTAATGCCTGCCAATGGTGAGTATCGTTGCTGATCATTGGTTAGATGCACGACACTGACAAGCATAGTCATTCGCTGGCCGAGCAGAATGAGTTGTTGAGAAGAGCGACCACCCGTCAGCTTATTGAGAAGGTGGCTAGTGATGCTGCTACTCTTAGGTCGGTTGGTCTTAGCCGGGCACCTTCTGAAGTAGATGACATGTCGGAGAGCAGCAGTCGTGTTGCACTCAGTAATCGAACCCTCGACTTTAACGAAACCCTCATCCATACACCAGTATATCAACGTGCACTAAGCCAATGGCCAGCTTCAACCGTGAACCTTGACCGCGAACCCTCCATCTCCCCTCGCCAACCCGAAATTAGCATCACTCAAAGCCCCTCGGTCGACGAAGGTTACGATAGTTTTCATTCTGGATCGGCCGGGTGGAGTCCTCCCCCAGTCCCTGGCTTCGGACAGCCATTCAATCTTCTTCCTATACCAAATACTCCACCTATACCGACACACAGCCGAAGTTTCTCGCAAACACAAATACCCCAGCGACCGAGCCCGGTCGGCATACGACGTAATGCCTCAGACTCGAAAGTCCTTCCTCAAAGACAGCCATCCTCATCATGGAAGAATAAAATAAGCAATTCGCTGGGCCGAATCAATACGAAAAGTCGAATGAGTCTTAGGAGCACATCGGCGAAGTCTCCCAGCTCAGCGGTCAGTCCAAATACCCGCGAGAGATGGCATCGCTTCCGATCGAATCTTCTTACCAGCATTGATATCGCCAGAAGCAGTTCTCCAGTGTCCATATTTATCAGAGCAGCACAGAGCGGGACATTGGAGGAGGTCGAGGGTCTCATCGAGCGGGGATGCGACATTGAAGAGCGCCATGCCGAATCGGGCCGCAATGCGCTACTCGTCGCTGCGCATTGTGGGAGGGAGGATATTGTTGATCTACTAATCAGTCGTGGCGCTCGAATAAACGTCAAAGATGGGTCGGGGGAGACTGCGCTTCATTTAGCCGCTTCACGTGGCCACTGGGAGGTCATAGGAATTCTCATGGAAGAAAAGAGGCTTATTGAAACCCCGAATCTGAAAGGAAGAACTGCTCTGCGCGTAGCAGCTGAATGTGGGGAGAGAGAATCTGTCCAGATCCTCCTTGACAACAACGCGCAAGTTAATGTGCGAGCGGAGAACGAGATGACTGCTCTCCATGCAGTAGCGAAGCGGGGGAACTCGGAAATATTGCAACTTCTTGTCGAGTATGGAGCTGATACGCAGGCCAATGATGGCTTTATGATGACACCACTGCACTATGCCTGTCTAGAAGGGCATCTTGAAGCGGTGAAAGCTCTACTGATTCGCAACGCTGACATCGAGGCTCAAGGGAGAGATCGAAAGACGCCATTGATTTGCGCAGCGGAGGCGGGAAAGACCCAGGTGGTGGAGTATTTGCTCCTCAAAAAGAAGGCTTCATTGCGTAGTGTTGATGATAGTGGAAGAACAGCGTTGCATTGGGCAGCACATAACGGCCATGAAAATGCAGTTCGATTGCTCAGCGATCGACGAGGATCCCTCGATATGATCGATAGCGAGGGCCTGACCGCTCTACACCTGGCTGTGATGCAATCTCAGTACCCTGTCGTTGACTTCTTTCTACAGCGCAGGGGGGCACCTCTCGACAAGAGATGCAACAGAGGTCGCACAGCTCTTCACTTCGCTTGTCTGGCGAACAGCCACATGATTACTCGACGACTGCTTTTGTCTGGTGCGGACATCGAAGCCCCGGAATCCGAACACGCTGCCAGAGCCCTTCACATAAGCGCCGCTCAAGGGTCAATGCAACTATTGGATTTGTTATGTGAAAAGGGGGCGAATCTAAGTGCTCGAAATGGAGTGGGAGATCGTCCCCTGTGTGTCGCTAGTCGTTCTGGGAATGCGGAAGCCGTCCAAAGATTACTAGATCACGGATCACCTCTCACATGCAAATTCGATTCCGGATCTCGGGAGGACTCACCTCTGTGTCTTGCTGCAATGGGTGGACATTGGGAAGCAGCCGCCGTACTTCTACGAAATGGCGCATCGGCTCTCAAAAAGGACGAAGCTGGCTGGCAACCAATCCGCTACGCCGCGTACCATGGCCACCACGATGTTTTGGAATTGCTTCTAACCAGCACGAATTTTTCAGACCCAGTGAAGCCCGAAGTCATTCGGATGTCTGAGAAACTGGGCTTTTCAACCGATGTCCCGTTGTCCACACAAAATCGAATTCAGGACCTTTTGCAACGTTCCTATCCGGTCGCATCATCTGCCAGGCCACAACCTCCTATCTCGCCTGGAACACCAGTTGTGACCCGATCACAACCTCCTGTCATTGTACAGCCGCCAAGTATTCCTGCTACATTTGAAGGTGAAGCACAGCAAATCTGGTCTACAGAAGGGCAAGTTGATATAAATTGGCCTGGACGCATGTATGACCAATATTCCAGCGCACATAATCGCGGTCCAGTCTCCACTTCTGCCGCTATGGCTCCCGATGGATACAACCCTCCAGGTCGTTATTCGGTCATCAGTGATATAGTACCTGCCACGGTTGAGTCCGGAGGAGGCCCATTATATGAGATGCATGGTACGTATACCAATATTATACTTGATAAGCTCCATGTTATCCATCTAACATTTCATCAGATAGTTCCCCCGTTGAGCTTCCTACTTCATTTAACACCGGCTCAACTCCTTCGGAAAACAACAATCGCCAAACCAGTACAATGCCGTTTCACCCACGTACAATATTTCCAGATATTGATTCTGTGTTATCGTCATAAAGAGCATCTTACCATGAAGAACCTAATAATCCAAGTCACCCGGAACATAACTTTAGCCCCATATCTCCGGATGATATCACTGGCCTTGGGCGCATGTCTATTTCAGCACAGCAATCGACTTTGATATAGGCTGCAATGCTTTCCACCTAGGAATGACAATAGGCCTGTCAATGCATATATACCATTTCTTTAACCTTTGTAATTATTCCTTTTTTTGTTTTATATACCTCAGCTGGATCATAATGAGTTGCCCCAGATTGCACTGCTCATAGTACCTACTAACAGCATCACATGATGTAAAGAGTTACGAAATCTTCCGAATAACGGTCAATTACAATAATCTTGCCATTATATAACAACAACGTATATCAGGTGGGCAATCGGGCGTTACAATGAAAAGGCAATCCCCTAGAGCAGTACTCAGTCTGCCCTCGGGGTCTTTGTATGGTATGTATTATTATGCACTAGTAAAGTCCATGCTAGATGCATTGTAAATCGTGGTGGACGAGAACAGGTAGCACTATGTGTACCATGTAGTGCCTGTTGACAAACTGCCGATTTCCACTCGTCGAACGATGGAAAGCAACACTAGAAAATTTCTCAATCGTCTTCGGCCCACGGCGACCACTGCGGTATGAGCTGGATTGCGTGAGAGAGATTCGTCTTTATGGAACCCATCACTCCACATATAGACATACGGACTCATACCATATGAACGAAATCGGAGTGTCCGAGTCCTCCTCTGGATAAAAAGAATCGAATTGCCATTTTCATTAGTCAAGGTAACGTTCGGATCGGACCTAAAATATTGCATAGGCCCACCGATTGGCACATCAAAATCTTTATGTTTTGATTTTTCCCATTGATCTCCCATTTGGCGCGCATTTATAGAGAGCTGTATATAGCTAGAGCCTTGTACACGTGCACCCTCAATTCAGTGGAACCTGACATACTCGCCCCTACCTCGTCCTAGACATTCATAAAGAAATCCTTACGAAAGTTGGGCGAGTATTTCCAGTTTCCCTCGTAAGATTCGGAGACTCGGATATGCAGACTCCACTCCAAATCATCTGTTCAGGGTTTTAGGAATCTATTTTATGGCCCCCGTAAGCATTAGTGAGTGCCCCGCAAATTTTCTAACAGTCTATACGCCGAGTTTCAGTGGCAGCATCCGACGCCCCACATAAGGATGGAAGACAATCTATTAGCGCAATCTGATAATCTCGTTCCGATGAAACCCCCGAAGGGTCTCGTACCACCACGAGTACACGACGAGTTTTCGCCGAGGAGTTTTATAGAGAGGGAAATATATAAATAGGGCTTGTTTGTCCGTTCAAGTTAGTATCCTTCATCTATCAATCCAATTCATTCTCATCATCAAAAATGAAGTTCTTCAACCTTGCCATTGCTGCTCTCTTTGCCGGCCTTGTTGCCGCTCGCTCAGTTGAGGTCGAGAAACGCTGTAGTGCCGGTACGTTCCACTTGAATAGAATTTGATCTTGAATTGAATTCAAGATCAAAACTCTTCGTTATTCCGGATAACATACCAGTGAATGGATCTAACTTTTATTTCTTTCCATAGTGGGTTCTCCCTGTGGTGCCGCCTCCCAGTGCTGCAGTGGTGCTTGTGCCCTTGGACCTGTCGGTGCCCCCGGCAGCAGCTCTATTGGCAAGTGTCTCCCTTAAAGACTTAAATTCTTGATCACCAACCAACGTACGAAGTCCGCTCCCCACTTCTTCGACATATTCTAATCAAGTCTCTCCAGCTTCGAGGTATTTGAGTCGGCTCATGGTCTTGTTGAAGAATTTGGCCCATGAATCTTATTATATTATTGAAATATAACACATGATGATTCTAGTTCTCCTAGCACATCGATGACATATACTTTTCGTAAATCTACATGGCCATAACTTGGTCCTTCGGTTTCTCACATCCTAAGTTCTCTTGTGGGGTATCAAACTTATAAAATAATCTCCTGAATTGAAACGCAATGCTCTGATTCGGGGCATCATGACAGTAAATAGATCCAAGTCTTTGAGTTGTGCGAAATATCCCATTTGTTGATGGGCTCAGGCTGACGTCGTCATGACGGTCAAGGTAGACAACATTTGAAGACTAGTTATTGAAGTGCGCGTAAAATATACAGAGAGACGTCTCATGATACCATTCCAACTCTCTGCACTAACACCCATTCCGAATGATCAGTCATAATTATAGAACAAGCCATCCGCTTGTGATTCCCAGGGACTCGGAGCTGAAGTAGGCTTTGGCTGTCAGCTTCATAGAAATTATATAATGAGTTGAGACTTCCCACCTATAGTATAGTTGAGAGTTTCTCTTTTTTCTGGGTCATGTCGAGTTTATGTAGTGGGTATGGGGTGCACAAATTGACAACACTCCCTAATCCATGCAAACGGGCAAGACCCGTTTGTAAATAAAGCCGGAGGTTTATCATCAAACAGACCATCATTTTTATTGAAGTATTTTGTGCTTTATCATGCATAATCTGGGGCCGAGTTAGGGACATCTTCATATAATGGGGGAATATCACGATCCAAGATCTCTCCATAGTCCCCTTCAGCGTAATCAATAATTTGAAGGGGAAATGAAGCATTAAGCGCAGTTCGTAATGGTTTACGATCAACCATGCTATGTGTTTCTACATCGAAGGTATCCTCCGACATCAAAATATCCAATTTGACACGATGTTCGACTGTGAGCATCATTCCATGATGTGTTGTGGTACAGCGACATTCCTGAGATGCAAGTTGATCTGCGGACGCAAAATGAGAATCGTAGCAACTAAGATCGATCTCGGGTGCTAGCGCTTCGACTTCAGATGTGGAAATATCAAGGTTGAATAGTATGTCAATTGACCAGTCCTCATCGTCGTCATCGTTCGCCGAGGGGCTCGCCGTAGCGGGACGTGGTAGGATTCTCCAATAGCCCTTCTGAAATCCAGAATGTATCTCTCGAGTAGAGACATTTTCTTCGGCGGGTAGCATATCTGAACATTCCTGCTCATTGTAATCCATCCGGATCAAGAGTTTACTCAGTTCCTCTATGCGCCATCGAATCCCTCTCACTGCGATACAGTTGTAATCGGTATGTCGCTCTGGAGGATTCCTCGGTGGTACGAATATTTCAAGAGAGATAGAAATGCCCGAATTTGCGCTGACGGTAAGATCCTGGGTGAGAGCCATCTTCTTGATGAGGCTTGAATTCGGATACCCCCGCGTGTGTTGAACAGATGGGCTGTCTTGGGTGATCCGACGAACTAATTGGATATCGCAGCTAGTATTCAGGGTCTTTCCATCGATGGTGTTTGTAGAAGCAACCATGCAGTATGAGACATCACTTAATTCTGTCCTTGCTGTTCCGGGGATATTACCTGGTATGGGCAAATGAAATGGAATCTTGTAGATTCTTCCATTCTCAGGAGAATAGCCGACCTGGCTCTCGGGGCCAAGACGGGGTACATGAAGCGCTAGACTCTCAATGATTGAACAATTCTGCTTGTCCACGGCGGGTGGACTTGGCTTGGGAGTTGTGGCTATTAAACGATTGAATCTTTGTAAAAGGGGCTCGCTGCCACTAGTGCACTTTGGATGTTTCTCTGTCAAGACACGGACAAGATGGATTTTGACCTGATTAAGGCTCGCAATTTCCGCATGGGTGTGACTTGATATCACTAGAGATCCGGTGAGTGGACTGGAGGAGCTCCCTTCCAGCTTATTGGAGTATATCTCATATTTTCTTGGGATTTCCAGTTTCAACTGAATTGAAGTCATGGCCGTGTGTACCCAGGCGTATTCGTGTCCTCGGATTGTTTAGTGGATGCCCGAATACCCGTTAGATTGAATATGTTGAAGTATATATTTGGAAATTAGCGAGATTCTCGTAATGGTGACGCGTGGTAGATTTGTCAAGCCAGTGGGTGTTTTGAAACGACATTGTGGGAAGCAAAGCGAAGAGCGGGTTTCACCTTATGTATGCACCGTGAAACCCCAATCGCTTCAAAGTACGTCTGCATGTGCTTAAACAGCTTCGGGACGAGCACAACATTGCAGCCGTCGCATATCGCGCTAGACCTTGCGGGGAAGCCAAGACGGGCAAATAGAGTTTGATGGTGATTAGCGTGCACAGGGAAGCTGCACTGATCGCACCTGCCCTGTGTACGGTCTGTATCGAGTCTGGATTTGTCAGCCCCGCTTATTCCTGTCGTGACATCACGCTAGTCCATATTTGGTAGGAGATCGATCTTCCTGACCCGCTAATTATCTCACGCGCCAATCGAGAAGCTTTGTCACTAAGCCTGTGTCTTGGCTTCCCAAAACACTCTAGCATCCGATCCTTATGGAGAATCAATTCTACGATGGTTTTCCACCTTGCACAACTTCATGACGAACCCAAATAATATCTTCCCAGCTTTTCTTCTCAATTCAGATGTAGCTTTCCATCTCCAGGCTCAGCCTGCAGTTGCAACCGCAGCCCAATGAGAGACACATCAATCACCACTACGTCATGCTGGACATGTCGCCGCCGCCGCGTGAAATGTGATCGACAGCTCCCCCAATGCCAGAAATGTTTTGTCTCTGGAGAGCAATGCCAAGGATACAGCTTAACTAAGCCTTTGAGATGGGCCAATGGTGTGGCGAGTAGAGGGAAGCTAATGGGGAAATCTTTACCTATCGATGATGGGGTGAATCCACCAATTCCGAAGCTTTTTTTGGATCCGGTCGTACAGGATTTAGCACCAGTGACGCGTCATTATATTCGATATTGTGGGTTTATCACTTGTTAATCACTCGTCGTGAAATTTGAGACTCTTTTACTGACATGGATGTAGTTGATCAGTTTTGTTCGACCGAGAGTGGGCTTAATAGATCCTGTCAAAGTAATCCGTTCCGGGAGTTCATGCGGCTCATTCCTGCAAGCCCCGCACTTCTCAATACTATTATCTCGATTGCAGCATTACATCAGGCGCGCCGTCAACTTGTTGAGCATTCCTCCAAATGTGAAGATATGTCACCAGAGCCAGGTAGCAGGGTGACCACACCAGGACATTCAACAGCCATAATCGACGCCTTGAAACACAAACAACTTGCGCTCAAGAATATTCGAAATGAGTTACTCAACACCGATCCTGAAAACATGGTTGGCACAATAGCTTCAATGCTACTATTAGTCTGGCAAGACCTGATGGATTCCGGAACAGACTCCTGGAAACATCACCTCGATGCACTGAAAGGAATCGTCCCAACAGGCCTTTTATCTCCGAAATCACCAAAGACAACCCCACAAAGTACCCCCTCTCTAACTCTTTATAACAGCTTCGAGGTGACTTATGCAGCGTACGTGATCATGAACCAGTCTCATTACTCTCCACTAACGAAAGCAGATACCAAATTCTAGGCACGACATTCGTCCGAAACAAAGATATCTATCAACCACTATTCTCTACCACGCCGATCCTACAATGATGCAACTATGCGACGGCCAATCATGGGCCGGTTGTCCAGCCGAACTTCTCTACATCATCTTCCTCGTTAATAACATTTCCAGATCCCAGTCCTCACCAGCTCAACTTGAGACACATATAATCTCTCTTTATGAAGAGTTCTCACCTATGAAATGGGCTATTACCAACCAGGTCCCGCGGCTTATGAAGCCGAGGTTTCATCTCGCTAGTGCCTATAAAGGGGCAGTTGGGATTTACATGTCCCAGGTGATGAACGGGTTACATGCGGGACTTTCCTTTGAATCTCCGCCGATAAACTCGTTAGATACCGTAATATTCCACCTTCAGTCTATAATTCCTTCAGACGATCATTTCAAAAGTCTCGTCTGGCCAACATTTGTTATTGGTGCTGAAACGCAGCAGCATTTCCATCGAGCGGTTATTGATGATGTATTTGAGCATCTTGATTCGATTTGGCGTTGCGAGAATGTCCGGAATGCATCGATCGTGCTTAGATATCTTTGGGAACAGAATGATAGACGAGGATACACCGGAAACTGGATTAATGAACTTTACGGATGGGGAATGGATTGGATATTTATATAAAATATATTCATCTCATCTCATACGGCTCTATTAACACTTTGTTCGCATCATGCGATTTCTCCATGTCGATCTACGACACGACAAGCTTGAAACTCCATAACTCATAATTCACCCATTCCAAATTCCAAATTCCAACAGGGTATTTTAATCAACTCGTTCAATCTGCTCTGCCTTCATACCGACCTTTTCAGTATCCTCAGCATGAGCAAGCAACTCCGTCTGATAGGGCATATCCTTCGCAACCTTAACAGTATCAAAGAAGGACTCTGACATGATGAAAATCTCATCAATTTCCTCCAATGTACGTCCCTTCGTCTCAGGACAGAAGAAGTAGAAGAAACAAAGACCGAATGCACTAATACATGCGTACACAATGTAGTACTTGTATCCGATAGTCGCAAAGCCAGTAGGAGATGCCTCGGCGAGGACAAAGTTGAAGATCCAGTTCGCTGCCGCGGACATGGCGGTAACCTTTGCACGGGTGCGTAGGGGTGCAATCTCAGCAGCATACATGAATGGGACGATGAAAAGACCGATCGGAAAGCAGAATAGAGCCACGAAGTAGAATGCGATGGATGCACCTGCTGCTCCCTTGTTTGTGAGATCGCTCGATAATCCAGCTAGACAGATCTGGGCAATTGTCATACCCGCCGCAGCTGTGATGAGCAATGGTCGACGACCATAGCGATCAATCAGAAGCACCGCGAGACCAGCTGCACAGAACTGCCAGATTTGCAAACATCCCGAGACGATTCGGGCGATAGTACCGGAGTAATGCAGATTCGTTTCCAAAATAGTATCCGAGTAGAAAGTAATGATGTTGACACCAGTCATCTGAGCAAGGATATTAACGCTAATAGCGAGGACTGTACGGTGAAGATGACGGTTCTTTGTGCGTGCAAAAGGAGAAGAGGAAGCAGATGATTCATCCGCCTCACCCTCCGCAAGTGACTGACGGATAATCTCAAGTTCCTGCGCAACATGTTCCGAATCAACAGAGACATCTTCTAACCTTGCAAGAACATCGGCAGCTTCTTCGATTCGGCCAACCTTTGCAAGCCATCGGGGAGATTCGGGGAGGAAAAGAATAGTGGATACGACGAAGATTGCGAAGATGGACTGGAATGCGATCGGGAAACGCCAGGCAGCGGAGCTGTCGCCTGCATAGTAGAGACCGAACTCTAACCATGTGGCGAATGCGACACCGCCAATAGCGAACCAGCCCTCGAGAAGGACCATGCGACCTCGGGATTCGGCGCCTGATGATTCGGAGACGTACATGGGGATTGTAGCGGTGAAGCCACCAACGCCGAGACCTGGAGTATCAAGTATTAGTGGGGAATCTGGGGAAATCTTGTAGCTAGGTGCAGGGTTATGTACCTGTAATAACTCTACCGGCGATAAGTTGACCAAGAGAGAATGGGGTCGATTGGATGATTATACCGACAATGGCGATACATCCTGCGAGGAAGATTGTGCGTCGGCGACCGAGTCTGTCGCCTAAAAAGCCACATGAGAATGCGCCAATAGCGCAACCCACCTCGTAGATTGCAACCGTTGTTCCTAGATCAATACTGTTAACCTGTATTCCTTCATATTGTGGAGATCGAGAATGTGCTGGTGGACTGTGCTGTGAGGAAGGAGCAGATGGTAGACAGAACATACCCTGGATAGTGGAGTTGTGCGATTTCTGCGCCCCAGATGTGTTGAGGGTGTCGATCTGGGGAAATACAGCGATGAATGAAGCCAGTGTAAGCAATCCATTTGCAACAGCTTGATCGTATCCTTGTAGAATGAAACCAACGGCACCGATCAAGCCGATGACGCGGCCAAGACTCTTTCCACGCAGCTTGGCAAGTGCCATGGCGCTTGGCAGAGAAGATAAGCTTCTATAGATCGATTTTTAAGTTAAAGATGTATAGATAGAAGGAGAGATGGGTCTTTTTGAGATGGTTTTCGTAAATAGAGAGTCAAATAAAGAGAGAAAATAAAATAAAGCAGAGAATAGGCAAGAGACAAAGAGACAGGATCCTTCTATATGTGCGATCATGTCAGAGTTGCGGGGGCCCCGGACTGGGGAAAGACAGCCTCTCGGACAACCTCCGTTACTACAGATATTATGTATGGAGTACCTTGTCATCCTTGTGAACTACACTAGGCTTTCTTCTCCAATCAATATCTCCAGATTCAAAGTTAATAATCCTGTTTCTTTTCTTTCCCCCACCAGGTTAACTTGGGACAATGCAAGCCCCTCATCCCCACACATTTTTTCCTCGTCAAACTTTCCAGCAAATCTCCGAAAACCGCAACGTTCTCAACTAGATTTGACGTTAAACTCTTTTTTTAAACCTTCTATCTCACCTTGAATATCGGGAGAGATCGGACCAGGCTCTAAAATTTAGCTGTTTAGTGAACTTGGTCTTCGTCCTGTTTGGTTTGCCGTGTTCGGTACCCCGGTGCGCTTTGGCCCCATTGTCTGAGCCCGACCGGGGGTGCAACCTGGTTCTCGGTTGCTATAGGATCATCTCACCGGGATCGTAGCTTTGGCTTTCCCCCGTAATCTCTCCAAGGCCGAGTCCACTTCGGTATCCACCAGCATGGGAATTCGTTCACCTGACCCCTTTTCTCTGCCACTCTCTACCACTCATCATACGTTGTCTCCATATATAGCGGAGATATCGCTGGCGTTGGTTGCATCCATTGCTCCATAAAGGTACCTAGCCGATGCTCAGGCTGCCTGTTAGATCATTGTGTTGCACTGCTGCGTTCCGAATTTTCCCCGGTAACCCGATTTATGCTGGTTTGTGCCGTGGATTCGACTCGGCTAGCTTCTGTCTGTGGGTAACGGACGGCGTGGGGGAGGCGGGGTTGGAGCGGTTTTCGGTACTTGGCCGTCGGTGACAGGATTGTGTTTTCTTCCTATTTAGTTAAAAGGTCGGCTCCCGAGGTCGGTGTGGATGGAGGTGTTGGTGATGCAGGCTTCGTGATTGGTGAATTGATTTCTTTGTTCTGGAATTGACGAATTGGAATATGTGATGAGGTCAATGAGGCAATGGAAGCATAATTCAGCCATATCTTGAATTAGTAAAGCACAGTTCAAATCGGACATCTCCATTCCGGGGACAAAGGCGCTTAGGCCAGACCCGACCCATAAGGGTTGATAAAAGTGGAACAACAGCCCATACACCTGGCAAACTCGACCATCTAGCTCGCCATTCTCAAATCTCTTTGCCACCTTTCTGTCGATCATACAAGGTGACTGACTATGATCCCGGTTCGAAAGAATATCCATTCTCATTCGTTACTCCGGACTTGTTTTTGTACAGATATCCCTGTTCATGATCTTATGTTTCGCTGATTGGCGCATCATATTCTTATGCGGAAAAAGGGTCCCGAAACTCATAAAATTAGCAATTGACATTGTGGAGCTAAACCAAACAAAGTTAAGTAACAAGGCTGCATCCCAACTAATGCTGGTGTTCATCGCGTCCTCTCGACTGGCAGCATGATCCCCCCATGGCCTCTCTAGCCAACTGAGCACGACTCAAGGGACGAGCTTCACGCGCAGAAAGATCACTCAGATCAGGCTGAGGAACAGCAGCAGCATCGCGAGTTTTAACAAAGCTCTCAAAGTCCCGCTTAGCAATCTTAGAGCTGTAAATCGTATTCAACCAGTTACCCAATCGGTATCCACCCTTAGCAATTTGAAGTTCGATAGTACCAATCGCCGAATTATAATAGGTCGGGTAGAGGTCACCAGTCTGTAGCGCTGCACTACCATTCGGCATCACAACGGTACAGACGAAGGAATTGGCATCCGATGCCCATCGCGAAGCAGTCGTGATAACATCGCTAATCGTATCGCCTTCAATCCAGCTCGCAGCCTGAGACTTAAAATCGCCTGATGTGATTTCCGCAACGAGCGAGTTAGCCCACGACTGTGCGTCGGATAGTGAGCTGCCGTTCACAAGTTTCTCAGGCATATATGTATCCCAGTCTGAATGGAGATTATCCTTGTATCCGTCGAAGGTGACGTCGATATCGTTTCCGCCGACTTCGTACGCCTCATCGTGTAGGGGTTGAGTTACATCACCGAGGAAATGAACGAGAAACTTCAGTGCCTCCTCGGTATTGTTTGCCGATTCTCGTCCATCACTGACGCGCTGCGTGTAGTTGGAGATGGCGGAGATCGAGCATCCCGAGTCACCGCAGTCGCGATCATAGTCGACATTACAGTCGCTGGGTGGGTTGTCTTGAGCATCGATGAAGTGCAGTGAGGCGGACCATTTCCCTGCAGCTGTGAGGCGGTATTGATCTGCCCAGGAGGCGATATTTGCAAGGTATGAATCGGAGGTGTCGCCAAGAACCCCTTGTGCCCTGAGATTGTTAGTGGATAACATTCCAATGGATCGCGATACTCTGCAGTCTTCTCTCTCACTCTCGTCCCCAACTGCTCTCACCCACACATCCCCGTTAAGGTCCGCTTACCACGATGCAGTATCAGAGGACAAATAATGTTGTGCGACATATGCGACCGTTGCATGCCCCAAGACACCCCACGCATTCACGGTATTAATCACTCCAAAAGAGACGAACACAAGTTTCGAAAATGACCCCATTATGCCTGTATCGAGAAAATAAAAATGAAATCAACTTGGCATTTTTCAACTCCGCAGGGCCAAGCGATTTCTTATATGTAGTATATCCCCTCCCCGCCTGCAGTTTCCCTGCAGTTTCCTACAGTTGTCACACTTGTTACATTCGGAGGTCTCCGCTGAACCTTGTAACAGATTGGATAAGATCATTTGACGAGTCACAGTTGCAGGTGCAAGTCCCTGTTTCAAGGCTACTGACAATGCTCAGATAAGAGGATGCGGTTGGTCGATAGCTTTGCGAGTCATGCAGGGTGGTGGGATCGGCGCTGCAGGGCCCCGGAATCCACCGGTCTTTACTCTTCAGCGGGGAGTGTTCCTGATTGAATTGGCAACTGAACAATATTCACGAGAGTTTAATTAGAACTTGAAGCCGGAAGTGTGGATATTCCCTTGATAATTTGCACGTGTGGTAATGGGAGGTTTTGTAGGATTGAAATAACGAAGGCATTGAGGAGAATACGAGGCGGAGTGCACCATTCAATCTTTAATATGGATGAACGTGGTGAGAATACTGCCCAGCGCTGATATTACGAATAATTATGTTATTCCTAACCATTTTGCACATTTAATATGCTGGACTTTCGCCTTCAAACCTGGAATGTTCCAAGTTTATACGACGGGCGGGCTATTGGCAGCTAATCTTCAATAACAAGCATCTTCACAATATCCATGAATTAGTACTACCCTGGCGATCACTATACGGATTTTATTCCGGAGGTTTCACCTCATTGACTTCAACTTAGCCTTTTCACATAGTTCATCTCCCGCCCTGGAGAATACGAGTTCTTGGCAATGCAAGGTCAATCGTCGACCGGCGGAACTCCGGCGGCTAGCAATCTTCACAGTAAATGCATCAAATTTGAGCATTCATACTATGTATCATCATGATCTATCTATATGAAATAGATAAGGCATTACGACAGAGATACGATGATGTCTCTATATAATTTGTATCACCAGCAAAATGAAGTCGCCTGTACTGCATATTTCCGTGGAGAAAGAATCGGTGACATATTCTTCCAGGAACAGCCTGCCAACCGATAACTTAAATTCACCTGGACATTTTTTTGTCAAAGCCCGGTGCCACACTCGGGAATTGATCATTTGAGGTATTAGAACAAATCTAGTGCATGATTCATTTCACGAATACTAAATTAACAGTTGTGCAACACCGTGACCGTTCAAACTTTATGCTGAAAACCACTGGGACAGGACATGCGACTCGACGGTAGCCTGAGGCTTCAACTAGGCATTAAGGCATAAAGGCTCTAAGGCTCTAAGGCTCTAAGGCATGAAGACCAGAGCACGTGAAGTGGGGCAAAGTACGGATGACTAACACAATGGTAAACAGCTTCAAAGGCAACTGCCGTGGCCAGCGGTCAGCAACATGAACATGACCCCCTGACCTCCGGTGTATACGCAATTGTAACCGGGTCATCAAGTATCAACCGCGTGGCTGCCTACTACTAGCGGAGATATCCAGGAGAAAATGTTCACCTTGCAGCACGCCAACGTCTCATCTGTAGCTGTTGTCAGCTCGGATAATTTGAGCTACTCGGGTAACCGGCACCATCCCCGCTCATACTCGGGGTTTCGGGGCTCCAAGTGGAGTTAACCCCGAATCTTGATGACAGACCCAAAGAACAAGCAAATCAAGTTGACGAACGCTATGTCATAAAGCCCAATTGAAGCATAACACCCGACATAAGACAATGGCATAACTTGATCCTGTGAAGACACTCCAGACTCATTTGACCCCTCGAATCCACCATCCAACATGCTTCCTCGTACTTCAACATCTTCGCAATGGCCGCCATAGTGCGCGTGTTGTCTCACGCCGTCAACAAACCGTACCGAACGAAAGAACTCGACCTCACAGCTCCGCCATACCTGAACCAAAATGGTTACGTCGATTTTGCCCCGGGGGACATCGAGAATCCCCAGAATTGGTCCATGGGGAGAAGGGCAGCTATAACGATCGCGGGCGTTTTACTCGTTATGAACGCTACTTTCGCATCGAGTGCTCCGAGTGGATGTTTCGAGTCAATGGCTGAGCATTTTAGTATCTCGACTGAAGTGGCGGGTCTCACAATAACCGTTTTTTTGCTGGGATATTGCGCCGGTCCTCTTATTTTCGCTCCCCTGAGTGAATTCTACGGCCGAAGATGGATTTTCTATATCTCCTTCTTGCTTTACCTCGTCTTCAACTTCTTGTGCGCCTTCACGCCGAATCTGGGAGGTCTATTGGTCGGTCGCTTTCTGACAGGAACCTTTGTCTCGGCACCTCTGAGCAATACACCGGGGCTACTGGCTGATTTATGGAATCCGTTACAACGAGGAAATGCGATGGCAGGGTTTTCTGCAATGGTGTGGATTGGGCCTGCGCTTGGACCGGTTGTGGCTGGGTTCCTGGAACTCAAGGAAGATTGGAGATGGAGTTTCTATGTGCTTCTCTGGCTTGGTGCTGCCACGGCTGTCTTCATGTTCACCATTCCAGAGACATACGCGCCTACAATCCTTTACAATAAAGCGAAGCGCATCCGAAACGCCCAGATACCCGGATACGAAAATGTGAAGGCGGCATCAGAGGACAACGACCGTACACTTATCGCGATATACAAAGTTGCGCTAACACGTCCTTGGTTGATTCTGCTTGATCCGATCTCGTTTCTGGTCGCAATCTATATGGCCGTCGTGTATACCTTGCTTTACATGCTTTTCAGCATTTATCCGATTGTTTTCCAGGAGAGGCGCGGGTGGAACTCCGGCGTTGGCGAATTGCCCCTGGTCGGAACCGTGGTTGGCGCACTGTTTGGCGGATGTATTGTTTTGGTTGATACCCATCTCCGAACACAAAAGATCAAGAGGGGAGAAAGAAAGCTGGAGGATTCTACACCCGAAGACCGCTTACCCTTGGCAATGATCGGTGGAATTGGATTCTCTGGTTGTATGTTCTGGTTCGCTTGGACGGCTGAGTACAAGTAAGTTGCTGCTCGCATTCTTCATGGTGATGTTTACTGACTTGAGTTAAAGCTCTATTCACTGGATAGTACCTACTATAGCCGGGGGTTTCCTTGCCAGCTCTATGCTACTCTTGTTCGTCTCATACTTGAACTTCCTGGTTGATGTGTACATGATGTATGCCGCCTCTGCAATTGCTGCAAACACCATCATCCGATCTGCCTGTGGAGCTGCGGCGCCTCTATTTACAAATCAAATGTTCGCCGCGCTCGGCATAGGAGGTGGTGGAAGTTTGATTGGGGGTGTCGCTGCATTACTGGCTGTTGTGCCCTTCCTTTTCTACCGCTACGGTAAGCAGATTCGGATCAGAAGCAAGTTTGCACCTACACCACCGCCTGCTCCACAGAATAGAGATGAGGAAAGCAATGTTACAGACAGTGAAGATACGGACTCTCCAGCCTCGAGATCAATTGAAAATGATGAGGAAAGGTTGAAGGAAGAAGGCCAGACCGCATAATAATGATCTCGATTGATCTACCCATCATGAAGAACAGCTACCCACGAAAGTGTGTCTTTGGGTGATCAGCTACTGCAGATTTTATTCAGCATCACTGTGGATAGCATAAAAAGCGATGGGAATATATTTCAATATCTAGACAAAATCAAATAATCTTAGGACTTCACAGTTGTGTTGATTATCTTTCCCTCGTCGAATCCACATTACCCCTCCCAGTATGCAGTCAATAATGGCTGATCTTCCCAGGCCTGCGTGTCAGTTTTGGGGCATGGTGGAATATGCAGATACAACCTGATAATGCAGGTGACAATATTGCGGCCGGGTATTCTGAAAATATTTAGGATGAACTTAAAAATAGAATGATTATTGTCGAGCTAAAGCTTGGATGACTTGATCAACTGACAATAATCCATATCATGTTGTCGTCAAGCACTACATGGTACCGGGTTGTTGAAGCACAGTGCGAGCAGTCTACAAGTCGACAGCGATAGGGAGAATCACCTCAAACAAGAGTGAGCATCACAAAATGGATATTATATTCAAGGTTGGATCGATGCGCCATCAGAATGAAGTGGATACAATACCTGCATAGACCGACGATGGGAGTGACCTGTTCAGCAGTCCATGTTTAGTTATAACCTGTGTTAGTATGAGGATTTTGTTACAATAAGGCATGCGCCGATTAAATGAGACATGTTGTGGATGCCCGTAGGCGATTTGCATATCGGTTCGATTCCAGAATAATTTTCAACGTGGCCACAAAGTGGAATCAATCCGCCTCCAGTGTGCATAATTTTGAGCATCCATCTGGGGACCCTGATGGCCGTTCCTCGCTTGCTCAACTAAGTCCTTTTCAGCCCCGCCCCTATCATGAGAATCGCTTGATTACAAGTCATGCAGATGACTAGATGAGTCTGTCTGGGAAATAAAATGGAAGGTTTTCAATGAAACCCAAGAACGCCCGAATCTTTGAACCCCATCATCGTGTGAGAGTGTCGCTTAGCAAATCTACTGGCGCCACTGGCCCTGGCCACCACCGCCACCGTAGCCGCCGTTACCACCACCGTAACCGCCCTGGCCACCGCCGAAGCCACCACCACCACCGCCGCCACCGCCGTAGCTGGGACGAGCGTTGGCAACGTTAACGCGAACGCGGCGACCATCGAGCCTGGAAGAAAGAAAAACTGTTAGAAATCGTTCGAGAAATATCACAAGAGAGTAGAGAAGGAAAAGAAAGAAGGATTTTTTTTTTTTTGGTGAGGGGTAATTTGAAATTTTGAAATTTCTGTTTCAACTCACTCCTGCTCGTTAAGGGCCTCAGCGGCGGCGTTAGCCTCCTCAGGGGTGGCGAAGGTAACGAAACCGAAACCACGGCTGCGGTTGGACTCACGGTCACGCATGACAATCTATATCGTATAAGCAGGGAATTTTGGGTGGCTGGTGGATTTTTCAGTGTTGGGTGAGGGAACGCACGGAATCGGTGACCTGGCCGTAGGCAGAGAAAGCCTCACGGAGGACGTTGTCGTCCGTGTTCCAGGACAGGTTGCTGGCATCGAGTTAGTAGATGAGCGGTGATAAAATAACTTCATTTCCAAGCGACTCACCCGACGTAAAGCTTGGAGGCCATTTTGAATATGTGTGTGTGATAGAAACTGAAGAGAGATGGGATTGTTTGCTAACGGAACGATAGGGGGAGGGGAATTAGAAGGGTGGGGTGGAGGGGTGCAGCCCGGTCAGGATGATTGTTAATCCGGCTGAGTCAGTCATGGCACGTGTCCACAATTCGAGTTTTTCATTATTTGTTTGCACTGTTTGTACTATATACATTGTTTGCACCGGGATCTGCTGCTTCTCCATGTGGAATCAGTTGATGTACAGTACAAGTACAGTATGTTGATCATCACTTGTGTCTGTGCAAAGGCCGATCTGGAGATTTCCAGTCTACATACCTTGAACTATTTTACTTCTCATTTCGTTAATTTTTGACAGAACCCGCTACAGAGATTTCCAAAGTGTGGGCATCAACCATCGGGCACGCAATCAGTGCATACTCGGTGCTCCATTCTCCGCACTCCCGGACCCTTCACAGTTGGCAGAGCCTGCTGAGATGCCCCACTTCGCCGAAACACGGCTCGCTCAGGATTCGCTCCTATTTTTGGATCCTTCCTTACGATAAGAGTGGTGGAAATAAACAAGATTTGTGACTATATTCATCACCAGCTAATCAAGTTTTCCATCATTAGCTGTCTCAATTCTTGACACGAAATGATAAAAAGCACCTGACCCTCTTATTGCTGACTCAACGAGACGCGGACGAATTACCCATCACCACCTAAGCAGATCCATATGAGATGTCCCCACTATACTGCATTACAGATTGCGGACCTTCGAACTCAATGATATACCCCTGTTTACAAGCACCGAAGGAAACCTTCGGCTGAGAAGTGTAGAAGTCATCGAATGTCTCGTTTAGCGCTTCTTTCAGGTTCTCTACGTCGCCTTGAGGGTGGATTTGAAGCCATGGCTTAGTGCACTCGATGCCAATGCAGGTCTTCAGCACCATCAACAAAGCATCAAGTCGTGCAACCACATCGCTCAACGGTCTGTCCAGATACGTTCCACTGGGTATATCAGTGATGTCCTGCGAATCTTGGAGGAGATTATTCATTTGATATTCATCCTCCACCATGTCGTACAACTCATGCTCGTTTGTACACCAGACCGAGTAGTAGAGGCTGTAATCGTCGGAGATGATGCGCAGCCCCTTATATGTGTTGTTACTGACATTCTCTGGCAAGGGGACATGGCCCTTCAGTGGCATCGTTTCATATACGTCTGCTGAGCCCCAAAGCTCCACATTGACATGCTCAGATGATTTCGAGCTCGATTCCCCTGTTATCTGAGGAATAGTCTGTCCATCCAGTTTCGTCCGCAATGGAAGTCCGAACAGTTTCAGGAATGTCGGTGCAAGGTCCGTGTGAGTCGATACAGCATCTGTGACTTCGTCTTGAGCGACACCAGGCCCGCGCCACACCAGCGGAATGTTGATGTCCGTCTCGTACCCTTCTTTCTTCCCACAGCCCATCCGATGTTGACCGATATGATATCCATTGTCGGTTGTGTAGATGACATGAGTGTTGTTCAAGATCCCATAGCTGTCCAGTGCATCGACCAGCTGACTGACCATGACATCTAACCCTGCCACTGCCCGGAGTCGTGCCCGGTAGAGCTTATCTAGCTCATCTGTAGTTGTTTGGTTTGGAAGTGGGAGATCCAACACGAATGATGCTCCGCTTGTCGTGTTAGGATTCCAATTCGGAGTACGTGGAACTTTCGCGTCGGAGAAAGAATCTGCCCACCTTGGTTGTGGAATGGGATAAAAGGTTTGACCGTTACCGCTCGCATTGATTCCCACGTGTGGGACTGCTGGTGCGACTGTAAGAAAGAAAGGCTTGCTGTCATTCACAGCTGTGTCGAGCATCTCTAGTGCATGCTTTGTAGTAATATTGATTGCGTGTTCGCCTAAGAAATACTCGTATGGACCGTCGTCCTTTGCCCATGTCGTGTTGAGATAGTCGTATACACCAGGTTCCAGTAGGAAGCTGCACAAATAGCCTTGTCAGTGATACCGTACTAGTCACAGAATGAGAAAGGCATTGTGCATCTTACTTGCTTCCTGTCCAACCTGCACAAGGCGGGTCAAGGTATGTCTCGATGCTGTGGCCGTTGGCGAATTTCCCCACATAATACGTGTTGACGCCTCCTTCTTGTAGCCAAAGAGGAAGATAGTCTTCATTCAATCCTTGAGTGATGAACTTGGGATATGCGCCTGTGAAGTACCGCGTTAGTATGACCCTTTGCAGATCATGGTAGATCGCTTACCCCACGGCACGACTACATCTGTGATGTTGGTGTTACTACAACTGTTAGTATGTCGCAGATACAGGATTAGGAGGTCAACTTACTGGACACATTTCCCAGTAAACAAACTCATGCGCGATGGACAGCAGAAAGCGCTAGTACAGAAATGTTTTGAAAACGTGATGCCGTTCTTCCCAAGGATGTTCTTGACGTTGGGCATGTAGTCCATGGAGTTCAATAACAAATCTGCCCAGCATCAGCTATCTATGAAGATAGTGTATTGGTACTATCCGAGTTTCCAGGTTAAAGAAATTCGTACTGATAGATTTTACCTTGATCATCGGACATGATAAACAAAACATTCGGACTTGAACTAGTCGTCGCACATACATTATGTACGAACAACCCCAGCACCAGACAGATTGTAGCAAAATCGTAAATCATTGAGAATTGCATTATCATTCCACTTAAAATAGTTAAAACCAACAGAAAACAATCTACAACCCGCAAAAGCGCCTACGTTGTGTATTAAATAGCCGTATTAAATAGCCCCGAGACTCCAAACTGCTCGGGACTAAATTCCCCGCACTTCTAAACCTTTGCACATATGCAGCGCAGCCTGAGCGTGGTTGAGCCCACGCAATATGATCTCATCTCCTCGTTTATTGGTGGAGATCTAGTAACGACCGATGATCTTCAAAGATCCCACACCACATTTCCTTCTTTTGTACGTTCTTCGCTGGGATATTATTGCGTGATTGGACCCTCATATGGTAGGGTCTGAGACAACAAACATCGAGCTGTCGGCTGTCGGCTGGGGATAATCGGAGCATCAAGTACGCATAGCTTCGTCAAGGCAGGAACCTATGATTCTAGACATCGATCGGGGCTAAGGCTTGTCTATGTATGCGGGAAGAGTCAGGGTGGAGTTCTAGAGAGAATGTCTGGTAAGTCTGGTGTTAGCGATGGAGTCGGCTGTATGCTGGAACGCACTGCTAGGCCTACATTCGATTCGCATACTATAATGGCGTGTTAGTGGTACATAATGGAATGGAAATGGGAAGGTAATAAGAATATCTGATTTGATTCTGAATCGCGAGGATTTTAAAACCACTCCCTTACTGCAAACTTGGGCCAGCTCGCTCCGATAAACATTAACAGTTGACCAGCGTGCCACACGCACGCACTGATTGACAAGACGAAGTCCGAAAAGAACGAAGCAGTGTAACTTCCACCGTTGCCATGAGAAGGAGAGTGGAGATTCTCTTCAACTCAACTAGATTTCTGCCTTCATTAGAGAGCATCTAACCCCTCCCCCCCCCACCAGAATGTTTGTTCATTGTAAGAAGTGTGGTCAGGAACACCCGTGAGCGTTCTGATGTAGTGGGAATCACGCAAGGCACATTCAACCATTGCAAGATGTCTTTCCTCAGCATCGCCCCAGTCCTATGTGCGCACCTCCCGAACTGGGCTTTGCATCCGTTGTCGATACTCCTTCTCGCTCTCCTTTTTTGCCATTTCAACAATAAGCTGCCCGGGAGTGTCGGCGGGCGGGGCAAGGAGAATGTAATGTGAGATGAAACAAGCAATGTCTTTTTTAAGTCGGCATCGACTATTACCCCTAAGTGGAAGCTCGAGGATTTTCCGAATGTGGGACAATAGATATCTAGGTGGTTTTGAAGTCCGTAACATGAGTTTGGGCGCAATGGTTGAAGGGACCTCGATTGTCTCCTCTAATGTAAGCCCAACCACCGAAAGTGACAAAAGGTGTACATGTCTCCAGGCGCTCTCGTCAAGAGCATGTGGCGGAGACTCGGAGACTCGGTTCCCCAAAGACCATGACATTCTCTCTGCAGCTCGGCAGATATGCGTGGGAAGCCAGCATCTGTCAGCGCCTGTGAAGCAGCCTGTAGCTGTTCATCGGGAATAGCCCACTCCGCAAGCTTCAACGGGTGTTAATTGACTGATCATTCAAGAAGAGTGCTCAAGGGAGGAGTCACTTACAATGAGTACTTCTCTGTATCCACATCGGTATTGAACTTGAGAGCCATATTCCACAACTGTGATTTGGCTGTCGATAAGTGCCTTGAGAGCAACTCGCATCACATAAGAGTGAAACTGGATAGGCGTGGCCTCGTCGGTGCTAGATGACCATCTATCTGAGTCTGAAGAATGAAATCCATGATCAGCATGATCAGCGCTGATTGATGTTGCAACTTCCTGGCTTTGTTCGATGATGGGGAAAGAGACAGGCGTGAGGGCCCTCCCCTCAATCCGGCTGGGCTCCATAGCGACGTGATGGCTTATTGAAAGTTGGAATCGTGTGTACTGGCTGGAGGTAGAAGACTGTGCTTGTGTTGTCTTCTCATCGAAAGAATTGTTGTCAGGAACATCTGTGATCGTTCTGATGTAGTGGCCATCATGCAAGGAACATTCAACCATTTGAAGATCTCTTTCCTCAACATCGCCCCAGTCCCATCCTCGAAGCTCCTTGACAGTTGCATCGATTCGCCGCATATATTTTTCGTCAGTCTTCTTCACACTCATTTCTTCAAGAACAAATCCAGATATGTGACCGGGGGGGCATGGAGAATGTAATGGCTGAGTTACCCTGCAATGTCGCCTACTATTTGATTTCGACTATGGTCTTCAATACGAGTCTTCAGAAGACAGTGAAACAACGACAACAGATAACTAAATGGCTTTAGGGTACACACACGGAGTTTATACGCAAAGATTAAAAGGACCTCGGTTATCTCTTCCAGTTTAAGCCCAATCAGCGTAAGTAGTAGAAGGTCCGCAACTCCCCAGGTCGCTCCATCAAGATCATACTTTAGACATTCTATTTCCTAATAATAATCTCTGTACTAGCCCAACACGAGGGGAAAGCCGACGTCTGTCAAAACCTGTGAAGCATCCTATAACCGTTCGTCAGGAATCGCCCATTCCACGTGCTTCAAAACCCTTATTAGCGACACCTATCCACAATATATATAAGCCGAAGGAAGCATCGCTCACAATCAAAACACCTAAACTTCCGAATCGCCATTAGACTTACCTACCATATTCCACGACAGTAATATAGTTATCCACAAATGCCATGAGAGCAACACAGGCCTCGTAAGAAGCAAATTGCAGCCCCCTAGACCCACAGTCACTACACAATACTCCCCAAATATCCTTGTAGGGAGATTTAGTACCCTCATTTCCTGAATCGAGTAAAGCTAGAGACTCCAAGCAGTGTTCAATGACCGGTGAAGGAATAGATATAAAGTCTTATTCCTCCTTTTTGTTGTTTTCTATATCGAGATATTAGTTTAGTAAGATACTGGCGTGCGTATAGTAAGTAATAAGAGAAGATTATTGGTGTTTGAAGGCGGCAGGCCTGGCGGTGGTAAATAACCTGGACCATCTGCTATGGGGAAGTGAAGTGAAGTAAAGTAAAGGGACGCAATATAATACGAAGTAAGTAAATTCTTCGATACTACAACTTTTTCCTCCCCTATATATTCGTCATCTTCTTCTTTTATTTTCCATTTCTTTTCTCTTCCCCCCATCCCCTTCTTCCCCTTAACCCACTCAACTTTCCCTTCTTCAATATGAAACATCTCCCTTTTGACCACTCAGATACCAATCGAACCAGCAATACCTCCTCCAGACAACGCAGAGCTCCGCAGAGATCATGTCGCTGCAGATAATATCGCTCCCGATAATATCAGAATTCAACGGGTTAATGCAACCACCAACACTATAGCGAGAATTCTAGACAAGGCAAAGATCAAATATCTCTTTATTGGTAGATATATGGCTACCTTAGTAACAATCGTTTCACTGCGGTCTCTATCATTCTTCGCACTTTTTTCACAGTAAGACTAGTGATCTAATAACATATAGGACGTAAACGTACTTATTGCCAGACACTACATAGGTCGATTTCTTGAAGATCCTTCGTTCGAAGAAGCCAACAATAACCGATTGCATTTCCTATATAACAAAAGGGAGAAAATAGCTATCGAACTACACATTAGCACGCGAGATGTCGCCAGTACCTAGGAACTTCCCCTACCCAACATACTTCCTCCCCTTACTGTCGAAGGGAAATACTTAGATAGTCATCCGGTATGAAAGTATGCTAAGTGTAAGATATCTATACTCTACCGCGCATATTTAAGATTAAAATTACTGACCATGCATTTAGTTCGTGTTGTTTACCTGGATATCTCCCTCTACTTCAAGCTTGTTCATTGGGGTCAGTACTTCTTCCGCACCCGCCCCAAAATTAAAAAAAGCAGAAGAGCAGATAAAGGATACTGGAGCCATTGCGACCTGGTTGATGAAAAGAAATCGGGCAATTCGGTAGGCCGGCATGCTCGCAGAGCGCAAGACAGAATTCATCTAGCTGCTTGGTAGTGCCTACCGGAAATCTCCCGAAATGCGTACTCTCATTGCAACACTCATATCCCCAGATGAAATACTGGAAGCTCTCACCGCTTCACTTCATGAGAGAGATGGGAGGAGTTTCCTTTTTTTCTGTTATAATTGATTTGCTTGATAGGGGACGTGGAAATGATTTCATTTTCGGTAATGATGGTGACTTGATATTAAGTTGATGCAGTGACGTTTTTCTTTCTCAATTTCATGCGGGCCCGCAGTCTGGGTTGAGGCGGGAATGCTTTCATGGATTTTAATTTATATTTTTATCAAATGAGTCTCTACTCTTACAGTTATCAATTTAATATCATTCGAAAATTGCCTCGTTTCACGATATAAGTATTTAGTAAAATGGTCCACTTGATAATTATTGATTCAATAGATGTTCAACTTCATGAATCGTAGTCAAGCTATGGATTCAGCTCTCTAACTTTGAAACGGACAATGATCTAGCTGGAAAGAACAATACTGTCCAGAATAAAGCAGTCCCATTTCCCTGGCTCTTATACAGAGTGGAATGGCAGCTCAGAGAGACCCTATAAGTTTTCCGCCAGTATGAATGAATCATCGAAAGACTCCGAGATGCTGGTATTAGAAGCGAATTGCCCTTCAGGTTCCTGCTCAGCATTGGAAGGAATAATATCCGTAAGTGTGTTGATGTAGTAGGCATCACGCAATGCCTGTGCAACCATGTAGAGGTCTCTCTGCTCAATATCAGCCATGACATTCTCAGGGGTGTGGGTCGGTGAAGCGTGGAGAATTTAATTACACGTGAGGTCTCTTAGATGGCCTTTAGCTCCGCTTCGGCATGGACCATCGATGCTAAGCTTTAGCAAACAATGGAGTAAAGATAGGAAATATCTAGGTGACTTTGGCGTTCGCAGAAAGAGCTTTGGCGCGAGGGTCGAAGGAACTTTGACTGTTTCCTCCAACTCAAGACCGACCAGCGACAATGATAAAAGTTTTATGTGCCCCGAAGTATCTTCACCATGGTCATGTTGTAGGTACTGGGTTTCCCAACATCCAGGCTCCTTTGGTAGCCAACTAGGCCTAGGATGCTGTCGGGGAAAGTCTGCATCTGTCAACAGTTGCGAGGCACGTTGTAGCTGATTATCGGGCACTGCCCAATCGAAAGCTAAAATATTCCGTCAATTAAATGTTTCTATAAATCACAAGTAGCAGAGAAAATGGTAGAGAAAATAACAGAGCTGATGACCTACATCCAGTACTAGCTCATCTTCCGTAACGGTATTAAATTTGTGATCCATATTCCACGACACCGATTTGATGGTCGATAAGCGCCTTGGGAGTGACCCATGTCGCGTAAGAATAATATTGGGGAGGGTCTGAATTAAGATCGTCGTCGCTTTCAGAGTCCTCGGGGGGCCATCAACTCCACGGTGGCTCGAGTAGGATGAAGCTGGAGAACTCGGGTCTGCGTTCATGGTTTGCGAGTATAGAAGAGTGAAATCCTGAGAGTCCTTTTCCTTGAACTCCATCATCAATGCTTCTTGGTGATGAGCGGATATTGTATGATGCGACTCGCGAAACGGGAAGATTTATGCCTATCGACGGTGAAGAGTGAGAGATGGCGGTATAAATTAACCCATTCCCCCCTCTCTTCCTCTCTTCTTCTTCTTCTTCCTTCTCTTCCTCTCTTCCTCTCTTCTTCGACTTCTTCCTTCTCTTCCTTATCATTTACCAACCCCGTGGAACTCCATTTTTCTACATATCTAATCTCCTATCATTCCTTTCTAATTCTCTTCTACCGCAACCATGTCCGTCGAATTTGGCGAAGAGAAAGATTCACCTGCCCCCGCGTCCGAAAATCAGCGACGAACCAAATTCGATCACCTCGATGCAACTGCAACAGCGCTAACGGACATTCTGCGAGTAGCACGCATTCCCCACGTCTATATTGGGGGTTATGCAGTCACCCTGCTTGGTGGCGATCGCGTCACCCAGGTAACTCTCTCCTCTGTTCTCATTCAAAAAGAGTTTAATTAAATACCTGAGAATACTCAGGATGTCGACGTCCCTGTGGATCGGTCTTGTCGTGAGACTCTCTCCTCCAGCTCTTTATTCACCCGCTCTACCGACGATCGTTTGGTCTTTACTTTTAAAGACTGCAAAGTGTGTATCGACTTGCACGTTGGCTTTGATGAAAGCGACAGAGATTCATGTTGGGAATTTCCAAGGTCTCGGGACTCCTGGGATGGCAAGTCAAGGCAAACGACAATATATGGCGGTGAATTAAAGATCCGGCCGGTTGTTTAAGATGATTCAGTTCAAGGTACGATCTGCCAAGAATGAATACCACAAAGACCATACTAACTCCGCCAATCAGCCCCCATACTCGAGCCGAGTATTTTGCTTTATTCCAAATTGCTCAGATGGGCCAAGGCACAAGTCTCTACCCATGAGGCGGACAATGATCTCGCCGAACTCAACATGGTAGATATCAGAACAATACTCGAGTGCCTCGTCAAAAAGGACATCTTTATCAGCTTCGAGGCGCTTACTGAAGAGAGCAAGCGATGTTCTTGTGGGTCACGGGCTTCGCATACCGATCCGATTATTGGATCCGGGATCGGATCTCACAGAGTGCAACAGCAGACGACCCCTGCGACGCCCTGGTCATCTCGAAAAATTATAGGTTCTCAAAGTTCCTTTCTCAAATAGTTAGTTATTCTTGTCTGAATCCTTGAATTAAACTGAATTATGCCATGAGAACTGCGAATAATTCAAGTCAGTACTGTCCTTAGTCGGCATAGCTTAACATTACAACCCCATCTAAGCAACTATAACACTCTCCCAAAACATCTGAAGCTACTTTTACGGGACTGGGAAAGTTACCTCAAGGCCAGCCTGTGAATAATCTATTCTGACTGCTTACCAGTTTTAATGAAGCTGCCAGGTAACCTCTAGACTGGCGTTTGTCTATCTTACATAAAAACAAATGATTTCCATGATCCAAGTGGGCCAAAGATGGATTAAACTACTGTGAGTGTGTGGCTAATTTCATAGACTCCATACCTAGCCGTAATCATACCCATGCATGGCTAGACACGTTCAGTTATTGTCGCATGTGACCGAAACACTATTGAGAAGAACTTCTTTCCCGAACGAAAGAAATGTGTGCGACGATGTAAGCGTGCCCTCGTACTTGAAGGGCCCTGACACCTTGACTCTGCATTCGAAGTTGAGCGATGCATGGCTCTGGTCCACCAGCTGAACAGAAGAGACACATTTGCCGGGGCCTCCTTCCGTGATATCGTACAAGGCTTTATTAGCTGGCACGTTCACGCTAAGGGGGGCAGGGGTACCGCTGAGGTCATCGGAGAAAGAGACAGTAACGAATGGGTGCGATGGTAGCGGTGGAGGTGTAGAGAGCGCAGTACCCGCGAGAGCAGATAGAATGTAGATGGCCTTCATATTGAATAGTAGCTTGTGGTCGTTCAAGTTAAGAGTATGTGGTAAGAGTGATAGTGCTTGTTTTTTCAAACAGTAACGATATTTGCCGAGGCTGAGCCCCGTATTTATAGTCCAAGTCGCGCTGCACAGGCTCCCAATCAACTTGAAGCACGCTTGTCTTTTCTAGTTGTTCATTGCTAATGTGATACAGACAAGGATTGATAAAATGCGACCTGTTGGATATGAATGAAGACAAGTAATACAGAATGGGTTGGACATATTTCTACACCCGGGAGGATCACTTTCATTCTCAGCCAAATATCACATAAGCAGATCTGGAGCAGATAATGGCTTACTAGCATTATGTGTTACAACTGTAGTGGGGGAGTGCGTAGAACAACTGTGACCAAATATTCACCTAGGGGTTCAGACAATACGATCAACCTTGCACATGTTGCTCTCCCTGCTTCATCCGCAACGAATTGTACGACGAGTAGACTTGATATTCGAATGACATTTCCTCCATTTCATTTTCCTAAATCATAATGGTAACTACTCATAGCACGAGATAGGCTTTCCCAGAATTAAACCCAGGATATTCCTCGCTCCAATCCCCTCAAAGGACCCGCATTGCCGCATCAAACATCTCATATTCGCTTATTACCAGCTTACTCCTTGTGGCAACGCATTCTGCAAGAGCTGAAGTCGTTGTTGCAGTGGGTGTTATGATCAAGGACTGCATCGATGGTGACGGACTCAGTCATACAATTGTTCCAAACATTCATACACGTATCCATGCACGTGGAATGGGTGGGTGGCAAATGGCTTCGGCAATTCGAAAAGCAGTTGGACCAGTAAGTGCGGCATGATGAGAGACTCGCACAGTCCTGCTGGCAGCAAGCCTTTACGTCCGCCGAGCAGCTTTTGAAGCACCCGGCGAATTCAGTGGTCATGTCGCGATGAGGAAGATCCGGCATGACGGACATACAGTCGCCGTATGAAAGACATCGGTCGCCCTTGTTGGCTGATGCCATGCCAATGAGGGCAGTGATGATACCGACCAAGTACATGTTCTTCATTTTGAAAATCCGAGCTAATAACTGCAGTTTTCCAGGATGGTGGGTTTTCTTTGGCGGAGTAATTGTAGGTGAAGAGCTTAACTTCAAGGCATATAATGAGTCTTCGAGATAGACGAGGCTTTTTATAATCCCTTGTAAGTTCCATCAAATCCGTTTCCAGGTATAGGTTTGCCCCTGGGTATACACACAGATATCATTCCACTCTAATCTCATTGGATATACATGATCAGATCCAGCTATATTTAGTATCATTCTGAGTTTATCAGAAACTGAGACTTCCGGAGTAAAAGATTCATGGCTAGGATGCCCAGGGATTGACTTTCATTCGTGTATAAAGCAAATCATGTCCCTTGAAAATTTGACACCAGTGTTGTTTATTTTCACAGTACCTATTTCCCCTCATCTTCAAATCTCTTTAACGTGAGCGTGATCGGGGTAGTATCACAAGTACATCCCACATGTGACCTGAGTAAAAGGCTTCCAGGTCGAAAGTCTGCTACAGACTTCTTCTATTTCCATAGCGAATAAATTCTTTTCCAGGCCTGTCTTTGAATCCGACGAACCGAGTTCAATATCTTTCTCTTGGTTCTATGGTATCATGGGAGCCAAAATCTTCCGGCCTAGACAAATATCAGTCAAGTTAATTTCAAGTTAATTTCCTCCATTCTGTGGGCTCTTTCTCATCAGATCGGGCTTTCCATTCGTTATTCAAGGTTTATATGTTCTACATAATACATAGTTGTGCTCCAAATTGAAAGTACTACTAGTGTACGCACGTCGCGGAGGATTTGATGATTCCAGAATATATATTTCAAAATAGGCATGATCCATAAAGCCCCATCAAGTCGATTCATCAAGCTTATTGAGTTCCGGGCCTTTCTCCGATATGATTTGGTCTAGTAAGACATTTGACGTAAGAAAGATCGACTAGACTAACGAATTTCACTTGGCATGCAGACGAAGTCCAGGATTTGGAAATAGAAGTACGTAAGAACTTTTCACTGGACATACTTGACTGGACAATGATACTGGCTATCCGATAAATAGATGGACTCGAGGATTTCTTAGTGTAACGTTGGTTGGCATCAAATCCTTGTCCTCGTAGCACTTGTATTTCCACGAGGGCTGATTTTCCACTGTGTTCCGCAGATACAGCCTCGCACAATCGAGTGCAGAGCTCGATCTTGATCTTCTGCAATGAGTTGTTTCACTTCCACCAATTGAAGCACGTCCGGTGTTTTGATTTGGACGGCACTCTATGCGTTGTATTTTTTTCAACATACACAATGACTCCATTGTTATATCCGACTCGAACCACGAGTATCCCTACTGGTTACGTTCGGTTGATTTGTGGCTTTTTTAAGAATCCGAGAGGTGGTAATATAAACTTATAATCTCGGTTCTGTATACCTAGGAAGATAGGCAGAGGTCATTCTCTTCAAAATGGTCTGCTCTGCCATCCTATACCTCCCACACTTTAGGTTGAGACAACCAACGCCAGATTAGAAAAAAGAGCGCGGAGCACGCTTGAGCTTCTCAATATTCCGAGGTTTGATCCAATTCTTTCTACTGAATTCAGGTTATTTACGGATGATGCCTTTTCGTGGGGGAATAATTATCTGATAAAGTACTTTCTATTTAATTTATTTGTTTTATAAATCTAGACTATCTTTTGTATTCTCAACCTTCAGGTTCAAATGCAATATTTTAATGCATCCGGTGTGATCAAGCGCTCAAGGTTGCTACGAACTGGGTGAAAAGCCCAGTAAGACGCTTACATTCCTCATCAGCAACTTGGCCATGGGACTTTGCACTGCCAATGGGATGGTACGGAAAAGGGCTATCAGAAGTCAGTAGAGAACTTACTCAGTGCACAAAATTCCCACTCACCCATATTCGGGAACGAAGATAATTCTTGTATCTGGATTCTCTTCAAATCTACTTTGGAGAACTTGGGTCCATAATCTCTCAAAGCAGAGTCGCTCTTCGTCAAAGACGGGATTTAGAGGCTCGGGACATTGGGATGCTTGTGTTGTGCCCATTCTGGCGTGGATGTGGTAGACCTGAATCGAGGTTAGCAATGAATCGGCTTCCAGATATCTTGCCAAACGAACATGTGGGATGATGACTTTCATCATTGCGCGATCCTCCTCACCGATATCAAGAATTCGCTCGCATCCGACCATCCAGTGGGAAAAGTCGGCAGTGATTCGCAACCTATTAGAGCCGTACTTGTTAGCGTGCCTTGTAGAATAAAATCACCAAGTAGGACTCTTACTCGGGTACAGCTTCTAAAATGCGTTGGGCGTTGTATGGGGTAAATAATGAGCGGTTTCGGTGAGTCTCGTGGTAAACGCGACCTGCAAGGCCAACCTCTTTGTCCACGTCGAGGGTACCGCGATAAAATTTGATGGATTCTTCGACATCCCATGAGTCCCTATACGAAGTTATTGGCCAGTCCACGGTGATCGTTGATGTTATTTGCTCACTGTCCAGACTGAAAATTGAAAGAGACTGGCTTGAGGGCCAAGCCAAGTTGGAGCAGAGCTCGGTAGTTTTGCAAATGGTCATTCGCCTCCAAGCCCACTGGACGAGGACCCAGATAATCAGCCCAGTGAGAGTGTGCCCTGGTACTCTGTTAGAGAATGTATCGCAGCTGCAATTTGTGTTGTACTGACAAGATACTGATGTCAAAGTCCAGCTCGTCACAAATCTGGCGAAGTCGAGCGAAGTCCTTGGCCGGGTCTAATCCGTGAATGTTGACTTCAACGCCATCTGTAATAAGAAAATAACCATTATTAGCATTTAGCCCTCTTCCAATTAGATCAAGCAGTTCTTGTGCTTCACATACTGTATCCCACGGCCTTCAGCTCCGGAAACCATTTGGCCCAATTCTCCAAGCCCGGGCCAGCTTCAACGCCCCAAACAGTGCGGAAACGGTCGATTCTCATAGCGGCGGGTGAAATGTCAATAGTGCAGCTAGGTTCGCAAAATTTTCCCAAGATTCAATGGAATGGACCAAAATATTTATGTCTTTCCAATAATTTCCAACCCTCATCCCCAACTCCACCCCCACCATGCGACTTGGATGTAGTATTAGTATCCATCCAAAACGGGCAATGTTCCCCGCTGCGTTTCGACGAACAGTTTCCCCACATCGCCACTTCAAGATCTTTCATTGGTCAATGGACTCTAGTCTCCACGAATTACCCGCTTGGGGTGGCTCTCGCATTATTCCCTGCATACACGACGCGATCCACCGGCGGAGAAAGTTACTTCGAAGAGTTTTGCAGTGCCTCAGGGGAACTTCAGTAATGTCAAGAATGAGGGGATGTGCGGGCTTCTTTCTTATGATTCACATGTTGATTTGAGTATAATTTAACCCCGCGGGGTGACTGAGGGGATGTTCAAGTGAAATTTTCATGCGTTGGAGTAGTAGTAGGCGGGTGTCAGCCGTGTCAATCGCAATATCCTGCAGCTACCAGTAGGCCAAAGATCACCGAACGAAACTGAAACTTGAAATTTGAAGTTGAAGTGCAAAGTTCATTTCCACGCTGGAATATATCTTAAGAATTGTGCTTAAAGTTCCAGATCTTCTTGAAACTTTAAGCAAAACTCTCAAGTTGGACTACTGGGATCATAAATTCAAAAGAGATGATTCTTGAATATGTTCAGGACCTTCATCTGTCCCAAATATATACTAATACTGTAGTACTTCAAATCGCTTCATAAATCATAATTTAGGCGCCACTTTTAGTCAAAAATCACCATTGGGATGAATGAGAACCTTTGTATATCCATCTTCTCTTTTGTCAAACTTGTGGTAGGCAGTTTCGGCATCAGCTAGTCCAATCTCGTGAGAAATAACGAAGCTGGGTTTCGCCTTGCCAGCAACGATCATGTCGCGCAGGTACCGGTTGTATGACTTGACATTGCACTGGCCAGTGCCGAGTGACAAACCCTGTGCAAATTAGAATTTGATCATAACAGGATAGCAATGCTACATTCAAGAATATTCCAATAACGTACCTTCTCGAACAATTTTCCAAAGCTCAAACTGATCATTCCGTTGGCAGAAGCAGCATCAGATGCGCCGGGGTCACTGTTAGGAAATATAATTAGCTGGCGCCCTTCATCTCTAATGAAGGATCAACAACTTACCTTGGAACATAAAGACCAGGAATTCCCATTCCTCCACACGCCCGAGTCACACGAATCATATTCTCAAGAACAATATTGGGCCTCTCAGAGGATCCGTTAGGGTCAACTGCCTGGTATCCAACCGCATCCACCGACCGGTCAACCATTCCTCCGTTGTGAGCAATAATTTGGTCCACGGCGTCACTCTTTGTGAAGTCGATGGGAATGCATCCGATTTTCTTGGCAGCCTCGAGGCGCTCGGGAACTCGATCCACAACGTAGATGTTTGATCCTCCACGAAGGGCAGCAGAGTAAGCAGCCATCAGACCGACTGGGCCAGCACCAAAGACAGCAATGCTTTCACCCGATTGAAAGCCTGAGATTTCGACACCGTGCCAACCTGTTATAGATTATTAGAATGGGTTTTCTCGTGCGAGCAAGATAGAGGAAAGACGCGACTGTACCAGTGGGGAAGATGTCTATAGATTCAAAATTTAGTATGAAGGTGCTATCTCCTGAAGCTCAAAAAGGCAGCTCACCAGCAAGAAGAATGAAATCCGCCTCATGCTCCTTTCCAGGAGGCAATATCAGAGCATTGAAGTCGGCGTAAGGAATGCGAATGTATTGCGCTTGGCCTGAAAGAGTTGTCAGCAAAGCGCAACTTGCTTCTGGGGTTCTCAAGCCTTACCTCCGCGGTATGGCCCCATAGCGACGTAGCCTATTCTGTATTAGCTGGGTGCAGTTGATGTTTCATTTTCTGTGTCTTACCATAAGCACCGCCCGCAAATCCTGGGTTGACGCCAGTACAGAATGCGGTTTTGCCCTCCTCACAGTTGCGACAGCGACCGTCGGCAACATTGAATGGCATCACGACGCGATCACCCTTCTTCAGCAATGTCACACCTTCACCGAGCTCCTCGACGATACCCATGTTCTCATGACCTTGAATTCTATTAGCATCACTGGAACAGACCCCTTCCCAAATTCCATCTCACCAAAGGTAATTCCTGGTTCCGCCGCCGTTCGTCCCTCGTACATGCTATTGAAGTGTGAATCTTCAGTTCCTAGTCTGTTTTTCCGACAATGCGCCCGACTTACTGCAAGTCCGAGCCACAAATGGCGGCCTTGAAAGAATGTTAGCTTTTCCGCACAGGTGACATCATGTTTATATTCGACACTCACTGTGGTAACCTTGACAATAATATCATCTGGGTGTTCAATCTTCGGCATGTCAACCTCCTCAACCCGGACCTCATACGGCCCTTTGTAGTTCAGCGCTTTCATGGTAGTTGCAGAGGCCATTTTGACTTGTATCTCTCGAAATAGCGATGTTAGCAAGAAAAAGAATGTGAAAAGATTGGAGCGGGGTATCGACTTACTTGTACAATTTATACTGAACTACCCGTCCCCCTCCACCACATGCCGACGGCTAATCGCGTCGCAGTTGACCCAGGTACGCGCCCAAGAGAACTCCAAATCCGGGAATTAACCTACCGACATCTCGAGCTAATGGTTCAATAGCTTGAGCGGGTAATGAATCTACAAAGCACGGTTGTTGCCCCTCATAAACCTTCATTATGCGAATGGGTACAATTTACTGTCGTGAGGGGGGGTTTTCCCCGCATTGTGGATTTCACTATGACGGGAAACTTTGCCTTTTTCGTACACTCGCCGCACTTGCCATATTGAGCCTCTCAAGCAAGACTTCGCGCCCCCCCCCCCCCAGCTAATAATTGCTATGCTTGAATCTTAATGATGCGATGTTTCTGATTTTTTTATCGTGGGATAATCGTGTACGTTAAGCAGACTTCTCCAATTACGTGGTGCAATCTTTGGACAAGCTCTATAAATTGCGCCTGCGTCCATCAAATTCCAAGTCTCCGACTCAGCCTAATCTGCTAACTTAGAATATTCCATTGCTAAAGTGCACATGAAAAATGCAAAACGAGAGTACAAACGAGCATGAAATATAGTCCCATCGTCGTTTCACGTGTCAAACTCGTCCATTCCATTCTCATGGACTTTTTTTTCAGACGAAATCGATCCCATATATCACAAATGCAAATTCGCTTATTTGTAAAATCATTAGTCATTGCGTTAATATGGCTGCCAGGAACCAGTACAGGGATGTCATTAAACAGGTAGAATCGCGACCCTCATAGATTCCTCCAGATTTGTCTTGACAACGTTCGAAGCTTTGGCCCCGAATATAGACTGATGACTGATGCTACGCGATGTCGGCTACCAACGGCTGTTAGCATTTGTAATTAAACTGTGACTAGAATCTTAAACTCCGGTATTATTGGGCTTGGGAAACATTGTCTGGGGAAATTTAAAGCTATACCCCTAAGCTATAAATGGAAGGTGAGTAGTGGATGTTGTTGAGATCTGCTTGCTGTCTGTGCGAGCACTTGAACACCGATTTAACAAAGCTTGAAGCTCAAATGCTATTTAAGTTATTTATATCGCGATGCTAAATCTAGAAACCTCCGTGTCGGATCAGGGGATAGTCATCAGAACACTGCTCAATGTTTTTCTTATATCAGTTTAGCACTTCCAAATGGTTGTAAAATGGTTGCATGGACGACTCACAACTAGCATGTACATGAGATCCGAAAACCCTTTACGACTTACGAGAGGTCATAACAAATAGAAAAAAGTTACATTTTCGAATGAACATCTGAATCGGACTGGCCTTTGATTGAAAGATCCGGACCACTTTCGCAAAAGGAGATTCTGAATTGAACTTCCAAGTTTCAGGCGGAAAATACCCAGCGGACAAGTAAATTGCCCGATTATCAGGGGTTCAAGATGTACTAGGTTTGGCTATACAGACTCCAGAGCTTGGTGAGATTTGAAAACTCTAGTCTTAAAACATAAACCCGCAAAGACGATACTCTTCTGATTTCCTTATCTTTACCAGCAGAAAGAATCCATATATTACGATATCTATGAACGGAGATAAGCAAGCGATACCCGAGCAGAGATGAAACCATTCCCAAATAGTCTACCACGCATGTAACGTGGAGCTAACGACAGAAAATGACACGCTGCTACGCTCTGTTCAAGCCGCTAGCGAGCCGTCCGGCCACAACTCTGGACCCGAAATAGCCGAGTCAAGCCGGCAAGCACACTCCGCAGACCCCCTATCAACCTAGATTTGGATTCGATATTAAGACAAGGACATTGTGAATCACAGTCAGCTTTGGTCAATCCACTCCTAGAAGATGATGCATCATGATCAGACCAGTGACGAGTGCCAGGCTTATCGGCAGGCTGGCAGGGGGTCGACTCTTCAGCGTGCTAGTGTCAAATCCCACCCATTCCTCGGCTGATCTTATCTGAATCAAGTAGCGGCTTAAGGCGCCCAGTCAATGCTTGTCCCCCCGGCCTCCGGCCTAGTGTGCACGGGCCGTCACAAGCCGTAAGTAAAATGCTTAGCTTCTCCGCATTTGATTGCCACATTTCCCAATTTTTTGGTGGCTTGATTTGTGTGAATTTTGCTAAGGGAAAAGCTTGCGGCGTGTCTGTCCTGAGGCTTTTTCAAAAAGAAAAAAAAACAATCACCATGGAGAAAAATCTCGAAAAGGTCGAAGGACCTCCAGCTTATACAAATGAGGGTACTTTGATTAAACCTCAAGCTCGCGAACCGTACGATTCCGGCGTCTCCTTCGAGGAATATTATTACTATGCGAAGAAGACTAGGAAAGAGCAGGAGGCTTTGGAGCCGCCCGTGCTGAATATTCGACAGTATTTCAAGAAAGGCAGTACAGATACAGATAATGAGCCGGCAGAAGAGATTACTACGCATCTCACTGAGGAGGACTTCACGAATCGCGCGAAGAGGCTTGAGATTTCCGATGAGGAGTGGACGAATGCCAGTCGAGCCTTTCGATCCGCTTCTTGGGGCGCATGTTAGTTGGAACAAACAATACCTCTTTACCAGATGATGTCTTGCTAATGAATTATGCAATAGGTTTCTACTTGATTACGACGGATATTCTAGGACCATATGGATCTGGTTTTGCAATGGGTACTCTTGGATGGGGTCCAGGCATCGCATTCTACACCGTCTTCGGATTCATGGTTGGATACTCCGGATACCTGATCTGGCGCGTTTATCTCGGCGTCGACAGCTACGAGTTCCCAGTAAAGAACTACGGCGATCTCGGGTTCAGAACATTCGGTCACGGTGGCCGGCATCTTACGAACATTCTACAAGGACTCGGACTATTATTGATAACGGGCCAAGTGACGATTCAATACGGCGAAAACATTTCTCAGATATCGAAGTTTAAGCTATGCTATGCCGTTTGTCCGGTCCTTTTCGCTATCGCTGGATTCTTCATTACCCAGATTCGAACCTTAAAGGCATATGGCTGGATCGCGAACCTTGCAGTTTGGTTGAACATCTTTGTCATTTTCATGACGATGGGTGTTATGGCTAACTCGGAGCCGAATTTCGCTATTTCTACCCTTGGTTCTGCGGGGAGTGCGACTGATCCAACAACTATTACTAAAGTCAACGGCTCCTACCCGCCTATTATTCACTATGCCAATATTCCACCTGGAAATGGTCTTATTGGCTCTGTCAATGGAATGTTATCTGGTGTTCTTGCGTATGCAGGTGCTCAGCTGTTCGTCGAGTTTATGGCTGAGATGAGACGCCCCCAGGACTTTATCAAGGCTATGTGGAGTGCCCAGTTCTTCATTTATAGTGTCTATCTTACCTACGGCTGTGTGGTTTACCATCTCCAGGGACAATACAGCTTCAACCCCAGCTACCAAGGTGTTAGCATCTATGGATGGCAAACTCTCGGCAATATGGTTACATTGATCGCTGCCCTGATTGCGGGTGGTCTCTATGGCAATATCGGTATAAAGGTCGTATATAACAATATCCTCGTTGATATCTTCAAAGTACCACCTATGGATACCCACCGCGGTAAACTTATCTACGCCCTCCTGGTTCCATTGTGGTGGATCATCGCTTTCATCATCGGTGCCGCTATTCCCGACTACTTTGGCTTCGTCAGTGTCATGTCTGCCTCTATGCTGCTTAATCTGAGCTATACGCTGCCTCCATTGTTCGCGCTGGGATTTGATATTCAGAAGAATTCTATCCGCGCAGAGGATGGGGACGGGTTTGATCCGACTACCGGTCCTGTTGCGAGTAGTGGATCCGTGACGCAGCGATGGGTGAGGGGGTTCTTTGCTGGCGGGTCGTTCCAGGTTGCGATCAATATCTGGCATGTCATTTACTTTTTGGCTTCGCTGTCTATGTGTGGTTTGGGAATGTGGGCGGCTGTTATTGGTAAGTACAGAGTACATCTTGTTTCATTGATGCATCCAGACTAATCCAGTATAGGTATGATCGATGCATTCAAGATCCCACAACTGAACTCGTTCTCCTGTGTGTCGCCTCTGAATCTCAATGCGTGATTTGATGTTGATATGTATTGTGTTTCGTGTACTTGAAAACTTCGCGAGCAGATAAGTTCAAATGTTGATATGGATCATGATGGTGTACTTTGTATAACAGCGAATCTTGTATTTATTAATTGTATAGAGTGATATGTCTGCATATAACAACGCCGAAAACCGATATAAAACCATATTTTGGTCGAAAGATCCAATGTGACAAGATATGCTCAATGATGCTATAGTCAATTTACAATTCGTTCTTCGTCGCGGGCGTCAACATCTCTCCTGATGGCAGTGGACCACACCATCCGTATACATCACATCGGCATTGTTCGTAGCGTGGGCAACTGCAGAGAGCACTCGTTAGCAATCGGCCCTGAATGGAACCGTGTTTGTGGTGCAAGCACCACAACCATAACTCAGACGTCAGACTTACTAAATCGCATCCATTCCAAAAACAATATGCCACAACTTCTCCATAACCCAACCAACTCCAAAACTATCCGTTTGTTTCGTCGTCCCCGCCCAGTTAAGAATGCGCTGATAATCCTCGATCGGTCGCGCCAGGATTCTCTCCCGGCTAACGACAAACTGGCCACAGCACACATTTCCAATCTCCTTCGGTACCTCCGATCGAGGCACATTGAAGATCTCCTGATATGCGTCTGCGAAATACGCGCGAATGTCCTTGCCTTCGATATCGATCTTTGTAGGGTTTAGGGGGTTGACACCCGTTGGACAGCCGGGGTTATGTTCGCAGCGGAGATTGACGTATCCGAGCGCATCGACAGATTGGAATCGGATATTTTTGATTGTGTCCCCAGTGAAAGGACCGAAGAGATCGTTGTGCCATTGTTCGGGGTGTGCGTGGACGAAAATCGAGTAGTCAGGGAGGTTGTCGTAGAAGTCGACGACGTAGGAGAGATAGGCGGGGGCTTCGCGACCGCGCAGGTTTGCAGGGATGAGGAGGTTTGGTTCGGGTTTCTGGTCGCCTGAGTAGACGAAGGGTGTACTGCCACTGTTGAAGTTCTTTGTTAGTATTTGAAGATCAGGGTGAGGATCGCGACCGAAGTGGAGGTGGCTGTGGAGGTGGAGGGAGGTAGAGTTCGCGTACGTCTCATGGCAATAGTCGCGCAGCCAGGTCAAATCATCGGAGCGGATTGATGCGAGGACAACTCCGACAGTGGACTTTGCGCCCGTTGCAGATTTGTGGGAGGGCTTTCTCGTGTAGGCATTTGTCAGGCTGACGAGTTCCTGTTTAATTGATGAGGGGGATTCCTCGACATAAGCTGGACAGGGACACCGTTAGCGAGGTTCAACTGGGCGGGTTCAATGTTGGGGATTGGGAGAGCGGAGGGTTGTACTTTGAAGAACCTCGCTGTCTCGTAATAATAAGTAGCAGATCTGTATAAACACCAAGGCGGCACAGGCGGTGATGGCCCTTCGCGGCGTGAACCAAAACAATAATCTGGGTTTTTGCATGTTTGGCGTCAACACAACACCGAGGTTAGGATGTTGGTATGGGGAATCTTGAACAGGAAGGGATTTTTTTAATTAATGATTTACATAATGGTCCAAGACGCCAATGCCCAGAGTTTCGCCAAGTCCAGCCAGCTCTGCAAGTGTCCGGGGGCGTCCAAGGTTATGACTGGGAGAATTGGGGCCAGAATAACTGATAATAACTGGTTCTTCCAGCGGCTGTGTTGTGGGCTCGTTTGTGGCAGTGGATCTGGGTTTATCCTGTAAGAAGTGTCTATTTGTCTCCACTTGCCAGACCAGAAATGAAGGAGCCAGTCAGGACTCGGAAGATGTGAGCCAGGAGCCGCATCAATGACTGATCGGAATGGGCAAACAAGGATAAATTAGGTTTTCTAAGACGATCATGATCATTTTGGAGGAATTAGGGGGTTCAGGAGAATTATCTATGACTTCTTACCCACAGGGAGTATACGGTAATCCGTATAGAGTGTACATTGTTCAGTGATGTCAGGTATAGGGTATACAGGATACTCCGTAAATTTACATATTAAGCGAACACCTAACAAGCCAAATGGCGACATCAGAGTTTAATTTTAAACGAAAGGATCTATCATTGCTCAGACCTAGTCCTACATAGTACAGTTATACATAGTATACATAGTATTGCCACTGATATCGTTCACTGTCATGTTGGGGAGATTACACTGCGCCACACCGCCCGTGTTGCTGACGCGTATTCGGCGCCCAACCGTGACTTACATCTACATATACGTGCCATATGGCCTGCAAGACTTCAGTCTTGGCTCAAATTTGTGAGCAAAAAAATTAAAAAATTAAATTTTAAATTTCTTAACTAATTCTGGGCGTTGAAGAAGTAGGAACTATAGAGCGTGCAATCCGGAGAGCTGTGCAGTGGCAATCCCTTCTCGTGGCGATTCAAGGTCGTTAAGATGGATATAGTCGATATGATTACAGTGTTATGTTTTTATAGCTCTTCTAACCCAAACGTCTTTATCAACCTTCCCATCGTGTCCATCAATCATAACCTTGGATGGATCCCGTAGCTCGATATCCCAAAGATTAAGATTATATGGACCCCTATCAGCCTTCCCACTGAACAGATCAAATTTCCACCCATGTCTAAAGCACCGAATACCGGCAGATCCAAGATCTTCAATATCAAAAACATTCCCTTGTTTCAACGGGAACGCTGAATGTGGACATTGCTAATAACATAACATTAGCTTAGCTTAGCTGAAAATCTGGAATAAAATTTATAGTTTCCAATGACACGGACGCTAACGCACATTATCGATTGCATGAAGAAACCCTTTGTATTTGAATACGAGGACTTGATCGTTTAGATCTGATAAGCGATTCATCCTTGATTTGGATTCCTCGGCGCTCTCTGCCTCTGGCCTGGGAACACTCAAAGTCTTGCATGCGGGCAGCACATGACATTTTTCATTGACTTGGCTAATATCAGGGAATGAGGATAAAGGACCAACATAGGTCCATGGCTCTGGTTGATTTGACATTTTGGAGATTCTGTATATGTTGAAGAGCTTCCAATATAGTAAAGTCGGGTAATGATGTGCATCGGTAAATGGTTTCCAACTTCCAGTATTGGTAGGTTGAATAGCCGACACGGACCCGTTGACAACTAGCGATCTACTCTTCACTTCTACTCAATCAAGTTTGTTCTTACTTGAGATGCTGATGATAATCACAATAACGATATTGAATTGTTTAATAAAAGCAAAATACCAAATTGTAGACATATCGAGCAATAAAATAGCACAAACGCGCAACACAAAACCATTCAACATTGCATTCCACCAAAAGAACATAAAGAACTAAAACCAGTTTCAAGTTGTTTCGAGAACGGCAATTTCCAGTTCAATGTTGTTCAAAGTCAATGATCCACGCCGTTGGGGATATGGGAGAGCGGCAGTCCATATTGAAGTTAGATCACACCGGCTCTGGCGTGGAGAAAAGAAACGAGCCAAGCCGCCTACCACTTCTGCCGGTTTCCCTTGCCTTTGCTTCTCACCCCCTTTTCCTCCTTTTCCTTCTGGCTTTTACTGAAGCTATCCTGGTTGACCTGCGCCTTCTGCTCTGCAGTAGACCTTTTCAGCTCCATAACACACGCCCAGCATTCCTTCCCCCGAGGGTGCGTCCGACCATGCTTTGGGCATTTGAAAATATGATTCTTTTTAACACATCGTTGCTGGCGGGCGTGGCCTCTTCCTTTGACCGGGCTATAGAGATTATAAGTACATCAATGTCGTCACGTCATCACGTCATAGTTAGTTCAGGACAATGGTTACCAATGATGATCATTTCCCATTTTGACCTCGCGAGCTTTTCAGTTGCATATGAAAGGGCAGTATTAAAGGTATGTGAAGTGCAAAGTATTAAAGGTATATGAAGTGCAAATAGTAAGTTCGATAGGGTTTGGTGGATGAGTGTGGTAGAGAAGAGGGAGATGCTTGAGGATTCAGAGACACTTATGTAGAGCTGAAGCTGTAATTTCCACCATATTTGTTGCTTTGAATGACAATGACAATGACAATGTATTTAAAGCTACATTGAGGGTCATTCCCAAAAGGAACAAAGCAAGCAGAGCTCATCAGTTAAGCCTCAATGGGAAACAAAAGGAAGGTATACAAAACGTTGTAGCAGCCTAAGGCTCTTTGTTAACATGCGACACCAGGGGGGACACTGCGGGTTGGTCCGTTTACACCTGCTTCGGATATCGATATAGTGACAATAACATGGTGTCCGAGAAGGGAGAATCATGATGGTTACGCCTCAATACTATCAAATCGTCCCATAGCCATGACATTGGCGTTTCCAACTCCTCCGAATTGGATGATATCCATCTCAACAAGTTCGATATCCTTGAATCCAAATTTCACATAGAGATCGTGACCGTCAGCAGAGGCCGTGAGAAAGAAATCATCCAATCTTTTCTCCTTAGCTTCAGCGATCCCATCTTTGAGAAGGGCTGACCCAATCCCTTGGCAACGGTACTCCGGAAGCGTCGCAAGTACCTGCAGATCTATATTTGTCTCAGCCATGTCTCCAAGAACTTGAAGCCGAGCGCTATAACAGATTCATATCCACAATGACTTACATGCATGCCGCTTGCCGGTCATGTATTTCTTTCTGATGTTCGTCATAGCTCCGATACAATGATTGCAAGCTTCTCCATTGGCAGGTGGGGACCACTCTATATTCTCCCACTCTTTTATCGGTTGGATTTCGGTGTAGAATCCCCATTGCGCCCAAGCAACGATCTTCTCCCGGCCGTTCTCGTCTTCAACGACTGCTTTGTAGGATTTCATGGCTGGGTCTTCTTTTGAGGTTTTCTCAAGGCCCTCTGCTCGCTTTTGAATTTGCACATCGCTTGGGTGGCTAAACATTATGTATGAGACATTTGACTCTAGTGGAGTTTGGTTTGCTTCTATATTGGAGACAGCTTCTACCTCGGCCAGGGCTAAGAAGTCATCTGGCGTCGCTGGAAGAATTTTGAAATTCCGTGGGCGAGCTTTCGTTTCAGTCATTTTCGAATTTAGAATCTGTATGTTGAGAAAAAACTGCAATTGTCCATCGCATTTTGAGTGGGTGAAAGGGATATTTAATAGCAGCGGGCAAGTCTAAGCCTATTCTGGAGGCCGACTAAATGGCGGCTCGAAAGGACTGAGCGTCCAATGGAGTGTGTTGCCCGTAATCGCTCCGGATACCCAAGGTTTCATTGAGATAGACGCCACGGTGTTTCGTCGGTGGAGCTCCAGAGCATTCCCATGTGGAGAGCTGAGGCGTGGACTGGAAATGTAGATTCATCCTGAACTGGAGGGGCTGGATGAGGCTCAAATGACACTCAGGGGGGAAGGAATGTTGATGCCCGAGAGATCAGGCTACAATACACGCTATCCCCGATCAGGCCTGTTTACTACCTAATATCGCAGGGTATTAGCGCCGCTCTTCAACTCTCAACCAGCTGCCTAAATCCCAACTCTCTTTTGAATCCATCACTGATTCGCGACAATCCAAGAGCACCACACGATCCGAGTCAAAGTCGGGGTCTGCCATCATGCCAAAACCATTGTCAATTTTGTGTTTCGGGAACTCTTTAACCGCTGGGTACTTCGCCTGGGGCACGGAATACCACCCTTATGATGATAAACTGAAGGAGACCTTGAAGTCGAAGATCCCAGGGCTGAAAGTCATGACATATATATCCGGTCTCCCAGGTGACCTCGTTGTATTTCCCCCAGGGTCATTCTTATCCCGGATGCAAGGAAAATGCGCCGAAGCCAAATATGATTGGGTTATTTGTCTCGGTGGGACCAAGTAAGTCTCTCCACCATATTATTGAGCCTCACGATGCTGTTACTGACCATGGATCTGCTTCGTATTGTAGCGATATAGGGTATAGCCATCCGGCTGACAAGATATACGCTGCGCTCCAGGTGTCTTGGAATGTTGCATTGGAATCAGGAGCGAAGGTTCTAGCTTTGACTGTACCTGAGTGCAAAACTCGCTCGGCAAGGCTTGACGGTAGACGAGATGTACTGAACGCGAGTATTCTCGCTCACCAGGCGAAGGGATTGTGAGTTCCTGCTGTTCTATCGCTACCTCCATGAAGCTCATTTTGACCACCTTTTAGTTACGCCTTTGACCTGCGCTCCAAAATTCCCTATCATGATGCCACTGAAGAATGGAGGGAAGAGATGTTCGATGACGGCCTTCATATGACAGCTAAGGGGTATGACTTCATGGGCACTGCCATCGCAGAGCACCTTGCGGATTTGATTATAGCAGAGGAGACGCTGGATGAGCAAACATAAAATATATCGCCACACAAGGAAGATGTATATGGTGCTTACACTATCAAGGAAACAATCCGAAGAAGTTCCTCAAGGCGTGATACCACACCTAGCCCTATTCGTATTTTACATCGATGTTGCAGCTCAGAATATATGAAGCAGACAAATCGAAGCTCAAATTTACTTCCAACTTGGTTACCTACTTAGTGGGTCATTGGGCATTTAATTGTCGGATTCCGGTGGTATACTAGTACTATAAAGCAGAGAACTTGAAAACCCGCAACAAGTAATCAAATGTCAAGTAGCCATCTTCCTCCACTTGAGTGCTTGCGTAGTATTTGATGTACTAGATCTTCGTGCACGGTGCGTTTGGGGGATAAATATATTCATACTAGAGGTCGAACATTGCGATCACTTTCAATAGGTAGTAGTACCACTCCAGCTGTTGAATGTGATGAAGATGTCATGTTTCAACGGACCAGTGAATCGTCGAAAGCGTTAATAAAAACATCAAAAAATCTCTTTCTTGGTCAGTAGAATCAGACAACCAAGCGCATTCGCGTATATGCATAGTGCAGACCAAGTTGAAAACAGCCAGAAGCTATAACCATGAACTGCCGAAGTGCTGCATGGTTGACGGATTGATTGAACTCTTGAGCGGGGAGATGATTCAGAGTCCTTTTGGAAATCAAACCAGGACAACCAACAAATATTGCGGAGACTAAGCCATTCTTGTTCCTAGTTCGAGCAATTAGCAGGATATGGACACAGAGCGAAGGGAGGGGGACCGCTCCACCTCCACATTGGTTCCACAATACAAACTTCAAATTGTCGCGTTAAATATTACCCGGTGGAAATATTGATGCATATGACGTCCATTCTGTCAGGGTTATTTATTCCTTGTGGGGAGACCGGAGTTAAAGGTCGTATCAGGGAATTTGCCCCGGATTTCATTGCAGACCATGTTCAAGTGGATCCCACTAACCCATTATTGCTCCTGACGAGCACTGTCATGCCCACACATAAGATCGGGAAGCAAGTGATCGTCAGGCCGGGCTTAAGTCTTATTTCCTAAACGGGACACACGTCCCACAGAGGAGTACATGCATAAAGTCATAGCCTATTAACTGCTTAAAACTGTGCAAGGGAAATATGGACATAAAAGCCCATGAGTCCCTTCTTGTGATTCGAGCTTTCAATAAGCGCTGGGGCAACAATCGTTTTCCTTGAGATATCCCCATTTGACCTTATTTTACATCTCCCTCTCAACTAGCGCAGTATGATCTTCTCAAAACCATCGGCTGTGGCTACCCTGACCACGTTTGCTGCCCTCGCCCAGGATGTTTTCGCCGCCCAGCAGCCACTCCCAATTTTGAAGGACTTCGATGAAACCGGCGTTCTTGGTGCTTTGTATCGCCCCAATGTCACAAGCGAGAGATCTCGTCTCGGCATCTACGTAATGCACGCTGAACAGGATTATACATCATTCGTCGCCTGTACGGCTCTCCAAGAACGTGGGTTTACTGTCTTTTGCGCAAACAACGAAGCTAGCAAGTCCGGGTATATGTCAGACCTCAACTTCGAAGACATGATGACACAGGCAAGCACCGGATTGGCTTGGCTGCGTAACCAGAGCTATATCGACAAGACAGTGATTCTGGGTCACAGTGGTGGCGGTGCGATGATGGCTGCTTACCAAAATATTGCTGAGAATGGTGCTTCTGCGTGCAATGGCCCGGAGAAGATCTATCCATGCTCTGATAGTATGAATGATCTCAGCCCTGCGGACGGTCTAATTCTGTTAGATGCCAATTATGGTATCTCGACTATGGGGTTCTTAAGTCTCAACCCAGCAATTCTAGATGAGAACAACTCCCACAAGCAAAACTACTCGCTTAGTGTTTGGAATCCTGCCAACGGCTTCTCAAACAATACCCAGTGTAACTACACTGCCGAATTCAAGTCTGGGTTCCAAAAGGCTGTGGTCGCTCGCAATAATCGTATCTTAAAGCACGCCCAAAAAAGACTAAAAGCCATTGAAGCGGGCGAGGGAATGTTCGCCGATGATGAGCCTTTTACAATTCCATCCGCCCTTTATCTCGGCCCTGACAACCTCATAATCAACCAGGATGTACGCACTTTGCATCACACTACATATCCATGGACTCTACTCGAGAAGAATGGTACAACAAAGCAGATTGTTCCCTCCGTTCGCGTGCCGTCTGGCTGGACTGATATTTCTGAGTCGTGGGAGGAAGCCGCTGTCAAGACTACCATTCGTCGCTACCTGTCTACCCTCGCCATTCGAGCGAACGACAACTTCACCATTCAAGCTGACGGATTTACCGGTATTGATTTTGATTCGACCCAAATGGCACCAGTCTCTTCGATCAAGGGGGTTAGCGTTCCTCTTCTGAATATGGGTATGACGGGTCACTATGAGTATCTGAATGCTGAAAAGATTCACCTTGCGGCTGTCAAGAGTAATGACACCGCTATTGCTTTTGTTCAAGGTGCCCAGCATCTTATCATCACATGTACTGAGTGCGAATCTTACCCCGGCGAATTCGGTAACACCGTTGTCACTTGTTTCGACTACGTCGCTGAGTGGCTGTCGAAGAGCGGCCGCTTCATCTGATTTCACACGCAGTCTGCGGCTAATTCATTCTTTGATCTCTGTAAAACTACGCTGGACCAGCTTTCAAAGTATGCTAGATGCTAACTCGGCGAAATCCCGCTTTCCTTCCTCCTGTACGTACTTCGTTTCCTAAAGTGTTCAATCAAGGACGCGCTGGAAATTCATGACATGCTTTTACAACAAATCACGGCGTTGCACATGAGCAGAGGCACATTTAGAAGATATATGCATTAAGGATATTTGATTGGAAATAAATGACAACCATCTTTCAAACAAGGTCACGTCATGGAGCTGTTCATTCACTGTCATCAGTTTCCCAGACTTGATCGGATTGTTCATCGAGGTGCCCGAGGTCCCCCGGGAGCTCTCCGGGAGCCTCCTGCGGGTTGTGGGAATAGGTGTGCGAAATCAGGATCCTGCATAGCGCGGTTCATAAAGTAATCCAAAAGCTCTGGGGGCATAGGGCCGTTGGGACCAGGTCCACCCCTTCCAGCTCCGCCCCGTGTAGACCCACCTCTTGCAGCTCCACCCCGTGCAGCTCCTCTTCCAGCTCCTCCTCGTCCACCTGCGCCCAAACGTGCATTAATCATTGTCTCCCTGAGACGTTCAAGGTCTAATTCTTCTTCATCGTCAAAATCATCGTCAAACCCATCGTCAAACCCATCGTCAAAATCATCATCAAAATCGTCATCATCGTCATACTCATCCATAAAGTCATCAGGACTGGACGTGCTTGGCGCTATCAGGAAATTGACATTGGTGCCTATGAATAGATCCACCAGGGCTTCATGAGCTTGTGCTGGAGTTTTGCCCTCTGGAATGACTTGCCCAGGAAGCTGTATGGGTTGTGTGATATCAGGAGCGAACATTTTGAAGTCGACAAAGTCCGGGTACAGACCCTTCTTGCAATCCTTGGCAATATTTTTAACGAGATTAATGACGGAAGAATTGCAGTCGGGAATCGACAGTTTCTTGAGCGCAGGTGGTAGTTGAGGGTGGACTGAAACTAGCGCTTGTTGAATACGGATAGATTTAAGTGCCGTGAAATCGCGTAAAGGACCCATTTTGGCACGGCTGGAAATGAATCGCTGCCAATCTTCAAGATCACGCTCCGACCTGGGAAGATCGACACGCATATATTCCAGGGTTTCCTTATGATCGAGGAGAGCTTTGTGGGCATCGGCTGCATTGAACATTGATCCCTTTTGCGGACGGTCAGTGATCTCGACGTGGGCCTTAAAGTTGTCGAACAAGAAGTATTTCAGATCTTTGCATGCCCGTATGAATGTACTCATGGATGGACCGTCAAGGACACAGCCGTGGAAAATGAGCTCCTTGATGTTGAAAGAACCCGGTTCCCATGTTACTGGGTTCGTTGTACTTTGGAGATCACCATCCTCAATCATGGCGATCTTTAGGTTAGGTAGGGCGAAAAAGTCGCTATAGGATGTAATATCATGACCATCATACTCGTCTTTGCCCATCACACCCAAACACTCGAGCCTGTGCAGAAATGAAGGGTTATGACGGAAGAGGTGGGTGTAAGGGTTCAACGAATCTAGCCCGCCTGGAATAATCAAGCGTCGAAGGTTGGGAGTTTTGTTGAGGACCAAGGCAGCGAAAACAGCGAGGTTGCACTCCTTCATAGCAGAAATCCACTTCTCTTCCTCGGCGCCTAGATTGAGCTCCTTGATCGCTCTCATGTAAATTTCGATGTCTTCTTCGGAGAGTTCGGCGGTCAGAGGTTCGTTAAACGCCTCCTCATCCGGGTCATCGAAAAAAAACGGGCGGCATATTGTGACGTCTTGGACAAATTGACCGAGCTCTGGGTACCGATAGAGGCAGTTCGCAAAGCGCACGGTTTCCTCTGTATTCCCAAGCACACCATCATCGGAGAAGTCCAGAAATAGAAGAGGTTGCGCAATATCGCGAAATCGCTTCGAAACTAGACACAGACTGTATAGAGACGCGACGCCATCACCTTCATTCTGATCTTCCTCGTGGTCTGGGTAGTTGCCCTTTATCTGTTCGGTCTGAAATTCGTGCCAAATCTGCCACTGGGGTGCTTCAGGCGCGACGAGGAAGGATAGGGTATGCTTGAGAAGCTCATCGGGGAGGTCCTGGAAAGAAGGCATTGTTGGCAAATGGATCCGCAGCCCAAGCAAGGCAAGTGCTGTGAAGCAAATGTGAGTTCCAAAGATCAGGGGAATCCATAGAAGACCTTGTCGAACGCGGGATAAAAGGGCATTACCATAAAGGGAACTAGGGCTCGCCGATTAGGGCTTCATATCCTTATCGATGGATCATTGGACGCGCATCAATAAAGGAAGGAGCGACCGTGAATTCATGCCTTGACACCTTGATGCCTGGACACCTCATATACAAGGCCAATAGTATTGTATCGTAACTAGCTAAGTATGGTTTAAATTAATGATATTTTTGGACGATATTATTGTAAGGACTTCAGGTATACGATACGGTAAACGATAATCCAAAAATATGATGATATATTGTATCGTGGGCAGCTCTAAAAAGGATAGAAAAGTGACCATTTCACATGGTGTATGTATGAGGTGATTGGGTGGTGATTTACGTTGCAAACCCACTTTCTTTGTTTGTTTGATGTAACCATCGTTCGCCCCCATAGCCTCAGGTTGGGGACTTTCTTTGTACATATTAGTAATAGCTGCAACAACGTTATCCAGTGACTATGATTTGCCATTAGCTGCATTACCACATCACGGTGTCACATGGACAGGGGTATAGTGCTTACATATATAGGCAGTCTGGGCTCCAGAGAGGAGATGCACCAGCGATCTATTTAGTTAAGGCCCATCTCCAGCAGCACTGACACGAGTTTCGGGGTTAACCAAAGTAACACAATGGCGACTTCACACCCCTTCAGGAGACCCCCTCAGACCGTTCCGCCCCTCTCCCCACACTCCGGCCTATGTTAGAGACTCCGTGGACCGCCTTCTCGCGCAGTCTAGAAATCTACACGATCATCTGGTTAATATAGCCGATACAGAGATTTCATGGGAGACTGGTATTGCACCGCTAGCCTATGACGAAAATAGGGTATCTCTCGGGACGAACATTCTCAAGTTCTACCAATATGCCAGTCCCAGTGCGGAGCTCTGCGCCGCTTCTCGCGAGGTAGCCCAGCAGCTTGAAGAATTCGAAATCGAAAGTACTTGCGCGACGACTTATTTAAAATAGTTGACACCGTTAAAGACGACCCCTCATCACAGAACTTAGACATACAGTCACTCCATTACCTTAATAGTGAACACAGGAAGTATGTTGCCAACGGACTGAGTCTTGAGCATGGGCCACAGCGCATTCGATTCAAGGAAATCAAGAAGCGGATGATTGCCCTTAGCGTCGAGTTTCAGAGTAATCTCGGGCAGGGGCGAAATATGGGTCTCGATTCAGGACTTGGACGGTGTGCCGGCAGATGTGATTGACAGGTTAGAGAGAGATTCGGAGCAGGATGGTATGGTCAAGGTCACACTGCAGTATGCGGACTATTTCCCCATTATTGATAATGCGAGGAAAAGCGACACCAGAAAGCGACTCTTCCTAGCATTTGAGAATAAGTGCAAGGGCAATGTGCCGTTGTTCCGAGAGATGATGATTCTGCGTGATGAGGCAGCGCGACTGCTTGGGTATGTCAACTATGCGGCTTATCAGCTGGAGGACAGATTAGTCACTTGCCCGGAAAAGGTCAATTCGTTTCTGGATGATTTGCGATGCAGGTTAGCCGATCGCGGTGCCGAGGAAATTAAGCGACTGAAAGCATTGAAAACATCTGATATGGGAGAGGAACCTGCGGGAGGTGAACAATACTGCCTATGGGACCATCGCTACTATAACCGCCTGTTACTGGAAAAGAATTATCAGATAGATCAGGAGAAAATTGCCCAGTTCACATCTCTTAGCAAGACACTCGAGGGCATGCTCGATATTTTCTCCAAGCTATTTGGGCTCGTCTTCTACGAAGTAGATGCCATCAATCAGAGAAAAGATCTAATATGGCATGCTGATGTGCGCATCTTCCACGTTTGGGACGATGATAACGACGGTGGTGAATTTGTGGGATATCTTTATCTTGATATCTACCCTCGTGATGGAAAGCGTGGCCATCCATGCAATATCAACCTTCAACCAGTAAGCTCCATGGGCTGGCTACTTGTTATATTCTTTTCGTCCATTGTACTAACCTAAAGTCTACTAGGGATTCGAATATGAAAATGGCGATCGAAGTTACCCATCGACCGTTCTATTATGCAGTTTTGCCAAACCCGCAGGAACCAAGCCTTGTCTTCTTCACCACTCGGACATGGTGACACTATTCCATGAGCTGGGCCACGGTATCCATGATCTAGTCAGCAAAACTCGCTACTCCCGCTTCCATGGAACAATGACAGTGCTTGATTTCTGCGAAACACCTAGTAAAATGTTAGAGAACTGATGCTGGCTTCCTCCACTTCAGTCACTCAGTCACCACTACGATACAGGAGAGCCCATTCCGCAATCGATGGTGGACAATTTCATCAGATCCAAGAGGGTAAATACTGGACTTTTCTATCTTCGACAACTTCATGTCTCTATCTTTGATTTACATATCCATCAGCCGCCGTCGCACACCAGTATTATCAATACAAATATTTCAGGTACCTACAATTCTCTTTGGCAGAGCATTACCCAGATGGCAGGACCGAGTGGTGAAACAACAGATACAGAAGGAAATGACTGGGGACATGGCTACGCCACGTTCTTCCATCTACTTAGTGACTACGGAGCCGGATACTACAGCTACCTTTTGGCCGAGGTCTATGCATTAGACATCTTCTACTCTACCTTTAAGTCAGATCCGTTAAACCCGGAACAAGGCCGAGGATACCGTCGTATGGCCCTCGGGAAAGGAGGCAGTCAGCCGGAGATGAAAACATTGAGCGATTTCCTGGGCAGAGAAGCCACAAGTCAGGCCTTTTTTGAAGAGCTTGTAATGAGAGGACCTGAGTAGGGTTAATTAATCAAACGCTACTTCAAACACTAAATTCCTAGCAAGATATCGTAGTACGTATAGTACATACATGTTTACATTTTCTATTCTAAATGCCCAGACAGATGATCATGATGAGCGGGCGGACCTCCCAAGACTTGACTGCATGCGCTTTGTTCCAGGTAACAATAGCATCGAAGTTACGACACTTGTGATGCGAATTGAAATCCGCCTCTGGAATTTGAGGCGTTCTAGCGCTCCATTTGACTGGGGTGACATCCGACTGACACATCAAGACTAATCGCAGGGTTTCAATACAATGGTCTGTGTGCATTCTCAGTGCCTTGAGAGGAACATTGAAATCAGCTGGAAGAGTCTTGTTTGTGTATTTGTCCATTACAAACCATGTGAATTGTCGAATGTAGTTCTACGTGTCAAGGTCAGTCAAGTAATACTCCACTAGAATATGTGTGTATGTTGACTGGCTCTCCCCCGGCCGGGCCTAGCGCTGTCTTATATCTCGGATGTTCTATAGCTATAATTTGCGAAAGAGCCTCTAATTTCTTAACTAATACTCTTACCTATTGATAAGGATATGCGGGTATAGTGAAAGGTAGGTGAAAATAAGGTAGAAGTTAGGTACGAAGTGTATGAACTTAGGTAGAGATAGAACTTGAAATATATATGGGATTACAGAGTTATAAATATTAATTCACTAGGATAAGAAAATAAGAGATAAATCAGCCTTACTTATAAATCACTTGTTTATCTGTATGTTCGAAGGTGTCTGACTCTTTAACACCACCCTGTGTAGTATAACTACATGGAGGAAGACTCGGGACGGGTATGTTTGCACTGTTTGCACGTCTGTGCGGTTTGACCCACTCTCGGATGCAGGCCAATCAGATGATTGGCCTGGAGTGTGGCATCCGCCTACATGTATGTAGCATAGCTCTCTCTCTTCTTTTCCTTTCCTCAACGTTGTTATTCGTTGTTCTTCGCACTCTTCTCTATTCTAGTAGATCATAGGCACCTCATCACACCCTGCTTCACCGGCCCTGGTACCAATAGATGGCGAATACGCGATTGAATCCCTGGCTCTTACTTGTTACCGCACTTATATTATCCATCCCTGCCCTATCCATCAATCCTTATGTATATAGTCCTTCTGGAGCAGGCGGATCCATTACAATTGGCCACCCAGGACTTTGGGACCATCTGGTGAATTAAGAGAGTCCCGTAATTCAGCCACTCGCTCGGAAGGAGGGCAACTGCATCAAAATCTTGTTGAGTAGCGATTGGAATGATGCAGTATTTAAAGAGCGTGTGAGCCAATCGATATTGGGGAGAATACGCATAGCGAAGATATATTGGCCCAGAGGCTTCCTCGAATAGCTCCTTGAGTTGACGGGACTCGGAATTTGATGGAATTTCCCTGCAAGTCGCTCATTTTCGTCATCATTCTTGTTCAAGTCCCACGCCCAAAGCCACATCGGCTGAGGCACACGATATGAAGAGGGGAGCAAAGAGTGCGTCATCCCAATCGAGTATACTGGTGATAGTCTTTTGCTGTACTGAGATATTCCGAGCCTTCAAATCAAGATGATAAAGACAGTAGCCATTTACTTCTAGCATCCCGAGATCATTCATCTCTGATGCTATGATGGAAAATCGCTTAAAGAAATGCAGCTCATAGTCAGCACTGGGGCCTCGGGAAATAGCTAGTTCTTTCTGATGCTCAAGGATTGCGCATATGGTGTTGAAAGTGGTCTTACTAGCATGTCAACTTTGATACGGTACCACCATATCGGTGTCCAGTTTATCTAGAGGCTGAATCACCACAGCCCCGGGAGCTAAGGTTCCCCGAGAATTTGAAGCTGATAAGATAAGTTTACCACTAGTAACACTTCTGATCGAATGTAGCTCAGCGTAGACCTTACCAAGGTCTTTAGAAATCGCAACTTTTATTTCATAGCGCAGTTTTGGGTATGATGGCCGAAGCGACGAGCCAGAAAGACGCGTCATTATCGCATATGGCCCACCCAAGGGATTGGAAGTTGTTGTATCGAATTGAATAACCTCGGGAATCGGTATTGTTGTCCTTTCGAGAAGAAACTTTAGGGGCGCAAGATTATTAGCTAGGTTTGCGTCGTCAAAATACGGAATGCGAAGAACGTAGTGATCGATAAGTGGCTTTTGACCGTCAACCACAAAGACACCAATCACCCGGTCGAAGCTGCTTCCTCGCATGAGCTCAATTATAAACTTGGCATCCGAAGTACCGAGAGTTGTATAACACAGCTGAAAAACACGTTCTTTGAATGTCGCGAAAGGCTCATGCCCATAACTGGTAGTTGATGACGAGGATCTATCTTTAGAATTGCCAAGGGCAATAGGTGAGATTAAATGATACAACCTGGAAATATAATATGCGAAAGTAGATGATAGTTTCAAGAGCCATAAGTAAAGGTGGAACGTCATAATTATGGGACAATATGTGCCCCGTAGAATGCTAAAAGAACATCGGTATGAACAAAGTCGCGGTGCCGGTGATTCAATCTTTGTTTGGGTGACACGTGAACTGGCAACGATCAGAAGATACCCATACTATTTGATGTGGCTAGAGACCACGCGAAGAAGAGGGTAAGCGAGCAATACACGGGAAGAATGATGCTGTATTCAAGCTATTTGTGTGCGTGAGGAAGAGAAGCCTGAGAGGTAAGCAAACCGACGCTATAACGGGGTGCCCAAGTCGCGTGCCGCAACACTATTTCAGAGGCGGGCCGACCCGGTTAATTATAGAGACCAAGGGCTTTTTAACCCGATGAACGCTATCGGCCGCCGTACATAGTCTAAGGGAAGTTATCTCTCCACTAGACCAACCACCAAGCCGGGGGCATGTCATCTTTTAAACCTCTTAGTCTGCTTACAGCTCTAGGTAGGAAAGCAAATATAACGAGATAGAAATTATAGCGTAGAGGGGTATAAAGATTTTAGGTATCCGTAGATTAACATATTTACTAATTAATTCGGCTGAAAATACATTTGGCAGTGCTTTTAAATCAGCCTCTATTTCCTTTTTAACTTACTTGTATATTGAATATCGTTAAATATGTCGTAAAATATATATATTTTACATAGAGATTTTATGTATTTGTTTACTTTAATTCCTGACCGTATTCATACTACCGGCAGAAAAATAATGCCCTTGTGCCTCGTGGTATTACAAATCATGGTGGCGTTAGCCATTGTTATGGTGCATTTAACTAGTTAGCTAGTCAAGTTACATAATGTTTGCGGTCCGTTTCAACTCGTAGCCAAAGTATATGAATTGTTATTGTTTCTTTTCCTTCGCTTATTTTCGGATGCTTTACGTCTAGCTGGGAAACTGGTCATTTAGACCGAATTACCAACATTTTGGACACTATATTCATATACATAGCCAAGATGTCTAACACTCATAGATGAGATCTACGAATCTGGACTGCCAGATAAGATAAGGTTCATCGTCATCCATCTACTTCCCCGCCCCTCCATCTCCTCTTTACATCACCCAGCAAACCAAACATCACGAAAAATACTAGCAAAAGATCGTTCATCATGCATTCAGTCAACCTTGCTCCCGTTCCGCAACCCCTCGCTATCTTCGATCAATTCACTGCCCACCAAACTGAGGTCTTGGCCATCAAGGAAAAGGTCCTGTCGCTGACGGGCGACAGCTTCGACGTGAAGCTTGCCAACGGCCAACCCATTTTCAAGGTCAAAGGAAAGCTGATGAGCATATCCGGTCGCAAGTCGGTCACGGACACCTCGAACAATCATCTCTTCGATCTGGTCAAGGAACATTTCCACATTCACTCAACTTATGCGGCCGAAACACCCGACGGAAAGAAAATACTCCAGGTGAAGAGTGGACTTAGCCGTGCGTTCCTTTCCTGCACTCCTTAACCCTTTTTATGAATTCATCCCTCTTCTTAATTAAGGCAAATCGATTCATAATCTAACAGATAAGCAGTCATCGGCTCTAAGGCGACCGCTACCTTCACCTCCCCAACTACAGGCAATACTCATGTGCTAAAGATGAAGGGCAACTGGATAGATTCCAAAGTCGATATCATCGACGAGTCTACTAATGCTGTGGTAGCACAGATTGATCGAAAGCTGCTCAGTGGACGGGATGTCTTCTTCGACCAACAGACGTATGCAGTAATTGTAGCACCCGGGGTGGATATGGCGTTGATTGCGGCGTTGTGTATCTGCTTTGACGAAAAGAATAACGAGGAGGATTAATTAATCCTTATAGTGCTGGAGAACAAAGCAGTGGTGCTTCTATATCGCAACGCTATCCCCGAGAGGATATACTGGCTCTGCGGCTGGCCCAAGCTTCGCGTTGGATTATATTATAAACCAAATTTTACTCGTATAGGTCTTTGACGATATTTAAAAGTAAATTTACATAATAATATGTGTGTCTGTGTTGCGCATGTCATCCGCTCTACCTCGCTGACCGTTGATAACGCGCTGCCAGTGGGTGTCGATCGGTCCACTCCACTTTCCCACGTACGCAGTGGAAATTTTCAAAGGATATTTGGACATTAGTCATATAATATGTGATAGCGTAGGAATCAATCTTGAGACCTGCTTACGAAGATCTCGTTTTGCTTGCTTTGGTTAAAGGGGTACAGATTTCAGTCACCTCTTTCCAGAGTTATGTTGCCGTGGATGTTTTATATGCCATTTGTATTGCTATGTCCGCCTTGAGAGCCAAGCTCAAATCATAGGAGAATGTAATATTAATTGTTTAAATGCTTGGATAGTGAAGATATCACATAGTAGAAGGTAAAATAAATGATACTTCGCTCTCGGCAAAACAGATACTAGTAGATCGTCTCGCAACAGCCTCAGTAGTAGAATATTGTCGAAGCGTGAATATATATTCTCAATTGAGACAAAAGTATATCCTAGGAGACCGATCTTGATGATTGATACACCAAGGAAAAGGTGGGCGTATCTGCCATTGTGACTATTCACCCAACGGCTTTCTTGAACGCGGAGAAGACCAAACTTCATGTTGCTTGTAATGCAGGGGAATGCTGGTGTTAAGCAGACGGGAAAGAAAGACCCCACTCTCTAGCCAGTTCTAGGTATGATGCTATGCCTTAATCTTGGGGGCCAAATGAAAGTTTTCTCCCCTGGAATACAACCCGTGAGGAACAAAAAGGGGGAAAGAAGGAGCAAAAGCGACGAGATTTTCAAAAGAGAGAAATTAGAATACATTGTGAATATGTAATGTTTGTCCCAGGCAATTTACCGGCCTGGACTGTGCCTATCTCCATATTGTTAACGGGTGCGTTTCTAGGATCGGCATATCAAGTTCCTCTACTCCCCTACTGTAGCTACGGCGGCCGATAGCGCTCATCAGGAAAATAAAATCCGATTTTGCTCCTGTTTGGCCGGTAGAAAATTACGATACCTGTATATTTACAATAAATCCTACTCCAGTGGACCTTTGAACCCAAGGGATGCTATATACTACACCCTTGGGAGGGGGCCGGTACTGTAGTACCGCAAAGTTCTATGCCCAGGTGGTTAAGCTTCAATCCTGCTATCTTAGGACGTATTTCTCTAGTCATCTTTCATTTGTCTTTCCAATTATGTTTCTACCTGTTTTTCAATCGATGTAGAGCTTACGATACAGAAAACGGTTTACTAGACGGTAAACTTTAGTGTACGGCGAAGGGGTGTTTTTCCCCCGATGAACGCTATCGACCGCCGTATGTAGCATAGGATTAAATAACTCAACTCTTTCTTCCTCGGTAACTTTGTCAAATTATACCCACTGTCGGTTCTTCTGCCAATTGAGAACATTTTCCGTTCAATAAACCTTCACTTAACAATACGAGACAAACAAAAAGCTCCTTGCGCATTAATCCTGAAGCCACACATTGACAATGCGGGTATCCACATCCAAGTTACCATCATACATCGCTATAGTTATCATTTCAAAGCCAGACGACCGAGCCAAAAAGTTGAACTGGACCGTATTGTCAGACATCTGCTTGGCTCCGAGGAATAAGGCATGCTGTAAAACAAATTAGCTTCTCCTTCATGGCAAAACAGAGCACGATATAAAATTCACCCCTCGTGGACCTTTGATTGTATACCCTCTCCACACATGCTGTGCCACTATTGTGGGCTAATTGTGAATTAGTAAAAGCCTCCTGATTATAATAGAGAGTTTACTTTGAGAAGGAGGTCTCATCTCACCGTTATAGTAATCGTAAATGATTGATTCACTTTGATCGGAAGACTTTTGTCAGTGTCAATATTCTGGATCCACGTCTTCCCCGTTGGGGACAAGCTCTTGTCCAAAAGAATCTTAAGATTATCCTTCAGCGTCGATGTGTCAACCGCTTTGAGCTCGTTCGACCTGACAACAGCCAGATATCCCGCATACGGATTGCAGAAAATTCGAATGCTTCCCGTGACGCCATCACTCAACCCCTCGTTTGACGTCTCAATGACCCACTGATTCTTAATAGTCGCAACACGCATGGCGTATGCCGTTTGCACGGTCGTCACGAGACGCGGTATGAATGTATCCATATATCGAAACACGTCAATATTGATAGTTTTGTCTGAATGCCCGGTTGGGATCAAAGTCCAGGTCGCAGAAATGGAATAATTCTGGGCTGGTGAAGCAAAAAATGGCGCGTTCCATGTGCCTGTTGGGTCCAGTTTGGGAACCTGATCGATCATAAGAACGGAGCTGGGTGGAGGCTTGGCTCTTTCGAGGGCTCGAGAGACGATGAGGTGGTTTACACCGATGCCATCTATGACGTCGAGGAGCGTTCCGGGGCTGCCTCCGCTATCGCTGCGCGGATCGATCGCCGCGGCTGGATAGTCCTGTAATTTGACAGTGCCAGCTTGAGGGCCGCAGCAGGCATCCAGGACATATGTCTGTCCTGCTTTCTCAATTGTGACGAATAGGTGATTACCAAATGATGACCTGAGGTTGTTATTTTGGGCAACTAGCATATCCTCGGCGTATCCGTTGTTCCCGTAGAAAGGGTTGTTGCACAAGTTCTGTGGATTGACCGGCTTGCCCGTGCTCGGGTCCATACGCGGATCAATCCTCCCAATGAGCTTGGTGTCTTTGATATATCCATACGGCTTCATGAATTTCGCGCGGACCCTTCCCAGTCACTGCGTCGGTACCGAGAGAGACCAAGACTTGCACAAGACATGCCAGATCATAGCAGTTCATCTGTGTCTTGACCATATTGAGATCCAGCATATCAGTGAGCCAAAGATCAAGCCATAGCCCCAGGCCCCTGTCATTAGCAAGATCTGATGCGAGGCCTGTAATAATTCCGCTTGTGTACTTGGAAGACCCGCTCCATGTCTCGTACTCCAGGAGTGGGTCATTGAATATTGCGTTAACCACAAATGCAGCCCAATCGGTAGCTGCACTATTCATCCAGCTGGGCCACAAAGCTTTGAGCGACATAAGCCGCACAGGGATTCCACCTCGAACAACATAATTAGGGAGATTAGGTGGGAAAACGTGGACTTCAGCTTCAATTTCGCATGTATAGGTAGGCTGCTTTGGGTCGTTTCCGCTCAGTATCCAGGTGACGTTTGAACTGAGTCCCCATGGTAAAGGCTTGGCTGTGCCACTGACGCTGGGTTGATCCACAACAAGATCATTAACTAAGTCTTCAACCGTTTGTTTCTTTTCTGAATTGAAGACTGTCCATTCTCCTGACTTCCCTACAAGCGTCAGAGGAGGCGTGAGGGCTTTGATGGGTGCCAAAGACGCTGCCATGAGTACTACACGAAAGGTGGTGTTTCTGTAGACGGCGACAGGCGTGAATTTGGTTGGGCTTCCCGTTGAAGACCAGACAGGGCTTTCCCCGGAGGAAAACCATATTTGCGGAGGATTGATGTAGTGGTCATGGAGAGGGCATTCAACTTTAGAGACGTACACCGCGTCAATAAAAGAAAGCGGAACAGGAGGCACAGTAGGGCCTGACATTATGAGCGTGTTCTTCAGAGATATAACAAGCCCTTTGATGATCGGAGAAGCGAACAAAGCTCTATATATGCCGGACTGTGTGCTTGAGAGACAAGAGCGAGCCACATTCCGCTGAGTACTATATGCAAATTATTACCTCATTCATGGGGGTAGATATCTCTGGATGAGTCTTACCCTAGGACTTCTGTAGATAACCACTGGCAGTTGAGTGTGGGCAAGTGCAAGCGATAGTGGAAGAATAAACATTCACCAGCGCACGCTCACGAAGCGTCTAGCCTGTGCCTAATGCGTGTGACTACGGTGACTAGACTCAAAAGATTTCAGCTCTCCTGGGGCCTCTAGGCTGAGCACTTGAGGTGCCAAAGCCTCCTTCTTGCAACGAATGCATGTATGATCCATGCGCAGAGAGACTACTTTTCGAATATTTTGTTTGTATACATGGTAGTTTCATGAGAAATACGATTTGAAGGTAATCAATCATACTTTGATAAAATGGCTTCTAACTTCCCTGGTCAAAACATTAGTGTAGGAGCTAGTATTTCAAATACCATTAAGGCTCCACGACCATACAGTAGACAATATTCCAATTATTGATTTAATCAAAGAACCTGTGTGGGCCGTGGAAGTCGAGTTCAGCTCAAACAACCAACCCCGCGTTCACAAATCCCAGCTGACGTGAATTCTTCTTGAATAGCTTTCTAGTTCAATAGGGCTAGTCGGCTCGACTACCGTTATCACAAATTGTGGCTCTTATTAGTTCTTGTAATATCTTTAGGATGCCTACTTAGGATTAGTATCTGGATCTTTCATTGGTGGTTTAGGAATATGGCTTGGTACTCCTCAACCTGATTAAGAATAAAGTTTAGTGAACCCGTTAATATACCCGACCGCTAAATTTATTCACTCCGTCTTTTTTGAAGTATATTTTCATTTAGCACTTCTGCATTTTCAATTCAGGCAATTGATGCGTGTGGGCCACATGACCTTCATGGGACCTGCCAGGTACGACTTATTCGGTGTAAGTTTCCAGGTCTGACGTGAGTCCATTCGACATCTGAAGAACTGCCCTACTATGAATATCGGTTGATCTTATAGAGGGTGATTGTAGCCGATCCCCCGCATAACTTTATGTGTAATCTGCCCCCGATAGAGGCCCACTATTCCCAGCCATCTACGTTAAATTACTTTGAATGTGAGTTAATGAGTTATCCCATTTGAATGCTTTGTACCCTGTTTTGGGTTGGAAAGTACATATACTCTTGCCTTGCTCCAGTCAAGGCATCTTTTCCAATAAGCAAAGAAAGCAGTCGGTGCAAGGCACTTCGATGTATTGCTGCTTGGTAGTTTTAGGGTTTCCAGCAGAGCTCGAGGAGATTTGATAGCTTTCTTACTGACAGCTGCAAATGTGGCACTAACCATATGAGTAAAGAGGATCTTAATAATCCCTGATAAGTTGCACGGGTCACTGCAGAACGAGACTTCTAGCTCCTTGGCGGCGTTATTGCTGCAAAGTGAAAGGTAGGACCAATCCTGCGGAAACGAGGTCTGGATAAAATTCGTGTATTTCCTCGACGCCGCTTTCGTATTCAACATCCAGACCTCAAGTGGCGTATCACGTTGAAAGCTGAAGATCTAGTACTAATTCTGCAGGTGAACAATTTCCACATGATATTCGCTGAGTTCGTCAACATCTACTTGAATATCAGTGTGTAGACATTAGGTGGCGTTTGACAATGCGAGCTGAGAGACGGAATTGCAGTGGAAAAGACTCAAATCTGTAGTTAATGACATATAGGGACGATAGAGACGAATTGGAGACGCCGTCGCACACTTCGGCTCTTTTTGCTCTGTTTTTAATGACCGGTAAATAGAAGAGACGGTTCGTGTCAGTCGAAGTAGCCCTAGAACCATTCTAGTCATTTGGTTGGATGTCGGCCACATGGTGCATGCAGGGCTTGAAGAACAATCACAAATCGAGGTTGAGAGTATAACTTCTTATTCTTCAGTGGCCAGATTGTTATAGAACCCTACCGAGGCTGAGTGAGCTAGCCGTGACTTCAGGTATTCAATAGAGGCAGTGCTACTTTGCAGCGCCGCGACCAGTTACTACGTTGAAATCATCCGCATGTGTCTGTATCTTTATGCCCACCTGGGCACAGAGAGAACAGATATAAAAGGCCGCAGTTTCCATCAGTCTTCAATGTTCATTCCAACTTCCTCGAGCAACTCAGCTGAGCAAAACACCAAAGAAATCGAGATATCAATAACCTTCAGTTATAATTATGTCTATCCCAATCGCACCCGATGAGCGTCAATTGACAGTCGCAATTGACCAGCTCAACATGCCCCTCTTGAGCAATAATCAGTATCAGCTCCATGTCGCCAAGAGTGTGATCGCAAATGGAAAGCGTAAGTAACTCCGATCCTCAGGTTGCTGCAATGGCTCACATATTCACTAGTCATCTTCAACACGGTCTGGCGCTCCAAGACCCTTTCCCCTTTCGTGGATATCAAATGGAAGCCCGTGTACGGCTTCAACTGGACCAGCGACGTTCCCGCCAATGGCATCTCTATCACCGCCCAAGGTAACTGGATGCAATGTAACGTCGGCCAAGCTGTTGACATCGCCTCCTCGGGCTTCTTTACCACCTCCGCCAGCCAGCCTGATCCCAACAGCATGATGATCGGCGTCAATAACTACTCGGCGGAAAACCCCGAGGGCATCAGAATCGTCATTGGCGTCCAAAACGCGTCGGGCGGGTTTGATCCTATTTTTGTGGATCCAAGCAGCATCCCCCTAAATGCCACTGCGACATTCCAGCCGCAGGAGCAGATCCAGTGGTGGTATGAGGCGGGATCCAAGCAGGGAACCGTATTCACCAAGCACTCAACTAAGATCGAAACTGCTGATTACTCTGGCCCCGATCCTGCTACTCAGAGCTGGAAGAAGAAGTCGATTTTCGACTACAGGAAAGGCACTTGGACCACGACCGTCCGTAAGTAGTAGGATCTTTCTTTGACCAATTCAAGCAAGCTGAATATCAAAATTAGTGTAACATGGAGGGCTCTGTCTGATGCCGCACGGAATCCGTGCCAGTTGAAGCCTTGAAGAGAAGCTGTAACGCGGGGAGCATAAGAGATCGGCTGGAATGACACTGTTTATTGACGCGGTCCGGCGGGCCGGATTATAAATAGCCCAGGTCCTTGGCGGGGCCCCCACACTTCATCTTCTCTGAATCGCCCTACGTAGTGCCTTTCACTTCCGTAGCCAATTTCATTCATTTTCTGCACTCCACTTCGGTAGATAAGCTTCTTAACAGCTGTCGGATAGTCTATATTCAAGACGTTCTGGAATAGGTATTTATCCGGATTATATGGAGTCCTCGGTTGGCTATAATTAACAATAGTCGCCCACCCTCTATCAGTTTAGATCCTGGATCCACTACGATCACCAGCATCTAACTTTCCCTAACGATCTTGAAAAATCACATACAATTTACTCAAAGACATGACGATCGTCAAAGTTTTGGATCGGATTATAGAATTCTGGCAGAATGAAAGCGACACGGATTGGATTGTTCGCGCAAACCTCGAGCTCTACATAGCACACACAGTGCTGAATAGCGAAGGCCAGCCTCTCACCAATCTGATTTGGAAATCCCTCCACCGAAGCCCTCGTCGAACTATAGTTTGGGAGCCCATTTACGGCTTGAATTGGTGTCGTGAACTACCCCACAAAAGCGGCCTGTGGTCTAACAGCGATTTGGATCTGAGCGGCACTTGGCAGCGCTGCGAGGTTGGGCAGGCCTTTGATTTATCTACATCTGGGTTTTGGACTCCATCAACCAAAGACTCGGGTTCCAAATGCCTTCACATTAGTCGGAATGGGTATAAAGCAAGCGCCAAAGAGCCCGTTTTTATCGTGATGGGCTTGTACGACCGAAAGACATCTGGATTCGATCCGGTATTCCAACTTCTCGCCGGATTCTCAATATCCATTTACTGACGCACGCAGATTTTCGTCGATCCGGTTGAGCTCGGCCTCAATATGGGTGCTTCATATCAGCCTTCGAATATTGTCCAGTGGTGGTATCAATCCAATGGAAGTCCTTCATCTCCAGTCTTGAGCGTGCATAAGACGCCAGTGGAGAGTAGGGATATGTCACAGCTGGATTCGATAACGAATCGCTTCTATTGCTCCACCTCTTATGACTACAGCAAAGGTACATGGTTGACAAATTCATCAGCACCGCCCTCTCAAGTCTCAAAGCTTTGAAGGTGTATGCATGGTAGATTTCTGCATATGTTATGAAATGCGCGCGATTGCATGTGATTATATTGAAGCCTTGGTAGGCCTCGCCCGTGGGCTACCCATTGCCCATTTCTTGGCAGATAATATGTAAGATTTGACTGCCCATAATACGTACTATATGGTGCTATGAATCGGAAATTATGGACGCTGTAAGGTGGTTGGGAAAGGAAATATAAGAAGAAATAAATTTCAAACCCACAACTAGTAAAAAACATGCCAAAAACGAGGTGAAAAAAGAGCGGCAATGGGCATTAACCAACAAATAACAAAAAGAACCAAAAAAAAAACATACAATAACCAAAAGTATGGCCGAGCTCACCTAGCGCCCATGGATTTGTCGTGGCGACCCGCCGCCCCCTTCAGTGGGGCTTCAGGCCGCATTTAGGCCGCAGTTCAGCCACCTGTATATTCTTCACCTGAAGCCTCCCCGAAGATGTAAGGCACGCAGACAGAAGTAGCACTTGCACATTTTGGCGAAGGAAAAGGTTTCGCGAGAATCAAATTTAGACCGACAAGGGATATACTTAGCCAACCGTAATATATCCGAAAACCTCAACTTGGAAGGTTAGTCATTAGATAGATATCCTAGCTTAAGTCAGATATCAATCACTCAAATAAACGATGATGTGAGAATGGGTGATTTTACCTTCCGGTTAGATTGCCTAACCATCATAAAACTGGATCTACTGTTTTGGCATCCCAAATCTGATGTTCGTGTGCTTGCGGCAACCTTGGAACTATTCGGACTCTGTTCTCATTGGGCAAACACCTCGCATTAAATCGACTGATTTGTTATCTGAATTTCTCTGTGGAGACTATGGATCTTCGGGGACCTCAACCTTTTCTCCAAAATGGGAAATATCTGGAAATGACCGCCGCCATGTTAATATGGAGGTTGGCCCCGTGACTATAAAAAGACGAGCCCATTGCTCTCTCAGCAAGTTCAATCTGCTTGGATTTAATCCAAATTTACGGTTTTATTTCCATTCTTCCTCACTTGTCTAAGTACTCTGTCCTCTTCCGATAAAATTTCCTATGTCGCTTTCCCCGAAGAAGTTACTATATGGGAAAAAAAAATTCTAAGCCAGATGGTATTGCTGTGCCTTTTCACACTACGTTTGAGTACTTGATGAGTGTATTGCCACCGGGCTTTGAACCCGCAGATGAGCCCACTGGAACTTTCCTCGTATCGACAGTGGAAAGCTTTCTGTCCGGGGAGTTTGACTGTACGCTCGCAACGCTGGATACAAAGTTCAAATGTATCACAGGCAAGTATTGTTTTGCTGATCCTCATCAACGATGACACGCCTGAGACATGGGGTCGCGAAGTCTGGGGTGAGGCCAAGAAGACCGGTGCCACCCGACTTTGGCGTTCTGGCAACTGTCGATACGGATTCGCGGAACGCAATGGTGTACGTCTGGTCGAGGTCGAGATGGAATGTGGCGACGACCTCCCGCCCCAAATTGGCAAAGGCTCTAAGTTTGAGATCAAAGCATATCCCCATTCTCAAGGCAGGGGTCTCCAGTAGGAGCCTAAAGTGAATGTGCTGGAATTTGTCGCGCACAATGAGCGGCGAGCAACTGGCAAAGGGCATTTGACTGTCCGAGGCATACGGGCTGATCCACTCCATAGTATTCCCATTGTCTCCGTCTCTGGTTTTGAGTACTTTTCAGGGCTTATAAAGCACACAGTCGTTGCAGAACATGATCTGGGCTATGGGAATGCATATATGCCCTCTTTAATTTGAAGCCATTATGACGATCTTCGAATCTTCCGTGTTGGTGCTCGATGGAAAAAGATACAATCACAGGACATCAACGAGGATGAGAGATTCCCCTTCCAGCGCCTACGATCAATGGAAAAAGAAACTTGATTTTCCATGGTTTCTGAATGCTTCCGCATGGTGCCATTAAAAGCGACCAACAAGAATTCAGAAAACACTTTAGTATTCCGCTTTTTCGATGAAAAATTTATGATGATGATTTCAAAATGCAATCTTAGTGACACAAGGCTGAGGGTGCAGGCAAATGAAGCTGAAAGCAAAGCAAAGTCAGATCTCGATACAAATTCCCCCACCAAAAGGCCTTTACCAATCCAGAACAAGCGCTATTCAATGGTTCTTCTTCCCTTTCCCATCTGCAATAGAAGTAGCTTCACAGAGTCATCTTTATTCGGTATAAGAGGGGGTTCAATCGTGTCTTGTAAAGGTATCTGGGTGGACTGTGGGCCATTTGAACCTTCGTGAAAATGCCATACATCCCGACCCGCGTGACTCAAAATAGATGCCAAGGCTAATCCCCGATTAGAGATAGCTTTGAAGGCATCTTGACACCATTGAAACTTTTCTCGTCGTCGTAGCAGCGCATAAGGTTTATAAACATGGTTCAGGCTAGCAACTATAATATGCACACCACATGCGTTCGTTTCGGGTTGCAGACAGTACTGCAAACACCGACAAATTTCATCAGCGTAGGACTCCGCGATCAGACATTGTTCAGTATTTCGTAGTTCTCGTATCTCGGCATTCGCTCTTTGTCGACCATCACGCGGAGAAATCATAGAAGCTGAAACTTTATATACCAGAAGTTCGGCAAGTAGACATGTGGTCCAGTAGAGAATATAGAGCCGTGCAGTGTCTAGGTTGACAAAATTATATGGAAGACCAAACAAATCAATAGATGATGGTGCAGTGTGCGATAAGCTGTCGGCAGAATAGCTGGAAGGATACTGTCCCAGTATATGTCCTCGCTGAACGTACCATTGGGAGATCTTTTCCCTCTGAGCAAGGCAGGCAGCTAGTATTCTTTGAGCAGCCTTATTGTCGGAGAATGCGACGCGGTTAACTTCATTAATCAATGACGAGATGCCCACGTAGAGCTCGAAAATCTCATCCAGCGGACTGACTAGCTGGGTATGCAAGACGCGATTGTAATTTCGTGTAAAATCCGATGCTGTGGCAGCGCTGTAAATCTACTAAGACATCAGCAGCCATAACATAGTCCTATGAGATAGTATTCTTCATCGCATACAAGGGCAAGTTTCTGATGGTCGTATATGGCCTGTTCAATGGGACTTCCCGTGAGACTCTTATGAAACCGTTGAAACAGTTTACCGGTCGCTTCCGCATGTGAGATCCAAGCCCTGAGGCCATATGAGCAGTATATCGCCTAGTCATTTCAGTAATTAGTTTCCACAGATGCAGCAAACTGAGTCTCATACCTCTAGTGTTTGGAAAACAATTGTTGCGTATAAAGTTTCAACATTCACAGAATTCTGACTGAGCATTCTTGCTAACTGGGAAATCGCCTTGTTGTACAGCTCAATACCATATCGTATCATAAACTCGTCGTGTTTGATTTTACCGAGATACACGCAGGAAAGTGCTGAAATAGCATTTTCGAGCATTGCAGATTTATTAGCGAGTCCCAGAAGATTGGACAATATATGGTATGACGGCTCAACGGCTATAGCGCCCGTTAAATTGGCTGAAAAGTAGTTTCGGATAAACGAAGAAGATATCTGCACTCGCGCTTCGGGGCCACAGGGCACAACGCCAGGAAATGAAATATGTCGGTTGTGGAGAGGAGTGTTCTCTCTCTGGCTCTGGTAGACTAATTGCCAAATGCTCGGCTTGAAGGGCTTCCCTGGATAACCTGGACATGAAATGCCTCGCCGGCTGCATCGCCCGCATTCGGGTTTTTGCAAATCACACTAGTGCGATGGGTTAATTATAGGACAGCTGACGAGGCTCAGAGCCTGCACCTACTTTAATTTTGCGTTTTTTGCAGTTCGCGCAGGCCGCCGAGCTATATGGGGCACCTCCCATTCTGTCACCGGTTTGCTTGCGCTATGGAGAATTGAAAATGAATCAGAAGGTAAGAGCTGTGGATGTGGTGACGGATCGGTTGGTAATCATTTGACGTCTCAATGTGGCCTCTATCAACTTCGCTTGATTTGAAGAGGAGGTGCAATAGGTGCTAGCCAATTACTTGAAATAATTGTAGCATCTGGTCTTCCGCGTCCGTATATCAACCGACCCCTGTAGACTCACAAGCAGTACAGCCCTGTGGAGCCCATCGAGCGGCAGAAGGGGTGGTCGGCCCAACTGCCAATTCAGATTCGAGTACACGGGCCAGTCTGTGCGATTATACCACGATCGTCCGGTCTTGCCAGCTAGGCAGAACCTGGGAGGAGCGATAGAAGTACAATAAAGCGAAAATTGCACCTGGAGCCTAATGCTCTCCGATTCGTCCGGGTATTATGCACGAATATGTTCTTCATATGACCAAGTTGAAGGATAGTAGAAACTGAAAGTTTTTTAAGCAGGAGAACCCCTCCGCACGTCCCCACCTTTCGGCCCCCACGGGCCGTGCCTTGGCCACAATCAACGCCTTCCTATGTTTAATAGTGATGAACATGCTCCTCATAACACATGGATAAAAGCAACATCGGTCTGCCAGTTACCAACTAACGCTCTTAGTTTGGGACACAGAGCTGGTCGCTCTATTCAGCCCTCTTCAAGGTAGTATTGGCACGAGCAGAGTCAAGTTGCTTAGACTAGCAATGAAAAATGTTTTCCCCCCTTTATTCAATAATTGAGAATCAAATATCTTCTCTTCACCATAAAAAAGCATCAATTCAGTTCTTTACGCTCCAAAACTTCGGTGATACTTTTCTCTTTCCCATTCTTGTTGGTGGTCAGAGTTCCGCCGAGACACGAGCAAGTAAGCGAACTTGGATAATACTGGAATCATGTAATTACAAGCTGACTCATAATAAATGTCATAACTATCCGTTCTGAACTCATAAGATATATTTCTAGCAAAATAAGAATGATATAAACAAACGTCAATTAGAATACGGGATATGTTCTGGAGGCACTGGTCGGCCTATTTCTATTATGAGGATTCGGAATGAAAATGGTAGAAGTCAGGATGGGGAGGGGAGGGACACGTCAGCTCTTCGGGCACGTACTGGATATTCAGGTGCAGAACATTGGTGTTCAGGGTATTCAGGTGAAGAAGGCTGAACGGGTTGAAGAGTAGGGCGGCAAGGGGAATTTCCGAACGAATCACAAAAGATGGGTGAAAAAAAAACATACAACAGTCAGGATTCGCATGTGGTCACCCACCATACTACTAACTGACCGGCGTGTGGCTTAAGTACGGCTGAGCGGACGGGAAGCCCTGTTCTCCACACCCTGTGGTCGTATGTAATGGGAGCTTTATTAAAGCATTGGATATCTTGCTGAATTTTGCAAATCAGATAGATAGTGGAGGCATTTGAAGCAGGATACGCTTCCAAGGTTGTGTGAACCCATTTCGGAGAGGGCTAGTTCCGATTGTATTCAAACGTAGACCATTTCTTTTTGTGTGCTGAAGGTAACGCGAAAGAGATCTTTGTCATTCTTTTCGATAACGTCTGACCGAGGGAGGAGGGAAGAGAACGCCAAGTTTGAACACTGACAGAATCGTGGACAGGTTTTGCAAGTCCTCTCTGAGAGTTCGGCGATCCAGACTGTCGCGCAAAATTTATCTGTCGGTGGTGACGCATTTTTGGCATGTACCAATGCCATTGTGGCTGTGAGCGCTGGAAGTCTTTCCGCCTCATTTATGGGCAAGTTTGGCCGATGTTGTTGTGGAATCATGAAAAGGCAAAGAGAATTTCACATAGGGTATTTGCAGTCCTGCCAACAGCTGTTGAGGATTCCGTGAGAAAGACAGTTTCACTGAATCCAATATGCGCCAAGCTGTCGAGTGCGATGTTCAAGTTGCTCGATAACAAAACCCACATCTCGCTTCGCACAAGCCATATCTTGTTCCTAGTTCGAGCTCTTCATTATCAGAAAGACTCTGTCAAGGCCGGAGAGGCGTGTCGTGGAGCCTCCAAGGGGAAAGAAAAAAGGTTTGCGATGAAGACCAAGTTAAAAGGAAGACAATGTCAGAAAATGGTTGTTTGTCTTCAAGTTCCCTAGAATGTCAACTAGGAGAGTGTGAGATAGCGTTCTGGGAAATACCCCACATCTAATCATCATTCGGACTGAATTTCCCAAGACCAAACACCAAGCTTCCAACTGAGCCACATATCTCGATCTTTCGGAAACCTCATTCAAGGACGATAACGAACCCCCAATGATCCAAGCGATTCCTTTGCTTGTCGATTAATGATTCGTACATGCCGAGTTTGATATCAGGGAATTGCCGTGTTCGATATTATACTTTTGGCAGCGCGCAAAAGCACATGATTGGCTCGCGATACAATATGCCTCTCAAGATACTGCGACCCCGCAGATAGTACGACATGAGCAAAACACCTATAAAAAGAATCAGTATTCAGCTTCATGTTTTTTGGTATCTTCTAACTATCGCAAATAGATTATTTTATATTTATTGACCATTGCGACCTCAATCATGACTGATCTTCCCTGGCAAGAAAAAGTCTCGGCAAAACGCGCCGAAGCCGACTCTAAGATCCCTGCGGAATGGAGGTTGTCCAAAGATATTCTAGCGGCTGCCAAAAGCAATGGCGTTTCTGTCCTTGATATCCCCGCAAAATGTGGAGTTCTGAGTGAGAGTGAGATTGCGATCACAGAAATATCCGATGCCACTGCCCTTCGAGACAAGCTAGCCGTCGGCGCGCTTAGTGCTGTTGATGTCGCGACCGCATTTTGCAAGCGAGCTGCTATTGCGCAGCAGTTGACATCTTGTCTGACGGAAACCATGTTCCCGCAAGCCCTGGCGCAAGCGAAGGAGTTAGACGACCACTTAAAAACAACCGGAAAGCCAATAGGACCATTACACGGCGTCCCAGTCAGCCTGAAGGACACGTTCAATGTCAAGGGAGTTCATTCTTCTATTGGATTCGTCTCTTATTTGGACCGTCCACCCGCTACCGAGAACTCTGTTCTGGTTCATTTTCTTCTCAAGGCGGGCGCCGTTCTTTATGTGAAAACAAACATACCACAGACCTTGATGACTGCCGACTCCGAAAACAATGTCTTCGGACGCGTGTTGAATCCTCACAACACAAACCTCACCGCTGGGGGTAGCAGTGGTGGTGAAGGAGCATTGATCGCGCTTCGCGGGTCTTTGATAGGGATCGGTACCGATATTGCTGGATCCATCAGGATTCCAGCTCTGTGCTGTGGAACAGTAGGCTACAAGCCTAGCATCGGTCGCGTTTCCTATGTGGGTCAGACAAGTGCTTCCCGGCCAGGCATGACCGGGATTGCGCCCGTTGCTGGTCCACTCTGTCACTCGGTGCGGGATGCAGAGATGCTCCTCCGTATGCTTTTCGGCCATCCGACCGAGGATATGGACGATATGGCACTGGTACTTCCTTGGATTGAACCCACGAGGTCGGAGACTTTGATGATTGGAGTCTTGCCGGAAGACCCTGAGACACCGCTGCATCCGAACATGGAACGGAATTTGAAGATCGCAGTGCAAAAGCTTGCAGATGCTGGTCACAAGATCATTGATTTATCTGGCCAGGTACCCTTTATAGGATCCGCAGCTGATACTTCTTTCCGATTTTTCCGCATTGATCCAGATCAAACGCAGATCCAACATATCCGCAATAGTGGCGAGCCATTTATCGCGTCGTTGAAATATACTTACCAAGTCGAAGGGAATGCCATCGAACCAGGGCTTCGAGACCTATTCGATCTGAACGTTGTCAAGGCTGAGGTTACAGCTAGTATGCGTCGGATTTATTTACAGAATAATCTTGATGTGATCATTGGCCCGGGATACCAGAGTACGGCAGTCCCACACGATACTTATGGTATCCCAGTATATACTGTTCTTGCTAACCTTATTGACGTATGTCTCCTCCTTACCTGTCATGTCATGTACTAACCATCATCTCCAGAGTCCTGCCTGTATCATCCCCTTCGGGCAATCAAAGGAGACTGAAGACGCCCAATATGTTCGCAAAGTGGATTACAAGCCTCCCTGTAAGTGCCGTTCGATAAGTTTGACCAAATATTGCAAGTTCTTACTGCCTACAGACTTACCGAAAGAAGTTGAAAATGCCCCTTGCCATGTTCAGCTGATTGGCCGCCGACAGAAAGATGAAGTGCTACTACACCACGCGCAAATTGTGGAGGCAATCCTAGCAAAGTAAATTAGTAGCAGCAAAGATTCATGGCATATGTCAGTTAGTACTATGGCACATGCTCTGTGCTCCAGTTAAATATATTCATGCGCTATACCAAATATCTTTCTTATTGAAATAAATCGTCAGATATGAACTTCAAGCATAATACTCGAGCCACAGTAGTATGCCGTATATATTATTCCAAGGTTCCCTATTGATATCCTGCACGCTAAATTTACTATGATAAATCGACTCCTGGGGTCTATCATGAGAGAATCCAGGATACATGCGATATTCGCTAAGATTATTACATAGCCCTGCTTCATAAATTACTGTTTACCAGTAATGCGGTCACGTTCACATTCTCTGTCTCGGGCAGTATATCGCGTTGTATCGCGAACTTGAAGTCATAGCACCTCAACACCAATGGATAATGACCCGTTCGTGTCATTGAAAACAGAACAAAAAGCAAAAGCAAACGATTTATATTTTCAAATTTTCAAATCCGTGATGTTTTAGGTGTCTTTCCTTTTTAGCGCCCTATTACCGTCAAGTCGGGTTTTCCGAGGGAGCATGGGACACAAACTCTCTTCTGGATCTTTATCGAACGGTCAGTGGAAAACTTGAGCTTTCACTAACTTTAAAAGAGGAGGATAAAACTTCTAGAATCACGAATTTGTCTGTATTACTGCATCGCTACGATGGTGAAAGGAGATCGGTGTATAAACCCTTGACTCCATATGGGCGACAAATTACCCGCTGGCCCCCATTAGCTTCACTCGCCGACTCCACTTTGGGATTCGGCGCTGGTACCTGTTCCAATGATAGTTAATATGTACCTGTCATGAGTAAGTCAACAATGGTCGGCGCTTAGATTTGATGCAAGGTCCTGCAGTAGCCGTTTCATATTTTCTGCTATATAATGGACCCTGTTTGGTGTATATCACGGTCGCGAATTAAACAACTATTTTCTTCTCATAGCTGGGCTTGAGATTTGGTTGCTTTTATCTTTTGAAGTCGAAATCAATATTTAGAAACATGAAGCTTCATTTATCCATTTTAGTGGGCGTTGGCCTTCTTGGGAGGTTGAGCGCAGCTGCGTATAGGCTGCAAGATGACTACGGGAAAGGCGACTCATTCTTTGATAAATTTGATTTCTTCACAGTTCGTTCACTTAATTTGATTCCAATATGCTCAGGGCTTGAACTAATTCCAATTTCGACTTTAGGAGCCAGATCCAACTAGTGGATTCGTGAATTACATTGATAGATCTATGGCTCGTCGTGCAGGAATTATCAGATCACAAGGGGACACAACCTATCTCGGTGTTGACAACAGAAATATCGCCAATTCTACCGGTCGGCAAAGTGTAAGATTGACAAGTTTTCAAGAATATAATCATGGACTCGTTATACTTGACCTGGCTCACATGCCAGGAAGTGTATGTGGCACCTGGCCTGCCTTGTAAGTTCGAAGATCCACTCCATCAGAATGAAACTTTCCATTCCATGAAAAGCTAATAAAATGATTCTGTATAGCTGGATGGTTGGTACAGACCCACCTACCGCTGGCGAGATTGATATTATCGAGGGTGTGAACGAAGGCCCCAACAATGAAGTTACTTTACATACAAATGAAGACGGCTGTTCAATTCGGCGCTCTGGATTCAGTGGCAAAATCGCCACTGAGAACTGCTACATATATTCCACTGGATCTGCTGGTAGCGGAGGATGCGGCATTGTTGACAACGAGGCCAATTCATATGGTGATGCTTTCAACGCCGCTGGCGGCGGTGTCTTTGCAACCGAGTGGACAAGTGACTTTATCAAAGTCTGGAGGTTCAGCAGCTCTAATATTCCAAATGATATTCGAGCAGGGAATCCTGACCCGTCGCGCTGGGGTCCTCCCGTGGCAAGCTTTTCTGGGAGCTGTGATATTGACTCTCGGTTCCAGAATTTACACATTGTAAGTTGTTTTTCTTCTCATCATATCATCCAGGTGGGACCCTAATATTTCAGTACTAGGTTTTCGATGTGGCTTTTTGCGGTAGCTGGGCGGGCTCTGTCTGGTCCCAAAGCAACAAATGTGCACCATTAGCGAGAACATGCGTGGATTATGTTCGAGGTACACCTGCAGCCTTCTCTGAGAGCTACTGGGGCATTAATACTTTGAAGGTGTATCAACGCGACTGACCGGAAAGCAAGGAGACGTGCGGTAGCGCTATTCCAAAAGTCACCCTTTGGCTTCTTTTCTCCCTTATTCTTTCTGTTCCAATTAATATTTGTGGCTTCCCCTAGGCTACGAAATGTTTTATTAGTTATTTATTCTCATAATTCACATCATTCAACAATTCGATATATATTGTAGGGCTATGCTAATTGCTGCCTTGCATGTCCACAGGTCCAACTAAACTCAACCCAGAGCGAGAGGAAAATACTTTCATTCTAGTATCACACGTAGGCATGAAGCATAGTAGAAGGCAAAAGGTGGGTGGGATAACATCAGATCTGAAAACATTGCATTTAATATCTCACGAATCCCCTCTTCTCCAAATTTCCGCACCTGCTTGCAGTCGTCTGTATGGGATATTAGAAAAACATTGAACAAGGCTTTTGAACCGACAGTTCTTACCTTCGACAAAAGTCAAGATCCATACCAAGCTCAATTTACGGGTTTGGAGCGCAGTACGGGCCAACAGGACCATTCCCACCGACAATTCCCGTCGCGCAGTTGTAGCCGTCAGGGCAAGTAGTTCCTCCTACACGTATGTTAACAAGACGCTGTACTATTTTGAAAAGTGATTATTCACATACCACACGCTATACCTGCAGCGGCAAAGGTAGCCAAAGCAGCAATTATTATGGTGTGGAAAATCTGCATTATGGTGTATAATCTATAACCAACGGTGGAATTGAAGAGAATATCAGTTGTTGAGATGTGTCGTAGGAGCACTCCTGCGACAGTTCCTAGCTTTTTATAATCATTTTATCAGTCGGCTTGCACATCTTTACTAACCTCTGCCGGTGTCGGGGTCGTGAAGGGTCTGAATGGATCGAATTTGGCCCCATGATTCGATAGACTTTAATCAGATCTCCACTAAGCAAACTTATTTTCCGAATCTGATAAGATCCATTGAATCTTAGCCTGTCCCGTTCACTAAAATTTGCGCATTCTTTCCGCGCCCTCGCGTTGGAATTCCCCCTTTCAACATACATTCCTTGAAGGAATCGCAAGAATTCGTCCACTTTCGGACGGATAACCCATGACTAACAATACATTCCGCAGGGCAGAAGTGCCTGTCAATGCATTGCAGTGAATTTGTTGCTGTTTCCCCATGGCTAGGCTCCAAGGAACGGTTCAGTTATAAATTAAGGGCGTATCTCCGGTAGAGAACCTCTTGGTTCTGAAAAATGGAACGTGAACTTGGTGAATAAAATGTTTCCAGTGTGGGGACTGCCAGGCACTGTCTGTTTTCTTTCTTTTTCACAGCCCCTTGGAACTTGAATATGACTCAGATGGATATTAGAGCGTGGACGATGAGCGACATTGGTAGGAAATTTGAAAAAGATAGCCTACTACTACCCAACGCATGTGTCAAAGTAACATTGAAATTACTTGTCTTCAATTTTCAGACATTTCATCGTTTAACTTCAAGATTATGAGCTTCAAATGTTCCGTTCCACGGATTTTCGAGTTTACAACGACCGCATTTTGAAGATTTAAATATATGGTATACAAGTTCAAGTTCCCCCTGGACGGGATATTTTCAACAGCTGCTAGGTGTAACTGAATACCGATAATTCTAGTAGCTAAAATTTTATTCGACAATTCTACTGTGATTTCATCTCGTCACCTGGGCAGTTGCTATTGTAATCTTCCGCTAACTTCGCCACAAGGCTCAATGTCCCTGAGGCCTTGACAAATGACGTAAATCCGGATGCGGAGTAGGTGAACTGAACCAATGAGCATTCAGGAAGGTGTGCGCTGATCGGATCGACGATCTGTTCGGATATCAAGAACCGAACGGGAATAGGAACACGACAACCTCGACCAACCGAGATGGATGAGTTGGGTGACTAAGATATACCGGGAATAGCCCGATAGTCTAGATGAAAATGAGATAAGCTCTCAAAAATGCAATGAAGAAAGCTATTCTATTCTGTTTGCCACAAGCCGAACATTGCTATCCGCTCGTAGCTTTACAGATTGGATCTGGGTAGTGCCTGTTTATCACACAGGGGCAAAAGAGCTCTAAACAACAAAGTTCAAATTTATGACTTGTCTTGGTCCAGGCCCCTTTTTGATATATTCGCGTATCCCGTAGAGGTTAGTACAAAGAGGAGACCTGATGATTATATCTATATTGAGTATGCTCCCGCCCCACAAGGCCAGAAATGGAACTTTTCACTTGGGCGCCAGGGATTCATACGAGCACGATGAGCGAGAGGATGATGAACTCGAATGTCCAAAAGAAGACAATAATGGTTTACAGAAGGGAAAAAGAAATGAGTTTGTGTTGCAATAGTCTTAACTTGTCTGATTGCTGGCTTGTGGCTCCTCTAGGATAGAAGACCCTATTACAAGATTATGATAGAGAATAACAGATTTCATACCAACTTCAATGTGCTAATCAACATTGCGTGGTAGTTCTCATGAGTGACGCTAGAAGATCAAATGTTGGTATATACTTTTCATACTCGAAGGTTTCAGCTTGGGCCCAACTGATAACCATCGAGTATACAGGCTTGATAAAATCAGAAGAAAACAGAAATGCACGCTTTAATAACAGTCGTTGGGGCCAAGGGCCTTGAACCGAGCAACCATGAAACCCGGGCTGCAATTTGCCTCCCAGTCGACATCAAAGCCGGGCTCAGGGTTGTGGGGGTTGAAACTTGTCTTGTCGGAAGAGAAGATGGGCATGCCACGAGGGACCTCGTCAAGACTTGACGAGGAGCCACGGCGCTCATTGCAAGGGCATGTTGAGGTCGTCCTGCCGCCTGGTGTAGTGCAGGGGCAGAAGCCTAGGAAGCGGTTGCATGGGACACACTTGTAGTAGGCGCGGCTGTTCGATGTGCCGGGGTTTGTGGAAAGACGAACACCGGGAAGGCCACACTGGCACTTCCATTCTTGGGAGGATTCTGCATGCATGATTGTGATGATTGTGCGTGTAGGTTTTGAAGAAGGATAGAAAGACTATGACATAAAGTTAGTGACTGAGTAGTTGTATAGATGGACATGTGATATCTCCCTTACCTGATATGACCTTAAGTCGGGAGAGATCATGTAATGAAGATCGTGATTGATTGAATGGATCAACTATGAATACTACTCTTCAAATCCGGAGAACACTGGCTCTTTATATACAAATTGAAGAATTTTCCGGGGCAGGAGATCGGTATGACGCTATTTGAAACAAATTCGGTATATTTCCACTTAGGGAACCATGGTGCAGCGGTGACATAATTCCCGCATCGCCATTTCTTGGGCGGTTAGGCCATTCAAGTCAATCATGGCCACGATTGGAGTCACGTCGTGGACCAACAGTAGCTCGTTCCAGATTCTAGAACGCAAGGGTGATCGCTCCCAGTCGCCAAGACTCCTTTGAGGAAGTCCACCCCAACACGTTAGGTAATATCACGTAACGCGATCAAGTGACTGGACCGGTTTTCCCATTTCTTTTACCTAACAGTGGTTATGATTGGTCCCTGTTTATAGAACTTGGTTGCAAAAATGGGGCTAAAGCCCCGTGATCCTGAGGCATTTATGTAAGATCTGCTGAGGAGAATGCGGGGATCCCTTTCCCCACGTTTCCGGCATCAGGTGGCTGAATTCCCCCTATCATTGGATCAGGACGCCGAGCGGCTTCAAGCAGCGAACAGGATTTTACTTCACCTTTCTACCCGTTGGCTGTTGGCAACATTCAATTGGTTGAAAACTTCGAAATACCTCAGCGCCTCGGAGTAAGTATTCACCGGATAGCCGTGGCTGACCGCCTTACTAACACGACTGTAACAGCCCTGTTTGCTGTCTCCACATCCCCTGGAGCCATTGCGAATCTGGTGACGAGATCTGGGACGACGTCTTTGGAGTCTGTGATGATTAATTCGGCGGTCATGAACCCAATTCTTTGGTAGCCGGCCCGGTTTGGTGAACTATTCCCAACCACTCTGACCGGCTACGACGGCCATCTATCTCATTGCCATATGTGTCCCTCGGTTAACTAAAAAGGTAGACAAAGTCCAGTGAGGCAAGGGATTCCGGGCCGAGGATTTAGACGAAATTTGGTCATTCGTTCCCCTGAACTGGGCAATGCTACATCCACCACGGTTTTGGCTATAACCACCACAAACCGCTTATGTAATACTTTGATCACGTTATGTGCAACTTCCATGAACCTCATCAAAATCAAAGATACATATAGATAATAATAATTTTAACCAAAACACCACCACATTATAAGACTAAACCCTCTATTTGTTCATAGTATGTCCAATAAGACCACATTCCGAATATTTGCTTGCCTTTTTCGGCTTTTTTGAACCCATCGCGGCCGTGGATGTGGCTGCGGCTGACAAATATTTTCCGGCTCGTATAACGGCAGCTGATTGGCTGATCTTGATCGGTAAATACAGACTCCGTTAACATAGTAAAAAGCTTGGAAAAAAGTAGGTAAAATAGGTAAAATAGGACAGATAGCAAAGAGCTTAGAAAAATAGGATAAAATATTAGTTTATATATGGAAAACAAGCTTTATTTTGCTGTATGTTGCTATAGTTACTATATGTATCTTTGATTTTGACGAGGTTCATACTGTAGAAGTTGCACGTGATTAGAAATGTGATCAAAGTATTACATAAGCGGTTTGTGGTGGTTATAGCCAAAACCGTGGTGGATGTAGCATTGCCCCCCTGAACTGCTATTCCCCAGAGCAACACATTCCAGTCCGAAACAATATTGATGCTTGAACGGATTAATGCATGTGGCGGGTGGCCAGTGTTCATTGGAACATTCATGTGCGCTTGTATCCTTTTTTTTTTCTTTTTGCATTTCCATTACTATATGAGAATCTACTTTGGTAATTAGTTTAAATGGCGCAATTCCTTCCGCTCAGTCCGTTTCTAGATCGGCCGACGACGTGTCAAAGAAATCTTTGTGTTGCGCCTGGAAAATTACAGAGATTCTACCACGCATTTCATCATCCTGGTTAAGATGTGATGCCTAACAAGTTGTGACATGCTGTACAATACTCCCTTCCAGGCCTTGCCTAGCCGTGTGGGGCGCGCTTTGTGGCGGGGGCGATGGCGGTGATCATGTTGCTTTTTGCGACACATAACCCACTCGACGTGTGGCGCTCTCAGTCATGATGCCATTGCCGAAGGCCGAGTTTATTCATTTCAGGACAATCACCTCAAATTCTGTCAAGGTTTTCATCGATGGCGAGACCCATTTTGAGAAAAGACGTTCTCCCCGAGCACCGCCCCACAAGATGATGTTGAGAAAAGAAAATTTGATCGAGTCATTAAATCGCGCCACTAGTGCCCCAAACTATCTGAACTAATAATAGGTAGCTCGGCTGTCGAAATTTTAAATCTCAGCACGTGCTCCCGTGATACTTTCACTAATATTAACTGACAGCGTTTCTTTCAAGATCACGCGGTATTGAAGCACAGACAAAGCTCGGATGCATGGGCTTCATGAACGAGGTATTGACTTTCCGAGTCATATGATCGTTTGTACGACTCAGATTTCACTTTCGCTTTCGCTGTCTTCGTCCCACCCAAATTCCTTGTCGACAACGACTCATGTCGTGTTCTCCTCATACCAACCCTCACTAAGGGCCCACTCGTCGCCATTGCTCGAATCCAAGCCCCTTACACTAATCTCGACTTAGTCCTCTAATGCATTGCAAGCCTCGCTGAAGTTTCTATAATATAATACTCACACTCATCTGAAACAGCTATAGCACCCCTATCACAGAGCTGGATACAATGCTGAAAGACGGTGGAGGAGACATGGCAAGTAGAAGTTCTGCCATGAGTCGTCGATCGGCGCAGGGTCTTCTAACACCCTAGCAAACATTGATAGGATAGCCGAAGTGCAAAACATTCTCAGTTAAACCACCCTAGCCAAGCAGCAAATATCGACCAGAAGATGTTAAAGGCGTGGGACGTCATGTCGGAGGGGAAAGTTTCTGCGGTGCCTTCAATTGAGAACAAACCTCCATGCTCGTTTGTATCCCCATTTTCTTCGAGGCAGCGAGATTGGACGACCCATCCATGCCATCCATGCCATCTAACATTTTAACTTTATTTCCTTCTACCGTTCGGCTAACAGTGAATCCACCTTCATGTCTAAGAATTTTGTTTCCATTACTTGAGCCTCAATGGCAAGGCGCTGATACTCAGAGTCCACTAACATATGATACGGGATTGAAAAGACGAAATATCACGCATTATACTGATGCCAAATCCTGCTCCGAAGTCCGCAATCCACTTCTGGTAATAAAAATACCGCCGCGATCGTGGCTCCAATGGCTGCCTGACAACGCGTCGTAAGTCAGATAATTAATGGCCGTGCAACCATCATTTCCTACTTTTATACGGGGAGCAGTTCCTCTCAGACCTAGATAATAATTTCTCCCAATTTTCATGTCAAATTGATCACTTTTTTTAATCCATCTTTCATTCTGGTATACGAATTTGCTATCATGGTAAGCAGACCATTTCGTCAGCGACTTAGAGAGTCGAGAAAAAAGAAAAATAGTATCTCGCTCGCCCATACGGAATCCCCCCGTCTAGAATATGCACTTATAGAAGGGGTAGAAGAGGTGAGCTTCAGATATAGCACGATGCTTCTTCGCGACGACGAAATTTGCCTGCTGAGAATATACAGTGGCAGCCTAGGCAGCGTGATTAGATGTTCTCTCGAAAGCACTATGCTTTCAAATCCAAAGCCTTATCATGCACTAACATACTGCTATGGCGAGGAGCAGCAGCAAAAAACCATCATTTTCGATTCGCAAAGGTTTCAAGTGTCAGAAAATTTGCACCATGCTCTTACCTCAACCAGAAAACTAAATGACGATTATAACACTGGATAGATGCCATGTACTCGGTTTACGATCACGCTGAAACTGTTGTAGCTTGGTTAGGCAAAAATAGAGGTTCAAAATTGCTGAGTTGGGACAAGTTTCCGCTTTGCCAATTCTTTGAATTGAATGTTCAAGAATGCCTAGCTGATGTAATCTCTCGAGACCATTGGAATCGCGCGTGGGTTTATCCAGAAATACTCCCTCGACCTGATGCTACGCAGCTGCGATGTGGCCTGCGATGTGGCGCGGAAGTGCCACTTCCTAGCTTTTTAGAAGGTGCCCACAATACTGCCTCCGGATTAGAGATTTATTTTGACGCTCAGGATTCTGCGAGCTGGTCTTATTTCGCAGACTGCGAAATTCCAAACCGAATGCTAATGCTTGATTCATGCTATACAGACCCTAAGCGTTTATAATTTCCCCGCTTTCTTGATTAATATAGATATATATGTCAAACATCTGTTCGGGGAGAATTTACGAGACAATATCGAAATTGATCATACTACTGACAAACAAATAATCATTCCGCGAATCTTCGCTCGATTGATTAAGGAGATTCAAAGTTTGTATATTCTCACAATATGATCGCGGCAAATCCCGACTAGGCAGAATGGTAGGCGAAATTACCCTCTTGGTGTCTATTTATTGGAACCTTATATAGGGTTCCTACGACATTCGGAAATTCGCCTGAGATTGGCCTACGCTGCGCAGGAATCTATGTTGTTTATGACAGTGATCGGATACTTTTGCAGACCACCGGTGTCATCCTAGGATTCGCTCAAAAAATACAAAAACCCAATATTTCCCGGGATACATTTCAAAATCTCCGACGCAAAGAAGATCGAGAGGAGGCAGTAGAACAAATCCAAATTATAAAGAGTTTTGTGAATCCGACAATTGCTCGGAGAAGTCTCCTCTTCCTCTTAAAGTCACGGTCCGAGGCGTTTCGCGACTACATGTATATGTTGTTTACACAGAAGATATTGACCCAAATAAAACGGCAGATTTGGATTATGAAAGTAGGCTTACATTTGGTCGAGCTCATTGCTCCTTGGAATGGAGCAAGGGTGTGAGTTTGCGGAAACAGACAGACTCGCCCATAGCCCCACGTTGTGCTTGGGTCCCCAAGGATGCCCGGCTGGGAGACTGTATTTGCGAGTTGTCAGGATACGATACGTGGCCGATATTACTCCGACCCAGCGGGAATGATTACCAGGTTATTGGTGATGTTTGGGTCGAACTTTCTGATATCAAAGTAGAAAACGAAGGCAAGGGGTGCTTTTTACTATGTTAGACCATGCAGCGCGTATAGATCTTTAGCAATTAGGTGCACCGCCACCAGAAAAGGCCAGCTCGAACTATTGTTCATCCTTGAATATATGGCATCTTCGGGTTATTTTAAGCGCCACGGTCGGCGTGCCACGCTCAAGGTTTTCGGCCCGCGTAGCTAAAAGAGCCTCAAGTTGTGGCGTCTTGGCGTCTTGTAAGATTGTTGCGCTCTCTATAATCAAGTCATGGATCATTAACCTCTTTACTTTTTCTCATAGCTAGCTCATATTTGGCAAATGATTTTATTCTTTGTCTAGTTAAACGATATTGTCTCCATACTAAGGGGTTTTCAATTGCAAAGTCCAGATTGGCTCCCCACACCCCACCTGCAAAACACTTACCCGTACGAACCAGTTGCGCACCAGGATGGATCTTTCCCCCCACCAAGGTCCCCCTGAATAGACCTGGAAGTTGGGTCTGGCCAAGCCTCTGTGCTTGATTGGGATATTATAATTGGCCAAAGGAAAACGGGTATCAGTGGCAAGGGAAAAATATATAGCTCCTCCCCTACAGACTTGACAGGCACAGCGCATGCCAAGAACTTCACTTAGGATTTATGCTGTCTCCACGGCTTTACGGACTAATGGCCTCGGGTGTGGAGCTGACGGAGATACCCCATGAGGTACACCGGGGTACTCCAGGCTTCTGGGGCAAAAACCCTTCTGCCAATATTCCCTTCTCCAGTCTCCGAGTCTACTAGGGACAACAATTCCAACCCACAACCCGAGTTAATCACAAAACCACATCGCCCATGGCAATTTCTATGGAGATGCAGCAATCATCAGCTGCGCATAATGATATCGACGATGCATATGCAAAACATGATATGGAGTATGTGGAGAGGGCAGCGGACGCGTCCGACAAGGGCGATTCTGCTGCAGATAGAGCACAATTATCCAAACCACACCGTGATTATTTGATGGAGCAACATGGCACGTTGGATCTCGATCCCATACCTGCAATGGACCCTGCGGATCCCTACAATTGGCCAAAATGGAAGGTTAGTCCTCGCAAATCCTGGCAGAGAACGCCGTTTCCGTGGAAAAGAAATGCTTTTACTGATCCCCGACCGAATTTATTCAACCCACACAGAAAATGACGAACCTTATCTTAGTCGCCTTCCATGCATGCATGGGAACCTTTGCAGCAGCCGGTATCATCCCCGCATATTCGAATATTTCAGAGATGTACGATGTTTCCAATCAATCGGCAAGTTATTTGACTTCGCTACAAATTGCGGTCTTGGGTGGGGCACCGCTTTTCTGGAAGCCTCTATCCCATCGCTTTGGTCGTCGTCCTATATTTCTTATCTCCTTGCTCTGCAGCCTTGTATGCAATATTGGGTGCGCGAAAAGTACTACTTATGGTGCGACCGCTGCGTGTAGAGCTCTTGCGGCGTTCTTTATTGCCCCGGCTTCTGCTATTGGGAGTGCTGTGGTGATGGAGACAACCTTTAAGAAGGATCGCGCTCGGTATATGGGTATTTGGACCGTGATGATTACCCTGGGAGTTCCTCTTGGGCCCTTCATCTTTGGCTTTGTTACTTATCGGGTTGGCTATGAGTGGATATATTGGGTTTTAGCCATTGTGAGCAAGCTTCCTACCATTTGCAAGATTTTGTGCTAACTTCATTTGCTACTTTCACAGATTAACGGTGTTCAGTTTATCCTCTACCTATTCTTTGGACCCGAAACTCGCTACGTGAACAGTGGTGAATGGCGGGACGAATCAACTTTCAGGAGAGAATACATTTCGATCCGTCGCATTGACCCTATGCCTTTCACATGGTATGAGTTTGTCAAGCCATTGACCCTGTTCACCCAACCATCCGTCATAATACCTACCTGTGCCTACGCCATGGTCTTCCTTTTCAGCAATATCATGACAACTGTCGAGATCCCAGCTCTTCTACAGACAAAGTTCGACCTCAATGCGGAACAGGTTGGCATGCAGTTTCTTGGTATGATCATTGGATCTGTTATTGGCGAGCAAATGGGCGGAAACCTATCAGATTACTGGATGAGAATGCGAGGAAAGCGAGTGCATGGAGTAGCAGAACCCGAATTCCGGCTTTGGTTAAGCTACTTCGGATTTGCTCTTACATGTGTGGGATTGATCATCTTCCTTGTTTGTACGCAGGAGGCTCCTGCAGGAACTTGGACAGTCTCACCTATAATTGGAACAGGAATTGCTGGTGCGGGAAGTCAATTGGTCACAACAGTAATGGTCACTTATGCCATTGATTGCCATTCTCATGAAGCCGCCAGCGTAGGCGTTTTTATAACTTTTGTTCGACAGATTTGGGGCTTCCTTGGTCCGTTCTGGTAAGACTGTCTCAACTTTCCTCGAAGCTGAGCTCGACTAATACTCTGTTTAGGTTTACCTCATTATTTGACAGCGTTGGTGTGGCTGCCAGCGCAGGCGTTGTTTGCGGCATGATCGTGGCTGTCAGTGTGATCCCGACTATCGTACTCCAAGCTTATGGTGGCAAGTGGAGACAGAAGAATGCGGAAGTTGTCTATTAATGGGACTCGGATCATATACTATATCCCCCAATTAATTTTCGAAGTCTGGTCTTGATAAGGGGAATGATACACCGATTTGGTGTCATTCGCAGACCATCTTCAATGTACACGCATGGAATTTAGACTATATAGAATGGCTGATAAGATTCATTGCAACGGTCGAATATAGAGAGTTCAATTTCAAATTTATGGTCATTACCAATCCTTATTAAATTTGAAGTGAGGCGTTGGCAGTAACACGAGCAAGCCTATCCTGGACTAGGAGCGTGGCTGAAGGTTCATCGGTAGGGCCAAGGTATGTGCACTGAATCCTTCTTTTATCCCGAGCTCCCAGTCTGGTGATGGGAGTGTAAGATTATATTTCCAAAACAGGGTTGCAATGATGAGTTGCATTTCAAATAAAGCAATATTTCGTCCAACACAAGCTCGACCCCCTTGCGAGAATTCAAGGTTTCCCCGCTGCATGTCCTTGCTATTCGAACGAAGCCAACGATCGGGCAAAAACTCGTCCGGGTTGTTGCCAAATATTGTGCTATCGCGATGAATGGTGCGGGTGGATGCGGAGATAGTGGTTCCTTCTTCCAACAATTCCCCTGAAATATGCATACCACCCTTAGAGACAATACGTGGCAATCCGAGTTCGATCGAAGGTCGGAGCCTCAATCCCTCATCAATGCACGCTCGAAGATATGGCATGTCTTTGATGGCATCATACGTCGGCAAGGTTCCTTTATCATTACCCAAAGCCGCGTTCAGCTCCAGGCACAATTTTCTGGTGGCCCTGGGATGGCGCGCTATTAAATATATGACATTCGTAGCTCCGATCTCAGTGTTTTCTCCAGCGACACTGAACATGTTCATTGCTTCAGTGATGAGCTCGCCAAATTCTAGACACAGCGGTGACTTTTCTTTATTCCATAGCAGTGTAGTCATCAAATCTTCCATTGGTGGCTTACCGTCTTTGATTAGAACAGTGTCCATTTTGATCCGATTTCGGAGGAAGCGTATTGTGATGTCGCGTCCCTCGCCACCTCTTTTTCAATCTTGATTCCACCATGATAGAGCCCTCATCAACTTGACGGATTTGGGCGCCCAGCCAACAGTCGAAGAGACATGGCCCCCGCGGAAGAACGCTTGATAGAGATCAGCCTCGTAAGTATCCCCCATGATCGTTTCAGCTGCGTAGACGAGCGTGTTTCTCTCCAGGAACTTAGGATTTTCGCTGAACATGACAACGCTACTCAAGTCGTAAAGAGTCGCCAAAATGACGAATTTCATATCAATCGGGCTGGACGAACTTGGAGACTTGCGATGGTTGTCGATATACGCAATCATGGCCTGCAAATGCGGTCGCATCTTTCCCTCCAAATACACGATACTTTTCTGAGCGAGGGCTTGAGCAAATCGCCGACGCTTTGTGCTATGGACCGTCCTATCCTGAGAGTCCGAGACATTGAGATGAGTCGATTCAAGAGCAAGGTAAAAGTGGTCTTTCGTGGCTTTTGTGCCGTGACCGTACATATCCTTGATCGCCTGGACTGTAGAAAAGCTCACATGAGTAGGTCCGATACGAACCACATTGCCGTATTGCTGATGTGCTTTATGTATCGCAGATGTTCGAGTATAACGATATTGATGAAGAACACCCCAGGAATTTGTGAAACCTGCTATTGAAACAGATGGGAATCTTCTTAGTCTCTTCGAATCTTGAAAATATGTAAATGTTGGGCACAGCATAAATATGAAGAAGGCCACAATGAGGCCACACTGGGCAAGCAGAAAGCCGAACATGTCCTCAGCTGCTTCGAGCGACCAGATGGTATACGTTGAAATGGGATCGAACTCGCTTCATGAGGGATGGTCTCTGGACTATAGATGCGACCGTATTTATCAAGGTCACTTGGAAGACGAGTCGCAAGTAAGCTGTCTGACAAGCAAGCCACCTCGGCATCAATATTTCCCGAATGGGACTCTCGGCACCGAACATCCTCTTTGGGAATGCAATCCCCACAATGGCCGAATACCTCGCATCACCGCGTCTCCACCACATTTTGACTCAGGATAGAAGTCGCTTGCCGAACAATAAACCCCCGCAATATCTCCGGAGCTCGGAGAAAGATTGCTGGCCTCGCCTCTCTTTGCTTGCCTGCGGTAGATAATAGGTATCACCACTCGAATAATGACGATCGCATCGTCCAAAAAGCCCACTTGGTTAGTTGCATTTTGGGCTTTTTGAACAGAGGCTAAACGACATGCAGTCAAACGTGCAGGGCACGCAAGGTGAAGTGTACGCCAGGCTCCGATCATGTCAGAGAAATAGTTCAGTTGCTAATCCATTTTAGGTGATGGAGGCCTAGTCTCTTGTCAGCGATGCGTCCGGGGTGGCCGACAATGCTCATGCGAACGACCATCAAAAACAGCAATCTCATTTCGACATAGTCGTCTCTCATTACTTGGACGAGCCGAGTTATCGGAGAGCACTACATATGATCAGTGCTCTCCCTCACCAATTGGTACCCATTTCGGGTCCGATGTTAGTACCAGCACACCTGAGGAATGTGAGATTCACAGCACGCATGCCACAAGTCCCTTGGACACAGAAAGTCACGCGGTGCTTCAAAACGCCGGATTAAGCTATCCGGTACTTAATGACACTCCCTTTGACAGTGCAAACAGTGAGAAGAGCCACATATATGGAAATAACCAAGGAAAATTCGACATTTCGCCCGCTGATCCGGGCTTCAGTCCTCACGAAGTGAATACCCCTGCGCCTATTGTTTGGGATAGAGACCCATCGCTCCAACTAACAACCTTAGAGGCGGAATGTATGGAGTTTGATGTTGAGGAGATAGGCCCCTGGGTAAAAATTTCGTCCATGCTAATATTGACTTGGCAAATCACTAATTGCAAGTAGCTCGATTCCACTAGCCCAGAAAGGCATTTCACGTACATTCTTCCTCTATAAGTAGGAGTGACCTTCAATATGAAGTACCAGTCTGATGAGCGCGATCCAGTCTCGCATTGCGATGTAATGTGTTATTCAATTCAATAATGGCTTGCGCAGCACATATTTTAAGGCTCACCAGCAACGATCGAACAGACCTGAAAGATGCAGAAGAGTTGTATCAGCATGAAGCTGTCCAGCTGCTCATCCCTATATTAGGGAATGTTGAGTTCAATAACCAAAACGAGATTGTCTTTGCTGCAATAGGAACTCTGCGCATGTCCGAGCAATGGGAAGAATATGTTGACCGACAATATCACCTTGTACCAAACTGCTTCATTTCATATGGACCACCTAAAAAGTCATCAACGGCTCAGGGTGGTTTGCTTGAGGTCACCTTCTATGCTTATATCCGGGCGGATATTCGTATGGCCATTCTGAACAAGTGCTGCACCCGAATGCAGCCATCTACTTGGCCACTTGACACAAGTATGCCTTCTTCTGATGCGGACTGGGCTAATCGCGCGACTTGGCTTCTTCTACAAACAATCAACTTTTGCTATGGATACAATATTTCTGGTGTTCCTCCTCGAGAGGAACTCGAGGCTCTCATTGACAGTTGGAAGGAATCGATTCCTGACGGCTTCAAATCCTATATTCTACAACAATCCAACAATGATTCATTTCCTGTAATCAAGCTACTATCTCCCTGGCATGTTGTTGGACTTCAATTTTACCATGCATGCAAAATATTACTTGTTACCAACAGCCCAATTCAACCGGCATTCTGTGACATCATTTCGTTAACAACAAATACATAAACGCCAATGTTTTGAGCCATGCTCGATTGATATGTGCCATTGCCTTCTCAAATAAAAATTTCGGTACGCGCATCAATGGTTCCCATCTTGTTACTTTGGCTGGTCAGTACTTTACCGGCCAGGAAGAACGTTCAAGGGTATTACAATATATGAACATGTTACACGATGTACATGCATGGCCTAGCAAGACTTGTCTAGATATTTTAGAACAGGCATATGGAGGCTTAGTTACCGGTACCCCGAGTTCCTCGAGGTGAGAGATTCAGAGGCTCAGATGAATATTACCTATTGTTATCACAATCTAGCCTGAGGGAGTTTTTTTAATGAGCATGTACAATTTTCTATTTGGTAGTACTAGATGTCATGATACCCACACGTCCTCATGTAGTCTTCCTTCCTTCTTCAACTCAGATGCCGAACTTTCACCATTTAACATGTGATCCAAGACCCCGTTTACGCCCCGAGCCATATTTGGGCTTCCGCAGATATAAACAATACCTTGTTGCTTCAGAATCAGATTGACGACACCAGTTCTGTTTCCTTTCATCATAAAATCCTGGATATAAACTTACTTACCATCTACCAAATGCGTGGATAGTGCAAAGTGCGTTTTCAAAACTCCCAAGCTGACTGCATCCTCCCACAAATCACCATAAAGGAGGTCATCCCTTGATCGACATCCAAAGAAAAGGGTCATCGGACCTATTTCCTTTCCCTTCTTCTTTAAACCCAAACGCTCCTGAACAAACGCACGAAAGGGTGCAATTCCACTTCCAGCGGCAAACATGACAATTGGCAATGTTGGGACATTAGGAAGGTTGAACGCAGAGTGTCGAACGTGGGCAAATATTCTGCGACCGTTAAGGATCGAGCGAGGTCCGGCTAGGTTGTAGTGAGGGCGCGCCACCGCGGAGGCATCTGAGAATTCAGATTCGTTGTTGCTATCAATTATGGATTTATCACCCAATGCACGCAGATATCCTGTAGTGAGACCAAAGAAGTTGTCGTTCTGCGATAGCTGAGTTTCAACAACGCCAACAGTCAAAGCAATAGATTCCGGATCCACCATATGAGAAGACGCAATGGAGAAATAGCGCGGGCGCAGCTTGGGCAATATCTGAATGAATTCGGAAAAGAGATCCCCAGGCCACCGTTCTTTTGGTTCTGCTAGTTGCATGAGTTTTGCACAGGTTACATGTTGCTTCATAATCGCATCCCAATTCTCCTGTTTTTCAAGCTTATTCTTCAGGAAAGCCTTTCCCTCTACAGTCGGGCAGTACCTGATCAACAATTGTGCAAGCTCAGCAGATATCTGGCCACATATATCGATTTGGTATCTCAATATAACAAGGCGAGTGGTGGGAGTCTTGACTGGAATTTTTGTATCGGCGTCGTCAATATCCTTCGTAATCTTTAGGTCGATGACCTTATTCAAGGTTTCTGTATTCCAGTGAAGCACATCGGCCATTTGATCCACTTCATGATCTGGATTTATAGGCCATATGGCGAGGTGGTCACCAGTCTTATATTTCAGAGCTCCGTTCGTAGTTTTGGCGTTAACCTCGACATGTAAATATTCTTGCGAGGAAGTTTTTGGCTCAGTATTTCGATTACTGTGATTCGATTGATATGTATTTGTAATTTGAACAATTTGCGGTTGTTGATTGGGTTTTCGTTTGGTAGATCCTTCCTCTGCTGTATGAGATTCGACTCTGTTCCCTGTCTCCTTTCTGGAAGACTCGAAAATGAACACAGCCGGTCTTAACACTTGAGAAGAGAGACTCTGCTCATTTTTGCCAAATTTGTTTGCAGGCGTCTTAACCAAAGACTCCTTTCAAGTCAGCCATTCATCGTTTGAGTGAAGAGCTTCATCCAATTTTCCAACTGGTACAATCCTGCTTGCCTCGGTAGAGGCGAGCTTCTCATCAACAAAGTCCACAAATCGGTTGTATGATTGGTACTGCGAGCTTCCCAATCCGAAGCAAAAATACTGCAGCTGCGAAAATGACTGTTTCGGATAGAGATCGGTTTCTTGAAGATAGTCATGCAAGCCCAAGCCATTGTCGGTCGGATCACCTTCACCATATGTCGCGACAACAAAACCAACAACTCTTCCCCTTTTAAAGTCCCGGATTTGATCGAAGTCAAACTCGTCCGCATTAGCAGCCATTGCTGCTAGACCAAAACGCGTGGAACATTCTCTCACAAGCTCCTTGGCTAAACGTTCGCTCTTCCCGCTCTGAGAACCCCAGAAGACGATGATATCCTTCTTCAGCTCATTCATGCGGTCGTTTATATTGCGAGAAGGAGCTCTGTTTGTGGAGTCAATTTTTCTGTCAAGTCCATCTTCCCGCTGTGGAGATATGAAATACAGATGGTATCAATTGAGGGGTTTCGAAAATGTGTTCTTGCACCAAAGTGCGAACGTAATAACAAGTACAACTATCGCGACTAGGTCGTCGAGCGACCAGGACGTGAGCTTCAGCGTATCAAAACTGCTCTGTATGTTGATCTTCATGGGGTTCATTTCGAAAGTCTTAAAATTTAAAATTTCAACATCATGCATTCTGATCTGAATCACGAAGGTATTTATTGTGAGCCCTCAATTCATCCCGCGGGCTGACTTTCTTTTATATCCACACGCGTGGACAATCGAGCTCCGACCATGACTGCGGTATGAGTCCCAATACTCTTTCTTGCAACATTCAGACCTCTGATCATACTGAAAGAAAGTGGCATGTGAAGCGGTTGTGGATACTCGGCGAAGAGTTACTGAAACGGGAAGTTTGAAGCCGAGCAAGGCTCCGGCAGCGGAGAGAGTGCAGCACAGCTCCGTTATCCAGTGCCGCCTCGTCTATCCATGTGGTACTCCACAAATCGATTTGAATCCGGGGTGTGGGGGATGGATCTATCCCCACACTGTCGATATGTCGTTTTATTTCATGGGGTTGACTCAAAGAAAGGCTGACGCGATTAGTATACTGCCGGTATGCCGCGTCACGCGCTCCCGTGCTGAATTGCAAAAATATAGATAGCCAACGGACAGGCCTCTGCAATTTGAACGACAACTTAGATATTTTGAAATACTAGTATCCCAAACACTGGCCAGCTCTTAATACTGCTCGACTTCCAAGGTTGGGAGTAAATTTGCCAATTATGAGTGACAAACTCGGACTTCCATGGCTCAAGGGCACACCCTTGGTTTCGACCATCACCTCTGTTTGTGCCTCAGCTTTTCTGTTATTTGGATATGATCAAGGTGTCATGTCTGGTAAATTTCGATATTTCCTTCTATTGGTGAGAATTGGCTAACAAAGCCTCAATTCAGGTGTCGTCATTTCATCATATTGGCTAAAAGCAATGGGTAACCCTAGTACGATTATGGTGAGCACTATTACTGCTCTCTATGACGTGGGAGCCGTTTTCGGAGCTATACTGGCTGCATTCACCGCGGAGTGATTTGGGCGCAAGCGCTCATTGATGGTTGGAACCGTCTTACTTATTATTGGCTCCATCCTTACGGGGTCTTGCTACGAACGTATTCAAATGATGGTCGGTAGGACTTTTACAGGACTTGGTCAGTTTTCCTGCATAAATACAAATGTTTCAATATCTGATATCGTTGAGCAGGGATTGGTTACATCACAGCGGTGCCTCCGGTCTATCAAAGTGAGATTTGTTTAGCCTCTCAACGAGGTTGGCATGTCTCTTGCCAACTGACAACTTTGCTGTTCGGACTTATGCTAGCCTATTGGGTAAACTATGGCCTATATTTCGTGCATTCTGATCTCCAGTGGCGCTTTCCACTTTTATTCCAATGCATCTTCGGAGTCTACATCCTGGCAGTAACAATCTGCTTCCAGAGACGCCCCGGTGGCTGATACTCCATGAAGAAACTCCCCTTCGAGGGGAGGTTGTTTTATCGAAGCTACGAAATAAGCCAATTGGTCATCCTTCTATCATCGAAGAAAAGAATGAGATTATGGGAGCGATTGAGCTTGAGCCTGCAGATGACGGTAGCTGGCTTGCTCTGTTCAAGGATGGTGGTGACGGAACTGATAAGCGGTTCTACCTATCGCTCGGTATTCAATTCATGCAAGAGATGGGTGGAATCAATATGATCTCCTACTATGCACCTACAATTTTCAAGGAGAGTCTTGGGATGTCCGAGGAACGTGCACTCTTTGTTGGTTATTTTTTACAAGTGTGGTATGTGTTTGCTTCGTTTCTCACGGTAAGTCTATTTTCCTATAATCCCCCAATTATTGAGATGTACTAATGATCTTTCTCTGATCCAGTGGTATATAATCGACCGGGTAGGGTGTCGTCGATTGTTTATACTTATGGCAATTGCCATGAGAATCATCATGGCATGCGAAGCAGCTTGCGTAGCTCTCGGCGGTGTCAGTGCGAGCATAGCAGCTATTTTCTTCGTGTTCCTATTTGAGGGCTGCTTTAGCTGGGGTTGGCAGGCATCTACGTGGGTATACCCAGCTGAGATTCTACCTCTGAAAGTTCGTGCAAAGGGCGCTTCGTTGGCCGCAGCCTCATGCTTCCTTGGGAATTTCTTAGTTGTCGCAATTACGCCACCCGCTTTGGAGAATATTGGCTATAAGTCCTACACCATTTTCGCGGTGTTGAATCTGGTACAGGCTATTATATCGTGGGCCTTTTATCCAGAAACAGCGCTCATTCCGCTTGAGCAGATTGATAAGCTGTTCATTTCAAACGAGGTTGAACAACCGCCAAAGGAAGGAATTCATAGGTTTCAGTACTCTGTTGTCAGGACTGCTGACGATGTCTTTCACGAGATCCAGCGACAGCACAAATTGGGCAAGAATGTGGAGCTTGGACTGAAAGCCGAGAGCGACACTGCTTCTTCTGATAAAATGGATAAGTCACCGGTTGAGCATGTGGAGATAAAATGATCTTGTATCTACATTCTCAATCAATTCACAAAATGAAATTAGCTCAAGTATTCAAAAATCGTGCATAGATTTGCCAAATATCTAGCCCGATGGGCCATACATTCCCAAATAATGGTGGTGACGCGCTGGTCGAAAACAGCAACAATTTAAACTTGGAGATATTCGGGGAGTCTAAGACCATGATAATACTTTAAAATTTCCTAACTCCTCAAAACCCAAATGAACGTCAATTTCTTTTTGTTCTCATTGCACCTGGGCTAATCCGAATAAGGAAATATTGGACCGAGGCCCTGTTAAGTAGCTAATTATGATAGATTACCATTTGCTCCTTACTTTATATTTAAAGATTTAATTACAATATTCTTATTCTTTATAGTATTATCAAAGAAGACCGCAGCAGCGGAGACTAATATCCATTGAGTTTAACGTGAATTGTGCCAAGGTTCTCTGTAACCCATAGCTTACTACTTGAGCAATAGTTGGTTGACCCCATATTGGTTGACCCCATATTGGTTGTACCCCATGGGGAACTTCGACCCACACTATGTTGGGTTTATCTTTATGAATATCTCTAACAAGACCCACCGGAGTACTCCTTCCTTAGAACTTGAATCTTGTTGTCCCTCATATGATTTAAACGAGACCAACGCATTATGTTGTTAACGGGGTCCCCTCGTCTAGAAGGCCGGTCGCTTTCGCGGCTGATTAGTCTTAGATGCTCAGTTGCGTTTGTGCTTTTCGGATATGGTAAGAGCGGGTGGTTGGTGATAGCAAGACCTAATATATGCTAATCAATCGACAGAACAAGGTGTAATGGGTGGCGTCGATACTGGGGTCGCATTTACCCAGCAGTTTCCCTCCATCGACACCACAACAGGAAGCAGCAGCTCTACCCTGCTAGGTTTAGTAGTAGCCATTTATAACATCGGATGTTGGGCGGGATCACTATTGACCATGCTCATTGGCGAGTCTCTCGGTCGCAAATGGTCTATTGTACTCGGTGCTGCAATTCTTGCCATTGGCACAGCTATCCAGTGTTCATCGTATCATATACCACAGCTTATTGTGAGATTTCCCCATACCCCTAACATTACACCATATTGACCAGCTACTAGGTAGGCAGAATCATCACTGGGACTGGCAATGGGATTATCACATCAACAATCCCTGTTTGGCATGCGGAGTTGGTTCAAGCAAAAGCACGCGGGAAATTTATCACAGTAGAACTCTCAACGAACGTTGTAAGTGCTATCTATCCGTTTCTGCATTCAACAGACTCGGCTTTATTAATCCGGAATTAGGGCGGTGGTATATTTTTTTTTTCGATATGAGTTTTGGAAAATATGAATTTTTTCTAATTCTTGAAGTCGCGCTCGCTTATTGGGTTTGTTATGGATTCGGCTATGTTGAAAATGAAGCGCAGTGGCGATTCCCTATCGGTTTGCAAACTCTCTTTGCCTTGTCTACCATTGCATTGCTATTTTTCCTCCCAGAGAGTCCACGGTGGTTGTTGTCACGCGATCGCATCGAAGAAGCAATGGAGGTTCTTAAGAGACTACACAGTCACGAAGGGATCAACGTGGCAGAGCGAGAAAGGCTTGAAATTACCACCGCGATTTCTCAAGAAAGGCTCGCACAGGAAAGTTCCGGTGGAAAAGGTACGTTTATATCTCTTTGTAGATTAGTATCCAAGCTAAGAAAGTTTCTAGTGCTCTTCGAATGGTGTTTACCGACGGTGAGCAGCGCATTTTTCATAGAACAATGCTTGGTGTTGTTGTTATGATCATGCAACACTCACTGGAATCAATTTAATTACGTCTGTCTTCCATATTCCAACTGAGAATCCTCCGCTTATTTGACATAGCTAGTATGCACCTTACATATTCATTCACAGCGTCGGCTTCAGTGAACGATTATCAAGTCTCATGTCGGGGTTCCTGAGTTCTTTTTATTATCTTCCGACCTTGAGACCTATATTTATCATTGACCGTACTGGGCGCCGCCCTTTGCTTTTGGGTGGCCTTGCGGGAATGGCAATCGGGATGTGTATTCTGGCCGGAACCACCTCGGCGGTCGCCTTTACCCCAGGTGTTGTCGCAACAGTGGCGTTGTTCTTCTACGGCTTCTGCTTCCGTGTAGGCTGGATCCAAGGACCCTGGCTTCTGACAGCCGAGTACGCACCATTGGTCACCCGGTCTCAATCAGCTGCACTGTCCACATCCGCCACATGGCTATTTACCTTTATCGTTGCGGAGATCACACCTCCGGCTATTTCGAACATTGGATATAAGATGTACATTATCTTTGCGGTCTTGAATGTCGCCTTTATTCCTATTATCTACCTTTTTTATCCCGAGGTAATTTACCCGTCTTTCTGTAACTTGGGGCTCGCGCTTACAGTCAAATGTTTTAGACAAAAGGAAAGTCCTTGGAACAAATTGACTTGCTTTTTTCTGGCCCAGGGGTTCTATTGGATATCCCAAGTGAGGAACTAGCCATAATGCAAGACGGAGAAATCCATACTGCTGTAGTCAAAAATCGCATTCAAGTAGATGAACCTGTGTTGAATGTGTTGCATATCGAGAATGTTTAGTCTAATGTACCCACAGCCCCATGGGAGAGATAATATCTCCGGCCTGTTTGTGAAACTCTTTGTGCTTTTCTAGGGGCTATTTTCATTGTTTTTATATTGAATACTTCGAATCTTTCTTTGAATCATTAATAAACTCAGACTTGGTCAGCTAAAAAAAAGTCGCAAAGACCCAATTCGAAAACCAGACTTCCCTTCTATGTCCATGATATTCTTCGTTTGGAATTGCACTCTGAAACTCTTACTGTGGAGCAATGAACTTGAACTGACTCTCTTTGAAAGCCTCTTTTGACGACAAGAGCAAAAGCTCAATGCGATATTAAAGCCAAGGAGGTAAAACAACATAAGTATATACAAGGTCGATATTCAAGAGAGGATTATCCAGAAGTGGATAGCATAGAATTTCTCACAATGAAAGGACTTCTCAGAGGAAGAATCTTCAAGGTATTCCCATTTCTAAGCTACAATAGATAGACGAAGACTGCTACTTTTGCAGGAGCAATACCAAAAGTATTCAATAATTAATTGGGACCGAGGGAAGATTGAATTGTCTACGAAGTCACTTTCGCCTACCATCTCTTCGAGTCTTTGTCTGGATTTTCCGATTCTGTGCCACGATCGCTCATGTTGGAAGCTGAGCAAACTCAAGTTTCAAACGCTCTGTGCTGGGTCTTCACTATTCGCTCATATTCTTTAATATATGCAGTGTCCTTCTCAAAGGCCCGTTGTGAGCTTGATTGTCTTGCACCTAGGAAACGCAGACCTCTATGTGCGCTTAGCAAGTCTTGAAAATCTTCATTCGTTTCAATCAGCGGCCCCGTGAATTAATTATAGAACATTCTTTCCATATAATGCAGGGCGGCTTCGCATGGAGGTCTTTTGGTCTTTCCTCGAGATCATGAGACAAAGAACCCAAACTTTGGTGGCAAAGCGGCATCCCGTACAGGATCTCAGGGTTGCGTGTCTGAATGCGGCTGAAATTTCCCTTTCACGGTATGTCTCTTGGCTTTGAGAAGTTCAAGTGCTCAAGCGTCTCAAGTGTCTCAAGTGTCTCAACAACTGATCTGCCTTTGCTTAGATTACATTTTATGAATATAAAGCTTCGTTAGCTCGCAGCTTTTCCAGAAAAGACCCATATTCTCAGGGCAGAGCCAATAGCAATCGATTTAGCAATCTCAAGTCGGCAAAATAAGAAGACATGCAAAGGCATTCGAAGACAGAGGGTGGAGGCTCTGGGGAGTCTTCCACGAATAAGCGCAGAATCTCAGACCATCTGAGAAACAACAAAAGGGTCAAGAAGTTTAATTAGCCCAAAATTTTAAATTCGGTCTTTGACATTGAGCAATCGTTTGATCATGATGTAGTTGAAGAAGTGTCTGAATGGAACCCCAATCCGAAGTAAGTGATACAAACTTGCCACTCAGCTAGGTTAATGCACAGGTAGCGGAATTTTATCCGGCGCTTCATAACTAAATAATTATGATAGGCCTCTCGAGGAGCGGATAGCTCGCTATAAGCTATTATATACTATTGAGCTCATCCGGGGGTTTGGTGAAAGGAACCAAAACTTGGTTGTCCGCCGGGAGGAGATTGAGACAAGGATTGATAAATATGTAGTACTATCTGATGTGATCTAGTGAACTAAGAGTAAAATGGCCTGGAGTGACGGAAGAAGTGGCACAACGATAAGAATATTTACAGACGGTGAAGAATTTTCTAATTAGAGGGAACGACCCTCATATTCTTGTATCTACTATTGAAGCTCTTATGAAATCTTACGAGACGGGGGAGCTGAATTGGACGGAGGGATCTGTGACATATTGGTCTTACGGGAAACAACTCATTCAGCCAAGACCCTTTGACTGGCAAGATTTCTTGTTTTGGAATAAGAAGCATCAAGGCTGGGCGGGCTTTTGGATCGAAGGGGTATGTGTCACTGCTCGTTAACCTAGGTGAGAAGATGCTGACGTTGTGAAGAATCGCGATCCAATCGAAGTCCAACACTTCTCAAAACCACCTGCTAAATGGCCATCAAGACATGATACCATGGGGAAGAATTCACGGCCCGAAGCAAAGGTATGTGCTTTGCCTGGCCATCGTGTTATTTTCAGCAAAAGTCTGAATTTTTTGTCTTATGGCTTTCAATTGGCCTTCGATAAACGCCCGAAACATGATAAGAAGAGACTGGACTACAGCTGAACAATTGCGATCCGCGGCAGTCTTTCATATCCGCGCTAGGTCGTTGCGCTAGAGATCAATCTGCAGGCCGGGGGCGGGGAGCTTATGCTGCAAGATTGGGGTATGACCGGTTGCTGTGAAAAGCGACCTCCCTCTCGATCAAACACCTCTAATAATAGTGGGGCCCTGGTTGAGGTACAAAGTCTAAGCTGCTACTAGACCTGGTAGAAAAAACCGTCTATATGTTCATGCTTTTAAAAAAGTTTAGCCAGCTTGTAAATGTTAACTGAGTAGACGTTGGTGACTCCGGGCCACTTCCAGGGTTGCATTTCCTCCAAACATTTCAATGTGTTTCTTATAGTAGTAATAAGGGTCAAGTGAGTAAAATCCCAAACTACGGCCTCAAAAAAAGGTGCGCCTTGAGAATGTAAGAGCTATAATTGCTTCATCAAGGCTGAGATAAGTTCAGTCATTTAGAAAACTGAGCTGAATATCTGGAATCTGATTCGGGGGAAATTTTGCGTAAAGCCCCTCACAATAGAATATCCAGAAGCAAGGTTGATTGAAACGGTGATCTTGAATGGCTCGTACTTCTCGGCCCCCACGTTGACTTCAAGTTGTTCCCCACCACTGGCAGATACTGGATTCATCTCCCCACCGAACTCATTTCTTCTTTGGGCCTCCCCTCCTTCGCCTAATTTCGAAGCTTCATACTCCTATATTAATACTACATCTAACTTCGCTCTACTAAGAAAATTCAGGGAAGATCTACTCTCACAAATATACTTCAACTCTACCACACAGATCACAATGTCCGTCAGAGTCCTCATCTACGCCTACCGCAAGCCTGGGCTCTCTCTCGAGGATTTCAAGAACCACTATGATTCTCACATCGATCTCATTAAACGTATTACCGGCGATAACTTCCCAACCGCTCACAAGCGCAGCTATGTCGCGCGTAGCACTGTCAAGGTCGCCCCTGAGGGTGCCAGCGACCGCAATTCTCTGACCCCCGCCACTGTGCTCGTTGGACAACAGTCCGATTTTGACTTCGATTCCTATGCTGAGCTTACTTTTGCGGACCAAGATGCTTTTGAGGCCTTCGGTGCCAAGGTTTATGCGCCCGATGCAGCTGCCCAGATTGCGGCCGACGAGGAGAAATTCCTGGATAGATCAAAAACGGGTATTGCCATGCTTGGAGATGTTATTGAAACGAAAAAATAGAGTGACCTTGAGGGCTATATAAGCTTCCTGTGAGCGGCTAGATTCACTGAATAATTACTTAAGAAGAATCAGCCTTGTGGAAATGATAGCTGTCGTTTGTCTCCAAACACCGACCCCAACACAGAACGGCAACACCACATGCAGCTCTGGTTGATTAGGAATCGTGTACATTCAGTCGAGATTTGATCTACTTCAAATATCAATGTGAATTTGTACTTAGCCAATTGTATACTTTAATAATGTGCATGAGAAGATCATTAGCAACCTCAGTAAAGTGTATGAACCTTCGGTGGTCGAACCCGGAAATTGCAAACTCCATATGCTTCTTGGAAACAATTTAATATATGGATTGAAAACCATCAGATTGACATGAAGAATAATACACTTTACTTTCTCTACATGGGCGAATAAGTTTCCAAGCTGAAAGTGATCGGCAGCGATCTACGTGCCCGATCACGCCAACCCCGCTAACAAGCAGATTGATCAATAGAGTTCGATCGCGATGAGATAACCTTTATTACGACAGATGATTTTGAATGATGTCAATTCGTGGATTAGCCAACCTATAGACATTCCAGCCGTGAAATGGCTCTGGGCTTCTTAAATTATAATTTCTGCTGTCTCGAGAGACCCGCTAAATGATGCAAAGTGCGCGCGGATGATGCGACAATTCACGCATTCATACAAGGCAGGTTTAAATCAACTAATGTCTCTTTGTTAAAGCGGTTGGTTTTTTTTCGCTTCAAGTTCTTGCTGTTGCGCCATTCAAGTTCTCGACAAACGCCACACATCGAATAAAATATATATCTACCTACATCATGTCTGCAGGCACACTTTACACATTTTCAGGATCTGGAAATAGTTACAAGATCCGCTTGCTCGAAGCTTTTCTCGGTATTAGGCTCAAGCATGAAGAAATTGACTTTTTGGTATGGGGGAAGCGAACAAGCATTTAAGCCATGTCAATCTAACGCTCAGTTATCAACAGGGCGATCAGCAACATTCACCCGAGTTCCTGAAAATAAACCCCAGAGGCGAGGTTCCAACTCTTGTGGATGGTGACAAGACTTTTACCGACTCCAGTTCCATCTTGATCTGGCTGGCCGGTAAATGGAACGATAAGGGCAAGGCTGAAGGCCCATCTTCATACTGGTCTAGTGACCTCTATGAACAAGCGCAAATTGTGAACTGGGTATGTCCAACAAGGGCTGAGAACTTCGTCAATCATCCTTTTTACTTGGAACTTTCCGCTAAAATGTATCTCTTCTCCAGCTATCATTTGCCAATAGTTGGGTGCAGTATGGTATGTATCTTGGAGATTTCTCTTAGATAATCCAATCGGTTAGCTAATACTGAGAATGGTAGGTGTCTTTGTGAATCGTGCAATTCTCTCATACAATGGACCCTACAACGGCCTGGGAAATAACCAAAAGTGGCCCCAAGAAAAGCTTGATGTCTTTCTTGAAGAGGGCTCAATTCGTGGCAACTATTCTCTCGGGGTATTGAACCAGCACCTTGCGGATCGACTCTGGCTTGCTTTGGACCGACCCACTATTGCTGATCTGAGTGTATTTGTTTACGTTGCTCTCGCCCCCATGGGCGATATCAAGCTCCAGCCATATCCCAATGTTATTGCATGGATTGAACGCGTCAAAGAGTTACCTCAATTCTTCCCCATTGAAGGGCTTGACGACCCTTTCGTTCGGCGGCGTTGAGTGCTTTTGTTGAGGAAGGCGAAAGACTGTCGCGTTATTGATGTTGCTCTGTCATGATTCTATCTGCGCTGCAGTATCTTGGACATCTGTGGGGTAGAGTATCGTGCTTAAAGTATCAATATAAACTGCCAGATAACTATTTCTCCTGTTGGAGTCGCAAGTATTTAATCTTGCCGCATATGAAGTCGTACAGAAATACCAGGGAAGCTTCAACAAAACAAACAAGACCAAAAGCATACCTAACGTTGAACGTTCCTAAGGCCCTTTCACGCACTGACTAACACTGTAAGCCGGAGGTGGGATTATGTGTGAGCGCAGGGGATAACAGGGCTAGTGAATGGATAAGATTTTATGGGTCTATGCAGAGAAGCTCCCTTATATCCTCAATCATTTCTTTTGCATAATATCATCAACGTCAAGACTCTATCCAACACATACGACCACAGGGTGTGGAGAACAGGGCTTCCCGTCCGCTCAGCCGTACTTAAGCCACACGCCGGTCAGTTAGTAGTATGGTGGGTGACCACATGCGAATCCTGACTGTTGTATGTTTTTTGTTTTTTTTTGGATTTTTTTCATCTTCTCTTGCTGAATGGTTAGGTAAATATTTTATTTTCCTTTTAACCCAGAAATTTATGCACGAAATCTCCACCGCAAACGTGTGGGATTAGGAAAGTCTGAGCTTAGTATATGACAGGTAAACGGCATGGTTATTATTTTGTTCTATGGCATGGAACCTTTCCCATTCAAAATCTTTGTTTATCAATTTGTTTGGGAAGTTTGACTCTAATGCTCCCTTTTCAACTACTTATGTATATGACATATATTGCGAGAAGAGTTCAAAATGACGAGATCGACATAATAATTGTATGTTGATTTGAATTGATCTCTAAAATAACCCGGAAGGAAGCCATCTCCAAGCACTGGTAGGAGGAATCATGCATTATCCTTGATATACCCATGTCACGAGGCCAAGAACACTTCAATCAGGGGTATTGCAACCTTCGAACTTCAATTTAGGCTCCACAAACTCTACCAACCTCATAAATTGCTCCAGGGTTCGCTCTTTGCCAGCCAGCAGAGTGGTCATACCGATATCTAGCGCACGGATTCAGTTTTCCGGATACATTTTACGATCTGGGATCAGGCAGATATCCCGAGCAGTCTCCTTGATAGCGTGCAGTCAGTGGCAACAAAAGAAATCGATAAAAACAAAAACATACAACAGTCAGGATTCGCATGTGGTCACCCACCATACTACTAACTGACCGGCGTGTGGCTTAAGTACGGCTGAGCGGACGGGAAGCCCTGTTCTCCACACCCTGTGGTCGTATGTGCTAGACGTAGCTTTAAGGTAGTATAGATAGGACAAAGATTAATCAACAATAAAATGATTTTTTGATGTATCGAAAGCTCAATACTAGATTGATACACGAATCTAACACAATTAGATGCTCGTGGCGTAGCTGTATAACCGAGATACAAGCCAAGACCCGATAGCTAGTCAATATGCCCTATCAGATAGGTGATATACTACCTCGCCTTAAGACTATTCAGGTCTTACATGAATCTGGAATTTATTTTGAGGTCGAGTCCCCTGGCCTAAACTTCACTCAAAATAGGCCGGAGGTAGTCCTTGCAATAAGATTGAGATGATTTTCAGTCGAAGACCCGAGGGGTGCAGAGTAAGAGGGAATACACGGACCTGCTCATTGGGCGGAGAATGGCTTCAAATGTTGTTGATGAGCCAATCATTTATTATTGCAACATAGAGCAATTTCATTTTCACCACCCCTTCAATTGCACTGGTTCCCGTTGATCGTCATTGGAATCCATGAAAAATTTCCCAGAGCGTTCAAATGTGGCATAAACACAACCATTGATCAATCAAGGAGTGTCAACAATAGCCCCTTGAAATCAATATAATTCTAGTTTACACGGGGTAAATTCCCGCAAAAACAAAAGAAAAGGAGGGCAGCTACATGTAGTTCTGCGCAGTAATTTACATCCTAAGAGGAACCGTATGGTTAAATCAATTGATAATATTTGGTAGTACACAGAAAAATGATTTTGTACAGTTAGACTCCAAATGGATTTTCCCGACAATATATAATTTCCAACAGAGTGTTAAATAACCTTCCAGGGCTGAGGAATACGCCAATGAGGAAGCTACGCGCTCTTTGAACTACGAACAATATACGTTGAGTACTGTGCATTAAACATAAAATAATAAGTAAAGAAAAGGGGGAGGAGAAATAATAGGTATAGCACGTAGGCGTAAAGACATCACGTACACAGGGTTCAGGCCCCACACTGCATACATGTATGCGACGATTAACAGAAGAAACTCTACGCAGATAAATGTCTACCAACTTGTCCCATCACGGGTTATTCAAGTGGGTTAATCAGCAATACATGTCCAACGGGCATCTCAAACCGGTATCTTGGGTATCATATGAAATTGTCGCTCATTCTATGTTCAATGTTGCCAATCAGCGTGTGCCTTTTTCCGAAATTATCTGTGACGAGGATAATTCCGTAGCGACCTCCTCGTTCGCGCTGAGCTCGGCTGGAGGAAAAGAGGGCTTCTTCGTATAATCCGACGTGGATTGGTGTCCCGAGTGCCCCGTCCCTGACGTGCCTGCTCCATAATAATTTGATGAGATGGTATCATCTGTTGGGCTGGTCTTGCGGCGGCGAATCCAGTACCAAGCCAACACAAGAAGTATAGCAACAAAAGCGACGGCTCCGACAACAATGCCGGCAATGGCACCACCGGACAAGCTATTGCCGCTCGTACCATTGGAGGCGGCTAAAGTTGAGGTCGCGGAGGGTGAAGATTCCGATGCGGTGCTGCTTGTTGCAGTGCTCGAGGACGTTGCTGCCGGGGTGCTAGATGAACTTGTACTTGTCATCTGTCAAATGAGCATTAGTGTAACGCTCTACATTTAGAATAACAGAACAACTTCCAGCAATACTTACCGGTACATATTCGATTTGAAACGCGTTGACCGCATCGGCGAATGGCGTGAAAGTAATAGTATTAGTACCAGTTGGTACAGTGGTGGCATTGCCGAAGGCCGACGTCGTTGTGACTATAGCGGTATATGACTGTGAAAAGCTCTCGAAGCAGCTCATTGTGCTTGAATCGTAAATTTTGGGACCATCAGTACACTGAAAATTGCGCGCACTAGGAAGAGTCAGATTAGGCAGTCAAATATCCAGGGTGAGATGACAGGCGAACCCACCTTGGACAGCAGACTGTTGTCGCATCATATAAACCGTGGGCACAGGCTGAAGTATAGCCTGCCGGACAGGAATAAGCAGAGTAAGCAACGGTTGGGTTATATGAAGAGGGAACACAGTTGTTCGAAGATGCAGGCCACGGGCCAAAGAGGAAGAATAATTCGGCTGTGGCTATTCTAACCTCCCAAAGATCAGTTGAGACTGGGCAGTTTGTCGGGGACCATGTCGCGGGTATCGTTTGGGTGACCATCGTAAGGGCGCCTCTTGACCTGATTTTGTCTATGTATCAGAGGTTTCTAGAGTATCAAGCGTGAATACTAGTCTCCATCAAGGGGGGGAGAGAGGCTCGGTCGGGGGGGCTTTCCAGCCCACGCGCTGCTCTGCACGGCCCGCTCGAACATATTTCCGCCAAACGAATCCTAATACACATTTAAATATCTGCAGGGGTATCACCCAATCAGAGCTAGCAAGACCGATGATCAGTTGGGGGCCGTGAAATGAAGTGAAGAAGAAGGGGGTGGAGCTGGGAGCTTCAATGAGTGGAGACCTGAGAATTTCGCAGATTATCTCCCAATGAGGCAGCTGGTATAAACAGATACCACGTATTTTTCCTTCATTGAATTCCAAATTTACTGTCTCCAAGAATATCATTTTTGGGGAGCGTTTAGGGAAGGTCTTGGGCGTTAGCGTTATTAGGAATTGTAGAGGGTTGCTTAGGGTTGTTTGAGAAAATCTAGATCTCTGGAATGATACATGTGTCAATTAAGATGGCATATCCATTGGCGCCCAGAGAGTGCTGAAGATATCTCTCCAGGGCTGTTTCGGTTGTATTACCAACCTTGGAATGTAATTCGGTAACGACCTAGCCGTGCCGTCGGCCACTAATTCGGCCACCCCGAATTAGTGTCCCCCACCGTAATGCAAAATATCACCGTAATGCAAAACACGCAACAAAACATCAATTTTTAAACTAAATACTAAATGAATCTTGATATGCAATTATATCACCATTATCTCCAAGAATCGGCGTAGAAGACACAATAGGTGATTTATCTGTTGAGGGTCGAGAAGGTTCAAATCCAAAGCGTTTTTTAAAATCTTTGGCCACCCGTCTATCCTCTTTTTCATCTTCCTTAGCACGTCGCTCAGCAATAGATCGATTTGCATCTTTAACACGTAAAATTCCATCATCTTTGAGGTTTAATAATCGCCGTTTGGTAGATTTTTTAGCCCGTGGGGCCTGGATTTGGGCTATTTTTGCGATCGTAGAAGATGCGTTTTGAATCGCCTGAACGTGGAAATCCATCTCTGTAAGTATTTGATCTAACGTCCGTTTTTGCCGAGGTGTAATACTATCTAATTCCATTAAGGGAGCTAGTTTTTTGCGGCGTTTCTGGACGTCTTCTGTAGTCTTTGAAGGTGTATTCTCTAGACTTGAAGATAGTATATTTTCCAGTGGTGGTGATGGTGTTTTTTGATCCCGAAGATCAATTGATATATCTGGGATAGGAGGAAGGGCATCTTCCAGTTTTTGACAGACAATTTTAGCATTGACTGGATAAATTCCTCGTTCTCGAAACGCATTTCGGCAAACTCTCTGTGTCAAAGCTTTATCTCTAAAGCCCATAAGGTCTTCGAGAAATGAGTTTTTGTTTGCTGTAAGACCCCCACCCCACTGTGAAATGAGGTTATTTTGTTGACGAAAATAAGCCTTATAAGCCAAAAATGGCTTACCATCCAAAGGTTGAATATAATTTGTCTTATTTGGTGGAAAACCAAAGATCTTGATACCAGCTTTTTCAGCAGAGTTTAAGAATTCAAATGTCAGATGTGAGCCACAGCCATCAACTAAAAGAATTCTTTGCTCGCCTTGCTTAACGCGATGCTGCGTTTGACGGTCAAATTCTTTGATCCAAAGCACAGCAAGTTCATCAACCATATAGCCTTTCTCAGTAGTTGCAGTCATCCACTCCTCAGGTAATTTGGTATCATACCAAGCCTCCATTTGATGGCGTCCTTTAAAGATAACGAGGGGTTCCATTCTCCAACCATCAGCCGCAATACATTCTGCGACAGTAACTCGCTCTCCATGTTCTTCACCGGCAAGACGTGGAATCTTTGTTTTATGACGTGTAAAGACTTTCTGAGTTTGTCCTTGGCCCAATTGGAAGCCAGTTTCATCAAAATTATAGACAAGCCTTTCTGGTACACCATCAAGAATTTTGTCTAATAAATCATACCAATGTTCTAGAATAGCAACATCTTCGTGGCTCATTCTTTTTGAATCTATAACCTTCTGTCGTCTCATCTCAAAATCAACATCCGGGAAACGTTGAATAAAGCGATAAACCCAGTTTTTTCCGACTGTTCGGTCTGATGTTCCCGATCGGGCAAGAGTCAGATTTGCCCACTGTTCTATAATATTTGGTGTCGGAGGGATAAAAGCTTCATCCAATGATCGAATCCAGAAGGATAAAGCTTTCTCTTGGACGTCATTTAAAGCCTTATTTTGTGGTTTTCGTTGAATTCTGGGCGTTGATTTTTGACGGACTCGGCGGTACAGAGTATAATACGAAATAGCATATTCCTCCGCGATCTGCGTCAAATTTGGCTTTTTGAGGGTAGAGGCATATCCAACAGCCTCTTCCATACGAAATACTTCATTTTCATAGAAATCGGCCATAGTTAAGGATGTATAATTGAGGGAAGAAGACGTGCGGGAAAGTGTTTTGCATTACGGTGATATTTTGCATTACGGTGGGGGACACTAATTCGGGGTGGCCGGATTAGTGTCCTCCGGCACGGCTAGTGGACATTTGAAGATTTTCGGATTCTCATTTCCTAATGAGGATTGGTCAATGCCCAGGTACCCACTCATTTAACAGGGAATACATTGTACTATGTACGGACTATGGAGTACGGATATTTAGTAACCTCCGTACGCTCAGCACTGTAAATCTTAATTCCCTGTTTGTTATCTCTGCCTCTGATCACGTAGTATTTCCAATGTGCGCAGTGAGATGATCCCCATCCATAGAAAGAAGGACAGGATAAGATAGCAGTAAATTTTATGTAATCGCTGGTACAAGCTAGATGTATAGACAGCCACAGTACTGCCTTCTGTCTCCTTCAGCTACAGTCAGTACGTCAGTGGCTTGTATCCTGGCAGTTAGTTCTATTCTCCGTTTCCCATGAAGGCGATTCCTTATTCATGGCCACAATAGATTAATTATTCTAGCATTTATATTGACATAAAATCTGTTACTTGCGACGAAAACCAGTAGGATAGTAGGTTTTTGTATACGATTATAGGAGACTGGAAGTTATACATGCGCTACCGCTACCATGTCTGACGTTTACAAGTTCGAGTGCGGGAATTTCTTACGTGCAAGAGCCGCCTAATAAGTGGATCCTCCCTCCGTCCCTTCCTCCCGCACCGAAATCGGCTCCATCGGCCATCCATGGATCCGATTCATCCTTTCCGATCGGCGTTCAGTATAGTTAGCTTATCCACTCCCCACGTCTTCAATTTTCGAAGGATTGGGCTTTCATGGGGAACTGGGGCTATCTTGGCGGGGTATCCATTAGAATGATTTGAACTGTAGCCGTGGCCCCAGGGGGCCCTGTGCATCTTGAGCGCATGGCGGCGGTGTTCGGGCATCTAGAAAATTATAGCCCCTGCTGTTCTTATAGCTGTATACTTAAAATATGTAGGTATCCTAAGGGTAGAAATAAGACCGAGTTACAAATTTTCCATTACTAAGGTATAATAAACTTGAAGCAAAAGTAGTCTAATATACATTATCAATTAGACCAGATTCTTTGTACTAAAATAGAGAATCTTTATGATAGAAGTATATCCAAGGTAAGATATTTGTCTAATTCCAGTGTAATGATCACAAAAACACACATAGGGGTAAATCGCAGTATAAGGATAGGAAGGCTACGTCAGTGCTTCAAGTTTAGGTATGTATAGGATGTTTAGGGTGCAAACTAGTGGTAGTATTCAGGGGTTTTAGGTGAAGAGGCTTGAATATGTTAAAGAGTACATGGTTGCAGGCTTACAAGGCCATGGTAGACTTAAACCTGAAGACCACATGATACTGGCAGTCTCAAGTCCGAGACAGCTCCACTCATCCGAAACGTTCAACGTCGGAGCTTCTTTTTCGGGCTCTGGCTACCTAAGTTGATTTTGATTTTTCAATGCTGTATAGAATTACCATTCAAGCAGAAAGAAAGCTTCATTTGATATATTGATTTTGGGCAATCCCGACCGTGTGAGTTGGAAGCATTGATCCCTGAAGAACTATGCAGCCTTAATTCACGGGCATAATTCTCCGCCACAGAATTCACTGGTACTTACTATGATTGGGCTCCGGTGAGGCACACATGAAGCATGCAGAGCCCATAATCCGGACCATCATCCGTATTGAATTAGGAACACCGAAGGATGATGTCTTGGGGTCCACCAAGGTCTAACACTCCGCTAGTTTTCTCAATTTTTGGGCCTGTATATAAAGCCTCGAAGTTTCCTTTACATTTCTTCATATCAGGACATATTACTAAAAGGATTGTCACCGCTGAAACCGCAAGCTTAGTTCCAAAATGCCTACTATTCGCAGCCTTGCTGTTTCGGCCATCCTGGCTCTTCTTGAATGTGCTAATGCTCAGGATACCGTCGGGTTTGGTCCTGCCTTCTCCCTTGGCCCCGTTTCATCTTCCTCGTGGATTCGTGAAGCCGTTACCACTTTGGAACTTCCCAAAGTACCCTCACCAGTCGCCGATCGCCTCGCACTCTGGCCCGGTATGGGCACTAGTGGCGGAGATCTTGTTCAGGCTTTGGCAGTCTCGTTCTCAGATCCTAATGCGTGAGTTGGAAAGAAATGTTGACTCTATCACACTTATTGATTCCTTATTAGGAACTGTGGGGCCACAGCTGGACAGTGGTGCACATGGGCAAGTACCTTGACAGGTATTAAGTGCTCTTGATCTATTCCTGGGGAACAGATTAGTTGACACACATTCTCAGACGAACAACTTGGAGGTATCCAAGTCCCAGCAAGCGCAGGAGACCAGTTAACCATGCACTGTGAGTCTATCTGTTTTGTCATGGTTGAATGCCATTGCTTTTGGTACTAAATTCCGACGACAGATAAATATAACGACAGCACTGGCAAATACGATCAGACAGTCGCAATCAATGATTCAATTATCTCCAGTCTCTCCACCAGTATGACCATATTCTATTTCAAATTCCATTGAACCAAGGACTAACTTGTGTAGAGGTCGGAGAGGCCCAAGGCTGGGGCACGGCCGTTGAGTGTCAAGACTCGGCCTGCAAAAGTTCTGTGCCAGCGCACAGTAAGGCAGCTTCCAAAATTTCCCTCCCAAGACTCCAAAATATAGTACCTGATCATCTCTTGTAGAATATCTATCGACCAAAATCATTCTTGACTCTGCTGATGAGTCTTTCGGCGATACTCTGGTCCTCACCGACGCTACCTCGAGCGGCTTGACCACCTCCGATGGTGGCATCACCTGGGTCGTGACAACAATCAACATCGATGCGCACACCTTCGACGTGTAATCCACAAAGATGGTTCCGACTGCGGGGAGTTCCAAATGCTTACCTTACCTTCAAAAGCATATCAGTAAAAACATGGATTTTTCCACAATAGACTTTTCTGCACATGGCTCTAGATAGAGAAAACTCCAAGCAAACATTCAAGTTATTTACAACCGGCGCTTTCCGCCTCGCCCCCTTAAAGTCCTTCTAAAGATCTGAAACTCTTCTTCCCATCCGCATCTTCATTCATATATATTCCTTGAGAAGGTTGATCTTCAAGTTCATCGTGATTCCACTAAAAAAATCTCAAGAGCAACAGTACCTGCTACCCTATAAATACTTAAACATTCTTTATCATGATGCACTTTGAAACATGCTTCCAAGTCTCACATTATACAATACACATATATCGCTATACATCACGGTAATTTTCTTTTTTTTTTGACGAGGCAAACGACAATGAGCTGGAAGATTGCCAAAAAACCTCTTGAAAGGGGGAAACAGGCCAGAAAGGTTAGGTTGTATATCACGGCGTACAATCTCCTCTACTTCCGCACAATATGTATATCATTAATGGGTGCCCAAGAAATGCTACCAAAACTGGCCCGTTAAAGCTTAAAGCTTCATGGGAGCAGAACTGTCGATGAGAATATGGAATGTTCGCCAGACCCACTGATGAATCGAACAATACCAGCATCTTCAATTCTGCGGAACAGGGGTGCCCTTCCATAGTCTACGTATGATATGTGGTTGAATTGTGTCTCGGGTCTATTTGTGACTTGGATGATGAGACACATCATTTGAGAAGGATAACCATGGTTTGCGGGGGTGAGCATGCCTTGTTGCAAAACGTTCGATCATCCCCGCACCAGGTTAATGAGGTGTTGGATTAAGACTTCGGTTATTGTGAATGGAGGAAAGAAGTCTGCGCCGTCGCGGATCTTGAGCTGTTGGAAGATACTCAGTGTTTCTTCCAGAATGCGAACGTCGTCATGTTGATGGTCACTCCCAGCGTATGTAGCGAGACGGTGATATAGAGCGAGGACAGCGGTCAAAAGGAATTGAGCATAAATCCTGGAAAGAGGAAGATTAGAATGGAGAGGTTCGTTCCAAACTGCCAAAAATTCATGAATGGAAGACTTACCAAAATGTACCTGCAGTTATGAGGAAGCGCACTCGGCTGAGATATAAGAGTGACGATCTGGCAGCCTGATAACAGATTTCCGAACTGGAGGAAGGAAGCGAGAACCCCTGTGCGGTACCGTGGCCGATAAGACTGGCGCCATGTATTTTAATCAGAGAGTGATAATACTCGAAGTGAATGTTCACTACCCGGAGACTAATATCCCGAGCGATGGTGTCGGAAAGATCTGGGATAGCGAATTTGTGAGGTTGACATGCCCTAGGAAACTGGGACTTGAGCTCATGGAGTTCATGATCCAGCTCTCTGATTAGTTGTAGCCTGACCAACTCCGACTTGGATAGACTTTCATGCGAGTATAGATAGCGGTATACTTTGGACTTGAATAGAACCAATCGAAGATCCGACGCATAAAGAAGTCCTTCTGGTGTTTGCTGCTGCGTGAAAAACTTCTCATTAGAAGATATTGTCACATATGTTGCCGGCAGGTCGAGGTCACAATCTTCGTCATTAATAATTGGTGCTTGGCATTTTCGGAGAGACATCTCTTTGTCAATTGAGTAACAAAGCCAAAACAACGCTCTTAGGTGTTCACGGGTTTCGAAATCATGAGGTACTAGGGAGCTCAATGGTGGCTGGCTCTTGTGCGCTCCAAGATTGTAAAGGATCCGGATGGCCATGGAAAGTAGCAGCTCGGCTGTTTGGGGCTGGCCCAGAGGCGCAATATATAGAGCCTGTAATTGTCAGATGAGCGTACTCGACTTCGGAGTTCACCAAACTCACTAAAATAATAAATGTTTCCAACGCTCGAAGATTTGTGTGTTCCATCATTAGATGTGGAACTAGCGACAATGCAGCTTGTAAATAGGCATCCGGTGTTGGATGCGTGAAAGCAAGCTCGCGGTGTCCAGTTCGCGTCATGAACGCGGTAAATGCCACGAGGCATGCTTTATTTGCCGAGTCGGATGTTCCCCTATTCTCATTTAGGGCGTTAGAGTTCAAAAGGGAAGTAAGAACATGGGTCTGGACGGCCGGGAACACCGCGTATAGCTTGTTCTTGGAAAAGTGATTTATTGCCTGCTCAACAACAAACCGCGATGGCCATTTCGGTACCACGATATCCCTATTTTCGGGTGGGCCCTGCGGACAAGATGGTGCAAGCCGGCGTGCAAATTCATCAAAATCGAATATTGAGGCCAATTGACTTTCCGGCACGACACCAGGTGTACAATATTGAAGATGCCATCGAAATGCATTTAAGGAGGTCTCGAATCCCGACGGATCAAACAACCCGGGTATGATGGTGCCAGAAAAGGCGCTCTTTTCTTTCTCTCGTAAAGCATTTTCAAGTTGTCGCACATAAACTTTGCTCTCTTCTAGCTGCCTGTGGAGTGTAAGCGACTAGCGCGAGGACTTGAAGGGTGAGTTGGGGAAGGAGTGCCTACTCTCGAATGTTTTTCTTGTGTGGTACCAAGTTGAAAACACAAGGTACACGAGCAAGGCGACAGGTCTCACATGCCGGTTTAGCCTTATCGCAGCGAATCTGTCATACCCGTTAGCTCATTAGACCCTTGCTAGCTGCGGGTGATCGGGTCCATGTGGGCCTACCTTCCGATGCCGACAGAGATTGCAGGCGATTCGCGAACTGCCGGTGCCACTCATCAGGTGGGAACTGTTGCTCAAGGCGCAATGCTGTTGATTTCTGCGCCCACGGGCCCTTGCTTTCAAGGATGACTCATCGGAGGTTTTATGCCGAGTTGAATTGAGACGTGCAGATAACCGTGTGGTGTCAGGCAAGCAGAAAGGATGGATTTGATCATGAACCAATCGCGCCGTGGTATTTGTGGCTTAGCTAATTAAGGGGGCTGGCACGGGCTGGCACCGGCCTCACGCTAATCCGAATACGGAGGTGATCTACTGCAAACAATAGATTTACTGAATAGCTTCATTTAATTGTGAGAATTGGTTAACACGATTATTCAAAACCAATGGTTTGTTATAGGAGAGTAGGGTTAGAGTGAATGTATTTGTTGATGCTTGTATCATCACCTGGGAAATAGCCAGCAGTCGCGTATCAATACTGTATCAAATTCGATGGCTCAGGTCACCTAGGGTACAGAGGATACAAAGTGAGAGCCTCAGGAACCACTTTCAGAACAGAGATCCTATTATGGAAGTCGCGTTCTTCAAATCCTCTTTCTTCCCATCCTTCACCATCCTGGTCTTGTCCATCGCTGAATCTTCCACCACAACCACCAACCTCCGTCTGATAGTGTCTCTCCATTCTCGGTATTCATCTTCCTCCAAACCCACAGAATATTCTTGAGAAGAAATAACACTGCGTCTCTTGTTCCGAACTCTACGCACCAAATCCGTCTCCCTCTTCAGAATCTTTCTCCTGTCGAATCAAGGAAAGACTTGTTTTTCCAACCATCATTCGACACATCACTCGACACATCAGTCGACACATCCTTTGACGAACTCTTTGACGCACTCTTTGCCTTTCCACACTGCTAGTCACCTCTTCTGTCCTTCAAGACCAACAGAACCTGAAAACATGTCTACAACCTCGGGCGCTCCTCGCAGTTCCAACAAGGCCAAGGGCCAAGCAGCAGCGTTGGGCGGTGCTCCCCGAGCTGTTAAACCGAAATCACAGAGCCTTGTTATTTGTGGAGTTACAAGCCGCAAGCAAGGCTGGTTTTTCAGCGACTTCGTCGTGTTCACGACCTTGTTGAAGGAAAACGGGGTGTATGGTGACTTCTACACCTGTTTCCTAAATAGGCATCGGGTGTTGATGCGTGAGAGCAAGCTCGCGGTGTCCAGTTCGTGTCATGAACGCGGTAAATGCCACAAAGCATGCTTTATTTGCACCGACCACTTCGTCCACATCAAAAATGACTTCTCGCCAGGCATGAACACAGTGAAGTTTGGCAAGATTGGTAATGGGGCTGGGGCAATTTACGAATACTCTCGTGTCCAAGATTGCCGCACCAACAAATTTTACCCTGAAGTCGAGCCTGCAAAGCTCACATCCGTTATGCGAGATTGGATTTCAGACACAATCTCCAAAGTGGAACCCCAAGAAATCGTCAACATCATCATTCTGTGTCTGGGGCATTTTGCATCGGAACCAACAGGATGGACCCCGATGAACTCGTGCAAATGCTGGCCGGTTTTGAAGACGGAGTACTTATAAACCTGTTCTCTTCAGCATGCAACTCTGGATATTTGGTCGAATGCGTGAAGAATCCCGGCAAGGCCAATCGATATGTATCAGTCGCAACAGACAAGGATGAACTGAGGATCACCAAAAAGCTTCGCGAAGTCTCAGGCACCGCAAGCCAGATGACACCCGCTTTTAATACAGATCATGATGAGCAAACTCCGATCGCGGAAATTATTTTCTTGGATGATGCGACCGATGCCATCGTCCCCGTCCAGCAGATTGAGTGGCCCAAAGTGAATGCCACTATTCAACAGGCGATCGCAAACGCCCTCATCACAACTCCCAACACCAATGTATCTCACCCACCTCATGCTCTTGCGGTCGCTCAAAGTGAGATCTCCCTCTGTGATACATCCCGGGGTTTCCCCCAGGACATGGACGTTTACGAGACTCTGCAAACCAATGCGCCCAACTGGAAGGGCCTTCTGGCTAATCTCTACTGGAGGTCGTTCCGACAAGCCGCCATCTGGCATCTTTATCTCTATCTCCTCTCACAGGGTCTGGTGAATCGCAAGTGTCTCACAGTACCCCTCGATCTCTTCAAATCCACCCCAAGTACCTCAGTAGTTACACTCCTGATCAGATGCTTCGAGTCAGTCAAGAACGACATCGATAAAGCATACCAAGAAGAACTTCCACTGCAAGGGGCAGAATGGTCTGCGGACATTGAATGGTAAGTACATGCATCTCCATATTCCTTTGAGCCTCCAGAACAAGACACCATCTAACCATTTGAGTGGGCTTGCTACCATGATCATCCGCAGTGAAGGAAGTGTCTCAGACTGTCTGGCGGCTATCAAGAGGTACGGCTGTCTTGGCGGTTTTGACACAGAAGAGCATGAGCGGTTCAAACGCCGTCCAAATCCCGAAGTCACATACAATGAAAGGGATCATCTTGGACTCCTCCTGAAGATGATAACAACTCAGCCAGCTCTCCTGCGTTCAACTCACCAAGGTACAACATGTTCGGATTCTGGCTTCCCCATGGCCTCAATCGCGATCCCTCCGCCTTCTCCACTCAGCTCCAAAAGACCCTTCGTCGGGCAGCCGAAATCGAATCCGCCTTCCAGGAGATGGAGCCTGTACCGTCCGGCCTTTTGTCCTTGGCCAGCGACCTTGTCTCTCCGCCTTTTGACACGGTCGAAGAGCTCTCTGATACACGTTCAAACGCGTCTATCCCCCCGATCAAATCTCAACTTGCTAAGATTGAGCAATGATTTCAAAAAACTGCAATGAATTGACGAATTTCATGGATCACGTTTTATGACACAATCATCCTACAACATGATACGAGCTACGGGACAGAAGGCATCGGTGTTTGATGGGAGTTTGAAATTTGTGGGATACAGCTGGGAGCATGTTTATATTGCGCTTCGGAGTTCGTGAATGAGATTTGGGCCGGTGTGGAGGACATTTTCTTGTTATAATTGTTAATATCCAAGGCGGAATAATTAAATATGTGTCTGTCCGGGCGAACAGAGTTTGCCGTAGTAAATTTCCATTCTGTAATCCTATTACTAGAGCTGAAGTCAGTCATGTTCCTGTTTCACTACCTGGGGCATGCTCCGCTAGGGAAAGCCTTCCTTGAGCAGCACAACATGCCTTCGCTTGCGGATTAACAATTGCGAGAATCTTCCAATATAAGAAGCCTGACAAACTATCCCAACCTGCCAGCTATTTAGACTTTCAGCCTATCGTAATTTCAACGGATTGGCTGGCACCCGTATCAAGAGCGTAAATGACCGGGGATCCGTTTCCCCGGATTCTGTTCCCCAGATTTCCTTCCCCACATCATCTACCACGCATATCCTCTTCCCATATGGCTAGGAATCAATCGATTGAATCAATATTGTGGAAAATTTTAGGAATCTGGTGGGAGAATGGTGTAATTTACGTATTTCTCAGTCTACACAGCCCATTTCTTCACCCATCACCGTATATCAAGACCAATCACTTCATTCAAATCAAAAAGTACAAAATGCTAGGCTCTACAGTGAGGCTCAAGAGAACTGAATTTCTCTCACAGTTTACAATCGTGTAGATTAATATATCGCTGTGAGTCATGTCGGGGCGGTTGTATCAAGTGAGAGTTGCTATATCTTCACGTTGTCTGGCCACCCAGCCACCGCCCACTTATTTACCGTACAACACGACTATAAATTCAACCCTCACTGCGAGAAAAAGGATTCTTGATTCTTCATCATCCCTCCCGCTCAAAAATTCACCAATTCATCGTTATTGACATCTTCATTTGCGAATGATGTTGGCGTCCAGTTCCACGCGACTTGTCTTTCTCTCGTCAGCTATGTTGCCATTTTCAGTCGAGGCAACTTGCCCCTCAGCTTGCTGAGGAGAGATTGACGATTCCATTCTGCGTCACGGTGGACTTCCGGGAGTATCGCGCGATCGTGTTCAAGGGTGCTCTTGACTTTCTGGTATGCGACTGGAATAGAGTGAAGGGCAATGCTATATGAGAATAAGTAAGGTGGCAAGGGATGAAGTGAGAAATTGGCATAAACTAGCTGAGCAGGCACTGGTGTCTCTCGGCACTATCAAGCGACCATCGAGCACGCAATGAATCTTTCTGCCTTAACCCTCAGGCCGCCAGTTTCAATTCACGCTGCCCAGATGTTTGTCCCCTATTTCAACATTCAACGATTTTTTCAAAATCAATTAGATGTTCCTTGAATCATGCATCTCAGATAATTACCTCCTAAACACAAAGTGATTTGCATTTCTGATACATGATTGTTGACATGCTAAGATACTAGGGAGGCCTACGGGCATATATACTAGTATATAACAACGTTACTCCAGTTACAAGATTATCTAGGCCAGAATCAGGACTGAAGTTTTGCGCATACTACGGCTTCCTGCATCTGCGTGTTGACGTGGTACTTGAAAAATACCCCGTTTCCAAGTTTCGGGATCGCACGTTGATTTATGTAGGGCTATTTGCTATTGATCATTCGCCGTTATATTCAAAAAGACCATCTAGAGGGAAAGGGTTAAGCTTCTCTTGTGGACACCGGCAGAGAGGTCACGGTGACATCCGCCCAAGCGTCTGCACTACTTTACAGAATTAACACTCCGGCGCACCTATCGGGTAGTAGTAGTAGATTTTATACATCAATGCATTGCTGACGGATATCATCATTAGCACATGGCAGCACTTGCTTCTTCGAAGCATACACGTATACAAAATTCAATCAATCTTAAGTTGTATCCTAAATGAGTTGATCATTGATCAATAAATCAATATTCATATGGCCGGCCTAAAAAACGGCCCGATTTGGTGGAGGCGTTAAACGGATATGATAAGGTTCAATTGAGCTTCCTTAATTATAAGCCAAATGCTATGTACAAGACGCCACAAATATAATGCTTGGAAAAAACAAGAAAAAAACGTTACATGCGCCTCCCAGTCGCTAGCTTCCGTTATGCTCGTAATGGTATCAAACGTTAAACTTGGGCACTACAGCGTCAAGTGCCTCATGCTCATTGGACGGAGCACTTTCGTAGTGGGCTTTCTTTTTGATATCACGGAGGTGCCGTGTCTTCAGTCCCACAAATGTGAAAATCAAAGCAGCCGCGCACTCGGGAAGAAACATAAGTACGACACGGACGGGAATGCTTCCAGTGATTGGGCTTAAATTCTTGTTTTGGGTCAATACCGCGACAAGTGTGTAAATTACACGAATGCCGATGAACACCAGCGCTCCGAGGGTACCTTGCAAAAGCTAGAAATAGAAAATATGAGTCGCTGAATAAATGAAAGTTATCCAGGTTTGAACACTTACCAGTGTGCTTTCCGGGTGACCTGCACCATATCCCTTTCCTTTGCGAACCAGATTGATAGCCGCCCAAAGGACCTGAGAGGCCCAGACTACTACAGTGACAACACTTCCAGCCTTCCACTTGGTCAGATCCAACGAGCTTCCGTGACCTTCGAAAATGTTCAAGGAGCCTGTCACCGAGAGGATCATAGCGACAGCCAAGACAATTGTTGTAGTCGACACAACAGACCAGCTGAGAAGAGAAGAGCGATTTTTGAAGCGAAAAGCACGACTATTATTACTGTCAGTCAATGGAACCAGGGAAACAAATGAAGAAATAGAATCTTACGCTTCATGTGTGAGCCCATCAGCTGCAAGAATCAAAGGAGTAATGCCAACACTTTGAATGACATTGGCTGCCATGCTGCTGCTGTCATGAAGGCCCAAAGCACCACCGGCAATTCGAGCCAAGCAGAAAAGGTTGACAAAGTACCATGCCAAGAAGCCAGTCCATCGATGCTTGATGAATAGATAATTTGCTACCGGAAGGAGAATAAGATAAACAATGACGTCTGCGATAAATATGCCGTTCATGATGAAGATATTTCAAGTTATACCCGAGAGGCTCCAAAAGAGAATAGAAATGAAACAGAGAAGATGAAGCACCGGTATACCAGAGGCTCTATTGTCTTGGTGGTTGAAATAGAATCCATCCCGGCTTCCCTCCATTCTTATATCTCCCATTTCCCCCATTATCTCCACGTAATCCAGGCTGTTTATAGTATCCTCTTCACTTTGCACTGCCGACACACTCTAATCTTCACGCTAGCCCTATTCGGGAATGCCGCTAGTCCAGTCGCGCTAAACCACATTGGGTATGTACTTCGACCAGCCAATGAGACGCCTCAACACTGCTGCATGTGAGCACCAACGAACACGTCTTAACACCATTTGTTGAGGTCCAAACATCCTTGTTCATCCTCAAACTCCACCCGAGAACACTAAGCCTTGTGATCGACATGCAACCGGTTTCTAGCGCGGTCGTCTCCTAACAGCTTTAGGTTACGACGCCGTCTCCATGGGCTGAGACTATGACCGAGCCGAGTTGGGGGCTGAATGTGGATCTGCATCACCCTCCAATAAACAATGAACAAGGTGGTTTGGCCCCCAAAATGAACACGAGCAACTCCATATTTTAAAGAAAGCCAAGATCCCACAGACTCCTCACGATTCGTCTCCGAACTTCTTACCTTTTTGGGAAGCCGCCAAAACAACAACAATGGTATACAGAGGAAAACCCAGTCCAGGCTGCGAATCATGTCGCGCTCGCAGGCTTAAGGTATGCCCGGTTTCTCTTCACGATTTATAATCAGCTATCGATTTTGACTGAAATAAATAGTGCGATCGACGTCAGCCCTCGTGTTCACAGTGCATCAGAGCGAGAAAGGAATGCTCGGGCTATCAAGACCCAAATGCCGTCCGGTTTTTCGATCAGACTAAGGAAGTGACTAGCAAAGCTCGCTCTCGGGCCCTTGCTCGAAAGCTTGACAAACCACCAGCCACACATCACAGTGACAGTGAACCTGGGACACCGCCATCCCGAGTAGCGGTCTCTTGGCTAAACTCACTCGATGACAACGCCTGGTCTCATGTCTTCACATATTTTGTGGGAGATGACCCAAATCAAGGACTACTCGCCTTTTTACCTGAGTTGTTGCGTGGGAGTCCATCAGATTGTCTTCGGGCCATAACCAAGTCTTTGGGACTAGCATGTGTGTCTAGAATTCATGGACATCAGGAGGCGAGGCGAGCGTCAAATGAACAATACAGTATAGCTCTTCGACAGACCAATAAGGACTTGCAAGATCCAGTCACTGCCAAAGCCGATTCAACATTAGCTGCTGTGGTATTGCTGAGTTTGTACGAGGTAGGATCCTATCTACGTCGGCAATCTATACTTTCTTCAATATGAGCTTTCTAATTCGTGCCGCAGATAGTAGCATGTAATGAAGCCGATATTGTGGACTCGTGGATGAATCACGCTCGAGGAGCGATGAAGCTACTGGAAATTCGAGGTGAAGAACAACTGAACACCCCGGCTGGTATGGATCTTTTTACTACTGTGCGATTGCAAGTTGTGGGTTACCCCCTGATCCCGCCTATCACAATGATCAAACTTTAACATCCCACTTCCAGACTCTCGCCAATATTTACTACAGAAAAGACTTCCATACATCACCGAAAATTGCGGCCTTGTCGAAAGCTGCAAGGGCCGAGCGTATAAAGACCTCCCAAATTGCCGTCCGCAGTGGGGCTTCCCGTCCTACTCCAAACAAGCCCTCACAGGGCTGGGACTGGTCAAAAAGAAGCAATACCGGCTCGCCAGAATATATGCCGATGCCTGCGTCTTCCAATGATGGCGACGCCCCAAGTACTCCTGCGGCTTACGATAAAACGCCACTCCAGCCCGCGGAAAATGCTAGATACGAGTACCAGCCCATTGAGGATTTCTACGACATGCTCCTTAAATTCAATAATTTATCTATTGAAATAGAAGCAACCTATCATCGAAATCAATTCAATGCAAATATAGTCCCGTTGATCGATGAAGCGCTCCAGTTGGATACAGATTTTGGCGCATGGGCGATGACATTCCAAGCAGTATGTGGCTACAGGGTCTGCCGTGCCTCCTCGCCTATTTCCAAAGGCGGCACCACATTCCCAACCCACAGCGATGAATACCATATATACCCATCCATGCGTCTGGCTACGTTTTGGAACCATTATCGGCAGGCCCGGATCTCTCTCAACGAGATGATTGAAACGATGGCCTTTGGCATGTCTCAATTCATGGCTGTTCCACGGCTTGAAGGCGTCATACTCCAAGCAATCGCTACTAATAACCGACTGGTCAATGATGTCTGTGCCAGTGTTACCTACTTTTTCAATTCAGCTCCCGGTCTTTTTGGGGGCGTCGCTCGTCTACCCTGGCCATTATTCATTGCAGCAGGTAGCATACACGCGTCGCCATATACACAGAACTGGATTGCAGATGTATTAGAGGCCATTGCCAGATGCTCCGGCGTTCATCAGGCAAATGTTATGGCTTTGCGCATAAGGATGGGGCTTTATAGCATTCAAGGGGGAATGATCCCTGGGAAGAAATAGAAGGAATTGAAGTTCGTCGGATAGGGCATAATACAGTCCATCATCTAGTTATTATCTACTACTTTCTTGTACATAAATGCGAATACTCTACAAATAATGACGCCACGAGATTTTCTTCACTTGGCAATATGTCAATCTACCCTGTCTGTCCCGGTTAGACTTGGTTAAAACCCACCCCTGAGTAAACATCGGCAATAAAAAATCTCATCCTTCTCCATTCTCCCGCTAATTCTACGCATTCAAGGACGCCCCAATTACGTATGGCTCGATGCATGTTCGGATCTCCTCGACGCCCCCATGCCCTTCTCTACTCACCTATAACAAGACACCGGGGAGAAAGGAAGAACCCGCTTAAAATTAAGGAAGTATAAGCTATGGATTGCCAATTTCCGATCCAATTATGGCGTTGGCCAGATCCAGTCATCAGGCTATTCTAAGATAGGAAATAATACTTTCCCTCACGATGATTGGAGATTCATCGCTCCACAGTATGCATCTGGCATGACAAGGCCACCTAGTCTGCGTTCAAGCGGGTCTTCGGTTCCCTCAGCATCTATCTCGCAATCTTAATATGTTTCCAATGCATTCTGAAACCAGTGTGCGCGTGCACTGCCTCTTCTTATATTTCAACTTCCTGGCCTCCATCTAGGCATATCACATCACGAAGATCCCATAGGAGAATATCGCTTTGCATTATAACGAAGCTCCATCTGTATCTTTGGATGTCTCCGATATATTTCACAAATTCGTGCAACGAGGACGAGACGGTTATTGTATGGAAAACAACATTTTTCTGAACCATGTTTTGCGACTTCTTGGATTTCAGTTTTATCTAACTGGACCACGATTGTTCAGAGATCCTAGTTAGTCAAATTCAGGTTGGACCGGCTGGGAAGTATGAAAACATACTGTCTTTACCTTCTCTCCGGATATTAATATATTAAAATACGCGATAGGGAACACGCAATTAACATCATCACTCTTGCCGATCGTACTCAGTACATAATGGATGTAGGATACGGCGGTGATGGCTCAGCTACACCATTGCCCCTGCTCTCCAACAAAATCACTCCCAATATTGGCACACAAGAGCTTCAGTTACTGTATGGAAGCATGCCAGGTCTCTTGGAAGGACAGGATAAGCTTTGGACATATCAGTTCCGGAATGGCATTGATCAACCCTGGAAATCAGCATATGTTTTCTACGAGATTGAGTTCTTTCAATCGGATTTTGAAATCATGAACCTCTACACCAGTCACAGTCCATCGTGCTTTTTGACGTCCAGGATAAAAATTTCGAGAACAGAGGAGAAAGTCTTTGGCAAAGTCATACTTGAGCAAGAGAAGCTCAAGGAGAATTTAGGTGGCCAAGACATGCAAAGCAGAGCAGGAGAGAGTTGAGGGATTGCAGGATTACTTTGGAATCTCCCTTACTGCAGACGAGCGAGCTGGTATCTTGGGCAAGAAATCGGTATTGCCTATTTAGTAAGTCGATACCTCACCTGAACAACAGGTACCGACGGCTGTTTATGCTAGTCACTGAGCGTTTTAAGCACATTGAATATTTTTATCCACAACCAATATTATCATTGATGATATGCGAGACCCCGATATTATTCCCTCTCCGACTCCGCTCACGTGTGCGGAGATACACGGTATCCCGAATTGGAATAGCCAGCAGTACATGAATAGGTTCTTCTCTTGAGTTGGCAATTTTCGTGTAATGACAGAAACTAAATGTAATTCCTGCTTTGAGAGACTCGCATGAAAATTCTATATATAACCTTATCTGTTGCCATAGGTAAATCAGGTGTTATATAGACCAATGACGTAGGGTTATAACTGATCGACAAAGCTTCATGTACGTGGTCAGAGCTGGATCAATATCCTAATCTGCTACATATGGACCAGATTAGGTTATCACAAAATAAATGCACCTCCTCATATGCTGAATCCACGTGAGCGGTCCCGTCTCCGTGAAACTCAATCATTGAGATCAATGCGACACAACTTTTAAATGAAGAGTCACCCCGTGCGGGGTCAATAGCTCGTCCATTTTCACTTCTACCTTTTTCTTTCCACAGAAATCAAAATGGAAAGCTTCGACGTCGCGATTGTAGGACTCGGTGTTCTTGGAAGTTCAGCAGCATACCATGTGTCCTTAAAAGGTGCAAAAGTACTAGGACTCGAGCAATTTGAATTCGGTCACGTCAAAGGAGCATCCCATGATACGTCAAGAATTGTACGAAAGGCCAATTCTGAACCGGAATATGTCGCCTTGGTCAAATCCGCTTATAATGACTGGGCGGAGCTCGAAAAGCTCACGGGCCAGAAACTCTTGACCAACACCGGTGGCTTGACCTTTCTGCCTAGCGATGCTCCTATCCCCGTGGATAATTATATAAGGAGCTTAAAGTCCAACAATGTCCCTCATGAGGTCTTGAGTAGCCAAGAAGTCAAGAAGCGATGGCCGCAGTTTGATATCCCTGATACTGTGACATCGATTTATGATCCCGATTCCGGAGTTGTGCATGCAGCTAAGACTGTTGCGGCGATGCAGCATCTGGCACGGTTCAAGGGTGCTGTTCTCAAGGAGCATACTCGTGTCGATCGCATCGTTCCTGGAAATGGAGTTACGATTCAAACGTCGAATGGAACCTTCCACGCGAAGAAAGTTATCTTGACCACCGATGCCTGGACTAATAAGCTTATCGAACCACTCGGTGTTCACATTCCTCTTCGCGTCTCTCAAGAACAAATCACCTACTTTAAGCCCACAGCGCCGGCCGACTTTGAAGCTCCAAAATTTCCATTGTGGATTTGGGCTGGGCCACAGAACTATTATGGCTTCCCTTGTTATGGTGAGCCAACGATTAAGGCAGGGCATGACTGTGCGAATAATTTTATGATGCCCGAGGAACGTACGTTTGTGCATTCTCCTCGTCTCGCTGGCGAGCTAGTGGAGTTCATGCAAAGGTTCATGCCTGACAAGGGCCGTGAGCCGTTGCGAACAATCACTTGTCAGTATAGTGTCACACCGGAACGTCGCTTTATTATCAGCCCATTGGATAAGCATCGCGATGTTATTCTTGGCCTTGGTGCAGCGCACGCTTTCAAGTTTGCCCCGGCTTTTGGTCGTGTCCTGGCTGAGCTAGCGGTGGATGGCAAGACGAATGAGGACATCTCTAAGTATGGGATCCCAAAGAGCGCAGATGGCCAGAGCAAACTTTAGGAAAGTAATTAATTAATCTAGTTTGCGTTTTCAATGAACTTTTTATATTGAATGGACTTTGAGTGGACTAGATGAGCTGAATGATAATGCCAAGTCATTTTGAATGAATCTTCTCTGCACCCCAGTATATCTAGTAGAAGTTGTCTTCCTTTCAAAGCCTGTAGACTATGAACGCGCCCCAGACTGAGGATATACTGTACATCTCAGAAGTTCGTAGCAGAACCAATATCCTCCCACTCATCACAGATCTTCAACTTTGCCTGTACATTCCCGCGAATAAATTCGAAAGCATCAGATCCCAAAGGAAGCCACAGAGGTAATTCCATTCCTTCACACTGCCCAGTACCCTTGACAGCATCGACAATAATATCACCCGCCTTTCGAGGATCGCCCGGTAGGTGTCCATCAAAAGCATTACATTGATCTTGGGCCACCTTGTTCATCTCGGCATAGTCCGGTAATGGGTTCGGTGCCCGCCAATGAATGTTTCCAGGTGTGAAGACTTTGGTGTTGAAGAATCCAGGTGTTAGTATGGAGGTTCTAAGGCCGAAAGGTGCGACCTCGACCGCGATATTAGGAACGATGCCCTCGAGTAAGCCTTTCGCACCAATGTAGGCGCTAGCGCCGGGTGTTCCAAAGTATGCTCCCACAGAGGACATGAAAAGTAAGGTACCAGTGCCCCTGCTACGCATATAAGGGAGAAAAGCGCGAGTGAGATTGAGTGGTCCAATTGCATTGTTTCTCAGAACACAAGTCAAGAATTCTTCACTGTTGTTGTAGTTAGGAAAAGCCAAGAGATTTGTAGAAGTTATTGAGAGTGTTTAAATCTTACTCGATTTCCTCGAATATTCCACCGTCAATATATCCAGCATTATTCACAAGGATGTCCACTTTGCCGTAGATAGACCATGCTTCTTCGGCTTTCTCTTTAATGACAGACTCCGAAGCAGTAACATCCAACTCCATGACAGCAGCGCCCGCTTCTTTGAGGGGAGCCAGGCGCTCCACCGCGCTTTTCTCTCTTCCTCGCGCTGTTGCGATGACTCGATCGCCCTATTCCGTGCGATGTTAGAGCTAATCTACATATGTTCCATATATTAAAGGGTTAAACGTACCTTTGCTAGGATCGCGTGGACTAGACTCTCGCCCATGCCGGACGTGCAGCCAGTTACAAGCCATGTCAACTGTTCAGTCATGTTGAAAGATCGCTGGGCATAAAATTTCAGTCAGTTTTTCTCAGTATACCGAAGTAAAAAGGAGTGAAAGAATTCCAGAGAAAATGCGACCGCAAGATGTTGACTTCATAATCTTCGGGCGTCATGCATCTTGCTAGATCAAGGTGGATACACCCCGTAAAAGCGTCGTTCAAGACATTTCAGCTCCTCAGCTCGGCGATCCTGCATTCTTTTCGTATAATTAGCCATTCACAATTCTGCAAAAAAGTGGGTCCCTTTTTCTAGTGCTTATCCCGTCATCGATTTATGATCAACCATGGCTAAGATGGTTCCGATATTTAGGCTCAATTCCTCAGCCCACCACAAATTGGACGCCTGAATTCATCAATCTTGAACATTGGAGTATAAAATGATTGTGAAATATCCACCAACAGTTCCAATATCGTTACTGAATGTCAACGCCAACATTAAATTATCCACAATGCCATGGACCCCAGTCGCAGCATATCATTACGAGCGCCCCTTTGACGCGCTCGAAACTCTCCATCGAACAGTCGCAGGGAGTCACAATTCAACAAGCAGCATTATTTTCTTACCAGTGCAATCAAACTGAAACATCCACCCTCAATCCCAGACTTGGAACACGCATGGACGAGACTCCGACATCAATGCCCGAAAATCGCAACAGTCCCGGACATAACAGGGACCCGACAGGTCTATACAGTGCCTTCTGAACAGCAAACTAAAGATTGGATTCTCGCTACATTTCACGTACACTCAGAAGTCACTACAAATGCTGAAATATTCGATTCAATTCTTCTCTCATCAAGTGATTTCATGCTCCACTACATACCCCATTCTAATGAGCTTTTGTTCCGCAGCCCACACTGGCGCATTGATGGCATAGGCCTAATTCTCCTACAGAGTTGCTTTCTGACTTTCTTAAACAATAAATCTTCTTCCGTTCCAGACATTGACGGCTATGAGATAGGCCATCTTCCTCCATGTTTGGAAGGAGAACTCGGGTTCTCGCTCAATATCACCGAGGAAATGCGCAACGCTGCGCACGCAGAACTTTCTGTTTTGGCGCATGGGTTACCTCCTGCATCTATAATGCAAAGCATCATGAATGTGACTACACATGGCACCTCTCGGAGAGTGAGTCTTCGCTTCGCTAGCAGTACCAGTGAGAAGATATTTGCTGCGAGCAAGAGCCGCGGCCTGAAAATAACGACCGCGGTTCAGGCAGCTCTTTCTTACAGCACGACAGTGCATAGCTCCACAGATCGGGGCTCTGATGTGTTTTAATACATACAGTATTCGACATTATCTTCATAAATCCTGGAGTGGTCCTCAAGGGGCAACTGGAGTGTACCATACAGGGAGATCATTCAGCGTAGATTTGAGTTTGCATACGGACTTTTAATCTTTTGCCAAATCTCGACGTGCTCACTATGAGCGAGATTTTAGCCCACTTTTTGACTTCATGGTACCTATGTACAACATGTTCAGAGAGCGTTGGCCGCACCATATGAACTTGTTATAAACGCACCAGGTTCCGCACCCCCGGAGATGGACTCCTTGGGTGCGGTTGATGATCGACTTCAAACACGATTTGAGGGTCCATTTGCTACAATCGAGATAGAGAACTGGTGGTTAGGTGTACATGTCGCGAGTAGAATTCTGCAGACATATGCATGGGCTCGGGATGGGAAGTTGGAACTCTCTTGCCACTACAATGATGCGTTTTACAAGCGTGACTTTGTTCGAGAATTCTGCAAACACTGGGTATTGATATTAAAATGTGAGCTAGTTCCCGACCTTGGCATGGTCATGGTTGATGAGTTTCGAGAAATCAATCATCAGATAATCCAAGAACCCAAAATACCTCATCTCGAATAACCTCAGGTGCCACATATTGTAAATTGTGCGTTCTTGCGTCTCCCCGAGCGTAGACGAATCGACTCTGACTAGACATTTGTAAATGAGCACGCTGGCCTTGTTCGTCAACTTTTTCCATGTCCTCCAGTCGACGAGCCAAGTTATCTTGAGCCTGTTTTGTTCCAAATCCATGTGCGATGCCAAAATCATATAATTTCTGGAAATCAATCGATTCATTTCCAAATATCACACTCAAACGGTTGTCGCCTAGAGCCCTGGGTCCTTCGGGTATGGCATCGTTGACCTTCTCGGTGCTTGCGACCATGAATGATTCCTCCAACTGTGCAGTAGGCAGGTTGCGATGTCCATCCTCTTTGACAGCCTCGTACTCTTCGGTAGACAGAACGTGGTTTTTATCAAGTCCAACAATAGCGGGATATTCGGAATCGCCCACCAAGCTGGGCCAATCTGATGGTAGTGGAGTTCGAACTCGACTAGAATCGACAATCACCATTCCAGCCACTTTTTCCTTTCCATGCTGTCGCAGAAACTCTCGGACAAGAACACCGCCATATGAATGGCCCACGAGTACGTACGGGGGTTCAACATTTGCATTTTCGAGTAGGTGGGTTAGTTCCATTATCCGGTTTTCAGCTGTTAGGGGATCGGGAGATGGATCGCTACGCCCGTATCCTGCCCGGTCGTAAGCGTAGACCCTTGCCTTTTCAGCAATCAGTCGTTCCACTGCAATCCATTCGCGTTCTCCACTGCAGAGGCCTGCTTCAATAATAACTGCAGGCTGGAGGATGCCATTCGTTGATTGTCTTGTCGGTCCTGATGCAGAGAGGTACAGTCGATGAGCCCCAATAGAGAGCGTGCCATGGCGTGTTCCGATTGTCCAGGATACCTGAGATTCCTTCATGGTATATTATATTGCCTTGTAATCTTAAATAACTCGTTCAAAAACAGTTAAGGGACATGGGAGAGAGCTGTCTTTGTTGAAGAGAGCCGGACATAGCGACGTGTCAATGCCTGCCTAGAAGTGGGGAAGGTCATTTTCGGCCCCATTGATGCGCACCAATACGCATCGTGAATTATGGCGGGATGTAATAGACTTAATAGGGCAAAATGAACGATTAGAATGTAGAGGATAATATGGAAAAGGAGGCAATGTGAGGTGTGATTGCAACCGTTGAGGTATCTAAGTACAAAAGCTTCCCCAGTCTCCTCCTTTTCTCCGCCTTCCACTCATCCCTTGGCATCCACATCACCATTCTCCAACCACCTCAATCTTCAACACCCCCCCACTCCCGCCAACACTTTGTCACTGTCGCATCATTAGCTCTTGTTTTCTCCCAGTGGCAGCGGGTCACTCATCTTTTTTTCTCTTCTGCTCCTAACATCTCCATTGGAGAAACGGGCGATGTTTCCCACCAACCAACTAGAACAAGTTAGTCAGCGATGAATACGAAAGGGAATCAAGCCAAGAGACACTTCCCCCCATCGCCCAACCAGGAAGCCACCATATGTCCCGCTGCATGGACTGCCTCGCTGCATGGACTGTCCCGCTACATGGACACGATCTTCGGCGATCGTCGGATCGTTCGTTCGTCGGTTCGGCCCGGTGGCGACGTTCCCGTCAACCATCTATAATGAGCAGGGTTAGTCTGAAATCATGTCAATCATGTGGGGAAATATAACCCCCGTCGCCCGCCTTGGTAGCCAACATGGGCTACGCTGCTGTACCCTCGGCTCGGATCGGTCCTAGATCCTAAGAAAGAAGAAGCAGGTCTGGCGAACATCATCCGTATGTTGCTCACCAGTCGGTATCAGCGAAACTCAACATCAAAGGGTCAGGGGAACTCGCCTTTTTGCCTGGCATGAAGCACTCAATGGTGGTCGAGGTTTCCCACCAACCACCTAAAAGACTGTTAGCATAGATCTTTTAAATGTCGTCGCTGCCCTAGGGATGCTTACCCCCGTCTCCCATCAATAGAACCATCATATGCCCCGCTACGTGGACTCGATCATCGGTGATCGTCGGTTCGTCGGTTCGTCGGTTCGTTCGTTCGTCGAGTCGGCCCGGTGGCGACGTTTCCCACCAACCAACTTACAGATTGTCAGCATAGATCTTTCAAATGGTGTCACTGCCCTTTGGAAACTTACCCCCGTCGCCCACCAACAGAACCGCCGTGAGCCTGGCTGCTAGGCATTCGGTATTCGATCTGTGATGAATTATCTAGCGCAAAAGGGCAGGAATCGCGAAATTCCTGCCCTTGGGGCAAATGGAGAGCAAAAGAAAACAAAAGAAAACAAGAATGAGCCAGGGCACGCAAGAGGACCGAAGTCTTTTTTTGGAATTTTCAAAACTTTTCATCGTGAATCTCACCGGGGCATAAAAAGAAAAGCAAACTCTCCCAATGATCAAAGTTACATGAACAGATAGGCGATTCCCATTATGGCGGCCATAATACCAATAGCCTTCGCCTTGGAAGGGCCCGGCTGACTGGTGACAATCAGTGTGTGCTTACGCTCTGGCTCGTCAGGGAATGCGCCAACCATCCGAAGTACTCGATCATCGACTTCCGGCTCATACACTGGAACGGGGTCATAGTAAGCATGGGGGAGGGGGTCGATCCAACGCTCAACTTCAATCACAGTCTTATCGCCAAATTGAACGGACCGATCATTATCCTTGCGAGGCCCATCGGGTTTCTTCAGAATACCTTTGAGGGGGGCACTTGCAGGTGAAGGAACGGGAAGGGGAGTAAAAACGGGGAATGGAATCAACTCAGGGTAGGAGACACGGACAATAGGAGCTGGGGTAGGAGGCGGATTCCTAAGCTCGGCTTTTCTAGCAAGGAGATCGGCTTGGCGCTGACGGGCAACTGCAGCAGCAATCTGTCTGTAGTCCCGAGGCCTACGTCTCTCCAAGTGATCGGCCTCATTGCGAGGGTGAGATGGGGGGGAACAGAATCGATAGAGGGAGTTCAAACCAGGAAAATAAATCGGAGCATCGCCGACCTTCTCCGCCTTGAAACCGAAACCCTGGAGGGAGACGGACTGGCCGCGAGAGGCGTTGATACGACGAGCGCGGGAGACGTTGGAAATGCGTGAGATGACCATCACGCCGGCAACGAGAGGAATTGGGGGATGTCGGAGTATGAGAAAATAGAGAGAAGGAGAATCGAAGAAGAGATGTCAGAGACAATAAAACGCCAGGTGGGGATGCTAACTTTAGAACGAGGTTCAAAGCAGTAGGACCAAACGGTATGGGAAGGGGAGAAAAGGAAGAAGAGTTTGGATGGAGAAGAGGAGGCTTTATAAACACAACAATGTTACAATCCATGGATTTGTTGGGGAAACCACGACAACCAACAACTTACCCCGGAAACCACGAAACCACGACAACGAGCATCACCGCCGAGGAATAACAATTGCCCTTTGATGGTGAATTATGAATCCATGGCAGAATCAGCTAGTTCATGAATATTACGTGCACATCTGGCTAACGATACAGCATAATAACACAACCACAACATTGGGAGTCTATCATCTCTACATGTGCATGAACTGACATATGCAGGGTCGGCAAGTATGAGCCCTAAAACGCCACACCTTAATTTTACCAGGCATCAATAAGTCTGTTTACATCACTTCCCTGTTATTTAATGGGATTCTAGTAATTGTACAACTCAATGATCATACAGAGCAGCAGAATGGAGTTCGGTGTCAAATGTAAACAAACCAGCTCTTTCCAAACAACATTCAACTCCTGCCCAGAGCTGTATTGTAAACAAACCTCAACTTCCAAAACAATACATAATACACAATACCCGAAGGCAACCAAGGCAGCAATGAGCACCTGGGCAACACAACAACACAACAACACAACAACACAACAACACAACAACACAACTTGAATCGGACGGTAATAATAATGCATCTCCAGTAGCAGCACCAGCGCATATCCTTTCAGATCCCCCAATACTTCCCACAACTTGGCTCATTTTCCCTTTGACTTTTCTAATTGGTAATTGTAGTTGCTCCAATTGCTAGAATACCAATGTTCGTGTGAATAGCCCTAAGTGTATACTAGTATAAGCTTAAGTATAGCGTGATGCGGCTGAGACCGAGATTCGCTGACGTCATCCTCATCGTCAGATTCTCAATTCAACCAACTCCAACTCCACGTGTGCACACTCCACACTACATTTTACTCGAGTCTCTTTCACCAGTTGAATCTCCGGTTGCATCCTTTCTTTCAATCATACAAACCTTCCCTATCCAATCCCAATATACAGGCAATAAACCCAAACTCCCCGAAATAGCACGGATTAAGGAAATTGCGGGCCGTAACTGCGGGCCCAAACTCGTGCTCTGCTTCCTTCACCTGTGCCGATCGCTGTCTGGCGCACGAGCTCCATACCAGCCACACCTTATGCAGCATACCCACCCCACATAGATCGGTTCAATATGAGGGAGGACGATTTACTCGTGAAGCTTCGGCAGGTCATACAGTATGTGAAACTCAGACTCCTTACTCGTGCCCCCTTTTTCTCTCTCTCTCTCTCTCTCTCTCTCTCTCTCTCTCTCCCCCTTCCACACTCAATTTCTAACCTCACTCTTTCGCATTCAGAGAACCCCACGCAAGCATCCATCGCTTAAATCTCTCACGAATTGCCCTCTGCATCCCTCCTCAAGTCCACCAGCCATCCCTCTACGCTCTAGGAATATCGCGCTATGCCGAAATCTTCTATGGAATGGAAGAAGTGTGGGTCGCTGTCATTGGTGATCCAGCCGATTGGATCGATCGCGCGACCGACGATCGTATCGCCGATTCCTCTCCCTCCCCCTCTCCGTCTGACAGCGATGGACGCCTAACATCCTTACTCCGCCTCTTATATGTTCCGGAGCTCCTTCGAACGCGGGCCTTACAGGCCGATCTTTCCTTTTTGGGGGCGATGGACCCCATCAACGCGCGATTGATTCATAGTCAAAATCCTGGGGCTGAGATAAGGGGATATCTGAATCTCGAGGTTCGCGATAAGCCACACCTCCTTGTGGCTTGGATATGGATTCTTTATTCGGCTATCTTGTACGGAGGCTATGAGATTCAAGCAAAGCTACTGAAAGCTGGTGCAAGTTTCTGGGATCTTTCCGAGAAAGAATTGAAGTTGAACCGGACACCTTGCCCTCTCTCATTCTGGCATATCGATGATGCCGTCACGGTCAAGAAAAAATTTCGCAATCTGATGGTTCATGCCAATCGGTTGTTGACGCGTTCGGAGCAACAAGACATTATTGACGAGTCGCTCCGCATTTTTCAAGAACTCGAGGGATTAACTTTGAGCCTTGACGAAGAGGCGAAAACAACACTGCGTTAAAAGGATTATTTTCATGATGAAGAACACGACCATTATTAACTACATTCTAATGATTTCCAAGATACCCGAGCTTTACACATGCGAGCTTGCAATGAAGACTTTTTCTTTCAAATATTTATTAGAACTCCTTGGCATGGCATAATAGCATACAGCGCATTGTCATTGTACTTATACTTGTATATGATACTGATAACAAAACTACACAAAGATCAAAATAACACAGTAGAAGAAGCTCTCCATAAAATTCTTGGTGATAGTTTCAAGTTCTAGTCAAGGTTCGCACTATCCAACATCACGATGCATAGCTATAGTCCAACGAGCGTATTCGCATAAAATCATATCCGCAAAAAGTCGTATAATCTGCAATCTTGGAGGAATTCTCGCTCCATCGTATCCATTAAGTGTCAACCGAAATGTATCAAGACATCTTCGCATGCCTAGCAGCCTAGAAACTGAGCAACCTAGCAACCAAGCTGTCCGTGGTTGTTGCTGATGCACTTGTCTTTAGGTTGATTCCTCATGTTAGCTTGAGTCATTTATATAACGATCGTCTCTTACTCCAACTTGGAGGAGTGGAACTTACTCAGGTCAATGTGAGTAGGGACAAAGCGGTGGCCCTCCTGAACGTTGCGGCACATGCAGTAAAGCTCAGTTGAACCTCGAAGGCTGCAGTTGATGCAGGAGCCCTGGAAGTCTCCACTGGGATGGGTTAGTATCATTATTGATGGCATGTTGATAACTGAATCTTACTTCTTTCCGCACTATAATTGATTGTTAGTACTTGTTATTCCGGGACTGCTCGGTTCTAGGCGTGAACATACCTTGAGAGATCCTTTGCCGTTCTTAATACACTCATTCAAGTTGAGAGTGCTAGGACGAAGCTCTCCGTTCTCGAATTCACGGCAGCTGGCGCGGAGTGTGTTGCCAAAGGTTTCGACGTTCTCACAGGTCTGGGCAAACTTGGAGGCGGCAGAAACGGTCATGGCATAGAGGGAAATGAGTCCGATGGTCTTGATAGAGAACTGCATGATTGCGGACTGGGTATATTGGATATGGGATATCGGGTATATGGTATGTAAAGTGGGATTGAATGAAGAGTGCTTTTCAACTGGATTGCTTTTGAGTGATGAAGACAGGATTGGGCGTACTACAGCTTCTTATTTATATTGGGTTCTGGGCACTTTGGAGATAGGCGAGCTCCTACTACGTAGTGATGTCTCGCAGGGTTGTTGGTATTCGAGCTCATGATGCTGATAGACCGACTTGCCTACATGAAACCACCTCGAGCTCTCCAGTACTCCTTGCGTAAGGAAAGTGCCCCATCAAAATGCGGTCTTTAGTCAAGTGTAGGTCACTTGAGATCAAAATGCATGCATGGACTTTTTGTCAGTGACGTAGTACTAGCGAGCGAGGCTATAGACTCGAGGGAAATTACTCTGCGAGCCTTGAAGTGCTGGCAATTTTGCAAGACATCATCCTAAAGATAGAGATATATAATCCCGAACTTGACCCATTGTCGTTCGAACTATGAAAGTAGATAATAAGACGGACGTACATTTAATTTGGGAATGCATTCGTGCATGGCCAGTCCATAGTATGAGTATATTCTGTAATTTCTTTTGAAGTGGAATTTCTCGCTCCATAGATAATACCGAATTAACTTCATGAAATCACACGCAATAGCTCAGCCATCAACTATCGGTCTGTTATCACCGACTCCTCGGAGCTAGTTCTATCCAGGGGTACGCAGATCACCAACTCCACTATGGAGATCAGGGCTCACTGCAAGGGGCCAGCCCACTGCAGAGCAGTTACCCACATAATCAAGCACAAAGCTCTACAGTACACTACATACACTCTTACCTCATCTGTAAAACCGAACCAATGAGATTTTGAAACATACGCTTTGACAGCATGATTGGCGCCACTGCATGGCTTCCATTTACCCAGAAGACCCACGATGCCTGCACGTCCAGCCTTGCGCTGTTCCAGCATTCCCCACGCCAACCCCATGTCGAACAAAAACTTGGAATGTCTTTCATTGGCATATTTCTATGAGGTTTTTCCATGTGGTTTATCCCTTGGTTTGGCCAGTCGGCACCACTTCCGATCGACTGTAATCTCTAACGACAAGCGACTTGCTTCTTAAATTTGGCGGCTAAAAAAAAAAGAGAAATAAGGAGATAACATGTAAAACATCTTAATTAAACAAGTGTTTCTAACAACAATTCTTTTTTTTTTTTTTTTTTTTTTTTTTTTTTTTCGTTTGTTGTCCTACCAACGTCGCCCGGTTAATCGCACTTGCCAGCCCAGCCAAAGGAGCAAAACCTGATAATAGGCTAGACACCAGTACTTGGCCATTTTACAAGGATATTGAGGTTAGCCTCCAGGATAGCAAGACGGATTCTTGGCTTTAGCCTTGGCCATATCTGCAAAATGTGAGGGTGGGATGGTCAAGCTAGTCGGCCCGGACTACTACCAGAAGGATCAATGACCGGAGAAATTTGCCTGCTCTTGATCCTTGTTCTTCGTATCCAAAAAAACTCATTTCATTCATCTTCAGCCGACGAAAAACATGTTTTCAATTTAACCGTAAGACCTGGAGGCCTAATTTCTTCCAAGTCGTGGACCAAGCTCACAAAGCAACAAACCACAATACGAGAAGAGGACCTAAGTGGCGAGACATTCGAAGAAATCCCACCCAGGGATGCTTCTCGCTACTTTGATCCTGAAAGTCCATTCAATTTGAACCAAAATTCTACGTTCATTACCCCATTCGTGGTTTTCATCTCGGAGGATCCGCCGTGCCGTAGACAATCCGGGGAAAGGGACTACAGTGTGGGGCTTAACTATGCCAACGCCGCTAGAGCTTCGCTTCCGCAAGTTTGTAACAACCAACCAGTTAAACTCACCCAAACCCGGTGGACAGCCTCGGAAACCTGCCTGAAATGATCTAGGGCCGTGCTTTTCGTATTACTTACTTTCTTGCCCTCTCCACATCCAATCGCTTCGAAACACTCGGCGCCCCATATCATTTTAGTTTAACAATTGATCCCTATTCAGCTTCACGGGCTGAAAGCCATGGGCACCGACCACAAACGCTTCTTTTTCAACACCATATGACTCCTATATTCACGGCAGTTAATTCTGATTTAGCCTGAATATGGGGTTTACAGCAGTCAGATGAGAGGTTCAGGGTTCTTGCCTCTATTCTGAAGAGGGTTCAGCCTCTGAGAATAAGACTGGGGATTCATAGTGGGGCATGCTAGAGGCTTGGTACTCTAAGCTCATTCTTGTCATTAGAGAACCGATAGACTCGGGATGTTTGAATTTATCCTATTCTTCCGTAAGCTTGGACGCTATTTTTCCATCTTAGCCACCCTCTTTGGTCTTAAATACCTCCTATATGCCTTCGGGGGATGCATATTGTGGAGTTCAAGGCTGATACTCTTTCCATTACATTTGGAGCTCTCAGACCAGACCACACATCGACACAGTCTGAAGGATAGCAAACAAAATGGGTAAAGACACTTTTGAGTTGGGAGGCCAGGAATGGCCAAAGGTCACTTGGTGGAAGATGAAGGGCATGCGCTTCGTTTATCTTACCCTGTGGGCGGCCATGATCACATCCGCCACCAATGGTGAGTATTTCGTCCCGCTCTCTATTTTCTATTCTTTCTAACGACCATTATCAGGTTATGACGGATCTTTGATGAACGGATTGGAATCCATCGAGTCATGGAATGAATGTACGCGTTGAAATATTCTGATTCCGGCGCGGAAACACATTATCTAACTGATTATTCTTTTATTTAGCCTACAATTATCCCCAAAAGGCGACTCTCGGACTTCTAGCAGCTTCGATGTCAATTGGCTCCATGCTTTCCATCCCGGTTGTTCCTTACGTTGCCGATATTTACGGTCGTCGCGTCGGGGTAGTTGTTGGCTGTATCATTATGCTCTTTGGCGTCGCTATGGTCTCGATCGGATATCGTGTTGCACTTTTCGTCGTGGGGCGCATTGTCCTTGGCTTCGGACTCGGAATCGCACAGGTCGGCTACATGTTTTTCTCTACCAAAACTGTCTATTTGCTAATAATTTCCAATAGGAGTGTTCACCATTGCTGGTAACCGAGTTGGTTCACCCACAACACCGAGCCGTATACAGCAGTATCTACAATTCGCTGTGGTACGTTGGAAGTTTGATCGGCGCATGTGTTGCTCTAGGTATGTTTCCAATCCTCTGGTATTGTCTCTAGACACCTTCCTTACATGCGACCAATAGGCACGAACCACCTTCATAACAGCCCATGGGCATGGCGTGTACCATGTCTGCTTCAAGGCATTCCGTCAATCTGCCAGCTTATATTTATTTGGTGAGCACAATCTACTTTCTTTCGGATGCAGGACTATGTCACTGACTTTAATCCACCTTAATAGGAGTGTACCCGAATCCCCTCGTTGGCTGATCTCGAAAGGACAACTCGAAAAGGCCAAGAAAGTCCTTGCCTACGTGCATGCCCAAGGCGATGAAGATGATGCATTGGTCAATGTGGAGTTTGAGGAGATTCGCCAGACCATTGCTCTGGAGAAGGAGCTTGAGAATAACAGCTGGTCGGAGTTCTGGTCAACCGCTGGTAATCGCCATCGATCCATCATTCTCATCTCGATCGGATTCTTCTCCCAGTGGTCTGGAAACGGAATTGTGTCATACTTCCTCCCTCAGGTACGTATTTATATCTTTTCTGGTCATATTCAAGGCACATGGAGTAAAATCTAACGATCGCAGGTTTTGAAACTCATCGGAATCACCAACAGCAATACCCAACTCACAATCAATCTCATTCTCAGCGCCGTCAACGTCGTATCAGCCACTGGAATTTGTTTCTGGGTTGATTATTTCGGTCGCCGGAAGTTGTTCCTGTTTTCCAGCTGCAGCATGTTGCTCTGTTACATCGCCACCACTATCGCGCTTGCTCGCTTCGATGCCGACAAGCCCAGTACCAATAATGCCGCCGCTCATGCCGTCATCGCCTTCATCTTCCTTTACTATATCTCATACAACATCGGATACAGTGGTTTACTTGTGTCATACTCTTCTGAGATTCTGCCATACCGTCTCCGTGCTAAGGGTTTGACAATCATGTTCTTCTGTGTTGATATGAGTCTTTGGTTCAACCAGTATGTCAACCCCATTGCCTTGGGTGACATCGAGTGGAAATACTATATTGTTTACTGTGTTTTCTTGGTATTTGAGATTTTCGTTGTGTGGAAATACTATATCGAGACCAAGGGAATTCCTTTGGAGGAAATTGTCAAGAAGTTCGATGGTGAAGGGGCTGTTCTGGGTGGAGCCGCGGCTTCAGAGAAAATTCAACAGCTCACTGACCAGGGAGCAGTCTCGACCGGGTACGATGGCGAGAAGGCTGTCACTACCCAGGTTGAACTAAGAGTTTGAGTGGGGCAGTCGGTCGGGGTCGCGATATGTTGATATGATCCATGAAGTCTTTATTGAGACGCGTATTACAATAATATTCTTCCCATTGTAAGGGGATACCAACTTGGATGTCCGAAGGGCCACATTGTAAATTGATTTTGGAATGTCCGTAATTTCAATTATCTAATTCATATAGGTCTATGCTCATGGCTCTCGATTCTACGCCAAACAACGATGATTGGAAGTCCCGGAGCTCTCGGTATGCCATCATCTCACATGTCTATGCCAACAAAGAAGTTGGTCGTATGTCCGCGCAGTTCAGAAGGCCCAGAACGTGAGGATCAGCTCTAAGTTTGAGGGGCTAAGATTTCCTACTGAGCCCAGGCCCTAGGCTAGCCCCTCAGTGGAACTACTGTAGGTCACAGTTCCACAGGGGTCCAGTTCTTAGTCTAGTTCTTAGAGCGACTCTATCCAAGAGGATCGTTGACGTTGAGAGGGGATTCGCAAGGTGATTTGAATTAGTTTGAGCTTTTACATTAATAAAAAATATCTATCCCATATACAACCCTCTTGTTACTCGTCCATGGTGTGGATGTGGGGCTTCCTAGTCGGGTAGTAGCGGTAACCTTCGTCCAGAGGACAAGTCGGCAATAGGGAAGTGGTGCAATGGCTCTGTACCACACATCGGTTATATATCTGCAAATTCAAGCGGGGTTCTAATTCTGGCATGATCGGCTTCTGATGTGCGTTATTTTTTATCGTGATGTCTATACTGGCAGTTACTAGTCCCATTATGGAGGTAGTGAGTCTCCAACCAGAGGTATATCATGATGTCAACTTCAACTTTTCGATCCGACAGGCATTTCTTCCAAAGGCGCCCCTTACTACAAGCTATAAGAGTCAATAAAATACTCTATGACAGCATAAACATACTGAACATGAACCGTAAATTGATTCAGGTACAGTCACATCTTTCTTCCAAGGAACTGAAAATGTAACAAAAATTGAAAATTGGGTCGCCAGGGGTCAATTATGATTGGCTGAGGGTTGAGCCCTTTTCCTGCCAAGAAGCCAGAAAAGTGTTCTGATTGGTCATAATCTCAAACATTTACCCCACATTCATTATGCTATTGACCAATCACACTGCTTTACTCTATTCTGCCCTGGACCACAGTTGACGTATCCATGGCGAAGCAAAACTCTGCGAGTCGCCAGCTCCCACGTAATCGCCCCTGAAAAGCTGAAAAAAGACTCAACAGGCCGCGCTGACTGATTCAAAAATGCAGGTTTTTTAATTGAATAAACGGAAAGTGTTAGGAATAATCCCATGCAGCGGGAAAGACTCCAGTGAAAATAAGGGTTCATGTTCCAGCCCTTAGACACATTGGCTGGTAGACTAAGCGTTAGTCTCATTCAAACGTTCGAAGGATTCTCACTACTAGTGGCCCACATATGAACTACCGGAGAACAAAACGGTCTTTCGCCGTGCCCCATTGCTGACGATGCAGGCCCACTACGGTGTTGGAAGAGTCGGAGTCCATTATATCTCCATTTTTCTCCCTGGAAACTTTAACACCGGTGTCCACCATTACGTCGTTCGCTGCACACACAAAACCTCTGACTGATTTATGTGAAGGAACATCTAAACTTTTCTGCAAGTTTCAAATGTCAATCAGAAGTTCGAATAAGTTTCATAAATCCTCAAGTACGGAGGTATCAGATTTTGAGAATGTGGAGAGAGGAAGAAAGAAAGACTCTATAAAAGTATCGCATTTCTCTGGATTCTAACCCAGGTACAATCCTGCGGCCCCTTAGTCAATCTTGATCCACCCTCGAGACTTTCCTTGGTTCAACGAGAGGCCCACATACACAGAGAAGGATTGTAAGAAAAGATAGGCCCAAAGAATGATTGCATTTTTGCCCACACTACAACAGACCTCCGATTAGTCCTGAGAGGAAGTCGAGGAACCATACAAACCAATCATATTCCCCACCGTTGGACACTCTGGTTCGAACCGCGGATGGATCCCTCCCTAAGTTTAGCGCCAATCGCTTGATCTTATTTTCAGCCATAGATCCACCGGCTGCAATGACCACACGTCAACCCAGAATGCAGGCCCTTCTGGAACTTCCAGATGCCCCATGAGAATTCGTTCTCCTCCTCATTCTTCCCCACCGTCACATTTGTGGCGTCTTGACGTATGCGTCGCCGTGGTCTAAGATCCCATGGGCGACCCATTCAGGTACCAGGCACCGTGGATTGCGACTGGATTCCCCCGTTTGAAAAAAAGGCAAACGTAGCGGGGAATCACAAAGACTCTTCCAGACACAAAAGGTATTTATATCTGGCGTTGACCCCTCTCTTGTTCGTCTTTTCTTTCTTCACCACCTTACATTCTCTTACAACCACACTCATTTGGTTTAGAAGTCTTCAAGAAAACTTCTTGTCATTCATTTACACACTTGCCCTATCTTCGGCATACTTCGAGTCAATCTTTCATTCAAAATGCAGTTCTCCAAGTCTCTTATGCTGCTGGCAGCTCTCACCACTGGTGCTCTGGCTCGCCCAGAAGGCATTGCCCGCCGTCAGGCTACTGCTACATCTAGCTCCTCGACTTCTACTTGGACTGCCGTTCCCTCCAGCAGCAGCTATGCCACCTCAGGCTTTGGCTCTAGCACCAGCGGCTCCGGCTCCGGCGATACATACATTGGCAACGTCGGCAATCCTTACGGCAGCAACATTATCGAGGTTTCCGCTTCTGATGCCAGCTCTTACGAGTATGTTATTCAGTTCCAGGGCTCCAACACTGATGACTGGACCGTTGTCATCTGGAACAAGTACGGCTCCGATGGCACGATGGACGGTTTCTACGGAAACGCCTGTCAGACTTTCACCCTCTCTGCCGGTGCCACCAAGTACTACGCCTTCGATGGCGATTCCCAGGGTGGCTGGGCTGCTGCCGAGGGTTCTTCTGTTCCCACCGGCAGCTCCGGTGCCTACTCCGCCACCTGGGGAGAGTTCGACTTTGGCTCCACCACCAACAGCGGGTGGTCTGGCTTCGATGTCTCCGCTATCCAGGCTCAGAACAATGGCGAGACTGTCCAGGGTATGAAGATCTGTGACGCTCTCGGTTCCACCTGCTCATCCATTACTACCAACGCTGGCACTGTCTCCAACGCTTACACCTCCGCTGAGACTGACATTGGCGGCATTGGTGGCAACTTGGCTGCCGGTCCTGTCCGTCTGGCTGTCACCATTGACTACAGCGGCTAAACGTCGATTGTTGTTTGATTCCATTGCCAAAAATTTTTGCCATGTATAGACATAGACTTTATGACCTTCATTTGCGACGAATTGTGTTTTGATCTCTAACTGAGTTTTCTATTGGTATGGTTTTTTTTTCTTTCTTTCTCTTGTTTATAAGAGATCGAGGCTGGTCCTTTTTTCCCTACTTGATGACGTCTCATCTCTTTTTTTATCCCATGCCAATATGAACTAAAAGATTCAAAAAGAAATTATCTACATCCTCCATAAACATTCTCCATAAGTCAAGTTCATCATAGGATAGGCGTAGATTTGTAGATTCCCATGTGCAATTGTGGCACCGTGGCGGAGATTACCGCATCATTGCATACCGGCCTCCACGAAGGTTGCCTTATACTTCGCGAGATAATCGTCACCATGAATCACAACCAAAAAAGATCTCAAAAGTCTTGCTTTCTCTATGTTTTCCACCTTTATTCAATTGCCAGTACATAGGACTACAGGGTGTGGAGAACAGGGCTTCCCGTCCGCTCAGCCGTGCTTAAGCCACATACTAAACGTGGTCAGTACTCCAAGAGACCTGCATCTCGAAATAGCGTCGCTTTTTGTCTTAGGGTGAGTGCAGGTGATATGGGTGATAATTCTGGAGACTGAGAACGGGGTGAGAAGGGGTGAGAATACCCACCGCGATGCGTTGCCTTCGCTCCGAGCCTGCAAAATCTGCAATGGTAGATAAATAATAGCCCGAGGGTGCAAGTGCAGTCTGCCATTCCTTAGTTTCTTGTTTTAACTCATCAAGTCGATAGAAGATACTCCCAGAAGAAATATAAAAGAAGCTTGACGAGAGAAATACATGTTGTCAGAAGCGGTGGCACAATACTGTATCGGGACCCAGGAATCGGTACCTGGGTTTATTAGTAATCTACCACACAAAACCAGGTACCGTATAAAGATTGAAAATACTTACTCAGCCTAATAGCTTTCAAGGTTTTAATTAGGCTTATGAAGCTATGTAAAAAACAACTCCTAGATCCAGATCTCTAGTTCTATTAATGGTCACAAATAATCATTTTCTGGAATTATCTAGTCTAGCTTGCACACCTAGGTATTGGATTGAGAGGAATTTAGTGACGAAATCCGTAATTGGTGCTGTATATAGGTAACTTCTATGAAGCCTCTCAAGATCTTTATTATTAGGATATCTTGTCTAACCCTTCAAATTACCCTTATCAGAAATACCTAAAAAAATACAATCCAATCTGTATAAAATATACATATCATGGGAGGCTTCCTTGTCTGAACTATTATATGAATTTTAGAGCCCGAGGTGTAATGCCAAAATTCCTGGAGGTTGGCGAACTTATTGCAATGCAAAACTATGGTAGTATTTCTATCGTCGCCCGGTATAGCCCCGAAGGTGGTTGCCATAATTAACAAGCTTACCTCTCGCTTATGATGGAGATATTCTCGATTAGTGGAGAGGGTTCTTAAGTCTTGGAAGCCGCCCAAATGGGGCTAGGGCTTAACTCACGCCTGAGCATGTTTTGGCTGCTTTGGAGAACTCGCTTTGGTGCTGAGATTCACCCCAAAGACGAGCTTTCATGCTCGTACCATCTCTCAACGCCAGGTCAACACTCTGCTTGACCATCCACATATTGAACCCTCGGGCTTTCTCCAATGCCTGCTTTGCCTTGAAGTCGTCCCTCCACAACGCATCCTCACCTCTATGCTGAGGCAGTAGGTCCCACTTGTCCAGACTTTCCTCCCCTCCATTGTAAGGTCGAGCTACGCATAAATTTGATCCGATAAGTTGCTGTCTTACCACTGTGCATTTACTATGATCCAAGATTTCAGACTAGGCTAGTTATAGCCCAAAATGTTAGTTGTCTATTTATGTTCTGCCCGATTAATTTACTTACAAAAAAGTTTGTTTAAAAGTGCTCACTATCTGGCTTTTGGGCAAAAGTCCTCCAGTCTATATGAAATGCAAATACTATATTAGAAAGCTATCTGGTAAATAATAAAGCACTAATAAGTATACTAACTCTTCTCTATTATAGGCCTCCTGCTACCCTTCTTGGCTACAAGCCCTATATCTATGGCTCAAGATGAAACCGTTTATATAGCGGTGGGAAACTTTAGTGGCGTGGGAATCCAGAGACTCATAGATGATGCCAAGAAATACGGAGGATCTTAGGCACCAGGTACCGCCATATGTACTTTGTCTTCCTTCTATCTAGGACAAGTCTGCTGTAAGAATCCTTCCCAAGTATACGTCTTGAAACGGCTTCTAACTTGAAACATGTTGAGTTGGTCCAGACGGAACAACCTGTTAACTGGCTCCTGATGAATTGCATTTTATCTGCCCTTAAGAAATTGGTTCGGGGAAAATACTATTATTATATCTTTATTTTTTTGTCTTTGTTCCGAGGAACTTAGAATAATAATTGAGAGTTGTATGTGAAGTAGCAGAAACGGGGTCACACTGGAACAAACAGCTATTAATAGTCATAGTTGTGGTGAATATTATACATTCATTTAAGACAAGTTATACGCCAATATGGTTTCATGGCATTGATATAATACTTGAGAGTTATTTCATTTTGAGATTCATTGATTTTTGGTTCCAAATACATGTAGAATATACCCCTCTATCTAAGAGTATCACTTTTCCTGAGTCAGTTCCGTCTTCCTCAAATTTCGACTGAGAGAATCACTAAACAGCGGACCACATCTAGAAAAGTGATCATCAGTGTGAGTACATATAACTCGTATTTCTTGTTGAAGCCCCAAACCTTCAGTGTTAGTTATTCTGCACTATCTATATAGTTAGTAGACAGTTAGCTTCTTCATTCAGATCTTCTATTATCACTTACTTCCTTTCTCTATCTTTATCATTCCTCTCTTTTCAATACATTTTTCAAAATCACTGAGCAGCGACCGAGTTTATATCGATCAATACTACTATCTTTTTAAATCTATCCATTTAACCCGAAACAATTCTTTCTCTCTATACACTCTTCCTTTCTCCATCTTTATCATTCCTCTCTTTTCAAAACATTTTTCGAAATCACTGAGCAGCGACCGAGTTTATATCGATCAAATGCTACTATCTTTCTGAATCTATCCATTTAACCCGAAACAATTCTTTCTCTCCATACGCTCAAAAAAGCTGACTGGGAGAGTATCACATTCGCTAACATCCGTCTACCTCAATCTCATATTCGACAAACGATACTCATTGATCACATTCCTATCTTCTATCATCACATCTTTTCTGACAATGGCGGTAAGTGCCTAAATTAGCCCGGATCGATTGAACTAGCTTGCTTATAAAGCATATAGTATCGTGAAAACCCAGGAGTGGCATCCTATGTCTTGAGCATAGGACAGCGCAACACAAGGGAAGTAGTCGTCGATCACCTGTGGCAAAGGATCTTGCAGATAAGTTTCCCCTACGAAGAGAACTATTTACATGAAAGAGAAGAATACTCTCACCCACGTTCTCTCTCCAGAGCAAATGTTACCCTAGCAACTCTGCAAAATGCAGTACGCCGAAAATTGCTTGTGGTAGAGTGCAAAAAGAGCCCCGGTAATAGATCGGGGTATGCTCCCCCAGGAGTATGGGAAGCGGCCAAAGTTCAGCTAAGGAACTTTTTGCTAAGCTATCGACAAACTCAAGCGCCTTTGGCTTGCGGACTATACGCGATTGTTGAAGTTGGCAAATTTGCCAAATTCTATCGTCTTAAAAACAGCTCTGATGATCTTGAGGATTTCGGGGGCAATTTGACAACCTTAAATATTGAAAGAGACGCAAATCAAGTTCAGGCCCTACTTGCTTTGATGAAGAGTGAAATTGAAGGTTCATTGTGAAGCGCGCGAAGTAGCTTTTATTATTATTGTTATTCATATCATTATGATGAGCTAGGTTCTAGGGTTTAGTCCTCCATAGCGTCCATTTAGGTAGCTGTTTGTCCAGATAGTTTCTTCTTTTATCTTCTTCTCTCCTTTGTGTGTGGATATAGCCTCTAGTATATTGGTTACTTTATACTAGAGGAATCTTTTTTACTTTCGTTTTTTAAAAAGATATTCAGATCTTTCATAATTTCCTCAACATTATTTCTCTATTAATTTTTTGAAACGGTATGATATATTATAGATCTTTTGGTCATTCCTATACATTGACAAGATGGAAGCCATTACTAGACTCGTTTAGTCATAATAAATCGTTATCCTCGAGAAAGATATTGTCAAGTCAAATCATATTGATTATCATCAACAGAACTATAAAGTCATAGGTAATGTCTAATTAATTTAATTGATCTGCAAATAGAAGGAAATTTGATCATAACCTTCGAGTTAGCTTTCTCCTCCGAATCATGGGTAGATTCTTTCTTTCAACATATATCGAGCTCGGACAAAGCAAAGATATAAACTTGTTTTTAAAAGCACAAATAGAACCCCTATATTGTCAGGCATGTCTGTATTGAGGTCTCGCACTGATCATATATCGATAATTTTCACCTGGAGTTTCCAGGCTTGTATTGGTGGAATTTATAGCTTTTCTTTTTTTCTTTTTTAGTGAAAAAATCGGAACCTTCTATTAACAAACAATCAAAAGTTAGACGATGGCCATTATTTAGAGGCATTATTATGACAAGGAACCACTTTGCCACCAATAAGGAAACAGATTCCTAATCAAATGAAGATTGTAAGATTAATTATACACTCTCATATCTAACGCGTGGAATTAAAGAAGAGATACATGAATTTGATTTTTACTTGTTGCTTGAACTTCAAATAGTTGTATATATGCAGTTTTCCACCTGAAATGAGGTTTCTTCTACAATAAGCATGTTTTCTGTCGATATTAAATCTCCAATTATAGTGTCATTCCATTAATAACGCTACCAGGATACTAAAGAAAGTAGGTATTTTCATGGAGAATATTGAATTGAAACAAAAGAAGCTATTCAGATACAGGCAACCTGCGGTATTTGCGATTGCAGCCTCTGGCTTCAGGATTAGGACCGGCCTCAGGCTTGTAAAATGGAGTTCGTAAGATCACCGAGATCTATTAGATTTCAGTACTTACGAGAATTGAATTTGCAATTATTGTTGCAATTACTTTCTGAACAGCTTTTAGTATTTCCTAAATCAGGCTTTTTAATCTAACTTGGAGACCTTTCGTACTTACGATATGAATTCGAAAATGATAATTAATGTAGGGAGAGGCACTGTATTTAGTTTATATTTACTCCCGACGGCAATATCTTTCAAGTCGGGCTAGTGGCGTCGATCAAGAAAGTAGTATTAGGGAATCTGAGGCTTGTTTAGTTCGAAGAGTCGTGTAGAGTAGATGTGGCTTATTCATCTCATGACGTGGGAGCTGATGATGCAACGCTGATGGGCATACCTGGCCGTCGGCATGATAATTTCACTTTGTCCGCAGCTTCAAAACGTCGAAATCCAAACTACGCCCCGTCCAACTATCTGAACATTTCTTTGCTTCTTTTTTGTTCTCGAAGCCGAGGCTTGTGTCTTTCTCGTCTCTCAGCTATCAATCAAAATGCGGGTTCCCCCGCAATGCTGTGCATTGTGTGCACGGCAGAATCCAATAGACGATTTGGAGAATAGTCAGTATATATTATCACAGACATTGAAGCCACAGCTGATGATACCAGTTCAAACACTTGGACCACAAGAGTCCACGGCCATCCTCGGTATGTTTGATGATATTATTCAGACAGGTTACCTTAATTGACCTCAGTAATGCAGAGAGCGAGCTTTTCGTTCATAATTTCTGCTGGAAGAGGCTACTAAAGCATTTTAAAAGGCCACCCAATTTTGATAAATTGATTGAAGTAATACAAGAGACACCTACGCCAAATTACAGAGAAGGTAACAAGATCTCACCAACCCTCTCAGCATTTTGACTTTTACCTGTTTGACATATACTTCCAGGATGCAACGCAAGAAACCGCATATCAGGAATCAAATCGTTGAAGAATATACAGATAGAAAGGCTTCTCCGTCCGCGTAGAAGCCAAGTTTGCATTCCAAGCTTGAGAAGACAGTGCGGGAAAGTCGATTCCCAGAAGGAGTCTCAAGATTGTTTCCAGGTCCTTCCGCTGGAAATTCGATTCAGCATCGCTCAATACATATCCACCCTTGATTTCTTTAGTCTCAGATTTTCATCTAAAGCTTTCGTTACTTTATTTGAAAGCCAGCAATTTTGGAGAACGAGGTTTTCTTTGGATGGAGAACAAGGCTATTTCAGTTATCTAGAAGAGGAGAACTTTCAAGACTGGAGACTCTTATATCGGTATACTCAATCATCAAAGTTCGAATGGCCGCTTATATTAAATGACTGGAAAAGACAATGGCTTGTGAATGAGAATTTACGAGATCGATATATGATGCTTGAAGATCCAAACTGTCCTTTGACTTACAGCAGCTCACCACTAGAAGTTGAAGCTCCCGATGGGAGTTTTCGCTGGGAAATAATTCAGCCATATTGCATGGTGAAAGGAGGGGAACATCTGCAATATGATGATCATTTACATATCAAATCTCTGCCCGAATCCAAATTTGATGCGCTTCAATGTGGTAGATGTGGACGGCAAGGGTATTTTACAAAAACACATACAATTGGGGTCTCTTATCCGATTTTGAAGATTGCGGTTTCTGTTCTTGTCGAGGATAAACGGACATATATATCCGGTTTCGATTTGATCCACGGATCAAATATCCTAGATACACAATTCGGCTACAGAATCCCTGGAAAACAAGTGACATTAGATCTTCATGGTCAAATTTTGCAGGGATTCCAGGTCGCGATCAGGTGCCCCGCCATTATCGCCATTCGCCCATTGACAGATACCGGCGAAGATGGCTTTTACAGTTGGGTTGGTGATCCGAAATATGGACTTGAGTTTAGCGCGTATCTGGGTTCAAATGAGGATATCGCAGCCATTTTGGGGGATTTTCAGGTGAGCTTATGACTTGGATTTTGCTCTTCAAAAGGAAAGAACGCATATATGAGTTTTTCAGAGCTGACAAGTATTGACATCTAGGATCGTAAATTGGTAGGACTTGCAGTACGCTCAAGATCTAAATCCAATATCGGCCACTCGTGATACCCTATACTAAAGCTTTTAGCCGTTGGGATGCATACAAGAATCGGATATTCTTCTCATGACTGGTGTTTTTTTTTGGTCTGGATGATTGCTTGTTCTGTTCAGTACTCGCAGTAACTTTTGCTAATTTTCGTGGATTGTTTGATTATCTTCTTCTTTTATCTTCCTCTTGGATGCCCAAGAATGATTGATAAACTCCAGACGCGTCGAATGTATGCGCGTTTCACTCATAATTCCCTTGTCCCCTGGAGAAAACAGAATGAAGCATCTCGAGCGATAATACATGGTCACGTAGTTGTCCCTTCTGACCCAGTTCCGGACATTGACAAGACCGTTTACGCTCATGCCAGAGGTAGTTTCATAGTCCGCCAGGGTCATAGAGCCGACACTATTCCCATCATGGAATGCGTGGCTTACTTGGCTCGAATCCTTCTTCGTGCCTATGGGTCCTAGATCCGGCATGGCCTCCTGTACCCCGTAATTCGGTCCAGTAACATGTGGGGGATATCCGGGGCGATTCTAGTAGCGGAAACCTGGGGTATATGCGCTCGGTGTAGCTTTACTAGCTCTCTTGGCATGACGGGGAGGCTTGGCTACTTTCAAGCTCAACGCCGGGACTTTCAACTGAGCATTTCTCATGCTAAGAATCAAAATTTGTGATTTAGAGGCGGGACGGGCTTTCCTTAGTCCGTGTTGGTAATGGTTATGGGCTATAAGTTTGAGCTATCCTCGCGGATGGAAGATGTGAAATGAGATCCTCTTTTCTTGGCACATCATCAACTACGCGTTTTATCTGGAAACCCGAAGCGAACGGTTTCATCTCGACAATAAGACGACCTCGAAGGGAATCGACGCTTCAGAATCCGGCCTAGGAAAGGAAGTCGTAGATAGCCATATTGAATATGCAAACCCCCTCAAAATTGCAGATGAGAAAGGTGACTACTCTGGTGCGACAGCTAAGACTGATGCTAGGGAGGTCGCTCTTCCAACCCATCCCTCCGTGACACCGGGCCGCCTCCGTGTCCATTCTCGATATAGTCTCGTGAACCTCTTCCCTGAATAGCAATTTACCAAGATTACGTCTCATATTACGACTAATAGAGCTCAAATAGGATCAATTTTACTTTCCTTACTAAATGTTTAGGGGGGGTGAATAGGATAGATAGTAAGGCGGCAAGGGTAGTCTCCTCGACGAATAAAAAAGACTAGGTGAATACGAACATACAGGACGACAGCAGGATTTCGCATATGGTCACCGACCTTCTCAAGTGAGATAGCTCGGTGGTTCAATGATTGGCAATTAAATAGTTCGTTAGCTATATATTACTCTATAGTAAGGCAAATTCAGCAAAAAAGGAACTAACAATCCCTCTTTCAAGCTCACCTTGTCTATATTCAGCGATACGTGTAGAAACTTGCAACCCTAAAAGAGCTTTCCAGAGAGAGTTGGAAACGGGTCCTTAGAATTTCTGTCTAGAAAGGCTCGCTGTGTGTGCTAGACCTACGATCGCTTTACTATATTCCTAAACAGATGGGGGCTATGTGCAGATGCTAAGAGACCGAGGGTTTTAGGGAGAGGCCTTGGCCCAATATTACTGAAAGCCAGCTCAGCTGGAAGGGGCCAAATGTAGATCACTCATACTCACCCGTACTCACCCCATTCTCACCCCAAATATAACACACTCACCCTAATCACCCGAGTCGCGCGACGCTCAAGCGGCGCTCACCCGTTTCTCACCCGGGCGACACCCACCCGACTACTGGCCACGTTTAAGCCCCATACTCTACGCGGCCAATCCTCGAGGCGCCTGAAAATCAAAATAGCAAAAATATTTTTCTTAGGGTGATTGTCGGTCATATGGGTGAGAATTCTCGAGACCGGGGTGACAGAGGTGAGAACGGGTGACAAGGTGATAGTGTCCCCTCTCACATCGACTCAAGCGAGAGTGATAAATACCTCACCGGGGGCTTTGGTTCCGGCGTGTTCAGCTTTTTCTCGTACCACTGGCGTCCAAGACGTTCCCTAAAGATCTCCAGAGGGCTCTTGATGAGCGTATCGCACGTGCTGCATCACGTGGCTTCACCCACGGGTATCAGACTGAGCGGGAGAACGAGGCCAACATTATATGCCACAAAAAGCTAGCACCCGCAACGGTCAACAAATATGAAGACTCCGCCTTGAACTGGGCTCTGTAGGGTGTTGATATCTGGTTGACAGGCCACTATTGACAATCAACAGATGGAGACTTTCCCGAAACGAAGCGGCCCATACCAACTTTTCAAAAAACGAACCGGACCCAACATCGCAACTCTTAAAATCATTCGCAGAGGATTATGTTGCAACAAGGAGAAAGCTTCCTTCACAGAAGTTTGCCTGTCTGAACCTCATCACCTCACTTCGAGATGGGAGCGAGAAGTCTCTCGCTCCCTCCCTGATGAAATTAAGAAGGATGTCCTAAATGTAAGACTCTCACATCGATCCGCCATGATTCAATCTAATGTCTTGAAGTTTATTAGAACACGTTTGACCCTTAAATACAATTTACCGACAAAGCCGCGAGAACGCTACACAGTCACGGCTAACGATATAGATTATTTGCTTCGCGGTCTGTTTGGCAACGATTGCCACGATTACAGACATGAGAGGGCACGCGTCCAGACTGGAAGTGCTCTCGCCCTGTTTGCTGGCTCTGGTACCAGGGCGGGTGCCGTGGTTGAGTCAAGTGCTTATCGCAATTCCAACGAATGCTTATACTACAGGGTTTGTGTTTGGACCATGCTATCAAATGCTATGCTAATATAAGTGTAATAGCATATCAAATTTAATCTCAAATGGAGCCCTGAAACCAATTCTTTGAAATGTTGGGTAACAATCGATCCAGAATTCTTGAATGGATGGCGTCATCGGTATGGTACAACTTTGTAAGATCGCGGCGCTCTCTACAACACAGACGGTTCTGAAATGCTGACTCTGAAGAAAAAAGGCCTAAAAGTTGGTTCAGAGAACATCCAATTCTTGGGATGAGTTTTTTTTTGGGTGATAATGCATAGCGTAGCTGACGGCGCTTTCAAGGGCCTCAGTACATTAGCAGAGGTTGTCAATGCGAAGCCCCCCAAGGGCAGAGAATCTTTCACGCTCGAATGGAAGGAGAGTGTCGGATATATTCCCTTTTTTTCGAATGGTCACGCCGGAAGGATCCAAACAAAATGGAGCATTGACGTTCTCGTCATTGCGACATAATTATACCAGTCTGGCTCAGCGGGAGTGCTTCAAAGATACATTACGCGTGCATGGGATTCGTGGTGGTGTGGCTAATCGCATTTACCGTGGGTATTCTTTCAATTTTTAATCATAGAAGTCCCACTAAACTTGTACAGCGAAAGCATCTGAAGCGACACGAGGCCAAGCGCTTGACCATCAGAACCATGATACATATATCAAATACCAATCCTCAATCAAGTCGTTGGACGTTCAGGCTCTTTTTTACGACTTAGAGCCTGACTACGAATGCCGAGATATGGAGCAAAGTATGGCCCATCACCAAGACCCTAACGCTCCTCACCAACTTGATGCAGCTGCAATCACTGAATTTGAAGATAAGACCGTAATCAAAGACATGAACGAGAAAATCGCTTCGTTGACCGCTACGATTGCCAGAAAGCCTAAGCTCCACGAGCAGCTCATCCTTGAACATACGCAACTATACAACAAGAAAGCAAAACTCATGCAGCTCTGGAGGAAGGAGTTTGTTAAAAAGTGTTGGGATTCCGCATACGAAGAATATGTTTCGGGAAATGATTTCTCTGAGCGGCACAGAACACCAATACTCGACATATACAAGAAGTATCTACCAGAACGGGCCAGGCTCAAAGATCTCTTGTTTACGAAGACAAAACTGGAAAGCGATATGGCCAACAGTGCGCTCTGCACATCGACAGAGCGGGTCGCTTACTACCCAAAGATGTTGCCTACTGTCGATCGATGTCCAATCTGTTCCACGTTCATGTCCGAGTAAGCATGAAGTCCTGTTAGAAGTTATATGCTAGTATCAACCAAGCCAGCATTGCGATGCAGGGAAGGGCGAAGCACATCTTGCAGTGCCAAAGAAGATCTTTAGGTGGACCACAGTACCAGCAACGATACAGAAATGAAAAACGTGCCCATCGACGCGTCCAGCGAAATTTTGTTCAATTCTGCTATCTCTGTGCGGAGTTGATATGTGATAAAGACGAATGGTTGAGCCATTGCCGAAGCCATCTCGATAATCTTTACCCTCGGTGTGGTATCTTGACATTTCGCTATACCCTTGTTGCCCCTGCTTTCTGCCGTTCTGTTTGGGCGATGAAAGAAAAGCCCCAGATGAGCGGTTTGTACCAGATCTACGATTCCTACGAGCAAAAGTACTAAATCGTGCCAGCTCCTCCAAGCAAATGTTTCACCGCCCAGGTCACTAGTACTAGAAGATTAGCCATCGATAGAATAAAAAGGCCTAACCCAACCTAATCTATGTGTCACTTTGCTGTCTACAGGGCTTCACACCGGCTCGGTTTAAGAGAAATGCAGATGAGAGCTGGCGAGAGGGGAATATAGCGCGAAGATTCATAGCCACGCGTCTGCGCGAGCATTGTTAGACTGTACATTCATAATAGAGTGGTACTTAGTTCATAAACAAAGACTGAGTGCCAGAAAAAATGGGTTCATTGTAAATATGTGATCTACAGGACAGAGAGCACATGCTTGACTCTGATTCTGGAAATATCAGACAATGTTTTCTTCAATCCAGCCACGTGCTGCGAACACGTCTGCAAAGATATCGGGTCACACAGTCGAATCTTGTGGACACCCCGGAGCACCAAGGCTCAATAGCCCTAGAAGGTATAAGCCTGAAGCATCTGTTACTGGATCTCCACTATCGCCATTGCAAGCCGAGGAGACCTCCGATGCAACACAAGCCATATTGTCTGTAATCTTGTGTTTATCACTCCATTGGGCCTTGCAAGTTCCTTGATCCCAAATTATCATATGGGCTTCATGAAGAGCGGTTGGCATATTATTTGATGACCCCGACGATTTCCCCCAGCCCATGATCTTCGCTGCCGTGCCGTTATGAGTTGAGGCGGCAGAGGTTGAAAGCAATGCTTGACCAGCAACCCCACTGTCGGAGATAGAAACAAACTCATCATGGCATTGCAGGACAGCATAATCGCTGTCCAATGTGCCACTGTTCCATTCAGGCGACAGGACAATGCTGGTCACACTGTTGGAATGCAGCAATTTGGTACGGTCCACACCCACGTAATGTACTGTCAGGGCAGAGGCACATGACTGATCAACACATGATGCTGCAGTGAGGACTGATCAAGGGCCAATTATGGTGACACCGCATGTATGGCCGTCGCCAAACCAGTTCTTTTCAAACAGGGAGCCTATCTATGCACTCGCAACAGTCATCTCTTGACCCCCAACAATTGCGAAAGCTGGCGCGCTCAAATAAGCGAGGCCAAGTGTAAGAACCAAGCAATTCGGGAAGCTGGCCATGTACACCATGTTGCTGATGCGTGTCTAGAACTGTTGTTAGACAGACGAGCTATTCAGATAAGAATTCAGGTTCTTACTGGCTGATGCGGGTATAAACAAACACTGAATGTGGATAACGACGTGTGTTACAACGGGAAGAGGTCATTTGAAATTTGTATTAGACCATATTCAATGACATCATACCTACGCGCGTTAGCCTGCTCGACTTCGGGACATCATAAGCCTGCAGATCTGTGTCTATCACCCCTTCTTCAAACTAAACCCCTGAATAACAGTACTCATTCTTTGGAAGTCTCCGTCTTTGGGTTTGATTTCAGAATTTTAGAGTGGGGGGCTTACGGTTTATTATGAATGTAGATGAAATTGACTCCCGTAACCTTGCCCAGTAGGTTCTAAATGTAGTTTCGATAGCAATCAACTTGGTTCTATTTTGCTTTGTAACTAGCTGTAACCATGATCGATTCGTAGTTAAGTGGTGTGAGGTCTTCCGTTTCAGTACGTATCTATGGATCATTGACCGGTTTTTAACAGGTAATATATGCAATATTGTGTTTAGAATCTATATAATTTCCAAAAAATGATTAGTAGATTAAGATTCAATAGATATGTAGATCTATGTGGATCTATAGATCGTTACCTAATAGAGAGAAGTGAGTACACAGCAAAGGTACTAAAAAATGGGGTTGGGAAAAGAGACGATCTAGTGATCCGCCTCTCTAAATAAATGGAGTATTTTCTTCTAAATTCTGCTTATATTAATACCGGAGCGGTTATCGGACCTATTCTAGTTTTTCGGATTTACTTCTCTTGTTCAATTCTTAGTCTACATTCCTTAGACTGTTCAGACTTTGCCGGAATTTCCCGTGGGAGCCTTTTGAGGCTTCGTCTATACTCTTTGCTCTCTAGTCGATCGCCCGAGAGCCAAGGAAAGCCGCAGGGGAACTTTAAAAGGGGTTTTGATGCAGGGCCGGCTCAAAAAGAAAAGTCTAGCCAATGTAGATATACGTCATCTGCTTTGTTAGGATTGCTGGTAACTGGTTTTTTAATCTGTTGAAACCTGCCAGAGGTAAGGGATATCTTTAGGTTGGGGGTCTTAGAAAGAACTTGGCAGCCCACAATCCATCAGATCACGTATTTAACCATTTGATCCCACGCCCTATGGTCGTGCTCACAACCAGCTTGATTTTATTTCAGGCCAGTCAAGCTGAATTACCGTTTTGTTCAACCCAGCCTAACTGAGAACTGTCTCTACCTTCGTCCTGTCCACCTTCCTCGGTGTGTCGCAGGCCTTTCAGCTTACTGCTGATTCTTGGCAACGTTGTCGTAAGTATAATATCGATTCTTGAGAATAGAAGGATCCACATTTTGTTAATCCGTACCCGCTAAAAGCCAACACTATTGGTCTGGATACCGTCGACATAAGCCCCTGCGATAAAGAGCCTTGTTTCTTGACCCGAGGAGCAAGCTATACAATTACCATGACTGGAGAGAGTCTTGAGACCGTTGGTGACGTTCGCTTAGAGGCCAACCAGGAAGTGCAGGGGTCATGGGTCTCTCTTGTGAATGAAAAAGTCTGTGGGTCGAGCCTCGAGTGTCCCATAGACTCTAACACTAAATGGACTCTGGGTTATAATTTCACGGTTGATAATAAGTCTCCCCTGGGCCTTGGAGAGACTAGGTGGAAACTCTCCGGGGATGATGGGAGTACGGAGCTCGGGTGTGCCGATATAGATATTTATTTTACAACGCCCTAGCAGTCGATTTTCATTGTACTCTAGCCTCTGTTGTGCGATTGTCTAGGTTTTCGTGAATGATTAATTTAGTTTTCTTTATTAGAAAGTTAGAATACAGCCTCCGGGGTCTGTAGCAATGACATTGGAAATCAGCATAATACTTGCGAGCTCTCCTCGTGATCACAGAATTATCTCGATATATACTAATATTTAAGAAAAAGTATGACTTTTACTGTGCTTAATGCTACTTTGACTTGTATGGAGTTCGGCCGTACGGATCTTCTGTTTCAAATATCAGATTCAAGAGAGCCGTAACATGGTACAGCAGCCGCTGGAGTAATTTGAAGTTTGAACAAGGTCTCGAATTTCTAGGACCCCCGGTTGGCGATAATATTTCAGTGAAAATAAGCATTCAACCCGATCAGGAAATGGGCTTAGAAGGGGCCATTTTCCAAGGCCTCGTAACAGATCACTGATTAAATTGTTAGGAGAAAACACCGAAAATCTAATGGACACACAATAATATACCGAAACCTTGTATACATAATATAGGGAGTAGCGAAACATTGGATCATAAACAAATATTCATATCCGTAATAACTGATTTCCAATGTCATTGCTACAGACCCCGGAGGCTGTATTCTAACTTTCTAATAAAGAAAACTAAATTAATCATTCACGAAAACCTAGATAGTAAGGACACGATGTTGAAGCCCTAGGATCGAATGAATTACACAGAAACGACAAGTGTGATTGTTTTATTACGTTTTAAATCATTAGATTGAATTTTTATGACAGTCTAAATAAGAGTCACCTTATGTAACGTAATAAATAAGATGAACCTATTCCACATCCTATACCTTCTCACCCTGACGTGGAATTAAAGTCTGGGTTCGGCACATCCGTCATCAAAACCGTTCCATTACCAAATACCGTGCCGTTCTTCAGCACCTCCACCCGCCCAACATGCAAATCCGCAGGAGGGTAATCCATCTTAGTACCATTGGCGAAGATGATTCCGTTCCAAGGGGCCGGCGCCGCGGACACGGCCATGGGCACCATGCGCGAGGACGCCGACGGCAACAGCGGGGACCTCCCCTTGCTGATGTCGCAGTTCTCGCTCAGCATTTAAAGATTCAGCCCAATCGCGAGGGTATACGGCTCGGCACCCAGCTGGTTCCAATCATGTTCGTTCTGGATGATCACGCCAATGTAATCGACCATCAAGACGTTGAGCCATTTGCTGGGGCTCATATGCTCGACGCCCATCCAGTACAGAGCCGGGTTGGTGGGCACGACAGCGATGGATTCCAGCCCGTACATCATGGCATCGTTGAGACTGGGGGTCACCATCCACTGGGCGATGTAGAAGGTGTCGCTATTGGAGCCGGAGCTCCGGTCCAACGTGTTCCAGCTTGCGACTTGGTGTTCGGCCAAGTCCTCTGTGTCTTCCTTCTCGGACCAGTTATCCCAGAAGCCCATGTGGGAGGCGGAATAGATACCGTCAGCCGGAGCGGTGGCCGTGTCCACGCCGCCGAGATGGCCGTCAAGGAGGAAGAGCACGCAGCCGGCCCCGTCATTCTGGTCCATGAAGTACGAGGCCTTCTGGTTCTGGAAGGGGGTGCTGGACAGCCCGCCGCAGCGGTTGTTGACGGTCTTGAGACGGCCGAAGAAGTCGTCGACGATGTCCTGTGTCCAGTAGATGGGGCCCAGGCTGGGCACTTTGCGGATGCCGATCAGATACTTGACGCGGAAGAAGATGATCTCGCCGGGGTTTTCGTCGGTGAACTTATTGATCTCGTCGATGACGTCTTCTAGGCCTTCGCCGGTGTTTCCGATGGCAACTTCGGCGGTTTCGTCGTTGACGTGCGTGACCCAGAACCCGTAGTCATCCTCGTTGGGGGTGGTCTGGTGGATACTTGCAATGCGCAGATCGAACCATCGGGCACCCACGCGAAGCTGGTCGTAGATATCGAGAGCCTGGGTCTGGGTATTGTCCTTGGAGCCTCCAGAGAGAAGGTGGCCGGAGATGGTGCTCATGCCGGAGTCGTGGGTGCCGGGCATGACCAGGTGGCGGATCGGGCGATCCTTGATCACATCGTAGATGCTCTTCATCCAATTGCCCGGGCCGTGGGTGAGCGATGCGATAAACCCGTAGTCGTTACTGCCGGTGATGACGAGTGTGACTGGGGACTCTCCATCGGGGTCCTTATATTCGCGCTGACCCATGCCCATTCCAGACAGGTCGAAAATGGTCCGCCGAGGGTTATCATCAGGGATGTGGTTGGTGGCTCGGACCACAAATGTCTTGTCGGTGCCTTCAATGCTGTAATAGGCTTCTCCGTTGTCATCCACGGGGGTATCGGAGCCGTCGTAGTCGGCGATATTCTGACGAGCACGACCCGATGCGATATCGTCGAAGTCGAACGTGTTTATCTGATACAAATGGGTGGATGTGAGTTTAAAGCGATGGGGCGTCAGGTTGACGATAGTGATATACTGCTTCAACGAGGCTGCCGCATTTTCTGGGTCAAATAGCGCCCATCGATAGTAGCTGCCCTCATCAACGTCTTCGCTGCTGTAGGTCTTATCATCGGCGCTGCAGTTGTCGTCCCCATCGTCGCCTCCGTCGTCAGCCCCGTCGCCGTCCACGAAATCCATGAGATCCACAGCCCAGTCGGTCGTCCCGCCAAAGTTCAGATTCTGAACCCATCCGCTGCGGCTGACCTTGGTGGTCGAGTCCATAAAAGCCACCCGGTCGGCTTTGTCCGTAGTACCGTAGACGAGGATATTGGAGTCCGAGCCCGCATCATAGCTGCTTTTCACGAGGCTATAGTCCGACTTGCCATTGATGATCTCCTGCAACTCCGCGTGGGAGATATACCCAGCGGTATCGGTGCATCTGCCCTTATACGCACCGGAGTGGTTGCGGGCGCCAGTGAACGTGCACAGGGGACCAGTGCAGCTGTAGGACGACATCCGGAAGCTTCGGCCATAGCTAGTGATTCCCGCCAACACCTTGTTGGTGGCAACCCCCGCCTTGGTGATCATAGACAAGGAAGTCGTGGTTTCGGTGATATTGACATGCGAGCGAAGACAGTTGCCTCCCTTGCAGCCCGGCGACACGTTCTCATTGTCGACATCTACATCAAATCTCAGTGATATTGTTTTAAGGGGAACGCCAAAATGGTGGAGATAATAACTTACCCCACTGACCGTGGAGGTCATAGGTCATGTAGACGAAGTAATCCACAAAGTACTACAAGGGGATATGATTGGAGGTACCAAAAGGATGCGGGTAACGCAACCGAGATCGACTTGCCGGCAGGCATCTTTGCCTTGAGTGTGTTCAGAAATTCCAAGTCGTTGTTGGCCTCGGCCAGGCTGCCAGGAGGCACGCCGGGAATACCAGGGGCGCCCGGATACTCCCAGTCAAAGTCCAGCCCGTCCAGTCCGTTGTCTTTCAGGAAGGCCACTGCATTTGTGGCAAACGTATCCCGGTTGGCTGCGTTGTTGAAATCGCGGAACAGCTGGAAGGTGTTCTCGCCGGTCGAGAAACCCCATCCACCAAACGAGACGATCTTTTGGCGTCGGTCTTCAGGTCCTTGTAATTCTGAAACTGGTCCTTGACTGCCTCCACCGACACGTCGAAGTCCTCCGTGACCGTCGCAAACGCGAAGTGAATGTGCGTCAAGGCGCCGGTGGGCATGATAGTGATATCCATGTTCGAACTTGACCGCTCGGAGTTCCAGGCTTCAAAGTAGCCCACCTTGCGGAACTGGGACGGCACCGCCTCGTTGTTGGTGATGTCCGTCCCGCAGTTGGAGATGCACCCATTGGTATTGGGCTTGGCGGTTCCAGGCGCACCGCTGTCCGCTGTGGTTGGAGTACAGAACTCAACGGTCACACCACAGAAGCCCCAGACGTCGCAGCAGGCGCTCAACGGGCACGGGTTCATGCTGGCCCACTCGGTTTCCGCGGCGGGCTTGACGGTGCCAGGCAAATGACCTGGCCAACGCCCATGCGACTACCGCATCCTGCCCAGCCCCAGGTCTTCTTGTTGTATTTCTCAATATCGGCCTCGGTGATCCTGAAGACATCCCCGATCGCCCAAGACCCATCTTCTGCTTTGGTGGTGTAGGTGTAGCAGTTGCCATTGGCATCTGGCTGCGGACGGTGGTCCTGCAGGGTACCTGTAGAACAGTATACATATTGCTTGACTTTGAGATTGTTGCAGAAGGTGGTGTCGGCGCTATTATACTTGTTGAAGTCCGCGAGAGTGATGCCGCAGCGAGTCGCGAGCGACGGGCAAGTGTCGCCGGCGACCACTTGAATATCTCGACAGTAGGTAGCTCGGGTGTCCAATTCCAAAGACTGAGAGGATGTAGCGGCACTTGTGGAGGAGGTCGAGGACACCAGGAAGCTAACCTCGACATCCTCAACGACAGTCAAGTCATCGTCAGACAGACACTCCGCGTTCGCTCGGGTCCTCACAGCGTCTTTGATTTCACTGAGATCGGACAATGCGCCCGCATACATGCCGAATGTCTCAGCCGCCGTGTCGCTATCACAGAACTCCAACGCTTGACTACCATTGACGGCATGGTCTTGGAATGTGCCCACAAGCCCTGCGGCACTTTGCTTTAGCACCTGACCGCCGGAGTACAGCCCAACCACTGCCTCGCCACTCTTGACGAACATGATTGTGGTGCCACATTCTGCACCAGCGTCCAGATACGCACCCAGTGTTTCCGCGGCATCTTGAACTTCATCGGCGAGGTTGCCAGTAGCATGAACCAGCGATCCGACCTTCGGAGTCGCCTGTCTCTTCTCGGTAGATGCACCACAGTCTTTGGAAGTGGTGATTGCGCGCTCAATAGTGGCTACATCTTCCGCAACCTCCCTGCGCTGGGAGGTGGAAGTACCAGAGAGGCCATCAGCATCCCTGGAGTAGGAGCATGCTCGTAGTGACACTTGGGTCTCCGGATCAGTGAGTATATTTTGCATGTTAAAGGTGAACAGCATGCGCTCATCGCATTTCGAGAGATCCTCTACATGATGTAGGCTGGTCCAGTTTACAGGATTGCTCCCGACCTGAGCGCACTGGCTCGGGCAATTGTCGGGGTACTGGCCATAGCGGGTGGTAATAATGGCATCTGTGCAGGAGAGGCTGGCCAGAGCGGCCAGTAAAGTAGAAACGTGACGTTGTTTCATCACAAAGAATGTATGAGAAAATGAATGACGAATAGAAAAGGAAAGAAAACGTTGCCAAGCGAGTGTCAGTAGCAGCAATCAAGACACAAAAGAAAGACCAGCTTTAGGGAATCAGGACTCTGGATTAGGGCTGCACGGAGTGACAGTTCTCGCTCTCTCAATCTTTCTGTATCTACCGGACATCCAGCGCTATTCATGTCTCTGTGGCCAGACACCATTTCCGGCCGCCATTCGGGCCTCATATTGATGTATATTAAATCCGCTGAAGAATAAGGGAATCTTGTGTTCTGCTGGCCGAATCAGCGTCCATAGATTGGTGGTCGGCTGTGATTGTCGAACCAGTGTATGTAATTCAGGGCAGGGGTTGATCCTTTGGCAAATGTCCCACTGTTTGGGAGTCCGGTATTGTGGTTAACGAGATCTCGAAGCCTTCGCCTATTCCTATTCCAGACGAATGCCATACTGTAGGCCACCAACAAACCCGGAAGCACAGGACCAATCAACATGTAGCAACCCACATTCCGTGTGTAGCGCAAATGCCAGAGATTATGAGGTTGCATCCCTGACAGATGTTAGATGCTTAGGACCGCAAGGCACACTGTCTATAGTACATGCAGACCCACATAGACTGTGAAGATGTATAGCAACTTTCACCGGCGTTGGGTCCAACTATTCAACTACAGCCGCCACCAACAGTGAGGGCTTGCAAAGGGCCAAATAGAGTTGTTCATAGTACGCCACCTATCTTATGCCGATTTTCCGGGTGTCAGCGGTATGATTTAGAAGAAACTGTGAATAATCGTTTTTGAACTTCCAATGATATTTCAACTCCTCTCGCTAGTGACTGGCGGGATATCATATCTTGGATACGACGACAAAGTTCTCGTTGTGGCCGGAGAGTTTTTGATATCAGCTCTGTTCTCACATGGTGCACGGAGAAAAAACCGCCTAGGGCAAATGAGCCAGCCAGTCTAGGCCAACACGAAGGGTGAATTCTCCAAGGGGAAAATGCCCCCAAGCCAAAGTAACTTCGCAACGATTAGACAGCAACTAGCCCAGGACGAGCAAACTGCCCATCGCTTAGAGCCTGTGTTTCGTGTTCAGTGAGACAAGAACGACACTGAGTGCTTGGCGTTCCCTCCATGCTTGGCATTCCCTCCGTGCTTTAGTCCTAACTGGACGGGGGCTAATGCGGGGAGCGACTAAGGATTAGGGGCAAATAATGAGAACAAGCAATACCTGGGACACAAAGAAATGGAAAATTAAATAGTTACGCCGAGAGGGCTTTCACTACGGCCACTCTCGATTTATCAGCAGTCATTAATAATAATAATAATAATATCCAACACAACTACTACCACAAACAAGCTCCACTCAGAAATCCCCCACGACACCACGTTGTGAGCAGAAGGACTGAGCTGAGAGGGGGTCCTAAAACAGGAGTCCCGGTGAAAATGACCCTCGTGTCCCTGCTCTCCGTGATGGCGACGATGGCTACGACTGTGATGGCGACGGCCCTCACCACGCCCTTCGTCCAGCCAAGCGGGTGTACCTCCGCTGTCGAGCTCACCACCATCACGAACAGCGCGCTGGGCACGCCTACAACCATCACAGTCCTGGCATCCGATGCTGCAGCCCCAGGAATTTCCTCCTGCCAGCCCTCCGGATGGAATTCAGGCGCCAAAGATGACGATCTGTTCACCTTCAGCCCCGCCGTCTGTCCGCAGGACTGGACGTATTACGAAATGTCATCGACAAAGCACTACTCCGCGGCATACTGCTGCGCCAGGTATGGTGATTCCGTTCCACTTCCATCTCTAACCCCCTCACCTATTTATCTACTCTCCCCCGTTACTGACCATGGCAGCGGTTTCACCTTCCGAGCTGAAGGGTACGCCCTGCCGACATCTGCTCTCAGCCCGGCGTGTGGGCGGACGATCAGTGCCGGGGAAACGACGATCACAGCCCCACTGGCATCGCGCACAGATGCCACAGGCACCTTCACAGAGGGAATGATCGTTCATCGCGCATGGCACGTCACATGGGCTGAGTCGGACACGGCGACCATGTCCCCCTCGTTGCCACCGTTGACGTCGGGCAAGTACCTCGCCAGCTGGGAGCCCGGACAGGTGATCCCTGACGGGGCATATGACCGGCACAACGGGCATAATAGCGGGGTCTCAGGATGGAGCTCGGTGCTGTATTTCGCGGCAATCGGCGTCCCGCTTGTTGCGGTGGCTATTCTGGCTTGTGGGGCATGGCTTTGTATCCGGAGGCGCAGGAAGCGTCGTGCTGGACAGGCCGCAGGGAATATGGAGCTCCGGCCAAAATGATTTGCATCTGGAAATGGTGGGCCGGCCGGCTGGTTTTGTGGAAGGATCTTTGGATCAGGTAGGTCCTTGCGGATGGGTTGGTGAGGATGGAAATCATGGAGGGTGATTTTGATTTGTATAGGTCCGTTTGATTTCTCTCTTTATCATTCAGTAATACTAGTAACATCCGGCCCTTACCTCGCCTAGAAATGTATTTCAACGATCCTGGTCTATTTACTAGGTTGGGTTTTAAGATCTGCCGCATCTTTATAAAGTTTCGTCCATCGATAAAAATAAAAGCAACCGGGTGAGTTATATCGAGAGTAATTCGAAAGGTATCATTCAAGGTGATGGAGGTGGGGGACCTTCGTAAAAAGTTGCTTGATAGATGAACAGTTCATTGAAGTATAAATGACTCTTTGCTGGCAGTAAACGATTTATATTCTTACATTTTCGTTCAACAAGCCGAGAAATCACTTTCAATCTACCGCATCAACACTGTTTTCTTTTTTTTAAGATTTCTTTTCATAGCCGGGAATTCAGCGGTGCAGCGTGCAGTTTTATATTAGGGTGATAGATAAAGTAAAGAAACCTTACCTTACTTTAAACTATATTGTGAGCCGATGTCTTTCATTTAGTGTCTGGCCCTGTGATTGGTCCGCTCTCCATGACAGATAAATTTAGGAAGGATCACATGCAGACTCAGTCTCGTTCTATATTGATAGTTGACAAACTGGAGGAGTGGTATCTTACCACTAGGCCCCTTCGGGATAAGATTCTTCATCGTTCGATTGATTAATAGTTATGTCTCTGTAAGATGACAGGATAATATAGTGAGAAAGCAATCATGCGGGTTATAGTCTTGTCTTAAATATAACTATCGGAATAGGTCTGACCTATATTAGTCACACAAGCAAAAGAAGAAAGGAGACTTCTCCCGATTAGATTGATATACAGCTGTAAGTTTACCAAAATTAGTGGATCAACAACCGATCCTTTATCCCTATCATACCAAACGCTTAATATAGCTTGTCATATGGACAGAATAAGGGTCTCAATTAAAGCAAGGGAGACAGATCCACATTCTGCCTAACACGTCAAGTGAGGAATCAGCACGGTCTGGAATGGTCCGACATCCTCGCACTCCTCAAGAGAAATGGCCTCAGCACTGTCATGATCGAAGGGGGCGGCGAGGTAATCGATTCTTTATTCCAGCCGCAGTACCTCTCCAGCATTGACTCAGTCATCGTCGCTATTGCTCCGACGTGGCTCGGCCAGGGCGGCGTCTTCGTTTCCTCAAGGTGACGTTTCAACGACGCTGGAATGGCCATCGCCGCAGTGCGATTGATGAGTGCGAAGTGGTACCCATTCGGCGAGGACGTTGTTCTCTGTGTGGAGGTGAAGCTCTGAGGGGAAGCAAATGAAACAGCAAAAATAGATTGTATTAGTTTGTATCTAGCCAGGCTATCTATTATATTGGCCGCTACAAATTTAACGTGCCCCCTTAAGTCTTCTACATTATATCCTTGCTCCGTCCCAGCAAGAGGCAAACTTGGTCTCACAATTTGCTTGGGCACGGAAACATGAATAGTGGCCATATCTTTCAGTCAAGCTGCTATATTATTCAAGCCATGGTAGAGTCTTTCGGCACGCCGTGTGCCGCCCCCTCCCCCCGAAGCCAGTTTTAAGCTCTCTGATAGAAAAGTTTGTTTCCTTGGTGATCGACAATCTGAACGCAACTTGTTGAATGCTCGGATCGAGAGACACTCAAACACGATTTATCAATTACCACGACGCCGAAACTCGAGACTCCAAACTTTGAGTGCTCATAAATGTCGGGATGAATCCATAGCAGAAAGCCCATTGATGATGCCAAGACCGTCTTCCTAATTCTCTCGAAGAGAATCATCCGGTCTACAGCACCAGTTCCTAACAGACTGCCGTCGAGAAGCAACAAAACGGGCAGCTCCCACGTTGGCAGCTGGTGACGAATACCTAGATTCCATATATTCTATGAACATTGAGATTGGCTCACGCTGAACCCAACCAATTTGGCTGCCAGAGAGCCTGGTAACGTACTCTGCCTGCGAGCCATGGTACCGTTCTTCTCTTTTCGCACCTCAAACCTTCAATGTTAGTGAACTCAATGCGAAATTAGACAGTAATAGACAACCGGTGCGACGCAAGTTCGCCAGAAATGACAGTGGTAAGAAATAGGATGAAAAAATAGAGAATTGCTCTGCCTGTCACTTCAGCCAATATGTCATTCCCACAAGACAACAATTTTTTTATCGTTGTAAGCTTTTTCAATCAGAGGCTTCAATGCTAGGGATGTGTTTATAAGTCATGGTAGAATCTCTCACATGCACATGTGCCCAGTCCCTGAATCTAGAAACAAAGCATAGTAAAAAGTATGTACTTCTAAAATGCGCAAGGTCATTCCCTCGCGGCTGAGCACTGCCACGTGGACAGCAGAAACTAGGCTCTAGATCTTCATGCTACCGAGCAACAGATCCAATTTATGTGAATACCCTTCTAGCCTTACATCCTGCTCGAGTCGGCCCATTGGTATGTTGACTTAGTCCCAGGGCTGTTCGTATCGGCGAGCTATACCGGAATGCTTCTGTATATAAGAAGGCTAGCATTACTAGAGGGATTTCTCAGGGCAAAGAGCATATATCAAACAGCACATATCCCCACTCGAATAAGTTGGAACCTAGAGCCCTACCTACCCCGCAGCGCCCGCTGAAAGCCGGGCTGCTTCCGGTTGGTCCCAAAGTGGGGAAAGGAGGCTCCGATTGGACCCCACCAGCAGCTCATACTAAAACTTATTTTAGCCACTTTAAATGTTGCCCATGAAAGAAAAATCCAAAATAAGCCGAAGATTCCCCCCAAAAATCATAGCAAGTCTTGCCTTTGACGGCCTTTTACTCATTCTTCCATCTTACCCCCTCTTGCTCTTTAGTAATCAATCTTAGGGATGAATCGATTAATACAATATGATAAGAAATTAGGTGGAGCGGGGTGGAAAGAGAAGCATAGTTGATTACAAGGTCAAATGAGACCAGAACTCTATGTAAAGCGCTAAGCCTGGCAGTTTGTTCTGTGGGAGTGGTGGTGCCCAGTTCTAGTACTGTCCATCAGATAGGGTATGTCTAAGCTTTAGCTGCCCCCGCCTCGTTCTCTCGGGCTAGGACTTCCCGGTCTCTTCTCTTCTTTTTCTCATGTGAAATGGCCAGGACCATATTAGTTAAGAATATTGTAACGAACAAGATTCCCAGAAAACACACAACTGCTGCCACGGTGACAATCGAGAAGACCACAAAGCCGTAAGAAGCCCGCTGAAAGGCGTGGCTCGTGCTCAGTGGCGAGACAGTAGTTCCAACCTGCATCGCTGCGAGCACGAGGGAGAAATATACCAATACGATGAGTATCCAGGCAAAATTCCTCTGGAAGAATACTGTATAGCGGTTGTAGCCGTACAAATAGCCGCGAATGAAATGCGTGAAGAAGAACCGGATCCTGTATATGGAATTGATCCTTCCTAGTCGTAGCTCGCCAAAGTGGTAGCGTTTATTGACCTGGTTGAGCGTATTTGCATCGATCTGTGAGAGAAATTCCGCAACGAAACTCTTCCACCAGATCCACGTTATCTCACGCGGGAGGAGATCTAGCTTGTGAGCATATTTCAAGTCGAGAGGAGAGCAGATCAACCAAACATAGGAGAGCAGGATTCCACAAGCAGATTTATGAAGCTCCTCCGATTCGCAGAGATATTTGTCCCAGAACATGAAATCTAGCATATAATCCGGGAGCGGCTTAACGAAGACCTTGTTTGAGAACTTGAGGAGGTGAAGGTCCGCTTGCTCTGTCAGGAGGAATTCGCAACCCATCATCTTCTGTCGGTGTATTGGCCTGGCATTTAAAGGTCTCCCGGCCATCCAAAGATGCCCATGTATCCTGTTGAGCCGGCTGTGGTCCAAATCCCGCTTCAGATACGTCTCTATATCCTCTGCGACCAAAAAGACTTGGTGATCCTTATCTCGAGAAATAGTCGGTAAGTTCACCAGCAAAAGAGAAGAGGAAGCAGCTTTGGGTGTGCTTTTTAACTGCGGTTGGATACCACTGGCGGGCGGTAATTTGTGGTCACTTGCATTGAAGTCTTGACGGACACTCCCAGCGGGATCCGCTGCTAGTGTCATGGGGCTATTTCGGATCGATTCTTGGGGAACATCGCCAGTAGGATTACTTGGCGGTAGCAGGGGCCCATGAGCAGTAGTATCTTGACGGGCATAGCCAGAGAGATTGATTGGTGTCGGTACTCGCAAGGAAAAGGGAGGCCTCAATAGCTTTTTCTGCGCGGTATCAGCGGGGTTTGCAAGTCTAACGCAACGGAAACAGCCCTAAAAGCTAAAGACGGCTGACTCCGAGAAGTTTACCTTATTTTCCACCATCTTATTACTCTCTTGAAATGAGACAAAGTGTTCGACAAAGATTGAAGTTAAAGAGGTAAATTAGAAATAACAGGAGTCTTCAAAGACTTGTAGACCCTCGGGTTTTGTTGCTAGTTGTGGCAGAAAGGGGGGAGGTAAGCAAGAGCGCCAACTGTGAACTTCCGTGCTGCTAGCCGTTCAAGTCGGACATTAAAGTTCTATCAACACGGATCGTGCCTTGAAACCCTTGTCTATGTTGGAAAAGAGGTTTGATGCAATAACCTGATAGATTGATTATACGTCACAATCCAGCTCACAGTTAACGTCTGTGTCGGCGGCTGAGGCTGGAACAGACGGAGAGAGACGGCGATACGACTATTTGGGACTAAAAGAAAGGAAAAGACCGAAGAACTGAAAAAAGGCCACTGAGTGAATGATTCGGGGAAGAGATGAGAAGAACGATCGAGAGAGAGAGCTATCTAATGAGCTGATGCCTTAAGCACCAGGAGTCACGTGACTCCCGACCCCTGACAGAATGTGAGTGTTGCATGCTGCAAATTCTCGGTCGGCAATCGTTCCTTACTACTTGCTGATGCCAACCAATCTCATTATGTATGGTTTGGCCCATATCAAAACAGATCTACAGGCGTGCGATAGTCCTCGGCGTCAACTGTGAATATCACTGCATTTGATGCGGTTTGCTCATGTATCTGCAGTTTGACGGGTGTTGTCACACCTGGAAACTGGAAGATCATAGAATCTCGGGTTTCTATTACGTGGCATCCTTCTCAGAATTGTCTATAAAGATCGTAGAGCCCTCCCTCCTTATGGGGGCGGATTCCAGTTCAATATATGTGCTTTATGGCTTCATATTTTCTACATGCTTATATTCTTCTATATCATTGATATCCATAACTTGTAACAAGGAGCAATTTCTCGGTACGATGGATTGAACTTTGAGCGGTTCTGCTGTGTAATCTAGTGTAATCCCAGTATGTGGGCCCAATTCTCTGGAGATGATGGCGCAGCACTCTTTTCTGGTGTTCGCCACTTATCCCCCCCCCCGCCAGCAAGAGCTCTCGTTGCCAAGGTGGCTATGGCGATAGGCTGATAGCCTTGGGTCATTTGACCACCACGTAACCAAAAAGACACTCGAATGAAATCATCTAAATATCGGATCAGCCGCAGTGTTAGGGTCTCTTTGCACGGGACACATTCCGGGATTGCTTCGCCTCATACTACATCCCGATCGACCAAACTCGCCGCTATCCTTCACCAGTGAACCCCAAGTCCAGGCTCTCAGCCTAAACAGCCTTGGAAGTGAGCGGGTCAGCCGCGGTCATTGAGTGCGGGGCATGCGAAGAGAGGGGCCATGAACTTTAGTGAAGTGGGTCCACGGCGGGTAGAGTGTTTTGGCATCTTACATCTACACTCAGCTGAGGGGTGTATAGTGGCGCGCCAAATGTCTGCGACCACCCCTACTGACCTCCCTTTTCTGCCATACTAATTCTGCCGGATTAAAACTTACGAAAGTATCAAATTCCTAACTAATATTTTGTATACCACCTATAGGAGTCAATAATTGCTAGTACACTATGAGGCATAGTCTCTGAAAGATGTTCTAATATACGAAAATCAATATCTTGCCACGCAGCTTAAGCTGTATCAATCAAAATATTTAATATAGTATCGTTATTGGTCATATAAAGTAAATCAGGTCATAGTTTGTAGATTTTCTGCTTTAAAAGAGTCCAAAGGTTCTCAATTGGATTAAGATCTAGTGAAAATAGAGGCTAGACTATGACCTCCCGTCCAAGCTTATCACGAAGATAATCACGGATAATAATAGTAGTATAAGTTAGGGTAGACCTGTGCAGACCCATGGGCATGCCCATAACCCATAGGCACTCTGTCCATGGGCGGTTAGCTAGATTCCGGCCTATGGGCCGCCCATTGCACAGGTCTAGGGAGGCTGTGTATAGCTACATGGAAGAGGTCGGCCGGCATGTTTGCTTGGTTTGACCACTCTCGGATACAGACCAATCAGGTGATTGGTCCGAGAGCGGGACCCCTACATGTACGTAGCATAGCTCCCTCTCTCTTCTTCCCTCTTCCTCAACGTTGTTATTCGTTCTTCTTCGCGCCTCATTACAGAGGCAATGTACCGAACGGATACTAAGTTGATACCGATGTCGAAGTTGCGAGGTCGTGGAGTCATGTGATGGGGTCACATGACCCACAACCCCTCCGTTCTCCTGTATGATAACGTGTGGGAGTCTTCCTCCCTTCTTTCCCTTTTCCTCATCTTTGATACTTTAGTTCAATCGTACGAAAGTTCTTCTGTTTTCTGGATCTTACACCCAGGAGCTGATGACTTTGGAAATCGTTATTGTGCAATTCATGCCAGTTTCATGGTTGAAATAATAGTACTAAGCCTATTAGAGCAGCTTAATGTATGGAACGTGTTCTATTCTGGAACGGCCCTACCCGTAGTGAACCTACATGGAGGACCCCCTATGACTCCGTTTGTATATCTTTTATAAATCGTTGGCTTTAGTCTTCCTCTTCTATCCTCTTCAACCTTTTCATTATCCATTTTTGATATCTACTTACTTTTTTCTACACTACCTGTGGTACCCATAACCCTCACTCTTCATCTCTCACTTATCAAATCATGACTACTGTACCAGCAATTACGCGATCTGGTTCACGCGGCTCTGATCATGAGCTGTCATATGCATCTCCTCTGGTCATCCGAATGAAAGGTCATAATCCGGACAGAGAGTCTCTTGAGAGACACAACAGCAAGCGTCGAAGTGGAAGTCTTAATGACGAGGACGGTAAACTTGGGGATGATGGACGCAAGCGTCGCTCCGGTGGAAGTAGCGACGATGAGGGCCGATTGACCCACGACAACCTCCACAATGAGGATCTTCGCGTCGGGGGGCCATACTTGTGCTCCATTCCCACAGCGAGTATACCCGTCCCCACAAATCATCCTAAATTTCGGTTGACATGCCTTGAAACTGATGAAGGATGGGAACTCGCGATGAAAATCATTAAGATCACCGACAAGTACCATCTCAAACAAAAGGGTGTCAAGTTTTCTTTTATGGGGAGGAAGTCTTTTATCAACCCTGAGCCAGAGCCCTGTTTAACTCTGTACATCTTGGCAGAGAGGGAGATCGTGGATGACACCTGGCTGGAATGCGCTCGAGAGCTAAGGGCTCTCTTAATTGGCAATAACCTCTCTTCTTGTTCCGTGGAAATTGCCGATCCATTGGCGTTCATGCCAATGAATACGTATCCTGTTCTTCAGAGAGACAAAGTCTTCTGGAACTGGGAGCCTCTCCTGCAAGAACTCTTACGTCAACTGGACCTAACGGCAATTCGATTCATCGGTTGCTTCAGACGTGGGAGAAGCACCACGCTTCTGGAGTGTTCACCAACCCTCCTAATAGTGGTCGATCGCAGCCAGGACTGGAGGGAAACCCGAGAGAAAGTTGTTTCTATTCTGAAGAGGTGGCATCTCCAAATGCTGGCCGTTGAAATTGTTAAGGATAGGCGGGTGTATCAGGCGCGCACAGGGATCAGCACTGGCCTTCTCGAAGGAATTTTGAAGAATAATGGCCAAACTATGGCCACCGAGTCCATTGCGTCATCTCAAATCAAAGACGGTATTGGTACTCTGGGCTGTTTCCTGGATCTCAAAAGCCCAAAGTCTGACGACTGGAGGACCTTTGCGTTAACGTGCTGGCATGTCGTGGTACCCCCTTTTGATGGTCTCTCTCCCACGGATAAAGAACGTAAGTACTTTCCCCTTATCTTTCGATCCCTGGTATTACTGACTTGGCCACCAAGTAATCGCGAAGTGGAACAAAAATGGCGTCCTGCCAGGCCCCAACCACACGGATACTAAACGCCTGCTTGCCGTTGATCATCCCACCCGCCTCGCCTACAAAGAGGAGCTACCAGAGATGGAGGAGGCAATTACAACCACTGAATCTTGTGACCACTATCAGAGGTGGAAGGAGCATGATGCACTAGGAATACTCAGTGATCGCTATCGCGTTGCCTACGAAAAATGTCTTATCCAGCATCCAGAAGCAAAAGCATGACCTTCAGGCCTTCCGTGATTGTTTTCAAAATGGCCATCAACTACTTGGAGCTGTGTTTGCTGCCTCGAGCTTTAAACAAAAGGCCTGTGGCCTTACAAAAGATGTCAAAAGTCATCCTACCAGTCTTGACTGGGCCCTTGTTCGCGCAATGCCTAATCGCCAGCCATCCAACAAGGTATATAACTCAATTATTGCTACTATTTCATCTCCCCTCTTCGACTTACATCCACTAACTATCATTCTACTATTTTAGTTCGACGAAAGACCCGGTACTCTCCCCCTGAGGTTCGCCCCGAGTTCAATTTTACAAAGCCAAGAGATGCACGGGGCGACAGTTTCCATGCACGGTTATCGCTCTGGGAGAACAAATGTGGTTTACAATGGACTTAGTGTTGCCTACATTGAAGTCGAAATGGTCGAGGGAGTTATCACCACGGACATCACCCTTGAGTATTCCGTACAGGGCCTCAACCCCAATGGTGAGCCTTTCTCTGTGCGAGGGGATTCCGGCGCAATGGTCGAGTACAAAAAGAAAATACCGACCAGCAAAACACCGGCCATCACCGAGAGGTGGATTGTCGGTATGGTATTTTCGGGTTTGGAGAAAGAAAATATCACAAACATCACGCGAGCGGATATTTTGCTCGATGACATCAAGGAGAACACTGGCGCGGCAGATGTGAGGCTTTTCTCGCCAGTAGGGTTACTTTGAATTCGCCGGCTTATTCGATTTCTTTCTTTCTTTCTTTCTTCCTTCCTTGTGAGTTCTAGTTGAATTGCTTTCGAACGCGTTGGACATCGAGTTCTTCTGATTACATGGTTATGCGGCTTCCTTTGCAGGTTTAGTTCATTCGCTTTCCAATTAGTATTAATCTGCTTTTTGAATATTCTTATTAACTATATGATTCATGTGCCCATATAAAGATAGGTAGTGTCCGGCGGCAAAAATTCGATCATTGGTAATTTTGGATAATACAGTATACTGTAACCATATATTGAATTGCATATAAGCTTTTTGTTTTTTTTTAGTTAGGAGGAGTGGCGGTTCACAACGCAGTGGTGATGAACAACACGAGATATTTCTTGACCAACCCGCTTTAACCATTTGGTTTCCCATTCCGCAGTCTACTGATACTACTAAATACAATTCGCCAAGATAACAATTATCATACTCCCAGTCAAGCTTTATATTTACCAAAGCCGATGTATTTAGAATACCATGTGATACTGTTAACATAACAGTCTTCGAAACCCCTGGCAGCAACTGCCCAACATGTGTCGCCACCGGAGAGCAGGTAGCTCCAATCAAGGAATGTCCATTAGCTTAAACAAAACAACGTATATATTTCATTGGCATAGATCAAGTTGTTCTTTTTTTTGCTAAATACCAAGGACGACCAATGCGGATGTTTTGTATTGTGTGATCTAGACCTTCCCAGCGATCTTTTACATGGACCAATGCCTCACCGACTGTTGGGCCTTGAGCCCACTGACGTCATTCACCATAACCAAAACACCATTCACTTTCCTTTGAACTTGGGTTTGTCATTTCAGAGAAAGGTTGTGCCTCTCACGGTACTCTCATAGCTTTTTTCTTTTTTTTTTTGGAAATTCTGATACATCGAGTCGTCATATCTCAATATCCCTGTCACTAACCCAAAAAAGCGCCAAATCACTGCTATGAAGAGGATATTCTGCGCCTTCTAAGAGGCAAAAGCACGACGATTAAAACGTACCCAAGTCCGATGATTCCAGCGACCACACTATACGCAATAACTGCCCCAACAGGTGCAATCGATAGACCGATGCCTGTCATACGAAAGCCTAGACCAGCGTTGATAATTCCAAGAGCCATGAGACAGCGACCAAGCCATCGATGTAGGTAAGCAAACACACTCTTGCCACCAGTTTTGTGAAAATACCTGTGTTGAAGAAAGCCAACTGCGGGCTGAAAAAGCGTAAGACACGGGACAGTCACCATCCCAATAATTGGATGATATCTTTGTATGAAATCAAGGCTTCTTGCCATTGAAATACCAATTCCAAACCCAGCAATAGCCAGGGAGAGTGTAACAAGCTGGAACGCAGCATGGACATTGACAATATTTGTATATGGAACAATATGAAGCATCAGAGCAAATGAAGGAAAAAGAATGACAAAGACCAATATCATAATAATAGCATGGGCCTTCCTGAGCTTTTCAACAGACCCAGTGCTAACAGTCGAAATAGGATGTGCTGTACCCGAGGACTCCGTATTGTTCGAGGTTGTAAAAGGGTTATCAGATGTACCGCCGGTTGCCTGTTGAAGGTCTATGGCAGCAACCCCCTCTGAATCGTGTATATTGATAGATGCAGTTAAACTGTCCGTCTTGAGTGGGCTTCCGTATTTCACTGCCCAAACCCATGGACTCGATACGCTGCTCACATTTTCATTTCCACCGGACCACGCGATACAACTATCGCATCGGATATTTGCGGTCATAATTCCATTATTGATTCCACTGCCATTTAAGACTGATAACTGAGCTTTGGGGTTATGCAGTGGCATAACATGCTCCACGCCCAGTCGCGGAGAGACGGTAACATTATTGCCGTTGCTAGATGCATAGACAATAAATATATTCGCTCCTTGCATTCGAGATCCCTGGCCCCAAGCAAACCATTTAAGCTCGGATGTGGACTTCAGTTGGAAGAATATCGGCCCAGAGCCGGAGGACGCGGTGGCCTGGGGTATATTGACACTATAGCTGATTCCATTTTGCCCAGGAGGCACAAATGTTTGTAACTGGGCAAGGGTGGAAATGGATGTAAAAAGCCAGAAATAGGCACAATTCCTCGCCCTCGAGGTAATGCTCGGGTTTGATTTTGCCATCAAGAAAAAGATGCAAGATATTCTCACCTGTGAAATCTTGGCAAATGTGTCCTGCATGATATCCACGCTTCCGCCACAGTTATATCTGGACGGGCATCACAATCTTTATCGCCATACCTAAAGCAGCAACCATTCTGTATCTAGACCCGCCACGGGTACCAAAGCATTTGACTCGATGCAGGTGTCATGACCTGCTAAATGACAGTCAGTTTTCAGAATCTCGTGTTTAGACTTTCTTTGTGCCAAACCTTTGCAAAGCTGATCGCCATTGTCCCGTATCCCCGGAATGATTCAACTTAGTCAGCTCCCCGCATTTCGGATGACAAGCCACAGTACACTATGTCAAACTTATATCTTGAATGACCGGCTGATCTAAGACGAGTTTGGTGAGTTTGGTAGAAAAAGGCCATATCCCGTCTTTTTGTGGTTGATCCAACAGGACGATGATTCCCATTTTCTATTTTGAGTAATCCGTTTGTCTAGGCCTTCGTATTGAATGTAATCATGGTTTGAGGGGAGAGTAAGTGTCATAAGCCTTTCTTATGCTGATACTTTCATGGCTGTAAGCTAAAGCTTCCAAAAATTCACTGTAGGTATCGGGGGACCGTATACCCGTATAGCGTAGCTCAAAGCACATAAAGGGAACCCCCTCTTGGTTCCATTCTTCAGAATGGAACTTTCGCCTTTCTTACAAATCCTTGCCGCCATATTTGTTCCTCAAATTAAATATCAATGATGATGATACTGTCTTTGTGTACTTTCACCTTTTTGTTCCTCCCTCTCGTTGGTGCCCAGTACGGAGGAGGTTCTAGCGATACTACTACGACCACTGCAAGCTCAAAAACTACGCGTTCAACTTCAAGTGCCACCCAATCTGTTGATGTTGGTGAAGATGGCTTTACCTTCAATCCCGACACTATCCACGTCCCTTCGGGTGGCGTAGTCGAATTCCATTTCTATCCAGGCGACCACTCTGTTGCCCAGGCCGCTTTTGATAATCCATGCCATTCCAAGAGCGACACTAGCTTCTTTAGCGGATTTATGGCCTCTGCCCATGATGGATCGGTAATTTCATGATCATTTCTTCTAGTAGTATAACTTCTGACATGTTAGCCTGTCTGGTCGTTGACCGTTAATGATACAAAACCGATCTGGTTCTACTGCGGCCAAGTTGGACATTGTCAAGCCGGCATGGTCGGTGTGATTAACCCGTCGTAAGTATGACCTAAGCTCATCGCATTAGAAGCACGTACTGATTTCCCATCAATGTTAGTGGATCGGATACGCTTGATGCATTCAAGTCGGCAGCTTCGAGCGCAAAGGGTCTGAGTGTGCCAACCACGGCTCAAGGTGGCATTCTCGGTACGCCAAGTGCTGGTCAGTCGACCGCGACTCCCAGCAGCAAGACTGCTACAAGCGGTTCAGCCACTACTAGCAGTTCGGTTGCCACCAGCAGTTCGGTTGCTACCAGCAGTTCGGTTGCTACTAGCAGCAGTACGTCTACTGCTAGCGGGACACAAACCAGCCCAGGTAGCTCCAGCCCTAGCGCCACGAATATAGCAGAAAGTTTGCACGTTTCAACGGATCTAAGTCTCTTGTTCATTCTTACCTTAACAGTGGCTATGTTCCTGATGTAGGTCGAGATCCATCGTCATTGAGGTGCTGGGATTGATGAAAGTCGGCTAAGGAGGAATCTCATGCACAAAGAAAATGAAAAATGCCCCCTCCTGATAATCCCATTGTTGACTTTTGGTTTGCAATAATCTATGGTTTTTTGGATGCAGAAATGGGCTTTTCTTGAGGTCAATTCTACGTATTACCAGTACCACTTCATTTCAAACCCTAATATTTTTCTTGGTACATCTGTCAAAATATTGTTCTTTGCTATCTAATGACTACTTATTTAATAAAGCTGAAATATTGGGTTTGTAACACGGATGTTAGTTATCTTCTTAGAAAATTGACAAATATTGATCATAAGTTGGTCTTCAACCCCCACCCAAAAGATTCAGCTATGCTGCTCGTTGATGACTAGACATACTTGGAGCTAAGACAATGCAGAGTTATCACACGCAAAGTAGCTCGCCCCAGACTGATACATCTCCGAATCAAACACATCCAGATCCCACTTGAACCCAGTCTGCGTGACATCAGGTGTCTCCAGTCTCAGCCGCAGATTATAATCACTGTTGTAGTCGAGTTCATCCAGACCTACAAATAAGCTTGGGGGGTTACTGAACTGCGAGTTAAAGGCGACAATTGACGAATTCTTCTGCTACGTATTCTGCCAATCGTGAATATCCGCGGTGGAAAACCGACCGCTATCGACACCAGGTATACCATCCGGGTAGGCAATCCAGGTGGTGCTAGCTCCGTACAATACACTATCATACCACAACTTAATGGTAATCTGAAAGCCGATGTGTGTAATATTAGACGGAATCACCTTGAGACGCATTCTTCCCCTTCTTCAAATCAAAATACGTGAGGAAGCAGACCACCTTCGGCGCAGAGGGGAAGGGATTAGAGAACTGGATATATTTCGAGTTGTCGTGCTGGGGACTTCGCCAGTCGCGGATTTCGTTCGTATCGAAGATGCCGGACTGGAGGAATGGCAGCTTCTGAGTTTTTTTCAACCCAACTCATACCGGCAGAGTAGAGCTTCGTGTCGAACCAGGTCCAGATTTTGGCGGTAAATTCATTGGCTTGGGGGTTGGCGACTTCGGCTCTGATGCGGATGTTGTAGTCCTTGTCTATGTCGAGACATGTCAATCTGATGGGGAGTTCTAGCTGCGTGTAGTGGTAATTCTGGAGCTGGAAGGTCTTCTGGTACTCTTTGAAAGATTTCGTCATTAATAATGAGTTTGATCAGGTTATTGTCATTCTGCATACTCCGTTGTTACACAAGATGAGTACAGTAGGGAGATCGCGAGATTTTCAGCTGAGCCAGTTGAATTATAGCACTCCAAGGTGATCAAGATGATCAGTCACACAAGATGAGGGGAAAGTGGAGAGTTGGGAAGCTTTCAGCTAAGCCACTAGTAAGTGACGGTTCGGTGCAGATATATGAAAACTTAAACATTTCTAAATTACTGTGTTTCATTGGATTAGTTAGTAGTTCCTCATAATGTGTAACCTCAATTTCGTAAAATGCGGTGAACAGGCGGGGATAATACGAACCTATCTGATGACGATCGTCCCGTTCCGACTTAACTTCGCACTTGGCATTGCGGAAGAGTAAGCGGCTAACCAATCAATTCCAGGATTCTCGAGACACCTCAAGAGGATTCCCAGGAGCAAACCCGAGGGTTAAGTAAGGCTCCTAGAGGCAGAATACTCAGTGATCAAGATGTTGATCAAGGGCACGGTGTCCTCAGGCCAGAAAATATCCAGTTCGTATGTGGCGTGGCTGAGCTTTGCAATCACAGAGTACTCTGTACCCCAATATTGAGATTACTGCACTACTTACCCCACTTCGTCTTCGAAGGCTGGCTTTTCACCGCAAGTTGGTATCAGGGACCGTCGGCTGATTTTCCCAAGTGATGCTCGTGAATGTGATTTGAAAATAGTATTGCCACCCGAAAGTTTGTCTAGACCAAATATGGCAATGAGCTCCAGGTCTTCTAGTTCGTTGCATCTGCAGCTGTGGAAATTTATTCGTGACCTTTGATGTATACGTGTCCGTTCGAGGTTGGATGTAATTGCTCTATCATCCTGCGAGAACTTCCTGCTGTGTAACCTGAGATGCATTAGGTTCTATAGTTCTGCAGGTGTCTCCATTACACGTACTACCATGGGCCAAGTCATAGACGCACGATGAGAGACATGCTAGCGGGGATGAACAGAGCTCTTAAAGACTTATAATCTCTCTCGACCAGATTCGTGAAATTAAGGCGTCCTTTTTTTATCGGTTATATCTAAAAATGGGGCAATTCAAGATTGACCGTACACCACTGCGAATCCTCGATTCAATCGCTGCCAACAATCCGGATGCACTGTACTGTATCCAACCTGTCTCTTCTGACATTTCTGAAGGATGGGTAAGAGTCAATTTCAAAGCCCTCGTGAATGCGATTAATCGCACAGCGATATGGATTCAAGAGAATGTTACATCCTCGGATGAGCCCGAGACCATCGCATATGTCGGTGCCAACGACATCCGCTATATAGCATTTATCTTTGCCTGCATGAGGCTGAGGCATGTTGTAAGAAGCGACTTTTCTCCTCAAAAAGATTGACCTACTAAAGAAGTCCTAAGGCCCTTCTTCTTTCCACAAGGAACTCGGAGCAAGCATCACGACACATTCTAGCAGCAACGAATTCCACCAAGCTCGCGTACAGCTCAGAGAGAAGCCGACAAATAGAAGAGTTGAAAGTAGCAGACCCCTCGTTGGAAACTGTACAGACTCCCGCTCTCTGGGAGTTGTTCGATCTCGATGGGGAAACCCCTGCCCCCGTGGTGAAGGAGCCGGTCGAAGATGCAGAGGATCGCATAGCGATTTACATCCATAGTTCAGGAACTACAGGTAACTCCTATACAAGATCAGATAATCGAAGTAATGAAGTAACACGATCTCCGACTTATAGGAATGCCCAAGCCGGTCCCGATGACAAATGGCTATCTCCAGGCAATTGGAGATGTCGGGACAGTCCCATTGCCAGAGGGAAGAGGCTGCAGTTACGCTCCTGCAAATAGCCCAGGGAAGTTGCTCTTCACTATGAGTCCTTTCTTCCATTTGATGGGCATCCTCAGCATCATGATACCCCTTTCATACCAGAACGCTTTCGTTCTGGGGCCGGAGAGGCCGCTCACAGATGAATTGTTTGACCAAATTGTCAAGGACACTGAGCCCAAGATAGCCATCATTGCTTCATCTCTCATAGAGGACTTATGCAAGTCAGAGCTCGGATATAACAGTCTATGCAAGTTTGATTATATTACTTTTGGAGGCTCACCGCTGGTAACGCATGTAGGAGACCGTCTCGCAGAGGGAGTGACGATCCAGTCGGTCCTGGGAACAAGTGAATGCAGCATCATCCCAGCGCTTCTTCCGGAAGATAAGAAAGATTGGGCTTATCTCGAGTTCAACCCCAATGCCGGCTTGGAAATGCACAACGTTGGTGACGGACTATATGAGCTCGTCGTCCAACGAGGAGACAGCAGAGAGGGTAAGGCCGTTTTCCATACTTATCCAGACAAGACAGAGTACCACACTGGCGACTTATTCGCGTCTCATCCCACCAAGGATGGATTGTGGCTTTACGTGGGCCGTCAAGATGATCTCATTGTCCTCAGCAATGGAGAGAAGTTCAATCCCAATTCGATGGAGGAGACCATTGCAAGCCACCCACTCGTGAATCACGTTTTGGTAGTTGGACAAGGACGTTTCCAAACTGCTGCCATTATCGAACCAGACTGGTCTGTATGGAGCGGAGAACCAAACTCTTTGATCGATGAGATTTGGCCTTTGGCGCAGAAGGCTAATAGAACTGCTCCTGCGTATGCCCAGCTTATGAAAGAGCGTGTCGCGATTGCGTCCCAGTTGAAGCCATTCCCACTGACTCCCAAGGGTACGATCAAACGTCGTGTTGCTACAAGTGACTATGCCACAGAGATAGATTCAATTTATGAGGCTGGAGATCAAATCAATGTGGATCAACTTCCTAAGGATGCTTCTCGATCGGACGTCGCGACATATGTAACTCAGGTCCTGTTGGATATCTTGGATACACCTACGGTTGATGAGAATGCCGATATATTTGCCCTGGGCGTCGACTCCCTGCAAACTCTCCGATTGGGTCAAATTCTCCAGGCCTCACTGCGCTCTGCTCGACCGGATTTGGAGACAGCCTTTGGGAATTCACAGCTTTACTCCCGCCCAACCATTGTCCAACTCACAGGATATGTATATGACCTTCTACAAGGGAAAGACTCTGGGGCTGTAGAAGAGATTGTAGAAAGTGACGAGGATCGCGAAGTTAGAATTGCTGGACTCGTTGGGAAATACTCCGACGATGTTGGCGAAAGTCACAGTGTCATTCTCACGGGCTCGACTGGTTCCCTGGGTGCTTATCTTTTGCACGAGCTTCTGCGCGACCTCAGTGTCTCTAAGATCTACTGCCTCAATCGGTCTAATGATGCCGCGCCGAGACAGCTGCAGAGCCTGCGTGAGAAGGGTCTAGTAGGATTCAACAAGTTTCCACGCCGGGTTGAATTTCTCCAGGCAAATTTCGGCGATGAAAGACTTGGGCTTGATGAGACAAAATACGAAGAGCTCCTGGAAAGTGTCGATACCATCATTCATAATGCCTGGAAAGTCAACTTTAACCACCGAGTTGAAGCCTTCGAGCAACCTCATATTGAGGGTGTGCGTCGTCTCGTCGATTTCAGTATTGCCAGTGAAAAACAGGCTCATATCCATTTTATTTCATCCATTTCCACAATCGAGGGCTATAGTCAAGGGCCTTCTATCCCTGAAATCATTTTCACTGACCCTAGCTCGGTCCTTCGCCAGGGGTATGGTGAATCAAAGCATGTTTCCGAGCGAATCTGTGCAGCTGCTTCAGCTAAATGTGGTATCCCCACCAGTATTCACCGTGTTGGTCAAATTGGAGGACCAACAACGGAGAAGGGAATGTGGAATAAGCAAGAATGGGTGCCATCCTTGGTTGCGACCTCAAAGACGATCAAGCAAATTCCGAGTTCTCTTGGTTCAGTTTCTGTACAATGGGTTCCAGTGGTATGTTGCTAATTTTATGATCCATTCTATTTTGCATAACTCTATCTAAGAGGCCTTCTCCTAGGATGTTACGGCCAAAGCCATCGCAGATATTGTCCGCAGCCGACGCGTTACCCAGGAAGATGAGCCATGTGCAGCTTTCCACATTGTGAACCCCAGGAAAACCGAATGGGAAGATCTGATTCCAGCCGTCACCAAGTACTTTGATGTCGAGCCAGTTGATGTTCATACATGGGTAAAGACTCTCGAGGGCTTTACCAGCCCCACGGAAAGCGATCTTAAAGATAAGCCTGCTCTGAAGATCCTCGATTTCTTCAAGGCCATCACATATAGTGATGAAGCCGGTCCATCTACCGAGACAACCAAGACTGAGGTTGCGAGTAAGACCTTGAGGAACTTGAAGGAGATCGATGCGCCTCTGTTCGAGAACTGGATGAAGCAGTGGGATTTCTGAATAGCTCGTACATGCAAGTAGCCTTGTGCTCCTGTCAAATAAATCCAATGCTTTTTGGATGTTAGGTTCAAAAGGCCTACTGATTTAAGACTGCGTACGTGGTGGTGGTTCTTTCGCGTAAAGGTTCGCTTCGTGGGGATAGGTGACATATTTCTGGAATAAACATCATTTTATATTCTCTATATGCTCATTTACTACTCCGTAGTCAGGTATATTCGAGACCTTCGAGTGATGATTTAATAAAGTATGTGACGCCCTTCCCCCTTGAACACCCAAGAGCATTCCGAAGAAAGCCCCAGCGTAGAGAATGCCTAGGGAAGAGAAGCGTCTTTACTCTCCAGGGCCGGGAACGGAAAGAAACCCATGAAGGCCGAAGCCATCGGGTAACCATCAGCAAGCCACATTGTGGAGCCCCAATGTATTTACATTTGGAAATGTAAACTGTAGATGGAGAAAGGAAATCAATTTGTTGGGGACGCGAAACGCGAGTTTTATGCGTGGGAGGTTTTTCCGCGCTAGAGCGAATTGGGCCATAGCGCCCCCGGAGAGGTCAATAACCCAGTTCCGGTCCGGATTGGGGATAGCGTCATTTCCATTGTCCTCGGGGTTTTACATACTACTTTCGATACAAAGTCACTTTAATGCACTGGCTTCATTCTTGGCTTGGCAGGAGGTTTCTTCACAAGATGACATCGCTCTCGGACCAAAGTAAAAAGAAGGAAACGGTTTCTTCGTCATGTTAGCTTTCAGGGTAACCGGATCCATGGAGATTGTGGTCGTTTGTGAGGTAAAAAGACAAGGAGGAGGAAAATATTTATACTGCACCATCTATTACTTATAACAATCTTTCGGTATTAGAGTAAGCAAGTCTCGATCTGGAGCTCAGCCTCGAGTTTGAAATGGAGACTCGTAGTCTTGATGGTTTTGGCTGTGCTTGATGAACGCATATCCCAATCTATACCATCCATTAACTTTCCCCAGGGCCATCACAGCTATTCTCCAGATTAGTCAACATGTAAAAGATTACCATTATGAATACGCAGTTCCTTTGAATGGAATCAATATTCTCAATATCACTAGTGGCCATTGGGATTTCAAAAAGCCCTGGAAGCGACAGTAGGACGACTGATCGTGTTCTTTGTCATTCCAGTGAATCTCTCATCTTTCTTTGTCGCTAAGTCAATCTCCATCACTAAAAGCAACCAAAAACACCATTATCAAAGAGCCTATTGCTTTATTCGACTCACGAGATCCCATGTCGTTGTCCCCGTGGTTCTTGCCTTGAAAGGTTTATAAATAGACAGAAGAGCGGTATTCTTCCAAATTTTACTTTCAAATAATAAAGGGAAGGGGTACGTACCACCATCGAAAAGTATGAGTTGTCTGAAAGATAGCACTTTTAGATGCTGCTGTATAAGAATCAAGGGCTATTCTGTCCGCATATTTCATTTTTCAGAAACTTTTCTTTTCGTTTTACTAGTTCTATTTAGGCCTTATATGTCCAGTGACGAACCAGGTGATTCGCGAAGATAATAAAAAGAAGCTGAAATAGTCTACTTAATTCTCTGGAAAGACCGAGCACCATAACTTGAAATAGCGCAAGTCTGAGATGTCGAGTCAGAGTAGGAAGAGGAGCCACTGGTCCGGCCTACCTCCATATATAGTGAGTCCTTGGAGACGTTCTGGGACAACGCAAAAGCGCCCCAGAGAAAGGGGGGGAATGGAGATAATTCAAAGGCAGTGCTGATCCGGGACGATGTTGAGTTTGCCTACGATGATTATGATGGACGGATCAAAAGATGCGAATGGCGAATCGCGCAGGGATTTCCCAGAAACACATTTCAGGAAAAGATTGCACGGTTAAGGGAGGAAAGGGATCTCCGCAAGTGAGTGATTTGTTTCATTGAACCGATCCGAGTCTTCTTAGCGGAATCATGTATAACAGATATATGTGAAATCAATAGAGCCGTAATGTATCAATACCCAGGCAAAAGTTCGCACGTTATTCAACGTATAGGAACTCTCCAAGTGATACGTGACCATCTGGAGAAAATTGAAGATCCATGCGGAGAACTTCCAAACGTCCTTACAATACTGTTAGCTTATAAAGCTGGTCAGCTACTATTCGACGATAATGCCACCTACTGGGCTCAAGGCAGAATGGTTGGTGGCCCCTCGCCATTCTCCTGGGAGGATTTTGGAAGACTGAACACCGAGGAAAACCGAGGAATAGGAGGGTTCTGGGTTGAAGGAGTGAGTTGAAGCATCCAAATTTTCGTATAGCAAAGACTAAAGAACACTGATGAGAATGAATGATTAGGTTTACTCACGGCAGCCCAAAACTGCCATGCTTGTAAATAAATACACATCCTCGACGCATGATATGCATGGCAAAGTAGAAGTAGGTACTACTAGTACATTCCAGGATCGCGGAACTCTCAAAAAGACAACAATGAAACAATGACTAATTTTTTGTCTTCTTTCGTAGGTCGATCTCACCATCCGACTCTCCCAGGCGGTCCCAGTTGACCCCATGTATCCTCGGGATAATACGTTCGATCGCACTGGCGTACCTTTTCCTGAACTGGAGTTAAAGTTTTCGGATGATACAGGAGCGAGTACGATGAATATTTTCAATGATGATATGCAAAACTTGATGGGAAACAATGCAGGCATGCGGCCCGCCCCAGTGTCGCACCTTATGGGCTATGAAGTCTTTCGCATGGCAAGTGGTGCACGATCTGTGATGAAAATCATTTTGGTGGACGTAAATATCAGGGGGCTAGATAGGAATGATAACCGAGACTTTATGGGTGCCTGGGACTGTATTCCTTGCGCGGTATTTGACCAAAATCAAAACCAGGGCCAGGTGAGGCTGAATGGTCCATGGTTACGGAACATGTACTATGTCGCGACTGCACCTGCGCAAATGGTCACTCTCTGTGCTGGCACTAATAAATCAGATATTTACGCGGCTGATATGCTCCCAAGAGTCGATCGTATAAATCGCAATCCACCTCCTTCCAGGGTGCCTCATTATGGGGTACAGTGGGTCTTAGATGCAACCGACGGTTTCTTTTATCCCCTCGCCGCAGTAGGAGGGCCAGCAGCAGTACCACCAACACCAGTACCACCGATATCAGGACCACCACTAGTAGCAGAACCAGTGGCAATGCCACCGCGAGTACCACCAGGACCGTATCTTCCACCTATAGTAGCAGCAGCAGCACCACCAGGGCCAGCACTACCGCCATGATCAGGACCAGGGCTAGCAGGGAAGGGCCAGGGAGAGTATAAAAATGAACTCCTTGGGACTTCGGGATGAATTCTAGGGCGGAATATTCTGGTGTTTGAGAGTCTGCTATAGAACCTTGGAATCTATATGCGTTTGCTATTCTTTCCACTTCGACTGGTGTTCTTTTTAATAGAATAATATGTGTATCTATTTCTTTAGTTGTATTTTGAGGGAGATGAAGAATTTGAGCAATATCCAATTATTTTATCCTCATTCAGTAGTAAATCTTTGTTTGTATTTTTTTGGAAAATCAGGCAGGTGTTTCCAAGGTTGCTTCGTTGTTTGGAGTCTTTCTTCAACAAAGTCTAATATGTTATGCACAGAACAAGACCTGCACTCGGGACAAGTCAAATCCGAGTATCCGAACCGGTGATCATCTATTATCCTCCGTATGATTGGTGACTTTGCGTACCGGAGTGGATATCCCGGTGGATCCGAGGGAGGGAACGTGAGCGAAATCTCCGCTTCTGGCCTGATGAGGCGCCGTAGGCAGAAGAGCAGAACAGGGAGAAATGAAAAGGAAGATAAATTCACGGAGAATCGTCTAATCCTACCCTGTACAAGCTTGAGGAAGCGGCTCGATCCACCATTTCTAAGTATGGCAGCCTCGTGTTCGCTCCGCTCGCTGTCATTATATTTGTACCGGCGTTGTCCCGTCTCTGAGAAGCTTTGATTATATTAGAAAAATCTGTCATCTTCCACCTCCCTAATCCAGGAACGCTCGTATCCGTATTTTGTGACGCAGAATCAGTTATCACTCGCTAAGTTTGATGTTGTGACGCTCGTAGAAATCAACTCAGCATCTTCCAAAGGCGTCACAATTTATCGCTTCCACTACGCTCGATTCACTGGTCGCATTTCGGGGATACCAACCCGATGGAACAAGATGGGCATCTCCCTCAAAATCCCCCCCAAGAGGGTCATGATAAGAGGTCAGATAAGCCTCAGATAGTCTCACTTTCCGCTTCGTCTATTATAGCAGATGAATCAACGCCAGAACCCACTGATGTCGCCGAAGTCGCTAAGAAAGAGTCCGAAGATGCCAACGAGCAGTCTGCCTCGCTCAAGAACTATTTTGTTCGTGCTTTTTGCATTTGATATCATTTGATTTATGTTGCTAATTCTTATATTTAGCGTGTTCTCTCATACACTACGAATGCAGATCGGATGGTCCTCGTGGTCGCTCTCATTAGCGCCATCGGCTCTGGTGTGGTATGTGTACTCTCGCAATTTGTATTCCTCGGACTGATTGGACTTGGAACTTACTTTTTGTTCGAAATCAGCCATTGCCGATCATGAATATCGTTTTGGGTGGATTGGTAGGCCACTTTAGTGATTATTTCACGCCCGGATCTTCAACCACCGAAGCCCAATTCAAAGCGTCCGTCAGTCAATTAAGGTAAAAATCCCAAACATGAACTATCACTTTGCACGACTAACTCTCAGTGAAGTTTGTACATCGTTTATCTATTCATCGCAAAATTTGTGTTGACATACTTCTCAATGGTAACCCGTGGCACCCTGAAAGACTACCATATACACACATCAAATCTGACTCTTTCTCACTACAGTACTGCTTTCGCGTCATTAGTCTTCGAGTCTCAGCTGCTTTGAGATTGGAGTACATGAACGCGCTTTTCTCTCAGCCCATCAGCAAACTGGACCAAGTGTCAGTTGGTACAGTCATCAACGCCATTACTGTTCTCTCCAACTCGATCCAACAGAGTATCTCGGACAAGTTAGCAATTCTATTTCAGTCAATGGCGCTTTTGATTGCAGCATATATTATTGCCTTTACGTACTCATGGGCTCTCACTCTTGCCACCAGCTCTTGTCTTTTATTCATCATCATCGCCTGCAGTCTGACACTGCCCTTTATCTCCAAGACCCAAAAACTAGTAGATAAGGCAGACGAGAAGCATTCGGCAGTTGCGGCAGAAGTCTTTAGCTCCATTCGAACCGTCATCTCGCTCGGCGCTGAGACCACTCTTGCTCGAAAATACCAAAAATGGGTCGTGGAATCGCGCAACAGAGGACGAAGCATGGCCATCGCCCTGGGAATCCAATTTGGCCTCATCTTCTTTGCTATCTATACAAGCTACTCATTAGCATTCTGGCTTGGACTTAAACTGTTTAGAGAGGGTCATATTGCAGATATCAATACGGTCATCATGTCAGTGGATCCGTGGACCAGTACATCTTTTCTTTTTTCCTTTACTAACCCCTTCTTCGCAGTGTATTCTTTTCTGTCATGGTTGCAGTGACTGTCTTAGGAAACATCGCAACTCCTCTGGTGATGATATTCCAAGCAGCCAGCGCGTCCCTCGCGTTTTTCGAAATCATAGATTCGGAAAGAATTCCCCCTGGAGGTGTCAGTGACCCCGATGCTTTAGCCCAGGGGGATATCACTTTCCAGGATATCCAGTTTACATACCCTGCCCGACCGGACAGCAAGATTCTTCGCGGAATGAACATTCGGATTGCGAAAGGTGCTACCACAGCGTTGGTGGGACCGTCGGGCTCTGGCAAGAGTACTATAATCGCTCTTCTAGAAAGATGGTACGCCCCCCAAGAGGGAAAAATCTGTTTGGGCGAACGTAATATCGAGGAATTGGATTTGAAATGGTGGAGATCTCAAATCGGTCTTGTGCAGCAAGAACCATTTCTATTCAATGATACCATTTTCAAGAATATCTCCTATGGTCTTGTTGGTACACAGTGGGAAAACGAGCCTGATTCAGTCAAGGCCAGACTGGTGGAAAACGCGTGCAAAGAAGCATTCGCAGACGAGTTCATTGATCGACTTCCTAATGTATGTTCACTGCTATTTGATTTAGTTACATCTTTTTGTCCTACCACTAATATTTTCTTCCAGGGATACGAGACTATCGTCGGAGAAAATGGCACCAAGCTCAGTGGTGGCCAAAAGCAGCGTCTAGTCATTGCTCGAAGCATCGTGAAAGAACCGGCTATTCTAATCCTGGACGAGGCTACAAGCGCTATTGATGTTCGTGGAGAGAAGATCGTCCAAGCGGCCCTCGATCGCGTGTCCGAGAACCGCACCACAATCGTTATTGCCCACCGATTGTCCACAATTCGACGTGCCGACCGTATTTTTGTTCTCCGGGAAGGCGTAAGTGTCGAAGACGGAACGCATGAAGAACTTGTTGCAATGGAAAATGGTCTTTATCGCGGCCTGGTGAACGCTCAGAGACTTGATATTGATACCGAAGAGGATGACGAGCCGATGGAAATTAAAGAAGCCTTGGAAAAAGAATTAGATCAATTTACAGCTGCTGTACCGAAAGGCCCAGAAAGCGAAGAGGTTAAGAAATACAAGAAACGTGGTTTCTTTGCAAGTACTGGGTTGTTCATCTACGAAGCGCGAGGACATTGGGTACTTTGCCTTCTTGCGCTGTTGGGGATGTTGGGTGCCGGAGGTATGTTCTATATCGTGTTAACTCACTATTTTCCCTGCTAATTTTGGTGAACCAGCTGCTTTTCCTTTGCAAAGTTGGCTATTTGCAAATATCATTAACGTATTCACTCTCACTGGAGACGAATTGACCCACCAAGCCAACTTCTGGGCCTTGATGTTCTTTGTTCTAGCCCTGGGTATCGCCGCCTGTTATTCCGCCGTTGGATACTCAGCGAATAGACTGTCCATTGTTTGTTCATCCTTTAAAATGGAAGTATTATAGCCTCTTCTAACTTGATATATAGGAAATTACTGCCTCGTGTCGGACAGAATACTTTTCAAACATTCTGAAGAAGCCCGTTCCATTCTATGACCTGAAAGAAAACGCCTCTGGCTCCCTGGTATCTAACCTGGCCACAGATCCAAGAAAAATCCAGGAATTGATTGGGCTAAATGGTGCTTTCCCTGTCATTTCAATATTCAGCATGATAGGTTGTGTCGCCATCGCATTTTCATTTGGGTGGAAGTTAAGTCTTGTAGCTGTGTTTGCTGCTCTCCCCTGTGTATTCCTTGCTGCCTTCATGCGCATTCGATACGAAATGCAATTCGACGCTCTTAACACAGCCGTCTATGCAGGCAGTTCTCAATTCGCAGCAGAGGCCATCGAAGCCTTCAGAACCGTTTCATCATTAACCATGGAGAACACTATTCTGGACCATTATTCAGGCCTGTTGAAGCTGCAGCAGAAGAAAGCTTTCCGCAAAGCTATGCCAGCAACCTTGGTTTTTGCTTTCTCCGATAGTGTAGAGCTTTGCGCCATGGCACTAACATTCTGGTATGGAGGCCAACTTCTCGCCGCGAGGGAGTATGAGCCTACTTCTTTTTTCGTTGTATACATGGCGATCATCATCGGTGGCCAACAAGCGGGACAGTTCTTTAGTTTCGGACCCAACATTGCCCAGGCTACGGCATCTGCGAATCGTATATTGAATTTCAGACCGAGTGGTGACGAGATTCTGATGAGTTCTGGAAAGAGCATGGTTAATGGGTCCAGCCAGCCTGGTGCACGACTCCTCTTTCAAGATATTGCGTTTAAATATGCCTCGCAGGACGCTCCTCTTTTCACGGGACTCAACCTTGCGATCGAAAGCGGCCAGTTTGTTGCGTTCGTTGGCCCTTCCGGCTGTGGTAAGACCACAGTGATATCGTTACTAGAGCGGTTTTATAAACCCTTCCAAGGAAATATCCACCTGAATGGGGATGATATCAGCGCCATTGACACAACATCTTATCGAAGAACATTATCTTTAGTGGCTCAGGAACCACGTCTATTCGAGGGCACTATCCGCGACAACATCACGGTTGGACTTGATAGCACAGAGTATACCGAGGACGAATTAATCAAGGCATGCTCTGACGCTGAGATTCACAACTTCATAATCTCCCTGCCAGAAGGATACTCTACAGAATTGGGTATCAAAGCTCAAGCCGCTCTTAGTGGAGGACAGCGACAAAGACTATGTATCGCACGTGCACTCTTGAGAAAACCATCACTCCTCCTTCTGGACGAGGCGACATCTAGTCTGGACTCGCAGTCCGAAAAGTTGGTCCAAGCTGCTCTTGAACGATTAGCTGAGAAGAGAAGCATGACCATTGTCGCGGTCGCACATAGATTAGCAACTATCCAGAAGGCAGATGTCATCTTTGTCTTTGGGGAGAATGAGAATGGACAAGGATCGCGAATCGTCGAACAGGGCAGCCATCTGGAACTGCTTCGAAATAAAGGAACATATTGGCAAATGGTTCGTGTTTCCTTTGATTGATCTTCAAGACGGGTTCACTAACAATATTTCAATAATATAGTGCCAAGCAAACGGAATGGACAGATAAAACTAACCGTGCTCCCTAACCTCGCCCTCTTAACTCACGACTTTATGCCACTTCTCCCAACTCAGAGTTTTTTCTCGACTCAAAATAGTGTATTAGTCTCACAACTCACATTGTGGCATATCTTCACTCAGTATGTACAACTTAATAGAGCATATATCAAAGTATACACCGGTGGCGTTTACAAAATGAAACTCAACGTGTGCATACGAGTTCCTTTCTTCTATGTAAAATCCCAGGAACCCCAGGGTACTTGAAAAATTTAACAAAATCGAATTGTAAGAGCATTGAAAGCTTATTTTCTTCCGAGATGAATGTGAATGATCGCTTAATTCCCCATTTCACTCCAACCAATCTTTCAACACCGGCGCTAGAGCATTTGTCAACCATTCTTCTTTCAACGATGAATCCGCATCAAAACCATGCGCCCCAGGACGCAAACAAAGCGAAATTTTATCACCGCCCTGCCTTGATTTCAAAGCCTTGCGAGCCTTGTTCACGAATCTGTGGCTAGCTTCTACCAAGACAGCACGATCTTCAACTCCATGAATAATCAACAAGCCGCCCGGTGGAAGTTTCACATCTGGCTGATCCAATCTCGGTAGTTGAAACATAGTATCGTAATACCTTGTGTTCTCTGAGTTGCGAGTGTATAAGCCCGATCCTCGTTTGTGCTCTGCAATTGCGATACTGAGATGAGCCCGCTGGTAGTCTATATCGGCTGAGACAAATTCCCCGGGTTGTATGTTGGCAATGTACTCATCTATAAATGATTCTGGCTCTGTTGGATTTGGATGATCGAGAAGAATGGCGGGCTCGTCCCAGCTCAGGAGCGGGTAGGCTGTCGTCGCTGCACGGATTTGATCAGGGTAAGTGAATGTCAAGTAGAGGCTCAGCAGGCCACCAGCTGACTCCCCGGCCGTCATAACACGGTCTAGATCAATCATAACGTTATGCAATTTGAGAATGTCTCGCAATGTATCTGAATGAAGCCATGTCCAGAAATCATCCATATCTTCCAAGATTTGAACTCCCGTGGCCTCGGGCATTAAGCGATAGTTCGGTGAGACGATAATCGCGCCATGAGTTTCTGCCAACTCAGGAAGCCAAGCTGAAAACATTGGAGAGAACATTGAGTCGCCTCCGGTCTAACTTATCAGTTAATTTTCCCATTTCATGTTAGATTGGCGAAATGCTTACCAGTCCACCGCCATGTACTCGAGCTATGACAGGTCTTAGCCCAGCAGGCAGAGATTTTGGAACTATCACATCTGCTCGAATGCTGTGATTTCCGACCGTCTTGTAGTTCAGTTGGATGACATTGACATTGGTGAATTTCTGGCCAAAAGTGGCTCCCGAAATGGATGTCATTTTGCAGTGTGATGTGGGATGATGAATTGAATTGCGAAATATTGGGAAATGATTAGAGGTCAGATGAAAGCTGATTTGAAGTTGAAGTTGAACACTGATTATCGAAGGCAGGAAGATACTGTATTTATATTTCATTGACTTGAATATTGCATCGCCATCAAACACTATATCCACCAGTTGACTCGATGTTGGATGCTGTTTGATTAATTTGTTGCGGAAACATCAGATTATGATTGGTGGACTTTCTTATCGGGCAATATGCGAGCGTCGATCTGATTGGTGGGTCAAAAGAGACAAACATCAACATTAAATTTGGTTGATTTGCATTATTTGCATTATTTGCACTACTTTGTCTTGTCTTGTTTGATAGGAAATACAGCTGGAGTCCTACATTAGGGGCAAGAACACATCTAATCTTCTTTTGGCAAATTCAAAGAGAAGAAAATATTTCAAATAGCGAAACTTCAAACCTGTCCAACATCACTCTGCTGGTCTGAGAACATACACAGTATCCTATCTCGCAGGCTACACGTTACAAGGGGTAACTGAGCCCGGTACTAGGGTCAAATGGCCACCAACATTGGGCAGCGAACGTCGAATACTGAAATGTGTTGGAGGGTTCTTCGGGTGAGACCTCTCCCATGCCATATCTGCACGCCCCTCTTTATTCAATATTAGTCACTGGCCTGGTATGTTGTCATCAAACATAGAGGAACTTACATCAAGAAAGCGCAAGTATATGATGAATTGTGGGGAGTCACAATAGGTAGCAGGGTCGCATTTTTCACACTAAAATGGATGTTAGAATACTGCCACTGTATGAAATCCCAAGTACCAGATGCGATGGGAAATCCAGCATCGCGTTCTCGACACACTCACCCAAATGGCATATTTGTACAAGTCACTGGAACAATACTAGTGTTGACGATGGGTACTTGGATCACGCCTTCCGGTATAGTGGTTACAGAGGCGGAGAGAGCTCCCGAAATGGCCTGGAATGAAGCTCAAGTTAGTCGCTATCCAATCAAATGCAAAGTGTTCAGTACAATGGAAGCATTCTGAGTGTATGCCAGGGCATGATAAGCTTGAAGCTCTAACAATAATGCGATAGTAGAAAGTCTCATGATTGAAAAAGAGAAGCGAGATTCAGAGATACACGGGAATCTAAAGGTTCGAATACTATCTTGATTAGAAAAATATTCGTTCGTTTTATCCGTCGGACCCTTTTCTTAGGCGTCCAATCTGAAAGTAGGCTGCATACATAAAGAAAAAAACGCAATATTTAGCGAAGCGATCATCAAATGTTATTGGGTGATAAAGACAAGGAAGTGGCATTTTGAAGTATCCGATGAAACCCGAGATCTCCGGTCTGACATACATCTCTTGGCAATTAAATTGCTCTTCTATGGTCCTTGCCTAATATAGAAATGCCCCACAGCTATGCATAGAAGCAAAGTTCTTTCTGAGGATGTGCCACAAATTTTTGTCCTTTTCAGCCCCCAACGATTTGTTTCGGGTCATTCAATCCTTTCTCTAGATAATCAATCGTGAGATTCTGCCAGGATGCAGAAACACTCAATAATTATTGATTCTTAACGCCCCGGCTGCTTTTGTTGTCGCAAAGTATACAGCAGCGATTGGTGTCCCAGACTTCCTATATCGAACACAAGTATAAGTTGGTTGCACTGAGACATGTAGCACACATTTTTAATCAGAAGCAATTGGCTCGGACATGATGATATCTACATCACCAACCTGTTCGATAAAACCAGCGACAATGATTCCATCGGTGCCAGGGGCTACAGCGACCGTCATAACAGTTGAGAGGCAGATGGGAGCAATGGGGGAGAAACTCATGGTGGATTGAAAATAGAAGTGGTATTTCATTGTAACGGATAGAATGCTTTTGATCGGAAGCAACCAGTCTTGATACTTATATGGATGGTCACGGTAATAACACGCCATGGACTGACTCTTTCGAGTGTATATGAAACTGGTATTTCTCTTGTTGTTGCTATCGGAAAGTAATGGTCATAAAGGGAAAAGAAGGGAAAGAAGCAAGTTATCAAGCAATCAACTAAGTAAGTAGCCGAATTTGAGTTGATAATTAAGAATGTATTTCAAGTTTCTTCTTGGTGCTGGATCGATCTTCTACTGTATATATCGGATGGGGATATGAATTCACGGCAGCTCCGGAAAGGACAAACGGCTTCGTGTGGATATTTACACTGGACAAAAAATGCCGACATCTGAGATCATTCATAAGATCTTGGAATAGAACTAATTGTTTGCAGGAAAAAGCTCGGGCGAGCTTTGATTACAGACTTTGACCACAGCCCATCAACTCTACAACAGCCAGCAGGAGTAAAATAAAGACTCATGATTTGGTCAACAATAGATCAGAGACCAGAAAGGAAAAATATCGTCTGTCCTAACAATAAATTAAAAGTTTCACAGTAACCTGATACATATTTTATCTACAAAAGGAATACTGGTAGATGTTGGGGATCTCTAGAATTGGCAAAATTCACGTCCCGAATTTGACTACATATTCAGGTTGTAGATTCACGAATGAAGAAACGCATGAATGGATTAAATATGCCCAAACTATCAAAAAATAAACATCAGATCATATGAATATTTTCAAGGCGACAATATTAAACTGAATCAACCCGCGCAGTTAAAACAATAACAAAAATCTCAAACACGTCAAAAGTGCCAATTTTCGCGTATCCCATGCCACTCGATGTCATTTAAAGTTTGCGCCATACTTCTGATTATATTGAAGAGTAAATTCTCCCATAGTAAGTGCTACCTTATCCTTTTCAAATTCAAACGAGTTTTCAAGCATATGTCGAGCCGTCATTGCAAACCGCAGACCACCAATAGATTCAACAGAATGCTGGAAGAGCCTGAGTCAGGACTACATATAATTTCATTGGAAGCTGGGAGAACATACCTCGTAATAATTTTGAATATCCACTCCTTTCATAACAACAATGTTGCCAGGGTAAAGAGTTAATTCCTAGACTGTTTTTGTTGGCCTCTCTCTCGAACTCTTCTGGATAAGTTTCCTTCGCTCATTATCGTACTCCTCCCTCAATAATTCACCACTCGAGTACTGTTCCTTTAAAATCTTTCGACGAACGTAATTTCGACACCCTTTCACTACATGGTCTTCAGTAAGTAGGATGCCCTGCTTATTTGCACCCCGGTAGTATAGCGGCTTCATGCGGAAAGACATCTTAGCCTTAGCACCTAGGCAAAGGGTAGCGATAGTTGGTTCTAGTCTTTCATTTCCGTCATTATGCCACTGAAGCTAGTTAGTAAAATGCTGAAAAACCGTAAACAGAGAGGGCTTTTAGTTACCTTTATGCCATGGCCTTTGAGATATCCTATAATTAACATTTCATTTGCTCGTTGTTTCTCCATTCCATCATCTTGGTTGACGAAGTCAAAAGCCCAGTCGAAGTGTGCATAGCCAGATAGATATAAGACCTGGGTTCATGCTATGAAACTCACTGAACGATTGTCAGGGATTAGGAATATTAAATTTATACGGTAGGCCCTATTTATGATAACCCGAAAATGTTAGAAGAATGTTAAGTTTTCCTGTCTAGTACCTGTGCACTTACAATAATTTTTAGGAGACTCTTTGTCATCATTTCGGGCACTGTTACATGTTAGAAACACACATCTGATCTTAGGTAGGGTTAGTATATAGTAGTATGTCACTTTATACAGCTTACCTATGGGAGCCTTAACGCGATATCGCCGAAGGCCAATGTCAACATCTTGGAGCAAAGAAAATAACTCGTCTGCTCCCTTTTCATTTCCATTAATAGCTATATTGGACACGAAGTGGGTTACTGTGCCTATAAGTGTGTCGCCATCAGTCAAACTGTACTTATCTATGCGATAAGGCAAATGAGGAGGATTCAAGTTTCGCTTCTCATTTCGCTTCTCAGGTAGCTGGAACTTTTCATTATAAGTAGGATCAGTGTAAAATCTTCCAATCCATATAATTCTTCATCGGTCAAATCTTTAATTCCAAGTCGCTGGAAAAAATATGCTCCCAGGTACATCCGCGTTCATGTGCGTGCTTTCGGGCGTTCATCCTACCATCAGAGAAATGTGGAACATCACACTTCCAGCCTCGTAGGAACACACGAGGAACACATCTGTGACAAGTTGGACATACCGTGCCTGTAACCGCAGGTTCTCCATATAAATAACTCTTCAATTCTTCAGAATCACGGACTGGTAGCTGCGGGATGCAGGTCATACTTGGCCTTCTTCAGGCACTCCTGCCAGTAGTTGATCCGATAAGAGAGAAATGTTTCATGAACTCTAGGCGCTCTCCTGTGTTCGCTTTCTCTCCTTTGATCTTCCAAAAATACCGACAATTCTGATTGAAAAACATCCAGCCAACTTTATATATTAGAGGATATGTCTCGCCACAACTACATGTCCAATACACAAAACCTGAAGATATGTGTTTCCCATCAAAAAGAATGGATAAATCACACGAACTAGCTGTGATTTTTCGAGATTGTATTAAACGAATAAAGAAATGGACTTGATCTTGATCTTGAATAAAACATAGAAATATAGTGCCGCTGTCAATGAAACACTCCTAGTCTCGTTCCAAAGAGTCTGAACGCCAGGTTATATCAATAAAGGGAACCTCCAATACTACAGTACAAAGAGATGTCACATGCAGTAAAGGGAAGGGAAGGATACGTCGGCAGGCGTTCTGGTGCAAAATACTAAATGTGGACTGGTGGCCATACTAAGGCCCTTTTGGGAATTATGCTGTGTTAGTATTACAACCTTGGAAGTGGGTATCGACGCGGTGTAATTTAAAAAAAAGGGCGGACGGCTGCCCTAACATATCAACCTCAACAGTAGTGGACTCATTACTCGCCGAGCCAAAGCTGGGGTTTACCGACAACGGCTTACTGTATGAGGCTAGCCGGCCGAGCATTTCGAAGCGGGGGAAGAACTAAACGAGAGACTAGCTCAGAGAGCATGAGGACACGGGGTATAAGTGTGATAATTTTGCAAAGCTTTGCATTGGAATCAACATCAATATTCGTACCCGAACATTTCCAGTCCAGAGATTATTCTCTACTGCCATAATTTGCAAACAAAATGCCTCGGCTACCTCGTTACGAGTACACGGGTCCGGTGGATTGTAGCATTCCACCAGATCGGGAAGTCCTCAAAGGCAAGAGTGTCATTATTACAGGCGGTACATTAATTAGATGAAGACTTCTACTAAGCTAAACTTGGCTGATTGTGTCTTAGGGGCAAATGGCATGGGCTTAGAGACAGCACGCGCCTTCGCGACCGAAGGGTAGGTTCATTTTCTGTGTTAAAATCATAAAAATGCCCGCTTATCTTTCCTATAGAGCTTTCGTTACTATCGCTGATCTTGACGATGTACAAGGAAAGAAAGCTGTGGAGGAGTTAGGCCCGTTAGTGGATCAATCTATTCGGTAGCTGGATAGCCTGTTGACCAGATCACAGTAACACCCAATTCGTCAAATGCAACATCTCATTATGGGAAGATCAAGTCACTGTTTTTGAAGCTGCTATTGAAAACTCCCCTTGTCGAAGCTGCGATATTGTGATTGCCAATGCGGGCATTAGTCGTGCCTCTGGAGATGATCTCTGGCCTCTGGATGGTGAGTTTCGAATCGATATAGGGAGCATATTTCAACTCGGGATACTGATCTGCCTATAGATCCTAATGCCCCACCTGTGAAGCCCCAGCTTAATATTGTGAATGTCAATTTGGTTGGCACCATGTATACTTGGAAGCTGGCGGTTCATTACTTCCGCAAGCAACCGGATACCGAAGATCGAGACCGGTGCTTTATTATAAATGGCAGTCTAGTTGCGTGGATTGATTCTCCAGTATGTTCCAAAGGTCCGGAAAGTCACATTAAAATACTGATCTCTCTTTAGGCCAACTGGCAATATACCAGCAGCAAGTATGGACTACGAGGTCTAATGAGAACGGCCCGCCGGAACACCCATGAACAGGGAATTCGAATCAATTACGTCGCACCATGGTATGCCATTTGATGTAAATTGTCATGGTAAAAAACTTCTAACGATCATCTAGTTACATCAAAAGTGCAATTCGATCAGCTGCTTACGAGGCTGAGCTGATTTCCAAGGGAGTAGAGTTTGCGCCGCCTGAAGATGTTGCTACTTGTATGATGAGACTTGCCACAGATCGAACAATAAATGGTAAGCTAAATAGCAAGCTTGGCCGTTTACTTTTGGGTCTTTTCTTATTAAGCTAGGTCACTCACTCGTGATCACGCCGAGATCTGTTGCGAAAGAAGGTTTCATGGATGTGAATATGGATGATCACGTTGAGGAAGGCTTCTTCAAGCGAAATCAGGAGACTCAGTTGAGAATTATTGAAGATAAATGGGAGCCTGGCTGGAGCAAAGGACGAAGTGCAGAGGGAGCCAAAAAGGCATAAGCCCGTCGGGATGTCAACTTCTGCGGATCGGCGTCTTAATCTCGACAGTTTTCATATTGAAATTTCGTATTCGTAAGTTTGAATAAATCATAAACAATATTAAGCCCACTTATCTATTACATGGTAGGCTCGATAGGCATAAATCTGTCTGGGTTTCTACTATGGTTTATGTGAAAGCCGATAAAAGGCTCTGACGAGATGTATTATGAGGCGTTATGGATTCCAGCGCAATGACAAAAGAACGTGCACTCGACCAATGGCCCTCATCAAAGTATGAAGTGGAAAGAAAGAAAAAAGAAAGAGAGAAAGAGAGAGAAAACAGAGAGGTCAAAAGAGAAAAGAAGAAAAAAATCCGTAACAGTCGCAGAATGAGATTTTTTCTCTGCACCGTCTTAAGCTTCCGTGTCAAAGACCAAGGCTACTCGGTCTTTGATTTTGCCTGCTCTTAAGTCTCTCAAGACTTCCGGAAAATCCTGGAGTCGACCCATTTCCACCTGAGGCAAGATGATCTTTTTTGCGATTAGGTCAAGTACTTCTACGATATCTTGATACTGCCCCCCGTAAGTGAAAATAATGCTCAGTCGTTTCCGAATTCCCATTTTCCTACCCAGCTCATTTATGCGATCCAGTGTACCGATACATAGGATCTTCCCTCCGGGGCGAACTGAATGAATTAGAAAGAGGTTCAATGGATTAATATATGCTCCGGGATTAGTTTCAAAGCAACATACCAATTTGCAGTGCGTCTTGGAACGTCTGATGCTCCCCCACAAACTCTAAAACTGTATCGATATTGCCTTGTAATCCACTTCCCTCGATGAAATCCTGCACTGACTTTCCAACTGGAACTATGTCTGTTGCTGGAACTCCTATCTCTAAAGCAGAATCCAGTTTCTCTTGCCTCAAGTCAGATACAATCACTCGAGCCCCGATAACTCGAACAATCTGTAAGGCATTGGAAACCCAATCCTCCTAAGCCAAAAGGAAAGACGGTCTCCTCTTTTTTCACCTCTGCTCGTCGAGTAATACCATGGTAGGCTGTAGTTACTGCATCAGTCGCAACTGCTACCACACCTGATGGAATTCCTTTGCTTTGGGTTAGTACTATTCTGTGCCCGGTTTGAAGGCTGCTTACCACTTGGCAGAAGAATTGCAGCACGGATATCTACTGCTACGTATTGCGCATAGAATCCATCCTGGCCAATCCCGTGGTGCACACCATCGGCGCATAGTTGCGGTAGATCACGCGAACATTCTGAGCAATTGTCTAACCCACAGCCTGGAACGGCAAGAAGAGCGATCCGGTCACCCTGCATTAGGGATACCAATTAGTTTCAACCAATAGATTGGGCCTAAAGCACCAAGGCCAGCCTTTTGACTCACAACCTTAAACCTGACGTCTTTGACTCGTGAACCAATCCTTATAATCTCGCCGCATCCTTCATGGCCCTACATAATTTGAGGTAAATTACTTATTTCACTTGCAAAGTATTATTTGTCCTTGCTACATACAAGGATATACTTTTCATTGAATTTTGGACGATTTTCGACATCTAGAAGCGGCTGATCACTGTGGCACACTAAAAGAGATATGTATTAATTCGGTTCCCACATTTCAGTCACGCTTTTAGACCTCTCTCAAATCTCACATACCTCCAGATGCCAGCAATTTGATCAGTAGCCCTCTGGGTGGAGTATCCGGCATTGGCACCTTCCCCCAAACCTGCTACCCATCGTCAGGCACTGTCAATATTCACCCCCAGTTCCATGTTGTAACAATAGGATATTATTTACCGGCAAAGAATTCCCTTTATGTTTCCTCCAAGCATACATAGTTGATGAATAATGAATACTGGCCATTTCGAATAGATTCAAGTTATAACTATAATTAGAACAGAGGTATTGAACTTGAAGTATGTATCTGATTCTCTGAGATGCATTTCGCGTTATATACTACTCGTTGAGCGCACCGCAACACGATGAGCTGGCGGTTTCTTGGTTTCGTTTATGCCCAGAAATGACAACCAATACCCCATCTTCCCCGCATTGCCGTCGGTTATAATTCCAAACTCGAAGCCAATTTCAGCATCACAATGTTGTTCTAGTCTTGGATAATTTTATTTAATCTACTAATTTTATCCCCTCAGATATTGAATTCAATTCTTAGGTATAAGTGTAATCTGATACTTACATCATCAAATTTTCACAGACACTATTGTGTCTTCTTGGGCTTTAAAATAATGAACACTTAATCAAAGGTGATAAGAGAATCAGAGTTAATTCAAAAGCATAGATATATTCATTTCTGTCGTAATGTAGAGCATATAAGAAAATTGAATCCCTGAGAGAATCATTCAAGAATCAAGATGATCAGCAACTTGAACATAATATGACAGATCATTTCCTTCTGTCAATTCAAACTCAGTAAATCCATTACCCATGAATCTAAATGGATTAGGACTGTTATATTCAACCTCAAAGTCCTCGGCTCGAATCTCATTGATCAAGCGATGGAATAAAATCGCACTTCCACCAAACAAGGCCGTAACACGGCCATCGACCCGGTTCCTCTTGTACCAACTCTTGCAACCACCGGTCCATACCAATGTCTTGTGAATCTCATCGCCATATCTGACGAATGCTTCTTCAGCAGATCGCTTCGGCACAACATATTTGATATCTTCAGTGGCCATTTTCGTAATCCATTTCACAAAGTAGTCTCCCGTCCAATTTAGGGATTCTACTAATGAACCATGACCACCCAGACAGTTGGGTCCCATCATGATAAAATAATTGGGAAACCCAGCGGTTGAAACAGAAAGATAGGACTCTGGTTCCTCGGCCCACTTATCTGCAAGAGTCACTCCATTTTGACCGACAATTGGGTAATGGGGACAATGGGAAACATCAAAGCCAGTTGCACAAATCACTAAAAGATCATCAATATTAGAATTCTGGAAACGCTTGTAATCAGGTTTCGGGGCATACATACCGACATCACACTCAAACACTTTACCATCTTCCGTGTGTACCGCATTCTCAGTGATCTTGGTAATTGGGCTGTTGCTGAGATTGCAATTTGGCTGGCTAAATGATTCCAAGTAGCCTGGTCCAGGCGTGACACGACGACAACCAACGCCCCATTCCGGAATAAGCTTTTCGCAGAGTTCAGGGTCATGATTCAGCTTCTCAGCCATCTGCTGGGCTCCAAATTTCACGGCTGCATCGTTGTTCTCGCCTTTTAGGAACTATAGGTTTCCATATTAGCCTTGTCGTTGAATCTCAGAAAGATGTCAACATACCAGGCGGAATGCCTTATTCGTTCGAGAAATGATACCTTTCCGATATTCTTTATGGACTTCAGGGTCATTGAATCGCTGGATCTCTTCGTCCGCATATGCTGGGTTTGCATCATCGACCTCTCTGCCAAGGTGCTTAGAAGGTGGCACCCGGTAATAGACCCAAGCAGGGCTTCTCATAAAGTTAATCACTTCCGTTCCAGGTAATCTAGCCATTTGCGGGGTAATTTGAATGCCTGATGATCCATTTCCAATGACAGCAATACGTTTGTTTGAATAGTCATATTCATGATCCCAGTGAGCAGAGTGAGTTATGTGACCCTTAAAGTCCTTGAGACCTGGGATATCAGGCCATGAATGATGGCTATTGGTTTCATATTAGCATCAAAGTGCATATTGAGATTGTGGTAAAATAGAAAATTGCGGGGTATGAATACATACACTAATACACCTTGAGCCGAAATGAGAATATCGCACAGGTCTTCACGTTGTTCGCCGTTGTGTTCAATTGTTAATTTCCATTTCCCGGTCTCTTCTTCCCAAAAGGCACCCACGACTTTGGTGTTAAGCTGCAGATCTCGGTCTAAGTTCCACTTTTTCACAGTATCCTTGATATAGTTCTGGATTTCTTCTCCACTGGAGTAAAACCGACTCCAGTTAGGATTTGGATCAAATGGAAATGCGTAAATGTGTGACGGGACATCACACTGAACGCCTGGGTAATTGTTGATCAGCCAGGTGCCACCAACATCGCTTCGAGCTTCGTAGATTGTATGATCTACAAATTTCTGAAGCTCTGGGAAACGGTGTTGAATTTTGTGGGCCATTAATAAACCTGAGAAACCAGCTCCGATGGTAACAACACGGAGCTTCCTTGGTTTGAATGCATGCTCGGGATTCAGCGGAATCGAATATTGATTTGGAGAATTCACTTCATGGTCACCATTTATTGTTGACTTGGATGTTGCATGGACGACGTTCGCACCAGGAAAGCCGTTGGCACCTTTAATCCCTGGCATGACTGGTACCTCCCCGTCAGCTGGTGGTGGTGAGACGTGGGCTGTCATGATGAATTTGAACAATGGAGATCAGATAAACGAAGAATACTTCTAAGTTAAGTACGCGCGAACTCAAGACCCTAAATATGGGTTTTATAGTAGTATATGGACCGATGATCTTTTGTCGTCTAGACGCTGTAAGAAAATCTCTACTAAATGCTACCGGTCATTCAGTGCTCTACGGTCGGAACCTCTTAGAATTTAGATACAAGGTATTAAGTTACCGACTTCATTTTAATCGTCGAGACGCTTCGGTGACTGATCATCAATCCCACGATTCGTATTTTTGAATTCTCATCATAAACCATACCGGACCCCACGTAACTAGGGATTTTGTTCATACCGGCTTCTTACAACCGGGTGATTTAAACAAGGTCAAATTGAATCTCGGGAAAAATGCCGATCTTGGTTGAAGTGGATCAGTTGGATTACGTGTAGCCAAAAGTTGAAGGCAAAGCGATGCCTATGCCTATTTCGTGGACCCCCACAATTTCCCCGCAACACATCATTATTCCCCCGCAAAAGTAATGTTGTTCAATTTTATTTGGAATTACATGGGTAGATAGAATAGTATACTCTTTAATGGCATCACTTTCAGGACAATCAATACCCTACTGTTCTATCATACGAGATATCGTACTTTTTCAATCAATTTCGAGTCATGTCAGTCCCGCTGTGGCTACAATTTACCGGCCAACAACCAAAGAGAAAGCGAGCAGAGCTGGCCTGCACGGCATGTCATAGCAAAAAGGTAATCCCTGCTGCACTCCAATTTTCTGCATAAATAACAAAAGCAGATTCGATGCGATCTCCAAACGCGAGGAGGTCAAGGATATAATGACTGTACCAAATGCGCAGCTTCTGGCAAGGACTGCCGGTAAGAGCACTATTCCCGAAATGCACATGCGCTCATGAACTGATAGTTGATCTCTGTCTAGGACAAGACCATCAAGACGAGGTCGCCCATCAGTGGTGGCCACACGTCCACTCACGCCTTCCGATAGCACTGCCAGCGACCAGCCCAGCTCCACCAGTACGAACCAAGAAGAAACGCCGGTCCCTGTAACGAAGCATAACTTCACAGAAACATCTCACAATCGAGAAAGTCAAGCTCTTGACTTTTCACAGTTATTACTCCGGTCGGAATCTCATGCAACGGCTTTTCAGTCCCATCTGACTAGTGAAGGCTTCGAAACATGGGCTTCTTCGACTTACGAATCTACAAATGATCATGTGGCTAACGATTCGCAAAGCCATGACTTCCCTGCTCCTATTGATGACTCGCCTGTCACTCAACGAATGGAACGAACAGAAGATCACTCAGAGCATAATGATAGCCACCCGGTCGGCCACGTCTTCCTTCCAGAACTACAAACAAACGCCCGCGATCAAGAGCGACTCCTAGCCGAGAGACTACCTGATTCCCCCGATCTTCCAGATCCTGCCCTCCAGCAAACATTTGCAGAAACCTATTTCGATTTTTGCTATGCCTGGTGTCCAGTTCTAGATCGAAACGAACTCTCCGGGGAGTTGGCACGGTCGCCGCTGCTAGTAAATGCCCTTGCAGTAGCAGGTAGTCACATCAACCCACCGATAATCCCACACGATGGACCAGCGATATATTATGATCGAGCAAAAACACGATTCTATAACGATGAAGAGGCCAATGTTATGACATCGTTGAAAGCAATCTCCTTATTTTATTGGTGGAGCCCAAGGCCTCCAACAATTCTCCACCGACATTCCTCCTGGTGGTGGACATCGGTTGTAATTCGCCATTGTCAACAACTCGGTGTTCACCGTGAGCCTAGTCCAGATCATCCTCTTCGTCAACAGATTGATTTGAGTTTGAGGCGGCGCATCTGGTGGACCGCCTTTTCTCGCGAACGTTTGACAGCACTATGTCAAAACAAGCCTTGTATCATTGACCCTGAAGACTGCACATTATCTGAACCAACTTTGGACGATTTCCCCAATGGCCAAGACAAGGCCAGAGGAGAAATATTCATTTACTGGGTGCAGCTCTGTGGTATCATTGGGAAAATTGCTAAATATCTAGCACGCACCTCTGAGTCAACCCCAAGTGCATTCCCTGTACAATTTGCCCGTGAGCTCATTCATTGGGTACAATCATTACCATCACACCTCCAACTTCCCATTGGTTCTGATCGCACTATGTCGTTCAATCGGGACGTATACCAACTTCACCTGCCGTACCTTGCTGTCATTATTATTCTCCATCTCAAAAGATCAACATCATCTCAACCTCTTCCACAAGCCTATCCACCTGCTATTTTAGCTGCAACGTGCATGGCCCGTTTAATGAGAGATATCCTCGCACGTGGAGGCACCCGCTTTCTCATGGCAATCGCCGGCTGGTATTGTGGAACGGCGTTCATTGCACTTATCCAAGCATTACGAATTGAGAGTCTGACTAAAAGTGTGAACGAAGACTTAGATATACTTACTTTGGCTGTAGATCAATTTCGCAAGATGTGGCCTACTGCTGCAGTATTCTACTCCGGATTTGAACGCCTCAGATCTACTACAGTAATACCGGATTTTGACTCTCAACGTGCTCCTGGTCCCGAATTGGGCATGGGGGACGGAACAGGGTATATGAAAATGACGGATGGTATTGACTGGACAGCCTACTTCCCCTTTGCAACTTCGCAAACTAGTGGAGTTGCTAGTCGACTTCTTATACCACATACGGATGAATTGTTCTTTGATGATGATGTATTTACGTATGCTATGCTTCAGTTTCAAGATTTATTTGAGCCTTGTGATACCCTTTCAGAGATGAATTTGTTTGCATAGAAGGGTATGCAAAATTCTTATTACTATGTTATTTGAGTGATAAACAAGATGCAATAGCTCACGCAAGTATCAAATCAGAATAATCCCTCGCTGCCACATCCTCAGCCCGTTTCCGGTATCCTGGTGCCGGCCCTTGGTAGCGTGCAATAATTCTTTTCTGTTTATGTGCCAGGTTCTTGTTTACACCTGTCATCCACGAATCCACCTCATTGGCCAAAAGTCCATCGGCACATGTATGCACATGCTCGGTCCAGTCAATCACATTCTGCCTCGAGGTTTCGACAAAAGTGATAGCATGGTCGCTGCAATACTCAATAAACCGAGCAACCCAACCCACGGCATACTCGATACTCCGTGGGAAATTCCCGAACATCTGATGTGGTCCCATCACCATCGTCATATTTGGGAAGCTTTCCACAAAAAGACCCAGATGGGTCCTTGGGCCATCAGCCCATCGATCTGACAGCTTGATTCCATTCACACCTTGGAAGTCAATAGCAGAAAAGGACCCGGTCACGGCATCAAAGCCCGTAGCATATATGATTATATCAAACTCAAAATCTTCATCAGTCGTTCGGATGCCAGTCTCTGTGATAAATTCAATTGGACTCTTCTTGGCATCGACAAGTCGGACATTAGGTCTGTTGTAGGCCTCGAAGTAGCCTGACTCTAAAGGAAGACGCTTTGTCCCAAACCCGTGGCATTTTGGAATAAGTGCCTCGGCCGTGGCCGGATCCTTGACGCGTTGGCGGATCTTGTTCGCGATGAACTCGCTGATGAGATTGTTCGCTTCTTTGTTTGTGTTGATATCACCAAAGTTAGCAAGCAGCTTCGCAAAGCCACGCTTCTGGTAAAGGTCTTCCCAGAATGCTTCGCGATCATCTGGGCGCATGGAAAAAGTGCTTCTTTCGTCAGACAAATGAAGGAAGCCCGAATAGGACTCGGCACATCGCCGGAATATGTCAGGATAGCGTGACCGGATCTCGTTCATTTCTTCGGGGGGAATTGTTTCGTTTCTTAGTGGGACGCTCCAGTTGGGAGTGCGTTGAAATACTGTCAGATGACCCACAGTTTTGACAATTTCTTGGATCACTTGTATACCAGTTGCTCCGGTACCAATAACTGCAACCCGTTTGTTCTCAAAATTAGCCGATCCACGAGGCCAGCGCGCTGTGTGAAATGCTTGTCCCTTGTAGCTTGAGGCACCGACGATATTAGGCATAGTAAATTTATTCAAGATGCCAATACATGTCACCAGGAAGCGTGATGTATATTGGTTTCGGTGTTCGTCTGTCAGCTTCCATGAATTTGATTGATCTTGGAAGTGTGCCGAGGTAACCCGAGTGTTAAATTGCATGTCTGGACGCAATTTGAACTTGTTGCATAGAAATTCGCAGTATCGTAGTGTTTCAGGCTGGGCAGCAAAATGTTCGGACCAGTTCCATTCATCAAGAACTTCTTGCGAGAATGAGAAGCCATATGAGTAACTCTCTGAATCGAATCGTGCACCGGGGTAGCGATTCCAGTACCATGTGCCGCCCACATCACCACCGGCCTCGAGGACTTTAGCTCGAAGGCCTAATTTGTGCATTCGATGTAAACTATATAAGCCAGAAAGACCTGCACCTATGATCAAGACATCGTAGTCGAGGTTCTTGTTCATCTGAGCAAAACTGGACTCTTCGGCACTGCCCATGATTGCGCGTTGAAATGGATAAATGAAGAGTAATTCGCTGCGATAGACTTCTTCTCAGCTCGAGTGAAACTGTGTATATATAATATGATGTATATTATTCAAGCTTATGAATAATTTGTCTTGCGGCTATCTCGCTCGAGCAGAATGTGACATTGCCGTAATGCACAGCTGGGATCTTCAATTCCCACAGATCGGCGGGGTTAAGAGCTCCAGTTCTCTAACCCCACAGCCGGTAAACCTCTGAAAGAAACCGAGAGGGTAACCTTTGTCTCGGTTTCTGTATTTTTTGGCTTCTCTCAATACTGGGCGTGGGTACCGGCAACAGCCAAGTCTCCATCAATCATTACATCGGCTTTCCCAATTGCCTTGGCTATAATAACTAGTAACTGGTGACACGATCCTTCAGAAATGAGTTATACAAACAAATTATGAATTAACACGAAAATAATATCCTAAATGCTAATCTACTAATTATAACACGCCTTTGGACTTCCAATAGACCTCCGCATCGCGCAAAAATGCCCACTTCGCGTCTTTTCCCCATCCTTTATCTTTCCACTTATTAAGACTGAGAGGTAAATGATCGACGAGATCTCTAACAGTAGCATCATGCGCGATTATCACCAGGATATTATCATGGCAGTCAGCCTCTTGTAGCTTTCCGATTGTCTCGATTATCTGTGGAATATCATGGCCGAATGTTGGGGTAAAGAGGGGCTCGGTAATAGTCCGACCTCGCGATTGCTGCAGTTCTTCAAATGCCCCACCAGGACAAAATGGGATATTTTTCTGTGGATAGCAGGGGTGCGGATGAATTGTATCTGGTACTGGCAGATACTTTGAAGGCCGGAAAATACCACCATAATGACAGACATCACCACCCAACAAGACAAACGTGTCTGGGTTGGTGGTTGTTCTCGCAAGACCGCATAAATGACCAATGGCGTGACCAGGACTATCTAGAAGATAGAATGATCCGTCGCCAAAGTAATCAAATGCATTAAATTGACCAATTTTGAAAAAATCGGGACCACCAAATTGGATCTCTCGCAAATTTCTTCCCCTGTGCTTGAATTGAGTAATCTTTCATAGGCAATATGGCCGAGTAATCTCACCTGAAGTCAGTCTCGCTGAGAGGGGAGTCGGGGTTTGTGGGCGCGCCAGGGAGCATGGCTTCTTTAAAACCTGGTCCTACCACTAGATCTGTTGTAGTCGGAAATGTTGATGGATCGCCTATATGGTCCCAATGCCAGTGGCTATAAGGAAATTGTGAGCACAATTATTACAAGGAAGATTCCCCTGCTCATACCTCCATATGACTGCCTCTATATCTTTTCCTTTTATTCCGCTTTCTTCAAGGATATCAATCACATTTTTCGTGACTTCAATGTTATATCCGGTCGTGGGAATATACTGTGCGATCTTTGGGGCATAGTTCTCGTAGTCTTTTCGAATACCAAGATCAAAAACAAGCTTTCGGCCAGATGAATGCTCCAGCAGAAATGAGAATGACGGATTGCTTGGATGTGTTTCCATCCCAGGCACAGGAGGAGCCATGAACCTGTTTAGCTGTGCAGGTCCAAAATTCACGGCATTGATAACCTTGACCATGATGGCCTGGCCAGGTGGAATAGGGAAATCTGGTATCTCAAGCATATTTGAGACTCAAAACCGATCAGCTTCCAGATCTCTTTCCTTCTTCTCCTAACTCTGGACTTGAAAATTTTAAGGGAATCAAGACCGATCATGCTAAATACGCAGTACATTCGTTTCCCCACAATCCCCGCGTTTGGTACTGTCATTAGCTTACTCCGTTTATACGGAATAATACCAGCACCAGCAACCGCAAATTATTATTGAAATTAACTTTCGGCTCTTAAAAGGCCCCACGTATTGTTCTTCGGTTACCTTTTTAGTATACCCGATGCTCAGCTACTCTGGCCAGACATCTTACGTTCCTTATTATTACCATGAAAAATTTATGTTGATTTTTGTGGCTGTATTCCATCTGAGTCTCCACCTTAATGCAAAGCTGTGAAAGTTCCGGGGTAAATTTCTGGAGTATCTGAGCGTCCCGGCGTGTGTACATACTCTACTATGTGGCATAGCTCAGAGGAACCTGAACTAACCCATCATTATCCTCCCCCTTTTATAAAAACCTCCCTATTGTCAATATCCTTGTTTTGTCCTCTCTTCTGGGCTCTTGTACCTAAGATCTATGATCTATAGCACGTCTTCATATTTGCGTTTTACATAGCCACCATCTACTATAATGTCGGATACCGATAAACCACAGGAGGATTTCATCTCCGACAGAGCTAAAAGCTCAAGCACGAATCTTCCGGAAGCTGAAAAGGTCGTAACTCTTGACACATTACATAATGACGAGGCGATCAAAGTTCTTGCAAATTACACAGGGGATGAGACATGGACAGATGTGGAAGAAAAGCTTCTTCTCAGACGAATTGACTGGAAACTGATGCCAATCCTGTGCATCACCTATGGTCTACAGTACTATGACAAGGCCATGTATTCTCAGGCCGTATGTCGCCCACTGGTTTCCGAGTGAATCCTTATTCTAATACCATGCCGACCCATTTAGGCACTTTTTGGTCTCATTACTGACTTGGATCTGGCGATCGGTAATCGATATTCTTTCGGTGCTGCCATCCTTTATCTAGGATTCATTATCGGGACATATCCGGCTATGACCCTTGCTCAGAGGTTTCCAATCGAACGAGTCGCCTCGGTCATTGTCACTCTCTGGGGAATTTGTTTGATCCTCACTCCTGTCTGTGTCAATTACAGGGCACTTTACGCGCAAAGATTCTTCCTTGGAATGCTCGAAAGTGGGATTAGTCCCATGTTCATGCTCATTGTAGTATGTCTTTTTTTTTCATTATATATACAGAATCGCGAACTAATGTCAAGATAGGGAGGATGGTATAAAAAGAATGAACAAGCGATGCGCATGGGGTCAGTCTCCTTTTACCTCTCCCGAGTACGCTACTAATTTTCTACAGAATCTGGTACAGTTGTACCGGTTATGTCTCGATATTTTCGCCCTTGATTAATTATGGCTTGGGTCATATCAAAGGGGCTCTCTCACCTTGGAAATACATGTACTTTGTCGCCGGTGCAGTCTCTATTGTGTGGGGTATTGTACTCGTGTTTCTCTTACCTGCCGACCCAGTCAGTGCCCGAGGGTTCAATGAGCGACAACGGTACATCGCAGTTGCCCGGCTGCGTACCAATAACTCGGGAGTACGAAACACTCACTATAAGAAGGGGCAGGTTGCCGAATTGCTTTACGACATCAAATTTTGGCTCATCTTCCTTATCGCTTTTCTAAGCATGATTGCTAACGGGCCTATTTCGACCTTCATTCCAACCATCATTGCCTCCTTTGGCTTCAGTACTCTCAACTCTCTACTATTGGTCATGCCACAGGGATTTCTCGGGGGCTCTTACATGCTTATTGCACCATATCTAGCATACCGTTTCTCTGAAAATAGTGTTAGATCATGGATTGTTTTCACAGCTCAGATGATCACGACATTAGCCGCTATTTTGTTGGTAACGCTGCCTATTGATGCAACTGGTGGCCTGCTGTTCGCATGCTATATCCTCCCTGCTATTGGAGGGGGCTACGGAGTACTCATGGGGCTTCAAATTGCAAATATTGCTGGATATACCAAGCGTGCTATTGCCTCATCTGGTCTATATGTAGGGTACTGTCTAGGTAAGTCTATTTATTCCATGCTCCAGGTGATAGATACTCCAGACTTCTCCTAATTCAATTAGGCAATTTCACTGGCCCTCTTCTCTACAAAGAACACGATGCTCCTCGCTATACCCCAGGGTTTATAGTGGTTATTGTAACATCCTTAATCGCGGGCATCCTAGTACTTATATATCGGTTTGTCTGTGCATCTGACAATCAGCGTCGAGATGGATCTGGTACTGCTGAGGGATATGAGAATGCATACCAAGATGATTTGACTGATAAAACGGTAAGCCCTAGTTCACTGCATAGCGTTGATATATACCTGACCAATATAGAACCCACAATTCAGGTACATTTTGTAAGGCAAGTGGATCAGTTGTCTTTGGCAATGAAGATTGAAATTTTGAAAAATATTTGACAAAAACAAAAACAAAACATACAACAGTCAGGATTCGCATGTGGTCACCCACCATACTACTAACTGACCGGCGTGTGGCTTAAGTACGGCTGAGCGGACGGGAAGCCCTGTTCTCCACACCCTGTGGTCGTATGTACAAGGAAGCCTAATTGAATAATTCATATTGCAAAAACAAAAGCTCTGGAAAAATAAGAAATGGATGAGGACTACAGGCTCTTTCGTCGAGGGAGTGCGGAATATTCATAACCTCCGGTGGTTTTGATAATGATATACCTACACTTTTACGTTGACAACGTGCCATATAGGATTCTGCAAATGCTTCAAGTTGTCAAAATATTTACTCGATCAGCAGGTGATAACGCCTTATACCACAGCTGCACTACAGGGTCAATGAGCAAGGAAGGTGGAACGTAGAATGAGAGATAATAAGAAGAATATGACAATTTGCTATATAGTACTTCTGGCACAAGATTAAAGACAGTACATCCATGCTCCTTCAACTGGTTCCATTTTTAAAGCGTGGACAGCGATCGCCCATGCCTCCAATATTCTCAGTCGTGGAGTGCAAATCGAGAAGACGTCAACTGCATTTACAGAACGTGGTTGAGAGAGCACTGAGCGTTGACATCCAGGTTGACGAGGCCGGACTAAATTAAAGTTAGTATTGTATCGAATAGTTGAGATCGCGAGATATCTCTTACCTCGACATCCTTGTCTTCACAGCAGTAGACATCACCGCCAGAGCAGTCAACACCGAGAGCACCAGGGGCGACGTTGCCGAGGGTGAGGAGACCACCGTTGCCGTTGTCCTTGCAGACAACAGACTGGCCGCTGGAGCAGCTCTTACCGCCAGCAACGTGGGGGTTTCCGGCAATGACGCCGGCAACAAGGGCAAGGGTGACGAAGATGAACTGCATTTTGATGAGAGGGAGGTTTTTGTTTCTGGTGAATAGTCAGTCGCTGCCTTTATAACATAAAGAGATGTTGAACATACGTTTGTAGAGATGGTAAAGTAGATTTGTTTGTGGATGAGGAATCGGAAACTTAACGCGGATTCGGAGTTATTTATGCATTTCTTAGTCGTAGAGAAAAACATAAAATCTTGAATTCAATGATCCATAATCAAATCAACTCCTAGGACGTGGCATGGGAGGAATGTAACCTCTGCTTGTCTGGAATGTTGGATACCTCGCGGCTACCACCGTACCTGGTCCAAGGGAGTCATGGAGCTTTCGTTTCAGGAAGAGATCGCCATGCGCAGGAAAACCACAAGCAGAAATGCGTCTATATAAGGAAAAATCACATTACGTGTACCCACCCCAGCCTTCGGGTGCCCTGCTTGCCATGCAGACCCACATTGTAGGTGGCTGTCTTTGTTCCGAGGCATTCGATATAGAGCTCTAAGGTGGATAATGATAATTGAAGAAACAATCTCGATCAAATGCAGCGCATCTTTCTAATGTTCATATCAAAATTAGCCTCAATATGTCGATCAGATAGCCTGGTTGAGTGTGACTGCTCGCGCTGATATGTGCCAGCAAAAAAAAAATTGGCACCTGATAGATGTCAAAGCACAGGCCGCTGTGATACTCGCAAATCAAAGAGCTTTAGTGAATATGATATCATGAGACAAAGTTCAATAAGAATGATAGTGAAGCGTGTGCTTGTCTATGCCACCGTCGTAATTGGCACACCTATCGGGAAATTTCTTGGCAAATAGTCTCTCGAGTCAGACGTTCATTCCAATAATCCGAAGATTAAGCTATACCTAAGCTTTATTCTTTTTATCTATTTTTTTTGGTTCTATCTATCTTGAAAGCCACTTCCGTCACAACTTCTTGTGGGTGGCTTTTCGGGGGCCCACCGGGCTGCTCTCGGGTCCCGCAATCCTATACGTACTAAGTACGGACATGAAGGGTTGATCATGGGTTGACATTCCTGTGCCTGTCGAGACTTAACAAGTCCGCCTTTCAGACTCATGTTTCTGATTCATACGCAAGTATTGTACACTGGCTTCAGACAGACAATATCGACCCTTCATACTCGAGCTCAGTCCATATGGGGCTAGGTCTCTCCTAGGACAATCACTTACTTTAAACAGCACCAATATAACCCTCCATACCTATCCGTGCACCAGATTAGAAATGAACTGCAGAGTCGATTGTATGGTTTCAATCCAATATCTATTCTTGCCACTCTGTTCCTTTGGCTTGAACAATGTCTTATCCCGATGAATCATGTAGATATACTACTGTTGTATATTATAGATTCATCTGTGGACTAATAAGTACCATTTTCCTAAACAGGGATCCCGAGCTCAAAAGATAAAGATGGTTACGTAGGCCTGTGGATAATAGGCCCCTTGTATGGAGTACAATTGTTTTAGTTAAAGCAACTTGATCAGGAACTTGGATAGGTGTGGTACCTATGATAGACATCATTGTTAGGACTTGAAGAGATTACGGTTGCATTAACCGTATTGAAATCCCTCAACATTGATTCGGTCCTCAACTACCATTTCCGGATTAATTACCCGTAGATATTGGATTGGGTATAGATCATCGTAAAATGAGAGGTTCTTGTGAACTCTTGTCTAGCGTCTATCTAAACCCATACAAAGATGATGGATGCAAAACAAATCTAGATAAAGACAACAAGTAAAAATCCAGTAACAAAAAGTTGAAGCTCATTTCTGTCAGGTCCTTTCACTCGTTGGCTTGAGCGAAATAATCGTTCTTGTAAGGAATTTAAAAATATCTGCCAACTGCCAGTGATCATGTTGAATATATCTCGGGGTCTATCTCGGAGTCCAACATGCACTGAGGCTGCCCTGTGCATCCCGCCCGCACATCACCCAGCCTTAGAATAGCTACCTTTCTGTTCCGCTCCGTCATTATTACCCCTCAAATTTCTCCATAAGCTTTTAATTGAAACTGCGGGATTGACTGAGATTTTCGTCTGCTATTATCCCCTGAACCACATGTGGTCATTAGCCGGAAGTCCAGGTATAATCGACCCGCAAGCTGCATGCGGCGAATACAACCTCACCTGACCTCGTTCCTGTTCTTAGCACTCTGGGGCAACTTTCTGTCCAAGGATCTAACATCAAGGAACTAAAATTTAGGATCCGCTCAGTTTTTTATTCGGAACCGCCGGGATTCATTGGCCAAAGGGTCGAATTAGAGTTGGCGGGCGGCTTGACGCCTCAAATCTTTGGTGTTTTTAGCCGCAACCAAGTGAGCTGGCGTTTTCGGAAACGAGTCATTTTCAACTTCAAACTCATGCTACTGAAAAATTCTGGACCCTCGGTTACTCCATGCAACAGTTGTAAATGAATCATCACTCTTGATTTTGCACCAAATGCGGCCCTGTTCCAGTCTGTTCTGGTCTTTCGTGTCTAAAGCGTGGGTATGCCTCAGCCATATAAATAGTCCCTGAATGGACAAAGTCATTTTAATCCATTCTGCAACTATTCCCATCGCTAATAAGGTGCGCACATTCTATAGAGAGAAGGCCTTCGTTTCGTCGACCTGTTTTTACTGATCTTCATCCGCTCCAGTCATCCCGAGGTCACTCACTCCCACCCGCCACAATGAAGTACACCCTTGTTCTCTCCGCTCTTTTCGCCGTTGCTCTCGCAGCCCCAACCACCGAGGGTGGTGGTAAGGGTAAGGGCAAGGGCAGTGGTGAGGGAGATACCGTCTGCGACAGCCACGAGACCGTCGTCTGCAGCGGCAATGGCAGCGGTGGCTTGCTGTCACTCGGCAACCTTCTCAGCGGTCTTCTCGGCGAGAGCTGCTCCGGCGGTGACGTCTACTGCTGCAAGCAGAGCGATGTTGAGCAGGTAAGATCATTATTTTGTTATCAGTCCAAGAATTTATAAGGCTAACTCATCTTTCAGTCCGGCTTGATCAACCTGGACCTCAACCTCCAGTGCAGTCTCAACCACTTGCTGTAAGCCCTTAGCTTTCAGAGGTTACTCCCAACAACGTTTTCTTCTACAAAAATAATACGTTGAATATATTTACTTCTTAATGGAACTCTAAGAGAGTGGCGTTTGGTGCTCCGTATCCCCTTTCTTTCTATTCAAATCCCATTGTAAAACTATGAAAACACTAGTATATTCGACCAGCCTCGAATACCCCAAGCTCTAAACAGAAAAGAACTAGGACGCCATAATAAAACCACTAAGTTATCTCGTCTATAAAGAAGCAACTTAACAAGATAATAGACATTCGGCATCTCAAAGCTAGGCCAATGAAGGTTCTCGGTGGCCAGCACTTTGTGGCGCTGGATCCGTGGCACCGAAAGCTTGACATCATGCTGATGATTTTCAACACCTACTTCGAGAAAAGCAATAGAATTTTATAGACAGCATTACAAATGCATAATAAATTGTACGCTTCTTATTTTCGTGGGCAACATAGTGATGGGAAGCATTTACCCATATCCATCTATTCCCATTGATTGCGTGGATAGCCTCAAACCGGTGGAACCACAATCAATAGATGCTCCAAATGAGTTGAAGCTCATACTCAGTCAGTTTCATTGTTTTACTTCAATCTAATTATAACGTAAACTTGTCGGCTATATTAACAATGATTCATTTCTAGAAACAAAATCGACTGAGTGGGGCCCGCCGGAAATCGCTGCTGCCAAAGCTCTGCAAGAGACTGTTCATGCTGGGAACGAACAACTATTCCGCACATACCACCGATCCCTAGCATCATGCCTTTTCGTATATGACGCCACCAAGGCCGATGACAAAAATTTTTGGGTTGTGAGCGCGGGGCCGGACGTTCCGATGTATGATACTCACGCAGGTGGTCGGGAGATCCATATTCACCCAGAGTTCTTCATGCCTCGATTATCGCAGGTATACAGCGGAAGTCGCAAGGATCCACTGCGTGATTCTATCAGCCCACGACGGTTTCTTTCCGCGTCTGACTTGGAGGCACTGCATCGGTTCTTCCCGGCGGCCATTGGGGCACGGGTCTTGATATCCGGATTCATCATCGTATTGTTTCGGAAGCAAGAAGATATCGAGGCATCTTGGCTTGAAGGTTGCGTCCCTTCTTTTGGCCTTTTGAGACTAGGGTATGATATTGCTGTGCATTTTCCGACCGAGACGATCCCCGAAAGTGGGAATGCGGTTGCAGAGTCACCTGGTCAGGGCGGTTCTGTCACTCCTCTGGGCTTGAAGTTGAAGTTTGCAGATGGCTCGGAGGGAATCACGGTATCGACTCATTCATTTGTGGATTCAAAGACGCCGTTTGAGCGTTCGTCACATAAAGGCCTTGGGTTATTGTCTAGAACCAAATCTGCATTCTCGAGGGCGACGGCCTTGAAAGTGAAAGAGTGCGTCAGAAGCGGATCGAATATTGACTCGTCTCTCGGAAAGAGTGTATGCTCTCCTCAAGGAAAGCCGGAGGTATGGTATCATGGTCTTGGAGATTTGCTCGTATTTCTAATGATTTTGTGACTAATTTTGCCAGAAAATCGGAAGTATTTCGATCACTTACGATCATCACATTGCACCTTCGGCTGTATTTCCCCAAACCATCGAACACAACGTCTCCATTGTCACAGGAGATCGTTTACCTAATATTTTGAATCCTCCAGGCACCCCAAAGATCACCGGATGGGGTAGTTACCGAGATGCTTTAGATGGCCACTTTGCATTCGCTATGGACCTCAGCGCGTGGGGTAAGTACCCGGAAGAAGAAAACCACCACGAGACAGTGGGATGTGAAAGAGTAGTGGTTGAAGGTGTCGAATATCTTTGGGATCGCAACTCGCGGACACAATCTGCTGCTCTCTTGTGGCGAGCTGTGCATGATGAAGCGGACGAGGAAGGATTATCGCGGTCGGTACTTTGTTTGGGTCAACCAAATGACGACTATTGTCGCGCAGTAGCTCTGAAACATTTTGAAACTCCTATATGTCACCAGCACTTGATGTGTGATCGTATCTCCCGGAATGATGTGATTTGTTGTAGTCTCAAGGGTGGGTTCCTTCTTCCTCCCGAGCTCGGAGAGACTGAGATTGTTTGTGATAGTGGGGAATCATCGGTGGAGTTGTCAGAGAAACAAACATGGGGTATATAGTGACTTTAATTGCATATACATAGTATCAATACAGTCGCTCAAATAAAGTAGATATGCAGTAATATCGCTCCGAATCGTAAATCTCACCCATATTCATTACCTGCCGCGGAATAACCAAATATTCACTCGGAATCACCTTTCTTTTCTATCTTCTCTCACTTTCCAGCTTTTATTGAGAAGACGAGCCCATAATCCCAAGAAGATCCCCTCTGTTAAGGTAATCTTTGACCAATATCAAGCCATGGCTTTCCATTCATCGGTCATTTAAAGTGCTTCCTGGTAGCTCCAGTGCAGGCGGTTGTGCAGGGCATTCGGACATACTTTGAGTCGTCCCACTGTTCAGCTCTTGAATCTTCTCTACTTGTCGATGGAACCCCATTGGTGAACTTTCTTGTTCGTTTTTTCGATTTCTCTGCCGCCAAAGGAAAAAGAATGCCAAACCCGATATAGTAATCATCACTCCAAGTGCTACTCCCAGCCCGATCGCAATTTGTGTGTCTTTGGACATCTTTGACGAAGAATGGGAGGTTCCAGTGCTATGGCTGGTTGAGGTCGAACTATCTGAAGAAGGTGAATAGTCGCCGAATATTTGCGCTAATTTGATAGCACTGGATGTCCCACAGCAGGCATTATTGTTCAGGCCACAGCACCACGTTGATGAATTCTTGGTTCCATCACAGGGTGTCATCTCTATTGTCTATATCCCTCGCACACAAATGGTCAGTGATCGTCGAAACAGAGGGATCATTGGTATTGTGACACGACAGAAGAGCATACAGTTGAACCCATGCAATAGTTCAAGCAATTCCCACTACTATTCCAATCAGGCGACCAGCATTGATCCCTCCAAAATGTACTTGAAAGCTCATAGCTTTCTCCTCCATCTTCTGTCACATTCACTACATTCTGGCATAACCCGTTCTCTAGACAGAGATCCGCAACCCACCCGTTACTAAGGTGTCCGCCTGATGGGTTTGTGCGGTTCAAAGCGCAGCACATTGACTTGGCCCCGTTAATCGCGATACATGGTTGGTATGCATCGTCATCTACTGCTGAACCGTCCGGGTTGTAGCATGTTGACAAGACCTTGATAGGCAGAAGGAGCAAACAAAATGACAAAAGAAGCATCTTATTGGAACCTTTATCAATAGATACGTTTGCAGAAAAATTTAAAAGCGGATATAATTGTTTCATCAAGCACAGAGCACCGGAAGGTTTAAGAAAAGAAAACCAAGAAAACCAAGGTCGAATGGGCGCATCATGCAGTCTCCCAGGATTTTTTGAGGCGTCCGCATGCATTTCGCTCATCACATTTCACATACGCAATCGACCCCCTTAGTTCGACTAACAATTGGCACGGGCCCACTCCGCTTTGGATTCAACAGGGGATAGTATTGGTCAAAATTGAATAGTACGTGCATGATGCATGATGCAACGATCCCGTCGGGCGAAGCCAGCTGAATCGCCTATTTTTGGCCCCCTGGAGGAAGCGGCAAGGCAAGTTCTTGAACCAGTTATTCGTGGTGTCTTAGAAAGTTTACCGAATTCATATTAACAACTTCTGGGATTGGGATAGTCCATATCTATATATATAGAGTATATGTTGGTATACAAGTATGCAAGATGCAGTCATTCTTGCTCCAACATGCAGGATCCACCATGGACATGTTTGTCTCACATCTTGAATACATGTACTTGAACGCGGGCCAATTTAAACTAGCATTCTTGGTGCAAAAAATTATGGGAAACTGACAAATAACAGATAGCAAACAAATAAAACAAAAAAGCTGTCCACAAATTATACATTCATCTCATAATGTCGGCTCGGAGACTGCAGAATCGGAATATAGTGGAGGATATCGGCGATCGAACAAGATTTGATTTGATAAAACACGCTTTTTTTTTCTGGTTTGAACTGGACTTGACTTTCAATTTTGTTGGGTGTTAAAGCTTTCGAGAATGACATCCGTACATGATGAGCTTCTTTGGTGGTTGATTTGTCTACAACACTTTCTCCACCACTAAAATACACTAGTTTCCTTGATCAGCATTTTGCCTCGGCTCCTTCCACAATCGCTAATCGTTTTAGAAACAAAAGACCTCATCACTCATCTTCGATACCGTCCCAGGCTTCTTGAAGCCAAGCGCTGCCAAGTTTTATTTGGTGGCGTTCACCATTCCTGGCGGCCCCCCATAGCAGAATCTTAGTGTCGATGCTGCAGGGAGACGCTCTGCAAGAACGCGCTGATCTACATGTCCAGTTCCGTATGCCCAGTCTTCGGACGCCGTGTCCAGCATATACTAGATCTTGAGGTTTTTGGGGTACCGATGAGCAAAATTGTCTACTTCCTCCCGGATAGAATGATGGCCTCGCTACGGTTAGCGTAGATCAGGTTGATCTCGGTTGTGTCGATGTCATTTTCACAAATCGCCAAAAAACCATGCTGAACTCAGACATCCATTTTGTATCGAGCAGTTCGGTTGTACATGAATCCACTTTGCAAGTTCTTTTGCATAACAAATCCAACCGCCCCTTCTTCATCCTGACTTGCCTTGCACTTCTCCCACTCGGTTTCATATGGATATTCTTCCCTGATTCTCGAGGATCATGGAAACGGTCAATGAATCTATTGTCAATGCTGCTTTGAAGGCATCGAATATGGCAATTCTACTATGTTTATATTCTTGTAGCCTGTTGTCTCCCGGCATCGGCATTTACCTTCGAGTCTAACCCGAAATGGTAATAGGACGCGAAATCCCCGTCGGATTTAATGAGGTTGGAATGGTTTTGAACCCTCTTGAACCCTGCATCAGCCCGGCTTTCATCTTTTTCGAGTTCCACTCTGCTTGGAATTCGATCTGTCAGTCTCAAAGTCATGGCTGAGCCAACTCAATCGCGTACTGGGCGCGTTATCACCCATGCCTTGGAGGAACTGGGTCTCGTCACCATGTGGCACTCATCCCGCGACGTCAAGTTTCTCTGCGCGCAACGATTCGTCAGACTGTTCGCCTATGGCGGCTCAACACTGATCTTAGTCTCTTACTTATCGGCCATTGGGATTCCAGATGATCGTATCGGTCTCTTTATGACTTTGACCCTGTGGGGAGATGTAGTGATCAGTTTCTTCTTGACTCTGTTCGCCGATCGGATGGGTCGCAAGGCAGTGTTATCTCTTGGATCGCTCTTAATGGCGGGTAGTGGGATTGTCTTCGCGCTCTTTGGCAATTACTGGATCTTATTGGCAGCAGCTGTCTTTGGTGTCATCAGTCCCAGGTTCGTCATCACCCCTCACTACAATTCCTTTCTTCACACTAACTATTTTCCGTAGCGGAAATGAAATTGGGCCGTTCCGCGCCGTGGAGGAATCTACTTTGGCGCATCTGACACCACATGAGTCGCTGAGTGATGTCTTCGCCTGGTATTCACTGGTCGGCACGGCAGGTACCGCGCTAGGTCAACTCATCTGTGGTTGGATCATTGGCTCGCTGCAGTCATTACACGGATGGGCATTTATTCCCTCTTGTAAAATTATCTTCTTCGTCTATGCGGCGATTGGAGTGGTCAAGTTTCTTTTGTCGCTGGGTCTGTCACGAAAGGTAGAAGCTACCAAGGAAGAGGGACAAGAACCGCAGCAACAGAATGGTGAGACACGACCACTTCTCGCCGACTCCAATTCGGCGGAGCAAGAAGACCAGCAACCACCAAAGAAGAAGTCTCTCTGGTCTTCTATTGACGGAGAACTGTTGTCTTTGATCATTCGACTTTTTATTCTGTTTGGTCTTGATTCCTTTGCTTCTGGGCTGGCATCACTGTAAGTTGGAGTTTTTTGATTAGCTTTCTGTTCACTCATTGACTCTCTCCAGGTCTTGGATGACATACTTCTTCAAACAGAAGTTTAACTTGCCCGAGGGCGAACTGGGCACCATTTTCTTCGTGACAAGCAGCATTGCCGCCGCCTCGATGCTTGTGGCTTCTTCGATCGCAAAGCGAATTGGCAACGTTAAGGTATGTGGATTTCTGTTCCCCCTTATCCTCCCTTGGCTTGAAGATTCGTGTCCGCTAACAAATACTAGACAATGGTCTTCACGCATCTCCCCTCAGCCATCTGTCTTTCGCTCATCTCTGTGCCCAACAACCTCCCAATGTCATTGACTCTTCTCGTTCTCCGAGCCTGTTCTCAGAACATGGATGTCGCGCCACGGTCTGCATTCCTTGCAGCCGCTTTACCCTCCGACAAGCGAACTGCCATTATGGGTGCTGTCAATGTCGTCAAGACTACCACTCAGAGTCTTGGCCCCCTTCTCACTGGTATCCTGTCCCGTTTCAATATGTTTGGCGTCTCGTTCATCATTGCCGGTTGCTTGAAGGTCGTTTATGATCTAGGTATGCTGTTCAGTTTTGCTGGAAAAGAGGCTGCTCAGCGTAAGCAGACTGCACAGGAAAACGATGAGGAGACTCAGTAGGTCTGTGCTGGCTGTGCCGGTGTCATCATTCTAGCCTGATGGGATTACCACAGGCCAGAAAAGAACAAAAAAAGTTAGGTTCCACAGAGACAGATATATTCTTTGATAGACTTACATATGTGTTTACTGAAACCGGTTGGTTGTGTGAATGAAACCAGCCACGATCTCAACATTCATTGATACAGATGAAAATAGAACTTGATACACATGTCCCACACTGACCAACTCCTACTATCTACTATAGCAGGTAAAGAATCTTCATAATTCAGCACAAGACCCTATGTGAATTGGTATGAAACATCACCGACTAATCATCTGACGTGCTATCTGTACTATTCGCCATGTCTCTCTGTCTTAGCCGAGTCATGCATGGGTTGGACGACCGGGATAGTCGGGGTTCACATTGATCCTTCAATCTACCAAAATCAACATACTACTGTACATTTTCCGATGGAATTAAGGCATAAATTAGGCAGATGCTTTTTCAATATTACCTTTTACCTTATTTAAGTTATTTTTCCCTTCTAAAAGTCTAAATAGCGATATTGGCGTGCAAATATTTGCGCCAGCTCCACGCCAATAGGCAGCCATTAAACCGCGACCCCGGAAGCCAATGTCGATCCGATTCAATAAAGCAGAGACTGCGAAATACTAAGTTATCTTTAAATTTATGCGCCTGGATTCTCAGAAATCCACCGACGGAGATTTGATGCATCCATTAGGAATTCTGGAACGGTCGGTGCCTTTTTCTGGTTCTACACGTAATGATCGACATTGGCTGTGAAGATACCAATCAAGCTTCTCATTGCTCACGATATGCGCCAACTCCACTTGAATCATTAAAATCACAGTTACATTTAAACTTACAATTATAGTCACAGTGACACTTATAGGCAAATTAAGTATCGCTACATTTTACCTTACCTCCCGAACACGAGACTTTTCCTCCTCATGATTCCAACTCTACGGGTGATATAGTAGGGAACTAACTGGGCGAGGAACAATTCGCCATAATGGAGTATTCACATCACACACGCTCTTTTTATTCCCCAAGATTGGTAATTCCACAAGCATCGGAAGAATCAAAGGAAAAATATCGATCAAGAACAAGAACAAAACGGTCGCTGATCTGCTGTATCCTACGACAACCTTGTTATATGCTATTGGTGATTGTGTATGCTCTGTCTCTTTCTTTATCTCCCCGATTCTCCTGAAATACTCTTGAATACTACGGATTTCACGTAGCTAACTTATCACAGTGGTCTTTTGACTCTTCTCTCCCTCGCCTGGGATAGTGCACTCTCCTTTCTCGTGGAACAACAGGATCCAAGCATATTTTCCGGTCATCATCCTTCTTCTTTCTCGAGCTGGTTTACACACGGCGTAAACCCAGTCCCCTGTCACTCTCATAACGACTATTGGCGCCGTATCCCCTTATACTCAGCTGTGGCGGCAGGATGTACCAGTGTCGAGGCCGATGTCTGGTTAGATGGTAATGAACTGCGAGTCGGTCATTCGCGAAAGACAGTATTGCAAAGCCAGTCGCTACGAAGCCTCTATCTTCATCCACTCCTAGAGATGCTTGAGTACAATAACCCATCGCCGGCCAATCTATCAAAATCTGGTGTTTATGAAAGGCGTGCCGAGGGCAGTAACAACGATCCTGTCGGGATATTCGTCAATGACCCATCACAAACGTTGGTTCTTCTCATTGATTTCAAAAAAGATCCAGAACAGATCTGGTCTTTACTTGTTCGACAATTGGCTCCACTGCGCAACAGAGGATATCTCACACACTTTGATGGCTCTGAAATGATCCATCGCCCTGTCACTATCGTCGCTACGGGTGATGCACCCTTCCACCGTATCTTGGAATCCGCTCCAATACGCGATATCTTCTTCGATGCCCCATTGAATAGCATCATTCATACCCCTGACCTCTCGAAAAAGGCATCTGATTATACCCAGAGAGAAAATGATAGCTTGATGATCAGTGCAGAGAATAGTTATTATGCCTCTGGTGATTTTCACAAAATTGTCGGCTCCCTTGCGCTCGGTAGACTTACGCAGGATCAGCTTGCCAGGTTACAAGAGCAGGTTAAGGCAGCACATGCACGGGGTTTAAAGATTCGCTACTGGGGAACGCCAACGTGGCCTGTTGGTTTGAGGAATCATATTTGGCGCGTCCTGATTCGGGAGAATGTGGATGTCCTCAATGTCGATGACCTTTACGGTGCAACGAGGCAGGATTGGCAATCTCGAGGTTGGTGGATTGATCTTTGATCTACTTGCACGATCTTTATTTCATGGCATAATAGAATGAGCATTTCTATACAAATCCAATCCAAATCGAATGATGAAATAAATTATTCTCTTCTGGTATATCATTATATTCGAATGGATTTTATTCACAGTCGTAAATTTTAAACCTCGTCACGCTTAATCATTTCACAGTACCAACTTGAAGTCAGGGTTGCGGTCATCATTGTACCCCATGTATTGGTCGTATTTGCCATTCTTCTTGTCGCGATTGACTTTGGCGCAATATAAGACATTGCACAGAATCCTGTCAATGTTAGATGGCGTCGATGAAGGCTCCAGGGAGATGATATACTCACATAAACCACGCAAATACAAGCAAGCCAAGGATGATGGTGTGTCCCCGATGGAACTGTGGTCCATCCTTGGAGGGATAGTTGAAAGCTATTGAGGTCATCCAGTAAGTATATGGTCAATGACATCTTTATAGAGAGGCAAGGGATCATACTCGCAACAAATCCACCGCAATTTGCGATTGCCAGCTGCAACGCTGATGTTGTGGCTCGTTTATAGTGTCCGGCTGAATTGTTTGACATCCAAACCAATATGCATGGAACACTGGCATACTGTCCAGTGGCCATAAGGAAGGTCATCCCATATTGAACTTTGGGAGAGTCGATATTGGCAATGACGGCGTAGCCGATGATAGCAATTGGAAGGGTGAAGAGCATCACAACACCTCGCAGATGAAGACGATCCGATACAAAGGCCACAATTACTGCAGAGTCCCGGTTAATCAGATGGTTACAGACTATTAAGAGGTTTGACCTTACCTGTAACGACAGTTGCCACTGCATAGGGAATGACAGACCAAAGCTGGACTTCGTTGGCATCTTTGGCAAATCCAAGATTTTGGATAATGGTCGGTAGCTGAAATTTGATCGGTTAAATTTGCTTCAGCAGGGCGGACCAAGTCAACTCACAAACAACCCAAACGAGTAAAGACCAGATAAAATGGCAAAGTACGCGGATGCAGTGAGCCAAAGTTGCACATTCAACACACCGCGACGTACTTCAGACCACATGAACTTTTCTTCCTCGGCAACAAGAGTCCTGTTGGTATCGTCAGTACAAGGACTCGCTTTTAACGTTTGTTTTGGAATTGAGTATCATACCCATCTGCGCTTTTAGGATTATCCAGCAGTAATCTCTCTTGACCAAACGCTCTCTCGTCATCTGACAAGAACGATGCCGATGCCAGAGAATTTGGAAGAAGAAAAAAGCTGAGAGCACCACATGCAACGGTCTATCTTGTTAGTAGCCATAGCTGATAACAAGGGTCGGTTGTCACATACCAAAAGACCCTCGATGATGAAAATCCATCTCCATCCTTCCAGTCCTCCTCGGGGGGCAATTTCGGCGAGTCCGCGGGCAAGAAGACCTAATTGTGACTTAGATTTCTATTCAATTTGAAATTTGCTTTGAAACACTTACCGCCAAAGGCACCTGACAGCGAGGCTGCGGTATAGAACAAACCAATGCGAAGAGCGAGATCTGTACGTCGGTAGAAGGAGGACAAGTAAAGCACCTGTGACTATTAGTCCAGGCTCAAAATCTTTCCATTCAAATAACAAGGCTTCTCCTACCATTCCGGGTAGCAATCCACCCTCAGCAACTCCCAGGAGAGCGCGAACTGCCACGAATCCAGCGTAGTTTTGGACAAAACCCAGACACATTGTAATTATTCCCCAAAGAACAGTCAAGAAAGGCAGCCATAACCTCGGGGACGCTTTTTTCAGAACAAGATTACTCGGCAGTTCACTTGATAGACACGATTAGCGTTGAACAGCAGAGGATAAAGAACGTGAACCAGTGCCACTGCTTCAGGACTGCATAATCTCACCTGCAGACATAAAAGAGATAATACACTGTCAAGCCAATGTCATACTGGTTATCAGTAATGCTGATGTCCGTCTCCAATCCAATAATTTTGGCATTTCCGACATTTGTACGATCGAGGAACGAGCAAAGAAAGAGCAAAGCTAGTGTGGGCAGGATTCTAGCATCAAATCACGTTAGCTCATACTCATTCCAGAACTCATAGATTGTGAAAGTTGAGAGGTAATTACCGAAAATCCAACTTCAACAACAAGCTCCGCGTTAACTTCTGCTGCTCCGCAAGATCCCCAAAGCGACTCCCTTGTTCAACATGGTTCTTTGACTCCTCCAACTCCATAATCCCTGCCTTTGGCTCCATGACCAGGCTATAATTCAGACTAATACTTCAGTCTTCTGACACGTATCTTGCACGAGGCTATAGCTGCGAGTTTGTGCAGGTCTTGTCTTATCAGAGCAAGGAAAAAGGAGCTGACGCGAGGTTTTTCCCCCTTCGGTTCCCACATCTGGGCCCGAGCGCATGGACCCTTTTTGTCTCCGCTTTTCCCCGGAATTCTGGGGCTTAGCCCAGTCTTGTCATAGCTTCTTTCCCCGGACGAATGAATCTGTTCCTCGTGGGGGGTTTGTGGATGTTGGATGGGTGGGTTAAGGTTCGGCGTCTAGTTTTGATTCCGGTGCGGTCGCTGAATTGTTCTTGAAGTGCGGAGGAGCTAAAGCCCACGATTTGATCTCTTTGTTGTTTTTATTGGGGTTTTCTGATCCGTTCTGGGCTATTTTGGCCTCTTCCGATCGTCGATTATGCATTTTTGCTTTCCCTCGGAGTTTTGTTGGGGCTCCAAGAGCTCTACTGCATACCAGAATGGCTTTCTGTTGTCATAGAGGCTCTATCTGGATTAGAGAATGGCCTAGCGTGGCTTATTATGTGCCCTTTGAGGCTGAAAGTATGAAAAAAAAAAAAAACATGGGCAAGCCGAAAATGAAAAGAACCAAATGGAATTGAATGTCTTTCGGAGTGCCTATTTATCGCGACGCATGTATTATTTATGTTTTAGTGAAGTATATACAGATGGCAATAATGCATACGTCGCTCATTAGCTGCGCTATAGCCCAAAGTCAGTATTGGCAAAATCAAGCCAATCCCAGCTCAACATATCATCCACAGACACATCAGGAATCGATGCTCCAAACGCACTTCCAGCTCGATTAACCGCATCAATGATTTGGTCGTCTGACATGGCGGAGAATTGCATAGGCTCGGTCCAGATATCCGTCGAGAGATCAGGCTGGGTTACTGGTAAAGAAGTACCTTGGTCTAGCGTGGATGAAAGTATCGAATCGGGGTGATCTAGATGTCTTCCAGGTTGGATGTTGGAAATGTTAGGCTTTCGCCGGATGAGTTCTCGTAGAAAGCGCCCGTATAGAACTGAACTGCCATTCCGATGGGTTGGTGTTGCACCGATTCGTTCGAGAACTCCGGCGGTTTCTTCGATGAGGGTTCGCACACTTGGTGCTAGGCTGGATCTGCTATCGCCAGGCGTGATGCTTAGGCTAAGTGCAGAGCAGGCAGCGAAGGAGATCATGATAACGGTATTATTGGGCATGGACTTTAACCGGACTTCGCCTTGGATAGCGGCCCGGAGAACGTTGAGTGCAGCGGAGAGACTGGCTGCGCGGAAGAAGCGCTTCACTTCGAGTGGCGCTGTAGGGTGATTGATGACACCGCCATATGTTGATAGCTGGGTGTGTGTCACTAGAATCTCAACATAAGGCGGAAGGGAACGGGCTGGATTCTCGTGAGCAGTTTGCTGGATAATAATGATGATGCTTTGTCTTACCTCCACCTTCGCTGATCGCCAACGCCCAAGTGTTATACCAGTTTTCATAGAAATTTTCAATAGTTGATTTGATCCTAAGCCAGTTGTCAGATTAGTTGAGTGGATCGTTTTTATCATGTCAACATACGATTGTGCGGCCTCAGATCCGGTATCAACAACTCGATAGCTATCACAGCTCGACTTAACTTTTCGAAATAGTCCATCCTGAGCTTGTCAGCAGGTTATAGTGATCTCTTCATCCCCTTGCAATACGTACAAGATCTCTTCGTAGAATAGCCATTGAATTCATTGGGCCATCCCGTCGATCTGCAATATCTGAGTGATGCCATAGATCACAATGCTCGAGAAGCGCCGCTGGAGGCACTGTATAACTTCTGCCGCGCGCAAGGCAAACGCTAGATCATAGATTAGACACAGCAAACCAATATAGGATCATGTAAAGAAAATCTTACCCTCTTTCAACAACAAATAAGGCAATCCATGTCCTCTCGCGTCTCCGTAATAGTCGACGTCCCCACTGAGAGTCAGGGTCAACGTCATGAAACCCATCCATATGCAATGCTCTCTTTGCATCAATACAATCAGCCCGAGCAAGGCGACTCAAAATATCCCGATCAAAACTCGATGACGGCGTGACGATCTTATTCAAAGATAAATCCAACGCCACAGTTAGCGCCATAGCAATATATGAACATGTGTCATCGTCACCCAGTCGTTCTCCAGGTGGCATCCATGGTACATTGACCATGAAAGCGAGTACTATTTCCACAGATCGATGCCGACGTATCATCACCTGCTTTGTTAGCCATTTGCAATGCCTGCCCAGTCGCTTCGATAAAGCTGCAGCGGAGGGTAAGAACAAAGCCGCGGCAGCAAGAATCGAAGTGAACAAAAAGGCAGACTGAGCGCGCACAAAGCTTGCGGTGTGCACTAGGGGATCTAGTCCCCATCTTGTATGAGCAAGATTTTGATAAAAGCTGGCCAAGGTATTAGCAGATAAATTCAGTGCAACTTGTGATTGGCTACTCACAATGAGAATAATGACTCCGACTCGTCAAAAGTAACCAACCCCAAATCAACGGGGTCAAGATCCGATCCAATATCCAAGTAAGCCGTCGTAGGTACAAAAAAAGATCTCGCACCAGAATCCACGGTGCTAATCTCCTGCGTTGACGGCGTCACTAACGTCGGCTGCGGAGACTTTTGTGTCCTGCGCACGCCAGTCGGCGATAGTTGCAGATCTGATGCGCGCGCAAGAAGCTGCAAGGGATTCTCGGCATCATCAAGAGCAAGACTTTCATCTGCATTAGCGTCGCGCGGAGACGGCAGGTTCCCCGCTCGTCCCCGGCTATCTAGGAAACTGTCCGACTCGCTCTGTAATTGCCCCTGGAATTGAGTGAGAAGCTCTTGTAAGCCCGTTATGGCTTTCTGAGCATCATCAGGATCAGCAGAGTCCACTTTCGGCCTTTTGATAGCCTGTTCAATTTGGTGGATGGCTTTCTCTAATCCCTTGCGTTTGCTAGGAGGGAAGGGAAAGTAATCAGTAAAATCCTTTATGGCATTGGAGATCGGACACTCGGTTTGATCAAACATACTTCTTCACGCCCTTCTGGCGGCCAAGATGATGACTTGGTACAATACAATCGACATCGCTGGCCCGGCATTTCTCACAGCGCTCATGGTCCGTCGGCCTGTTGCAACGGATCTTACTCCGGCGACAATTCAGACACGCAGGCTGTTTTCCATGTTGGCTGGGAGTGGACCTTACCGACTCGGCCTCCATGGGTGTGCTGCCACCAAGGGAGTATGGGGATGTACGTATACAATTACACGCGTATCCCCCTCACTGGCATTGGCATTGGCATTGGTTATCGGGTAATCGGATGTGGAGAGGAGAAGGAAGTTAAGTTTGCTCTGGGTTATAGTGCCATAATCCGCTCGCCCTTCAACAAGCCCTGCCGGGCTAGCTCAATCGGTAGAGCGTGAGACTCTTAATCTCAAGGTTGCGGGTTCGACCCCCGCGTTCGGCTATTCCTAAAAATAACCTGAGATATCTTTTTTTGTCCTTTCGTTTTTTTGATCCATTACGATTGTAATCTTTTCCTTGAGAAAGAGAGAATTGTCGACATGTTGACTTTTTTTATTTGTATACAAATTGACCTTGCGATCGGCAAATTATCGCCCAGGGGCCAGATCTGCCTTCCAAGGTTACAAGGGCATTTACTATTCAAAATTCTTCGTCAGATTCAAGTTGGTAAAGCTCAAAGGGTATTGATTATGTATGTATCCAGGAAAGTCCTGGCTGAGCACATATCTAAGGGTCATATTTTATTAACATGGCATATACGCCAATTTTTGGAAATACAATAAATGATCGGTTTCAGCTGCAACATGAATAGTCTCATCATCAACTAAGTACCGCCAATAAATCTGGCACACATATGTCTACCATTAGCAGTCTGATCATGCAGCCCGACCGATGTCATCAGAATCACCAGCAGGGCGAACAGCAGGCTGCCCTTCGGAGTGAGCCTCGGAGTGTGCTTCCGGTTGTCCCTCAGACCCCAGGTGTCCCGCAGAGGGTCCTGCAGAAGGTCCCTCAGAAAGCCCCTCCCTAGGTACCTCACGTTGCCCATTCAACGCCCCCGAAGCCTCAACCTGCACCATAGGCTGAGGAGGACTCAACAACGACTCACGAGGCTGCTTCCAATCAACATCACCCGGCTTCTTGCTAGGTCTTGTCCGCATATTCACCGGCATTGGAGCCTCACCCAGCACAGTCGGGTACTTATACCGGAATCCCCAAACAAAGAACAACTTCAGCTTCTTCCCAAATCTATAGCTATCCCACTGCTTGCGCAGTTCTGCGGCATCTGCTTGGCTTCGGGGACGGAAGCCCTTCCGCCATGCGATGATGAACAGAAGTGTCAAGGGGAGAATGGTAAATGCCCAACAGAGTGGGAGACCGCGTCGCGTTTGCCAGCCTAGCATCAGGCGGCGGAAACGTACCCATGCTTCGATGAAGCCGGCAATTAACCAGATACCGATCCAGCCGAAGGTTAGGATCATTACTAGTGCGAAGGGGGAGATGCCCATCCAGTATGAGTCGAACCACCAGTTGTCTGATTCGTCCCAGTATCCACTGCAGCCATAGTAGTACGTACAGTCGCTGTTGCTGCTGCTGCTGCTGCTGCTGCTACTGCTGTCACTGTTATATGGGTAACCGCAGGTATCTTCCATTGTCGCTGGGTAATATTCTGAGCTGAGGTAGCTGTATGTATCGGATGGGACTTGGGTAGGTTCAACAAAGATGTAGTCGTAGGTGTAGGTTGTTGGTGAGAAAGGCTCCGAGTCATCGACTGATACTGAGGTTGATCTGGCGGTTGTTGGGAGAAGACTCTCCACTCCATCTGGTGGGTAGACAGGGACAGCTGATGTGGTCGTCCAGTCGGATGAACATGATGTTGGCGCGGTGTAGGTGATATTCACCACGTAGACGGTATAGTGATATTCATCGGTGTCGTCGTCGTAGTAGTTATAATACACTGGAGTGCCGACGCTGGTTGGGTAGAGTTTTTGGATGATAGTCACATCGGAAGAGCTGTCGATAGAAGTAATAGTGGACAAGGCTTCTGGAAGTGGAGATATTGTTGGTTGGATCTCCTGAATAGAAGTGGTGATTGTCGGATCTTCGGTTTCATAGTAATAATCATACTCAGTCACACGGACCTGTTCATAGGCCTCGGTGACGATCCATGGTCTAGCCCATGTAAATGGTAGAAGTAAAATAGTCAAAACGAGCGACAAAATATTAAACGAATGTGAAGGCGCCATTATTGGCAATGGCCCTTATGGGATTAAAAACGAAAGACGAGTGTAGAAAAATCAAAAAACAGCCTCATGGTGCATGGTGGTATTTGAAGGAATCAGCCAAATGAGCCAAGTTTGCCCATGGCGCTACAGAAGCTATCTTTGGGGGCGAATCAATGCGCCTTTGGATACTAGAGAGCCTCAATTGGGACTAGGAACGCCTCTTTTCTCATATTTGGGGAATTTGATTGGTTTAGCGCGTTGCGTCCTGAAAGCAGGGTCTGGGTTTAGACTTAGTTTGGGTTTTAGGCTTTGCGAGATTGGAGTCTGGGCTCGCTTAGGAGATTAGGGGTCTGCGAGGATGTAGTAGAAATGATTAATATTGAGATGGAAGGAAGAAAGTATATTGCAGTATACTCTACTCCCATAGACATTGTGCTAGAAACACATGCTGGAATGGTATAATATGAAAATATTCCACTGCAGAGAAATAGAGAAAAGCATCTGGATACTGCAAACCTTGGAATATTCAGCCACTGTTGATGTTGCTTGGACCCTGAACAGAGGCAAACGGCACTAGCTCCGGGGGTTCACCGAGCCGACGATGGGGCCAAGGTGATTGGATCTCGCATCTTGGCATTTTCAGTGTGTAGTTTAGCGTCATTTTCGGGCCATTTTTAGCATGAAAGCAGGATTATACAAAGTTCCGAGGGCATAACTTAGTTAATATGAGTTGTTACTTTGTCACGGGACTCGGCCGTAAATCAAAGTCCATTCACGTGGATATCAACGCAGAGCCGCAAATACTACAATACTACATCCCCACAGTGAGCCCAGAATAAGTCACGTACAAGATATTGAAAAAGATGAATTCTGAATATGAAAAAGGTGAAAAGTTTGTTCAGGCATTGGACGTAACTTCGTAATGAAATAAATAAAGGATGGAGGTGACAAGGCTCTGAGTCAATCAATCTGCCAAGCCATTGCCAGTTGCCTCAATCTAGCAAGAGGAACTGGATGCATGTGATCAGGAAACAGAAGAACAAGGAAAGAAAGAGACAACAAGATGGCGTAGATCTCAACGGCGAAGCAGAGACAGGGTGATAATCTCCCCAGGTATCATATACAAGATACAACCAGCACTACTACTAGACAGCCCAGACAGTCCGCCTATAGCCTAGTTTATTGCCCGTAAAGCCTGCAATCTCGCACTCAACCCATCCTCCACCTCTGCATCCGCTTTAACAGGCTGCGCCTGCTCCTTAACCTCCGCCTCGGGCGCCTTATCAGCCTCCAACGCCATCCGCATATCAACTCCCGCATCATCCGCCAACTGCTCCATCAACCGATCAACCTCCGACTCCCCCTCAGCTCCATACTCCTGCATCGACACTCCCTGCGCAACATCCTCAATTGCAGAACTAGCAATCTTAAAGTCTTCTGATCGGGCCAGGAAATTGTTCGCATGCGCCATTAGATGTTCGAGATTCACGCTCTTAGACGCGGCGTCTAGACCGCGTGAGGCGAGCGCAAGAGTTCGAGATGTGTCACGGGTGCTTTGGGCGGCTTTTAGTTCGTTGATAATTACATCGGCGCGGGCTGCTTCGGATTTTAGTGTTACTTGGCGTTTCTTTTCGCGGATCGCGGAGCCGGCGTGGATGCGCGCGATTTGGAATTCGCGGTTCTTCACTGCTTTGTCTGCTTTGGCTTTTTCGGATTTGAAGGTTGCTTCTGCGCGGGCGGCTTCTTTCTTTAGGCGGTTGGAGTGAAGCTGGAGGTTATGGGTTAGTATATATAAATAAATATCATCTTTGTGAATTTGGACATATATTTGGACTTGGGATTCAGGTGATCGCCATGTGAGTGCGGGTGCGTATGCATGGAGGGGAAGCGGTGCGGGGATGAATGAAACTGTCAACTTACCTTGACATTCGTGCGGGCCTCGAATATAGGGTCCTTGCGAACCATTGTGTTTGGTACTGTGTGAGTAATTTAGGTGAAGGGTTAGAGAGATATGAGGGATGAGGAGAGTTCTGGTCTGGAGAAGCCAGTTGGAGAGGGGCGGAGGATTTGGCGCGTGGCAAACGTCACTGACCGCATTCAGTGCATTCTTAGTCTCGTCACATTTTAGCGACGGGATTTGACACTCATGATTTATTGATATTTACTGTACAGTATGATGATTCAAAGGATACATCTTTAGGCTTCTACAATGTGTTTGATGGGATAACTGGTATGTGGGTGGCGATAATAGGCAACATAATTGCCATAGCCGGGTAAACATTCCAGCACTCACCACTTGGGCACTATAACAGAAATACCAATAACTACGACGGAGTGCTATGTAGTGATGTGCTTATTGAAGTTGCATATTATGAGACAATTACTGTTTACGGTGGATAAGATCAGAAATGAATGTTGGAAAAGCCAGTCGACTTCTTGTTTGTTGGTTATCAAAACACAACTAGTATACAGCCAAATAAAACATTGGGATGATGATAATGATCATAATAAAATAAAAAAAACATTGAACCCTTGTCCTCAAAGTTGCTTGCCCATCAGCAGAGACGTCATGGTCTCGCTTGTCTTCGAACTCCAGGAACTCCGTGTACTCCGTTGATGAATTCTCTTTCCGTAACTGCGTCGCCGGCCGGATTTCGTAGTCATGGTGACTGTCCGTCGGGATTGTTGTCGAGATTGGTCGAGACGATCGATTGCCCAGATCAAGGTTAACAACGATACCCACCGCGGTCGACCCTCCGGGGCGTCGATCGACTCGGTCTGCGGGGAAAACTGCTCACTAACCGCTAGCTGCAATGCTCTGCCCGTCGCATCGCGAAGTGGACGCGCCAAGGCTGGGCTGCACGCTAGTAGTCTGGTAAGAAGCTTCATCCGAAAGACTGGTCGGGTCGACGCCTTCGAGGGCGACAGACTCGGGGCCGAAATCAACCATAGAATCAAAGGAAAATGCTGATAGATCTCCTCCGTCGAGAACGCCAAAGGCAAACCCGTCTTCAGGGAATGAAGGATTTGACTCATCGGGTGAATCACACTTGAATAGGCGGCGGAAGTCATCGTCAGAAAGAGGAGCTGCAATGTCATTTGCAGTTGGAGTTTCGATCTCGGATCCGAGGTCGAAGAGAGGGAGGGCGCTTCCAGCTCCTTCGAGGCCACCGACCGACACTGCAGGTCACACAACACCGCTGCAGGATGTTGTGTCGCGTCGGAGGCTTCAGCCAGAGTGGAAGGCTTGAGGGTAGGGGAGAACTCGGCGGAAGGGGTAGGGAACGGGATACGATCCATGGCGAATTCATCGCCCCCTTCTTGCTTGAACAAGGTAGGAGTGAGAGTGGGGGATTCGGAGGTGACATTGACTGGGGAACCAGCCTTGGGGGTGACACTGCGAGAGCCACGGACTTCGGCGGACAACTGGGCTACTTGTTTTGATAACCGGTTGTTCTCGACCTCCATCTGTGTTAATCGTGACAGCAGGAACTGATTTTGTTGTTCCATGCGGATCTTTTCAGTCTCCAGCTTCTCCATTTCGAGTCTCTTGCGCTCGCGTGATGTTTGAGCGGCGGCGCGATTTCGGAGAACTCGCTCGATACGTCGTTGTTCTTTCTCATCATCTGTCTTGGCACGTTTTCTATAAGATGGAAATCTGGTTAGTCGTGGTCTTTATTTGGAATCTCGCAAGTGACCCATAATTTAAATATGGATCATCTACATCATCAGAACAATCAACATACCGTGGAGGGAGATTTGTCTTCGGGACTGGAAGTTCCTGGCCCCATGACTTTCTCTTCTTTGATGGCTTCTTCTCATCCTCTTCGTCAAGGGTCTCCGGCTCCGGAGAGTCCAGATTTGTGTCTGCGGGGGAGACCGTGAAGATGTCCGAAGAAGGAGACGCTGGTAAATCCAGCGGATTGATAGTGGTTTCCGTCATGATCTCGTTGCTGTATGTGTGGGTATGCCTTTCTAATGGCGGGGGATATATGAAAGTGGATTATCCTTAAAAGGGAGTTCAGATGACCACACACTCAAGACCACAGTGTCATCATGGGCATCGGAGACCAATCGGGAGAGAGAAGGGGTGAGTCAGCGCAAGAGGCCAGGTGTTTCCTTTGGAGAGGAAAGACTGCAAGCGGGAAGGAAGCTGGTTTAAGTAGAGGCCAGCGTGGCTCATCCTCCCTTTCATAGGGGAATACCAAGGTTACCAAAATTACACTTAATTACACCTAAACAAAGGGGCGAATTCCCGGTGGGAAGAGGGGGGATACTTAGTTCCAACATACAATTTAGCTTGGATTATCATGTACCGTCCCGTGTCGTCGTCAGCCCCGTGACTCATCTGATACATAAATTACTCCGACCCAACCATTTCCACCAATCACAGCTCGAGTTCCGTGTCTCTTCCCTGCGCCCCTGGATTCCACTTGTTTCGTTTGTTTCGTGTCAGTCTCACTCTCCTAATGTACTATAGTCAATTGCTATGAATAGTTTGACTCAAGCGGGTCTAGGCAGTCGAGCACGGAGCCCCGGGACTCCCTTGACTTCCGCTTGGCTGAACACTGCTCTACATGTGGATGTTGCAGTATTGCGCACCTATTTCCATACTCGTTTCGTTCAATCTCACATACTCTAGTCTGCAGATAGGCCCCCAAGGCCCCCCCCTAAAAGTGTAATACATATCCATATAGTCTCCCGTGCTAACACACCGATCTTCGGGGGTTTTCATTTTGGGGCTGAAAACGCAAGGGAAAAACCCACTTCCCAGGCCTCCGAGTCGCACGACCAGCCATCTTGTGCAAGTACATCAGTCGAGGCTGTCACCCATCTTGGAGACTAGACTGCGACGTGCGGCATCTATCGTCATTCATTCGCCTTTCAGGGGGGGAACCGAGTGGATCCGGGCGCAGCACATCCAGACTTTAAAGTGGGAGACCATGTAATAATACATGCGTACAGTCTACATCTGAACGGGGCATTCCAGGAGTCCGGTGAAGCTCGGTTACAAAATGTGGAAATATAATCCATACGGAGTACGCATACTACTGTATCTCTGCTCCCTAATAAACACCCCGACGGGGCACGGAGTCCAGGCCTGGACTTGCCATTTTCTAATTCTCCGTCTAACCCCTGAGAACCTTTGATGTGGGTTTTGGAATGCTGCATGGAAAAGGGGAAACGCCCCATGATTCGGCAGATAAATTAGCAGTTGCGAGATTGAAGCGGGGTCAATCCTACCGAAGGCTCTCGAACGACACGGAACAATAAAAATGAGGAATAAATGAGGGGTTTTAAGTTAGGCTTCGCAAGATGGCGTATTGAGTAGAGAGTGCGCCAACGTTACAGGCACATGAAACATTTGAACTGATGGAGAAAACGGAGTATAATCCACCGGGGATTATCATAATTGGTGTGATTTTATCCCTGTATACGTACTACTACAGGGTTATAATGTATGCAACTATATGTATGTGTATGTGTATACACATATCTATCCAACGAGTTCTGTTGCACAAAAGATCATCAATAGTATTAATTCACTCGCAGACGAGCTGGACAAGTCATTTCAGCTTAAGCTGAGGCCGAGGCAAAAGACTGTATCTGGTACACAATTGGTCAATATCCGAGCTGGATCGTCTTGCTACAGAGTCGATCATCCCCACAGTTCAGGTACTCCGTTCACCCTGCATACTGTAACCTATACATCCCCTGAAAAATGATATACAATCCTGTTGGAACTTGAAGTTCAAGTTAGCGCAAATTCTATTTCAATTGATCTGCGCGTTACAGAAGAACGATTTTAGTGTTTCATCTGGGATACTACAATGTCCGGATCATGGACTCAATACGGGAAATGGAAACACTGAAGTGTTATGAAGGAATTAAAATCAACTTTTATTCATCAAACATTGGAATGTTCTCAAGGTATCCAAGCCCCCAGAAAACAGTAACATAACGCCAACCGTGCGCGTGCTCATGAAAAGTTCGTAGGCAATATATGCAAAGAGAAACAGAAGGGAAAATCTACATAGTCACATCCATAGTATCATCGCCCGCATCAAGAGCACTCTGGGCCTCCGGGTTAGGAAGAACCACTCCCCGACCACGACCAGCGAGCAACTCTCGTCGAACTTCAGGTCCGATATCTTTGTGTCCCCGGACCAGCAACAGGTCGAGAAGAGCTTCACGCTGATCCTCGGTGATATCGTTTCGGTATCGCTGCGCAAAGACCAGGAGAGATTGGTGCCATAGAACGGGCAACTTATATCCCTTGGAGCTTCCATCCATTAGACTATCCTCCGCTCCGTCGGCGGCACGGAAGCGCATGAAGTGGAAGACAAGAGCATCAATGACCTTGTAGGGAAGGGCATATTTCTTTTCCAAGAAGACACGAATAAATGTGTTCACTGAACCTGTGCTCTCTATGGATCGCAAGGACTGCTCAGCGGCTAGGTCGCACATGCGGAGAAGGGCGGCAGCGGAGTGAAGTACTGGAATCGAGACACGGGAAATCACAGAGGAGACGATGTGAGCTTCGCGCAAGGTACAGGTACCGCCGGAAACGAGAGGGAAAAGGAATCCCTTGAAGAAGCATGCCGGCTTGTAAAGGGCCTTGCGCATGGCGTTGTAGGTGTGAACGTTAACCTTCTTGGTCTCGTGGATCTCTTCGCGGACACGCTCCAGCAGCACACTGTTGATGAACTCCTGGGCTACGTGTGGCTTGGAGGAGATGAAGATGCGAGTACCGGCGTAGACGGCATTGGCGGTCCATCTCTCGGGCTGCGTGATATCGAGGAGGGTCGGCCAGTTGGGCACAGATGGAAGAATTTTGAACGGCTTGGGGAGCGGGCCAGACTTGTAGCGAGAAAGAATCATTCCAACCCTAAAAGATAGTAGCTTGGTTAGTTTAGTTCCGCTAGAATGGTCCAGAATAGTTCACATACTTCTCGTAGACTTCGATGGCCTTGGCCGGGATCTGAACAGCATCCTCGGCATCTCCCCCACCTTGAATATGTGGCCCACCAACAGTCTCACCAGCCAGCTTAGCTTCATGCTCGGCAATCTTCTCCAAAATCAAGTCCGCAAGATTTGTCGTTTGACCGGCTGCCGCAGGGTCTTTGGGGTGGAAAATGGGGTCTTCTTCGTGGCCAGGCATGAATTTGTTGAACATATCAAGGTCGTTAGGATCAACTTCCTGTATTATTATTAGCATTTGAGATAAAGAAGCCGCGAGGTTTATATTGAAGCTCTTACCACTTGCTCGACCTCATCGTCTACCCATTCTTCCTCGTTCTGGAAGTTCTCGTCGTCCGACAATGGCTCCTCTTCAAATCGGGTATCAAATTCAAAAGCGGCATTGGATTTAGGTTGCATAGCACCCTTAGTGAGTTCTCGCTCAGCGGCATCCTCATCTGCCAATTCCTGTCCAATCTGCAGAATCTTGCGGGACATCTTGGCATCGATAAAGCGCTGCTGTTGCGCTTCTTCACCATCCTCGCCATCCTGGGTTCGTCGCTTTTCTTTCTTTCCAGTTTGGGTGCGCAACTGCCCCGCAGAGGAGATATCCTCTGCTAGAGGGTTATGGCGGCGGGCCGCGGCCGCACGGGAGCTGGTAGCCTTGGGCATAATGATTTCTGTCTTCGGATTTGTATAATCCCAAGATCGCAACTCAGGACAATCCGTCAATGTTCGTTGAGTACCCGGGAGAGGCAGCACAATGTGTGTAGTTATTTTTTTTTCTGCCAGGCGGAGGGTTATCACCAGCACCGCCTTCTATAATAGGTTCACCGCCTTGTGACTATCGGACACTTTTCTGCCGCTTTATTGCGTCGCTTTCTCGATCTTCGCGTTGCTACCACCTCCGATACGTGGCTCGTCGTTCCTGTTGAACATATGAAAACAGAGCTTGGGTCGATCAGATTGAGAGCTGTACGATTACGCGTGGCTGTGTTTAATCCAATTCCAAACTTACGCTCTTGAATTGTCTTCACATTCGGTGCACGGCTCAACCAACCGGAGCTCGAATAGCAATCCTATATAATATTGGTTGCGACGCCGGTATGAACATGCTTCCATATCTGCTTTCCCACTGTCAGGTACCAATCCAAGTGGATCTGAGTGGCTGCTTTTGGCGATCAATACCAACATGGCTGCCTTGCTGACTACCTGCCTCACTCTCAGATGCTCGCGAACCTTACAAAAACTAGCTCGAAGCAATAAACAGAACGATCTCGAATATCCTAAAAAATCCATGATAAAGCGTAATGGCGTCCAATCAAGCTCCAGGCTCATCAGCACCGTCCTCAAACATCAATTCTCCCATCATCCCCCCAAACGGCGGGCCTCTACTCAATGGCGCATTCTCCGACTTGCACCCACGATCTTCTCCTGCGCCAGGCAGTAACGCATCTGTCCAAGGAGATACTGCGCGTACCAAGCGAAATAAAAGAGACAGTCGCAAAAAGCGAGAAGCGAAAGGTCTAGATACTGAAAGTGCACCTCCGCCCAAAAAACGTGCAACGGCAGTGAATACAGCTCGTCCAAGCGGAGATCTCAGCATTCTCCGCCCATTACTTCTTGCGGAACCTCGTACCTCCGATCTATACCCGCCTCCAACGCGCCAGTTCACTCAAGTGGCTAGAAAGACATCTGAGGTCCTTGGCCAGAACTGGGAATTTTATGAGGTGACCGACAAACTCACCAACAAGAATGGATTCCGTTATAGTTATGCCATTGCCGACTCGGGATTTCCCCATATAAAATACCGCCAAACCGACGTTCGGCCTTATCATGCCCGTTTCAGCTTCGAGGATTCTCCGGCTGCAATTTCCTTCTCAGAGGACGCTAGGGCGGTGACTACAAGCGATGCGTGGCATACAGCGCGTGCAAATGTATGTGCTCGTGAGGGCTCTTATTATTACGAAGCACGCGTTATCAGTGGCGTTCTCCAGGGTACGCCTCCAGGTACTGGATCTCGTGGTCATGTTAGACTTGGATTTGCGCGACGGGAAGCCGATCTTGACGCTAATGTTGGGGTGGATTGTTATGGATACGGCATTCGGGATGTGAATGGCGAAGTTGTTAATCGCATGCGCTGCGAATTCTTCTTTCCTAAGGGTGAAGCTATCAACGAAGGCGATGTCATTGGCATGCTCATCAACCTTCCTCCGCTATCTCTCCACAAAAAGATCGTCGAAGGAACATACGACCCTACAGTAGATGGTGATGGGTCAGACCCCACGTTACGAACCCCTACTGCTACCAACATCATTCGAGATCGCATACCTTTCCATTATAAATCCGACTTCTGCTGGCAACAGTCCAATGTCTTCTCTACCAAACACCTTCGCGACTATGCCTTCAATTTGAAGGAAACCCCGACCTTTGGGCCCCCTTCTCCCTATAACAGCGAAGATGCCTCGCTCCGCACATTACCCGGTTCTAGTATCACGATTTTCAAAAATGGTGTGAAAATGGGTTCACCCTTCAAAGATCTATATGCTTTTCTCCCTCCAGCAAGCCGACTGGCCAACGGCACAAACAATCTTGGAATCGGCGAGCGTGAGAATGCCGATGATGGCATGATTGGCTACTATCCAGCTGTTAGTTGTTATGGTGGCGGTGCTGTTGAATGTCGCTTCGAAGGTCCATGGTGGGTAGGTCCCCCCCGAACAAACAGAAACTGGGGAACCCATCAAAGCTATTGGCGACCGATTCAACGATCAAATCGTCGAAGATTTAGTAGCCGATATCGTGGACGAGGTTGAAGCCATGTTCACATGGAGTGGCGTCGACGGCGACGTAATCGGCAATAACAACACCGAAGAGTTAGACACTGCATCTGGTGCTGTTGGAGGCTCGGAAGTCCTGAAAGGTGGCGTTGGCGCTGCGCTAGATGGAGCTAGTTCTGCTCCCACCCCTGGATCTGTCCCTGGTGCTGCCGGCGCATCTGATTCAGCTGCAAACAGTAACCAACCTACCCCGGCTGCTAATGGGGATGTGCCGGTAGGAAACTCTGCTGGCGAAGATACTTTGAGCGTCGGAACGGCTGGCACGCCTAGGATAACTTTGGATGCCCCAGCGCCTGAGCAAGATGAGGATGTCGAGATGACGTGAGACGTGGTGGTATAACTCTTATATTTATGTAAAAAGCGCAAGTCTGTGTTATTGTACCTTGAAGATGCTTTTATTTGATGGCTGGTCTTCCAGGCCAAGGAGAAATGACAAGGCGTTCCGGCAGTTTTGCTTTTATTATATTGATACCATATTCTCAATTATAATCAAGTTTCCAAAGATACGATGCCTCGCAAGGCGTAGCTGGAGATAATCTAGTATTAAGAAGCATTCACTTTAATTGTGCCTAGAAATGCAGCCTTGCAGCTCAACATTGGGTATATTTCAATTGCTCTTACTATACAAAAAATACATAAGCCTATGATCATCCGCTTAATCGTTGACCTTCCAGCAGCTCTCCAACTTGCATCACTAGCTCGTCGTCCCCGTATTGACCAATAACCTGGATTCCGGCAACTTGGCCAGCATCAGAATCGACATTATTTGAGTCCGGGCTAGACTCGGTCAGAGTGACTGGCACAGAGATGGCGGGCAAACCTGCCAGACTGGCTGGCACGGTAAAAACGTCGCTGACATAGGCATTCAAGGACGATGGCGAGGAACCAGTAGAGGCGCTTGTAATATCAGATAGCAAGGGTGGAGGTGAGGGTGCGGTAGGACACACAAGAACATCTACATCGCCTGGCTTGGGATGGCCCGCATCCCGATCATTCGCAGTAGCAAGAGGATGCATGGCATTAAACACAGCATTGAAGTCCTGTTGCACTAATCGGCGTACCCTTTGTGCCTGTATAAAGTAGTTGTCCATGGCATCGGCGCTCAAACTGAATGTTCCGAGAAGAATACGCCGTTGGACTTCAGATCCAAACCCACTACCTCGGGTGTTCGAGTAGGTAGGATCATCACTTTGAGTGCCGTAGCGTACACCATCATATTTAGCCAGGTTTGACGATGCTTCGGCTGGGGCAAGGACGTAATATGCTGACAGTGCATGTTTTGTGGCTGGTAAAGAGACGGGATGAATGGTATGTCCCTGTGCTTGCAAACCTGCCAGAGACCTAAGCCAGGCCTTCCGGACTAGTGGCGAAAGTTCTGCGATATTATACTCTATTGGTACACCGATTCGTAGTGGTTTGGGGGTTGATCGAGACGTAATGTGCGAGAGAATTCGTTTCCGAGAGGAATTTGACACGCTGGTGGGATCATGCTCATCATAACGATTAAGGATTGCTGTTAGGGTGTTAGCTTTTTGAATCCGCTTTGGAGGAAGGTTAACACGCACAAAAGACGTCTCGAACGCTGGAGGTCGTCCTACCCATGATACCAACAGTATCTAAAGAGTTGGCATAGGCGACCACTCCCCTTCGAGAGATCAAGCCATAAGATGGCTTGAACCCGACTGTTCCGGTATATGCAGCTGGGAGTCTAACAGAACCTCCCGTATCTGTCCCAAGGGCACTTAAACAAAGATCAATCAGCATTTATCTAGATTAATTCCCAGATATCCAGTCTGGCACATACACATAACATTGCTCCGCTGCAACCGCAACGGCACTTCCACCCGAACTTCCACCCGCGGAGAACTCTTGCCCGTCGCGGCCCACGTTCTTCACGGGTCCAAACCGTGAATAAATGGAATTCGAACCCATTCCAAACTCATCCAAGTTGGTTTTCCCAGCTACAATAGCTCCCGCATCTTCTAATTGACCCACTACCGTCGCATTGAACGGGCTATTGAACTTGTCGAGGATTCCTGAGGCGCAAGTGGTCGGAAGATCGCGAGTGCAAATATTATCCTTAATGGCGATTAGGCGACCATCGACGGGGGATTTGGAGCTCCCTAGTAGAGTTCTATCAGTAAGTTAAGGTGTTTCCGGGTCAATTTGGTTGGTTGTGATGTATTGACATACCTTGCTCCCGACGTTGGTCTGCCTCCTTCACGCGCTCCAGCCATTGACCCGCGCGGGGTATGGGTGTTATGAATGCATTGAGACCTCTATGCACCTGCTGATTGGCGATGCATTTCTCTGCTTCACGTAGAAGGGACATTTAGGAGGTAGAAGTGTAGTCAATAGTCCTGGACATTGAGGAAGTCAGAGAGGAGAATCCTCTGCTTATCGTTATCGTTATCGCTTATCGCTTATCGGGTCTGTCTACATCTACATCTGTATACAAGCAACGTACTATAATGACTTCAAGATCGTTTTATAAAGAATATTAAATCGTAATTGCGCCATCAATGAGTCATAAATTTAGTTCATTCTCTCTTCTAGTCTCCCGGTGTTTGTTGTGCATTACTTGAATTCCATTTGACTGACTGATGTATAAATCAATGTTTAGCATGTTCATGTGTATATCTTCGTCATTGATACTGGTAATCTAAAGCAGTAGACTCTCTTTATTCGGTTGCCTTACCTGAAAAGTTTGCTCATGAAAACTTAACTGTCTCACTATGTATTTCACTTCTCAAGTTCAAGTTTCAAAGACATCTGCAATAGCTCAATCAAACAACTGGAAGAACATATAAGCGAGGACTATCTCGTGAAGAAGCCCACACTTATTTGTTTAAATACCGAGTGGCCCTATATACAGCTCTTGATCAAAAAAACTTTCAATATTTTCATCATATAAAGAGTCGAGTCAAAGTTTGCCGGAACAATGCATAACAATGCAATGAATGGTCTTGCTCAGGTCATATATACTATAGCCGTGTTCCTTCGGGCCGAGTGAAAATCGCCGGGTAAGGCAAGACGTCATCTCCGCTTTCCCGCAATCCTCTTTCCTACAACTTCTTTCCCTACACCTTCGACACTTTCACACCCCCACAGATCCGCCATGTTGTCGCATAAAGTGTTTCAAGCTGCGGCCCATGGAGCTCGGCAGTCTGGGTCGGCGCGTGCCGCTCTTCTGGCCGGCAAAGCTCAATGCGCTAGCTCTACCCTTCCTATGCAAGGCCGTCGGTCAATCTCGGTCTACGGTTATACACAAGCCAAGGCATTAGTATACTCTAAATATGGCGAGCCAAAGGATGTCCTCAGGTATGTCAACTCTCACTCCTTATCCTTTATCTCAAGCCATTCTGTTCTGTGGTCAATGAGCATAACTCATCGATGTCTATTCCAGCCTCCACAAACACTCCATCTCCGCCCCGCATGGCTCACAAGTGAACCTCCGCCTTTTGACAGCGCCCATGAACCCTGCCGATGTGAACCAGATCCAAGGCGTATACCCTAGCAAGCCTCCTTTCCTTCAGACTCTTGGCACAGCCGAACCATCGGCTGTTGGTGGCAACGAGGGTGCATTCGAAGTGATTTCAACGGGCAGCAATGTGAAGAATCTGTCTAAGGGAGATTGGGTCATTATGAAAAAGACTGGTCAGGGTACTTGGCGTACCCATGCGCAGCTAGACGAGTCGCAACTTATCCGGATCGAGAACAAGGAAGGCTTGACACCTCTACAGATTGGTACTGTCAGTGTCAATCCCGTCACTGCCTACCGTATGATGCGAGACTTTTGCCAATGGGATTGGATGCGCGCGGGCGAGGAATGGATGATCCAAAATGGTGCCAATAGTGGTGTCGGACGTGCTTCCATCCAGTTCGGCCGCGAGTGGGGTATCAAAACGCTGAATATTGTTCGTCAGCGCAAGACACCCGAAGAGACCGAGGCCCTGAAGCAGGAATTGAAAGAGCTCGGTGCTAATGTCGTTGTGACCGAAGAGGAAATGCTTACTGGTGGTTTCCGGGACATGGTTAAGGAGGCTACCCGCGGAGGCCGAGAGCCTATCCGTCTTGCATTGAACTGCGTTGGTGGAAAGAATGCTACTGCGCTTGCAAAGACTTTGGCTCCAGACTCCCATATGGTGACCTACGGCGCCATGTCCAAGCAGCCTGTGGCTCTGCCATCTGGGCTGCTGATCTTTAAGAACTTGGCCTTTGATGGATTCTGGGTCAGTAAGTGGGGCGATAAGAACCCCGAGCTGAAGGAGAATACCATCAAGGATGTGCTTCAGATGACGCGCACTGGTAAGTTCAAGGACATTCCTGTGGACGATGTCAAGTGGAACTGGAAATCAGAGGGTGAAGAGCTGGCCGAGAGTGTACAAGGGACCCTGGGAGGTTACCGCAGTGGAAAGGGAGTGTTCACTTTCACTGGCGGCGATGAATAAACGATGAGATTCTTTGTCAGGAATCAATTATATGTATCATATTGGACTAAGGATATGCCATCATAAATTTCTAACTTTCGACCAAAATCTATCAAATACTATGTAGAAGAGAAAAGACCCCGAGAAACAAGCATGGAGACCTGAAGTGCATTCTGTGTTACATAAAGTTCATAGTAAAAGGAATCTTTGAAGGCATGTCATAGCTCTTTCAAAGTATCTTTATCTGCCAATATTTGCATTCAGGTGATTAATTTATTCATCGCATTTCCAATTATCCCCAATCCAGGTAGTAATGAGATCAGTCAACTGAACACCAGCCATGTACTCCTCGCTCTCATTGATAAAATCGACATCGAGCCGAGCAAATTTGCCGGCAAGCACTAAGAATGGCTCGAGGAATTCGATGTAGACCAAATCCACTGTCTCAGACATCGCGGTTTCATTTCCTAAGATATGTCCTTGAATGCAATTGGGAACCGCATAATTGCTAACAGGAGAATGGATAGTATCATCGCCGTCTGTACCGGCATCATCTTTGGTGGTATATCCAGGGAGAATATCGGGATGATCAGACCGTTTGGCCCAGAGAGGGGCTTGATGAGAACCAGCCCCATCGATTATAAGTGGTCGAGTTTCCTTGGTAGCTTTATTATATTCTTCTTCACCTTCCACATGGGGCTGACCCGGGGTTCCCAATTCATGAATGTATGGATTCTCATCTTCAGATGTTGATGCAACCTTTGCTTGTTGGTTGAGGACCGTCATCATGAGTTGCACTTTGTCATAGGGAACATCCTTGACATAGCGGAACTTGTTTGTGAAAGGGGAAATAATAAAGGCGCTGTCACGGGTGAACTCCCCCTTGAAGATGTCAAACCGAATACCACCGGAGTTCAAAATGGCCACAGCTGGGAAATCGCCGCGAGATTCATCTTTCAATGTCTCCGGCAGCACTTCAGTCGACAGCCAATTATAGATACTGTCTGGGTCGGTATAGGGGACTCGAGTCATCCACAAGTTCCGCGGTGCACATCCAAAGACTTTGTCCAAACTCAAGGCGGACCGTGCGTCGGTAATAATTTGTGTGACTTCACGACCCTTTTCAGTCGGGAATGTATCTTGATCTAGACCAGTGTGGTGGTAGAAAGAAAAAAGGTTGTTATCTATGTATCGTCGCTTGAAGACGGGGCTCGAGGCCACACTTGGCTGGCTACTGGTGGAGAGGCCATCAATAGACGCGAAGCCGATGGTCTCCATGAATCGGCCGCTCGCCAAGGCGAAGGCTCTGGAGTCATATTTGGCATAGTCACGAATGTGTTGATGACCCCCAAAGAACTGAATTGGCGTAGCCCAATGAGCCTTGCGAATCGTGTTGAAGATTGCGCGGTATTCTGGTGAATGAGCTGGGACATGTCCAGCGACCAAGAAAAGGTCTACTTCCTTATCCTGAATCGCCTCCTGAAACCAGCTCTCCTGGATGGTTTCTTCCACTGGCTGAACAACAGTGTTATTATAGTTACCGTTGAAATTAAAGAGGAATCCAAATGCTACGATGCGGATCCCTTGTAGCTGGGTGGTAAACTTCTTGTACCGGGGAGCAAGTGGTACCAGCTCATCGGTCTTGGGATGATAAATATCGATATTAGAGGAAAGATAATGACCCCGGAAGTTAGGAACAGTTGTCAATAATTCGTTCTTTGACGTGTTCTGTTGATAAAGTTCATGGTTTCCTGAAGTTAAGATATCGATATGTTGATGGCGGAGGATTTCGGAGAGATAGATGCCTTTAGGGGTCGATGAATCATATAGACCATTTCCCTCGACTCGATCTCCTGTATCTACAACCAGCAAGTCTTGACCGTTTGCCTCTACCTTCTCCCTGAGACGTGATGAGAAAGAAATATAGTCGCCCCAGTCTGCAGAATAAGAAGGTCTGGCAAAAAAAGAGGCTTATCAGCTCAAAGCGCTTAAAAGCGGAGAAGCTTCAGATCCATACTCATGTAAATGACCGGCCAGCCAGCCATGCGTATCAGTTGTATGAAGGAAATTTAGTTGACCAAACTCCAGATCACGTAAAGGTGCGGAGATAGGAGCAGGCGCAGAGGGCTGAGCGGCGAACACCGACGGGAAGATCAAGGGCAACACCGACCACAGCATCTTGGGGTTTTCCGAAAACCGGGCTGCTTCGGCAGGAAGAGGGCCGTTGGATCACCCGAGCGCGAGATATGGAGCTCAGGGGGTGTAGGTCAGGGCCACAACAGGAACCAAGCGAGTGTAAAAGATACAACGTTGAGAGACAGAAGAGAGAGCAGTATTAAGAAGAGAAAGAAGAACCACGACGTTGATAGCTTTGAGCTCTCTATATAGCCCAAACAACACACGAGAGGCAGGAGCTCTCGAATCCGGCTACGGAAGGAGCTGCCGGTGAGGTGCTGAGTCAGCCGCCCAACATCTTTCCGATTTGCATCTCAAAAGATTCATCGCCGCGGACTTCATCTTTCTATCCCCAACGTTTGTTAATTTCGGTCTTTGACGCTAGGTGTGCCTGATTCGGCCGTGCGGACTTGTTAATTCTAAGTTCTTCTTCTTTCTGTTCTTCAATTCTCATCTCAATTCCCCGCAATGGCCTCTCCCCGACTTTTCCGCCCTGCAGCCCGTCTGCTCTCTTCGCGCCTGGCGACCGCCCCCCTCCGCCCAGCTTTCGCCCAGTCTGCTTGCGCTCAATCTGCTCTGCGCGCCCGAGGATATGCTACAGAGGGTGGTGTGAAGGAGGTTACTGTTCGTGATGCCCTGAACGAGGCTCTGGCGGAGGAGTTGGAGGCCAACCAGAAGACTTTCATTCTGGGTGAGGAAGTCGCACAGTACAACGGAGCGTAAGAGCCCCCCATTTCGATATCTCTCGCGGTTCAATTTATGAACTTGGTATACTCGATATACTATTCTTTCTTTCGCTATTCGCTGTTGGAGACCATGTTTCTAATCTGGACATTTTACCCCCTCTACAGTTACAAGGTCACCCGAGGACTCTTGGATCGCTTCGGTCCTAAGCGTGTTATCGATACTCCCATTACTGAGGCTGGTTTTTGTGGTATTGCTGTTGGTGCTGCTCTGGCTGGTCTGCACCCCATTGTGAGTGGTTTCCCGACGAATCCCGAACCTCAGATACCATCGGACAGAAAAAAGTACTAATATTTGATCCTTATCTCTAGTGCGAGTTCATGACCTTCAACTTCGCCATGCAGGCCATTGATCAGATTATCAACTCCGCCGCTAAGACTCACTACATGTCCGGTGGTATTCAGCCTTGCAACGTCACTTTCCGTGGTCCCAACGGTTTCGCCGCCGGTGTCGGTGCTCAGCACTCCCAGGACTACTCTGCCTGGTACGGCAGCATTCCCGGTCTGAAGGTTGTCTCCCCCTGGAGCTCTGAGGATGCCAAGGGTCTGCTCAAGGCCGCTATTCGCGACCCCAACCCCGTCGTCGTTCTGGAGAACGAGTAAGTCTCCTTTCGCAATGTTGCTTCTTTTCTACTACGGGGTTTCCTACGGACGTATGGAAGATGTCACGAGTCCACAGCAGCTAATATACTATTTCTCAATAGGCTGATGTACGGCCAGGCTTTCCCCATGAGCGAGGCCGCCCAGAAGAGCGACTTCGTTCTGCCTATCGGTAAGGCTAAGATCGAGCGCCCCGGAAAGGACCTCACCATCGTCTCCATCTCCCGCTGTGTCGGCCAGTCCCTTACCGCCGCCGCCGAGCTCAAGCAGAAGTACGGTGTCGACGCCGAGGTTATCAACCTGCGCTCCGTTAAGCCTCTGGATGTTGAGACCATTATCGCTTCCCTCAAGAAGACCGGTCGCCTCTTGGTTGTCGAGTCTGGTTACCCCATGTTCGGCCTTTCCTCCGAGATCATGGCTCTGGCCATGGAGTACGGTTTCGACTACTTGACCGCTCCCGCCGTCCGTGTTACTGGTGCTGAGGTGCCCACTCCTTACGCTGCTGGTCTCGAGACCATGGCCTTCCCCCAGGAGGACACCATTGTCAACCAGGCCGCCAAGCTCCTCCGGGTGTAAATGGAGCAACGTTTGAAGCAGTAATAAAACCATGTGTCTAGTACCCTTTCATCTGTCTCATTTTTCCTTATTTGTTTGTTCCCATCATGTCCTTATTTATTCTTGACCTAGGCAGATTCTTGGAACCTTGTGTACGATTACATTCCTAGAGTCGGTGCCATTTTGAAATTTCCAGCGTAGATTCTTGAAACAAATGTTCTTCGATTCTCTCCAATTATTATTTTTAATCCATTTATTAGAGATTGATAGAAAACCGGGAAATTTTATTGTTGATCATGTCTTGATATGTAGTACAGTATGAGTCGTAAAAGCATAACTCCCCCAAATAGACGAAACCCCACCCAACACCATTATCAATGCAAATGTACCAAAGAAAAGTGCGAACGAAGCTGTGCGTGTACATCATAGATGAAGATCAAGTGGTAGACTTGATATCTCGCAATCCTGTACACCCAGAAAAGCAATCGGTCGGATGACGAGGGTCATAGTATCCCCCGCCAGCCGTATCTCGCCCATATTCCTCATCGGTGTCGCTTTCCACATCGTCACGCAGTTCATCACCAAGCGTGGACTTGGGAGCAGTCGATTTCGATTGAACCTTGGTCACTGCTGGTGTCTTCTCCTCTTCATCATCGTCATCGCCTAGGACGTTCTTCTTTTTCATCACAGGCGCTGCAGGACCTTTGACTGCTGCGAACGAACTCTTGAAGTTACCTTTCTTAAAGGCTCCTCCGCCTCCGCCTCCGCCTCGCCCAGTAGTGGTCCCGCTAGATGTAGGATTGCCAGTCGGAGTATCAATCACGCGAAGCCCAGCCTCCGCATCGGCTTTGCGCTCTGCGCGTCGGGCTTTCTCAGCAGCATTCGGATCGCGCGATAGCTGTTTAAGATCTTGGAGTCGTTTCCGATGTTGGTGATCATAGGAACCAATATGCGCTTCATATTCCGGATGTCGCGAGTAGGATTTGTTGCATAGTGTGCATGTGAAAGAGCTCAGAGCGGAGCGTGCCGACTCGGTCTGAAAGGTCGAATGAGATTAGTTCAAGCAGGTTCTTTATAGTAGAGAGGTAACTGATTACCTTTGGAGCAGGATTAATAAAGCCTCGCTGTAATAAAAGATCCAAATCCAAATTAGTTAATTTTCTTTTTCTCATTCAAGGAAAAACGCGCATCAGAACATACCGGTGGCATATTGTGAGAGGGTCAAGGAAGGGAAGTTTGCCTATCAGCGATGCGGTGTTTGGCGGGACTCAGCAAGCTCAACATGATCGGCGTTTCCCCATCTTTCATCTTTCATCCTTTTCCCTGTTTTTCTTCTTCTTTATTTTCCGTATGCGCCACGATGTTTGATTAGGTCTACGAATTTCTTACATATTTTCTATTTTTCTTCTCCTTCCTTCGACTGAGTCAATAAAAAGGCAGAAAAAAAAACACTACCACGATGGAGTCTCCAGATTCAAAACCGTTGGACGCGGAGGTCAAGTCTATCATCTCCATGCAAGAACTGGATCCTTCGCCTGTGGACGATTTATCTCCGGACACAGAGACCGAGCAATACTTCCCTAGTCCAGAAGAGAATAAGCCGCGACGAACATGTGGATTTACAGCACCGACATTGGGTTTGCGACCTCATCGATGGGATGCATTGTGTACGTGATGCCACAGCGAAATTCGCAAATAAACACTGACAAGAGATTCAATATGTATAGTATCCGGTCTGCAAAAATACTCGACGTATCCACCAACCATGTTCTTTGTCTTGCATTTTGCCAATACAGCCCTCATTCCGCTGGTGACCCGATCAGTACCTGCCAGTGAGCCCTATCTCCTGCTCACGCGACCAGTCTACCAAGCTCCTGGATTGGAACATATCGTCCTCACACTCCCAATCATCACCCACATCGTATCGGGCATTGCCCTCCGCAACGTCCGATCCTCACGACGCGCAAGGCTATATGGAGCGGAAACTCGTGCGATGCGAAGTCGACTTACCTGGTGGCCTCGCTTCTCGCTACAGGCCCGTTCCGGATATCTCCTCGCCCCGCTGATTGGACTACACGCCCTGGTGAACCGTGTTACACCATTGATGATTGAGGGTGGTAGCTCTGGCGTGGGACTAGGCTATGCGGCTCATGGAATCGCACGTAGCCCTGTGTTCTGGAACATTTTCTATCTGGTGTTTGTCACTGCCAGTGTTTGGCATTTCATTGGTGGCTGGGCAACCTGGATGGGCTGGAGAGTCACAACTGCGCGGAAGCAACATACCAGCAAGGGATCATTGGAGGGCTTACTAGGTTATCCCGAGAACCATGATCGTGTCAAGCGACAGCGCAAGATGTGGTGGATGGTCAATGGTATTGCCGCTGCTGGTGCTGCCTTTTGGCTTGCCGGCGCCCTTGGAATCGTTGGGCGTTCTGGTGAAGGTGCTGGATGGGAAGCACAAGGATGGAATGAATTGTATAGCCAAGTGCCCATTATTGGCGATTGGTTATAAAATGACCCTCGGAGTCTTTTGAGGATGACATTCATGTATATGATATATTGTACTGTAGACGATACTGGACTTAATGAATAATACTAGTGATGAATAGAAGAGCTGATATACTTTAACAGTATAGCTATAGTAATTTATATTTATTAATTTCAATGTATATTGCCTATTATACTGTTATATAAGAATCACTACCTACCTCCGAGTCTACATCCATGATGTACAGCTCTATGTAACGCGGCGGATTAGAGTGGAACACCCACTTGGCCCGTGCGAGGAATCTTTTTTTCTTCCTTCAACTTGAACTTCTCCATCCAATTTTCTTGACTGTGATCAATTGGGAGGAGTATTCATGGTCTTTCACTCGATATTGACAGTTTCTACTCGGTTCTCGCAATGCGCATTTAAACCAAATCTGTTCCGCCCCCAATTCCATCACATACATCCAGTGTCACGAACATTTCACCACTCCGCGAAAGTCATGGAGACCTCCACCACTACCCCGAGCACACGAGTGCAATACCAGCAAAAGGAATACAATGTCATCAAAGAGGGTCTGGCGCACATTTTGAACCCTCCGGCTCAAGAAGCCGCGTCGAAAGGGACGAAAAGGGATCTTAAGGAGGACGACGAGTCACAGTCTGTCTTCTACAATCCTATCCAGCAATTCAACCGAGACCTTAGCGTTCTGGCGATTCGCGCATTCGGTGAACATGCAGTGGACATGAGAAAACAGAAGCAGGACCGGAGAAATAAGAAATATGGGGGAAAGAATGAGAAGGGACCGGCTGGAAAGCGGAAGCGTGAAGACGATACAGAGGAATCACCCGCCCCGAAGCGCGTGGAAGGAGAAAATGGAGAGAAGTCCGAGGTCGAAGCTGAAATGACAGTTCAAGCGGCAAAGGAGAAACCCGAGGGTGAAAACGGAAGCAAGCCCGAAACCACAGCTAAGCAACCGGTCTCAGCAGAAGAGGAGAAGAATGGTGTTGTGTTTACTGTCCTGGATGCTTTGTCTGCCACTGGTCTACGTGCTCTTCGGTATGCATCCGAGCTTCCAATGGTGTCCAAGGTGGTCGCAAATGATCTGTCCTCTTCTGCAATCAAGTCTATGAAGACAAACATTGAATACAACAAGCTTCAGGACCGGATCCAGCCTAATCTGGGTGATGCTCGTGTATACATGTATGGGCTATCCGGGGTGGAAAAGTTTGATGTGATCGACTTAGATCCGTATGGTACCGCTGCTCCTTTCTTGGATGCTGCAGTCCAAGGCGTCAAGGACGGTGGTCTTCTCTGTGTGACATGTACCGATGCCAGTATCTGGGCATCAACCGGTTATTCAGAGAAATCCTTTTCTTTGTATGGTGGTATTCCAATCAAAGGTCACCATTCGCATGAAGGCGGTCTACGTCTTATCCTCAACAGTGTAGCCATGTCAGCTGCCAAGTATGGGTTCGCCATCGAGCCTCTGCTTTCCTTGTCTATCGACTTCTACGCTCGTGTCTTTGTGAGAGTGTACCGCTCCCCCGCGCAGGTGAAGTTCCTTGGCGCCAATAGCATGGTCGTTTATAACTGTGATTCTGGCTGTGGTGCCTGGTCAACACAACCTTTGGCTTCGCTGAAAAAGAAGCTGGACCGCAAGGGTAGCCCACTTTACCACCACGGATTGGCTCAGGGACCTGCCTCTGGCTCAAATTGCGAGCACTGTGGCTTCAAGACTCATCTCGCCGGACCCATGTGGGCTGGGCCACTACACAACCCTCACTTTATCCAGAAAATACTTGCCACTCTTCCTAAACTCGACTCTCAAACTTATCAAACCATCCCTCGAATTGAGGGTATGCTCACCACTGCCCTGGAAGAGGATTTGGACCTCACCCCGTCAACCTCCTCGAACACCAGCTCTTCAGAGACCCCGAAGGCAGATGATCAATCTGCTGAATACCCAGCCATCATTCCGCGACAGGACCCAGCCCTCCACGAGCCTTATCCATTCTACTTAAACCTCAGCGCCCTCTCAAAGGTTTTGCACTGTCACACTGTTCCATTGGACGAGTTCCGAGGTGCCCTCCACTCAATCGGTTACCGCTCCACACGCAGCCATGCCAAACCAAATGCAATGCGCACAGATGCCCCCTTCGCCGTCATTTGGGAAGTAATGCGCGAGTGGATTCGTCAGGAGAGCCCGATCAAGGAAACAGCTCTGAAACCCGGAACACCCGGCGCAGTCATCATGGCTAAAAGCCGTGACAACCTACGCAAGCTAGACGATAAAGACCAGTGGCTATCGCTACTAAAGACCGATCTTCTCGCAGCAGTCGAATCAGGCCGCGATATCACTGACCTAGTCACAAAGGTAGAGGCCTCTCTTTATCGCTCTGGATCTCGACAAGCCTGGAAGCCTTCGGCGGGTTCTTCGGAGGCTCAACCCGAGGCTCAGCCCGAACCCAGCGCTGAAAATCAACCTCAATCTAGCTCGGTAAAGGATAAGACTGTTCATCCTAGCAGTCTTGAGATCAAATTTGATCCGGCTCTTGGTCGTGAGGCTTCTGCTGCTCATTCAAAGAAGCGTCTGGTACGGTATCAGATTAACCCTCGCGCTAATTGGGGACCGCTGAATCGCGCATCTGTCACTCAGTGATCTGAATGAGAATTTATTTAAGCTTTGATGTAAATATGCATGATAATTTGAAATATCCCATTGCTGTCATCTATCCTGTGATTAATAGGCTATTTACGCCCCTCAACTTATAGAAGCCTCTAGTGTTCTTGGTTCGGTGCTTTACAGCATAAGATAATCACCTCAAATGTTGTAGCGACATTCTCAAGTCATACAGATTCATTCCGTAGACAACGAGTTAGATGAAAATCTATAAGTCTTAATTCTAAGATTAGATGAAATGATCTTCTACAGAGTACAGTGGAAGGCGATTGAATTGGAACAAAATTATGACATGTCATTACTCCCATTATAAACACCAACGAACCAGGAGACGAAACTGGCTCGATTCTAAAAGAGGAAAACAAGCACAAACATAAACATAAATCACAGTCATCACGTCTCGAAAAGGGGGTGTGAAGGAGGCAAAAAAGTGAAAGTCAAAAGAGGATGATGAACATTTGGTCCACCAGTCAGTCCTCTTCGACGCTTATTTAAACAAGCAAGAGAGGATGAGGGGGTTGAAGATGAAATGTACGGCGATCATAAGATTAGAACTGCGAGACGGCCACGGCCACAGCTTGAGAGTCGCTGTGGCTGATGCTGACGTTGATTGACTTGACGCCAGCTTCCTTGGCGGCGGCGGCGGCGGAACCGTGAAGCTATAAATCGAACGAGTTAGCATTGCTGGTCATTGAATCAAATGGATATTTCTTGTGTTCAGAACTTACGTTAACCACGGGAGCGCCATTGGCATCGCTCGTAATCTCGATATCCTTCAGAGCGGCACCAGCACCCTTGCTGCTAACACCGAGCGACTTGAAGACAGCCTCCTTGGCACTCCATCGGCCGGCGAAAGAGGACTGGGGCGAGGGAGCCTTGCGGCAGTATTCCTGTTCACTAGCAGTGAAGTTGCGCTCAACGAACGTGTCGTTGGTGATGTTGACAGCGTCAATGCTTTCGACATCAACACCGACCTTGGAGTTCGCTGTAGCGTTGGCCTTGGCGAGGGACTCGACCATCTGGCGAGTGCTTGCTTCGCTGGGGGATTCAGACTTGGGGGGAGTAGCTGAGTACTTCAACTCGGAGGTCTTCTTGTCAACGCTGACACGGTAGTCAGGGTTCAGGAAGACCTTGCTTTGAAGCTCATCCTCGTAAGGAGCCTTGCTCTTAGCAACGAAGATGGTGTTGTTGATCAGACCGTTGTGGAAGTAGCGGTAAGCCTTCTTCTGGCGAGACTCGACCTTGTTCTTGTAGGTCTCGTACTGAGCCTGGTCAAGAGTGGCATACAGGTACTTGGGGTGGATACCAATGACCTGAGCACCCTTCTGACCGAAACCGAAAGAGGTAACTGAGAAGGCCTTGACACCATCTGTCTGAATGCTGCGGCTGGGGTACACGATGTAGTCGAACTTCTCCATGACCTTGTCGACGTTGTCCGCGTTGCGGTTACCGGGGACAAGACCAGACTCCAGAACCTGGAGACAGCCGTTGAACATCCAAGCACCAGCAGCACCCTTGGGGTGACCGGTGAGGTACTTCTGGAAGATACCCATCACAGCGTTACCCTTCTTGCGACCAAGATGCTTGAGCTGCTGGCAGATGACATCAGACTCGTTCTTGTCGTTGGCGACAGTCGAGGTACCGTGGAAGGAAGCAACGTCAATGTCGTCGACAGTAAGACCCCAGGTAGCGAGAGCACCACGCAGAGGAGCGATGCGAGAATCTTGCTTCCAGAAGTTGTTTCCAAGAGCGAACTGAGCATCCTTCTCCTGGCGAGAGGCTTCGCGCTCGATGTGCTGAGCACGCTCGTATGTGTACTCAGAGGCGTTGAAGGACTCATCACTCTGGGATTGCATAGCGTCAGCCTCCTCCTGGAGGTACAGCAACTCTGACTCTTGCCACTCCTTGATCTGCTTCTTGCGCAGATCCAACTGGCGGCGACGGTACTTGATGTCAAGCAGAGGCGATGGGAACTTGCCGGGGTTCTCACGAGCAGTGGTGAGAACACCCTGGCCCGGAGCAGGGACGGAGCGACCGATCTTGTCAGTGGCGGTGGTGGTCAGAGCGATGATACCGTGGATTGGCACACCCATGTCAAGGGCAAGCTGAGCAGTCATGATGAGCTGCATACCGCAACCCTGCGACTCCATGAAGCCAGCACGAGTGGTGGTGGTAGGACGAGACATCTCCTGTGGGGTACGGCCGTGGGCGAACTCGTCTTCGGCGTTGCTAGTAGCCTTCATGTTGGCGAACTCGTAAGAGCCCTCCTCCTGGAAGTCATCGAAACCACCGACGAAGCAGACACGGGCCTTGCCCTCGACAATAGTCTCGTAACCAATGTCGACGGACTCGACAGCAGTAGCACAGGCACCGACGGGGGTCTTGATGGGTCCAGTGGAAGACAAGAGCAACATGTTAACCCAAGCACTCATGGTGTTGATGAAAGACTCCTGCAGAATATCCTTTTGGAGGGGCTTGTCAAGGTAACGATCCTTGTACATACCACGCAGAGCGTGGGTACCACCAATACCAGAACCAATGCAGTTACCGACCTCAGAAAGGTGAACATACTTGTAGAACTCGTAAGGGTCGGTAATACCAGCTGAGAGCATGGACTCCGCGGTACAAACCAAGACGAACAGGGTGACAGGGTCCACCTGCTCAATGATGTCGTCGGGAATACCATAGCGGCGAGCATCCCAGCCAGTGGGAATTTGACCAGCAACCAAGCGGTCGAACTGAAGAGCCTTGGGGATGAGCAGGTTGGCGCCCTTGCGAAGGCGGACAGTGAACTCGCCAGACTCGGGGATCTCGAAGATCTCCACGTTTTCTGCGTGCTCGCGCTTGAACTCTTCGGCGGTTTCCTTGGAGGCCTCGAAAGGCTCCAAATCCTCCTGGATGACGATCTCCTGAAGCAACTGCTTCTGCTTGGGGTCGTATCCCTTGAACAGCTCGGGCTCAATGAGACGGATACCGGTGTGCTCCAGAATGAATTTCTCATACTTGGGCTTGACATCCTTGTCATCAACGGGATCCCCGGTCTTGGCGTCAACCCATCCGGAGTAGGTCTTGCCCTTGAGAGGACCATTGTGGTGCTTGATCAGACCCATAATCCAGGCCATTTCGACGCAACCCTCCAGAGAGAACTTGCCATTGGACTCCATCTCCCAACGGGTACGGGAGTTACCCCAGGGACCGACTTCAGCGAAACCAGTAACGACAACGACCTTGTCGAGGTTGACCATACCCTTGAGAGAGTCGTTGATGGGCTTGACTTCGGACTCCCAATCGGGAAGCTTGGGGAATTCGAATTTGATGTTGGCACGAGGCTCGGAAACGACCTTCTTGTACAGAGCATCGCTGTCCTCGCCGTTGACAATGGTGTTCTCAATGGCGGTTTCCTTGATGACAGCCTGGCGAACCTCGCTGGTCTCCATGATGTCAGTACGGAGCTTGGTCATCAAGCCCTTCAGGTCAGGAATGAACTGTAAGCCACCGTTCAAATCGGCCCAAACAGGATCAGTCTGGCAGAGGTCGACAACGGCAGGAGACATGAGACCCAAGAGGTTGAAGGCCATCTCTTGCTGGGAGAAGGTTCGGACACCAAGCTTCTCGACACCTTCCGCAACCATGTTGTTGCCGCTCATCAGACCAGTACCACGAGTCCAGCCAATGACAGCACCACAGATGGTGAGATAGTTGCTCCAGTTCTCGGAGTACCAGCGGTTGAAGAGTGTCTCCAATCCGAGCTTAGACTCGGAGTACAGACCGTCATTACCGAAAGTACCGTGGTTGGGCGACAGAGGAAGGATAACCTGAGCAGGACGGGTCTCAAAGCCACGGGTGGCCTTCTCAGTCTTGATCGCACCCAGGAGACGGAGCACATTGGTCAACATGATACGGTGAGCCAGCTCGGACTTGGAGTCAAGGGAGTCAATTTCACGACCGTTCTCAGGAATGGCAGCGAAAGGTACAACAAAGTCCAGATCCCAGCCCAGACCCTTCTTGGTATCGTAAACATAGTCGACGAGAGCCTGCACATCCTGCTGGCTACCTTGGTTGAAAGGAACGACAACCAGCTGAGATCCACGAGCACCGAAGCGGGCATACATGGCCTGGTAGTACTCAGTGACCTCACGGGAGAAGCGACTAGTGGTGACAATGACCTTGGCACCACCGCTGATAAGACCCTGCAAGACATCCGCACCGATGGAACCAGCACCAGCACCAGTCATGAGGACATTCTTCCCCTGGAAAGTGAGACCGCCCTGGGCAGCAGTCTCCAGAACCTTGAGGTAGACTCCGGTGAGCTTCTTGTTGTAGTCCCAGCCGTGCTCGCTCTTCTTCTTGAGATGGAGGAAGGGGATGGTCTCCACCTTGCCAGGGCGAGTGGCAGTGCGTTTGAGAGCGTTGCGGCCCTTCTTAGTACTAGCGTTCTCCTGTGGCATGATCTGGTTCTCATTCATGCCAAGGGCATGCAGAAGGTCTTTGTACAGAGTATCAAACTGAAGCTGCGAGGCCTTGGAAAGGCGATGCTGCTTGCGAATCAGCTTGTAAACGTTCTTCAGGTCATTTTGAACCTTGGTGCGGTTGCTGTACTCGGAAATTGGACCACCGTCGGCCATCTGCTTAACGTAGTGCTCTAGCTTGCGAGCACTAGCACGACCAACCTCCTCGTAGCTGATGTTTCCACGGGCGTCAATGGTGGTTTGGGGACCGGTAGGAAGAGCCACATCCTTGTAGACGGGGGCGACATCGAGAACCTCCCGGCAGTTCTCAATAAGTTGTTGACCCAGTTCCTTAGCCAGCTGGTAGGTCTCACCACGCTCGGTAGGGCAGTTGTCAATGTGGTACTGCATGAAGTCGAGGAGGAGAGGATTGGAGCGGTTCATAATGCGAATACACTGGCTGACAATCTCGCGATCCACGACTTGCAAGCGACCGAAGATAATATCGTAGTACATGCTGAGAGCATCCTGGCGAGCCCAGTTCCATGAGGAGTCGTAAACACGGGCCTTGAGGGGATCGAAAGATGGCTCAATACCGGAGGCGTAGAAATCGCCGTGCTCGGCCTGCCATAAGTCGATTTGGGCTTGGAGAGCCTTCTGAGTTTCCTGAGAAGTAATGAAAGCCTTGTCGCCGGCCCGAAGATCCATCTTCAGGTAGCGAGCAATAACCTCCAATTGTTGCTTGAACAGAGCGCGTTGGTCTTTAGTGAGAGCATCAATAGCTGCAGGGTCCATCATCATGCCACCACCGCCACCACCGCTATCACCACCGGCGGTAGGAGCTGAGAGGTTGATGCCGGCGCTAGCGGCATACTTGTTGGTCACATCGTCCAGGAAGGCCTTGGCATCGGCATCGGAGCCGAGACGGGAAGCCGGTTCCATGGTGATCGCCAGCAGGAGCACACCATCTTGGCGGCCCGAGCCCAAACCCCACCTAGTCTCGAGGTATTTGCGAACAGCTGTGATATTGAAGCCACCAGGCATCTTGGATGAGACGGTACGGGCGATGAGAGAAGAAGACTGCTTGCCCAATTGACCATTGAAGGTAGCCTGCATTGCAGCACCCAACTCGTCCAGAGGGACGTCCTCTGGCTTCTCTGGCGTAGAGCCGAACTCCTTTCCAAGGTCTCCGAGAATTTCATTTTGTAATGTTGATTTACCTATTCCGCGAAAACAATTGATGGTTAGTTTCGTGGTTCATCATAATCAGGCTAATGCAATGAATGCAATTGAGCTTACCTCCAACAAGATCTTTAATAGCTTTCGTCAATGGCACATCAGCCAGGCTCTTCTTCAACTTCTGGGCCACCAGGGATCGCAAAATATCCACAGCAGTCACGGGGGCATCTTCAACTGCAGCCGCGGGGCCGGCACTGGGGGGTGGAGGTGCGGCGGCAGCAGCAGGGGCGGGAGCTGCGCCTCCAGCTGCAGGTGCGGCGGTGGGTGTAGCCTCCGCAGCAGGTTCCTCCTCTTCGATAGGGTCGACATCGTAGTAAATCTCCTTGGCGTCCTTGTTGTAGCAGAGAATTTGACGTTGAACGGATGTGGCGGCATCGTAAGCCTCATATTTGGAAGCGAGAGTACGTCGGGCCATTCCTCCTAAGGTATCGGCGGGACCAATCTCGACAATGCGCTCGGTACGCTGTTCGGCCAGAACGACATCTTGAGTCTCAATCCATCGGACGGGCGAGGCGAACTGGTAGGCGAGCAGCTCCACCAACAAGGTGTGAGCAAGCTCCTGTTCAATTTCAGGGCGCATGATGTATGTGTATGTGTATGTGTATGTTGGAGAGAGATCTCTCTCTTTTTCGATTCTATTGAGATATTCGGGGAGGAGGGGGTATCGAACAATCAATTAAGGTAGAATGGCAGGACGGACGTCCTGGGGGGCGTACGACGGAAAACTCGTCGCTGGCAATGCCCACACAGTGGTGGTGATAATGAAAACAAGGAAAGAAAAGAAAAAGAAAAGGAATTATAAAATAAGTTGACACCACCAAAGGGGAGGGGAGAATTAGAGAATGGGAGAGGTTATGTTCTGGGGAGGAGAGAACTAGAATCACCAGCTTCAAGAAAAAAAAAGAGTGGGAAATCAATTTCGCCCGATTAGAGCGATAGCGGTGTATTGGGCGGTATGGTGGTGGTAATACGGGATACCTGGCCGTTGGTCCACATGTGCAGAGTTTGGGCCCAGAGGTAATTTTCAATTTAGTTCAATTTTATTATTTTCACTCTCATCGGATTCGTGGAAATAAATAAATAAAAATGGTACCTATCTTGATAAGACTATTTCAACAGTAGAGATTTCTGTTATGCTGTCTGTGTATATACTACCGATTCTTCTTTCCTGACTGTAGGGTAAGGCACGGCTATTGTCATATACTACGGCGGACGGGATTTGTGACCGCCGATATGAGGCTGGCAATATATAATATGGATACATATAGATCTGTTGTATATTCCCCTCAAACTCCATTTCTCTTGATTAACAATAAAGTTGAATAATCAATAACTCAAAACTGAAACCCAATACCATCTTCAACTTCCCCCAGACCAAGTTCAACAGGATTCAATGGCAAGTTGAGTGCCTTTTTCCTCTTGTTGGGGCTCGCGGGCACCGTCACACCGGATCGGTACCTGACAGGATTAGATAACCCATTGAGAGCCCCACTGCGCCAATCACATCTCATCAACAGCTTAACAATGGGGTCGATGCTCCCAACAACCCAATACTGAGCTTGGACTGCCCCAATCTAAGCTGCAGTTGAGCCAGTTAGCGTTAACGGTGGTCACTCTGGGGACTCCACTTAGCACCACTTGCACCACTTGTGCTGAATTGCCATGGATATGAATGGATTCCTCGGGAGTCTCTGCATTTCTCTGGGATCCCACACAATTTTACAATATCCGAGAACCGGCCGGAATGAATAATCGAAAAAGAACGAGGAGAAGAACCTTGGAGGAACTTGCTGATATCGGTGGATCTACATGTACGGAGTACGTACGAGGCATACGGTGTATATTTGGATCCATCTATGGTGCTTGTATACATATGCATACTACTTGGGTGGACCTCATATATGCCACTACTCTTAATCCTCTTAATACTATTAAATATTATATATTGTTATCAACATTGAATCCACATAGGTATAGTTCATTTTGATATCTACAAGCATTCTTTAAATTTATTGCAGATTTAATATCCAACCGTCTTATATCAATATCAGTTGTAGATCTATCCCCGATGATGCCCAGCCCAGGACAATACCGTATTTACAATACACCTTACCGCCATGGAGGGGAAGATTCGACTGTTGAACCACGATGGGGATTGACCGCCCTAAACCGCATTAGGCCGGATGCAGTTCAACAGTGAAAGTTTGGTTTTTTTCCGTTTTGCCCGTTACGTTGCCCCGAACAGCCCTGGAGACCGACCAGAGAGAAGGTCTATCATGAAGCTGCTTTCTTCCCCTCAATCTCTCTCTCTTCTCCTCCTCCATTCTCCATACCTCCCATTCCTCCTCTTTTCTTTCCTTATTTCTTTTTATTTTGATGTCATTGGGGATTTGCGTCTAATAATTTAATCTTCATATTCCTTTTCTTATTTTCTTCTTCTGGAATCCGGACTTGTAAGTGTGACCGCCTTCCAACAATTTTTTTTTTTTTTTGGTGGCTTCACCATAGGGATCTTCCTCAAAAGCTAATGCATTTGCCCTGACAGAATATCCCCCAGTTGTCCGTGAGTCCCAACTGGATCTCTGTCCAGGAAATCATCCGAACTATAGAAGGAAAGAAAAAAAAGCGAAAAGAATTTCCCTTAACGTACCACAATCATGTACGGCACATCAACCGGTCCCCAGACCGGCATCAATACCCCCCGATCCTCCCAATCGCTGCGACCTCTTATCCTCTCACATGGCTCCCTCGATTTCTCTTTTCTGGTCCCAACCTCGCTCCATTTCCACGCCTCGCAGTTGAAAGACAGCTTCACGGCCTCATTACCCGAGCCCACAGATGAATTGGCCCTGGATGATGAGCCCTCCTCAGTAGCCGAATTGGTTGCCCGTTACATTGGTCATGTTGCCGATGAGGTTGAGGAAGGTGAGGACGACGCCCAAGGTAGCTACCTGGAGGTGCTGAAGCTCGTTCTTAACGAATTCGAGCGTGCATTCATGCGTGGCAATGATGTCCACGCTGTGGCAGCGACATTGCCGGGCATTGTCGCCAAAAAGAACCACGTCGTGGAGGCTTACTATGCCGGACGTGCTGCCGCAGGCCGGCCCACCAAGCCCTATGACTCGGCATTGTTCCGTGCTGCCTCCGACGATGCAGCGGGTATTTACACCGTTTTTGGTGGACAAGGAAACATCGAAGAATACTTTGACGAGCTTCGTGCTATCTACACCACCTACCCATCCTTTGTCGAGGATTTGATCACTTCTTCCGCGGAGCTTCTGCAAACTCTCTCTCGGGAACCCGAGGCGAGCAAGCTCTACCCTAAGGGTCTTGATATCGTACAATGGCTCCAGGATCGGGATTCCCAGCCTGATACTGATTACCTTGTCTCCGCTCCCGTCAGTCTGCCATTGATTGGATTAGTCCAGCTCGCTCACTACATGGTGACCTGCAAGGTCTTGGGTCGCCAGCCTGGTGATCTCCTTGAGCGCATTCGGGGTACTACTGGTCACTCGCAAGGTGTGGTGACCGCTGCTGCTCTTGCCACAGCCACTAGCTGGGAGTCCTTCGACACTGCGGCCAGAACTGCCCTTACTATGCTGTTCTGGATTGGTCTCCGCAGCCAGCAAGCCTACCCCCGCACTTCTATCGCCCCCTCAGTGCTTCAGGACTCTATTGAGAATGGTGAAGGCACCCCAACCCCCATGCTTTCCATTCGAGATCTTTCTCGCGCTGCAGTCCAGGAGCATATCGATGCTACAAACCAGCACTTGCCCGAGGATCGTCATATCGCCATTTCCCTCGTCAACAGTGCCCGTAACTTCGTTGTCACTGGACCTCCCATTTCCCTCTACGGTTTGAACCTGCGCCTCCGCAAGGTGAAGGCTGCCACTGGCCTCGACCAGAACCGTGTCCCCTTCACCCAGCGTAAGGTCCGTTTCGTCAACCGCTTCCTGCCCATCAGCGCTCCCTTCCACAGCCAATATCTCACCGCCGCCTACGACCGCATTCTGGAGGATTTGGAGGATGTTGACATCCCCACCAAGTCCCTGGCCATCCCCGTCTTCCACACCAAGACTGGCGAGGACTTGCGCCAGCAGTCTGGTGAGAGCGCCATTCCTGCTCTGGTCCGCATGATCACTCACGATGCGGTTAACTGGGAGCAAGCAACCGTCTTCCCTGGAGCCACCCACATTGTCGACTTTGGCCCCGGTGGTATCTCCGGTCTGGGTGTGCTCACCAACCGTAACAAGGACGGTACCGGTGTGCGTGTCATCCTTGCTGGTGAAATGGACGGCACAAACGCCGAGGTTGGCTACAAGCCAGAATTGTTCGACCGTGACGAGCACTCGGTGAAGTTCGCCGTTGACTGGGTCAAGGAACACGGCCCCCGCCTTGTGCAGACCTCTACCGGTCAGACCTATGTTGACACTAAGATGAGTCGTCTGCTTGGTATCCCTCCCGTCATGGTGGCTGGTATGACTCCCACAACTGTTCCTTGGGACTTTGTGGCCGCTACCATGAACGCTGGTTACCACGTTGAGTTGGCTGGTGGTGGCTATTACAACGCCAAGACCATGACTGAGGCTATCACCAAGATCGAGAAGGTGATTCCTCCTGGTCGTGGTATCACTATCAACCTGATCTACGTCAACCCCCGTGCTATGGCCTGGCAGATTCCCTTGATCGGCCGCCTGCGTGCTGACGGTGTGCCCATCGAAGGTCTGACTATTGGTGCTGGTGTTCCTTCCATTGAGGTCGCCAACGAATATATCGAGACTCTTGGTATCAAGCACATTGCATTCAAGCCCGGTTCCGTTGACGCTATTCAGCAAGTTATCAACATTGCCAAGGCCAACCCCAAGTTCCCCATCATCATGCAGTGGACCGGTGGCCGTGGAGGTGGTCACCACTCGTTCGAGGATTTCCACCAGCCTATTCTCCAGATGTACAGCCGCCTTCGTAAGCAGGATAACATTGTCATTGTTGCTGGCAGTGGCTTCGGTGGTGCCGAGGACACCTACCCTTACCTCTCTGGTACCTGGTCTGCCAAGTTCGGTTACCCTCCCATGCCTTTCGACGGATGTCTGTTTGGTAGCCGTATGATGATTGCCAAAGAGGCCCACACTTCCAAGAATGCCAAGCAGGCTATCGCTGACGCTCCTGGTGTCGACGACGACCAGTGGGAGAAGACCTACAAGACTGCTACCGGTGGTGTCATCACTGTCTTGTCCGAAATGGGCGAGCCCATCCACAAGCTGGCCACTCGCGGTGTCCTGTTCTGGGCCGAGATGGACCAGAAGATTTTCAAGCTTGACAAGGCTAAGCGTGTCCCTGAGCTCAAGAAGCAGCGCAACTACATTATCAAGAAGCTCAACGATGATTTCCACAAGGTTTGGTTTGGTCGTAACGCCTCAGGTGAGACTGTTGACCTGGAAGATATGACTTACGCTGAGGTCGCTCACCGGATGGTTGATCTTATGTACATTAAGCATGAGTCCCGCTGGATCGATGACTCTCTCAAGCGCCTCACTGGTGACTTCCTTCGCCGTGTTGAGGAGCGCTTCACAACTGCCGATGGCCAGGCTTCGCTGCTCCAGACCTACTCTGAGCTCGACACTCCTTACCCAACTGTGGACAACATCCTTGGCGCCTACCCCGAAGCCGCCACTCAGTTGATCAACGCCCAGGACGTTCAGCACTTCCTTCTTCTGTGCCAGCGCCGTGGACAGAAGCCCGTTCCGTTCGTTCCTTCTCTTGATGAGAACTTCGAGTACTTCTTCAAGAAGGACTCCCTGTGGCAGAGCGAGGATTTGGAGGCTGTGGTTGACCAGGATGTTGGCCGTACCTGTATTCTCCAGGGCCCAATGGCTGCTCGCTTTTCTAATGTCATCGACGAGCCTGTTCAGGACATTCTTGATGGCGTTCACAAGGGCCACATCACTGGTCTGCTCCGTGATGTCTACGGCGGCGACAAGGCCAAGATTCCTACCATCGAGTACTTCGGTGGCAACCTGGTCAACAGTGAGGACGAGCAGGAATTGGAAGGACTTACCATTTCTGAGGAGAACAACAAGACTAGCTTCCGCCTTTCGTCTTCCCCTGCCGACTTGCCTGGCTCTGACCGCTGGCTCCAACTTCTGGCAGGTGATACCTACTCTTGGCGTCACGCCCTCTTCTTGGCCGATGTCTTCGTTCAGGGTCACCGTTTCCAGACCAACCCGCTGAAGCGTATCGTGGCACCCACTCCCGGCCTGTTTGTCGAGATCACTAACCCCAATGATCCCGCCAAGACTGTCGTCAACGTTCGCGAGCCTTACCAATCCGGCAAGCTTGTCAAGACTGTCGAGGCCAAGATGAATGAGAATGGTCAGATCAGCCTGACTCTCTTCGAGGGTCGCACTGCCGAGGGTGGTGTTGTGCCCCTGAGCTTCCTCTTCACTTACCACCCCGAGACTGGATACGCTCCTATCCATGAGGTTATGGGTGACCGCAACGACCGCATCAAGGAGTTCTACTACCGCATCTGGTTCGGCAACAAGGATGTCCCCTTCGACACCCCTACCACCGCTACTTTCAGTGGAGGCCGCGAGACCATCACCTCTCAGGCCGTCGCCGACTTCGTTCACGCTGTTGGCAACACCGGTGAGGCCTTTGTTGACCGTCCTGGCAAGGAAGTTTACGCTCCTATGGATTTCGCCATTGTTGCTGGCTGGAAGGCTATTACCAAGCCCATCTTCCCTCGCACCATCGATGGTGACCTGCTGAAGCTCGTTCACTTGTCCAACGGCTTCAAGATGGTTCCTGGTGCCCAGCCCCTGAAGGTTGGCGATGTTCTGGATACCACTGCTCAGATCAACGCCGTTATCAACCAGGAATCTGGTAAGATGGTTGAGGTCTGTGGTACTATCAAGCGTGATGGTCAGCCCATTATGCACGTCACCAGCCAGTTCCTGTACCGCGGTGCCTACTCCGACTTTGAGAACACCTTCCAGCGCAAGGATGAGGTTCCTATGCAAGTTCACTTGGCTACAAGCCGTGATGTCGCTATCCTTCGTTCCAAGGAATGGTTCCGCATGGACGAGACCGACGTTGAGCTCCTGGGCCAGACCCTCACCTTCCGTCTGCAGAGTCTGAACCGCTACAAGAACAAGACCGTCTTCAGCAACGTCCAGACTATTGGTCAGGTTCTTCTTGAGCTACCTACCAAGGAGGTCGTTCAGGTTGCATCCGTGGACTACGAGGCTGGTGCCTCTCACGGTAACCCCGTGATTGACTACCTCCAGCGTAATGGTACTTCTATCGAGCAGCCAGTGTACTTCGAGAACCCCATTCCCCTCAGTGGCAAGACTGCCTTGGAGCTGCGTGCTCCAGCTTCCAACGAGACCTACGCTCGTGTCTCTGGGGATTACAACCCTATTCACGTGTCTCGCGTCTTCTCCAGCTATGCCAACCTGCCCGGTACCATCACCCACGGTATGTACAGCAGTGCTGCCGTACGTAGCTTCGTGGAGACCTGGGCCGCTGAGAACAACATTGGCCGCGTTCGTGGATTCCATGTCTCTCTCGTCGGTATGGTTCTGCCCAACGACATGATCACCGTCAAGCTCCAGCACGTCGGTATGATTGCTGGTCGCAAGATCATCAAGGTCGAGGCCAGCAACAAGGAGACCGAGGACAAGGTCTTGCTTGGTGAGGCTGAGGTTGAGCAACCCGTTACCTCGTACGTTTTCACTGGTCAGGGTTCTCAGGAGCAGGGTATGGGTATGGAACTCTATGCCAGCAGCCCTGTTGCCAAGGAGGTCTGGGACCGTGCCGATCGCCACTTCATCGAGAACTATGGTCTCTCCATCATTGACATTGTCAAGAACAACCCTAAGGAGCTGACTGTTTACTTTGGTGGTCCTCGTGGTAAGGCTATTCGCCAGAACTACATGGCTATGACCTTCGAGTCCGTCAACGCCGATGGTTCCATCAAGTCGGAGAAGATCTTCAAGGGCATTGATGAGACTACCGACTCATACACCTACCGATCCCCCACTGGTCTGCTGTCGGCTACTCAGTTCACACAGCCTGCTCTGACTTTGATGGAGAAGGCCAGCTTCGAGGACATGCGCTCCAAGGGTCTTGTGCAGCGTGACAGCAGTTTCGCCGGTCACTCTCTTGGTGAATACTCCGCTCTTGCTGCCCTGGCTGATGTCATGCCCATTGAGAGCTTGGTTTCTGTCGTATTCTACCGTGGTTTGACCATGCAGGTCGCTGTCGAGCGTGACGAGCAAGGACGTTCCAACTACTCTATGTGTGCTGTCAACCCTAGCCGTATCTCCAAGACTTTCAACGAGCCAGCGTTGCAGTACGTCGTTGAGAACATCTCTGAGCAGACTGGCTGGTTACTGGAGATTGTCAACTACAACGTAGCTAACATGCAGTACGTTGCTGCTGGTGATGTAAGTTTTACATTCTCTTTTCCTTTATTATTTCTAACAGACATACTAATATTTCTTTCTAGCTCCGTGCCCTGGACTGTCTTACCAACTTGCTCAACTTCCTCAAGGCCCAAAATGTCGACATTCCTGCTCTCATGCAGAGCATGTCCCTTGAGGATGTCAAGGCTCACTTGACTGGCATCATCGAGGAGTGTATGAAGCAGACCGAGTCTAAGCCTCGTCCCATCCAGCTAGAGCGTGGTTTCGCCACAATCCCTCTCAAGGGTATTGATGTTCCTTTCCACAGTACTTTCCTGCGCTCTGGTGTCAAGCCTTTCCGATCATTCTTGCTGAAGAAGATCAACAAGACCACCATCGACCCCAGCAAGCTGATCGGCAAGTACATCCCCAACGTTACTGCTCGTCCTTTCGAGATCACCAAGGAGTACTTCGAGGATGTATACCGTCTCACCAACTCTCCCCGCATTGCCTCTATCCTGGCCAACTGGGAAAAGTACGAGGAGGGTACTGAGACCACCGCCCGCGCGGCTTAATGATGTATCTTGTGATTCCCCCTCGTCTTCGTATGTTTAATTTTGTTTTTTTTTGTGATAGAAAGACCCTGTTTTGTCTCGGTCGTGATGTGACATGTCTTCAATTTTGGCGGAGTTGTTTTTAGTTGCATGTATATGAGATTCATTTTTCCTTAATTATTATCTTTTTTTTACATTTATATTTACATTTTCATTATTTCCTTTCTAGAGTTTGGTTTCTTTTTCAAACTAGACTCTTGCTGTAGAAGCATTCTTTTGTACATCTGTCCACGTAACTTGATTTGTATTGACATTAGGTTAGTGTGCTCAGGGCATTGTCGAAGGCTTATGGCCAGTGAATAAAAAAGGGACTTCACAAGACTTGAGAAGGCCGAATTGTGCGAGACTTCATCACCTTACTCCCAACCCCCTAAGCCGGAGGAATTGGCCGAAGCATTCGGTCTTCCTTGCCATAGACACTGACCCCCTTGACAATTCCAATGAAACGGCGGTGGTTTTCCTTAGATTCGCCAATGCGAGGCCGGAAAACGCGAAGAAGATCACTACTGAGAATACCAGTTGCTGGGATCGCTGCACGAATCTCCGCCTCTGACGGGAAAGGCATACCTCCAGCGGAAACGGGTGTAGATACTCGTCCTGGGCCTGTACCGTCCCAAATAGTTAGTACATCCATAATCAAAAATTTATTCAAATATTGTCAGATGTAACTTACGACCTCCGTCGGGGCTGCTAGCGCGACTTCCAGAGAAGCTCCGGCCACCTGCAACGGGGCTTGCTGCCCGAGAGCCCTGTGGTGTACCCCCTCGAGAGGTACCAGGTGGGTTGAGCTTCAGCTTCTTAGTTTTGCCACTTTCGCTGATCTCAGCTCCAGATCCAACACCAGCGTCAAGTTCACTGCCAGACCCAGATCCACCCAGTGGAATGTTGCGGACCCGTTTCTTTCCAGCCTATTTAGTTCAATTATATTAGCTTACTCCGTTACTTGGAACAGGAGCTCAATGTTTGAGGCATACCTGTACAGTAGACGGAGACATAGGGCGAGAAGTTGATGGAGTTGGATGAGAAGAGTGCTTGCTTTTAGCCTTCTTTCGGGACGTATCAGTCCCGCTGGCGTCTGAGGCGTTGGGCGAACCCGATCGCTTGAGAATCCCAGACTTCTTAAGAGAGTCTACATGCTTCGGTCGACCCGAAGGTGTTGTACTGCCTTTAGCAGAAGCTGCTTCCTTTTCCTTCTTCTTCTTTTCCTCCTCTGCTTTTCGTTCTTCCTCCTTCAAGCGTTCGGTTTCACTGTCGTCGGAACTCTAGAGGCAAAAGAAAAGTATATAGTTAGCCTTCAAATCCCCTGGGCGCTTGCCAGGGCAGTAGAAGCTTACCTCTTCGTCTTCCGAGCTGTATGGGTTGGCCTCCGAGCCGCTGGAGTAGTCGAAATTTCGTTCTCTTTTCTTGAGTGCCTTGCGCATCTTCTTTCCCAGCTTATGGCGAGCCTCTTTCTCCATTTTCTCGCGCTTTTCTTCTTTCTCGTAGTCCTTCTCATCCTTCAGGTCGAACACGTTTGCCTTTAATTGATCCTCCTTAATTCTTTTCTCGGCGTCTTTCGCTTCGTCATCCTGGTCATTAAAGAGATCGTCATGTTCTTCGTCGTCGGCAAATCGGTCCTCTTCAAAGTCCATTTCACCAGCCTCTAGCCCTTCTCCTCCTCCAGCTGAAACACCCTTTTTGCCAGCGTAGACTTTGCGCGACTTGGCATACTGCTCCAGTTCCTTTTTCTCGGCCACCTCCTTTTCTTTTTCCATAAACCACCGAGGATCCTTGATTCGTTTCGCCATGAACTTCTCTGCTTCTTCAATCGTCAATGCCTTGAATTGACTCTTGGCGCTGAACTTATACCACTTTTCCGCGGGTATCATGCGCATCTTGCCATTGTCTAGAACAAATACCGCATGTGTCTCAGATAAAGCAGCTTCGTAGTTACCAACCCAGATATTTTGATTATCGAAATCCTCCAGGTGCCATGGTAGAGCTTCTTCGTACTTGATCCGTGCTCTTGCGATTTCCTCGCGTGTCATATCGGACTTGAAAACTTGCTGTGTCTTCTGCTTGGGTATGTTTTGTCGCTTCGCAGATGTTCCCACTGATGGGGCAATCTGGGCCAAATTCTCCGCTCGTTCTTTCTCGCGCGCAGCTCTTCTAGCATCCTGTGCTTCCCGGTCCGCCTCATCAAGTTGTTGCCCATCTGGTCCAAAGGATCTTTCCGTATGGTGCTCCTGGTTCCGTGAGCGCGGGTCTCGACGCTGTAACCTCACCGGTCGCGTGAACTGAGACTCATCGCGTGGGTCCACAATCCGTTTAGCTGCGAAACGAGCGATATGGTGCTTCAGTCCTTCTCGGATAGCTCGTTTGGTCGTGACCACGGGGTAATCAACGTAGTTTTGGGTTATAAGGGGGCCGCTAAATGCATTGGCGGCTTGATCTCCCTGGACAGGAGCTGGTCCGGGCCGTTCGAACGCCTGCGACAACGACGGCTGAGCGTTGGGTGGGGGGCGTGTGGGAAGTGTCTTTATAGCAGTTTTGCCTGCTGTAGGTGCAGCTCCTGTAGGTCTGATTGGTCTTCTTTTAGGGCGAACTAAGGGGTCGGCGGCTTTCGGGCGACGCATTCTCATCGGAGGGGCGCCATTAGGTGCGGTTGGCGTTCGCCCATTTGAAGGGTTGGTCGATGTCGACATGATTCCCTTAAAGATGAACGTTTATACAGAGGTAAGGAGTATCACAGACGCATAGGACGGATGAGATGAAGGGGAGGAGGTGAAAAGAGCGCGTCGAACAAAGATGAGATGCGGAGTCGCCTAGCCTCTGGCATATGCCTATGATGATGAAAGGTCACGGGACTTGGGGTGAGCAGCTGAGTCATGGTGTATGCCTGAGGCTGAAAGTGCTGTCGTCTACATCATACTTTTAGCTCAATATGCAACTTCGTACTTTCTACTTCTCGCTTGTGAATTTAATTGTTCTCGGTGTAATGGATCAATAAATTACCTTAATTTAATTTGAATTTTGTGCCAAGTTCAGATATCTTATGCATGCCCATTTATGCATCTTGACATGTCTATACACTGGAAACCAATGAACTTTACTCTTTGATCGTGGGGATTCTTCCAATCTATTATCGTTCATTCATATAATCATTCAGCCACCGGATGTATGTATATACACAGGGAGAAAAACTAATTTCCGAACTTCTGCCCTGGTTCTAGTTGTCGATAAGGGCAGGCGATCCAGTCACAGCCCTGCTTGTAGATCTCTGTTCCCCACCACTTGAAATTCGCAACGAAACCTGGGTAGACAAGCGCAAAGAACACGACTATAACGGCGAATGCGAGTCCTGAATCCATGGCTGCGGAAAGGGTCATCGCATATTTCTCCCACCAAGCGGTCTTGCGGCGTCGGATCACGTAATTAAACACAAAGCACACTAATGCCCATACAGAGAAGTTCAATCCTGTAGCAGGTGGGATCCAACTAAGACTGCCAAAGAGAATGGGGAAGTTGACCTTGCGCCAGAAACTTTTCTTGCTGTGTCGACCAAGTAACCAGGCGCCCAGGGGGGCCATGGCACCAATCAAAAATGCCCACACCAAGGGCCGGTAGAGCCCATCGGGACCAAAGAATCTTTGGGGGCCCACGACACCCCAGAGAATACTTCCATTGAAATGTACACGTGCTATCGGACAGTTGAAGCCGTTTAAAGCTTCAGGGGTGCACAGCTTGGGGATATGGGTGAACATCCAATTCAGTACACCAATCTGGGTGAGGCTGGACACCAGAGTAGCGACCATCTGGACCCCAAACAGAATTCGAGGTGGGATCTTCATGTAATGACCAAGTTTGAGATCGGATGAGAACTTGATACCTTGAGCTGAACTGATGTAAGAGTAAGTGACAAAAATCATATTCGCAATAGGTCGTCCAGGAAAGACGATGCCACAAAGAAGCTGGCAGATTAGATAAAGGCTGCTATGTTGGTTTGTGACAGCCATTATGATACCGACTGGGATGAAGAAAATGCTGGTGATTCCTAGGGCCAGGAATAATCCGTACCAGGGTAGGTGAACTGGGTAGCTATAGAGAAGGTTAGATCTGTAACACGTGAAGATGTTATCAGAGAAGGGGTGATAAAACATACTGTTCCACAGTGAATGTAGCAGTGGCAAGCATGGTAACGAGTACTATGAGATACCACGTGAGTGGGGCATCTTTGTATCGTCTCATCAAACGACAGTGGACATCTTCCATGCCCAGAGGGATTTCTCGACTGGCCTCGTGCGAACTATCTCGAGAGATATCATGACTCCGTCGAGGCTGTGGCTGGCCGTTCTCGCTCCACAATGGTTCGTATGTTTCCATTCCAGGAAGCTCACGTCGTTCCTCAAAAGCTCGTCGGGTCTGTTGCCAAATATCCTTGCCATACCAGCACACAGTGTGTGTTACCAGGGATGTTAAAGCAGCAAACTGAACACCATAGGAAAGCACGTATGTGATTGGGAGATAGACTGGTGAATATTCCTGATATGCTTTCTCGTCAAATAAGAAATCGGAGGTCAAAATTCGGCTGACATTGTACGGATGGCCCTCGTTATCAAAAACAGCTGCCGATAGAATGGGCATGAAGGCAGAGTATAACACATTTTTGTAATCTTTCATCGATCAGCATGAAGATACTGGATGCAGCCCTGGATTTAGCAATGACTTACATAGAATTGGAGCGATTATCCATATAACAACCACCAGGCCGGTCAGAATGTTGGCTGCAGCCCACCACGGCGTTAATAAAGGCGAACCAATGTAGGCGATTTGAGCCCAATCAAACGTTAAGGGAAACATTCCGAGACCCGAAGCCACGCCAAACTAGTCCAGTCAGCGAGATATTCTGGAATATGGTAGTAGAATTAACACAAGGTATGGCTCTAGGTAAGGATAGGATAGGTGAATTTGACAGTCACGTACAAGATTAGAGACGACCACATTTTTTGGGGCGAACCATGTGATGACGTTGAAGTAACTGAGCGCGGGCATCAGTAACCCTGGCACAAAGTACCACAAGAAGGCTCCTGTCCACACAAGGATAAAAAACTTGTATCGTGAGATACTCCATCCGTTGGCTCTCTTGTTGGCGGTTTTATGCATAGTGGAGAACATGGCAGTGGACATGAGAGTTCCCGGCCAGATCATCGCGGAGGGTCGGACCAAAAATCGTCTAGTCAAGCCAGCAAAAGCGTATCCCAGAACTTGTGTCGAGATGATGAGGAGCAATTGGTATAGAATTGGAACTTCTTGCTGGTAAAATTTATGTTGCTCCACGATGACCTATGTTGGTGATTAGCTGCAAATTCCAGCGAGGATTATCGCAAAACAAGATTCATGGAACTCACGTCTGTAGCAAAAGCAAATCCAAACGAAACGTTACTGCTGATATAGACACATGCATGTTCCTTCTCATTCCAACGCCCCTGGGCCAGCCAGAGACGAATGCGAGAAATCCATGAACGATCTGCCTGTTCAAGATCACCGGAGAAAGATTCTCGGTGATCAAGCGTGCCGTTCTCAAAGACTTCTATTGGATCATTGGATCTTTTCAACGCTACATCCCAGAATTTGCCCAGTGGGTGAACTAGAACCAAAGCGATGATTGGCGTAATCGCAACACTTGGATAACGGAGAGAAAAGAAAAGATTTGCAGCGGATCCTGTGAGTGAAAAAATCAATGAGAGTATCCACATGCGGGGTGCTGTAGATGTAATTGTTAGGTTTATTCTGTGTTTAGTATAATCGGGTCAACGTATGTAGCATACTATTTATAGAAAGTCTTATATCGTCGGTTGCTGGGACCGCTGCTCGAACTTGAGCGTATCTAGATATGAGGTTTCATATTAGCATCAAAAGAGCATACGAACGCACGCACGCGTGCAAACATAACGAAAGAGACAAGGTCACACATACGGAGAATTGTCGGGAGGATCTTCCTCGGAAGATTTGGAGGCTTCATCATCCATATCTAATGTATCCTCTTCATCGCTTGTCATATACGGGGAAGAAACCGGGGTATCTTGAATCACCGAATTCCCAGGTACGGCCAACCCCGTTGCAAACGAGAATTTTGAATCCGGCCCCAAGCCCACGTCCGAGGTGGCCGATGATGGCCGTCGAGTGTGACTACTCCTCGCCCAACCATTGCTTCTTCGGCGACCGCTAGTCCGTTGTCGTGCTTCATTCGAAGGCCCCTCAGCACAACTCTCCAAGCTTGTCCGTAGCGAATCCCCATTCAACGCTCTACGGGAATTCTTCCGTCGATCCGGCAATTGACTATCGTCATCGGAATCATGTGGAATACGTACAGCACCGTACGAGGTTGAGCCCAGGGCGGGTGACGTCCGGATCAAAGGCGCGCGCGACATCAGGGTACGGAAACGCTGAGCGATTGACGTGGAATCGTCGGGCGGAAGCGTATGATCGGGATGCAGATCCAGATCAAGGTCAGCGTCAAGGTCTAATTCAAGGTCCGAGTTGCAGTTTCCATCTCCGTCGTCCCTGCAGTTCTGACCCGATTGATCTTGATCGCAATTGCAGCTTTCGTTATCGTTGTAGTCACGATTGTCACGATTTAATGATTCAGTTTGATTCAATTCAGCGGGAAGCGTCTCGCCCCTCAAGTTCGGGGGACAAGACAGCTTCCGCGTCTGCAGCGGGATATCGGCCGTCGTGATGGTGGGGTTGATTCTGTAATATTTTTTATTTCTTTTTTTTTTTTTTTTGCGTTAGAGAGGGGCAATGATGGAATGGATGGTTGTTTTAGGATTAGATCGTGCAGTAGCTTGATCGGAGCAAGCGAGAGAGAGATGGAAGAGGAAGAATCCGAGCCCCACATAAGCGACTTAAGCAGGAAAATCCGAGCTGCAAGCTCCACTTCAATGTTAGAATCCGGTTATTACTATTACCATTACTATTACTATTACTACGAGTGGATAAAGGTTCTGATATTCTATATATATTCTAGGCGGGTAAATGTAAAGACAGTGATCGTGTTTAAGTAGTATATACTAATATATACACCATTCTATTCATTGCTTCGTCTAGTTCTTTTTTTCTTCTATTTCCAAAGTTGTCACCGATAATATGGACAATATCTAAAACAACTCAGTTACTGTCTCATCTTCATTTGCTGGAGGTGCCTCGATCTGTCCTTGTGCTTTAGCCAGATCGGCATCAGTCTTGTCTCCCTCGCCTTCTTCATCACGCATCAATACCTGCACCAATCGATCGCAGGCTTCCCGGACCTCCTCATCTTCCACGTTCAGATGACACTCGCGAATGAAGGGGTAGACAGCCACCGCGCGCATTTTCTCTCGGCCTTCACGGGTTGTGGTCAACAGGAGAAGAGTTTCGAGATGGGTGGTGAGGATAGTCGGATCGCTGTCTCGTTTCTTGTCCGGTGGTAGCAATTGAAGGTCAGGCAGCATGGAGAGCATATCTTCATCGGAGAACTCTTCGGGGCCGGCAATGGGCAAAAGGAGGTAAGGAAGGAGATTGGCCTCGTCTTCGGCAAACAACATAGAGTGGAAGGGGACATCAAAGGCCACATTCTTAATGGTAGAGGCGACACCCTTGCGACGAACATGACTCGTATGTTCCGTGAAGACAGTCAACTTGGTAATAGGGACGACATCATCGTATTTTTGGCGAGTGGTGAAATAGGCTCGTCCTTGTTCTGTCTGAGACAAGTCGGCAAAAACGTAGGAGAGGTAGTCATAATTGCCGTGCTTGTTGAGGTCACCTTCAGCTCCCTTTACGAAGCAGTCCATCAGCTGGTCAATGGCATATTCAGATGTTGAGACCCCCTCGGGAATTTTGCGCTTCATGGAGTTTAGGGATTGGAGACGGTCGGATTTGATCAGGTTGGCGAAGAGGGGAGCGACATCGTCGACATTGGGATCTTCGGTGCTCTATTAGTGCGCATTATTGTCAGCTCAGCTCAATTTGTTCATTTGAACTGAATCCACCACGTACCGTGAGTTTGGACAGGAGGACCTCGATATATTCATCATCCTCAGTCAGGTTCTTCAAGATCTCCTCATCTGCGGACAGATTCACCAGGATACTCAATGCATTTGCTGCTATGGGCTAGTCTTGCGTCAGTCATGCATATTGCGCGCGAGGTCGAGGGAGAATATCGGTTGCGCCATACAGGATAATCGCGGGTGAGAAGCTTTAAATCCCGGATCGGAAGTAATTGATCGCGCTTGAATAAGTTCGGCTGAGTTGTGGAGAATGCGACAAGGGTTTCGCAAGCTGGAGAGGTTAGACTTGCATTCCTGAGACAGTCTGGAGAGTATGCTAGACTTCGGACATACCAATTTGGCGGATCTGGGTATTTCCGTGGTGAAGAAACTCCACCAGCTGTAAAGAGAAGAGAGGCACTGGTTAGTTTGGGAGGTGACAAGAGACAGGGATAATTGAAAGATCACCTCTTCTAGTTCTTTAGACATGTTTAATGTGATGGAAGTCGTGAAGAATGTAGAAAATGAAGGAAAAAAAAGAAAAAAAAAGTTCTAAGTGGGGGAAAATGAGGATTCGACGTCATTCCATACATTCCATACTGAGTAATAGAACATAGAGTACATAGAGTACATAGAGTACATATATATGGGAGATAGTAGATAGTAGATAGCACATTATAATATATAGATGATTAATTAATATACTATAGTCTACATCCGCCATTATTATATACTTCTTCTCATCTAAATTACCCTTATTGCCCCTCATTCCCGCGGTCTCCGACTTTTAGTGGGGGAAAAGGGGAAATCCTCCTTGTCCGATAAAACTTAACTATTGCAAACTTCACTCAATTGATCCTTTATTGCAAGATTCCCTCCAACATGGCCATGGATTTGAATGATATCCACGATACATTGGTCTCATTGGCCCATCAGGCTGGCGAGATCATTAACAATGCGCTGCCCGAGACGAGTGGAACTGGCTCTAAGAAGAACAGTATGTGCGACAATGTACATGGGATCTATAGAGACATCATAGACTCATTTCAATAGCTGCCGATCTAGTCACCGAATATGACCGTGCGGTCGAAAAGATGATCTCCACTTCGCTCATGGAGAAATACCCCGACTATAAGTATGTCCAGGAATGAGAAAAGAGACATAGACCGCTCCTCATTTCAAGTTGCTAATAGTATATGGACTCTCCCAGATTCCACGGGGAAGAAACTTATGACCCCAATACTCCACTAACTGATGCGCCCACCTTCATCGTGGATCCAATTGATGGCACCGTGAATTTCATTCACAGCTTCCCACACGCCTGTGTCGCACTCGGGTTTGCAGTAAATCGAGTTCCAGTCGTGGGCGTAGTCTACAACCCCTTCACTAAGGCCTTGTACTCCGCTATCAAGGGCCAAGGAGCGTTCTTGAACCGGGAAACTCGTCTGCCCTGGAAAGGAGAGAATGTAGAGCCTCTTTCAGGCCTGTCCAATGCCCTCATTAGTATTGAATGGGGCTCTGATCGTGGTGGTCCAAACTGGGATACTAAAGTTCGCACCTTTGCGCAATTGGGTCAGTCAAAAGAAAATGGGGGCGCGATGGTGCGTTCTATGCGCAGTCTCGGCTCGGCGGCACTGAATATGTGTGCTGTTGCGGAGGGAACGATGGATCTGTACTGGGAAGGAGGTTGTTGGGAGTGGGATGTTTGTGCCGCTTGGGTTATTCTTACTGAGGCGGGAGGTATTGTCGTTGATGGCAACCCGGGTAATTGGGATCCTCGTCTAGATGGAAGAAAGTATCTTGCTGTGAGGGGAGCTCCGGAGAAAGGTCAGAAGGAGATTGTTGAGGAATTCTGGAGTAATATTCAGGGTTGTCTGGACTATTAATCGACTCAATCGCGAGAGAATTCCATATATTTCAATATCCAGGATCTATTTCTATAAACTTAGATACAAAATTCTGCTTATAACCAAAGAAAAAGCAGAAATACTAAAAACCAAAGTATGTACAAGATTATATGTTGAAATTCACAAGAAAATGTCACTAAATATTGATCACTCATGTGAGTCGCGTGGAGATCAACGAAAACCAGCGTCAGTCCCCTCGTTAAAGACAGATTCGCAATCATCATCTTCATCTATCTGCCGATCGGTCCAACGTGCCGAGTCCTGTCCAGTTGTGCTTGCAGTCCGATGGGAGCGGTGCTCGCCTGGGAAGACTTCGGTCTGTTCATGAACCGGAGAAGGTGCAATTGGAGTATGGGAAGAATCGCCAAACTCGTGATCGGCATCGTGGTCGACATTGAAGTCGTGCTCCGTCGTGTCCTGATCCTTTGGACTATGTTCACATTGCCCCTCGACTTCATCCCCAGAGCTAGTCGGCCCAACTTCCGGTGACTTGGCCCGCTCAACGTCTCCCTGCAATACATCATCTACCTCCATATGCGCGAAATGTGTATCAACTAGGTGCTTCACCACTGGCCACCCATAAGCATTCGTGAACATGCGTCGCACAATGATATTATTATGCGCATCTGGCTCGAGACGAACGAGTACCTTTCGCCACGTCAGATCACGATGATACGCACGAGCGATCTTTTCCTCGACTTTTAATCCACTCTCGCCAGTGTTTGCGGGGGCACTCGAGCTGGATTCTAATTTGCTAGTTTCAGGCATCGACTTCGATTTATTCTGAAGGGGACCGAATGTAAGGGTTCGTCGCTTCATGGGCAAAGGAGGAGGCACATCATCCGGGTGATAGATTCGGTCATGGAAAATGGTTCGGGGCCGTGCTGCAGGGTCCAGAATAAATTCAGTAGGGGGCAAAGGTGGCATCAATAGGTCGCCAGCCGACTCAAAGAACGTAGTCCTGGGTGGGGTATTTAATCCTTCTTCATCCTCGTATAAAGAATTTCCCCGGACCGAGAGTGCAGGGTTTTCATTGGTATCAAACGTCGCGAGAGTCTGACTGCGTTTATAAATCTTGGTATGCTTAGGACGCGAAGGAAGCTTGGTTTCCTTTGGACGAAACAGAGAGAGAAATGAACTAAACGGGCCTGGAGAGGCAGCCTCAGTAATGTTTTCCTTTGGATGAGCCTCGCCAGCATGATGATGTGGTCGAGAATATTGGTCTGGTACTAGAAATTGCGCTGGGGAAGGAGATGATGAGTCTTCCACGGCCATAGTTTCATGCTCTCCTAAAGAAGTACTATCATTACTCAGTCCCACAAGTTCGTCTCCACGAGGAATCTGAGGAGACTTTGAATTGGCCCCAGTAAGTTCGGCCCAGCCCCATTCCGCCATTGTTCCAACGATGCCATTATCTCTTCTCGCCTTTTCCACACGATCGAGACCTCTCCAGTCAAGAAAAAGCAAACAAGATGTGCGCAGCGGGACGATGCCATCGTTTACAACGTTCGAATAAATGGTGCGATGCTGAAACCTTTTCAGTGCCTCATGAGCTGGTCCACAGGGCAAGATTCGTAGAAGCGGCTTGGAGCCCGGATCAGTATTGCTTTGATCTTTGACTGGATCTCCCTTTCCGCCAATTATGGCACCCCAGCCACTTCGGACTTTGGGTGCTGTCCAGCTGAGACCAAGGTCTTGCCCTGTCCGCCCGACAAGTCCTAAGTCGAGGGCAAATCGAACATACATTGGGTTCTCATTGCTCAGTCCGAGAAACGGCGTTGCAAGAGCGATGAAGTTAACCGGCCTTATTTGATCGAAGAAGTGAGGTGAGTGCTTTCGGATGTACGCGATGGCATATGTTTGAATCAATCCACCAAGGGAATGCCCGACGAAGCTAATGCTGGTGATCCGGTAAGCATGATCATCTTTGATGACAGGCTCATCTTGTTGTGTTGAAACAGGCTGGTCTGAGGAAAGATTCTCCTGGTTTTTGCGAGAACTGAAGGGCCGGGAGAATGTCTTTGATTTAGCAGCTAGGGGATAGTAGGGTTGATCTGGATATGTCATCAACAAGACGTATTTGGCCAGGCGTTTTCCTAGATACTGTATACCACGTTCGGTACGCACAGCATTGCCTGAAAAACCCCGAACAATGACTTGTTCGTCATCTTCATCGGTCCCGCCTTGGCTGTTCCGTTTCTTGTTCTTTGCAGCAGCATCGATGCTTTCTTTCAGATAGAGCATATCTGCACCCAAGTTGCTATGCAAGCCATGTGTTATCACAACCAGATGAACACGCTGTTTTGGTTGTGTAGATGACGAATCTGCCGGAGTATCTGCATTATCTGCATTATCATGTTCGGGATTATGAGTTCCAATGCCTCCACTGGATTCGACATCTTTTGACGTTGACGGCAGTGGGGGGCTGTTCCAAAGACTGCTTGTATCATCTACACATAACGTAATGGACTTAGAGTAAACTCCCTGTGTGGCAACCACCTGCTTTCCCTTGACCCCTGGGGACGAAAGATCCTGTAACTTTCCTGCAGGGCCCATTCCACCCATCAAGGCCCCACTGGCTGAGAAATAATCCAAGGAGTGCGGGTCACGAGCAACCAGCAGATCGAAATGAACGGCTGCACTACTCGAAAATAGAACCTGAGAAACAATTTCAATCACCCAGGTTACCGTTGAAGAGCCATCGGATACCTCTTGACCAGCAACAAGGTTGTGTGAACCCTCCAAATGCGCCGGGAGCTTAATCGTTGCATCCCAATTACCCCCTGCTTTCAGGTATGGTTCAAATTGTGGTGCGCCATCCGCTTCGGGCCGGTCATACTTGCTATTGGGATCAAATGTGGAAGGGTAGCAGGATGCGTAAAGGGTATATGGACCGTGAAGATATGCGGCTCTAAGCGGAATGGCGGACGTATTTTTGACCCTGACATATAGTCTTTCAGGGAGAGGAAGGATAGGATCAGCGGATGGCGTGTATGTCAATGTGTATCTATTCATTCATATCACTATCGTTAGCTTTATTGATCAAAACAGTGGAGGTGGGTGGTTTCGCGCTCTCTGCGCTCTCCGGGTCATGAGCTTGCCGACAAGGACGTAGGGTTGTCCGAGGGAAACAGATAACTGACCTTACAACTTCTCCAACACGAACGCTTCCAGTTTGATGGGCCAACAGCATCTCTGAGGTTGGAGTTGGGTCCTCAGGGCTCTGATACCACCCGGTGAGAGTGGTGAAGCGGAACGCGCGCTCAGCGGGGGGCTCGGCCGCTGCTCTGTCTGGCGTTTGCGAAGAGGAATACGTTCGAGGCGTAATTAGCATCGGATACAACAATCAGTTCCATCATATGAAGCGAAGACCATATTTTAGTGAGTACATCAATCGAAGAGTTAGTCTGGCCCTGAGTGTAAGGATGATGGACTGGTATGTCGGGGGAGAGTCGATTGACGATTAGATCGGTGGCCCGTGGCCGTGACCTCGGGATCACGAAAGAGGGAACTTGGACCTCCTATCATTGTGACATAAAAAAAATTATATGAGGAGAAAATCTCCCGTGTTTACATAGTAATGAAATAAATAAATATTGGCGATCTTGGTCTTGGCAAGACTTAGATTTAGAGTCGCCGAGGCTTTTGTAGTTCGTCCTCTCCTTTTGAGATGGATCCGACCATAATATTGTCATAAAGGAATCCGAATTCACATTATCTCTATTTATTGGTACATTGTATTTCCTTTTTTTAATTCCCTCGAAGCCAGAGAATAGTCGTAACACCTCTGTAGTTCACGTTGAAAGGGAGACAAGAGTAAAAGAAAGACGTAAGCCAGTAGAATTGTACATAGAAGTATACAGGTGATGGAACAGCAAAGGCACATTGTCATCCATATTTAAACAAGTTCGATCTATCAAGATAGATCTTGTTCGTCGGATCGGGGAGCAAAGTGTTTGTCACTCAAGTTGACGGCGATGAAAGATTTCGGAAGCTTGACTCTGTAAGAGATAGTCTTAGTATCATGATCACAACATAGGAGAAAGTGAAAAGCATATCAAAGCCAAAAGACAACAAATATACTTACGTATCAAATTTTGCTTTAAGAGTCTCAATGACCTCTTTCCAGTCCTGGTGCGCAGTCAAGCTACGCCGAGGGGTGCATCCAATCGCGTGTCGGGAATCCAGTTGCACATCCAACGGGTCAAAGGCATGACAGCCCGGACTGATGGAGATACGAATCGAGTAGGAGTTCTTTTCCGACTCGCTGTCTCGGGCTTCATATAGCTCAAAGCAAATCTGAGAAAGATAATCGAGTTCAGGAATGGTGCTACGGGCAATTTTGGTTTGAATACCACCTTCGAGGATACAGTTCAAAAGTGTGTAGATATGAGACTCCTTGGTAAAATAGAAGAAGGATTTGGCATCGGGGGAAGCCTGTACTTCTTCAAGGTCTCTCACAATCTCCTGAAGAAGTGGCAGAGAGGTGAGAAGGCCGATCTCAAGCTTCTCGCTATCAGTGATGCCGTATTCCTGAGGTGTGACGTAATCAAAAAGGACCTTAGCGAGCTTATATAGCTCTCTAAGTTTAGAAAGACGTTCATCCGTCTTACATTTGTTGGTGTCAGATTTGGATCCAGGGAAGAGCTTGAAGTAATGGTCGTAGGAATCGTCAAGTGCGCGGAGGTGCGGCAACGATTCGAGGGCTTGGAAGCGTTTCCTCAAGCCAAAGCGCTGTGCGAGGGACGGGTTTTCTGGACGCTCTTCAGGTTTCTCATTCGTCGCATCAACGCCATTCTTGTGCTCTGTTGCTGGGTCCGACTTATTTTGGTCTCGACCTTTCACACTGTCCTTGTCATCATCGTCCCGGTCGCTCTCGGGTGGCATAAAAACCCACTCCAGGAATGGGCGATTATGCAGAGCATCGAATTTCATACTATCGTATAATTCAGACAATTTGCTTGGGTCCACCTTTTCCGTGTCACAAAACTCCGCGAAGAGCTTTTCCCATCGTTCTTTGAAGAGCCGCGGGTCCTCTCCTGCACACCATCGTCCTTGCACATTGGCTAACTGCGGTTGGTCTGGCGGCAGTTCGGGCAGGTCAGGGTCTTCGGCCTTTTGCAGTGAGGGTTCCAGTTTGCTAAAGTTGTGGCGCATAACGCTACGATGAAATTTCATCAATTCTACCACAGTGGAGAGCACAACAGATGGTTCGGGAATATTCGTATCTTTGGGCCAAGCAAACTGCGATGGGGCAGATCCTTCTCGTAGAAGAAGCTTCAGCTTCTTTTTAACCTTATCCATGACATCCTTTGCCGCATTCGAATCGTCGAGTAAATCCTTTCTGACTTGGATAAAATCCTCAGGGATTTCTTTTTGATCCAAGAATGAACTGGCCCAAATTTGAGCTGATTCTTGTCGTTAGTGTATCGCCCGAGGAGAAAATATAAATAGATAAGATAATCAATTGGCTTACCACTTGTGCTAACTCGACGCTCGGAGCTGGTAAAAAGACGAACGTTATTGAGGGCCTCTTTGTTCATCAGCTTGAGATCATCTCGCATATTCATTCCGAGATCTTGTGATTGATAGCGTGCAGCGTGGGTAGGCTCGCCGCCCCATTTGATGATAAGCTGTAGTTTATCCAAGATTAAATCATTCTCCACGGCTGAGAAGCGAGAAAAAGTAGGTCCCGAGATAGAGTCACTTCGTGCCTGGCTTCGACGCAAGGCCTCGTCATCCTGACCTTTTTCATTGGGAGCGATTGAGGGAGAAGCCTCAGGATCTGCTAGGTTTGCGGGCGCCTTGGAAACCAGGCTAGACTCCTGATCCCGCATTTCTTCTGGCTTGCGCCTCCGAAACATGGGCTTAATTTGTACCTTGGTACCAGGCCAGCCGCCCTTCTTCTCCAATGATGTGCGAAGCAGTTTTAATTTATCCATGTCTTCAAGTCCCTGTTCCATGGCCAGTTTCACGGCATCGGAAACACTAGACAACGCTGCTGCTCCTTTGATGACCACCTCTTCTTGGTGTCCCTTCAAGAGGTCCACAAAAGGTTGGCTGTGAAAGGTAAATTTGAACTTTTGTTTCGGGGTGCGATCCGCGTGTCGAATGACTGCCACCATTCCCTTGAGCTTCCACGAGTGTTTCGAAGCTGGAAGTGGAGGATGAGCCTCTTCACTGACATGATGGAGGGAAACAGCAGGGGACTTTGTATTAGAAGGACTATAGCCACGAGAATCAGAGCGACCTTCTCGCGAATTCAATTTGCTAAGTCCCACATTGGGTTCGGCACTCTCTAGTCCCGAAGACGAGGCCAACGAAGGAGCACCCGTTGATACATCTGATGGGGGAGGATCCTGAGCTTGAGTTTTAGAGTTCGACTGGCCGCTATAGAGGCGGGATGTACTTGGAGACTTGAGCAGAGTTCGCAGTGCCTGTCGATGTGAACTTGTTGTGCCTCTTCTGGATTGACCTAGATCTGGCGAAGGTGGCTCGGAAAGTTCCATTGATCCATCGCACTTGCGCATTTCGACCAAGAAGGTATCACGTAATATACGTGCACATTTGTCGTAGTAGTCGTTGTTGTCCTTGACAAAGCTCCACCCGTTTACATCGATCACGAAACTCTTGTCGCCCACGCGCAGCATATCGAATCCGCAAATCCTCTGTCCAAAGCCATTTGATATCTTCGAAGCTATCTCCGCCTCCTCTTTGGTCAATTGGGTGATATACCGTAGTTCCTTTCCATGGGTATTTCGTCGTACAAGGCCGTCCACCACGGGCGATTTGCGTGTTTCAGCATGGCAGAAGTCCGGGCCCACCGTGTACGCTTTGACATCTTCTGCGTTGTCCACCCGCAGGAACTGTTCGTACAGGTAGCTTGTATCATTCTCAGTGATTGAGCGTGGTACCGAAAGCTCCGGGTCATATTCGGAGCTTTTATTGCCAACTTTTCGAAACAGCCTCCGTCCGCCGCCACCATATTGTTGATCATTGGGGAAGTAGATGTGGATATTGTGATTCTCCCCATTGACAGGTTTCTCTACAAAGGGCTTCCGAAAGACTTTGCCGTCCACGATCAATGACTCCCCGTCCTCTGACATGGACACATTTTGGGTTTTTGGCGCACCACCCCCGGTCCCATCCTCAGGCCCATTCAATTTGACTCCAGTCAGCCGGAAGATATGATCAGCCATCTCCGGGGACTCCAAAACGGGGCCACCATCGCGATTCACCTCAACTCTCTTTGGTGTGGGTACTCCCATCTGATCTAAGATCATCAGACATAATCGGCGATCCCACAATACTTTTTGCATGGGCAAGTCATTGACACAAAACGGTTTTCGGAGCTTGGCATAGGCAATGGCTTTGTCCAATGGAAATCCGTCGGAGAAGAAGGCTATCAGAAAATCACACACGGGCCAATTCTCCACGGCTTCATCTAGAATCACTTTATCACCAAAGACGATTACTTCGAACTCGCCCTTGGCTTGAAGTCGTGTGAGGATATTCTGACTGGGTTTGCTACGGGCCTTCACATCAAGAGCACATACACCCAGTCTCCAAGGTTTCGGGCCCGTGGGCTCCAATTCGCTGACTGAGCTCGCTGCTGTACTTCCGCTGAATCGTCGTGGAGTCCGGCTCGATGAGCGGTTGGAATGGCCAAAGCGAGGGATTGATCGGGCATCCGAAGCAGGCTCCATGCGACCGGATTTCAAGGGTTGGTTTGGTTCCCGAGTTGACATTGAGGATTCCGTCGGAGGGATCTCTTTCTGCTCTGTATCTGTGGCAGGTTGGGGCGGCGGCGGTGGAGATCCCGAGCCTAGAATCTGTTCAAAAACCCCATTCGATGAACCCATGTCTGTGGCAGAGCCACTGGTCGGGCCATTGTCCGGATCCATTGTACGGAAATGGGATTAGGAAGTCTGGATTAGAGTCGGAGGGAAGGAATATCGGGAGCCCTGGAGGCGGTGATAGAGGGGCAATTGTGGGGGCTTGGCTCCCTTGGGAGTCGGGACGGTGGGAAAGTCTAGCAATTATTTCCCTTGCAGTTGGAGTATGGTTTGTTAGAAGAAGAAATACATGGTTTTTAAGTCAATGATTCTTGAATTCTTAATTTTATTCTTTTCTTCTTGTCTCTTCCTTTTTCCTTAATTTTTTTTGCACTTTCCCACTGTTGGGAAGGTCGAAAATATTGATGAAGCGGAGAGATGAAGTGTAAGAGGGAGAGAGAGAGACGGACCGATACAGACAGTCAGACATAGAGCAACTTTGGAAGGAAATAATGTTGGACGAAAACGAACACTGCGTAATGGAAAGATTAGGCAGAACAGGTACACAGTACAGGGTAAAGTACAGGGTAACATTTGGCCTGAGAGTTACTTTGGATGGTGCCGTGGACCTGTGGATTCGATTTGCGCGATACGCGATATGTATGGTATGGTACCTGTCATGAATTATACACAGTACAAACCTCTAGACTACACTAGTAAATTGTCAGAAAAATACAGTTAATACAATCAAATGTTCCAGAACGGGAAATAAGTAGTTCTATGGATACCAGGCACTATTAGTTAAATCACATATTACATATACTATAAATCAATGGCCTAGAAAGCAGGACTCTAGTTACCTCCAGGGCTGTGCCTAGGCGGTGCCGATCCTCAAGGCGGTGTGCTGCAAGTTGGAAGGCGGAGAAAAAAAAAAAATCGCCATTTCTCGATCTTAATCAAGCCTGAGCCCAAAGTCACTGCCATCCACCATGCCGGCCTTGGCTAATGATACCTTTGATCTGCCATTGGCAAAGAGGCAGAAGAGGACTCTCGCCCAAAAAAATGTTTCCACCAAGCAGCGGGGTGGCTCTAAAATCTTCGCGCCTTTCCGGGTATGTCTGATCTAATATGTGGAAGCTCCAAACTTCTACTGTTTTCTATAAGGATACAAGGATACACCTCACTGACTAATGTGCCCAATATAGACATTAGGACTGGTGTCGCCAACCCCTGTACCATTTACCAGTGTACGGCTAGGTAAATCCACCTATCAAATCACCACCTCCGTCGGTCATACACTGCAGACCTACGATTTGCGACGAGGATTGAGTTTGATCTTTTTGAGTCGACCACAAACCCCCGAGATTATCACCGCAACATGCGCCTGGCAAGATAAGGTGTTCGCCGCTTGGGGATACCTTCGTCCTCGAGCGCCAGGTGGAGTTTGGATGTTCAAACGTGGCAAACGAGTTGCAACCCTAGAAAGTCCCAGCCTGGAGGGTCCTATTGCACAATTGTTGGTATTTGGATCATGGGTGGTCGGCTGCTGGTCAGGTGGCCTCGAAGTGTGGAAAATGGACACCTATGAACACTATGCCAGCCTACGGCCTCAGTCGAGCACAGGTTTATCATCAACCGGGGAACCAATCTATGGTGGAGTCATGTGTAATATGCCAACTTATCTCAACAAAATTTTCGTCGGACGGATGGATGGCGCCTTGGATATCTGGAATCTCCGAACTGGAAGGTTGATCCATACGTTACCCTCGTCCCCAGACGCCGGACCAGTCACTGCCATTCATCCGGCACCCGCCCTTTCTCTCTTGGCAATTGCACACAAGAGCGGTGCATTGTCAATTGTGAATATCGATTCAGGTCATCTGGTTTTATCACTGCGCGGCCCCTCGCCACGGGCCCTCCCAATTACATCAATCGCATTCCGAAGTGATGGCCTCGGAGCAGGCCACGATGGTCGCAAAGCCGGAGTCATGGCCACCGCCTCGAGTGGGAGTGGTGATATCACCATGTGGGACTTGAATGACGGTGGTCGTGTGGCAGGGATCCTGCGAGGAGCCCATAGAGTATCTAATCGTGAGAATGGCACGGGTGTGAATGGAATCGAGTTTCTGGACGGACAACCTGTCCTCGTGTCATCAGGAGATGACAATGCCTTGAAGACGTGGATTTTCGACGAGGCCCCATTTTCCTCCATCCCTCGACCCCTCCACTCTCGCGGTGGACACTCCGCACCAGTTAGCTCTCTAGAATTCTTGCCGGCTGGTTCTGATGGTTCTGATTCCGGCGGTAAATGGCTTCTGAGTGCAAGCAAAGACAGCAGTCTTTGGGGACTGAGCTTGCGCAAAGATAGTCAGCACGCAGAGATTTCACAGGGCAGCGTAGAGCGCAAGGCGAAGAAGCTTGGTCCTTCTGATTCATCCAATTCTATGGTGGACACCCTCAAGGCACCTGAAATTACCTGCATCGCATGCTCCTTGAACCGCGATGCTGGCATGGGCACCGCCACTTCTGGCCCCATCTGGTCGAACCCAAAGTCCACTGGCACCGAATCATCCAACTCTACAGGGTGGGAAAGTGTTGTCACTGGTCACCGAGGCGATAAGTATGCCCGGACTTGGTTCTGGGGGAAGAAGAAGGCTGGTCGCTGGGCATTTGCGACAAGCGATGGAACAGAGGTTAAAGTATGTATTTAGCTTACCCGACAGTACAAGGGTCTGTCTTCTCCGATTCGTGGCTAATCACAGTTTATTATAGAGCGTGGCCGTCTCTCCATGTGGGACTTTCGCCGTCATTGGATCTGCTGGGGGTTCAATTGACATGTTCAATCTTCAGTCAGGCCTGCACCGACAAAGCTTCCCAGCTCGGGGTCCAAAGTCTCGTGCCATGAAAATGCAGTTGAATAATGAAAATGCCAAGCATACCAAATCGGTGACTGGGTTGATGATCGACAACCTCAACCGGACTGTGATCAGTTGCGGCCTGGATGGAAAGGTCAAGGTGAGTTCTCCCAGATTGCCTTGTTTCTTTGGCTCATTCGATACATTGTTTGTACTGACATGGGCTTTTCTTCCGTAGTTTTGGGATCTTCTTTCGGGAAGCTTGCTCGATGAACTAAACTGGCATCCAATGGCAGCTGTAACTGGAATACGCTACAGTGAGACTAGCGAGCTGGTTGCCTTTAGCTGTGATGATCTCTCTATCCGTGTGGTTGATCTGGAAACCAGAAAGCTAGTCCGTGAATTCTGGGGATGTGTGGGTCAGGTGAATGACTTCATATTTTCTAATGACGGACGCTGGATCATTGCGGCATCGATGGACTCGGTCCTGCGAGTTTGGGACTTGCCTACTGGGCACCTCATTGATATCTTCCGAGTTTCTAGCACCTGTGTCTCCCTAGCTATGTCATCCACTGGCGAGTTCCTTGCTACCGCACACGCTGGCAGTATTGGTATTAGTTTGTGGAGCAACCGCAGCTTGTTCATGCCTGTGTCTACGAGAAATCTTGACGAGGATCATATTGAGGATGTGGGTGTGCCCACTACTTCCGGCGAGAGTGGTGCCGGTCTTGTCGAGGCAGCCTTTATGGAGGATGCCGAATCAGACGAAATGGATGGGCCAGTCTTGACGACTGAACAGTTGCGCGAGGATATGGTTACGCTCAGTCTAGTCCCCAAAAGCAAATGGCAGGCATTGCTGCATCTGGACTCTATCAAGGTATATATTGTCTCTATTCCCATTTTCCTGATAATTCAATCTCATTCATATCTCACAGGAACGCAATCGGCCCAAAGAAGCCCCGAAGGCCCCCGAAAAGGCACCATTTTTCCTTCCTTCTATGCTTGGTGGCGGTCCCCCCCAATCGACTACTGAAACCGCAGCTAGTACCAGCGAGGACAATGCTCTTACCCAGAACATGGAAGCAGAGCGGTCTCGACTGTCAAAGGCCTCAGCAGGAACCATGAATGCTTTGGACTCTTCGACCAGTCGATTCCTCTTATCTGGTCACGATTCCGGCAATTTTGACTCATTAATTGAGCATCTTAAATCTCTTTCCCCGGCCCGAGCAGATCTAGAAATTCGTTCTCTCGACTCACGAGCTCGGGATGGTTTCTCTGAGTTGTCCGCTTTTGTTAATGCTCTCACCAATCGCTTGAAGCTGCGAAGAGATTTCGAGCTAGTCAACGCATGGATGGCAGTGTTCCTGAAGATTCATGCAGACACGGTGGCACTGTATTCACACGGGGATCAGCCAGAGCATCGTCTCTTGCAGTCGGCTCTGAAATCCTGGAGTCAAGAGCAACAGCAAGAAGGAAAGCGTCTCGCTGAACTGGTTGGTTACTGTCGTGGAGTTGTTGGGTTCCTGAGATCAGCACGATAGAACCCTTTCTGTATAGTATAAACTTTAACATTTCCCCCAATTGTTCCATACTTTTGCCAGGTTTTATTTCTGTTCATCATCTTATTATTTTCAACTACTGTAGAGTCTTATATATTCCTGGTAGTTTCGAGTAGATCTATCTAGCTTCTTCTTTCATTGTAGCATTGATTAAATTTATTAATTGTATGCGGCTCAAAAATAGAGATATGTAGCCGCACGGGTTGTTGTCTGACTAAGGGGGGAAAAGATTTCATCTCCCCACAAAAGATATACATACAACTTGTATTGTTCCCAGTCCCCAACTCGGTCGTCCTATCTCTTCTCTGCCCTCCGGGCCTCCGAATTTACGTTCGGCAATGGGGATTCAGTCACTCACCAAACATGTTCTCCCATATGCAGAAACGGTGGTGCTGGATGGGAGCCCCAGTAAAACGGACTTGCCTCCCTGCGTCCGATCAGTGGTCATCGATGGGCCAAGTCTGGTTTACCACGTCTATTACAAATTACTAGCATGGTCAGATTTAATCTGTGATAAAATTGATCCTCAGCCCACTTGCGATCAAGTTAGTCGAGGTGTTGCTAGCTGTCTTCTGCAATTAAAAGGCCGAGGTATCAAGATGTAACTATTTTCCCTAGATGATGTCCAAATGTCAGGAATACCTCTAACCACATTCACAGACATGGCATATTTTTTGATGGAGCACTGCCTATCTCCAAACGGGGGGTCCGACTGGATCGAATCGAGAAGTCTAGGCAGCGATTGGAACTATCAAGACAAAGGACTTTCCCGTTGGCGCCGGAAGGCCGCCCCAAGCAGAAGTCTTTACAGCCATTGCAGTTTTGGCAAAATCGAAGTCTTCCATCGCGACTGAGAAGGCTGCCAGAAAATCCATTTATGGTCGCGGCTGTATATGAGGACCTAAAGCAGCGATGGAGTACAAAGCAGATGGCCATAGACTTTCAATTGAATGCTCTTCAACTCCAGGGGGAGGAGTATCCCTGGGCAGGAATCACTGCAATGGTCCCTGGTGAAGCTGATTTTGATTGTGCTCGAATCTCAAAACTTACAGGGGCTGCGGTACTTACAGATGATTCGGATTTGGTTGTTCATGATCTGGGGCCTCGCGGAGCAGTTGTACTTCTCAAATCGCTACACTTGCTCGATAGCACGCTGGATCAAGTATCGACAGAGATTCGAGGTTTGAGGATATCCCTCAGTGGGCTTTCCAATAGGCCAGGTATTAAAGATATTCAGCGCTTCGCATATGAATTAACACAAAACCCCCAACACGGACTGTCAGATCTAGTGCGCCGAGCAAATGAAGACCTAGGTACATGTGAACGCACATTGGACTACCATAAATTCATCCAGGAATACCAGGGATGTCAGCACGACTTCGTCGACGACGACCAGCCACTTTCATCTCAACAAAGAGTGAACGATTTGACACTGGATCCACGTGTGTCGGAACTATTTTGGCAATATGAACGTCCCAAGATCTACTGTCGGGGACAGAATGTTCAACCGCATGTCTACATGGGAATTTTGTCCGAAGATCACTCAAGGCGATGTGCGTGGGAACAGGGACGAATGTATCGAGCTCTTGGGTACTCCATTCTCAATCAGTCATACCCCGAGCCGAGCCGATTCCCCGTCATCCAGGAGTTTGTACGCAGAGGTGGACGGATTGTGGCTGAAGAAATTACTCTTTGCGGAGCTAAGACAATTGCCTCGGACTTGGATATTTTTCATACCCGTCTCAAACTCGCGCAAACTGTTTTTGGGGATATGACACAACCCAGATTCTGGGTGATGTTTGCTATTTCTGAGATCTGGAGGAACTGTTCGAACCACGCAACGCTTCCTAACGCTGCAAACCTAGAACATTTCCTCAAGCATGGCTACACAACAGACCAGGCGGAGTGGAGTGATCTCCACCTGGCTTCTCAGATTCAGGCGGTGTTATACTCGCTCCGTATTCTCAAACAACTCCTGGGCGTCACAAATGATCTTCCCTGCAGCTGTCACCAGTCTATTCTCTCTGGTCTCCCCCCTTTGCATATACTTCTAGGATCGCGACATGAGATGACCCAAGAATTTCTTGGTGATGATATGGCCCACCGATCGGTGTACCAGCTCATCCAAACTTATAGTTGAACATGAGTTTATATCTTAACCAAATAAGATGTTTTTCTTTTCCTATTTCTATATTTCGTATAGACCTTTTAGTGTATGTGTAAATGAAAAATGCGCCAGATAGCTAAGCATTGACAATTCTCTCATGTGTAGGGACTGAGAAACCTCTTCAATAGTGTCCCCATGAAGCTGTGGATAAAAGGATATGTACAACGAAAATCGAAACGGAGTCTGACCAATATCGATCGCTACCTATATAGTCTCTCCAACATATGTCGGGCTAGTATGGATTTCATCTAGACTTGATCTGTAAAACCCTGGTTATCCTTGAATAACTGAGGATGTGATCACGCGCTCGGTGCATAATGCGATGACCATCAGTCAGAACGGGGTGGTGGTATTGGTGAATGTAGTGTTGGCGCTATGCCAGGCGGTCCCTTTGAACAAACTCATCATGCTGAGGCTTACCACCCAGGGGGGCTGAAAGGTGTCCCAAGTGAAAGCGGCGATGGTGTTAGAGGTGTTGAAGCATAGATTTAGAGATTATGCTTTCACTTCTCGGGTGCGTCTGGGAGTCGTTCAATGACATATTTCCCACGGGCAACGCTCATGATGGGAACACCGGGGATTTTTCTATAACTCGGGTTAGCAATGGATGAGTCAATACGCTTTTGCGGGCAAGCTACCTGGGCGGACCCAAAGCGAGTAAAGCTTACCGAATTCGTCTTTTAAGATCACGATCGTTGGTCGCTGCAATATACACTCGATGTTTGATGATTCGATCCACCAGGCAGTCATCAGCGTAGGTTCCTTTGTGGTCGCATTTAATTCTTTCAAATCGCGGGTCTTTGGCCACACGCAAAGCTAAGCGGTATTTCTGGCCCAACTTCTCTAACTCAGCGAGCACACAATCTGTGATGACCGGGATGCACTTGGCATACAAACAGTCCATCATGGTGGGAATGACATCAAGCTTATGTTGAATAGTATGAGATATGAAATTGGTATCGACAAGGACAGAGTATGGGGGTGTGAGAGCCGTGTTGTATTGGAAGAAGAGAGACGAGGGAGCCTGTGGCCTATAAGGTGGGAAGTCAGCATGGGTGAAGGCCATTAAGCAAAAAGAGAGATAGGAAACAGCAAGAGATGACATACGCTTCTCGGATCAAATCATCGTTCTTAGATTTGTCTTTCTCGTCAGTCTTGTCTTTGTCGCTATCCTTCCTGCGATCGGGTTAGTAACAACTCGACATGCATTGGGGTGGAATTGGAACGAACAGGCGATTATCACGTTGCGAGATTGCCCTTTTTGTTTGCGCAAACTTGCGGGTTTTTCTCTGGACCCCCATCGTGAACTTAAGGGCGGTAGAAGACTAATAAATCAAGGCTGTGGTTGTAGAAGCAACAGGAATAGACTAAGAGAGAAAAAAGATTTGAAGAATTCGGATATTTCTGATAAGCCCCGGGAGGCTTATCGGTATGACTAATCACGTTCCTCGGATCGGGGAATTAGTAAAGGGATAGCCATGCCGTCGGCCACTAATTGGGATACCCCCAATTAGTGTCCCCTACCGTAAGGGAAAATATCACTGTAAGGGAAAACATGTAACAAAAAATCAATTTTTTCACTAAATAATAAAAGAATCTTAATGAGCAATTATATCACTATTTTTGCCTAGAATTAGTGTAGATAACGTAATAATTAGATCTTCTGTCGGATTTTGGGAAGGTATATATCTAAAGTATTTTTTGAAATCTTAAACCAGCCGCCTATTCTCTTTTTTATCTTCCTTAGTATATTACTTGGTAATAGATTGATTTATATCTTTAATAATAAAATTCTATTATCTTTGAGGTTTAATAATCGCTGTTTAATGGTTTTTTTAGTCTGTAAGTGTGAAGGGCTAAAGTAGAATTTATGTTTAATTGAGCTAGGCCACGTACTATATATAAAAAGCTTAAAGAGAGAATTACTAAGTAGGTGTTCTACGTGTTAGGTTATTATAGTTATATATACTATATAACCTTATACTAGGTATTAGCCTATAACAATATCCCCCCTTTAGGATAGTCCTTCTTATATATATTATAGTTATATTCGGTTGTCTTTAAGCCTATAATAGAGTCGAAACGGGGCTGAATCGTCTTTTAAAAGTATCTAATATAGAGTAATCTCGAACGTCGCTAAGACTCTACTAGGTCTATTCTACCTAATCTATCTATTTTAGTAGGGTTTTATTATAGTATTCTTAACTAATTTTCTTATATCTTATATTTATTATCTCTTCTATTTTAAATTTAAGTTTCTTATTAATTAGTATTAGTAGGAAATATAAATTATCTATAATCTATAATAAAAATAAGTCTAAAATAATAGGTTTAACTAGCTTTATATAAAATATTAAATAGATATTAGTAGATATTTCTAATTATATTATATAAAATATAAAGATATCTAAAACTTAATATTAAGTATATAGCTAGTCTAGCTTTTTTATTAATTATTATATATATATATTCTATAAATTTAACTATATCTAGTTATTTTTTTATAGACTAGTATAACCTATTATTATTTATTTAATTACTCTTTCTATAAAGCTTATATAAAAGTAATTATAGTTTAGGCTTAATTAATAGCTTCTTATAATTAATTTATAAATATTTTATCTATAATTCCTAGTTATATATAGGTTTTATAAGATTTCTTTATCTTTTCTATCTTAATAGGGTTAATATAGTAACTATATATAAAGAAAAAGAGGAATAGTCTTATTATACTAGTATTATAATTATTAATTACTATAGTAATAATAGGAAATAATATACTCTAATTATTTTATATATAGATTATAAATATATATAAAATCTATTTAACTTCTTAGTTTATATATTTTATAGTACTATTAGATTATAGATAGAAAGTAGTTAATAGTTAATATTAAATTAATAGCTTCTTATATACTATTTATTAGAATATATCTATAAATTAGGATCTATAGTTATTTATAATTACTTATAGTAGCCTATAGTATATATAAAAATAAGTAAAGAATATATCTATTACTCTTTTAGTAGTTATCTCTATTATATTTATAAGAATTATACTTTTTATAAGCTAGTCTATAATTACTATTAAATTTATTATATCTATATATACTATTAGGGGTAGTTCTATAATAAAATCTATAGATAATTCTATCTATATTTACTATAGAATTAATAATAGTTTTAGTAGTCTATACTTTATATTATACTATATAGTACTATAAATATAAACTATATAGTTTTATAAGAAGTATTATATATCTCTTACTACTCTTAGTTAGAAGAATCTCTATAATAGTATTATATAGATAGTATCTTAACTAGAATATACTATAATATAAGAGTTATAGATCTTCTATATAATCTCTATATATAATATCTTATTATTTAGGATCTATATCTACTACCTAAAGTAAAGTAGTCTTTATTTATTTAGATAGTATTCTAATAGGTTTATTTTTATATTTACTTTAGTAGTAATTTACTAGTCTTCCTTTTCTAAGACTTTATATATCTTCTAATACTCTAGATTAGTAGATCTTATATTCTTTTATTCTTATTATAATATAGGCTTCTTAAATAGAAGTATTTCCTTCTTAAAGTTAATTCTCTTTACTACTAGTAGATTAAGTTATTCTATCTTAATCTATATCTTTTTTAATAGGGTTTAGAACTAATTTAATAGCCTTTTATCTATAATATACTATAGGATATCTTAGCTTTATTATAAAAGTATATTAGGTCTTATAATAAGCTTCTTAAAGTAATATTTTAGTTTATAATTAAACTCTATAAGAATATCTATCTATCTTATTTATTATTTATTTAGATATTATACTTTACTAAAATATTATAAGTTTTTATAGTTTATTATAATAGTAAATTAAAATATTATCTTTAACTTTAGTCTCTACTCTTAGAGAATATATATAATTATTAGTAGCTCTTTATTATAAATCTTATAATTTAACTCTATTAGTAATAGTTTCTAAGAGAGATAAATATATAGATATAGCTACTTATCTAGTCTATATTATAATAAGATAGTTTCTATAGTCTATCCTAATATATCTATCTTAATAATAGTTTTCTTATCCTTTTTAAAATATATTAGAATTAGAGTATTAATAAAAAGGCTCTTTAATTCTTTAAATATTTATTAGTAGTTATTATCCTATATAAATTAGGTATCTTTTCTTATTAATTTTATTAGGGATACTGAAAAGTTAGTGAATTAGAATATAAATAAGTAGTAAAAGTTAGCAAATCTAAGGAAGCTCTATATATCTTATATTAATTTTAATACTTCCTATTCTTAAATAGCTATAACCTTCTTTAGATTAATATAAATTCTCTTATCTATTTATATAATAAATCCTAGATATTTTATAGAATCTTACTTAAACTCTAATTTTCTAATATTATACTATAGGCCTACTTCTTATAGTTTCTATAGTACTTATTCTACTTTCTATTAGTAATCTTCTAATAATCTATTACTATATATAATAATATTATCTATATATATAGATATAAAATTATTAAAATACTCTTATAAGATCTTATTAATATATCTTTAGAAAGTTATTAATATATTAATTAGCTTAAATAGAGTAATATTCTATTTATATAGACTATATTATATTTAAAATACTATTTTCTATTTTTCTTTTAGTTAGATATAAATCTTATAGAAAGTAATAATAATATCTAACTTAGAAAACTATTTAGTTTATTCTATATTCCTTAGTATTTCTCTAATTAATAATAATAAATAATAATCCTTTATTATTAACTTATTTAATCTATAGTAATTAATATAGAATTATACTTCTCTATTTAGTTTCTTTACTAGTAGGACTAAGACTATAGTAAATAATTTACTTACTTAGATAAAGCTTTTTCTAAGAAGATCTATTAATATTTTCTATAGATATAGAAGCTTTTCTTTATTTATATTATAGAGAGAACTATATAAAGATAGTTCCTTAATATTATTATAGTCTTATTTTAGAGTGATTTTATAGTTAATTTCTAGTTAATTTAGAAGTAACTTATTAATTAACTATTAGCTAAAGATATCTAACTACTATTAATAGTATTTTAGTAGCTTATTCTTAGGATTATCTTATTTCTTTAGATATAGTACTTTCTTAATATTATTTATTATAACTTTACTAATTTATAGTTATTTAGCTACTTCTCTCTATAAATAAAGTTATATAGTAATTAGATTATTTACTTTTTAATCTATATTCTCCTTATATTAGTTAATCTAATTATATAGTCTATATAGTTCTAGTATTTTATCTACTTTCTATTTCTTATAAATATATTAATATATCCTTTTCTTACTAAGTATTAACTATTAATATCTTATAGTTAAGGATCTCTTAATATTATACTATTCTTTTATTAAGGAATAATATATATAAATACTTATTCTTACTAATAGTTATAAATATCTAGGTTAAAGTATATAACCTAAGTAATTTAATCCTAATTTAGGACTATCCTATCTAGGATCTATATAGATATCCTAATATATAAGAGATTAAGTAACTAAACTAATACTTTATTTATAGTTATATAATAATAGTATTTACTATTAATTAGGGCTTATATAAATTAGATTTTATTTATTTTAGTATTGACTAGAAATAATAGTATTTCTTATTTTAATAGCTTTTTAACTTCTTTTTATTTCTATTTATAACTTAGAACTAGAGTTATTCTTTTCTTAAATCCTTATTTAAGAAAAGTTTATTCTTAGAAGCTAATATATTTAACTTATAGTTAGTTATATATCTAGCTTTTTTATCTTTAATCCTATAAAAGTATCTCTTTTTTAGTCCTTAGTATTATATAGCTAATAAGAAATATTTTATAATAAAATAGCCTTATTTATTATAATAAAGGTATCTTCCTTTATCTTATTATTTTTTTATCTCTTTATAATTAATTTACTTTACTTATTTATTTATTTTAGACTCTAATTAATAGTGTTTTATATAGAATTTGGTTTAATTAACTATAGTAGTTAAGATCTAATCTATTAAGTCCTAGTACTACTAGATATATATATAGTATAATCTTTCTAGAGTATTAATACTAAGGATATCTATATTAGTATTAATTTTATAAAATTAAATAATAAGATCTAAAAATATAGTAAGAATACTATAATTTATTAATAAATTTATTATACTTTTATTTAAGGATCCTAATAAGATCTATCTCTTTATTTTATTATACTATTTAAGGATATCTATATTTATAAACTCCTTCTCTAATCTAAGAA